ACCCTAAATAGTAGATACCCGTAACAAGTATAGTACAATTATATTAGTTATAAACCAAAGATCAGTTAACTACAAAAGCTAAATAATTATTTACTTAGTAATTAATTGGTTATATGGAAAGAAAGATTTGTTTTGGCGTGGCAATTGAGATTTCGCCAAGGTTCCGGTAAAAAATCCATTTTGGCCAATTGCTCGATTCAGTCCGCCGTAGGTTTTCGCTCTAAAAGGTTGATACTTCTACCGCTCAAAATCTTATCCTGGAGTAGGGTATCCTCTTCCTTTGCCCGCATGACCATGGCTCCTAAATGTCGAAACTCCTATCCATTAAGCAATAATTTGCTTACCGCCCGCCGCAATATGGCAGCTCATACAGTGTGACCTGTTCGATAAGTTATTGGGTCAGGTTGATGGACATATATACCAAGCCTCATAGAGCTGACAGAACCTCCTGTCTCATATGAAGGGTACTATTCCACACCTGGGCTCTCATTAGATCCAAAGAAAAAAAATATCTACCCACACTTTAATGATGTCGCTACATGACAAATCCCTCCAATAGTAATGACTCTCAATATAAATATATAACTACTAACGTCATAGTTAGGGTTCATTGTAACTCCTTGGAGACATAAGGTAATTAACTAACATTCCGAACTTCAATCGGAGTCACCGTGGCCTCAGCGTGTTAATTCAGCAAAAAAAGAAAACCTAGGTAATAGTACTACACAGCCTTCAAAAATCCACCAAGGCAGTGGTACCTGTTGCTACTCAGCTTATAAGCTGAGATCAGGACGCCTTAATTACCCGACAGGGCCCAAGGGATGGTAGAAGTGGGTCGGGCAGGATCTTCTCAAATTCTGACACATACTAGAGATATTCCTCCTCCAGCAAATTTCATGATGAGTGGATTGAACTCAGCATACCTGCTGACGATACACATTGTGGGCACAAACTGTCGATCACTCCTTGTGAATCCAAGTACACATGTTTCATCGTTGCATGTTTCGCTGGAAGATCCTGTCCTTACAAGGTTGCAATGACGCAAGGAATGCTATGGACACGCAATGCTCATTTCTGAGATATGTTTGTTTTATCTCTTTGATGGTCTCTTTTATATATATATTTTTTTCTTTTCTTCTAGAAGTAAAGAAGTACTCTGCTCAGCCAGCCTTGAGGCCAATTTTTGTGCCAGTTCCGAGCTATGCATATGGAGTATATCAGGTGTTGATCCGGTCGAGAACCCGAGAGACCGAGAGAAACTTAGAAGCGAAAAAGAAAAAGAAAAAAAGAAAAAGAAAAAGGAACAGAATTTTAGGGGTCGATCCAATCCTACTGGTCCAATCAACAGGTGAAGAGAGTGCTCGAACCATGGATGGAGATCAGTGGAGTAAACAGTGGCAAGTGCTCCGCCGCCGATATTTCTCTATATAGTTGGCAGAAAACGTATAAGGAAAGATTATACGATCATCCGCCTACTTTTTCCGTACGCTACCGGACAACGGTAAGGGGCAAAGAAAAAGAAAGAAAAATTCTTTGTACATGAAAATGAAGCATGAAAACTCTTACTTCAAATCCTGTATTTGGTAGTCTGAACCGTAGGGCCCCGCAGTTCATACCCTAATGGCAGGGATAAGAGACAGCTGTCCGGCAGATCCTTAATACCCCAGCCAATCTCATATATAGGATCAGGGAAGATTTACGATCCTCAGTGGCGGTGTGGGTATCGGCCCATATACTCTAAATAGATCGACATTATTACATGCCATTCCCTCTGGCTCCCCCATCCCTTTTTATAGTTCCCTTGGATCGTTCGTTCTTCCTGACCTCAACCCAAAGAACTTCCTCCCCCAGGGCATCATGGTGAAAACACCTGTGACGGCAACGGTTACGCCCCATAGCACATCGCACGTATCTCTGGACTACGCGCTTGAAGATCTAGGTCTGGAGCTGGTCGGTGATGGAAAGAATATTGTACGCTGGTCTGCCACAAACCCACGGCATCCCAGGAATTGGAGTTCGCTCAGGAGGGCGTACGATATTACGATAATCATATTTCTAGAATTCTACACGTTGGTGCTCCTTGTATTCTGTCAGCCATGATCCTCATGCTAACCGATGTTCCTATTTTAGAACCGCTGTGAGCACGTCAGGGGTATGATTAGAGATCCTCAAACTTGCATTCAGCCTTATGCTCACACTTTTATATCACAGGCAACGGCTGCCAACAATGCACAGGAGCAGTTAGGCATTGACCCAACGGTATCTTTGTTGCTATATGTATCAACGTGAGTGGTTGTCCCGCTCCCAGTCGCGAATTGGTTCAACGTGCTGATCAAGGAACAGATATCTGCTCGCTCAGGGTATTGGGAGTGTCATCTTCCCTCCCTATTCGGAATGTTTCGGCCGCAAACGATTGTATGTGGTGAGCACAGTAATCTATAGTGTCTTTTGCGCTATCATTGGTGCGGTCTCCCATCCCGCCGCTGCAGCAGTTGGGCGTGTCATCACCGGCTTTCTTTCCGCCGTTCCAAGTGTTGTCATTGCTGGAAGTATCGAAGATTTATTCTCTACCCGAGAGCGAATTTGGCTCACTCTCCCGTATATGGCGGTCGCGGATTTTGGCATTGCGGCTGGCCCAGTGATCAGCACTTACATCACGGCTGCTTGGGGATGGTAAGAGCACCCATGTCACGCTAAAACTCAAGCCCCAAGGACTAATCACGATATGTAGGCAATGGGTCTTTTATGTGGCGGCGATTGTGACTGGTATTCTGGCCATTCTACTGTGCACGATCAGAGAATCCCGACCAACTCTCCTGCTGGATCGAGAAGTGGCGCAACTGCGCAAAGTAACAGGAATCGATCACCTGGAGGCCCTGAATCCGGATCGAGTTCTTGATATGGATACATTCATGCGCAATGTCGTTTTTCGTCCCGCTCAACTGCTCGTTTCGGAGCCTATTATCATGGCGGTATCGATCGTCTGTGGCGTTTCCAGCGGCATCATTTATCTGTTTACGGATGTACTTCCTCCCGTCTATAGATCGTTCGGTTTATCGACAACGACAGCTAGCCTTCCGTTCCTCGCTATCGGCTTCGGCTTCATACCGAATATCCTAACCCGCTTTCTAGAGTACCGCATGGCCTCGAAACGCCATGCGAGAGGCGAACCTGCTCTCCCAGAACATAAGTTAGTGGGGTATGTCATTGCTGCTCCCGTCTTGATGGGTGCACTGTGGTGGTTTGCGTGGACCATCCCTCCAGCTGTCCATGTCCATTGGTTCGTCTCGGTTATTCCCTTATTCTTCATTGGCTTTGCTATCAATGAGTTCGGTATCGTCCTCGTGGGATATATGGCGGACAGCTATCTTTCATTCTCGGCCAGTGGCTTTGCTGCCCTCTGTCTGGTTCGTTGCGTCCTCGCAGCCTCGTTCCCCTTGTTTACTGGGCAGATGTTCGATGCCTTAGGCCCGAATGTTGGAGTCTCTGTCCTGGCAGTGGTTGCTACAGTCTTCTGTGCCATTGCGCCTCTACTTAGGATGTACGGCGAACGATTGAGGAAGAAGAGCAAGTTTGCTTCATACAGTCTAAAGATTCACGCGGAAACTTCTGTGGAGAAGGCCAGTCCCTGATAACAAGGGCGGATAGACAAGGAAGGATAGGGGGGTCGGTTATCATAAATGTCTGTTTTCAATAGATGCGATCTACATGTGAAGCAAGGCATAGCGTCGGGATCTTCAGGGGTTTTATGCATTGCGTCTGTATAATTTAGCGTTTAGAATAGTACATATTATATATGCTTGTTCTAGATTGACCTCTCCGTATATCGTAGGGATCAGCAGCACTTTCGAACGGATAGTGATATCATAGACTCCACATGTGATGTATCTTCACCTACCTATTTGGGAGGTGAATCCAGAAGTAACGTATTAGGCCCTTCTCTCAGCTTCCATCGTACTTGCAAATGACCAGCCACTCATAGCTAACTCTGGAGCATCTCTACGGTACATGCATTATTTAGGTAACAGTTTATGAGTGAGATGCCCTAATATATGTACGCCAACGCAGAAGATGCACGGCCATCCACCTATCTCCGTCTCCTGCTATCTTTTCTTTCTCTCCCCATCCCCACTCTATGCCTCATGTTCAATTGCAGAAGGCGAACCCATGGTGTCCTTCCCTCCCCACGGGTAGCAAAATTCGTCTTTGGCATTATGGCAATCGGTTAAAGCTCTACCGTAGAACTGCAGTGTCTTTACCTAAGCAAACAGAGGCTCTGCCATATACGCATTCGTTCACGTTACCTCGCCCGCTTCACACGAACATCGCAACCTCATGCTGACAATATGCATAACCCATGGCTGTGATATACGATTTCGCTAATCAGTCGTCCATAGGTGTTGTAGATGAGCTGGCCGAGATTGCGTTGTCGGGTGTTAAACACGCATCTTTTGCCATAGTCGAGTAAAGTAGGTTTTGTTTGAAGATGCAGCTAATACAGTACGTTGGCTTGCCTTTCTTTTTTTTTCCTCCTTCTGCTTCCACGCTCTTCACGTTCATTCCTCTGTGGCTTTGCTCTAGCATGTGTCTTTAACAGCATTCGTCTATTCATTATTTGTATTGTATAGGTTTGTATGCTAGCCTTTCCACAGAATGTCCTCGCGGTGTGGGTGGCCCTGACGCCAATTATACACGCAACATAGAGATAGTGGCCGGATGTTGGATGATATTACGGCGAACGAGATGTGTATTAACAACAGAGCGCACGAGGTCTTTGAAAATATGCCTTGGATTCAAGCGTTCCATGAACCCACTGTTATGGGAAATGGAGTAGATTGAAGGATTTCTGGTGTCCAGCCCGTTCAGTCTGGCTGTTTACATCTCTTGCATCCTAATCTAATGTATGTACCAGAGAGAACTACCGGTAGGAAATTTCGTGTATCAATCATCGCTGACCCAAATTTTATCTTTCCGATTATTATATGAAGAGTGATACAGAATTGTATAGGTTACGGCATGAAGAAAGTCATGTGGAGAGTTCCTGTCATAGCGTGTGGAATATCTCATGAGAAATCTCAAGCCAAAGCATTCATAATTGCGGAATAGTGTCTTTCATTTCATCTTGTAGCTATTCTATGCCTACCTATGTGATTCAATCGTGAACCCGTTTCCCGACAACCCACCATATCGAGGTTAGGCTAGAGCCAAGAGGTATTCATCTTGAGGAAATGCAGTCAGCCGAATGCTCTTAACATGCCCAACCCAGTGATCTCAAAAGAAGAGAAGAGGAATCACTTACAAACCGGCCCCGAAGGCGACTTCCACTGCGCAACATTGGAAAGACCAACGGCATCAAACTGCTTCTGCATCTCATCCGGACCATATTTATACCACTCATTCGTGACAATCTCCTCGCCTTGCGCAAGATACAGACCTAATGGTTCACAATGAACTGTCCTAGTAGCCCGGGCAACCCACTGATGAGTCAAAGTAGGCGACCGACGGTGACACACGCCAATGACTTCCCAGTCCTCAGGTCGGTACCATTCGTGGCCCAGCACCTTATTAGAAAGTGCAAGGCCATTCCGGATCATCCGATGCCAGCAATCCTTTACGTCATTGTATGAGCGCCAGACCTTTTCGTCGTCGTCGCAGGCATCAAGGCCGAGGAGCATGCGGTCTTGTGGTCGCATAACGGATACCCACTTCTTGAGGTCGTTGATGGCGATCTGGAATTCATCGTTGCCGAAGATAGATCCCAGAGAGAGGAACCATCTTGGCTCTTGGATATTGCCGCACCAGGCCCGGAGGTTGTCGAACGTACCCCAGAGCCCTGTGTATTTGACGTATTGGTATGAGGTGGGAAGTTTCGCGAGGACGTTTTCGAGGGCTTTCCTGGAGATGTCGAGGGCATAGTAATGGACGTGCTTCCCGTTTCGCTCAAGCTCGTTGAGCAACGGCACGACTTTGGTGACATCACTGGCCTGGTTAATACCAGAGAATCTCCTTGTAGAGGGCAGAACGTCACACTCACCCACAGCCCAAGTCAATCATAACGCTGTGATCCTGCACTTGCCGCGCAATATCTTGCGCCCAGACTTTGAGCAGGTTGATTTCGTCCCTGATCGAATAGAATTCGTCGAGTGTGTTGGCCTCCCACCACAGACGATGGGCATTTTCGTCTCCCCATACAAGTGCCGTTGGCAGCCAGCGCTTACCGTTCTCCTTCTTCAGCAGCCTCTGCTGGAGCATCTGCTTCTGTTGGGTTTCGACGGTGTCATTGGCAGAGCCAGTGCCAATGTCGATGATGTTCCCGCTCCCTTCAGAGGGGGATACCACAGTAGTAGTAGTGACAGTCATGGCTTCAGAATTGAATAAATATGTCTAGAAGGGATATACTCAAAGGTGGTTTGGTTATCTCAATAGTTTTTTGTAGCTCCTCGGGAGTCAGTCCGGGCGACGTCCAATATTTAACTACAACACATCTAACGCTAAAACTTAAAAGGCAGTGTAATAAGTGAGTTTCCGCTAGGTAGATAGCGGGGCTCCAACAATTGGTTAAGTTGTGATGAAAGACTTGGGTGCATAGATCGTCGCATCGCCCGCTTCGAGCGGTTACTAGGCGTACAAGACATTGTACCGTTGGAGTTCACTGCTCCGACAAGAGCCGACTTAGCCTAGCACAATATATTGCTCATGTAACCGTAATACATCTTTCTATGGATTCAGAGATACATCAAACTACTTAGCGCCGAGAGTTTACAGGAGATTGCATCGCCGTTGTTGACGTCCCAGCTCCGACTGTCCGGCGGGGCATGATAGCGACCTGCAGCCAAAGGCACCCTGTCCATGCCCCTCAGCACTATACCTTCAGTACAGAGCGGAGCCTGACGGTAACACTGAGGCAATAATCTTTATGAGCCCACAGGCGATCGGCACAGCGTTGAGCTAGGTAACCTAAGTGGTCTTCGCCCTTGACTAGCCCCTCTACCAATCCGCTGAAAACCCCGCTCATAGATATTTTCACCCATTCTCAAGAGATTTATCTTACGCGCTGAATAATATAAACATGACGCTGATCTTAACATGCCACTATCTCGCAAAGGAGGTGAGGGGAAATAGGATCGGGACGGGGGGTTGTACACTCGCACAGACGTCCCCGCTGCTAGCTAACTCATGCATGCCATACAGTAGTTGTGTGGGATTATCATCTAAGCCCAGTAATTGGTTTCCCTGCCTTCCGATTGTGGCTCTATCAATGTCCAGCTGTTATGCAAATACGACCCCCTCATGGCGTTTTCCCGTGCGTTCTTGAGTCTGAAGGAGCTAGTTTGTACCTCTTGGGGTGAGGTGTTATACCAAACTAAGTATTGATTTGGCAAAGGAAAGAGGGGTATATTTTTCTCGGAGCACACTGCCGTTGGTCTTTGTAGGGTTGGCATGTACATTGTCTTGAAATGTCACGGCCAATTTGAGACTCTGTAGCCTTAGTAGGCTACTAGATGGATGTTTTGAAGCACAGTTTACTGCATAGTGGATGCTTCTATCTTGTCACTCCTGGTGGTCTACACTTTAGTATCAAAGCTTGAGACTATTGCTTCCTGATTACTACTATACATAAAGTGCTGCTTTTCACCTCGCATCGCTTGCACTTTTATAGCCGGAGCGTTGTAGGAACCTCGGATTATACGCATCTCATAAGAGTGAGCGTGGCGCGAATATCACCAGTGCTGGTTGAATTGCAACCCTACTCCCACTTACGTTATAGCAGAATTGATTCTCATCTAGGCAAAACTTGATCAAGTGCCTAGAACTCTATCTCAAGAATATTCAATATCTATAAGCTAGTTTGGGATCGGTGAGGCGGGAGGCACTCCGAACCGCTGCATAATAACCACAAACTGTGCAATCAGGACAGCATTGCGGAATGCTGTGCGGTCTCCTTTCCGGAAGGCCCGCTCAAGGTAATCCTCTGTTTTCGCCCAATCCACGAATCCCAACCGCTCGATATTCTCCCTCGTCAGCAGCCGCAGGAAGACCTGATGGACAGGTCCGTCCTCTTTATACTGCGTGGGGCCACAGTACGGTACCTTGCGGCGGGCATAGATCTCATCTGTAATAAAGGGCCGCGCAGCCTTCCGGAGAATGTACTTCTCGTTAAATGTATTGTTGTCGGGGTTGTACTTCATCTTCAGGCTCGGCGGTAGAAAATTAACATATTCATTCAGGTGGTGGTCTAGAAACGCAGGACGACTCTCTACATGGTGTGCCATGTCCATGTTATCGCCGACCCACCGAAGGATGAAGTTGGGTAGATATGACTTTAGCCAGATATATTGCGACGTGTGCAGTGGATGCCATTTGTTCGCTATCATTTGTAGGGCCCGGCCATCCAGGTCCTCGGCAAGCCGAGTCTCAGGGTCCCCTGTGGACAGGTAGATGTTCGTCCAGGGGAGAAAGGGAAGATAGCCGCACTTCGCCACCTCTCGCATGGTATGTGTGTTATTCACCATCCGAGCTGTGGATGCTGGCACACTATCGCTGCCGTCACCGAAGATAACGGCACCAGTATTTTCGCGTGCCTCCCGCCATACCTTCTCTCGCTTTTCGGGAGGGAAGTCTGACGCTGGCCAGGAGTAGTCGGGCTCTTGGAGGAGGTCAGGACGGAAGTCGGGATACCCGACAAAGTGTTCATCCGCTCCTTCGCCTGAACATATCAACTTTTGTTAGCGTCGGCTCACTGGTCCTGGTCATTGGGAAGGTGAGTACATACCTGTGAGGACAACCTTCATTCCCAGAGATTTAACTTTTTCCGACAAGGCTAGCTTGCCAATTCCGTTCAGATCCGGGAAGGGTATCTCACTATACCATACTGCATCTTCGAAACGCGATGCGAGGTTGGGTTCATCCATATGTACTAGGTGTAAATCTACCCCCAGCCACTCTGCTGTGCGCTGTGCGACATCTAAGCAGCCTTTAGCAGAATGGACAATGTTAAAGAGGTGACGAACTTACCAGACTCATCCGCGCCGCTGTCCTTGTCGAACTGTACGGTGAAGCATCGCAGCCGTGACAAATCACCAGAGACATCATTACCCAGCTTGGCCCCTTCCTCCTTGATCAGATGAGCAACAATCCCCGCAATGGTGGAAGAATCTAACCCTCCGCTCAAGTAGACCCCAACGGGGACATCAGCCCTAAGCCTCACCCTGACAGCCTCGAGCAGCCGCTCCCGAACCCCTTCTACCATCTCAGCTTCAGTCCGTATCTCAAGCACCCTCTATAATTTTGCAATCATCAGCAATCGCATTATCAATTACAAAGCACACAGCGAAAGAAGTGGAGCACAGGAACCCACCTTATCCGGGAAATCATTGTCCCAATACATAGTCTGCTTAACCTCCCCCTTATAATTCTGACAAACCAAATAATGCGCAGGAAGCACCTAGCCAAACATCAGCCTCACCAACCCAACACTGCCAGGAATCAAAGGGAAAAGAAAAAGGTACCAACCTTCTCAACCCCCTTAAAAAAGGTCTTGGTCCCACTCTTCCACGCATGCCCCCGAAGTGTCTCAACACACCACTCAGGCCTCCACCCAAACCCCAGAAACGCCTTCATCTCTGTCGCGACAATCAACCGGCCATCGAGGATAGTATAATAGAGCGGTTTGATACCGTAGCGATCCCGCGCTGCGAAGAAGACCTCCCGCTTGGAGTCCCAGAGTACAAAAGCGAATTCGCCGCGTAGGTGCGAGAGAAAAGACCGTCCGTAGTGCTTATATAGCGCGATGACAATCTCACAGTCGCTTTTGCCTTGGAAGTTGTATTCGTTTGCTAGTTGAGCGTGGTAGGCTTCGTGGCCGTAGAGTTCGCCGTTTACGACGGCTGTTATGCCGTCTTCGGCGTCAATGAAGGGTTGGTTTCCTTCGGGGCTGAGGTCGACGATTGAGAGGCGGACGTGGCCGAGGCCTGTATTCATCATTAGTATGGTGTTGCGAAATGAAATCTTCTTTGAAGATATGGTAATGAGGACTTGACGTACCAACCCTGGTGTCAGGGCTCATCCACACACCCCGCGCATCAGGGCCTCTATGTTTGATAATATCCAAACTCTTGTTCAGTTCCGTTTCCAGGCCCACGGCGCTCTTGTTCACGGGCAGTCCATTCGGCCCTTGGATGCCCACGAAAGCCGATATTCCACACATTGTTAGAGTCAAGAATATCAGTTTCAGGTATTATCAAACGGGGTATGTTCTATATTCAGTACATATCCTAGGCTATCACGAGTAGTATGCATATATGTAAATGATATAAGTGGCGGTGACTGACTCTCCGATCTGATCCCGCCCCAAGAACGAATACTGGCTCTTCTTGCTACTCCAACTTACATCTCCGATCTAGTGCTTATCGAGGCGTGGCACTGAGGGGAACACCCCATGCTTTAGCTTCCTGTATACGTACCCGATGACACTTCCCTAGCAATGCAATGATACGCTCATGCACACCGCAAATTGCACCTTCATGACAGTGACTGGCTGGGCCCCGCGACGCAATACGTGTCACATACTGGGTGAAGGTTAAAGACGGCATCCAACTATTGCTCGCCATGTAATCTAGGAGTGGAACTCCGAATGTGACGGGAAAAGATCTTCAACCAGAAAATGCTCCCTTCAATGACGTCGAGGGCGAATCCTTTCCCCTGCAGGATTACTGGGATCGTGTTTCGTTTCCAGGTAGCGTTGAGAGGAGCTGGATTCAAGCTAGTTTAGGGCTTGCAGCACCACAAAGATGCATGGGTGGGGACCCGGCGGCCGTGCGCATGTTATTAATTTTCCGTTGTCATAGCCTTTGCTATTGCATGCAGCTTGCAGCTGGCCAATTGGGCTCCCATACCTCGTGTCATATCCTTGTACAGCGCAGAAAATAGCGGGTGGCGCGACGGTCATGGTGTCCTTGGGGCTTTTCCCAATATGACTCTGAATAAATTTGCGCGCGTTGGGACATACAAGAAGCCCTAATAAAATTGTTGGTAGATGCAGCCGGGTATTCGTAGTGAATGAGCGCTCTTTGCCTGCCTGTTGAAATTCAAGGGAAATGAGCGGTCGATCGCGACTGTGAGGGGAGAGTAGATCTACACAGATAAATGAATTGATGTGCGGTAATTCATAAGTAGGTTACCTTAATGCTTCCTCGTAGCTTAAGCCCCTGGTGATATACTACACTCATCATCAAACATAGCCATACCAATCCAAGATGAAGACACAATTCGGCAAGCCCATGAGAGAGCACTTTCTCTTCAACGGCTCCTGGGTCAACATGAACCACGGTAAAGCCCCCATCCTATTGTCATCCCCAACACCCACAACCCTAACTAATCCATACCAGGCTCCTTCGGCGCCATCCCCAAATACGTCCGCGACTGCCTCCTCGAAAAGCAAGACCTTGTCGAAACCTCCCCAGACGCCTTCATCCGCTACGACTACAGCAAACACCTCCTCGAATCGCGCAAAGCCGTGGCGGACCTCGTCCACGCCCCGCTAGGAACCATAGCCCTAATTCCCAACGCAACAAGCGGTATCGACACCATCCTCCGCAACCTAGACTACACAGCGCGAGACCATATCCTAAGCTTCAGCACCGTCTACGGCGCCGCAGAGCGCACAATGCTCCACCTCTCCGAAACAACAGGCCTAAACCTCACCCGCATTCCCCTCTCCTACCCGCTCTCGGACTCCGAAATCCTCTCCCGCTTCTACAACACCGTCTCGCAGATCCGCGAAAAAGACGAAGATATCAAGGTAGCAGTCTTCGACACCATAACCTTCGAGCCGGGCGTCCGCATGCCCTTCGAAGCCCTCATCGCCGCCTGCCGTGAACTAGGCATCCTCTCCTGCGTCGACGGCGCGCACTGCGTCGGCCAGATCCCCGTTAACCTGTCGGCCCTGAAACCGGACTTCTTCGTCAGCAATCTCCATAAATGGCTCTTTGTCCCGCGCGGCTGTGCTGTTCTCTACGTTCCGTTCCGGAATCAGCATCTTATGCGGACTACGTTCCCCACGAGCTGGGGGTATAGGCCGAAGAATGCGGAGTGTCGGGGTCAGTTCCGGCAGACGTTTGAGGAGCAATCTGAGTTTGAGACGTTGTTTGAGAGCTTTGGGACCATGGATTATAGTCCGTTTCTATGTGTGGCTGATGCGTTGAGGTTTCGGAGGAGGGTTTGTGGCGGGGAGGGGGAGATCATGCGGTATAATAGTGAGCTTGCTAATAAAGGTGGGCGGGTTATGGCGGGGATTTTGGGGACGGGTATTTTGGATAATGAGGAGGGGACGTTGACGAGGGGGTGTAGTATGGTTAATGTGCGGTTGCCGGTTGACTTGGGGGGCAAGCTGGGGGAGGTCGGGGAGTGGATTGCGAAGGCGCTGGTTAGGAGGCATAGGACTTACGTTCCGGTTTTTGTGCATGCGGGGCAGCTTTGGGTGAGGGTGAGTGCGCAGGTGTATCTTGATGAAGGGGATTTTGTGTTCCTGGGGGAGGCTTTGAAGGGGCTTTGTGAGGAGGTTGGTGGGGGGATGCGTTCGAGCCGGGCTTCGAGGTTGTAATGGAGGTGTGTCTTTACCCTGGCTACGGGAGTGAACTGTCGTGTATGCTTTACTGTAGGGAATAAGGTGGCAAAGCTGTCTAGTAGTTCAATAGCTATGGCAATAGCAACGATATAGATAACTAAAGAGTTGAAACAGTGGGTATCGTCTGGGGACTCATTATGCTTTCAACTGAATGTCCTGTACAGAGAGAGAGCCTTGGGCCGAAAAGCCCTAACACAGCACTGTAGGTAAGAACCACATTCCAGACAAGAAGCTTTACAAACGTGGAACTACTCTTCTAACACCTAAATGTCACATCTCCTTCCCGTAATTCTGAAATCAAACCTCTCTGAACTTGACTCAAACAGGAAAAATTATTGTCAACGCCAGACCAGCCAAGCGCTTAGTCCACTGAACGGCATAAGGACTTGGATTTCCAATATTTGCAACCATCGCAATGCAACACACACTAGCTAGTTACAGCAATGATCAGCCTCCGCCAGAACCCGTCGCTCTACCTCTGAAAAACATCCATCCCACTGAGCCTGCCGGGGCTGACTAGGCCCTGTCCCTGAGCAACGTCCATGGTGAATTCCGGGAAAGAGGGGTTCTGCCTTGTTAACCTTTCGCTCAGACGACTACATAGGGTCTCATCCAATAGCAAGGGAACGAGGACAACGCATGCCAGGGCTATGGCCTGACGCTGGTATGGATATACTTCTGCATGCATTAGAGAAGCAGGGTGGGATGAAGGTTTCATTCCGCCCATACCGCCCAAAAAGGACAAGAAATGAAAATCAAAAGTTACATTTTCCAAGTCTACACGTGTCTCGCATCTACTAGCGCTGTTTCCTTAGATCGACCTTTGCAAAATGCCTGTGGCTTGGAGACGTTGAGCTGAATCCAGCGGAGAACGGGTCGCGCGTAGGAATTGATTGACTGAAAGCGACATGGCGGTATCTTGTTAAGTATTCCCTGTACGTCATCTGCTTCTCGCCCCTTCTGCTCTCTGATGCCTTATACGGTACTATTCTCGAATTCCACTTCCTTGGCGTGGTACTTTCTGGTGCTATTCGAGGCGCCACCCCCTCGCTGTGCTGTGCTATACATTCTCCTTTTACTTTCCCAAATACGGCTGAATGAACCATGACGACCAACCTGGTGAAGGCCGCCGTGGTTTTTCTCTTCCTAGCCATCGTCAGATATACCAAAAATCGATGGAGTGGCCAGAGAGAACAAAGTACAGTGCACAGAACGAATCAAGATGCCACACATGAAAAGCAAAACGATAGACCTATCCTCGAAAGGTTCTACAGAGACATGTACTTCAAGCTGCACAATATTGAGGAACATCCAGGTGTCATTGACCAGGGCCGCAACGTCCTACAGGCTTGCATTTCCGAGGCGCTACAGGTGGCGCACAAATGCAATCACCCTATCTTACGGCTTGGCCAATTTTCAGACGTAGGGGTTGAAATGTTCGTTCAATCTGAGCAGGAAGCTGTGATCATGCAATGGCGAGAGTATCTGCAGAAAAGGGCTAGCGGTCAGGGCCGGGAGATGTTTTTGTCCGCCGATGACGCGAAACATTGGCTCGTCCAAAGGGCTCCCATGAAGTTTGTGGACGGCGCATGGCTAGGCTATATTCACCGGGCAACGGCTCCATATGCAATGCGCTTCGTGACAAAGGATCTATGGCAGATCCTCTCGGAGGAGATTGGGGATGGTGATTTACAGAAAAGCCATGTCCATGTCTTTCGCCGGCTGCTGCAGGGCCTGAACCGTGATCCTGGGCAAGCCGACTCGCGAGAGTTTGCCAACAACCGTGATATGGATGACCCTCACATATGGAGAGCCTCTGTCCTGCAGCTACTCATCTCTTTGTACCCGGCTGAATTCTTGCCGGAGATCCTGGGTTACAATATGCATTTTGAGATGCTTACCCTTGACACCCTTATAGTAGCCAAAGAGCTGCGCGAATTGAATATCGACCCGACCTATTTCACTCTCCATATCACCATTGACAATGCGCACTCGGGCCATACAGCTATTGCCAGTACTGCCGTGGTGAAGTACCTGACAGCTATTAAAGCGAAGCAGGGTGACGCTGCCGTCAAACGGGTGTGGAACCGGGTCCAGGCTGGATATGTCCTCTCCAGCTGTTTAACGCCCGGAGTGAAGGGACTTCCCAGCTCTTGGTATAGTTCCCTTGCGGCAGACGTCTTAGACATTTTCAAGGCCAAAGCCAAGGCAGCCGACGGGATCCATGACACCTGCCCGGTGCGGGTGGGCACCAAGTCGCTGAGCGAATGGATAAATCCACAGACCTTTGAATCGGAGGAATTGCAAAACGAGTTTCTTACCAGCCTGAGTAACTCTCGGCCGTGGGTTTACAAAGGAGATAGCAGTCGCAGCCGAATCATCCGTTCATTGCTCTGGGAAGGCCGAATGTTTGGAGCCTTCACAGAGGGCGAGGTTGCACGGGTCAGAGATTGGATCGACAGTCTCTGCGAGGATAATAAACAGCGCGACTTCATCCATGGTGATCATTCTTCTGAGCAGTCGTCCCGTTTGAACGGATATGCCGTTCCCCTGGATTCCAGGATCTCAAGTTTACGATCCAACATCCGCAACCTTGGACGCGTGGGGGAGCCAGACATCCCCAACTCTCGAAAAGAGGGCCCACTCAAGCTCACCATTGCAATGGATGCAGAAGCCAACTTAGAACGGTTAATCCCGTTGTGGATGGCACATCCTTGCCTGCTGGAATCGTGGGTCTCCGTGCCGTGGAGAATCGTGAGCTCTGAAGGCTGCGCGGCAGTGCGTCTTCTTCGCGCTCAGCATGGGTTCGCACCGGAGCGCCCCGTAGTCGACGGTATGGATGAGGCCCGCCGAGAGGACCCACTAGGCCTGGTTGAAATTGGACTGGACATCATCAACCAGACCGGGTCCACGGCCCCACGCGATCTCGATGAGGTGCTACGCCGGTGGCCCTCGCCATTCGCGTATACTCTAGCAACCTTAGCTTTGCGGCCAAGAAAGCATACATGGCGACTTTTCGGCATTACGCAGGCTTTTGTCCATCTCCATCAACATCTGAGCGTCCATGGTAGCATCATGTCTCCAAGGAGTCGAACTGCCTTGATGGAAATCAGTGCCCGGGAACAGACCATCTTGGACGCACTTCGGCATGGGGAACTTGAGAATGGACCGGAGACCCGAGAATTACACGCTGGGTATTTGATGGCGAAGACTGAAATTGCAGCCTGCTTCAAATAGGATAGATGAAGCGGACCAAATCCGGTTCTGTGGCCTCCCACACTTTAGCACATCAGGGTCTACGGCGGTGAGAGCAAGTCGCCCTTCTAAATGATTGGCCTTGGTCGTCTTCAGCACCTGGATACACTCCCTAAGACTGACGGATGCCTTGCACGATGCCATTGCGGGGGACTGACGAAGGCTCTCAGATGGGCACCACCTGCTGCGTTGCAATCAAGGCAGCCTGAGCGTCGCAGGAAACCGGCCGGCTGATCAATATGCAACCAATAGACTAGTATCTGTAAATACTGTCTCGTCGACACCTCTCCTTGTGGCCAGATAATAGATCGTCGAAGTAGAAAGAGGAAGAAGGCAGTCCAATGGAGTAAAGTTCATTTGGTGCGTTATTAATCCGCCAATGCGCTATGCTTTCTGAGACGTATCTCTGCAGCTCCACCACCAGCTCACTTCTTCCAGTGTAAGCGCAATAGTCTTCAGAAATGAGTAGAAACATGGGAATCCTAAGTCACCTCACAGCCATGGCCGTGATGAACCTCCTTAGACTTGACGCACGAGATCGGGGCATTAGGAATGGCCACATCGCCCCAGACCACACTGTATTGCATCCCCGCTTCCCCACCCAATCTGCACATTATAATGCGTAGATTCCTCGAGTCCCCGTGTTGCTTCAGCCGTTGCGACATCGTGAACCAACCAGAGAGAAATTGGTTTCAGTACGTCAATTGGACCGTACCCTATTACTCCTCTCGATTTCCGATCTAGCGAAGTGGGTAACCTAGTTATTGGTACTCCACCGTGCTTGCCTCAAGAAATTCAAGGTCGAGCGCATGCGATATGAGCACGATATACGAGGAGTACCTGGATGATAGGTTACCTATTTCTTTTCCTGTTTCGTCCTGACAACAAACCCTACCCGATGAGATACACATCCCTCAACCACCACCTCTCATCCTAGCACTGAGTACCCTCCCAAACCCCCAAAGAAAATACCCCACGCGCCGCATAAAAATCCCCTCCTATAATCCGCCAAAAAGAAATGCTGGTAATCCAATAACCGACCCAGAACTCATATCCGCAACAAACCCAATCCCTCACCTGGAATTCAATCCCGGAAACACTCGGCGCACAGACACCCAAATCACAATATTAAAATTCATACATACAGAACAAAAACATGCAAATCCTGCGTCGAAGTAATTAATCAATTAATAATACCGTAACATAAGAGGACATGTAGATTGATATAATTAACTTCCCGTGCGGTCCGTGCCCCCAGTGCGGGAGCTTATTGGTACCATGTTTTTGTGTTGGATGTTTTATACGTTATTTACAGGGCGGTTTTGGCTCTAGGTGAGGATCTGAGGGTTAGATGGCGTCATCTTGCATGCTGATTTGATTTGGTTTGGTTCTATAGTGCGTTTTTGGGTTGGGATCGAGGATCAGTGGTTTCTTGATTTTATTTTCCCGTCCTTTGTCCCGGTTTGGGCTTTTGTTCCGGCACCTGATTTGATCTTTTGGGAAGGGAGGGAGGTTTACTTGGTCAGTATCGGAAGAGTGCGGTTAATGTACATACATACCTTGCAGGTTGCCAGATGGTGTGTAGTGGAGGGGAAGGGTATGGGTTAGGGGTCCAAGCGGAGTTGGGTGGGGTTGTGATCGATCTCATGCAGGATGTTGTGTTCTGCATCTGGGCGGAGCTGGCTGTGTTGGAACTTGAAAACCCATGCTCAGGTGGGTGTCGGGAATAAATCAGTAGGGTTGGGGGACTTGACTGGATCTTGTTGCGAGAGGGGTATGTTTCCATCATGCAGGTTATTTTACCCTGGGTCCAGTGTATAGAATATGTAGACTTGTACTTAGGAAGGCAGACAAAACATCCACAGGTGAAGTGCATCTACAATATATTGAAGTACAGACTCTAGAGATCAATACTACATCGCTCACCCTCGTAGCCATGTATGTATGTATCTACTCCTAAGCCGCAACTGCCTGAGTTTTCGCTGCGTCCTCCGGTCTCAAAAAGTAGGTGAGAACGTATCTCTTCTCCTGCCCATCCTCAGGCTGACTGGTCCGATGCACAGGCGAGCGCAACTGGTTCTTTGACAACCGCTGCAGCGTGTTGGCCACATGGACGATAACACAGCCTGGTGCAGGTGGAGGGATGAAAGCCCAGTTCTCTGTCCGGTCCTCTGGACCTTTCTCGGCTAGATGGGTCTGGAGCCCCCATTTATCGTAGAAGACGAACGTCAACGTGCCGCTGTCCGTATGCTTGGTCTCCGGCACGTCGGCGATTGTGGGGAATGATGGCTCCGCGACGAGTTTGAGGCCGGTCTCGCTGGGTTGTCCGGGACGGTGGGAGCTCCGGAGGGGGATGTTCAGTGCTTCCTCTAAGCGGGAGAGGATCAGGTGCGAAGCTTTGTGGCAGTGTGAGTGGAATTCACTGAGCAGAGGTTCGTTTTCTGCGAGCGGACCAGACAGCCGTGAGCTGCCTTGTTGCATCTCATCGTGCGAGATCTGGCTTTCTTAGCAGGGGCTAGATCTGGGGGAATGGGGGATCTGTCATACCTCGAAGGTTTCTTCGAAATCGTAGAACTTGAACCTACAACGCGGAGGGTGAACTTCTATCCCAATAGCTCTTAGGCACGCAGTGGGGAGAGGCAACTCGGCAAGACATACCCTCGGTCACTAGAGGCTGGTTGGTCTTTCCTCAAGTCCTTCATCTTCACCTCGATGGGCTGCTCGAAGTAGCGGTCTGACACAGCATAGATGGCCTCCGTTTGCCGGCCAATGTCTCGAGTGGCGGCATAGTTTCGAAAGTCGAGATAGAACACTCCGTTCGATTTACAAGCCTCGAGTAGTTTTGCATTCTCGGAGCCGGAGTTGGCTACGAGGCGCTCTAGGTCGATGGTAGGAAACAAGTCGGATTGGGGTAGTTCGGTTCGAGTCATTTTGGTGTGTCTCAATAGTTCAGATATTCCAAAACAGAAGAACTCGACGGTGATGTCGAAGTCGAAGAGATGTTAGTGTGGATGTGAAATAATCCCAGGAAAAGCATAGGATATCAGGGTTTGCCGAACAACTGACTGTGACAAATATTCATCCGTAACTCTGGTCTTCCTAAACACCCCTCTTGGCCTACTCGGCCTTCCCCTCTTTCCCCTAATTTTCTCCGCTTGACCTTTGCATACAGAAGTGGGTATATGGGACGCCAATCATGCAGACACGGACCGGTATGACGTTACTTTCCAACTCAAAGGGACCATGTGAAGCACCGAAATAGAATAGGAACAGAAAAAGAGACGAAGCGGGGTTCGAAATGGTCATTACTCACGTTGGAGTAAGTATGGCTAGACTCAGAGACCACGCCAAGGCAATACATACGATCTACTATTCTGTGGCCTACCAGCGTATACATGCCCCACGCGGTATGTATTCCACGCAAGCTCAACAGTGTGGGACAGGAGGGGTAACACAGGTCAGGTACACATTATCAAGCAGAGGCTAATTCGCTACTACCTAACATCGAGGATACATGCTAGCTACTGCACTCCTAGCCAATCCTCGGGATAACCCATTCGGTCCGCCTCGCGCCATTCTGCGTTACCCTCATAGGCCAGTCGGACAGGATCCAGCAACTCGTTTAATGCCGATGCGACAGCAGCTTTCAGCGTCTCTGGCGTTATAAGCTGTTCCTTGTAATCCTTTTCTATGGCCTCATAGGATTGGTAGTGTCTATACGCCTTGCACTCACATCCTACGTTTCGTACGGGGATGCTGAAAAGAGTGCCCCAAGGTGCGTCCTTGCTACAGAATGGCCACTTGGCTCCTTCAGAGCCATTCTGTCCGTTTGACTCGTAACCTCCGCCATTAACAGGCTTCTGGGATGAATGGCTCTGGTTGCTCCACCGAAGCTCGCTGATAGGCATCAGAACGTGCTCAAGTATCGGTAGTATGCCGTTGCCTTCCACGACGCCGGCATCACAGGACGCCCTGGAGACCTTCTCCCGCACCGTCTGTTCGTTGTCCAGGAACATAATCTTGGTATTTGCCGAGTCGGAGGACGACATCTTGCCGCCGACCAAACTGGGTAGTAGTTCAGTCATCAGATGTGCAGGGGAGCGGTAGCCCAGCTGGGGAAGGAATTGCTCGCCCAGAGTGTAAATTCCTCTCTATAGAATATGTCCCAAAGTATCAGCACTGTCTGCACATTATACCCGTCACCCAATGCGAAGATAACTGCAAGTAGTTCAACAAACCTGATCTTTCCCGCCAATCTCGACATCTGCCTGGAAGTATTCCACCATCAATTCTTGCACGATTGGCGTAAGCAATGGGCTGAGCAACGTGGCTGCGCCGACTTCAGCACCCGTGGCTCGAACGTCCGCCTGTGAGACTAAGGTGCAGAATTTCCAGAGGTCCACATTGTATCGTGGCGTCCCTTGATGGTTTGATTCTTGCTCGAACTTCACCTTGGACATGGGGACTCCCATCGCCGTTAGAACAGTGGTAATGAGATATCGGTAAAACGCTGTCTTGTGCTGGACCTCTTCCCATGGGTGCTTGTAGTTGATCAGAAATGCGTAGGTATCAACCAGTCCGACAGTGACCTGCACTGTTAGCAATGCAGTGTGATGCATTCTACAAAGGGACTTAGCCTTACCTCTCCTCCTGCCCGAATAAAGTCGGATAGCTTCACCCATGGAACGAAATAGCCGATGTGCGCTGGATTCTCTGTTAACCAGGATCGGATACGCTCAGAGCAGTCACTTACGCTTTCCGGTAGGGGCAGTGTCTGATAGTCATCGTTAGTCAAACATTGACTTCTTTAACAGCAAATAAATGGCAGACGCCACGTACCCCAAAGAAATCTCACAGGCCTATCCTTCAATAATAAGGCTCGCAATTCCTGTGCAGTCGCCCCATTTTGTAACTCCATACGGCGAGTCACCAAGGAGTATTTTTGTTCTACAGTCAGATTCGAAGCCATGATGGTCAGGTCCTGAACTCAGAAACAGATTAAACCACCAAATGGAACAGAATTTATGATCTCATCTCCGGCACAACAAACAGTGAGCGCCAGTGAGAAATATATCGGAGGAATGTCCAAGTTCTACCCCGCCTAGCGCAATTGAAACTCATAATTGACCCTAGGCCACCATATGCATGGCGGGTTGACCTGCATCAAGGTCAACGGTCTATCACCTCCGAATTGCACCGGTCTCTAAAAAGGAAATGATCGTTGCATAGATAGTATTCTGTTACTTTTCCCGTGGTACACTTGGCGATTTGGTTGGCCCATTCTATGCTGATCCAGCACGGACCCATGTAGAGTGAGGTGCATGTACATACGACTGCAAGTTCAGCTCATAACCCCTCACCTACCGAGAAAATACCTGGAAGAAAGCAATAGGCCAGGAATGGCAGATAGGTCTCACTGCTGTCATCCCCCGTCCTTGTTAAATATATATACACTTATGCTGCTTTCCATTGCCACATATCCACTGCTTAGAAAGCGGGAATAACTCAACCCAAACAAGCCCTAACATCGGTACCTAACCCAAACCACAGCAACCTACGACCTCAGAATAATAAGCATCCTTATAAGCGAATCCGCCGTAGGCAGCAATGTATGTGTGTTTCTTACGGTAATTAGAGGCTATTATACTCTATTACGCGGGCCTTTATACCTAGCATTGAATAGGCCTAGTACCCATCTATACACTATTCTGTACCGGTCAACTTGTTCTCCTTGGTCGTCTCAAGAGATCAAGGATAGCAAAAGCAACCACCCATCAGCAGTTTGAATATTTGACCAGAATGGAGAGCTCGCAGTATCTATTATTTTAGTCTATAATGAATGATGTTCTGTATGCCCCACCATAATCGAGATCCATAGAAAGGAAATAGTAAGCTTTTACCTATCTAAATCTCAAACTCGTACAATTGACAAAACTTATGTTCTAGGTCTACCGGCATGCTGCTGTAGCCTCACCACTTCCGACTTTGTCGGCAGTTCAGGCCATACGTCAATCCCGTCCAGGAGGGCCAACGCCATACCGCCCTCCTGGTGCGTGGTGATATGGCAATGGAGCAGCGAGGGAAATGGTCCCTGGACATGGTACCGGATCGCTATCCATACTCCACCATCCTGGGAAGCCGTGAGTGTGTTCGTGGTGAATGTGTCGCGTAACGCGGGTTTATCGAGGTAGAAGAGGTCGGGCCTCTCTCGGATTCCTTCGTCGACGGATGACCAGTTGAAGACGCCCATTCCATCGCCGATGATATAGGCACGATTGCCGTGCTTGTGGATGGGATGCGGTGGGTGAATGGGGTCCATCTCGGGGTCGGATACGATTTGGATGATGATGTCCACCCAGGTGTTGTTGAGCGTTTGGAGTACGTATTTCGGCGCTATTAGATCCAGTGGCTGCTTCGCGAATATGAGCGGGGTGTCTGCCGTGGTCTCGGGTTCGTACAGGACTCCGTTGCCTAAGGACCATTGGTACGAACTGTTGATGCGCGTCATGTGAGTTTTCAGGGTGAGGTCCGCAGACTTCGGTAGCAGGGGAACGTTGAATGCGGGGAGATTCTCGGTATAGTTCAGATACCTAACGCTAGCAGACGTGTTCTGTCCGGCGTAGTCAATATATCCCTTCGTATGGGGGCCAACTAGTGCTTGTGGTCTGACCCCATCCCCTTTCCGGTTTGGGGCACTGTAGGAAAGAACAGCGTAGCCGCTGATAACCTGGTCTCCCCCATTATCAGTGACTCGAATCGCATAATCCCCCGGTGCCTGATCCAGCTTTATAAGAACCGAGTACCTGGCACCATTGTACATCCCGACCATCTCGTACTGACGCGGTTCCACGAACTGGCCGTCCACCTCATATACCCACATCGGATGGTTGTCCACTGAGAAAGTAGTCCCTTTTTGCGCTTGCGCACCAATGAAGTTCAGACTCGCCCATCCATCCCGCTGATCAACCTTAATCACAGGCATACCACCATCAGACGGGGTGCAGTTGTTGTGCATAGATTGTGGGACTGCATCAGGCTTCTGGTTTGGCCAGCTCCCCTGGACGTTGTGCAATGCGGGCACCAAGCACCTATTTAAAGTTAGCGCATATGCAACCCAGGGAGTGTATTCTTCGCTTCTTGTCGATACTTACCCTCGATCGGTCAAGTTTGTACCTTCCAGTACCAGCCCGATCTGAGAGCCTGCAAGACCCTGCATGTACTTACCCCCTGGGCAGTAAACCGAGCCTTTACCGTTTATGAGAATGCTATCGATACAGCTACACATCTTTAGTCTATTGCTCCGGTATTCCGGCATTTGTTACCTACAAGAGATTCAGGCCAGAATCAATCTCGGCTTGGTAGTACTCCTGAGCTGTGAAATGAGTCCAGTCGGTTATTAGCATCAAGTTTGGGTTGGCTTCGGCGCGCTGCATTTTGACCAATTCGGCACGGTCTTTAGTGATTGCGGAGTATGGGCGCGGGGCATCTGGCTTATGGCTGAGAAAAGTGAGCTACGTTGGTTGAAAGTGCGGCAATAATCCTACCGGATATAGAATGCTCCCACTTGTCCATCCTGCAGCACGTTTTTGAAATGCGAATGATACCTGCACTTGTTAGAAGCGCGAGTTGGATAACCAAAAGGTCACGAACCAGAAGGTGCCTGCTGGGGATGCTTTGAATTTGTATACGAAAGATGAATTCGGCCGGATGGGCGGTTGGGATAGCCCTGGGACACCATCGGACCACGGAGTGTTTTCCATTCTGTTGGCACCATGATTAGCCAAGCCTAAGTAGCTAGCTAGCTTGGGTGTATCTCACGATTGACCATGCCAGTGTACGGTCGTATTAAATGGCATATGATTGAAGACGTGAATCTAGGAAAGTCAACCACTACAATGTGCATGTTTTGTCTCCTTGAGCTACCTCGACATCATCATCTTCGTCAAACACTAAATCTGGCCCCGGATACCCCCCATTAGTCAGGACCATCTGCCGTGGTACGCCATTTGGAGCGCCCTCGCCCCAGGTGAACTCCAGCGTCTCGCGGACCAGCTTAGCCTTCACTAGGCCGAGCCATATAAGCAAGGCAGTAACGGCCGATAGAACAGACATCTGCCAAGACAGTCGTCATTGATTGTACAGGAGATAAAGGTTGCAAGGATTGAGGGAAAGGAAGGCAAGCCCAGTGCGACTTGTTTATCTTTAAAAATGCTACAGGCGGCATATCCATTGCGGCTTGATATTTCCGGATGCGGATGCGGTTGATCGACACTTCCCTCTCGATGCGCTCACATCCAGAAAACAATCTCAAACTCTCCGAGTCTAGAAAAGGTTTTGGCCTCGTAAGCTCTTTTCGTTGACAGGTGAAAGGTATTTCTCCATTGCCAGATAAGCTCTGCTCGGTATGATCCCCCTTCCAAGGAGGTCAAACCGAGCTACCCACACCATGCCCTGAGAAACAGTTTAGATCAGGTATTCTCTCGGCCGCTCATAGTTCAGTGGACGGAGAATAAATCCTATAATAATTACTTGGCGAGGAGGTAATTGGACCTATCGGTGAACGTGTGAAAGGTGTTCTCAGCTGGTTGGACCACACGTGGAAGAAGCGCGCATCCCTTGCATGAAATGTAGCTATAGCCGAATGCGTCTCTTGAGATAAGGTCTGGAGATTTTGGGTCCGTTAACAATAGAACGATACCACAGAATGTGGAAGACAGATGTCATATTCGGTATGATGATATAACTGTTCATAAGTAAAGAAATGGGCGCCATTGAGGATGCGAATCACGAATCTTGAGGTCTATCAGAAATGTCGGCACAGAACTATACTCCAAGCCCTTACCGCAATATCAGTGTTAGTTTCCCGTAGTCCACAGGATCACCCTTGCATATCCCTACAGACCAGCCAGCCACTCCTTGGATGCGACCACATTGGCCTGTTTTGCGATGACCTTTTTCATTAACAGTTCGTGTACTTCCTGATCTCGATCCAAACATAGATCCTCAAGGACCGTCAACCCATAGTCAAGGTCCGCTGCCTGGCGAACAGTCGATAGCGCCGCCCCACTAGCGATCAGACCGACCACGACTAGGTTTTCAATGCGGGAGCTGCGAAGGGTCACTTCAAGGTCAGAGCCCACAAAGGCCGACACCCGACGTTTTGTCGTAACGATGTCCTCCTTGTGAGGTGCCACGGTAGGATGGAACTCCACACTTTCATCGCCTTCGATATACTTCCCCAGAGGAATCACTCTTTGTGCCGAGGGATTTCGAGGATGTAAGTCAGGGTACCCAGGACGGAAGGCCGTCTTAACATGAATGATCTGGATGGATTGTGTTCGGGCGGCATTGATTACGAAGGCAAGACGCTGGACATAGGGAGTAGCATCGGAAACGTGACTGACGACGCCTTTCGGAACGTCCAAGACGAGGAGAGCTGTATTCTTCATGGAGAAGCTTCCCTAGGTTGTAGCGAGTCGACTGTTGGGGGTGTTTCTTGGTTTTATGGACTCGCTCCATCCCGGTCCCGCGGATTCTGACCGGTACCGGGCACAGAGGAGTGCCGATTCCGCTTGACACTGCGCAACATCAACTTACACGAGAACAAAGGCTTCATTGATTTGCGCTTCGCGGCTACGATGGGAGCGGTGCCGTATGCAAGACGGCGACGGGAGATGGTACTTGAATCTTAGCTAGGAAGGGGAATGAATGTAGGTAGAGAAGGGAATATGAGGGGTCTATTATGATGAAAAGTTATTACTTGAAGCCCGTCTACTCGAACTTATTATATATGCACTGTGAACCAAAACTGCCACAGATACAACATACATTCACCCTAACCAAATAAGACACAACACAACTAAATAGGCATCTTAACTGACCCCCACATCTCGGCCCTAACCTCCTATCAGATCCAAACCAGCCCGAAACCCGGGATGACGAATCTCGGCACCAATATAAATTTATGTAACTAAATAATGACTCAAGTATTATATTCCCTAAACATCACCTCCATACACAAAACCCATAGCCACCCTCATCATCCCCTCGTACACACACTCATTCTCTTCCCCCCCCCCACCTCCTCCCCCTCAATTCAATATTCAATACTACCTATACTATACACAAAACCCTTCACCTAAAATGACCCAAAACCTACAACCTGCCAAACCGCCAACCTCCATCCCCCTCCCCGGCAAAACAATAACCCTAACCCCCCTCGACCCCTCGCACGCTGCCCCCCTTTGGACCCAAGTCGGCGGCAGCTCACCCCAGAAAACAAAAACATGGACCTACCTCCCCGAAGGCCCCTACCCGGATACCGAATACACCACCTTCCAGTCCAGTGTTGCCCAGAAATCGAAATCAAAGGACCCTCTCTTCTACGCGATCATCGACAACAAATCCCAAGAGGTAAAGGGCTGGATATCTCTCATGAGTATTGTGCCTGAGCATCTAAGGTGTGAGATTGGGTGGGTTCTTTTCTCGCCGGGGTTGCAGAGGACCACTGGGGCTACCGAGGCGGCATTTTTGTTGCTTTGGTATGTGTTTGAGGAATTAGGGTATCGGCGGGTGGAGTGGAAGTGTAATAATTTGAATGGGGGGAGTAAGCGTGCTGCGGTGAGACTGGGGTTTACGTTTGAGGGGGTGTTTAGGGAGCATATGGTTGTTAAGGGGGAGAATCGGGATACGGCGTGGTTTTCTTTGCTTAGAAGGGAGTGGGAGGGGGCTGTTAGGGAGGCGTTTGTGGGGTGGTTAGATGGGACGAATTTTGATGAGATGGGGAGGCAGAGGAGAGGGCTGGAGGCTATGAGGGGGGAGGTCGCGAAGGGTATGGAATCGGGGCGAAGGTGATGGTTATAGACTTTGGGTAATAGAGGGGAGATGTTGGTGCTTCTAGAGGCGTCGCTGGCCAATGCTAGTTCAGGGCTATGAGATGCAATCGGTTCCCATCTTTAAGCCGGGTGTACGGTTCGTATCGTAGTAATTATTATCGTTTCCTGCTACTATCGTCCCTCGTAGCATTTGTATGCCCTCAACCACTCATCTGCACACCTCTTCGTTCAACGCCGAGTTGAGATCGGTTGGGATTACTCCCGCGGCCACCCCATCTATCACAATTAGCGCAACTCCTCCAGAGATTCCAACAGTCCATACCTCGATATGACCACCGGTATTCCCCCAGCTGTGTCTTCCAAGTCCAAAAGATCCAGCCCTGCTGTTTCTCGTACGTCTGCACCTGTGCAGCGAACCATTTCTTGTAGAAATCCTGGTTGCTATATGGCTCCCATTCCGGGCTCTCCTGCACATCATCCGGGACGCTCAGGCTCCATTCGCCGATGATAGCGGGCCAGTTGGCCGCCACCTTGTCGTTGCAGGAGGTCTTTATATAGTTCTCCTTAGACACCGCCACGCCCGCATCCCACTTAATATACCGGTGATTGTCGTAGGCCGCGTAGTAGTCATCGGTGAGATGCTCGTGCGGATCCCCAGCACCCCAGACACTGTCCATCATCTGGATATGCAAGTAGTTTTCTCGGTCAATGTCGAGTTCTCGCTCCACCCCGCGGATGGTCTTTGATTTATGTCTCAGTATCACTCCTTACCCAGGCAAAGAGGGGACTCACATTGAAAGCATCGGGGTAATAGCGGGAGCGCAGGGAGGCTGTGGTATCGGGATTCTGCACTGGCTCGTTGACAACCTCCAACATTCCCACATTCCGGAAGTTATGTTTGGTGTGGATGTTGGTCGCCATCCACTCGAGGAACTCTAGTGCCCGGGCATATTGAAAATCAACATAGAACCCAGGCGTGTCGGCGAACTGGCCCGTGAAGGCATTCTTCGCCACCTGCGCACCAGGGGCCCCATGCAGGTCGATGATGATGTACAGACCCGCATCACTAGCCCATCCACATAGTTGCTCGAGGTAATCATATCCGCCCTGCGGGAAATACTCGCTGTCAGAGTAGATGAGATCCTCCTTCATCCAGTAGCCGACGGGTATGCGGATCGTGTTCAGACCGTAGCTTTGCATCTCATCGATGTCATCCTTGGTAACCCATGAGCTCCAGTGTTCGGCGAAAGCGTCGTTGGCTGCCGCCTGCCCCAGCTTCGCCACACAGTCGTATTCGGACTGCTCCCCTTCGCAGCCGATCTCAGACCAGGCCTGCATGGCGATCCAGGGTTCGAACACGAACTGGGTACCCAAGTTCACCCCTCGAATCTTACCGCCCGAGGGGGCAAAGAGGTCAGTTCCATTGCTAGAGGTTACCCTCTTGTTCGACGGCAGCCAGGCGAGGGTCAGAGTTGCCAGGATGCTGAGAGCTGCTACCCTCATGCAACCCATTTCGGCTCGAAAGGCCCACAAGCAGGATGGGATACACAAACGGGGAATTGTACGGGTACTAGATGAACACCAACAGCTTTATGGCCAGTAATCACTTGTGACCGACACATGTTCGCCGAAACGAAACAAACGGACTCTTCGATCCATGTTTGAGGGGTGATCTGCTGGTTCAAGCATGATTGGATCTGGTAAACCATTGTTATGTTGGAAGAGTTCAGCAGAGAATGTGTCTGACCCATGAAAGGCTACGTCGTGTTAGGGTTTTCCTCAGGCTGTGCCTTGGGTGACGTGACCGGGCTGCTGCAAGGGAGATATTGACTCAATAGGGATAAGAACATGTCTATCGGGCGGTGCAGAGTTGCATTCCACAGGTATTCTGGCCAAACAACAACATAGCAATGGCTTTGTGCATTTGCAAGTTGAAAAGGGGTAGTAATGAACTGTCGTCGTCGGACAATGCCGTGGACTAACAGGCGGAAACCCCGAATTAAGCCCTGTGCCTAAGTCTTAAAAGGCATCGTTGACCTAGCGCACTTTCCGTAGCCAATAACCCTGAAGATCCCAATCCATGGTCATTTGGCTTGTCCGAGCCCAACGATCAACCTGTATAAATTTAGATTTCCGCTCAACTTGTCTACGGCCGAAAGGGACGGTCATTTTCGAAATGTTCCAGTATTTCGATGGGTCTCATTCTGCGTGAGCTGGCCAATCCAGGAATGTCATTCTGATCGGCAGTGGTTTCCGGAATGCATGAGGAACCTGAAAGGGCGTTCGGACGCGTCGTTGGTCAAACATATTTGGGAACACTCTACCAGTAAGTCCGCTAGGCAAGAAATAGTGCCGTTCTCTTGTCGATACCGAGGTCGACTGTCCACATCCTCCCATGCTCTAGTAACTATACCCAATCCAGGTCGTGGCCCGTGACTGAAGAGTGCGTTGAATGGCCATTCTTATTCGCGCGCGATAGGGAGGGAGGGAGATCAGCGCCTCCGAGGTGCAGAGCTCGACCACGAATAGCTGTAGCCCGGCCCTTTTGAGGACGGGGCCGGTCTGGATCCCATCGACGTACGCTCCGAGCGAATTCACAAAGGGGGTTTCCTGTTCGGACTATCTTTATGTGAGCTGGGGGTCTGAGGGATTTAGACTCTTCTAGTGGAATGATTCGAGACCCTTGCGTAAAAGTCTTTCGCAGAGCAGATGAGAGTTTATACACGGTAGCGAACCGTAATTTAAATCGTGCGGTAGAAACTGAACGAGAGAGAGAGGCATCCAGTGACCTAGAGAAAGGGATAAGTAGTGAAAAGAAGGGACAAAGGTCTTTGTTTGATCAGAAGAAAGTAAGTTTCGGTTATCATGGGAACCAATCATGACCATACAATTCAAGCTAGTGAGAGCAAAGACTGGGCCAAACCATGGAACTTGGGCTACCTTAGATACTAGTCAAGTCTACTATTTCTCCATACATTCTTAACTTTTCCCTATATCTTCTCCAGAGGCATATGGAGGGAATCTAATGTAGTCCACATCAAACCCCTCCGCAAAGTTAGGCTATCACAGACAGTATACCACTATCTAGGCGAATCCCTTTCTCCTATAGGGGGGTTGGTTATCCTAGTCGAGCTCTGTTCTCTTGAAACATAAGGAATATCACACATTGGGCGGCTGGTTGGAGGAAAATGGTCCTGTCTCCGCAGTAGCACTTAGCAGCACTTGACAGGATTTCGTGGCTAATCTGCTGTGCTCTGTCCTGTTGGTCTCCGACCAATTGGACCCGACGAGCAACGCAGCATCATACCACCCATTGCCCAAGCTAAGCTCGTGTTTCCGTTTCGGATCCGTGCGTTCAGTCCTGACAATCTTCAACTGGGACATTCCATGTTGCAATCAACCCCAAAAAAGAGCTTGGTTTCAACCTGCCGTGATTGCCTGATCGATCCTTCGCGACCGTTCAAAATCCATCCTCCATATTGGCTCCAGATAACTGGTTATCAGCATCCATGCCCTCCCCCACGACGACAAACGTGCAACCATTCCCAGGGAGCACCTGGCCAACAAAAACGATGCTCGTTCGTCGAGCGTTAGTTCAAGGGAATTAGCAATGTCCGGAAGCTGGGAGAGCCGGCTGTCTTCGTAGTCCCTGCTATATTTGTCGATCTCGGTTCCGAAACGGAAACCCCACAAATGAACGGTTCCTCATCTTGCTAAACCCCATCCATGGCAGAACCTCATGGGTTCATGCATTTCCCGCGCTTCGGCTCCGAGGAGGCTTTTGGCCGTGGAGGGAAATCCCGAACCAAGTCCCTTCCCACTGCCATAGACAAGTCAGATAAATAGGGTGCACGCAGGTGGTACGCTACAGAAAGTAATATTGGTTGTTTGTTTATTGTTTTTTCGGTCCCTTCACCACTTCCCCCCTCCCTCCTCCCCTTTTTTTTTCTCACTATCTCGGGATGACCGGAGACTGTCGTTGGGGAAATTGTATGGTGCCTCTGCCATAATGGGAAAGTCTAAGAGGAGTTCAGGTTTCCACCGAGTTATTATTAATTATTGAAAAACACGTACCCTCTAGTATGAACCATATCTAGTAATTGTCACACAAGAAAAGCAGACATGGGCTCATATGAAACAAAACCGCAAGGGAGGATCACATACGACAGGCAATACGAAGAGAGATAGAGAAAAGGGTGAGTGTGAGTGTGAGAGAGATGCCTGACGATGGGGAGGAAACACCGCATCGCTATAGGGCAAGATCGACCCTTGAGAGACTGGATTTACACCGATTAAGTTGCGACCTCACGCCATAAAACCACGGACCGCCTTCGGCCGAAGCGGCATTCCTTCGGCCACGTGCGATTGGTGTCCGCTCTTCATCTCCATCCCAAAACATGGCCCCAAAACAATTTCCTGAGGGAATCAACCTCCGACACCCCGAAAGGGTCCTCCCCTGGTAAGCTACAAATACCCCTCATGGCCTATCCGTTCTCTCCCAGTCTCACGCGCCCACTACATTTTCAACCCTGTCGCGGCGCGAATGTCGCGAGCGTACCACTCTCAATCCTCATCTCTGTGGCTGGGAGGATGACCTCAATGGAAAAGTCCCCCGTCCGATGATCTCTCGTATTCAAAGATGATTGTCGCAAAAGTATGCCTTTTTCAGACTACCTAACCCGAAAATTTCCAACTCTAGCGACTTTTTTTAGTGGGTATACGGAACTACCGGTATTCACGGCGAGAAACCCACGCAACATCGCTGGCGGTACCCCACGTTTCAGGCCCACAAGGGGAGGGATGGGAACTATGTTGGTTACAACGGCCTCATGCATTCCCCATGTTCATGCTAGGGAACAACATCACATCAGAGACTCGATTTAGGATGTTGTCAATATGTCCATCCTCCGAGGAACTCATACTCTGGCCCGCGGCATAAGGCGACGAGGTGGTGACGCTCACGGAAGCCGGGGAGGTGAAAACATGTTTCGGGGAGATAGCCTCAGGAGCGGGTGCCCTCTTCTTCTTCCGAGAGTTGAAAGCAGCGCCAACCTCTCGGAGGGCACGGAGAGACGATAGTAAATGCCCGGCCGAGTCTGTCCGGATATTGAGGTTTACGTTTCCATCTCCACTCACATGTTCGGCAATGACTGCCTCTAATTTTTCAATTAACTCCCAAGTCCGCCGGTGGATCTGGTCATTGTTGTTTGCAACCAGAAGAAAGGCGGACGCAATTGTTCGCTGGAGACTGACCCAGTTACGTGAGCAATGGGGATGAAGTGAATGCAGCTCAATAAAAGCTTCGATCGTGTTCATAAGATTTATGATGCAGTCCTCACGGACAATCGCGCGTCGCTGGTCATCGAGCGGGGCGTCAGGATCCAAAGAGACCCGGCACATGAGTGAAATATAGTAAGATGAGTGTAGCCGCAACTCGGTCCGCTCGATGTGATCCGCCAAGGTGACGCAGTGTTCCCGATAACGCAGATGCGGGGTAGTATCAGCAAGAATGCGCTCTATTCGTTGTTTATAGTCGCGAATTTCATTATATCGCAGGTGCGAGTGGTGCGAGAGCATGAGCCCCCGCAGCATCTCCAGCACAACGGAAATAATACGGCAGAGGCTTTCGAAGTAGGAGCGATGGCCAGGCATCGATTTCCTGTCATATGGGATTTCCGGCTGGCTTACCATAGTGATGGATGGTCGGTCGTAAGCTAAGGAAAAATGGCTATTTTGAAAAGCCATTGCCCACCTGCGAGAATCACGAGTATTAGGACATTAAGAATCTTGCAAACAGGACAATACTTTGTATGCCTTACCAGACTCGCCTCCGAGAAGCTGCGAGACTTTGCGAGAACCCCGGTGTCTCAACATGAAGCCCAAGGCTCATACACATCCGCTCCGTCATCCCTATCGACAAAAATCGCCGTTAACCTTGACCGAGGAAGACCATTGTACCCTTTCCCACTTACCAAGTAAGGTATAAGAAGCACCGGCGTTCATATTATACGAGAGCACATTGCTGATGATTAACAGGATTTGTATTACTTCCACTGTCGGCTGCGATACATAGTTGATCATGCGCAAGCACTGGTAGGAACACGACACTAAGAGAGACGTGTGAGCCATAGAATTTCTCGTCAGAGCAAGGAGTTGCGCACACACCATATACCCACGATGTCAGCTCCCGCTCCTTCAGTGGCAGGTCAGATAACTGGCAACCTGATGCTAAAACGACGAAGAGGAGGCTCAGGAAAGGCAAGCTCATGCCGAATGGCTTTACCAAGCCATTCATATCCGGTCGATAAACCCCCCCTGCCTTTAGCCGATTTTGCAGGAGTTGGTGTGTATCGCGCTCTAATTTGGGGAGATCCGGGAGGACGGGGTAGAGCACTGCGCCGATGTCTTTGTAAAAACGGAGAAACCTGCGGGAACCTCGCCAATCAGCTAAAGGGCGTGCGCCACAAGAAAACACGACTCGAAGTTTGTTCCACCCACCTGCAACATTGTTCATCATCCGGTAATACCCCACATACCCCGGCAATGTTAAAAGTGTACGGGTCGGACGACCAAAGATCAACAAAGGGATATGAAGCAGCTTCGTTTTCCATCGCCAATTCTGCAAGCAGGTCTTCCTTAGGCAACGCATCCGCTGTCCCATCCGAGCCTTTTGACCTATCCAGAATATCAATCAACGCTGACTTTGCGCCGATATGAATGGAGCTTGTTTTCATAGCATTCTGTCCATAGATTCCCTGAGGTGCTGGAGATTTGCCCTCCTCGGCAGCCGATTTTTCTGAACGAGGATCGGTAGATTTCCTTGCCGCATGTGACTGAAAGAGGGAATTCAGACTAGCCAGTAATTGCTCCATCGCGCGCAGCTTGGAATTCACCTCATCCCATTCGAACTGAGATATTGTGACATTGTCCGACATGCCATCGTCCGAGGTCGGCTCTGCGCTGTAGGAGGAAACCGGTGCATCATCTCGACTAGAAGGTATATAGGATGAACTAGGAGGCAATTGAGGCGTAGTGACGACTGTGGCGGCCGCGGATGAAAAGGGAGTGGGATCAGGGACGAGCGATGGTTTTGGTTGGGTTGGCGGCGGACGACCGTAGGAACAAGTAAAGTTGCGTTTGACGCAGTTTCCGCACGGCACGTTGCGATCGCAGCGAACTTTACTGGCGCGACACGGTAGACAAGTTTTGCACTCGCGAGGCCTGCGTCGGATCGGATATGTAGGCATTGCGATGGCGGCCGAAACGACCTCTGTCGCCCCGCCTAATGGGGGGATGGGACGGAGTCGGGCGCGATAGAAGAGGAGGAGGGATTGGGGGTAGTGTGTAGGACGATAGAGGGAGCTCGCGTAGCTAGCATAAAGGATGCTATTATTATTACTAGATGGCAAAGCGAAATGGCAAGCGTCAGCACGGCCATTCGAGATAGGATCGTTTGGAGTGAAGCGAGTCAACCGACGAGCCGCGACGGAAGGGGCAAGGCACGAATAGGATGCCAGAAAATCGAAATCCACTTGCCAGTGTCAATCAATCGATCATTGTTCAATCCATGAATAGCGTCGCAGCAAAACCTTGGGGAACTAAGAATAGGTGCGTTTTACAATTTTCTGGTTTTTGGGAACTTTTCTTGGGTTTTGTTTTTCCCTCTCCCTTCTTTGCCCCCCTTGTCCTTTTCTGGAGAATTCTTTCTTCAGATCGAAGGAGAAGAGGAGACACCGATCGATTGTCCGGAGGGCTTTTCCGGTTCCGGTTTTTCTGATCTGTGATAGTAATAGTTCCTTGATACTAAGTACCAGGTTCAGAAAAGACCAAGAGTGCTGAGCGATACCCAACGGAGGGCCGTTGAGTGGATTATTATTGGAGCATTGGGGCCCGTTAGTGACAGCGGCCAAGAGGGACGGCGCACCAGCCAACCAAGTCTCCGGAGATGGCGTGGTTGCAGCGCAGATCGTGTCGTTCGCTTAAGATGGCCAAATGGATGGTCACTCAATGATGGTAACCGTATTGAGAATGGGTCGTGTTGAGGATATTTTCGTTCATCATGGCGATTGAAGTTTCAGTTTCGGGAGATAACGTCAGGACTAAAGGTCCCCTCGCTGCCTCGTTAACATTTCTCTTTTCATCCTCGGTTCCAATGGGTTGGGTGAAAGAAAAAAGAACGAATGGAGCCGGTGACCCAGAAAACACAATAAGCTTGTTTTTGTTTTTCGATTTCCCCAACAAGTCAGGTCACTGCACTCACTCACTTTCACTTTGTCACAAAGGAAGGAAGAGTCCAATAGTAGATAACTTAGTAGAGAATAAGTAGTCTAGTTGCCCATTTGCCGATCCTCTGCACGGGAATTGAGCTGCAGTTGCATATCAGGTGATCCTGGTGCAGAACGAGGGCTCGTATGGCATGATCCAACTTAATTAAGTGGGTAATAATGGGAGCAATGGACCTTTAGTACTACCTTGAATGCTTAGTATGTACAGTAACTACCCCTCTCTCGGGATCCCGCGAATTTTCTAATACCAATACCAATGCCCATCCATACTCTATATACATAACTTCATGATCCATCATACATGGCAGAAAGAATGACAGATATCCTTTTCAAATGGCAATCATGATCACATCAGGACGACAACCCAAGTAGATAACACACACCGCCAATGTTTCATGACTTCACGCCGCTAGGAGTCTGAGAAACTTGGGGGACAACCCACCAATCATGCCAACGCGCCTTGGTACCCATCTCAGGAATACTCACCTGAAGGCTCACGGGTTGGCTAGCGCGGGCGTCGTTGGATGAACCGCGCGCAGTCAGCACCTTTTTCACGGTTTCAATAGCAATACTAGCCCCGATACAGGCCCGCATCGTATTCTTGATATCCTTTTTCCAATCCTCTTCAATGGCCGGTGTTCGATTCACCAGGCTCTGAGAATCGCGGGTAAACGCCCCGTTAGCGAGGGTGGCTTCCCAGGCTTTGCGTGCTTCAGATATGGCTTTTGTGGCACGGTCCAGTACGATCTCATCACTATCGCCTTCCAGGATAGCCTCCCGGTGGTATTCTTCAAAGGGAACGAGTTCCGGCAAAGTAATCGGTAAGAAGGGCTTCATGCGGAGTTCGTACCGCAATTGTTCGCTGGAGTACGCCTGTGCGGCAGATGCCGTAGGCAAAACTTCATGACGAGCCAGAAGGACATACAGCGCATGTAAAGATATAGCAAAGGCATCCACGGCAACTATTTGCGTAGTAAGTCTCTCGAGAAGGCGGAGCGTATTCTGTAAAGAGGCATGTCGCTCAGCGGCGTCACGTTTCTTTCCAGCCAGAGCGGTCAGGTTGCGCTTGGCTGTAGCGACAGTAAAAGTGCGGATTCGGTCAATATGGCCGAGATGGGTGGAGCAGATGTGGGACAAGTACCAGTACATCCCTGGCAGTTCTTCTGGAGAATAGATGGAGAGTTCGAATCCTAGTTGAAGAATGAGCCGGAATTGATTCAGCTTCTGATGGTAGGCCCAGCTGCTCAGGGGATACGAGTAGGTAGCGTCGCCATTTTGGAGCATGAGCGGAGGCTCATTGTTCAACGTGCGAAGCTGTTCATCAAGATCTTCGGCCTATGAAGAAGTTAGCAACTAACCATGTATGTGAAGAAGGTCCCATAGATACCTCCATCTGTAGGTTATCCCAGTCAACAATCGTATGACAAACTGTCCGACGAATACGGCAACGGTTGAGGCACGCACTTCGGAAGGTGTCCACAAATGGCTATCCACTGGTTAGCTGGTGGGAAAATAAGAAAAGAGGAGACGGAGGCAATATCGCACCTGAGCGAAACGTTTGACAAAGGCGTCCATGTGACTGGCTATTTGAAAGCGAGGATCGGATGGCACCTCAGTCTCGTCTTTGTTGGCTTGGAGAAGCGCACTAAAAGGAAGGACAGTTTCCGCGAGCTCGTCATACAAGAACTGCTTGACTGGCACAGCTCCCAGGACCGTCACATTGTTCATAATCATAGACTGGAGGAGTGATCGGATATAAACTGACGGCTGAGGCTTCCTAGACAGTAGAGTCCAGACGGCCACCTAAAAAAGTTAGAGATACGAAACGCAGACTAGGAGTACTCAATAAGTGCTTTCCGGATCTTACTTTGAGGTTATAGGGTCCACAGTAATCAAGGACCTCCACAAGGTCGATAGCGTCTTGACACACCCGTTTCAAGTGCGCCAGCGCATCCTCGAAGCTTATGTTCACCATTGGTCGAGGAGGTACTGTGCTGGCGAGTTTTCGTTGGACCTTCCAACTGAACGCTTCGGGTACAGGTCTTCCCAATGACAACGAGTCGGCTATAGGGCTCAATTGCAACAAACAAGACGAGAAGTGACTAGTCGAACGACTCTCTAAGACATTGATATCCTGGTCCAAACTGAGAAGGAACTCACGCCGAAAGAGCAACCGGCATTTTATTGCTTCTTTGATTTTTCCATCGACACTGTTCCCTTGTCCATCAATCCACGAAATGGCCCGGTCCAAGAGATTGCAGAAATACTCATGGTCGAACTGCGACAGCAGACTGCGGTTGTACAGTTGGGTGACAAAGTCTTCCTCCTACAAGCCTTTAGCAACTAGTTATGCGCATATGAAAGACGTGTAGCTCACCTCGTAAAAGTACTCGCTTGTGACTCGTCCATGAACAAAATCGCAGCACTTGATCAGCGCGAGACAATATGCACGTAGCACAAGATGTACCATTCCCGACTCTACCTCATTCGTAGGCGAGTCCGGACGACAAAAATGTGCTTCTTCAATGGTTTTCGGTATAGGCCAAAGCAGCTTATCGAGGTACAAGGATGTAAAGAGTGTTTGCGAGAGGGGATGCCCCATATGCCATGCCATCTACCATTGCGCGGTTATTCTCAATATATGTTTTATATGTAGGTGATATCATTCCCTAAGAAGGCTAGCACCTACCTCATGGCATAGCAACTCGTCCATTATCCCTATCACCTGCTCCGGAGCCAGCTCCCGCGTGGTATCGTAGACGTCTTCTAAAGCTTGCGCATCGCTGGGTCCAGGTCCAAGATATCCACTGTCCATTTTTGAGTCCATAATCTGCGGTACGCACATATGTTAGCGTCAAAGTTGAAAAAGCAATCATATTCGGAGGGTGTGGTGGGAACTCACCTCCAGTGCGCCCACTGCCTCAAACAACGTGAAGTACTCATCCTTAACTAGCTGCCCAGTCCGCAATTCTAGGAACAGACGAACAATTGTCAGAAGGTCACCTCATATAGTGGGATTGAATTCGAGTAAAATAGCCATCAAATAAAGTTAAAAGGTATCTCACTTGAGGCAGCTTGCGTGAAGTCATCCGTAATGTCGCGTGGGACAACGGACTGTGAAATGACTCGCATCATGGGGTTTCAGGCCTCGTTACTTGGCAACATAAAAGAATCGATAATCTGCAGCCAGCTGTCAGATTTGCCGGTTCGAGTCCTAGGCAAAAAGCACTCTTGAGCGAAGGATGAGAGAAAGAACCTGGAGTGTCGGCGAGGAGAGGCGGGGAGTCGGGCGGACAGGGCAAAATTGCGGAAGCACTGCCCGCGCTGTCAAGCTCACGACCGCAGGTTGGCGGTTTTACGGTGACTACATGACACAGCACAACACACAATAACTACTTTAACCAGTCACGTTTGCAGGAAAGAAATGGTCATTTCCTTCTATTTATACCGTGTCAACCGACGAATATGCTACAGAGCTCCAAATCATTCCTGCACAACACATCCACTTCAACCTCCTTGAGGGAAATAACTCATATTATCGCAGGCAAGTCTTTTCGAAAACCGATTACTTCTCAGCGTGAGCGGTCATGGCCTCCTGGTTGGCTTCACCGAGGGCGCGGACGTCACCCTGCTTGCCGTTCTGTATTTAAAAGGGCATTGTTAGCCAAAGTTCACGGCCCATTGTCCCTGATACGATACAAGTAGGGGCATCAAAACGAACCTCCCACTTAGCAAAACGTAGGTCCATCTGTCCACGGCGCTCAGCATTCAGGCGAGCGTTCTCCTTGAGAGATCTGCGGACCGCGCGGGCAGCGACGGCCAGGTAGCGGTTGTAGCTGTAAAAGTCAAACGTTGAGTCAGTTTGACGGATCCTTAGCGATATGAGGGATAATAGAGAATCATGCGTACGTCAGACCAGCGGCTTTCCAGTAGGCCATATTGACGGTGAGTGGAGGATAGGGTATTCGATTGGGGTGAGAGAATGGATCAACCGATACGGGAACCTTTGCAAAGCGTCGAGTTTCGGAGCATCGGGATCTCGGGTCATGTGATACACGTGATCATCCGCCCCATGACCAATCACAACCAACCATCTCACCTCCTCTATCTTGTCCATTGTAGTTGTCAGTATATTGTACATGAATACCATAGCCGACAATATAATTAGGTACCCGGTGAATGATCGCTGGGCCAAGTTCTTTATCTGGCTCGAAGTGTCAATCTGATAAATTCTCTGTCTACGCCAGCTTTGTGTAGTTATCCTTCAACGATATTCTGTGAACGGAAAAATATATAGTACAGGAGGTTACATATTGAGATAAAACGCTGTCCGCCGGAATCCACACAGTACAAGAGTTTCCTATTGCATTATTTGCAGCTGAGTTCTAGAGACTAGATAGCTCATATATATTTGAAGAGAATGGTAAAGTCAATACCCGACGTTGTTAGTCCCTGTATTGTGTAGTGTCTTCTCAGTTGTGGCCGGATATCTTTCAACAAAATGTCCACATCCTATATGCTCCCTAGGATCATAAGCCTCACTTTCTGTCCACTCATCTCAGTCGTCATTTATTTTGTTACCTTTGCGGCAATGAACTTCTATTGTATACCTTGATCTCACCTTGACTTATCTCCTCTGACATCTTGCCGCACCCTGTTCTCTACTGCAACAGCTAGACTCGGGCACTCACTCTTGTTCCGCACACCATCCTTTCTAGAGACAGTATGTGAAAGACGGCTCCGACAGGGATGGTTACCTATGCTGACCATACACATTGTTACACAACCTGCAGCCTCTTATGCTATTTAGACATCATGAGTCCCCCCAAGAGAGTCTTGAACAGACCCAAGAAGCGCACCTTAGTCCGCTGGGACGGTATGCAGTTTTGGCCCCCTTGTTTCGTTGGTATCCCATGGTGATTCTAGTTTGCTAGATAACCTGAACGAGCTCCTACTACTCAGCGTGCTGCCGGTCTGCAACAACCAGGCTATCAAGATTCCTTGGTCGGAGGTCGCCAGTACCATGAAAAACAATGTCACTGAAGGAGCGATAGTCCAGCACCTAGCAAAGCTCCGGTCTCGTCGCGCTGAGGCTGGTAAAGATGTCCCTCCTCCTCTTAAACGTGGTGGAGTGGGGCCATCGAGCAAACCTTCCGGGAATTCATCTACCAGCAATGCACAGGGAGCGAAGCGTAACCGCAAGTCTTGAAGTCTAGTATCTGAAGAAGATGAAGCCTTGGAGATGGCTTTGAACGACGACTCTACATCCGACGAAGACTATGTTGACAAAGGCCGTCGCCCGAATCGTCGTATGAAGAAGTCTAACCGTAGAAAAGGGCATATATCCCAGCGACGGGAGGCTGTTCACAGCAGACGTGAAGATGAAGGGAAAGTAGAAGCAGAAGGAAGCACCGGCGATCCTGAAGAGCTGCTGGTACCTGGTGCCGAGTTTCTTCACTATCCTAATGATACAGAGTTGTCTCTAATTTCAAGCTCCCCCCATACGCCAGCGGCTAACCAGAGCAAACTGATCGTCTTGCGGTACAAATAGCCAACCGGGGAGCTATACAATGGTTATCCTTCGACATATGAGCAGTCAGTGGCCTCAGCTCTCAGCACCTATGACATTGCTCCTTACCCAGCTTCTTATCAACATCTGTCTGGACCTGGTCTCGGTATGGGGAACAGATGTATCCTAAGTTACAATCCTATCCCAGATATGCCTGCCGTTGTTTCGGGAGGTGCTATCCATAACCTGACATCGTTCGGGGAGAACCAAGGCCTTCATAGTACTACATATGTTGGCTATCAGGATCCAGTCTACTACCACCGTGCCGATGAACCCGTTGGCTTTAGCTCCGAAATTGCTGATAGCCATACTGGAAATCTTTATAGTGAGAATTATCCGTACCTTCAAGGCGATTACACTGAGCCAAATGATGGTTAATCATGGAAACAGCTGATAGCCTGGAGTCCGAATGGATGGGACAGTAAATCAAAACTTGAGTAGTCGATTATTGTCCCCTTGCTTGTTTCAACTTCGACGCAACTTTGGCTTCAACTCATTGGGAAACCATCTTGGATTTGTGAAGCTGGAGCTCTTCATCTCGTGTAGGTGAGATTTAAATGCCTTTTTTTGGTCGATTCAGGACAAGTGTATTTGCTTTACATGGGAATTATTGAATTTCGGTGTTGATATTGATTCTTGATTTACTATTTATTATATTCACAGCCACAGCGAGGCATTGGTTTCAGTTTGATCGTTTGTTTTGTTATTCTCCTAGCTTGGGTTTCGTTTCCCTTCTCTTTCTCTTATTCTTCGCTTGTTATTATTCTTCCTAGGGACAACCTATTATTGAAGTTAATGTCAATATGGATCTCTACCCACTGAAGATATAACTAACTAGACAAATGGGAATTAGTAATGTGTACGAATTTCCGCTTCCGACGAGCCGAAGCCATTCCCTCGGGAACGATTCACGTGACCATTTCTAGGAGCTTCTTTTGCCAAGACATCCGGGGATCGGGAATCGCCTGGAAAATTTTCGAGACTTTGGCTTCATCTCCATCTTCTCTCCCCATCTCTTCTTCTCCCAACTCCATCCCTTTTCCTTCTTTTTTCTTCTGCACCCGTTCTTACTCTGGGAGCTCCGATCGGGCAGACTTAATTCAACCATCAACCAACTCTTTGTTTCTATTTTCTCTTATTTACCTCCCTTGTTCACAATGCAGAGAGCTCTCTCCTCCAGGACATCTGTCCTTTCTGCCGCTGCTAAGCGTGCTCCTCTCTACAGATCCTCTGGCTTCAACCTCCAGCAGCAGCGGTTTGCTCACAAGGTGCGTTCTATCTAGTCTTTAATTCTCAATGCTTCTGGCAGAGCCTGGCCTTCTCTCTCCGAAGACATTGCTAATGCGGTGTAGGAGCTCAAATTCGGTGTCGAGGCTCGTGCCCAGCTCTTGAAGGGTGTTGATACTCTTGCTAAGGCTGTCACTTCTACACTTGGTCCCAAGGGTCGCAATGTCTTGATTGACACTCCTTACGGTTCTCCTAAGATCACCAAGGGTATGTACTTCCGACCGTTCCCGAATAAGAGATCATGATACTGACTGCATGAAGACGGCGTGACTGTTGCCAAGGCTGTTCAGCTTCAGGACAAGTTTGAGAACCTCGGTGCTCGTCTCCTCCAGGATGTCGCTTCCAAGACCAACGAACTCGCCGGTGACGGTACCACCACCGCTACCTGCCTTGCCCGCGCCATCTTCTCCGAGACCGTCAAGAACGTTGCTGCTGGTTGCAACCCCATGGATCTGCGCCGCGGTATCCAGGCTGCTGTTGATGCCGCTGTCGACTACCTGCAGCAGAACAAGCGTGACATCACCACTGGTGAGGAGATTGCTCAGGTCGCTACCATCTCCGCTAACGGCGACACCCACGTTGGCAAGCTCATCTCCACTGCTATGGAGAGAGTCGGCAAGGAGGGTGTCATCACCGTCAAGGAGGGCAAGACCCTCGAGGATGAGCTCGAGGTGACTGAGGGTATGCGTTTCGACCGTGGCTACACCTCTCCCTACTTCATCACCGATGCCAAGTCCCAGAAGGTTGAGTTCGAGAAGCCTCTGATCCTCCTTTCCGAGAAGAAGATCTCTGCTGTTCAGGATATCATCCCCGCCCTTGAGGCCTCCACCACCCTCCGTCGTCCCCTGGTCATCATTGCTGAGGATATTGAGGGTGAGGCTCTCGCTGTCTGCATCCTGAACAAGCTCCGTGGCCAGCTCCAGGTTGCCGCCGTCAAGGCTCCTGGCTTCGGTGACAACCGCAAGAGCATCCTTGGTGACCTGGGTGTCCTCACCAACGGTACCGTGTTCACCGATGAGCTCGACATCAAGCTCGAGAAGCTTACCCCTGATATGCTCGGCTCCACCGGCTCTATCACGATCACCAAGGAGGACACCATCATCCTGAATGGCGAGGGTAGCAAGGACGCCATCTCCCAGCGCTGTGAACAGATCCGCGGTGTCATGGCTGACCCCACCACTTCCGAGTACGAGAAGGAGAAGCTCCAGGAGCGTCTGGCCAAGCTTTCCGGTGGTGTTGCTGTCATCAAGGTCGGTGGTGCCTCCGAAGTTGAGGTTGGCGAGAAGAAGGACCGTGTCGTTGATGCTCTCAACGCCACTCGTGCCGCTGTTGAGGAGGGTATCCTCCCTGGTGGTGGTACTGCTCTTCTCAAGGCTGCTGCCAATGGCCTTGACAACGTCAAGTCCGCCAACTTCGACCAGCAGCTCGGTGTTAGCATCATCAAGAGTGCCATCACCCGCCCGGCCCGCACCATCGTTGAGAATGCTGGTCTCGAGGGCAGCGTCATCGTTGGCAAGCTGACCGAGGAGTATGCCAAGGACTTCAACCGCGGTTTTGACAGCTCCAAGGGCGAGTACGTTGACATGATCTCCAAGGGTATCGTCGACCCTCTCAAGGTCGTCCGTACTGCTTTGGTTGATGCTAGTGGAGTCGCCTCCCTTCTTGGTACCACTGAGGTCGCCATCGTCGAGGCCCCTGAGGAGAAGGGCCCTGCTGCTCCTGCTGGCGGCATGGGTGGCATGGGTGGTATGGGCGGCATGGGCGGTGGCATGTTCTAAACTGCGCCGCGCCTGTCGTAGCCTAGCTGTCCTTTGTTCTAACCGTTTCTCTTCGAGCGTGTCTTTGCATATTCTTGGCATATTCTGATATATCTCTGTGTTTTTAATATTTCCTTTGTCCTAATGTGTTGCACGTCGTCACTACCCAATTCTTCTCTTTCCGATCATCTCTGTCTCTCTACCTCCTTTCTCATCTACTCCGTTAAATTCGTTAACCTCCATATATCATCTCCACTCCACTATATCGGGATAAAAGTCTCAGGGAGTCCTGTGTATCATATCATGTACTTTTATGTACGCCACGAGTCTTTCGTGGTTCGTGCTTCAAATTTACAATTACTGTTCATGAAAAAGAGTTATTCTATTACTTCGTAGCTTAGGCTTGTTCTAAACTCTAGTCCGGTTGAGTAAGTTAATGTAAGCTAATCTGAATTGGCACCATTTAAGTCCTACCCAAGCTCTATTTATACAAAAACGCCAGCAGCCAAATCCTCGTAGCCATCCAAACAAAAAGGCTATATATTTCAACCCAGCACCAAAAAATAACACGAAAACCAAAACCACTACGCCTCATGACCCCTCTGCTGCCACCGAGCCCCCTTTTCAAAGACCTCAACCCCCATCATCCCCTCCATATCGGAAACATGCACCGGCGGCAACGGCGAAATCACCCGATCCTCATGCCTCTCCCAAATATCCTCAACCTGCATATTAACCCGCTTCTTCTCCAAATACCTATCAAGCCGCCCCGTACTCTCCGATTTGACCGGATTGGTCACTGGCGTGGACACCGTCGCACCCAGCTTGAATACGCCTTTCACAGGGAGTAAGAAGAAGTCTGTTATTATCCCGACCCCAATGATATGTGCTTTTATGACTATGTCGCGGAGACGTTCGCTGAAGGCCATTGAGAGGGCTACTAGAATTATCGCGACGGAGGTTGGGGCTGGTTTTTTTTCTCTTGTTAGGGTGGCAGTTTGAGAAGAGAGGGAAGGGTAACAGACCTGAGATTGCGAGCATGTAGGACCAGTTTGGGTTTGTTTCTTCGCCGCTCCATTCGCGGATGTTGACGCCGAAGAGGGAGGTAAAGAAGGAGAGAGGGAGGAAGCTGGTTTTTTCTTTGGAGTTAGTATTTGGGGATTTTGAAGGGCAGGGTTGGGGAGGGTGTGTATGGAGACTGACATGACTGTGAAGATTGTGAATACCATGACGGACTGCGATTGATTCTGGGCTACTTCTGCTTGCCACCGGGTTATTCGGGATTCGTCGACGTTAGCTTGCTTCTGCTTTAGGTCAAGGAGATTTTCGACCTGTTTCTGGTGTTAGGTTTGATGTTTGGAATGGGTTGGGAGGGGAGGTCGTACGGCTTTCTGTGCTAGATGGGCGTTCTCGCGCATGTCTGTGACTTGGGTGCGATACTCGTCGAGTCGGGAGAGGGCCGATTCGATGAACACCTTTCCGTATCCCTTGTCTTCGAAGTATTGGGCCATTAGTTTGACGGTGGTGGTTTGTTGTTCGAGGAGTTTGAGGATGGTGCCTAGTTCGTCGATTATGTCACGCAGTTCTAAGAGGGTGGAGAGGTCTTCGCGGTTTTGATTGGCAACTCGGCGGTCTCTTTCGTCGCGCTCGGATGCTGTCATTGTCTTGCCTTCTGGTGTTCTGTTATAGTCGGCTGGCCGGGCAATGAACCCGCGCGTGCGGAAGCGTTTGAATGATTTTGTTGTGGATTCGGTCTACTTTTATTAGCTGGTGTTGGTTTGTTAGGAGAATGGGCTTACTAGGATGCTGATGGATTCTTCGAATATTCGTAGTACTTGCAGATCACGGTCTAGGGTCCTGTCCAGGAGGATGGTGACTGCGTGTAAGACTATCAATGCGGCAAGATCTCCAGCCGTCTCGAAACGCCTCGCAAGGTCGCCGTTCAGCTCGTTGTAAATACTGCTGTGTAAGTTCGCTTGCTCGTAGAGCTTGTCTTCGGCAGTTGTTGCCTCCTGTTTGGGGAAGAAGGTAACGACGGTTTTCTCGTCCACGATCCAGAGCCAGAGTTGGTCCACCATGAGGACTTTCCCATCCATGAATGTTTTGGGAAACTCATGGTCATCCTGCAAAGGTATCGAGCCATAATTTTCCTTGCTGAGATCCACAGCTTTTCTTGTCCGCTTCCATAGCATCTGATCGTCATCTCTTGCTACCGTTGATCGTAAATTTGGATAACCATACTGGTCTAATGTTCTTCGTATATGAATTGGAGGCTCGGTCCCGAGAAACTTCCATATTAACCTCGATTCTAAATGGGACTCTGAGATGTACTCGGGGACTGGTTTGGATCTTCCTTGATGCAACCGCCTTTCGATAACTTTCCGTCGTCGAAGTAAGTTCCAGTATGTGTCCCAATGAAGCTGTGATATCATACGTTAGTGAGCGGGGCTATTAAGTGCGGTAGAATGACCTACATAAGGAAGCTATTGAATCGTCAGTATTCTGCCTATCTTATCGAAACACCTGGACTTACATATAAGGCTAATTGAGGAATACAAGATCTTGGGGTATTGATTGGCAAAGAATCGGTCAGTCTAGAATGGATGCACGTAGGCCGGACAAAACGGGCGTGAGGCTCGAGATGGCGGGCTCTAATTAGATGCGAGTACCAGTTCTTATCATTGATGAACTTCCTGAAGCTGATGCATGAACAGGTATTGCACATTAGCCAAAAACAATAAGGCACACAAAGTGATTGAACTTACAATTCTGGTCTCTGTTCATCATCACAAGCTTTGGCCAGAACAGGAGGTACCCAGCCTGTGTGGGTGTATGGGATATGAATCCATAGAAGCTTCTCGCTACCTGGTTCTGGTCGATCAAATCGAGGAGCTGCCCGAGGCAACTCTGCCCGAACTTCCTGAAGCCGCTCCCTTGTGAGTGGCGGCAAAGGCAGGAAGTTTTTATATTTCCGTGACAGACTAGTTCTTTAAATGTTTTGGTTAGTGCTGTTAGCTCAAACTTCTATGTTGGCCTGATACTCACAATACATTGGTTTGTTCTGGACTGCTAGATCTTGAATCCTCAGCATTGGTTTCTTTTCTCTCTTCAGTTACGCTATCCCTATGCCCGGGGTCCTCACTGGAGATTGTGTCGCTTGGAATATCCGATGCTGCTTCCTCCTGTGGTACTTCGAAATAATTGTCGGCAGCAGCCTCTGTTACATGGATCCTGGGAGATCCTGTAGTTATGAAGCTACGGCTTCTTCTGATTGATGGCCTTGGTGGGATTGCTTCAGGCTGTATGGCTCTAGAATCTTCAGCTGCTACATCATGAATTGTGGGAAATGCTGCATCTGCCATGGCAGCAGATGATGGTCTGCTATCAAAGTCACTTATCGAAGAGTCATCGAATGAACTGGACGATATTCTACCGGTTTGTTTAAGCCGATCCGTGAGACAAATCGAAGGTCCATCCTTCAGATACTCTCGAAGCGGCGTTTTTGTTGACCAAAGCTTCAAAGGTGTCTCGTCACTAACTCCCCGCGCGGTGTCTTCAAAGAATCCATTGACTTGCACCATAACCTCTCGACTAACGCGCAGCGGAGCATCTGGCAACTTGGACAGCTGTACAGCCATGGCAAGGATTGGCTGAAGCTCTTTGATAAAGCTTATCCTGGTTGTGAGTTCTTGCCCTTTGAAAAATGCGACTCCAAGATGGTCCGTGGCCAAAGGAATCACTTTTTCGTGCTCTAGATCCAAAATCCCCGACCGAATAGAGGTGATTGGAACATGCATCTCCACCGTATTTACGGTACCTGAGTCTGCGACCATGAGCGTAGAATCGACGGTCTCTAGGAAGGTCCAGATTTTGATATCTGCGGAAATGGACCTAAACTGGCTAGACAGTTGCAACAACCTTGGATGTCTAGGCTTGAGTACCTCCCGTATACAGTGTGGGACATGATGCTTGAACTGCATTAAACGGCGGATACTTTTGGCATATTCAGGAGCCGAAAGATAGCTTGATCCCAGGTGAGGGGTAGCCAGAAAAGCAATGCCATAACAGCTAGTCAGTATCGACGCAAGGTTCGACGCCGAATGTCCCGCAATAGCCAACGCTGCTTTGGCAACAAGGCCACCAGTTCCATGGCAGATGAACAGGATGGGCCTCCTCCCGCTCTGTACTAGAGTTACTCCTTTCGTTCATTTGTCGAGGTAAAGTTAGCTATTACATACTGTGTGCTGCCTTTCTGTATGTATCTGCTTTAGTAGATGGTGGGCCAAAGAGTCCAGGTCATCTTGACGGTCTAGCGGTCCATGGTCCAACATTAACATTCGAGCATTCGGGATATACCGTGTCAATTCTGAAGTGAGCCATGGCCTTTGGGAATCTTCCCCAACCCATGTCTTTTGTGGATCCGCTCCAATGGCGGGTACCGCGACAATACTAGAGCTGCTTAGTGACCATCACGAGCACGGTGAGTAATTATGGGGGCTAAATACTCACTCTACATCGGTCTCGAAGTGAGAAGACAGCTCACTGTGTGTGTCGCTGCCGATTGCCATACTTAAAGTTTGCTCTAAGGGGAAATGTAGCACTAAACCATACTTCCTTTTTCTAAGGGTGAAGAGGATATGATTAAATGCCAATCCTCATTTGACTCCCTCCTCAGTTCTCGATGATGAAAAGCCATGGCAGCTGACTATTCTTGGGGGCTTGCAAAGCCTTGGCAGTTCAGCCTCTTCAAAAAGTGTACTAAAGATGACTAGAGTGAGCGAGACGCCAATCATGAGGCCGAAGTGTTGAAGAACGGGGGCCAATCCCGTCTCGTGACTCGCCCGGCACCTGATGATCAACAACCCTGCAAGGCATCAGATGAGTCAACATATCAGATGGTAAGCCTGTTTTTCTAATGAGCTTCTTAATAAGTTTTACAAGGTTCACCTTACGATATTTAAGTTAAATGGTTTCGATCCGTAGACCTGCAAAACCGATTTCAGAAAAAGTCGCGGAACTGGGAAAGGATTCCAAGAGTGTCGGAGATATTGATGTTGATTGAATCAATATAATACAGGGAGGAGGGGAGTTTGTTGGCTCTATCACCAGGTGTATGTATGTACACGATAGCCGGAATGCAACGCTTTTCGAGTGAAGTGACCAGTACCACCCATTTTCGACCCCAACAAAGAATTAAAAAGATGCTCTATAAATGAAAACTCATACGGTATCGTCAAAAGGAAAAGCCATAACCAGAAGCGGAGTCTTACAACAGAATTAAACAATAACGAAAATCGCCGAGGGTATTTAAGTCCCCATACAAGTAGGGCGTGATGAAGAGTTCAAATGAAGTTCGAATGTGCTTGTGCTCTGAAATGCAAAGCATTGTGGGCGGTTAAATCCGTTCTTGTCCAGCAACTAGTCCGAGACAAAGCCATCTGAGCGAGATGTTATACAGAGTCTGAGTGTTCATCCGCAGGATGACGCCTCTCGTTAACGCCCCGAGCCATCTTCTTTCCGACTTCATATGTAGAAATCATGATGGCGCAAGCTGGTGCTACTTTCAAGCAACGTGCTACCCAGCCGCGAAAGAGCCCGGCCATGCCCTCCTCACGGAAGATATGCATGAGAAATCTGGGCAACGAAAGCTGCTCAGGATAAAGAGCCCCTCGTGGTACGCTGGCTTTCTGAGAAGTCTGTGTGTCATCACCTATGTGTCGGAAAACCTGTTGCCGAGTTTTCCCCACGTCAAAAGGAGTCGTGACGAATGCTGCTACTGAACCTGATGTGGCACCAGCAATAAAGCTATCGACAAACGTGGGCGCATGCAGATCGTCCGACTGTTGATGCCCCGCAGAAGACGATGCAGTCGGCAACAGGTGCTCGTGGGCTTCATGACGCGCCTCGATGAGACACTTTTTTACCTCCTCGTATCCCCACCAATACAGACCGGAGAAAGGCACATCACGCCACATGGTAAGTGTTAATCCTCGCCAGAGCGAACCATAGCCGTAAGTTTTTGTCATTTGGTGTAAGCCTTCCAGGGTGGCCTTGAAATGCCCTGCGCCGGTACCCGGGGTAGCCTGTAAACGCGTTCGAAACATCTCGATGGGGCTGATCGCAGATGCAGCGGCAACTCTTGCAACGGATCCTGAAAAGAAAGCCGCATAGGCGTCTGGCAAGAGTTTCTGGATTGGGCTTCTTTCATCGGTTCGCAGCCAATCGTATCCCGCAAAGTAAATGATGTTTGCCGGAATACTCATCATCATGGTCGGACTAAGCCCACGCCAAAGGGTCAACACTCCTTCATTTCGAGCAATCTTCCGTAGACCATCAAGTGTGGATGTAAACGTTCTCCGCTGGACTTCCTCCACAGCACAATCCGCCATAGCAGGCGCAGGTGCACCAATGGCTCCTGCTCCGGGTCCAGCCATACATATTTGGGTATTCTGACCAATCCAGAAGACCTCACGACAGCATGCCGTTACTCCTAAATCTGGGTGTACGTTCTTAAACGTTTGAGCTGTGTGGTGGGTGAAGGGATATGTATTTTTAATCGCCGATTGAGACTGGAGCCGGACTCGAACAACGTCAAGAGGCGTCACTGTATAGCAATGTTAGTATGCATAACACATTTCACTGATCTCATAAAGTATCTAAGAGTGTGCTGGGGCTCGAGTTCAGGGGCCCAACATACCTAGCAGGTTGGTTAAAACGCTGCCAAGTGTGGCAGAAACCATCTTCTGGGCGATCGAAACATGATCGTTAGTTCCACTGGCGTCCGGAGCAGGAGAGTTTCCCGTTCCAGAAGTAGCCGCCATTGCTCTGTCTTCAATCCAAGGCCATGACTCTGTCGCGTGTGCCTCCAATCTAGTAGTGGTCAAGACGTCCGAGCGATATCGGTCCCCGCGAGTGATGTCAGACCTATAGTCAGACATTCATCCGACTGCGAAAAGACAGTAATGAATTTCGCTAGAGTCGCTTTTTCTCGTCTCTTCAGGTCAGGGTATTCGAAAAATGAACTGTCCGTGTGGTCGAATAGTAAATCTGGTGGTGGGGAGAGAAGCAACGGGAGCAATGCGTCAGTCAAAAGAAAAAGAACGGTCCGGCTCGGTTCTTAGCGGTGGCGCTCAAGATTAAATTGGCTTCGGAGATAAGATAGCGCCGAATTGCCGCTAGACCTTAACGAGTCCCCTGCTCTACTACCGTCTATCGTATCATTCACGTATTTCTTTGAATCGTTGCTCAATTACCATACGAGAAATGGATTTCTGAACATCTGAATTCTTCCTGTCCTTTCGGTGCATATCGCTTTCCGTCCCTTGCAGGCCTAGTAGAGCTCTGGTGTTTCGTCGGACACTACCGTGCTTATCAATCAGTATCCCGCGTCACCCGCATTGTATCGGGGTAGTTCTTCTGCCGCGACTATGGAAAATAGTGCTGAATTAGAGTCGTTTCGACGCCAGTGGCGCGAGGAAGTTGCACATCGGACGAAGACGAATAATTCTAGCACTCTGCAGGCTAAGCCTACCACGAGCACCTCGAGTGTACGGCCAAGTCAGTTCCCTCCAGCTCGCCACGAGGCATCGCAACGCAAAGAAGAGGACGAGGAAGGGACAGCAGCCTTTGGTACCACCGAAATTGTCCAAGGCGTCGGCCAACTCAATATCGCCCATGATGAGGATGCTTTCCACTCGCAAGAAGCACGGAAAGAACCTACATCGGCCCTAGAGCACTTCGAACGAGCGGTTGAGAAGGAGGCGGAGGGCAATCTGGGAGACAGTTTACAACATTACCGTAAGGCATATAGAGTGAGGATTGCCGTTCCCTCAAAGTTGGTCCAATCTTTTACTAACTAATTATCTGTTTCCTTTTTACAGTTGGACTCCGCTGTTGACAAGACCTATCGTAACAAGCACTTTGCCTGGGCGTGGAAGAAACCAGCTCAAACCCCGGCTCATCCAGCGAATAACCCCTCAAAAGACCAACAAACTCAAGATGAGCCTGAAGTCCTACCGACACCTGAGCTCATTGCGTCTTTTGCCCATCTCCCTATCGCACAACCAGAGCCTCTTTTCAAGGGAGACCCCCAACCTCCGTGTCCCATCGCACATGTTCCATCGGAGGTCATCGTCGAGATTTTAAGGCATGTGGCCGTGATGGACCCTGCAGCAATGTACCGGATGTCCCTGGTTTGCAAACGTTTCGCATGGCATTTCGCCCACGAACAGCACATCTGGAAACGGCTTTGTCAAGGCTCTGAATTTGGCTTCAAATCCATGCATTATTCATTTTCGTGTGACATCCTCGGGCACCCAGAACATACACTCAGCTCTCGTTCGCGCTACACTCCGTTCCCTAATGGCACTGCTCAGATCCCTAAGCCTCTCTCTTCATGGAGCGAGGTCTTCCAAATGTTTCCTCGAATCCGCTTCACGGGCATATACATTAGCACGGTTAACTATACTCGCGCCGGTGCCGCTTCGTTCTACCAAAATGTGACGTGGAACTCTCCGATCCATATCGTCACGTACTACCGGTACCTCCGCTTCTATCCGGATGGAACAGTCCTTGCCTTACTATCCACCGTAGAGCCCCTGGACCTGGTACCCCATATCAGCATCGAAAATGTTCTAGAAGCTCGAGCATCTCACAAGCATCACCGACGTCAACCTTTGGATGCAGGTAAGACGGTGGCAGGAGCCCCGGACCCGATACCAGCAGTCGCGATGAGACCCTTAAGGGATGCTCGTCGAGGTCGTTGGCGCTTGGCCAATCCTTTCCCACTCTTTGACACACCTGGAGATGGTGTGCAAATGGAAAGTGGCCCGCCATCGGTATACGGAGGCAAAGATTTGTCGGGTGAGGCTTCTGATCCCAGAGATGTCATTATCGAAACGGAAAGTGGAGGCTCGAGCAGCATCAATGTTCTTCACATGTCACTGCGGTCATCGACAGCGCATCGGTCTGCCAATTCTACCACCACGCCTTCAAACGCATCAAAGAACACAAAACTGATCTGGAAGGGTTACTGGAGCTACGAAAAACTTACCGATGACTGGGCCGAGTACGGGCTTCGCAATGACCGTGCGTTCGTCTTCCGACGCGTTCGGGGATGGGGTATGAGCTAATTTTCTCGGTGAGGGTGTACTCCGTATAGACGACGGCAAAATATTTAGAACATAGTTACGGGCAGCGGTTTGATTTATTTTCTTTTTTTCTCGGGAAAAACGGGGCGTCGTGGAATCTATAGATACAATACAACGGCCATATACTGCTGTATTTAGTTAGTTCAATGTCTCCATGCCAAGCCTCTTATCGATAAGCTGGACTTAAAAAATTGATTTTCTCCGACACAACCACCTCAAACAGGTGATACGATGATATGAAGACGTCTAATTGAGCGAACTTATACCGTCTGCTTGCTTTTTCGCATTAATTCCTTCTTTTATCACTTAGAATTGTTTCTTTCAGCTATTATAGTATCTTTCACGATGCCCGAACGGGTGAAAACAGTCTTCGAAGATCCGGACGAGGTACCCGCTGGCGGCGGAAAAGACAAAGTCACGACAGGGAAAGGGAGCACCGAGACAGAATCCGCGAAAAGGAAGACGCCCAGCAACGATGATGACAAGAAGAATAAAAAGAAGAAACGGAAGCATAATGAGCTGGCCGAGAACTCGAAAGCTCAAACTCCGGTAGCCGCAGAGGACCAGCCCGAGCCGTCGCGCAACTCCGAAGAGAAGGTCGTGAGTAAAAACAAGAACAATGCGAACGTCGCATCCGATAAGTCGAAGCACAAAAGGAAGGATCAGAAGCAGAGGCTATTGAGGGATACAAAGACGAACTTCAACTCGTTGAAGGAAAAGGCCAATACGTTGTATACGATTCGCAAGAACCTTCCTATCTTCCCTCACGCCGACGAGATCCGACAATGTCTGCGCAAGAACGATGTGATGCTTCTCATTGGTGAGACTGGTAGCGGAAAGAGTACGCAGATTCCTCAGTTTTTGGTCAATGAGCAATGGTGTCGGCCGACGAAGACAACGGTTGTTCAGGAGGATGGATCGCGCAAGGAGATAGAGGTTGGTGGCTGTATTGCTATTACGCAGCCCAGGCGAGTTGCTGCGATTTCGCTGGCCAGACGTGTTGCGGAGGAAATGGGCACGCCGCTTGGGTCGTCGTCTCCTGCGAGCAAAGTCGGTTACTCCGTTCGTTTCGATACGTCTACATCTCCTAGTACACGGGTGAAGTTCCTCACGGAGGGTATGCTGCTACAAGAAATGCTGCACGACCCTTCATTGACCAGGTACAGTGCGATCGTCGTTGATGAAGTGCACGAGCGCGGTGTCAATGTTGATCTTCTGTTAGGATTTTTAAGAAACTTGGTCTCGGGGAAGCGAGAGGGACGAGGCGAAGTGCCACTGAAAGTCGTCGTTATGAGTGCCACGGCGGATATGGAGAGCTTACTTGGGTTCTTTCAAGAAGGATATCAAGCTCAACACTCTGGAGAAGAAACGCAAAACGGCACGAAGAGTGTGACGGACGGGAATGCCTCAGGAAAACCAAACGATTCCGAAAAGAAGAATGATGAAATTGCCGTCTGCCATATCAAGGGAAGACAATACCCTGTAAAAACAATTTACTCCCCTGAGCCAGTACATGATTTTGTCGACGCAGCGCTCAAGGTTATCTTCAATATTCACTACAAGGAGCCATTACCTGGAGATATTTTGGTCTTCTTAACTGGGCAGGAGACTGTAGAAGCCTTGGAGCAATTGGTTAACGAGTATGCTATTGGAATGGACCCTGCATTGCCGAAAATTCAAGTCCTACCATTGTTCGCTGCTCTTCCTCAAGCCGCGCAGCAACGCGTGTTTGTCCCCGCGCCGCCTCGGACTCGCAAAATCATTCTGGCTACGAACATTGCTGAAACCTCGGTGACTGTCTCTGGCGTACGGTTTGTCGTCGATTGCGGAAAAGCCAAAGTGAAGCAATTCCGCTCACGTCTTGGGTTGGATTCCCTTCTGGTTAAGCCAATCTCTAAATCCGCTGCGATCCAGCGTAAAGGTCGTGCTGGACGAGAAGCTCCTGGTCAGTGTTACCGCTTGTTTACTGAGAAGGACTACCTCGCCTTAGATGAGGTTAATACTCCAGAGATTCTACGGTGCGATCTCAGTCAGGCGTTGCTTAATATGAAGGCTCGTGGCGTCGATAACGTCATGGGATTTCCCTTCCTGACACGGCCCCCGCGAGAATCCTTGGAGAAAGCACTCCTCCAGCTACTGAGCATTGATGCGCTTGCAGAGTCTGGCGATATCAGCCCGATCGGATTGCACATTGCCAAACTTCCTCTCACTCCGACTCTCGGTCGCGTTTTACTTGCGGCATCGGAGTATGGAAGTGACTGTCTATCCGATGTGATCGACATAATCTCATGCTTCAGTGTGGAGAACATTTTCTTGAACACGACATCGGAGGAAAAGAAGGAGGAGGCGGAGAAAGCGCGACGGGACCTTTATCGGAGAGAGGGCGATCATCTCACCATGCTTGCCACCGTGCAAGCCTACGCTCTGGAGAACACTGATCGTAAGGCATGGGCTGAGAGGCACATGGTTTCGCACCGGGCAATGCAAGCCGTAATGGTACGCGCCACTTGCCCTAAATTATAGCACGTATTTTCACTAACAATCCACCTATAGGATGTCCGTAAGCAGTTAATTACTCAATGTCGACAAGCAAAGCTCCTCCCCAACCCAAGTGACACTCGGGATCCCTCCACAAATTCCATCACCCGAGAACCGTCGCCTATTCACATACTGAAGAGTTTCCTACGCGGCTTCTCTACCAATACCGCCCGGCTTGTGCCGGACGGTAGCTACCGAACCGTTGTCGGGAACCAAACGGTGGCGATCCACCCGTCCAGTGTGTTGTTTGGCAAGAAGGTCGAAGCCATTATTTACAATGAGTTCGTCTTCACGAACCGCAGTTATGCTCGGGGTGTGAGCGCAGTGCAGATGGACTGGGTTGGGGAAGCGCTGGCCGGGCAATAGATTTCTTGATCCTTTTTCTTCATTTACTTTCTGTTTTCTGTTTTTATTCCTTTTTTATGACATTTGGGGGCCTTGTACAGTTCAGCCCACTTGACAACCTTCCCGGTGTAGAATTTATACCCAATGATCTTTGTACAGGATGCACATGCGTAATAGTCACTCTATTCTAGAACTCCAATACAATTCCGAAGACCACAGTGCCACGGCTCCTTTCAGTTTGGGTTCTCCTTCTTCTCTATTTCTCCCTTCTTGGTTTAATAGATTAGTACTCTGTTTTAGCGAGTGCTCGGCTATTTCTTCCACGCCCGAAACTTAAAGTTGAATGAACGAGAAGACAAAGAATGGGGAAGATACGAGGCCAACCTTTGCTTTTTTATATTTTTACAAGGTCAGGGGTTATCGAACTTGGCCTGGTGACCATATTTTCCACATAGGCCAAGAATCGACTCCCTTCGGTGATTCGGCATCCTGCAGCTTCTTCATATCATTGGAGCTGCAATTACCCCCTAGTGAGACAAGACTCATAGATCGCTTGTTCAAATAAGATAATGGCCCAAACGACGTTTGTTTGTCCCTCGAGCTAACCAAGAGCTCCACGAGCTCCACGAGCTCCACGACCAAGGATGAACCGGTCACCAGCTCAATCCCAGAATACTGCTAATTAAAGTTAGAGGCACCTTTTACTGGGGCCTAAAATTGCATGAGTTGATCGTTGTGCGTGCTTGATTGGATACTGGCCTTCGATTCGAATGATTACGATCAAGGCCATTAAAGCGGGCTTGAGACATATCTCTAGCGGTGTAGGTCATCAACAAAGAGAAAAGAGGGCTTAGGGCTGGGCAAGGTGATGGGTATACTCTATTTATTAGTCGTTGCTGCTGCCTGGCACAACAGGGGTATTGCTCAATTCATATTTAGCTTCAGCCCTCTGCTGCATGACCATCATTTCCCGCTGTTGTTCTACCTCGCTTTCTCTCCCTTCCACAGCCTCGCTCACTTCTTCAACTTCACCATCATATCAAACTCAAAATGGAGGATTTGTTGACAAGCTCGCCACCGAAGGGCAAACCCAGTCCTTACAATGTGGATCTCTCTCCTGGGCATCGGGCCTCGGAGCGGGACGCTGCTTGTCAGGGGCAGTTCGATGACCTCCGGTCCGCAGCAAATAACAAGGTGTGGATGATTAGTGAGAGATATTGCCAGATTGGAGATGGCGTTGACTCCTTTGAGCCCACCCTGCATGATCTCTGGTACGGCTATTCTCTTAGCGGCAGATATCTCCACCACGAAAGCGCCGAACACGATAGGTTGGTCCTTGACGTTCTCCGCATCCGGGGGCGGGGGCCTCTGGCCAGGCCAGTACGGGGTCTCTATGGCATTGACATTGCCAGAACTCCCGTCGGTGCTATCTGGAACGATCTACCATATTTCGTGGATGGTATGACGGAACATTGGGTCAATGAGTGTGCGAGTCTGGACGCGAGTCAGCGTCTCAACTTTGCGTCCTTTCTCGCCAAGCTTGCATCCACACGTATCGACAAGGACAGACTTTGTCAGATCGCCCTGATACTTTTCCGCGAGACATTTGAGACCATCCGACCTCTCGGTAGCCTCAACAAGCCTGGTGGACCTTACCAAACAATTCTGGAGGTTTCTATAGCCGATTTGCTTCCAGCTGCCTGCGCTTGGATCCGCGAAGCCGGATATAACATTATCCTGCTGTCAGACGTATCATGGCACAGCTGCTCCAACACTATTGGGCGCCATGGGGAGAGCTTCATTGAGTCGAAGCTAGCCCAACGAGCCACCGTTGGATTCAGCCCTCGGAGGTGGATGTATTGGCTGAAACGACTGCATGAAATTCGCCGCGAAGCTGAAGAACTTGGCGAGAAGCAAGTTGTAGAGCTTGCCTCAGATGCTATCGAGCACATGGTAAAGAATGTTGAGGAGAGAAACCCTGGAATCCTGAGGGTTTATGAGGCTGCAGGCGATGATCTGCACCAAGATGAAGATCTTTCGGGACTGATGAAAGTGATCAAAGGGGAATTGCACTCCCCGGAGGAGCTGGATGAATTGGAGGAGTTGGAGGGTCCTAAACCTGAGTGATGTGGTTCGCCTTATCCTCTTTGATACAAGATCTAGTGTCCATTCCTCTCAGAACTGCGACACTTGAACCCGTAACGAATATATGTTGTCTCTTTACAGCTCGCGATCCTGACAGCTTTTACTCTGTATTTACTGCTCAGGGGACTATCCTACTATATATTTCGGAAGGCATGTCCCTAGACTAAAACTTTTTGTGATGCTGCCGGATGCTCCTCGCGATGAAGCGAGGCATATGACGCCTACATACAGTTGGAACTGTTAAGCCGTAAACCTATTATCTATAACCTAAGTAGAGCGATCTTATATCAGCAAGGGATTAGAAGTGTCGGAAGAAATACCCGAAGCGCAATATTTTATAAAAAAGTTCAAAAAAGCCCTTACAGAATAGAGGGGCCCCCGTTCAGAGATGATAGCTCTGCTTGTAAAATACCAAAAACCACAACCGCTGACATAGTTCCTGGCTATCGTCCTTTCTCCTCAAGCTTTGGTCATTGAATTCTTCAAGCACAATATATCTATCCATTAAGATACGAAGGGGTAGCAATAAAGGGCGAGGGTCCAACAAGACAAACTGTAATATAACAAGCTACATGCCTGCTAAAGTCCCAACACTTGTTCACGGGTAGATATGCTGAAAACCATACCTGTGCTCTTCGTCGTAGTAATAAATGACTAACTACTTGAGCCTATACGTCCTGCGTGCCTCCGAATACAGTCGGCCAGCTTCTCCCACGACCAGCTCACAGTCAATTTCATATCAGACAGCCACCTAGCTGCAGTAACAATCTTTATTCACGCTATCAAAATGGCATTTCGCGCCGTTTTTGGTACACTTGGAAGATCAGCGAAGCGTCTAGGAGGACCGGATATGAATGGCAACTTACCCTCTTGAAATGACAACGGCAGAACGAAGTTCTACCGTTCGGTCCATCGTATTTACATTTAGTCATTTTCATTTTTTCATCAATGAAACATTTCTAAAGGTAGAATTTGCTTTAAGCTTCTTGTTCTGCAGTGGAATGGGGCACTCACTCCATAGTATTTGATTTTGATCTCGGCTTCATCCTCCATGGCTAGGTCGTTAGATGGGACAGAGTTGGTGTTGGTTGGGCTAGCTGCCACTCCCAGAGCAGTTGCGAAGATGAAGATAAGGGAAACAAAAGAAGAGGCCTTCATGGTTGGAAACGAGATTTAATGTTGTATTTTGGGGCGTGGAGTAAATCAAGCTCAGAATATATTCTAGAGGGAGGATTTGTCTGCTTGATGCTCCAAAACTCTGGGCTCAAGAACAGCCTTATATAGACGAAGTCTGTATAGTGTATCCGTGGAATTTGTCGATATGATAAGTGCGGGGGTGGTCTATGAGTTCTTGGAAGATAGTCCGATGGTCAAATTCCATATCAACTTGTAAATCAACCTGACATAGCGGCCATGTGTTGTACATGGCAATCTCTGGTTTGGCCTGGGTGTGCCTTCTTTCTTGCATGATGTGCGAGTGCGTGATCAACTAGCCGTTGCGAACTGAACCGGTCACCTTTCTTATTTAGCGACCAAAGACCTAATACGCCAGGCCCTTGATTCTTGTTCCAAGGGCCGTGTTATAGAATATTATCATGGGCTGTCCTTGACACTACCTAGTTCAGCGCGTGCTTTGGTGAGGCTCCGTCACGCGGGAATGTACTGCCCTAGTAGATGTTTTGACATGCGCAAAATGAACTGGACTGCGACTCTATTATTATCACTGAGGTATATATTACAATAATATATACCTAAGATTTACGCCTGAGGTATGCTGGATGCCCTTGGGAATATACTCTTCAAGTTAGACGGCTAGTGCGCTTGGTCCAGCGCGATACTAAGAAACTAACATTAATATGAATTACTCTTGCAGACTCAACAATTCCTAATGATTTGGATCCTTCAAGCCTTACAAGAAACCGAGACAGAAGAAGACATATGATTTTAGCCAGGAAACCACAGCTACAGATAACCCCCTATCAACACTTCAAGTATGGCAGAAAATCTGCAAGGCGAGGTGACCATCCTTTCTGGCTGTGGTTAAAAAAAGCAAAAAAACCAGCTCCTACGTTGAGTTATGAATAAGTACCCCGCTTGTTCCTGGGGAAGATTGTCAGAATAAAAATTATCCTTATAACACCATGCAGATATTTTCAGTCTCACTCAATCCCCTGTTGAGCCTATTGGGAAATGCGACTGACAATGTTGACCCTATACGCGGTATACTTTGATATGTAATGCTCGAACCCTTGAAAAGATCCATATTTTAATGTATATAATGTGGGTAGGATATATATAGTGTCCAAGGCACGACCAGGTATTAGCTGGTATTTTTGGCCGAGTGGTATTGACATATAATATTCATGATCATCGACTGTAATCCTTTGCGGCAATCAATATATGCCAGTAGTAGATTACGTACTATGCAAATAGGGCGACAGCTATGCCAGGCGCTCACGACAGCTGATATAATCCCAAAGTGAATGAAACTCTACACCCCCTGAAATAAAGATCGGTCTCATTAAGTGATGCGTTTAGAGTACTCTACAGGGCCTATCATTCTCTGAGCATGAGGAGGGTAAGTCCTGGTATATCCTGAGCGCTTCCTCTAGGTTCAGAGTCTACCCAAAACTCACTTGTGTAGAGATTTCGCGTGAAAGGTTAGAGCCCCTGGCTAATTGATTAGTTCTTCGTCCATCCGCAAATATAGCGCCCCCTAGATAACTCTCAAATTTGTTTAGACTGTTATTATATGTAAATTAATCATCCATGATCCGGCTGTGAACTCGTGCCCAAGAAGCCGTAGTTGAACCAGTTCCTATTGTGTTGATAATATTGTAAAGAAGGATACGATTTTCAGCTTTTATACAGGCAGGTGAATAAAATAGCACATAACACTTAGATAAATTTAATGAGAATATACTCAAGTGATGTGTTTGGCAAGACCTAGACAAGCATATAGTATTCAAACTTGAGATACTTAAGAGGTTGAAACTATAGCGCCAAGCCGGGTATAATCACGCAAGGTTGTCTGTCTTACATCACTCCGACATCGTTCCTCAGCCCTATGTACGTGGAACACGAAGAACGCGAGTGTCTACTTTCTCTACGACAAACTTGTTTTGTGGGATTGACTATCAAGGAAATTAGGCTGTAATGAAAAGTTGTTTTGAGTTAATGTTTCAAATTAAGAGAGCTTAAGTTTGCTCTGTATTGGGAGTGGGGATCTTCTCCCTTCGATACACTAAACGGGACAACATACGAGCTGAGGTGAAGGGACATTCATAGAAAAGCAAAGGGGAGGGTTGGACCGACAAGCCCTTGCATGGTGTCAGCCTCGAGTTGGGCCATGCAGAGAATGACATGTCACTGCCTCTGGATCAATCAATGGGATGTATGTAACTTTGTTCAACAAATCAGGAAATTCGATAAAGAGAACCCCCAAATAGGAGGTCAAAGGACTATTCGAGTGCAAAAGATCTGGATGCAATGGAAAATAACTTGTTGGAAGAAAGCCAATATACCCTGAACCCTTATCTCATCAATGACTCCAATCAAATTAAACGGCGGTCGATCACCCGATCGGCGGAACAAATGGCTGTCAATTCAATACGATACGGGATTTGATATGATAATCTGTATGCATGTATCAGTGACACCATTCCGCGGTCAGATGATCCTAGTCGATTACTAGTGCAGGATCCTTGAATACTCGATGATATAAAATCAAAAGTAAGTACTCGATACTCGGGCACTTGCGGTCCATCCGGTACATCACTCGAGTAGCAGGAACCTGGTCTGGTTTCAAGTGGGACACACTTTGCTTTTCGTTCTTCCGCTCTCGTCTGATCACTTTTTTCTTGCATCATCAGCTCTGAATTCGGCTGGTCTTTTCTGTCACGTCTCATGCTTACTCCTCCTACTCCCCCTTCTCTCCCTTCTCGTTGTCATACTAGAAAAGAAAGGAAACAGGACAATCGGGGGGATCTTGTTTCGTTTTATTCCTACTTTTTACTCTAACGGAAACCCCAGTACAAAAAGACCAGCCACCCTGCCTTCTGGTTGGATCGCGCCCGATCTTAAACCAAAGAGGATTCGTCATTGTTGTCTGTCCAGTTTTACCTTTTCTTATCCATCTATTTTAGCCTCGTCGCCGCCTCCTACATTTGCTGTTGTCTTATTTATTTATTTTCCTTCTCCTTTGCCCTCGCCCTCTGTATACTGGTTCTATACATTCGTCGAGGAATCCTGCATTAAAGAACTGCGCGGGGAAAAAAGATCCACTGCGATCGATAAAGGCCTCTCTTATCTCCCTCCAACCATTCCACAATCCACCATGGCCTTTCGCCTCCCACCACCAGTTCCCCGCCGTCAACATTCATACTCGACCTCGCAACCCCCCCCTCCTCCGGCCCTTGAGGTACCGCAGAGACTTGAGAACGAACCCACTGAGTGGGTACTCTTCTCGCCCTCCCAGCCGTCAGCCGACGCCCGCACGCACACGACCTCCACCGAACGCACTCCACGCACAGTTGCCGCCTCCCGCTTGAGTGATTTTGGCTCCTTTGGTACTCCGACGCGCTCAGCTTGGGGACAGGATAATGGTGACCTCGATGATGCCCTCGAAGAGCCGTTGGACGAGGATGGCACCGAATTAGACAGTCTGGATGACGGCCTACATGCCTTCCGGGCGCCTTCGGTGAACGAAGAGTCTTCCAAATGGGACCAAGGGACACCGGCTGTCCTCCCCGCGCATGATGGACTAGGGAGTTTTGAGGCATCGGCCCAGCCGGTACAAGACCAGTTGTGGCAGCATGAGCAATATAATCCTCACCGGCGGCCTATGCTTGGATCCCGGCGATACTCGAGTGTCCAACGTCAGTTGGACTCGGTGGAGGATAACGAAGCTATAGACATGGAGCGGGAACGATGGCAGCGGATTGAGAAGTGGAGGATGGATCAGAGCCGGGCGCTCTTGCAGGAGGTTGAGAAAGAGACGCGTAGACGGCGCAATAGCCGCGTCAGTAGGCTGGGTGAGCCCGCGGTTTCTCAACCTGAGCTTGCGAGTATGGACAGCACTCTGGAGCTATCCAAGGAAGACGCGTCTCCACCCTCTACAGTAACCGAGGGCGATGAAGATGAATCTTTGTGGCGAAGGATCACCCGCAAAGTCATTCGGGACCTCATCGGTATCGACGATTCATTGCTATTCGCTCTTTTTGGTGATTCCCTACCAGAGACCGAGAGGGAGACATCTGCTGGGACAGATGACACTTTCCACATGAATGACGCCCTCAAATCGGAGCTGGACTCTGCCCCCGACGACCACAGCCACTGGCAGACTACGCTACTTCAGCGCATTGCTCGAGAATTAGGAATCCTTGTCCATCAGCTTTGTGAACATCCAGGAGCCTTCACATCCTATCTCAGCCTGACAAGCGAGATCCCCAACCAGTACGCCGGCATGCCTCTCAGGTCGTTACCAGAAGAGGGCGAGTCCCAAGTCCGCCCTGAATCTGCAGTCCTAACAGCCTCACAGGAGCTGGCAAGCAACAGGGATTCGATGCTATCCCCACAATTTTCTCCTACTATTCGTGATCCCCATGGCCGAGAGCACGCCGCACAGTGGGGCATTGAAGATGATGACCTGAATCGGAATTCTACTACAGAGCCATTATCCGAGTCGGTGCGTCTTCAGCAGGAGAAGGAATACTGGGAACGGGAACTCGATGTTATGATGGTCTTCCGCTATCTTCGCAATCGCTTCAGTCGTCGAAGCGGCAACACTGATGCCCACCAACCCCCTTCACGCCGACCCCCGCAAGATGCATCCCGACGCGCCGCGATCATCCGTCAGCACCACCCACTAGTAGCACGAGCACACTCCCGCTCTCAGGCTCAAATGCGACGCCAGTCCCAGCACTCCATTAATCAATCAAACCAGACTGGTGTCTCATCTCCTATTTTACGCCAACATTTCCGCCACTCCAGTTCTAGCTGCGGTCAGAGCGCAAAGCTCTCTGGTATTTCCAGTCGCCGCACCCTCACTGGCTCCAGTCGGAACTACTGGGACATTGGTGGCAGTGTAGACAGCGGAAGTGCTATTGCACCTGTAGCGGCTGGTGCTGGGACTTGGGGGGACGTCTAGTCACTCACTCACTACCTATCTAGGGCATATCCACACAACCTACAATCCATGACATTCTCAAGTACCTTCCCCCTACTGCCACTCACTTTTATTGCATGCTGGCCATCAATGTTTAATTTAATAGGGCTGCTTCGTCCGAAGACCAGGAGTTTCTAGGGTACTGTCATGATCTACGACACCTATACCTATACCTATACCTATACCTATACCTCCCTTGTTTAGTTTGGCTATCTGTCTCTTCTCGGTATCTTTCTCTCGGCGTTATCTGGCATTTTCTTTCCTTAACATATATCCATATACTGAATCCAAATCTCCGACATGTTTAACTTGGGGTAACAATGCATTGGTGTGGTCTTTTTGCATTTCTTCCATATCCAAGAGGGCCAGCAAGGGTTTAGATATCTCTCTCATCAGCTGGGACAGGTGCATGTGAAACGGTGTACAGTATGTAACGGGGCAACTCGGTCAGAGGGGTTATATATATATCGGAAGGTGAATTTGTTCTATATAATGCATGGTCTTACAATCAACGCATGAATCATTCATTTACCTGATTACATTATCTCATGAAACGTGACTTTAAATGACTATGCAGGGTGTATATATATCGCATGTTCACAAGAAATATTGTGAAAAGCCTTGTAATCAAATCATATCAAACAACCAGAAAATGACCAATTTGGTGATCCTGAGGACTCAATTACTCTATCTGCTATCTAGACGGCCTCTCGTGAGTGACTATGACCCTTTTTATATGGCCCCCATAACAAAAGGACTTCCTTCATTTCGTTCACTTCAACATAGCACCTATTATTTACTAGGCATAATCATCATATGCCAGCCATTTCATAGTCTTTTTCAACATATAGTTATGAGAAAGATAACTCTGTTGTGAGACATGACCATTAGGAAAATTATGTATATATTGACTGAGGATACACTAGTCCTGGATAATTCTCCAGACCCACACACGAGTATATATATATACCAGTAACGTACATATCACGTAGAAAACATCTCACAGTCTAGATCTAATCTTAGGCTGATATATCAGTTAGTCTTTTAAGGTCAGAATTTGATGTAAAGCTATTTATTATAAGGCGCTATCATCGTAAGATGTCACATTTAAGTGATGGGTCTAGATCCTGGTCTAGCATCATTTATGCTTGTAGGCTGGGGTAGTGATTAAAGTTCTAGGGGCTAGATGCTGGGCAGGTCGTAGAGCATTATGCTGACGTGCCTTTTACGACAGTTCATATTTTACAAAATTCGACTTTTACGGAGATCAGGTACGTAGAAATAAGCCCGAGGAATCCATGATTAAATCAACTCCGCCGTGCGTGAGGACAGTATAATGACATCACAGAATAACAAACGTGTATTGGTAACCGGAGGAATAATTAAAATTCATGTCTTTTTTAATGGTCCTAACGCTAAAGTTCATTCCATCTAAGCCTGGGTCTCGTAGGCGTCGGGGAAGCGCTTCATGTTGTTCTCAACGAGACCGTGGCCACGGAGGAACTGCACGTAGGCACCATCCTGCTTGAGCTTGCCCTCCTGGCGGAGCTGGACGTACTCCTCGCGGCGGACGGGGGTGAAACCCCAGTTCTTGGAGACGACGATCTTCTGGCGACCGGGGAACTTGTACATGGAGCGACGCAGAGCCTCGATGGCGGCGGCGCGGTTGGAGTCACGGGTGCGGACAGACAGGATGATCTGGCCGATGTTCACACGGGCAACGGTACCCTGGGGCTTACCGAAGGCACCACGCATACCGGTCTGAAGACGATCGGCACCAGCGCACGACAACATCTTGTTGATACGGATGACGTGGAAGGGGTGAACACGGACACGAAGGTGGAAACCTTCCTTACCGGCGATCTTCACGAGGTACCTGGAAAGGAAGAGGACTGGTTAGTGTCTGTTGTATTTGCGACGGGCTGTCTTCATCTTGGGCTCGGCTCGAGAGCGACATACTTGTTGGCACAGATACGGGCGGCTTCAAGGGCTTCGGAAGAAAGCTGCTCATATTCGTTGGAGACCATGTGCACACAGAGGGGGAAGTCGTCGACATTGGCCTTCTTACGTCCCAGATCGAAGATACGAATCTTGGGGTCGGGAACACCACGGTTGAACCGGGACTTGGGGTAAGGCTAGAGATCGATCATGTTAGTCAAGATATCCTTGATGGGTCGATGATAGTGTTGCAAAAAACGAAAGTCCCATCTCGAATAGTCAAATGACATTGCGACAGGCCATCTCTCATATCTTCTTCCATCGTGGTTGTTGTCATTGCTCCCCCACAAGCGAGAAATTCCGACCCAAAAATCCACAGAACATGAAAAATACACGAAAAAATCCATCAAACCGTCAACGCACCTTGTTCTTGCAGTAGCGGTAGCAACGAGCGGGACGGCGAGCCATTTTGAATGTTGGAAATGACCTTGTTGCACTTCCTGCGAACGGTGAGGTTGTCGAAGAGGGTGGTGTCGAGAGTCAAAAAGGGAAGGGGAGGCTTTTGGGCGCGAGCACTTCCGACGTTGATTTCCAAGCAGCGTCCACTAACGAGTGGCGAAACCCTAAACCCTACCATCTCCACCAATCAAAGCGGCGGAGGACCAGACCGCATTTGTCAGACGTCGGCGACATTTCGACTCGTATTGTCAGTTTTAAACTTCTATCTTGATAAAAAGTAGATAAATTCTCTCTGTAGGGGAATACATTAATGATTTATAATTTACGATGCGTCATACACCCCATTACGTGTTTGAATAAGCCTATACGAGAATGTACCAGATCATAGAAGAAAAGAATCAGTGTAAAGGTTTCTTTGTCATTATCTATCACGTGCCTCATCATTGCTTTTCAAGGCCTTGTATCGTCTAGACATAACAGAAGACATTGCCTGTGCTTTACACTTACTGGCTGCTCAGGATGTCGGAGTCACCGGCATCGAGAACAGTCATGGTGCTGGTGCGGAAGAGCTTACCGCAAGCAGTACCAAGCTCGATCTGTGCAGGCAAAGTTAGTGATCGAGTACCCTCCACAGCGAAAGATTGCGGTTTCTCAGGGCGGCTCCCAAACGACGTCCTCCTGGGAATGATTGGACGCGTCCGAGCAATGAGACATATGCGACACAGGGACACTTACGTTGTTACCAGAGAAGTGGTGAACAGGGGCCTTGGCGAGCATGGCGTAGTACTCGAGCTCACTCTTGCGGAGAGGAGGAGTGTTGGCAGCAATGATGACCAGCTTGGCCTTGCCGGACTTTAAAATAATTGTCAGAATGTTATCCCAGATGTCGACTGCTTCCAATTGTGTGTCAAAAGCTTACACGAAGGGTCTTGATGGTCGACTTGTAACCAAGGGTGACTGTACAGGTACAATTAGCAACCGAGTACGGATTCACACAACATTCAAAAATTATTGAAGATTCGACATACCCTTTCCAGACTTCATCACCAAAGCCAGACGGCTGTTGATGGAGTCGGCGTTCTTCTTGCTCTTAGGGGCCATCGTTACGCTTTTGAACTGAGTCGTTCGGTATGGATTGAGGATAGTCTGAGAAGATGCGCTCCGGCCTTATCGTGAGAATGAGTTTTTTTTCTACCTCTGTGGGGTTTTTGGCGGTCGGGCGGTTATATTCGCTCGGATAATCTCTAATCCTCTCCGCTCAGCTGAGTCATCCCGCCCGTTTCTGTTCTTTTGGCGATCCTTGAATCAAGTGTGTATCAGCGCCCGAAAGTGCAGCCCGTATCTTACGAGTGAAATAAATTAGCCCTACTTGGGACGGATCGGGCGTGGCTTATGTGCTGTCACTGCCTCCCAATTGATGGAGGGTCTGATGGAAACAATTAAATGTTGGTTGTACTGTTTTTAAACGTGGCGCAGATTCCTGCCATTTGCATCATTATCGGGTGGCCGGTAAGAAATGGAACTTTTGCTATTCCTGTTCTTTTGGGACAGATGGCGAGGCCCTGTACGCAGCAAGGAACCATGCTATCTTTAACCCGCCATGTGGTGAAGTTGGTTGCCTTCGCGGTGAAAAGGGTCTAGTTTTGCATGTATATACAGGATCAGTAGCCATAGTAATAGTAATAACAATCATAGAATGAAGGATTATAGTTAGTCTTGGTTGCCTCTCGGGTAGTTAAACTTGCATCGGAAGATGTAGTTCATGCAGACACTTGACAGTATTGTTGTTGTTGTTGCGCCATTAATTAAAAAGTTGAACTAGTACTGACGCAGTACGATATTCCCTGAGCAACCAACAGTATTAACGGTGTATGGGTTGGGTTGTCCGTTTCCATACGGGATCAACCCCCCGAATGCCTGCAATAAAATAAGCCAATCCACCGGTTTCCCCATCCCCAGAATATTTCCCATTTCCCTCGACGACTCGATTCTATCCCTAACGTGACACATCCTTTGGTCTCGCCCCCATTGATATTTATATCTCTGCCTCTTATTTATAATTTCTTTCTTTTCGTTTTGTTTGTTTCGGTCCAACGGTGGCTAGTCGGGAACCAGCCATAAATTCCACGGCTACTACTTAACTAACTAGACTTCCCCCACTACGGCATAGTGTCCACTGTGTTTTGACCGCTACTACTATATACCTCCCCGATCCTTAAATTTGTCACTTAATTTCTCGGTCGTTTCATCGCTGCTCCTAATTCTCGAGAATTGCCCCTTTTCAGGTTGTCTTCTTTGCTTCTTGCAATTCACCGCTCGCTGTGAACATCGTCATTGTCAGTGACAATGTCTACGACACCTCGGAAGCCTGGAACGCCAGGCAGTTCGACCAAATCCTCCCCCGGAGAAAACCATACGACGAATGGGACTCCTTCGCGAAGCCACACTCGATCCCCCAGTACAACAACAAATGGCGTGTCTCGATCCCCGTCACTTCGTGGTTCGGCTCCCGTGTCTGCGCGGGCTGCGGCTAGAAAACCTGGTCGTTCCAACCTCAGCACTTCGAGCGTGCCGAAAGTGAACCGCGATCCCTCTGAAGAAGAAGCCCGCGCTCAAAATGCTGCACTCATTGAAGAGTTGAAGGAGCAGTTGCAGAAAGCCGAGACGGCTTCAGAGCAATACCAGAAGCAGCTAGGCGTTCTGCAAATGCGACTGGATGAGGCCGTCAGCGAGCAAGGCAAACTGGAGGACCAGGTTCATGAGAAGGATAGCAAGATCGAAGCTCTCAACGGTGAGATCCGTGATCATGTCCGGCAGATACGTGACCTGGAGCAGGAGCATGAGTTGGAGCGGAATGCCATGCTGCAGGAGAAGGAACAGCAGGGGAGCCGCGAAGAAGAGATGCAGGCCACTATCCAGCGTCTTAAGGATTCCCTGGCTCAGAAGGAGCGAATTAATTCTGATGTAGATAAGAATGTTTCTCGTTCTTGTATGGTTCTCCCTCATTTTTCCCCCACATTTGCCCGGCTCTTTGTTTCTAACTTTCGGTTTCAGCCAGTTTCCGCAATCGGTCGTCTCCAGACGTCGATGGACAGTTTGCGCCTTCGTCCCAGATTGAGCGGAGCCCGTCCCGGAATAATTCCAAGCTGCTATTGCAGAAGGATAAATTGATCGAGTCCCTCCGCCTTGAACTCGCCGAGTCCCAAATCAAACTCGTGGAGATGGAAAATAAAGGTGGTGGCCGACAAAGGGAACTAGAGAAAGAACTTCTAGAGGCTCGTATGGCCAACGCTCGTCTGATGGAGGACAATGAGAGCTACCAGTTACTCCTTAGTGAGAAAACACTGAATGGTGATTTCACCAAGGGCGACTTCATGCGAGAAGCCCACCCCGAAGTTGAAGAGACTAAGGAGTCTGGCAGCGGTTTGGGTTCGCTGGCTGATGAACTTGAGTCTGTAGACGCAAGAACGGATAACGATAGCACCCGCAAGCTCGAGGCAGAGGTCAAGGCACTGAAAGACCAGAACAAAGCCCTTACTCTCTATATCGAGCGCATTATCAGTCGTCTCCTTCAACATGACGGGTTCGAGACCATTCTGGACAAGAACGAGAATGATCCTCCGCCTACCGATAAGTCCAGTATTGACAAGGAACTTCCACCGACGCCCACCGACAAGGAGGACGCCCAGTCTTTCTTGCAGAGGGCTAGATCGGTCGTGGCAGGCCCGACCCAGCGGCCTCAACGGTCACGTCCCTCAAGCATGATGCCGCCCCCAACCAGCGCGGCTTCTGTCCCTTCGACGCCCCACGAGAACCCGGAAACTGCTCCTAGCATTCCCATGAATCGTGTACAGGCAAGAGGCCACCGCAGAACAAGATCTGAACAGACAGATGTTGCTGTTGCTACTGTGGTCGGTCAGATGTATCGCGGACGGAACTCTGGGGGTCCAATGAGCCCCACACTCATGGGACCTGGAAGCCGTACAAGTGCCTTGTCTGGAGCAAGCTATATGTCCGGCGTGAGCGGCAGTAATCGCGCCCCATCGCTATCTAGCCAGCCCGACCGCAGCCAATTAAGCAGCTCAAACAGCGTCACGAGCGATCCTCTTGGTGATACGGCTTCTACGGGTGCCACATCGAGCTCTCCTCGTTCTAGCTCGGGGATGAACAATTACACCGGAGCGGTTATGACCCAGAGCAAGTTGCGCCCCCTGCGGCTAGTCAGTGAAACTAAGGCAGCAGATGAGGAAGAAGCCCGGAAGAAGGCCAACCGTGCCAGCTGGATTCCTTGGTTCAACCGGCCCAATACGGGTGATTCCGCATAAACGGCCTGATCATATTCTACTGACAAATGGTTCTTTTTTATTTTCTCAAATTACTTCTTTTTTTTTTTCTTGTTTTCTTTTGCTTGGCGTTTACCCATACAAGGCCTTATTTACTCCTATTGTACTGGCCTCCCTGGTCGTTTCTAACCCTCAGAATGTCGTCATGTTTCGATCTCTTGCTACCTTATTGACCTTATGATGGCGACGAACTTGTTATTGGATAACCTGCTATATATGGTTCTTTGACATTTCATGGCCACACCATTTGGAAATTTTTGTCATGTTACCCATGTTGATGCTTGGACGCTCGTTGAAACTTTCTACTGTTGGATATTTGCTGAGGATTGATTGTGACGATATTCCGGCCTTGCTCATGTCTCCCTCTCCTTGATGAACATATGATTTTTGCGCTCTGTTGATAGAGTGATAATCTTTTTGTGAAACTACACTGTCTCCGACGGTGCTGTTATTGTCCAGATTATGGACACGTGTATACCAATTAAATAGGCACAATGTCTCAATTCTATCTCTAAAGAATTTTTCCTAGTTCCTTTCAACCCAAGACATCAGTCACAGAAATATAATTAAAAAAACCAAAACCAAAACCAAAACCAAAACCCCAATTAATACACATGGTAGACATCCTATACTCCGGAACAAAGTTAGCCCGCCCCAGATAGCGGCCAGCTTGACAGTAAATACTAGGGTACAATACCTACACCAAACAACCCCCCAATCCCATCAACTGCCCCCCAATTCAAACAAACACCGCCAAAATGCCCGGCTCCCTATCCCTATTCTCCGTCAATGCCGTCCTCCTAATGTCGGCCGACGATGGCTCCCGCATCTTCGCCAAATACTACTCCCCGCCTCACCCTCCGGCTGGCACTGCCCCCAATTCTACCGATTACCCCGGCGCAAATCCCTACCCTACGCTCAAGGAACAGAGAGCCTTCGAACAAGGTCTTCTCGAGAAGACAAACAAGCAGACCAGCGATGTGATTCTGTACGATAACCGGATCGTCGTCTTCAAGATGGAGAGCGATGTCATGCTTTATGTCGTGGGCGGTGCGGAGGAGAATGAAGTCCTGCTTTATAATGTTGTTTTGTCGCTGCGGGATGCGCTGGGAATCTTGTTCAAGTAAGTTTTTCCTTTCTTTCTCTTTTTGGTCCCTCAGATCTTGGTTCAGTTATGGTATATGGATACGGACTAATGTGTGTGTGTGTGTGTGTGTATTGTAGGGGTGCCACCGACAAGCGGACGATTGTCGAGAACTACGACCTTGTGGCCTTGGCTATTGATGAGATTATCGATGATGGCATTATTCTGGAGACCGACCCCGTTCTGATTTCGTCTCGTGTGAGCCGCGCTCCCCAGGCCGATGCGCCGAATCTCAAGAGCATTGATCTCTCCGAACAAGGCCTACTCAATGCTTGGGAACTGGGAAAGAGGCGTTTGGCCGAGGGTTTGCGGCAGATGTAGAGGGAGATACGTATCATACCAGTTGGGCGTGTTTGGATTGGGTTGGTATTTGCATGGTTGTGCATTGATACTTTTTTTCTTTCTATTTTTCTTTTCTCGTGTCATACTATGTGGCTGGTCCTGGCGTGGTACTGTGCGTGTTGCCTATTCATTTTTGTGATGTTGACTTTTATCTACTTGGATTGTTTTATTTTTCTTTCAGGGACCCTGAATATTTTATAGAGATATGATACTCCCGGTTTATAGTTGTTATTTGTCGGTAGGGGTCCCTCAGTCTTGAGATGCCAGCGAAAGGAACAAAACAACAGTAAATCAGACAGCATAATGGATAATGTAGGAAATACCCGATTTGCTTCTTGATATTCTCCACATTTTTGTGGGCTGGGCTTGTGCCATCCGTGACTTATCGAATGGCATGGAAGTTGAAAAGCGATTAAAGCAATTTAATAAATAGTAAAAACCTGCCCCGCATACGTCACGCTCTTTACTCACACAGGCCCGGTTTTGGTCCTTGCAAACTTCATTGTCCACCAGTCACTTCTCGCCATACAGGCCCATTCCCTGGAGCCCCGGGCTAATAAAAAAGAAGATGAAGCAACGATTTTCATCCTTGGATGTCAAGGTATGCTTGGTAATCCTGTCGCTTGGGGCGGAACTTGGTTAGACTCATACACCTTCAGGTCATCTCCCAGGAACTCTCCTCGGAGATTGTCAATTTGCGAGTGTCGAACATATATGATCTCTCATCAGTAAGTACTAATTGGATATGGAATATTAAGTATGCAACTAACGTAGGCTGCCGTCTTCCTAATAGAGGATCTTCTTGTTCAAACTAGCAAAACCCGATCATCGTAAGCAGCTCATCGTCGACTCAGGCTTTCGATGCCATGTTACCCAATACTCGCGAGCGACGGCTACCATGCCATCTGGCTTCGTGTCTCGCATGCGCAAGTTTCTTAAATCCCGCCGGATCACCTCTGTGAAGCAAATCGGCACTGATCGCATTATTGACTTCACCTTCAGCGATGGCATGTACCACATGTTCTTGGAATTCTTTGCGGGGGGAAACATCATCATCACCGACCGTGAATACAACATTGTGGCTCTCTTCCGCCAAGTCTCCATTGCCGAGGGAGAGGAGGCCAGGGTGGGGATCAAATATACCCTGACGAATAAACAGAATTACCATGGAGTCCCGGAAATTACGCTGGATAGGATCAAGGAGACACTGGAGAAGGCGAAGGCACTATTTGCAAATGTCGACGGGGAGCCAAAGAAGTCAAAGAAGAAGAAGAATGCGGATGTGCTCAGGAAGGCCCTCTCCCAAGGCTTTCCCGAATACCCTCCGCTTTTGCTGGACCATGCTTTTGCGACAAAAGATGTTGATCCGGCAACTCCATTGGACCTGGTCTTACAGGACGAGAGTCTGCTTCAACAAGTAAGAGGTGTTTTGGAAGAGGCTCAGAACCAGGATAGGGGACTTTCAACGGAGGAGAACCATCTAGGTTACATCGTCGCGAAAGAGGATAATCGCAGTGCTTCTCAATCAACCGGGAAGAACGAAAAGCCTTCGGAAACTGGCACACTTCTCTATGAAGATTTCCACCCCTTCAAGCCTCGACAGTTTGAAGGCCAACCAGGAGTTAGCATTTTGGAATTCCCTTCGTTGAACGCCACCGTTGATGAATATTTCTCTTCGATCGAGACCCAGAAACTCGAGTCGCGGCTTACAGAACGCGAGGAGACGGCGAAGAGAAAACTTGATGCAGTGAGACAAGAGCATGAGAAACGAATTGGTGTCCTCAAGGAACAGCAAGAACTACATATTCGCAAAGCAGGCGCGATTGAGGATAATGTTTATCGTGTTCAAGAGGCCATGGATGCTGTCAATGGCTTGATCGCTCAAGGCATGGACTGGGTAGAAATTGCGCGCCTCATTGAAATGGAACAGGGCAGAGGAAACCCTGTCGCGAGAATCATTAAACTACCCTTGAAGTTACATGAGAATACAATCACTCTGCTCCTTGGAGAAGCTGGCGACGAACCAGATGAGGGTGATGAGCTATTCTCCAGTGATGAGGATGAAGAATCCGAGGACGAGAAGGAAAATGGTGGGGACCAACAATCGTCAACAGTACTGACTATCGATATTGACCTTGGCCTCACTCCATGGGCGAATGCCACGCAGTACTATGAGCAGAAGAAACAGGCTGCAGAGAAGGAGCAAAGGACGGCGCAGTCATCTACTAAAGCACTTAAAAGCCACGAAAAGAAAGTAACACAAGACCTCAAAAAGGGCCTGAAACATGAGAAACAAGCGCTTCGGCAAACCCGACAGCCCTTTTGGTTTGAGAAGTTCCTCTTCTTCATCTCTTCGGAGGGATATCTTGTCTTGGGGTAAGTATTATACTTTATCCGTGTTCCTGGATAAAAATTAACTCAATGCAGTGGTCGAGATGCTATGCAGAGCGAGTTGCTCTACCGCCGCCATCTCAAGAAAGGGGACATCTTCGTGCATGCGGACTTGGATGGCGCCAGGCCTATGATTGTCAAAAATAGGTCGAAAGAGCTTAATGCGCCTATACCACCAAGTACCCTTTCTCAGGCTGGAAATCTATGCGTTGCTACGTCGAGTGCGTGGGATTCCAAAGCAGTCATGTCGGCATGGTGGGCTCCGGCCAACCAGATATCAAAAACTGCTGAAGTTGGAGGGCTTCTCCCTATAGGCGAGTTTTTGGTCAAGGGCGAGAAGAACTTCCTTGCTCCGTCCCAACTTGTTCTTGGTTTTGGAGTGATGTTCCAGATCAGCAAAGAAAGTCTCAAAAAGAATCACAAAACACACCTTTTTGATGAGCCCGAGTCGTCCGAGACGACAGCGGAGGTCGTCCATGACCCTACCGAGGAAAGCACGCAGCCTCCTGAACAACAAGAGACTATTGAGTCTGGTACGCCTTCCGGGGAGTCCAAAGAGCAAGCTGAAGAGGAGAGCTCCGAGTCGGAGGACGAACAAGATAACGCAGACTCACTTCCCGCTCGAAATCCATTGCAGCGTGGACTCTCGGAGCCTCTTGACGCTGAAACTGCACAAGATGAGACCAAGGATGCCGGGCCAGATGGTGAAGATGCTCCTAACAAGCCAGAGGATGCAGACGCTACGTCGGATGAGGTAGAAGTAAACTCTGTGCATGATGCAAAGACACCAGTACAGGAGAGCTCACTTCACCATGAAACTGAATATCTTTCGGCTAGGGAAAGGCGATCACTTCGAAAAGAACAAGCATCCGACAAGAACTCGAATGGGACATCTACCAAAGCAACGAACGCTAAACAAGTGCTGGCAAATACTCGAGGCAAGAAAGCAAAAGCCAAAAAGGCGGCCGCAAAGTACGCTGATCAGGATGAGGAAGACCGTGAACTAGCTCTTCGTTTGCTTGGGGCGAACAAAGCCAAGGCTAGCAAGGCTGCCGCTGCAGCTGAAGCTAAGGCGAACCGCGATAAGGAAGCTGAGGCGCAGAAGAAGCGCCGCCAGGCGCAGCATGAGCGTGCTGCAGAAGCTGAACGAAGGCGACAGGCCCTGTTTGAAGAAGGTGGGGATGACTACGACGAAGAGACGGCTGCCGCAGAGGCAGCAGATCTCGAGTGGATTCCAGCATTGATTGGAACGCCTCATCCCGAGGATGAGATCATTGCGGGCATTCCCGTCTGCGCTCCGTGGGCAGCATTAGGCCGATATAGATACAAGGTCAAATTGCAACCCGGCACGGTGAAGAAGGGAAAGGCTGTCAAGGAGATCCTCGGACGTTGGGTGGCTGAAACCACTACCGGCAAGGTTAAGAAGGAATACGTTGAAGAAGCTGGCATTAGCTTTGCTGATGCGGAGAAGCTCCGGGCACGGGAGGGAGATGCGATCAAGGCATGGAAGGAAACAGAGATCATTAACAGCGTTCCTGTTGGGAAGGTGCGCATTATGCTTGCAGGTGGAGGCGGAGGCGATGGTAAAGGAAAAGGGAAAGGTGGTGGCCCAGGTACTAACAAGGGAGGGAAAGGTGGAAAGAAAAAATAGATTACTATCTTGTACGTAGCCTCTGGCATATTGTATCACTAGTCTTCTATACTACTTACTATCTGATGGTCACAAAACAATGCATGCACAATGAATCCGCTTAGTCAGAGATGCAAACCGACGTCATCGTCATCGCAAAAGATCAAATTTTCGAGTTGCAAAAAGACCGCAATTGGCGACAGTCAGTCATTTGGCAAATTCTGTATCGACTTTGGTAAGTTCCTTGCTGAGGGGCGTCAGGTCAGAAAGGTCTCCACTTGAAGATTTTCTAACAAATAAGGCTTTATAGGGCCGAAGAACGCCTTTGCCCCCCCCACTAACCAATCTATTCGCGAAAGTCACTCCCGCGACACTCCTCAGACGAAGTTTGCCCAGTCACTTCAGCGAAGCTGGTTTCCTTTATCTCTCGCCTTGTCGCTGGCGGCTGTCCGCGCAGCTTCACGAGGTTCTTAAATACTACTGCCAAAATGTCGCCTAAAGAGCAAACTCGGATTTTGTCAGTCCGCCGGTTGAATAAAGAAGGTCCTGGAAGTAAATCGCTTTTAGAATGGTGGGAAAGTGAGCGCAGCAATAAAACACCAGAAGCCGCCGCGATCGAAGAGGCCGGCCAACTGCTCCGGACAAGCAATATCCCTGTTGCGTTTCCTACAGAGACGGTGTACGGGTTAGGAGCCGATGCAACACGAAGCGAAGCGGTTCAAGGGATCTACAAGGCAAAACAGAGGCCGTCGGATAACCCGTTAATCGTGCATATTGACTCACTCGAAATGTTGGAACGGCTGCTCAACCCGCAGGAGTCGAGTCCCTCGTCGGATACCCCGAGAAACACAATTCCTTCTATCTATCAGTCTTTGATCGCCCGTTTTTGGCCAGGCCCCCTTACGATTCTTCTTCCCAACCCATCTGGATCGCTTCTCGCGAGTGAGGTTACTTCTAAACTGACTACTTTTGGTGCTCGCATGCCTTCTTCGCCGCTCGCGCGGTTGTTAATCCATGCTGCGGACCGGCCGCTGGCGGCACCCTCGGCGAACGCATCGACCAAACCATCCCCAACTGCGGCGGAACATGTGTATCATGACCTCCAAGGCCGTATCGAGCTAATTCTTGATGGGGGTCCTTGCGGGGTGGGAGTTGAGAGTACTGTGGTAGACGGCCTGTGTGACCCTCCCGCCATTCTGCGACCAGGTGGTATTGGCATTGACGAGATCCGGGCGTGCGCGGGATGGGAAAATGTACAACTAGGATACCATGACGGTACTCTCGACGTGAAAGAGATCCCTCGGGCGCCGGGTATGAAATATAGACACTATTCTCCGAAGGCACGTGTGGTACTCTTCGAAGCCAGCTCCAAGGAGCAGTCTGTCTCCAAGCATATTCGCAAGGACTTGGAAGACACAGCCATCGGGGCACATATGGTTGGCATCGTGCGAACGAGGCATTGGAAGCGGGGACTCGGATTATTGTCCGAGGAAGAAATCGAGAGAACCCTCAAGCCCCTTCCATCACTAGTCAACGGTCTTGTGGGATTCTCTGTTCCCATCAAGGGCAACCCCGGTCGTAGCCCTGCATTCAAGGAGGCCTTTGATTGTCGTCTGGGGCCGGACGTCGAGTCCATTGCGCGCGGACTATTTGCGGCGCTCCGTGCCATGGACGAAATGGAGGTCGATGTCATCTATGTAGAGGGCATTCCTGATCAACAAGGCGACCGTGCAGCTGCCGTGATGAACCGACTCCGCAAAGCTGCGGGGGCCGAATTGCGAGTTTAGGTTTTTGTAGACTCGAGACTAAAAGGGTATATTATGGTTTTTTTTTCTTCTTTCTGGTGCCTGATTATAGATAGTTAGAGCCTACTATTGCTGTTATAATTCCACTACGACTTGAGATGAAATTAATTCTTAATATCTCCGTTCTCCGTCCCTCAGATTTCGGGAATCTCCGGCCGCATATTGAAACCGATCGGCTTATCAGATTGCGCCTTATCAGACCTGAAGATTTGTTGCAGCATTGTGGGTCACTTGACTTAAAAAGTAGACATTCTACCATGTATTCAACATCTGATTAGCTCTGGAAACCCACGTGGCTGCACGAATCAGCTGAAATCTGGATACTAGTCTATCTCGTACCTTTTAGAAGTTGGGTCAAACTTCGGATTTGCATTGTCTTAAGTGACGATCTTTTACCCTACTTAACGACGTCGCTCTTTTATGTACATTCTTCTTCCATTTCTTTTCTTTTCTACGCTTCATTTCTATACCTCATTGACAACATTCAATACCCTAGTAAACCATTCATATCCAAATCCTTCGACATCTCTAATTCACGAGTATTCAACAACCTACAAAATGTGCCAATCCGACCTCCATGACTTCCTCCACGGCCTCCCCAAATGCGAACACCACGTCCATCTAGAAGGCTGCCTAACCCCAGACCTCATCTTCGAACTGGCCCAAAAGAACAACGTCCAACTCCCCAATGAACCAGCCTACGAGTCCATCGACACCCTCAACCACCGCTACGGCCATTTCACCTCCTTAGACGACTTCCTCCGCTTCTACTTCATCGGCATGTCTGTTCTCCACCACGAATCCGACTTCGCAGACCTCGCCTGGTCCTACTTCCAAAAAGCCCACGCCGACGGCGTCCATCATGCCGAGGTCTTCTTCGATCCTCAGGTCCACCGTGACAGAGGCATTCCTTACGAGACTATCGTCTCCGGCTTCGTGGCCGGTTGTCAGCGCGCTGAGAATGAATTGGGTCTGACGACCCGTCTCATCCTCTGCTTTGTGCGCCATCTCCCCGTTCATTCGGCTGAGAAGGTCTACCGTGAGGCCCTGGAGCAGCGCCACTTCGACGATGGGGTCCTCCACGGACTAGGCTGGTCCTCGACGGAAGTCGGTCCGCCAAAGGATATGTTCAGGGAACTGTACTCCTCCGCCTCCGCGAAGGGGATCAAACTTACGGCCCACGCCGGCGAAGAAGGTGATCCGTCGTATATCAGCACGGCGCTGGAACTAGGTGCCCAGCGCATTGATCATGGAATCCGCCTGGTTGAGGACCCCGAGCTTATGGAAAGGGTGGCGAGGGAGGAGGTTTTGTTGACGGTCTGTCCGATTTCGAATCTGCAGCTGCGGTGTGTGGAGTCTATTGATCAGGTTCCTGTGAGGAGGTTTTTGGATGCCGGTGTTATGTTCTCGATTAATAGTGATGATCCGGCGTATTTTGGGGGGTATATTTTGGATAACTATTGTGCTGTGCAGGAGGCGTTTGGGTTGAGCGTTGGGGAGTGGAGGGTTATTGCTGAGAATGGGATTAGGGGGAGTTGGATTGGGGAGGAGAGGAAGGGGGAGTTGTTGAGGCGTGTTGATGAGCATGTTAGTAAGTATTCTGTATGTGTATGAGAGGATATGTGTATATATATGTATAGTATTTAATGAATTAGAGGTCTTTACTTACTATTTTTTCATGACTGGGTCTTGCTTGCTGAGAATTATGGCATGACCGTTCTGTCTACCTCATATAATGTACAACTGCAAACCCTAAACAGCTGTCCATGATGGGTCATGGTCCAATAACCATATACGTATATATATATATGTCTATTATACCTCAGATTCCCTCTCCATCATCTCCATCACCACCCTCGTCTCCCGAGCAAGTTCCCGTATTTCCCCCGCCACACCATCAGTGCTACTAAGCTCCCAAACCGCTCTTTCCAAAGACACCAACGCCCCGGACAAAGCCCTGATTTACCCTCCCAAAGAGGCCCACTCCGACTCCCTGGAACCTCCTCATCCCGACTGAACAGCACATCTCCACGTAAAGCAGTCCACTCCGCAACAGTAGCAATATCTTCCTCTACCCCAGGAAGAAACCCAATCTCAACGTCACCCGGATACGCATGTTCACGCCGAAACAATACATGACCCTCCAAATCCCCGCCAATTTCTTGTATAGCTATCCCAAAGAAATTCGCCGTGCGGTCCCTCGTCATGCGCGCAAGGAGAGTGCTCAGATTGTGCCAGTTTTGGCGGCCTTCGGTTTTTGTAAAGCCCGTTCCTGGGTTCGGTTAATGGAAGTTTATGCTCGGTCTCATTTATGACTAAATAAAAGAGGGAAGAACATACGATTAATTTCCTCAAGTAGAGTTGGGCCTAGGAGGGGTAAATCGGCCTAGAGCTTATTATCAGAGCCCCAGATACGGACGATTGGGGTTCTCGATTTCAGGTTCTTGAAGGCTTTTATCAGTTCGGCTAGTTTCTCTTGGGATGGATAGGAATGGGGAATTAGCTGGGCGATTTGGTAGAATAGAGGCCACATGTGCCAAAGCTTTCAGGTTCTTCTCGGTGCTCGTTTTTGGGCTGGCCTTCGATGCTTCGGTTTGTTGGGAATAGGTTATCCAGCTCCTGGACGGTGGTGAGGGCTCATTTTGCGTTGCATGGTTGGAGATAGTCGTTTAGGAGGTCGAAGATCTTTTGCTCGATGATCCAGGGATCGTCGTCGTTGAGATTTAGGTGTAGTCTGGACATGATGGTGTGCTGAGACTTGGTGTTTCTAATAGTACATGTAGTTGGTGGTATACAGATTGTATGGATAGATGTCTTAATATTATATGCTCTTCACTGGGTTGAAGAAGGGGATCAAAGTACTGAAGTAGAAGGTTATACTACCTAGTTGATAATTAGTGTAAAAGTCTGTGTTATCAGGAGAGCTACAAGCTGCTTCATGCTTACCCTGTGTACGGAGGGATGACCGATATATATCTCTACATATACTCGGTCAGCAATATACATGCGTTTTCTGCCAATACATATAGATTTATCTTAGCAAAGATAGAAAATATAAATATCCGTACACAAATATGACTCAAATGTCTCAACATGAGTGATTGAGAGTATTCACAGTTTTGTTGAAGTCTACAAAGATTACTAACAGACAGCATCAGCCGCCAAGAATAGGGATGGGCGGAGTTGAGGAGAAACAAACAAGATAGAGTGCTTTGCACAACCAAGTTAATTATTGACCAATATTAATCGGATAATAAGCAAATGCGCCCAATCATTCCCTCCACATTCACCCGGATAGGTTATAGAGCCGTCTGGCGACCCCTCCGCAACTCCATCCGTCAACCACCCGCTTCAACGAGTGCTGGTCTCCATTCCTTCCCACGCTTGACCACCGCCATAACCACCACCAAATATATCTATCAAAGAAGAAACATGTCCTCAGACTCCGCATCTGCCTCTGGGCGCTACAAACTCGTCTTCTTCGTCCCACATTCTCACATCGAAGTGTGTAAAGATGCTCTCTTCGCGACCGGGGCAGGAACCTTCCCAGGCGGCAAATACACCAAATGTTGCTTCCAGATGTCGGGTCAAGGCCAATTCTTGCCATCTGATGCAGCAAATCCCGCGATCGGAGCGGCGGGTGCGTTAGAAACGGTGGAGGAGATGAGGGTGGAGATGATGTGTTTCGGTCGGGACATCATGTTGCAGGCGGTCAATGCGCTGATCAAAGCGCACCCATATGAGGAGGTCGCTTATGAGGTTTATAAGTTGGAGGAGGTGTAATACTGGGAGGTTCGTCCTGTGGGATTAGTACAGTTACCTAAGGAGGGAAGTTGATGGTTAATGATGAAATTTTATGCATGATGAAATGTTGATACTTGTGTGATTTATTGAGTTTAACGGAGATGAAAAGAACTCGCGAATTCTTCATTATCAACGAGCAAATTTTTAAGGTCATAATTTATATCGAAATGTGAATGTTGTTTTTCATAGTGGAATTGATAGAAGGGTTAGTAATGGATGATTGGCACCCAAGGCGGGAGTAATCTGTCGACGCTGATTGGCCGCTCGCAGCTCCCGCAAAACGCCTCTTCGATTCCAAATCGATCACCTTCAATAATCAATCCATCCAGTGTCGCTCTCCCTCCTCCCCCCAATCCACTCATATCCCTCTCCGCTCGCCAGCAATGGCTTCAAAATTCTTCCCCGCCGTCCCGCGAGTCGGACGTCAATTCTTTCAGAGCGTCCCCAAGACTCAATGCAGACCGTTCTCGGCTGGTCCGCAACGTTGCAGCGACACCCTTGCCGTGGTACGTTCACGATACCTTTTGCGATAGAACATTGAAAATGTTCGGCTGTCGCGGTTTACTCAGATGGCTTATCCCTGCTCAATAAGAGCAAAGAGGAAGGGGGACTGTGGAATGTGTCTTGCTGATCGATTGATCTCCAGCACCGCAATAAGCCTACCAACAACCCGACCATCCCGTTTAAGTTCTCCGAGCAGAACGAGAAATTGATCGATGAGATCCTCAAGCGTTATCCCCCCCAGTACAAGAAGGGTGCCGTCATGCCCCTCCTGGATCTGGGCCAGCGCCAGCACGGCTATACCAGCATCAGTGTCATGAACGAGGTCGCCCGCCTCCTCGAGATGCCCCCAATGCGTGTCTACGAAGTCGCTACTTTCTATACCATGTACAACCGTGAGCCTGTTGGCAAATACTTTGTTCAGCTTTGCACAACGGTATGAGAGCCAGCCCCCACTGGTGGTGGTCCAATCCCTGTTCATCTGCTGACATGATTTTCACCAGACGCCATGCCAGCTCGGAGGCTGCGGCAGTACCAAGATCCTGGAAGCCATCACGGAACACCTCGGTATCACCCCCGGACACACTACCGAGGACGGTCTTTTCACCTTCATTGAGGTTGAGTGCTTGGGTGCCTGTGTCAATGCCCCCATGGTCCAGATCAACGACGACTACTACGAGGATCTTACCCCCGAATCCATCAAGACTCTCCTCACCGCGCTCAAGGAGTCCGCCGTCGCTACCGAGGCCGGCAAGTCCGTCCAGGTTCCTGCCCCGGGACCATTGAGCGGAAGACAGACCTGTGAGAACAGCGCTGGATTGACAAACCTGCGGGAGCCCGTTTGGGACCCTGAGACTATGATGAGAAAAGACGGTGCCTTGGACCAGCCTCAGCAGCAATAAATACATGACAAATCATAATTTTTACCAAAGAAGCTTATTCTGACTCAATGCGTTGGAGTCTGGGTTATCCCTTGCGTTTCTAGTTTATTCTCCCTGGCTGGCAGACACGGCACAGGGCCGTCAGGTGTCGCTTATGTACAGTATATTTGTTTGATGATTTTCTTCTTTGGAAAAAGTCAAACATTGATGGTAGAAACTACCATAGAAGATTTTTTTTAGCAGTACCCAATGCAGTTTCCTTTTTCACTCATAATTTCCCTGCCACCGTTCTTTTGCACAAATATTTGCACAAATATTTGCAACACCCCTCGTGACACCCAAGCGGATCCCCACGCATAATGGTCGTAAAGTTAAGCATAAGCACCCAACAAATCATGCAAGTAGCCTCCCATCCCCTGTCCTCAACCCAGCCAGCAAACATGCCACCCCTGACGACTCGAAAGTTGAAACAAACAACAAACAGACCCACGGGTGAAGTCGGATAGGGTTAGAGGGTCCGGACCGGGCTGTACATACCTGCATTCTGCAGGAAACAGAATTCAGTATACGGAGTCGTGCAGAACTTGCGCAGACTATGCTATATTTGTTAACCGTCTGATGATCGACCTGTCCGGAGGCTTATATCACGCTGTGTTATACATACCACGCCCCACAATGGAAACAAGGCAGCGTCGACATCTAGGGGATTGTTTGGGGTCCAGACGGGCTAGGAAAGCTGCTATAGCAAATCGATGGCTATTAGCCTGAGATCAATTGGATTATTGGGACTGTGTATGGTGGGCTATCTAGTTGGACAACACGGAAGGAGCGGTACTCTGCGCTTGAAACAGCGATCTTCCTTCGAAGGAGTTTATAAGTCCCACCTTGTATATGTACAGAATGGTCTGACATGGGCTGATCTAAAGGGGTAGCTATGATGGAGTACGTGTAACAACGGTATTTAAAAAGTTTCCCATATCTCCTATCTGTGAACCTGGACTAACAGTCAAAATTCCAGAACTTATCTCATACTCCAGACCTTCACTACAAAGCATCCCCTTCAATGGCTACAGAAATCACCCTCAAGGCCATCCCAGGCCACCCGGAAGAGATAACGCTCTCCACAACCGCAGAGATTCCCGAAGGCCCCCGAAGGGCACAGAACCGCTCCAAGCATGTCCTTGTTATTGGAGGCGGCGTTAGCGGTCTGATGACTGCTTGGATCCTCCTGGATAAGGGCTACTGCGTTACCATCGTGTCGAAAGAATGGGCCAACCTTGCGAAGCCCCTGACTTCGCAGATTGCTGGGGCTCTGTGGGAGTTTCCTCCCGGGGGATGTGGGATTACGGAGATTGAGACACCGTTGTGGGGATACTCGGCTCTGGAGCAGTATCGGGAGTGGGCTATGCAGAGCTTTGAGTTCTATCGGTGGATGGCAAAGCGGGATGAGCTTGTTGGTGGTGACCAGGGACGAGTTTCTGGGGCTGGCAAATTCGGGGCGAAGATGAAGACTTTGTTCCAGTTCTTTCGACGGCCGATTGAGTGCGAGTGTGGCCCTGGACGTGATGACCGGCATTATGATAAGTATTTCGAGGTGAAGGCTTTAGATGACAGTGTCGATTCGCCCTTCAAAGATCAGTTGAAAGTTAAATATCACTCTATGGCTGATGGAGGGAAGAAGGGCGACCCACGAGTGTTGACAGATTTAGTGGACCCAAAGAAGCAGTTTAATGTTGCGTGCGCATATCAGCATGAAGCTCCTATGATTGATACAGATGTTGCTATGGGGTTTCTGATGCGGCTCGTTCAAAGCAAAGGGGCAGTTCTAGAGACTAGAGAGATCATTGGCGATCTCCGTCTCCACGAGCAAGACCTGCTGAGCAAATACCATGCCGATATTATCGTCAATGCAAGCGGTATAGGGGCTCGTGAGCTCGTCGCTGATAGTCAGATTTACCCTGTTCGTGGAGCAGTCAAAAAGATCAAGAGGCCAACGGGGTACCCCGCGGATTATGCATTCCTTCTTCCAGCCCAGGAAGACCTTGACGGCTCAGTGAGTAAGACTGTTTTCATCGTTCCTCGTAACGATGATACTCTGGTGATTGGCTCAATCACTCAGCGCAATAACTGGCAGCTGAACCTTTCCCTTGACTCCCCTGAAGTCAAGGCTATGTGGGAACGGGCGACTGAGTTCCTGCCGGTCCTCAAAGATGCAGACCCTGATGAACAGTCTCTTGCACAAGGCCTGCGGCCCTTCTCTCGTCTGAACGTTAGAGTCTCCCCTGATACTCGGGCGAGTTCTTGCCGCATTGTTCACAATTATGGACATGGAGGGTCGGGATGGACTCTTGCCGTTGGTTGTGCGAGGTCTTGCGTACGCTTAGTCGAGGAGGTTCTGGATACAGAAAGACCAGCAAATTCAGAGATATGCAGGTTGTAGAGGACTGCCAAACACATGCCTGAGCGTGGTTCGGAAGGAATGATCTGACACATAGCTGGTATTGGGGCGACGCAAAGCTTGGGAGATGGAGCTTTGATATTACCCTTCTATTTCTATTTCTAATGATTTTCCTTCCCATCTTATCTAAGATCTATAAACTTTCCATATCCACTCTGTTTCCCAAAGTTCTAGTCTGTAGTATCGGGACCTCGGTCTTCGGCAGCCTTTGCACCCTCATTCACCAATTCACCAATTCCACCAGCCAATAACTGTTTTACCCTCACATATCAGCCAAATGCTTTGATTCAGAAGGGGATACATTCATGTAAAAACACCACACAAAGAGTTACGTATGCCCTAAGCAAGGTTTGTCCCACACATTAGAATGCGTTATCAACAACAACTGCCATTGCTTCTCCCTTTACCACCTCCCACTCCTCAACCTCCTCCCTCGCGGCAAGGGTGGCCTCGCCGTCCCTCTCGACCAGCACTTGGCCATGGCGGTGCTGGAAGAGGGTAATGTCGATGGTCGCCCTTACCAATAGGTGATATATGTAGACGTGCTTTGTTTGTCCATATCGCCGGGCTCGTCCAATAGCTTGGGTCATCGACGAGTCATAGTCGTACTGGGTCTGAGCAAACATAGGTGAGAGAAAGATAACGTGGTTTGCACACTGAAGGTTTCTAATCTTTGTTACTATAGACTTTGTTGGGGTTTCATAGTCAACTCACAATCCAGCAGCCATTTCGCTACCCAGGTTCAGGATCAACACTTTGTTCTCCCCAAAGCCACCAGCCTCCTGGAAGCTCTGGACTTTCTGTGTTGCCTTGTGATCTGTTGCTGTAATAGCAGTATATTCTATATTGGCAAGCTCCAGCGCTTTAGATGCAACGTCTATGAGCTCTGGAAACTGAATGAAAAGTAGGACTCGATCATCCGTTGGTACCTGCTCGATGATCCCAACCAACTTATCCATCTTGCTGCCACCATATCTGGCACTCCGATCCTCCTCATGGCGCTCAAGAGTAGACGCGCTCAGAACATTGAATTCCTTTCCTGAGCCTCGACACCCCTCGACACTGCACTCTTCTGTTTGAACTGTCTTTTGAGCGCACTGTGAGCATATGGTATGTCCACACGAGCCTAATATGTTGACTTGATTTGTATTTTCTGTTCTTGTGTAACAACCACTGCACTCAACAATTTCTGACCCGGTCTGCACAAGGTGTACTGCCTTTAGGAATCTGAGCGCTCTTTCTCGTGCAACCCATTCTAGGATCAGCTTTCTAAGCGAGCTTGTGATCGCTCGCAGCGCGAGTTTGAATTCGTTGATGCGAGTTGGCTTTATTGGTAGCCCTGGTGCCGTTTCTTTCTTTCCAGATCGCTTACTGGTCTTTGTACCCTTCTTGCTATCCTTCAACGCTTGTCCACCTGCCTGTTTCCCAACTTTGTTAGCTTGTTTTCCCCTGAGACTTGGTGACTGCCATAGTCACTTACCTCCTTCTCGGCCTCACCATCGCTCTCTTTCAGCTCAGTCTCATCTTGCATTTCTACATCAGATGTGCCTTCAGAGACTTGTGCTGAATCAGTAAAGAACAGCTTCCAGTCTTCTGTATTCGATGAGAGCATTGTACTCTTTACGAGAAGGTATATTTTTTCCGTCACAGTCCTGTCACCAAAGTCATGCGCCTTGATGCTCTCGATGAACTCGTGGAACTTGTCGTGTCTCAGGTCGCAGGCACAGTATACCCACGCAGCCATTTTGAGCTTCCCTATGAGTTCCTCACTTAGATCCTCGAGCTGCTTCAATCGAGTCTCAATAAGAGAGCGGCAGGTGAGAGCTTCAGGTACACCATCGTGCCAGCGACTCTGCAAAGCGAGCGACGAGCACCGTTTAAGAAGTGCTTCTTCACTCGACTTACTGCTTTCAATCACCTCGTCCAACCTATCATCCTGGTCACCTCTGATCCTTTTCCTGCCACCCCGGCGACCCAAACGGTTGTAAGTCACCAACTGTTTGCACAACTCAAGATAGATCGCCGTCTCGGCGGGCGACGGATGGATGAGAATAATGTGTTCCGAGGAAGGGATCTCATCAATCTCTGCGACATTCTTACGAGTGAACTGGTCCAGAAACCTTTGTGCAATTTCGTGTCGTCGGCGATGCCATTCCTCGCTCCGAGGAGCCTGGAGGGCCTGAAAAGATTCTGCTTCAGATCGCTGCTTCCGGATCATCTTAAGTCGAGCGTTCTGCGACTGAATATCATCATCGTCGATGCCAAGATGGATGCCCAAGAAGGGTGCTATTGTGTTCACATCGGCAAAGTCATTCAACGGCGGTGTGCCGGATAGAACCCATTTCGAACGAGCCTGGAGCTTGAGAAGGGGAATAAGTCGTTCGGGGATTGCATATGTGAACTCGTCAATCACAAAACGGTTGAACGAGAATGCATGTAGGAGAGGAAGTTTGACTGTCTTCCAGTCTTGATTACGGCTGGTCTTGTTTATTCCAAACTCCTTGTAGTCGTCCCAAATCTTGTCCTTCTTTACTGGCGGGCGCTTTCCCTTTGCACCTTGGCCCCTTTTGCCAGAGCCTTGTGTGCGTGATGTTATCGGAGCGTCCTCCTCCCCACTGCCTTCAATATCGCTTTCGTTATCCTTGATCGCTTTCGCGGCCCTGGAGGCAAACTTCTTGGGTCGGAGTTTCAGAAGCTGGTCAACTCGGGCCCGAATTTGCTCAGGATCCTCTTCTTCACTGGAGTCCGATACCTCATCTCCACCAGATAAACCAGGCTGTTGATCTCCCATCTTAGCGTCAATCGCCTGACCTTGACGCACATCTGCATACTGACTCCCTTTGAGTCTTTTCGAGGGAACATAAGTAAAATTCGCCTCATTATCCAGGACCTCCTGGCGTCTAGCCTGGATAGCATCAAGCAAGGCCCTTGGCCCTTGCTCCACGAGAATCTGAATCTGCTCCATCATAGCAACATGCGCCTTAACAAACCAATCATCGAAATTGCGACCCGGCTTGGGCGGCACCCGCGGCATACCAGTGAACTGCTGTAGTTTCTCATAGTGGATCTGACTGTTAAATACAGCCCACGAAACTAGCACGATATCCGCCTGTTGGATTTCCCGAATAGTCTTTCTTCTCAGAGCTGCTAGCCCATCGATAACGAGGATATGATACGTATTGTTGAGGAACTTGGTAATCTCGGACTGCCATTGCTTGATCATGATCTTGGAGACGACGATAAGTGTGGCTTTTGTGGGGATAAGCCCGTCAATGGGTTCCGGTGCAGTCTGCTGACTATGCTGTGCATCGATTAGTCCGAGTGTAATCGCTGTTTTCCCATATCCAACGTCGTCGGCTAGGACACCGCCCCGGATCGTCCTTTGCACACATGCTTTCCCCTCAGCCCGCCACATTAGCATAGGAAGAAGGGCTTCCTCGACCTCTTCCTCCACGAAGGGCTCAATATCCACGCTTTCACGATGGATCATCCACGACAAAGACCGCAGCTGCTCGGGCCGTAGATCGAGCACGAAGTTCGGCGGCTGCACACTCTGTGCATCGTTTCTGTTACTCATGAGAGTAAAATCGGGGAAAATGAGATGTCTCGAGTCGTACGAGTTTGGCAGGACACGCCAGAAGAAAGCAGCATTGTCGGCGATATCCGGACTAAGCAGCTTGCCATAGGCCTGATGTAGTAGTGATTGAACGTTGAGCGTAACGCGCATGTGTCCGGTATTCTGGTCGTCGACTTGACGGAATATCAGGAACGGGGGTGGTCTGAACTTGATCTGTCGCTCATATAGGGCAGCATCATGCGGATCTTCGTATGCCTTGACTTGGCCTCGGGAGTTCCGGCCCCAGATTATTCGGGGCTTTGCGGGAACGCAGACTCTGCATGCTGGGCTGCTGGGCTTCCCTGATGACTGGCCTTCGTTTACTGGGATCCAGTCTTGGTATGCGGAGAATCCGACTGCCTTTTGGAGTAGCCATGAGACGTCTCCGAGTAGAGCTGGAGATTCGATGGGGTTGGATACCTCCCACGGTCCCTTCTTCCAGAATGAATCGATAGCGGTGGCTGGTGCTTCGAAAGAGAGAAGAGTGATGTTCGCGCTGCGACAGTCCCGATTACTGATTGCCAGAGACGTAAGAGGCTTCAGATTGGAGCAGATAATGGGAGAGCCCGGAACATAGGAGGCTAACGTGACTGCTTGCAGCTTGATGGATTTACGATAGTACACATTGGCACACTCCGGCTCCGAACCCAGATTCGAAGAACGCCACTTATGAGAGACTTCAGCTATAATCGATCGAGACGCGTATCCGGGGATACGTCCGTGTTCCAGAGAAAAGACAAACGAGTCGTACACTGGCTCGTCGAGCTTCGAGGAATCCAAAAAGAAGTATACTGCAGGTACGTTGCCAATGGCTGGCTTCTTGTGCAGACAACTATGCGCTGTTCCGCAGTTAGGAAGAAGGTCATAGGTCCCTCGGACGTCTATTCCAAGATTCTGAATATCATCGTTTGAGCCGTCGACCGTGATCTGTGTCCAGGTTTTCGATTCAGGAAAGCCTTTAACTTGAATGCCGCATTTGGCTTCGAAAGATTCAACGCTAAGACCATTTCCCCGAAATATGAGCGCTGTATTTGAGCTGACTGGGGAGAGAATCTCCCATTCGCCTTTCAGAATGAAATCGGGGCAGGGAGTCATGCGCGCAATTGGCTTCGAGAAGATTTCGCGAATGAGACAAACGACAGGTTCATCGTCCGAGGGCTTTGCATGGAGAGACCAACACGACCAAGTATCACTGACAACAAGACTTATAAATCCGTGCTTACCCTCGTAGACGACCGTCCAAACTGAACTCCTTTTGATGTCGAGAAAGCGAAACTCGTCGCTCATTAACCGAGCTACAGCATCGAGGTATTTCTTCCAGACGCTAGAAGGGCATTCGATGGATTTGTCTGCCTGAAAGACATTGTAATGCTCACGAGAGATACCAGATATGACCAACCGAGCGGGAAGAGAGCTCCTGAGTCGACTCACGAAGTCCAACGGCTGGGTGCGCCCCAGTTCAGAAGCCCGTTGATAGTCATGAGTCGGATTACCAGCACAGTCTGTGCACGCGGTGTGGTCGCACAACTTGCATCGAAGGATATCGCGCTTTATAGCGGTCTGCCTCTCACACACGCAGTATCTCGCACTATTCGCAGCTTGAGCTTGGATGTCTGAGATGTTGATATCGGTAATCTCGTCGACGTTAATACTACCGGAGATGAGCTCATGATCATGACACAGCTCAAACCGTTTGTGCTTGGGAACTTCTTTCTTCGAACGCGCCAGCTGGCTACCTTTATCGAGTACTTTGTGACCTACTATCAGGGCAGAGAGAATAGCAGCGCCGACGACCGTTGAACTCATCGCATTTCCAGCGAGTTGTTGAAGTTCCGCTTGGCTCTCGCGGGCAAGTATCAGTCTGCCCAGTGGCAATCCCTGAAGAGCTAGGGACTCGAGTCCACAGAGAGGACCACCTCTGGTGGTAAGGTACGGGATGCCGGAAGGAGTGATACAGCCCACTATGCCGTATGCACGGGTGTCGACCTCTCGATCGATACCCTGAGAAAGCTCTATGCACCGCCTGAAACAAAGGTTAGCAACGGTACACTCCTTTTCTCTCCAAGCTATGGGAGGCTGGGTGGGTGCTTGAGGGAAAGGAGAAAAGAAAGGAAAATTTGAAAAAGATAAAAGAGGGGGGAGGGGGCTGCTCACTCTTTGTAATTCATATCGTAGCCTTCTACGAGCTTCCGGAGGAAATTAACGTCAAGCGTATCCCAGACTCGTTCAGGCATACTCCGGAGCCAGGCTTGCCAAGTGAAGTCTGGCATCTGGGAAGATCCATCCTCCTGCGAGCGAGTGAACGGGCGCCGGTGTCCCAGGCTCATGTTCATGCGGTAGTTCTGATGTCTGACCTGATACCGCTCCCAATTGTAGACCGTATGCGACGCCAACCGCGTCGTCATATCGTTCTCAATCTGTTCCAGTCTACGATCATCAGGGTCCATCAGGAACATTCCCGCCGGTGAACTCGCAGGGCGTTTAAACTGAGACAGGACCTGAACCCACTCCGCCATGTCGGTTTCCTCCAGACCGTGTTCTCGCATACGCTGCCGGTCAACACAGAGCATGTAGCCCCTCTCTCGTGTTTGCGGGAGGTAGTACGCCTTGGTGTCTACCTCTGCGTGGCACGCAAAATAGTCAATGCAGCCCCATGCCTGGGCTATCTTTCCCCATGGCGCGGTTCTGACGTTCTCCAGAATGACTATTCGCGGTCGGTACGCCCTTGCGTAGCCGAGGATCCCCCAGAATGTCCCACCGGATTCTCCGTTCTCGCTGAGGGTCTTGCGCTTGTTGTTTAGTAGAGAGAAGTCAACGCAAGAGAATCCTGCTATTAACATATCTGGGTTTCTGGGTATCTCCTTGAGAGAGCCATAGGTGGTTTGACTTTCGATGACGGTTAGCGGCGATCTTTATCAAGCACGGCGTAGCGGACGAGGGGGTGAGGCTAATGCAGCAGCAGGGCCAGGGCAACATGTCGAGAACAAACGAACAGCAAAACGCAAATTGAAAGAAAAGCAAAACGAGGAAAAGACAGGACACCTCCAAACTGATATAAAGAAGCAAACTTACGCAACACGGTCCTTCAGTTCCGTCACATCACGAAACAGCAAACGCGGATGAAAATTGTTATCGATATACCGCTGCTTATAAGGAACAATCTCTGCACTGAAAAGATGACGAAATGTAAAGTCTCGATCGAAGTGCTTGTTCAAATCTATCTACACTTCAGACCAGCCTCCACACTACTCTCACTCTGTCAGGAACAAAGGAAAACGGAAACCCACTGTCTTGTATCATCTCAATAGCCAACAACGGACTCTCGGTCCCCGAACAGGCAGTTACGATTCTCAGAGGCTTCGATCCAACATGCTGAAGGAATTCATCGAGATTAAGCTCTAGCGCTCTGGCCGTGATGGAACGATATATATCGCTCAGATGATGAAGAGGGGGGAGACCAAGAGCAAGCTGTGTGCTAGCGCGTCTTTTACCAAAGTGAGGCTCAGATCTAACGACTTCTGGTGCTTCAGGGTTCATGCCAGCAATATGAGGTTCGATGAGTGGGGAAGAGCTCGAGCTGGCCTGTCTAGTATCGGTGGGTTGGGTGCGTCGATGCTTGATTGCGCGCGCGGAGGTAGAGGAGGCGGCGGGTCTCTTTCCACGAGCCATTTCGAATGTATATAGCAAGTGAAGGTTCCTCAAACAAGAGATAAATGGAGATTTTGATGATCTAGAAGCTATTCCTTTGTAAGGACGGGATGTATGAGGCGCGTTAGATATAGCTGGGTGCTGTAGGGCATGATAATGTCACGTGGACGAGGTTTTTCAGTGTTTGGAAGATGTAGAGGTGAGAGGAAGAAAAGCAAACTTGTGGATGGGCGTGATAAATAACTAGAAAGACAAAGAAAAGTTTCTGACTAGCTACAGAGGGACAATTGCATTGTTCACAGTAGAATCACATCGTTGGCTGTGTGGCCAACCATATTGTTGTGTTGTGTTTCATGTCTTGTAGTGAATGTTGAGCTGGGAGAGCAAGAGCCAAATGGGAGATGTCTGCCCCGACAGAATTATCAGTATTAAGTAGATACGATAGAAGGATCTCGAACGTGTAGGGTTCAATAAATCTTTCTGATTCCTGTTTAAATATGATCCTTCGAAAGAGCCAATCTAGACGTGAGAAGCATCTGATGTAGTTGCCTCAAGAGAAGATAGGAAGCAAACAGCCATATACCTACCACCAAGGATTTCCGGACGAGATGTTCGATTTTACAAGGCATACCGAGGTCTAGATCCTTGGCTGTATGGTTGACTAACAGTTTGGGGAGGAAGAACTTGGCTACGTGATTACAACCTCTGAAGACTATGTAGATTAAATTGACAGGTTGTTATAGCGATGTTGAACATGACTCATCTACATAAGAGCCTAGTAGGCTATGAATAACAAAACCCAATTAAGATGTGGGATGATGATCCTAATCAAAGTCAAACATGCGAAATCTTAGCTTCTCTCTATAGCTAGATTTATCCAACAAGCTAGTATCATGTTTATATTTATATAATGAGATCGACTCATTCAGAGTCGGGACATCCTTAAACCCCTTGTTCTAGTTGAGATATCCTCATCACTAGATGTCTTAGAAAGGAGGGACTCCATGAAAGGACCCATTAATCTGCCGTCTCGAATGGCCTCATAGATGATTGATATCCATGACCCGATGGTCTTCTTAGAGCGGCCGTTCAAGGTATCATTATCAGCTGTCGGGTGCTCCACGAAGCCTAAATGGAAAGGAACGTTGAGGCCCCGGCGAACGGTTCGGTAGAGGATCTTAGCGCCAGCGCCGAGAAACTCTTCGGTGTTTTGGTGCTTAAAAAATGCACCTGCAGTGTCCTGGTACGTCTTGCTGAGAATGGTCTCGGCTCGTATTTCCCATTGAGTAAGGTCAGAAAGACCTGGGCCTTGCTTCTCTTTTAAGGTGTCTAGAAGTGTAGGGATAGTGTTTTTGACGGCAGCTTGAACTCGGTCTAGAATGCTGAGGCGAGTTGTTGTCGACCAGCTCTTGGAGATGCTTTCCCAAATGGATTCGGTGAGGTTGGGGAACTCGGAGCTAGATAGATATGTGGAAAAAAGATCGGAAGTAAGCAGGTGGAGTTGAGGCTTGATGTTATCCAAGTAGGTCAAGTGGAGTACTCGGAGATCCAAAGCCTGGCAGCCAATGTATAGACTGCAAGCGCACATGAGAGACACTATCTCGACTGCTTGCATGGTATATCGACTGGATACAAATGCCATAGAGTTGATTGACTGATTGCGCATTTCCGCTGCCTGTACGTGCGAGCTTACCGGGTTGGCGAGGTAAGCTAACTCTGCCATGTATGAAGCCATGCTGATATCCACGCCTTTCATAGTAAAAGAGAGGCTTGGATCATCGGCGACGAGGTTGGTGGGAAGACCGTTGTTAAGACTTGGGTCGACCAAGTCAGTGGACTGGGAGAAGAGAAGTCTGCCAAACATTTGAAGACATGTTCTCGTCTTCTCCATTGCTGAAGTCACGGAAACTGCTTGAAAGTTACCACCGTGGAGGATATCACGAGAGTCGGGATCTATGAGTGGATTATCCGTGGTGGAATTGAGTTCAACGGTGACTTGTTTATGCGCGAGGAGGAGGTCTTCCAGCTGAGGTCCAATCCATTGAGGCACACAACGAAGTGCATATCGGTCCTGCATCAACCCTTGGCGGGTGTGAGTCTTCTCGTTTTGGATGCCCTGAGCGAGCTGTGACCCTTGGAGAAAAGATAGTATGTTTCTAGCGCATTCCATTTGACCGTCATGAGGGCGAATGGCAGAAATAAAAGGATGAAAACTCTCAGCGTTCCCCATGAGAGCTTCCAGAGCCACGGCTGAGATAGCTTGAACCAAAACAGTCAGTTGGTGAGTCTCGTACATCACAAGACTAGACAGTGCTGTGGAGAATGAAGTGCCGTTGACCAGACCCAGTCCCTCCTTGGGACCCAGCACTTGAGGCTGCATGCCGGTAGATAAAAGTGCATCCCGGGAAGGCATGATTTCGGGTTTATTAAGTTTTTGTACGTGGACATACACATCAGGGTTACCTTCAATGGCCCCAGCAATGTATGAAAGCGGAATGAGGTCTCCAGAAGCAGAGATAGAGCCTCGAAGAGGAACGACAGGAGTGATTCTGTTCTCCAAAAGCTGCAAAATGGACTCCATCACTGACAGCGTAACTGCTGAGTGCCCACGGGCGTTTGAATTGCACCGAACCAACATGGCTGCTCGCACCCAGGGAACAGGTACAGCGTGTGAATCAAGGCGACCATGTCCCTTCAGAATGTCATCCTTATCTGAGATGACTAGCACGCCTGCTTGTAAAAGCTGGGAGAGTCCGGATTGCAATGCAACTACACGATCCGTTCGAGAATCGGCACTGCCGCCAAATCCGGTATTAACGCCTTCGAAGCACGTCAGTATATCAAGTAATAAAAGTAACTTTTACAATCTAATTAAAAGATGAACTAACCATAGATGTGGTAACCCTTGTCTAAGTGATCCCTCAGCACTTGAACACTTGCCTCGATCCTTTCTAGGACAGCAGGATCTGTAGTAATCCTGGGTATGCAGCCATAACTATTTACCGTTAGAATCTTGCAAACAATAATATTCGCCAAAATTAAAGAGTCTGTTCCTTACTATGCCACCGCTACTATAGCAGAGATGTCAAGGCTCGCTCCGTCGACTTCTACACCGCCATCCCTCAGGATTGTCTCCAGCCGCTGCCGTGCGTGGCATGCAGCCTGTAGGTGGGTTCGAAAGTCACAAGGACTTTTCATATTCGATAAACTCATTGCCTGTATGGGCTAGAGTTCCCCTTTGTTACGACAAGCCACCTCCGGGTGCGGGTGGGCCTTATAAATAGTTGTCTGTCACCAATCCGACATAACACTGCCTATAACCATGGGATATCCACATCCAACAGCCCCCGACTGCAGTGGTGACATGAGTCGATCGTGCACTAATATGAGACTATTGCATTGTCGCATAGATTGATATTTTGATTTGCGGTTCCACTAGTATGCATGTAGCTGAAACGATAAATTATCTCTAGGGTGTGGTTGGTTCTTCTTTTTAGTCTTGGCTTTTTCGCTCTTTTTAGCACTTATTGGGCCTGCTCTATGCAGCATATGATACCGATTCGCTAGCCAAATCGAGCGTGCCTGCAGATTAGCGAACCAGAGACGTCACAAGGGTGTGAGATTAGCATAAGTGGCGGGTCGTTGATCTTCGTGTGCTAGCCTGGTACGATCCTACGATCCCAAGGAGAATCTAGCCGTCACTGGGGCGTGGTAAGCCGAACGATATATTGAGCGAAACCTGTACGCAGAATGTAGGCATAGGAGGCGTAACAGAGAGAGAAAGAACTATGCAATGTTGAAAATCGGTCAGTCATGGAAGTGGAATGAAAAATCTTTCTCCTTTCGGACAATGTTGCATCAACCCTGTTTGAATCAAGGATGGAAAAGCGTAGTATCGGGTGGAGTCTTTTAAACCTGGAAGCTGATCTTCAGCTCTGCTGGTTCGTTACGTCTAATTCGTTCGGCTCTTCCGTTTACTTTAGCAAAATTTATTAGATTGATTTCCTGGTGGCGTCAATAAACAGTAAAAATGTAAAAAAGGAAAATAAATGTAGCAATCAATCAATAATGGGATATCTACTTGAATAAAAAATACAATCAATAGTCTGTGCTAACTTATACAACCTGCATATGAACCTTCTGCGCCATCCCATTTGTCATTCCAAAAAAAAAAATGAAAAAAAAATTGAAAAGAAAAGAAAAGAAAAAAGAAAAAGGGGGATTGAAGCTGACCAAAAGGACCAAATCACGTAAGCAACCAGACCGTCAAACCCAATCGTATTTCTTCATCCTAGATCGATCTCGCATTCTCATCACCGCATGGCACCTTGCATTAGTTGCTGTCGCAAAAGCATGATTTGGCTCCGTTCCATTGGAGGTAGCGCATCAATGGCAGACTGCGGCATACTAAGCACTTGTTGTAAGAGGTCGTCTTGCCCTGCCATTTGCTGCTGGGGTGGCGTGGACACTGGACCGGGTACAGCTGAGAAAGGCTGAAAAGGTTGCGCTGCAGGAGGAGGGGCGGTTGCTGCCGCCTGAGGTTGAGCGGCCTGTTCCACCACGGACCCCAAAGTGCCGTAGTCGACAAGGTTCATCAAGAGTAGTGCCTGGAAGATAGCGTATGCAAGCTGAGGCGCTTGTCGCAAAAGTTCCGTAGCCCGGGCCGGGTCAGCCATGACCAACGATTTCATCTGAGAGAGTACATCAAGGAGTTGGTTCGGAGGGAGGGAGGAGAGGGTCTGAGAGATAGCATTCGGGCAGTCAAGGTGCGGCGGGAGCTCGACGCCAGGAGGAAGAGGTGGCAGAGGCGCAGACTGCTGTGCCCCTGACTGTCCATCCTGTCCAGGTACTTGAGACGTCTGTGAATAATCCGGGGGTATCGAATCCTTCTCATTATTGTGAGGCCAGTCCACGCGGATCTTCCGACCCATGACCTCATAGTCATTCAAGTTGCGAACGGCGGAGGCGGCTGCATCAGCATCGGCGAAGTCGGCAAACCCGTATCCTTTAGGCTTTCCCGTCTCTGGATTCATCATCAAGCGGAATTTTGTCACTGTGCCCGCGGAACTAAGGATATCTTTCACCTGCTCCTCTGTGAGATCTGATATTGGTAGTTAGTATCATTGCATACGGAAGCGTCTCGTATAGTCACCTACTATATGGGATGTTTCCAAGAAAGACACTCTTTCCGGCTCTTTCAGAAGGCGCCATCTTTGCTGGGATTATAGTCGATCTAACAGGCTCTTTCAAACGATGGGGTGAATAAGACGTAAAATCACAGGACGAATTGATCGCCGGGTTTTGTTTTGACAGCGGATTGGAAATCTCCGCACGCTTTGGGTTCAACAATAAAGGATATGGGATTAAAAAAGAAATCGTAGCCTACTCGTACAACCAGAGAGGCAATTTTCTGTTCGATGGAGAAGTTGACGGGCAGCTTTACTTGGAAGCTTGAGCTTTGAAGGCGGTGACCTAAACGGACGATTTGCCGGGCCATCGAAAGAACCTCCAACGCCGGCTTCGTGCATGTAACATCATCATCTCACATATTATTCTATACCCCAACCACCATCATGGCTCGGAACCCAAAGGAACAGTGGGAGAGGCTCCAAGTGATTCTACAGAACCGCGGAAGCCGTGGAGGCTTTGGCTTCGGCGGTTTCCCATCCGGCGGTCGCGGTGGCCTGGGGCTGTCGGGAGCTCTGCTCTTGCTCGGTGTCGGAGGATGGGCTATTTCAAACTCCCTTTTCAACGGTGAGAATACGAGAGTGTATGTGCTTGTGTCTGGAGGATGGCTAACGGAGGTGATCTTTAGTCGATGGTGGTCACCGTGCGATCAAGTACTCGAGGGTAGGTGGTGTCCAGAAAGAAATCTACAGTGAAGGTATGTCGAGCCAATCCTACCTCCTCTCCGCTTCTCTCCTTGACTCCATGCTAATTATTATTTTTTACGTCAGGCACACACCTCAGGATCCCATGGCTTGAAACACCGATTATCTATGATGTGCGCGCGAAGCCGCGGAACATCGCCTCCCTTACTGGTACCAAGGACTTGCAGATGGTGAACATCACCTGCCGTGTTCTGTCGAGACCCCGAGTGGATGCTCTTCCCCAAATTTACCGTACTCTCGGACAGGATTTCGATGAGCGAGTCCTCCCATCGATTGTGAACGAGGTTCTGAAGAGCGTGGTTGCGCAGTTCAACGCTAGTCAGCTCATTACTCAGCGTGAGAATGTCGCCAGGATGGTTCGGGAGAACCTTGCGCGCCGAGCGGCTCGCTTCAACATCGCCCTTGACGATGTGTCTCTTACGGTATGGTTCCTAGCGACGTCCATGGTAGTAAAATGTATGGCATACTGACCTTTACTAGCACCTGACCTTCTCCCCTGAATTCACCGCCGCTGTCGAAGCCAAGCAAGTCGCCCAGCAGGAAGCTCAGCGTGCGGCCTTCCTGGTCGACAAGGCTCGCCAAGAGAAACAAGCCTTCATTGTCCGCGCTCAGGGTGAGGCTCGTTCCGCCGAACTCATTGGTGACGCCATCAAGAAGAGCAAGAGTTACATCGAGCTACGTAAGATCGAGAACGCACGCCACATCGCGCAGATCCTGCAGGAGAGCGGCGGCAGGAACAAGCTGTACCTGGATTCCCAGGGTCTTGGTCTGAATGTTAACGCCAACACCGACGAATCGAAATAAGAATTTTTCTCTTTAAGGAATAATGACTAAGATGGCTCCCTGCAGGACATGCTCTTGAAGAAGCCTAGCCTCGCTACTATATTGAATTAGTTGCATCGATCCTCATTACCGGCGCTATTGATGTCGCTTGAAACGGACGACCTGGGGAGTGCGGGATAGGGTATCTGTACAAATAGTTCCAGTGTTTTTTAAGATTCTCAAAGCAATCAGGCGAAATGTTTCTCTTCTCTTTCAAATATGATCTGACTTTGGAATATAATAATGATCCGAACTAGAATGCTCCCTATGACTCGCTGTGTTTGCTCCGCGGAATGCGATTGGCTCCGCCCGCGGAGCTGGCCGCGGCGGAAATTTTATATCGGCGGGGGAGCAACTTTTTAATCCCCAAGTTTTACACTTCATAAAGCTGGCCTTGACCCAGTCACTTTACTGCAATAGAACGGCTGGTACCTCCAATTTATTTATTTAGAACCATATTATCTCAATCCTCAAACAAATCCACCAGAAGGTAAATCCATCCCAAAGAATGAATGCCCCGCACCACTATGATAATCCCATTAACCCCTCTGTCTGACAACTACAAAAAAGAAAAAAGAAAAAGAAAAGAACAGAAAAATGACCGACCCAACAACGACCCTCAACGTCGACCTCGACATCCAAGAAATCCTCCTCGCCGCCTCGCAACACAACATCCCCAAACTCCGCCAACTAGTCCGTTCCAACCAAACAGCCGGCAACCCCGTCAACGTGAAAGACCCGGAAACTGGCTACGCGCCGCTACACGCCGCCATTGCGGCCTGCGAGGCTGACGATGAGCCGAACGGCGTGCAGACGAACGGCGAGCAGGCTGATGAGCAGAGGGGGGTTGTTGAGGCGGGGGTTGCGACTGTGAGGTTTTTGCTGCAGGAGGGGGCTATTTGGAATGATTTGGATAATAATGATGAGACGCCGGGGTGTCTTGCTAGGAGATTGGGAGTTCAGGAGTTATATGAGATGATTGTTGATGCGGGGGTTAGGGCGGAGTTGCTTTTGAATCGGTTGGATGGGTATGAGGAGATTGGGGGGGATGAGGATGAGGATGAGGAGCAGGGGCAGGAGGAGAGTGCTGAGGCTGGGGTTGAGCAGACGGTTGATCCCGAGTCGGTTCCTCAGTTGGTTGAGGCGGTTGCTGCTGCTGAGGCGGCGGCGGAGACTGGTGGTCCCGATGTCACTAGTTCTCGGTATCTTGATTCCAACTTGACTTTCCACAATGACCGGTTACTGGATCAAGATCAGAATGGTGTTATGATGGCTTGGGAGACGGATATTATGGCTAAGTCGGCGAAGAAGTTGCTGCCTACGTCTGGACTGCGCGCCCTGAATGTTGGTCATGGTATGGGCATTGTGGATGGGTTTATTCAGGAACAGTCGCCCGCTGAGCACCATATCATTGAAGCACACCCGGAGGTTGTTGCGGAGATGAAGCGGAAAGGTTGGCACCAGAAGCCGGGAGTTACGATCCACGAAGGCAGATGGCAGGATATCCTTCCTGACCTGGTCGGACAGGGGGTTATGTTTGATGCCATTTACTACGATACATTTGCCGAATCATACGCCGACTTCCGGGAGTTTTTCAGCGAGCACGTTATCGGACTGCTCGAACAAGAGGGAAAATGGAGCTTTTTCAACGGCATGGGGGCTGACCGGCAGATCAGCTACGATGTCTACCAGAAGGTGTCTGAAATTGATATTTTCGAGGCTGGGTTCGATGTAGAGTGGGAGGAGATCGAAGTGCCGAAGTTAGACGGCGAATGGAACGGTGTACGCAGACCGTACTGGCAGATCGAAAGCTATCGTCTGCCTCTGTGTAAATATATGGATTAGAATTATCTCTTCGTTTCATGAAATCTTCCAGCTGCATGACTCCAAAAAATGATTATTTCTCTCGTGCAATGACTCTTCCTAATATTTACCTTCATCACCAGCCCAGCAGCAATTCGATGCTCAGTTGTGTGCATATAGCTGCCGGAAACCAACATCTGCGGACAAATCTTAACATTTGAGGACTAATTGCTATTAAAGTCAACTTAAAGCACCTGACATAATAATTATAGGCCAGCCAACAAAGCACCATAAATGCTGTACTACCGTCACTACTAGCCACTACTTTGTAGTATACTTACTGTACATCTCGACCCAGACACCGAATCTCTACTACTAGTACTAGGTAGTATCGTTCCCCCATCTACGCAACCTACAACCCAGACCAGTTACCAACCCAATACCACCCCAAGAGAGAAACAATGAACTCCTCCCCAATCTACTACATCTCCACCTCTCACAGGGACTAAACCATCTCCTCAAGAGTCCACCACATCCTCGCAAGTCTCCCTTTCCAGGCCCCGGTTGATACAACCCCCAAGAGAACAAACCTCTGGTGTATCTACTTATCTACATCAGAAACTACGTCTATCGCGCTGGACTGCCAGCATAGTTATACTATCCCTGGTAGTATTTTGTCTGGGGGTTCGAAGGCGTAAGTTATCTTGTCTGAGATGGATAGCTCTGTGGGTCCGGATGCGTAGGTTGAGTTTGGGGTTTTGTGGGATTTTACAGGTGGGTTTTGGTGGAGGGTGGGAGGGAGAGCTATGAGTTTGATGGGGATGGATGGGGTTGGGTGTTGGTTTTGGGTGACCGAGTTGCTGGAGTTGTCGCTGCGGGTTGGGATTCTTGTGGATAGCGGGCAGGTGGGGAAGGATGCGATCAAGAAACATCATGGCCTGAAGCGGTGGATTTGGCTTTGGATCAGGGGGCGTATTGTTAGAAGGGGTTTTCGTCTGTTGGTAGACTCTTGTCTGGGATTAATTCTATTAAAATGAATACAAGAGCTTCATGGATACGATACATAGACCAACACCGGACACCCGACCATCCCTAGATAACCCGTCGAAGCTATGCAATTGACTCATATACTGACGATGCATAGCTCGCTTCCTTTCCGTTTACATGTTCCGTGGCATCATAATCATCATCCGGTTACAGAAGGCGGCCTCCAACACGCCGGATGCTCCGTCGTGCTCCCTCACCCAGAATATTCACGTACCCTTCGGTCTCCAGCGTGCGAACTGCTTCGGTGAATTGGCCGCCATCCACCTCGCCGCTACTCTGTTCACTCAGGGCACGATACACGTCACCCCAGCGAGGGGTGGCACCTCCGCCGCTCAGCTCGTCGATCACCGCGAGCACAGCGCGCTTCAGAGCGCCCCGCTGGCGCCTCTCGCTCGCACTGGTGCCTTCCGTGAGAAGACCCATATCAATCAGCCCAGTTCGGGAGTCTGTAGCCGCCTGTTTGATGGCAGACCGAATCAAACGCACTGCCTCTTCGACGTCGTCCGCGGTCACCTCCGTCGACAATCGCATACGTGCGTGGGCCTCTGACAGTCGGATCATGGACTCCAGCTGACGAGTGGTCGCCGTGATTCTTCGGTCAGAAGAGCGGATGTCATCGCCAAGCTTACGCATGTTCACGTATGCATCCGAGAGGGCTCTGCCAGCAGCCGGTGTGATAACGGGATGAACCTTCGTCTTGGCGTAAGTAATATAGGCCGTCAGGAACTCAACGGGCTGTGGGTGATTAGCAAAATGTCCGAGTAGTATGTTGTCTCTCACTACTTACCAAGATTTCCTCGTCGCTTGCATTTTCCGGCTTGTCCTCCAAATACATGTTCACCAGATGCTTGGCCAACCGACGATCTTCTTGCTCATCCACACGATCCAAGACCAGATATACCAAATCGAAACGCGACAGTAAGGTGGGTGGCAAGTCAATGTTCTGAGGAACAGGTAAATTGGGGTTGTATCGACTGCCAATAGGGTTTGCCGAGGCAAGAATACTGGTTCGAGCATTCAGCGTAGTAATGATACCGGCCTTCGCGATCGACACAGTCTGCTGCTCCATGACTTCGTGCAAAACGGACCGTGTGGATTCGTTCATCTTGTCGAACTCGTCAATACAGCAAATGCCACCATCCGAAAGCACAAGGGCACCGGATTCTAGAACCATCTGGCGTGTGTCGGGGTCTCTAGTCACATAGGCTGTAAGACCAACAGCGGAAGAGCCTTTCCCACTAGTATATACACCTCGAGGCGCAATCTTATGCACATATCGAAGCAGCTGGGATTTCGAAGTCGAGGGGTCGCCGCAAAGGAGCACATTAATGTCACCACGGTAGCGCGGGTTACCGCCCTTCTGGAAAGTTTTGTTAGTACCTCCAAACATCTGAAGGAGGATACCCTTCTTGACATCGTCCATCTCATAGACGCTAGGAGCGAGAGACCGAGAAAGCAGTTGATACACGTCCGGCCGGGAGGCAGTTCGCTTAATTTTCTCCTCTTCCTCAACCGTAATCTTCCGGGTCTGCTCGACATCTCCAGCAGCCTGCTCTGACAGCTCTTGCTCAATCGTTGTTACGTCAACGCCCAGTTTCCGGCGATCAGTCTTTTGGACGTGCAATACATCGACATAAGTTTTGAATAGCGCCTTCTGGGTACGTTGTCGGGGATTCACGCGCACGGGGTTGCACCGAAAAATGCCGGTCACTTCAACTCTATCACCTGCTTTGCAAACATCCACCATCTCATCGTACACGCAAAGTGAAACTGAGTGAGGAGTTTGGCCGTCGGGAACACTGTCCGGTGTTTCTTGCAGCTTGATGACCTGCTTGTCGGCAAATATACAGCGGTTGTGGACAATCTCCATGGAGTTTCTTTGCTTGCAGGCATTGCGTGGGCAGATTGTGGGTTCTGCGATCTTACCACGATCGATATCGACCTGTACATCGTGGTTGCACACCTGACAGCGGAAGAATGCTAGATGCCGTTTAGCGAACGTTATCCAGAAGATTACATGTACCCTGAGCCTACCTTCTTTCATGTCCGGAATAATGGGTGTCGCGCGAATGACGAGACCCTTGACGCTCACCAACTTGTCCATATCTAGAGCGAATGTAAGCAACAGAGTCAGTGAAACCGAGGAGCGTGGGTCGTCGGCATACCAGCTGGATCAAGGTCTCTCATATTCACGCTGGAATCGAGACCGAATGGTAGAACCTTGAAGATCTTTGCCTCAACTTCACTGACGAGGTCCGGAATTTCGGTCTGTGGCATCCGGCCAGTCTCGCTCATAGCGTCCGAACTTGGGACGGCAGGCGCAGAACTCAAACCTCTCAAGTTAGATTGGTTCCGCTGGTTCTGAACTCCTAGGCGCTGCACTTCCTTGGTCGCAAGATCAACCATCACATCCTTGATAGATTGATCCATCAGAGGGATGATCTCCTGGGGGTATGCGTGAAGTTGATGCCACAACTTCTGCGTCAAGGGGTAGGCCTTGAGATTCTTCACATCTAGACTCAAGCTAGTCACACCCAATTGACGCATCGTGTTAAGCATGTTGATGTACTCTTTCTCTTCTGCGGCATCTCCCATTCTGCGGGTCTCATCTTCCGTGGCACCCTCCGCCCACAAACGATATTTGGTTGCAAAGTTGTAGAGGAAATTCTTGAACGCGGACATAGAGTCCATAATAGATATGTTGGTACCCCAAATGACACGGGTAGAGCCACCACCCAATGCGTCCGCCTCGGAAGTGTCGGGATGGATGTTCGAGAAAGTTGCATCTGACTGTGGCTCTCCATCGGCGGATGGCATGCCATTGGCATCAACAAAATCTCTCCGGCGCCGACTAGGCGTAGATCCAAAACCACTCGAACGAAGATCATTGCGACGGGATGCAACGTTGCGATGACCGCCTGCGGCAGGGCGAGGAGACACAAAAAGACCACTGCTACTACTAGGGATATCGGATCGTCCTGGCTGGAGACTGCGAGCGCGAGTGGGGCTAGAGCTTGACATGTATCGGATTGGGGAAGAGTCTGCCATATGTAAGTAATCTGTAAAAATATCTAAGAGGTGTAAAAGCTCGCCATACCTCTGACATTGGGACGGTTTGCCCGAGGTGTGGTTTCACCCTCCATGGTGGAGGATGCCCTGATAGGAGAGCTGGGCTCATCCATTCTGATATCTGGTGTCTCAGCGCTGGTGTTATTGTCTTTTGCGGGGGAAGACTGAAAAAACATCGGCGACGACGACGGTACGGGGCCTTCACCCCTTAGACGACGAGAAGCGCGTGGTGTCGTCTCTGCTCTAGGAGTGCGACTACGGCGCGATGAACCCGGAGAAGACATTTTGAGTCGGTCCTAATAGATAAAATTGACGCTATTAGATGGAGGGGTCCGGACCGACGACAAAAGTTGGTGGAGATGATTGTTGGGTGAAAAGCACGGGATGCGTTGCTGAGGTTTCTGCATTGTGGTACCTGAGGCTCTCAATCGCGTACCGACGCGTCCCACGCGTTAAGTGGTCCCACGTGATTCTTAGCCTGAGGCTTCTATCGGTTCATGAGATCAGGGTCAAGGACACTGACCAATCAACGGCGAACACCCCTTAGGGCTGCTTCTTTACCGAATCAGGGATGGTGGAGCATCCCTAATGCGGAAGGATCTACATCGTGCAGATTCCAAGAAAAAACGTAAGAAGAGCGAACAAGAGACTCAAAAGGACTCCCAGAGATAAATTAGGACCAAAATCACTTTGCGCATTGTTCTTAACGCTGGCGCTAGACCGGGGAAGGATCAGAGGGGGCATCCCCCCATAATTCTGTGGCCTAACCCTTCGATTAATTAAAATTCAGGGGAATGTTGACGGTTGAAACAACATCCTAGTTTCAGCAGGCGCTGGCCCTTGATGTCATTTGGAAAGAGATCTGCCCAACCCCAGCGCTTTTCCTACAAATCGTGGCGCTGACTTGACAGCGAGCTGGACGGTGAGTGGCTAATTCACTTACACGGTCAACGCCGCTACTGTCATGCCTTTATATATACTCTGGTTCTCCAGATAACTTCTTTTCTTTCTCTGCTTTTTGTTCTTGGACGCCGCTCTGACCTCATCCGCCTACATCACAACCGCGTCAAAACACAATGCAACCCCAGCTTTGCCCTTCGTGACTTGGAAGCTGCAGTATTGTCTTGTCATCAACACCATCCGATCAAACTTGAATGAGTCGGGGCATCTCGTCGCTACCTTTCTTAAATCTGCTCTGTTCAAAGGTGTTCTACCTCGTCCATCGTCTTTTACCTTTGTCTTCTTTGCTCTCCTCCTTTTTTCTTTTCTTTTTTTTATTTTTTTTTAATTTTTTCCCCGTCGGGCAAGCGACTGCATGAACTTCATTATTTATAGCGATGGCTGAAGATCTGGGAAAAGCCCTGGAACGTGCTGGTGGTACTGGTCACAAGAGCGAGGGAATTTTAATCAATACATTCCTTGCTTCTTTAGCCACTGCCGTCGTCATTTTCGCCGTGCAAGTCTTACTCTTTTTGCTTCTCAAATCGAAGCTCACCCGCATCTAGTGAGTGCGACAGACAGAAACTGCCATGGATTAGCGCATTGCTGACTGAATATCGTTAGTCAACCAAGAACCTACCTGGTACCGGATAGGGAGCGCACCGAACCATCCCCCCCTGGACTCTTTCGATGGATCATTCCTGTTTTCCGTACCTCTAGCGCCGAGTTCATCCAGAAATGTGGCCTGGATGCATACTTCTTTTTGCGGTACCTGCGCATGCTTCTCAAGATCTTTGTGCCCCTAGGATGTATCATCTTACCAGTTCTGTTGCCGTTGAACAAAGTCGGCGGTAAAGACCAGAATTTAAGGAACGGAACTGACTCTAGCAGCCAGTGGAATGTCACTGGTCTGGACCAGCTGGCCTGGAGCAATGTCACTCCGGAGAACACCAGCCGATACTGGGGTCATTTAATCATGGCCATTATCACCATTTTCTATGTATGCGCCGTGTTTTACGATGAATTGAGAAACTATATCCGTCTGCGACAGGCCTACTTGACGTCTCCACAACATCGTCTACGAGCGTCTGCGACGACAGTCCTGGTGACAGCGATACCAGAACGATGGCTCACTGTTGAAGCTCTCGATTCACTCTTTGATGTTTTCCCCGGTGGTGTTCGCAACATCTGGATCAACCGCAATTTTGATGACCTCAACGAAAAAGTGAAACTGCGAGATGCATTAGCATTGACGCTGGAGGCTGCGCAGACAGAACTGATTATCAAATGCAAGAAGGCCCAGTTGAAACAAGCAAAAGCCGAGGCGAAGAAGTCTGGAGTCAAAGCCAGTGCGACTGGGAAACTGGAGAAGGAAGCTACTGACAGAAAAGCTACGCTAATGGCTATGGATGCTGGTATCAGTTCTGGTGATCCACACCAAGCACATACACTTGCGCAGGTTTTACATCAGGATGGCTTGTCGAAGCAAAAATCTGGGCCGGAGAAGCGTAAAAGGCTGAATCCCTTTGATCCCGCCCTGGAGGCCGCAGAGGTGGTTGGCCACGGTGTGGGCAAGCTTGGGAAGTCCGTTCTTGGGGGCTTCAAAAAGGTTGAGGATGGAATTGATGGAAAATTGACTCGGTCGGGCGGTTTTGTTCCAGAAGTCTCTGGTGGGGCCCGAGAAGCCGCTCGTCTGGATAAAGCCAGTCCAGGGCTTCGCTCAATGGATTACCCTCGGTCGGAGACTGGTAGCATGGGCGTAGCTGACTGTTCACAAGCGCGTACGGACGGTACTACTTCGAACATTACGGGTGCCGCCGGCGGCTCAAAACCCAAAAGACCTTTCTGGAAGACTCAACGATCGAATAATTCAAAGACGAGCAAAAATAGCGAACCTGATGAGCTTCCTTTAACGAGACGTGAAAGCAGCTCCATGGATGGGGACAGGAACGAGGCACCGATTGAGAAAGAGAAGGGCAAGAGGGACAAACGAAGAGCCCGAACCGAGGGTGAACAATTACAAGGCGAGGAATATCCGGTCGCGTATAATGAAGAATTCGACAATGAGGACTTTGGAGAGCCTCTTTGGAAGAAATATGTCAAACCAAAAGTTCGCGATACCATGCGACTGCCAATCTTTGGTCTCAGCTGGATGCCCTCGCTCCCGCTTATCGGCAAGAAAGTAGACACCATCGATTACTGTCGGAAAGAAGTGGCACGTTTGAACTTGGAAATCGAAGTGGATCAGCAACACCCTGAGAAGTTCCCCTTGATGAATTCTGCCTTCATCCAATTCAACCACCAGGTGGCTGCGCACATGGCTTGTCAGTCAGTCAGCCATCATGTTCCCAAACAAATGGCACCTCGCATAGTAGAAATTTCTCCGGATGACGTGATTTGGGACAATATGTCAATCCGCTGGTGGGAGCGCTACCTGCGAACCTTTGGTATCCTGGCCATTGTCATTGGTATGGTTATTGGATGGGCTTTCCCCGTGGCGTTTACAGGTTTACTGTCTCAGCTATCTTACTTGGAAGAAGCGTTTACATGGCTCAAATGGATTTCCAAACTACCGGAATGGTTTGTCTCTGCTGTGCAGGGTATTCTGCCTGCCCTATTTCTAGCCATTCTAATGGCCATACTGCCCTTGATTCTCCGGTTCCTCTGTCGGACCCAGGGAGTTCACACTGGTATGGCTGTCGAGCTCACAGTTCAGAATTACTATTTCGCCTTCCTATTCGTTCAACTATTTCTGGTCGTAGCGATTTCGTCCAGTTTCTCCACCATCATCAACAATGTCACGAATGTCACAAGTTGGCCCGAGCTGCTTGCGGAGAACATTCCTCTTTCCAGCAACTACTTCTTCTCGTATATGATTCTTCAAGCCATGTCGGTGAGTGCCGGTGCTTTGGTACAGGTCGTGAACTTAGCGAGCTGGTTTATCCTTGGGCCTCTGCTCGACACGACGGCCAGAAGAAAATGGGCACGGACTACGAACCTGAACCAGATGCAATGGGGAACTTTCTTTCCGGTCTATACCACCCTAGCGTCGATAGGTATGTCTTCGCCTTGCCATTAAATGAAAGATATAGTACTGACATTTGTAGGATTAATTTACTGTGTTATTTCCCCTCTCATTTTGGTGTTCAATGTGATCACGTTCGGCTTGTTTTGGTTTGTCTACCGATACAACACTCTATACGTCACCAAATTTCGCTTTGACACTGGTGGGCTGCTCTTCCCCAAGGCGATCAACCAGTTGTTCACGGGCGTCTACTTTATGGAAGTCAGCTTAATCGGTTTATTTTTTTTGGTCCGTGACGTGCAGGGCACAGTTGCCTGCAAGGGCCAGGCGATTTGCATGATTGTTGTTCTTGTCCTCACTGTCGGATACCAAATTCTGCTAAATGATGCTTTTGGCCCCCTGATCCGTTACCTCCCGATTACTCTGGAGGACGACGCGGTCCGTCGGGATGAAGAGTTTGAGCGTGCTCAACGTGCCCGACTAGGCCTGCTCCAAGATGATGAGTTGAACTCTGATGAACATGAACTTCCTGATCAGGACGAACAACGGGATCGCCCCACGGATCGGGCTGCTCAAGATATTGAGCTAAAAGATATCGAGGCGAGCATGGAGCGACGCACCGAACCCCAGGCAAGGAGGCCTAGTCTCGGGCCTAAGCGTCAGTCTTGGGCTGACAGGTCTTCAAGAGGGCGGTCGAAGTATTTTGGGGCCAATTCTGACAGCTCGGTTCCCACGGTGCAGCGTATCCATGAGCAAATCGTGGAGGATTCCGAAGCGCAAGGCCCTCCCACAAACCAGGTGGGCCCATCACTGTTTGCCGGTATCCATGATGAGCTGGAAGATCTCACGCCCGAAGAACGTGACCAGCTAGTTCAGCGAGCCTTTCAACACGACGCTCTGCGAGCGAAACGTCCTGTGATCTGGATTCCTCGGGATGATCTCGGTGTCAGCGATGATGAAGTGTATCGGACTCAGCGGTTCAGCAAGCACATATGGATTAGTAACGAATACCAAGCGCTGGATGGCAAGTGTCGCACCATCTTCAGTCGCAGTCCGCCGGACTTTTCGGAAGTGGATCTCATCCAGTTATGAGTACTGTCTTTGAATTTTAACATATTGACCACAAACATTGTGGTTAGCTACGACTTTAGATGATGAATTCTGATTTAGCCCTTTGTTTTCTTCAGCATGGGTTGGCGTTGGACGCGAGGGAACCGTATACATATTTGACAATGAGGTAGGAAGGTCCAAGTGGATGTATATACCTGTCTTCTCTTCAAGGTTAGAGACTATGAATTGAACAAATAGAACTTTATAACCCGAGTCTACTTTTCCAATGTACACAGGCTATGCTGATAAGGTGGGGGGGGAAATGGCGTGGCTCCTGGGTTTGTCTCTTCTTACAACTCACAATACACAATGGGTTCTATTTCTCATTGCAGATATGATATGAGAGGGTATCGGGTATCGGCACTCGATTCCATTCCATCTGCCGCTGTATATCCAGTAGATCGTACTGCTCTTTTATTTTTTTTCTTTCACCGAAAATAGAGTGAGCCAATCTTCACTCTTCCTTGAAGAAACCCTAGTCACAACAAATAAATAGTAGCCAAAAGTAGAGCATACAAAAACCACATTACGATATGTATGCATGTCATATCTAATGTACGAATAATATTTCCTCCCAGGACCTGTACCTTCCACTATATAAGGACTACATCCGTAAAATCAAGTACGTACCACCCTTCACCTGAAGCTCGCCTAAAGCCCTCTAAACCCCACTCTGTAACCCGTAACCCTTCCCCTCCCGGTTGACCTGTCCTCAGCTACAACTTTGTATTGACTCATCTTATCTGCAAGTATTCGACATCGAGCTCGACTTCCTCTTCAGGTATCGGATAAAGGCCTTTCCGATCATCCTACGGCCCTCAGAAACTGCTTTATCTACTGGTCGAATCGAATCAAAGGCGTCTCGGCAGGCTATTTTCGGGACTTCGCAAAACCCCTTTTCGACATCATCGGGCCTAATTAGTAGCCTTGACCGTCACTATCCTCTGATTTGGTGTCGTTATCCGAGTTGGCTGGATTTTACTGGACTCTCGCCCTCTACAAAGCGCATCTGTAGATAGAAGAGTATCCTTACATTGACTGTAACTGATGCCCTTGCCCAAGATAATTTACATCCGTCGAGCTGGTGGACACTGATATCGATGTAGACCACACCGGCGCTGGCGCTGTCTAGTTGGCCCTATTTTGTCTTGGAAAAGCGGAAGCAGCAATCTATGACGAGAAGCTCCAGGCCTTCCCTCGGATTTCTTCCCCGCTGCGGCTGAGTACGCAGATCTCTTATTACAACAAGGCCGGTACGGCGTTGCCAGCGACTTTATCGCGCAATGCCTTTCGACCTAGCAGAAACCATCAGAGCAAACCTACGCTCCGGATCAGAAGTTGGTCCTGCAATCGCTGAAGGCATATGCACATATGCTATGTCAGGAAGCTACTGTTGCTGCGTTAAGGGATGCACGGGGTATTTCTAGGTTTCTCACCAAGGAAACTACACATAGCATAAGGCCAACAAAGGTGGGTTAGTCTGACCCTCCTTTTCCTTTAGTATGAAGTCCTACTATATCGGACCGATATTCTCGGAGCCAAGATGTTGGTGATAGTGTGGGGTCAGTCCACTACAACGATAAACTAAGCTTTGATAACAAACCTTAATCAGCCATATTTGTCCGCATTTAGTATAGACTCTTTTTGATTATGGAGTATATGAATCCGATTTTATTGGTCCCGCTCCGTTCGACTACCGCTAGATTGCAGGCTTCAATTAATATCAACGCATCATAGATAAAGTTTATAGGCCCAATTTAGTTGATCGCGCAGTATTTCTCAGTCCTTCATCAACTGGAAAACCAAACCGACTCTTTTTTACACAGGCAGTGGTAGAAACGACAAAGCCAAATCTCCTGTGCAGACTTTCAGTCTCCAGAACAACTTGCCCCTACTCGATCAAAAATCAACGTCGGCTGAAGGTCTAAGCTTGCAACTCAATTTATTCAACAAAAAATTGGTAGTGTCTGTATACTGGAAATGAAAAGTGAACTTGGGGTGAGATGGAAATATAGAGAATGGGTTCTTGCATTTGGAAGAGGCGGTGGCACCGGATGGCGTGGCTATACTTTATTGGTACATTCTAGCTCGGATGACAGAAAATCGTACTAATGGTCCAATATGGCCGGTTCATCAGAGAATGGCACAGAGTGGCCGGGTAATATGACTTACATTAGAGCATAGGTATAGATAACAGCTAATAGGATTTCTCATTCATGAACGTCTAACTGTCCTCCTAGTGGCATTTCTAGATACCAGAAATTCCAACCAGTATTTTGCGCTATCAAAATACAAGCTAAATACCTAAAGGGCTGAATTCTCGGCAATTAAGCAGAAGAGAAACCGATGCCTAAGGGCTCGAGGACTTGAGGGTCACCAGGCCACAAGCTAAGTTATTATATGGTAGATAGTCCGCCTTGTACAGGCCACATCTCTGTAGAGTCTAAACATGCTTAATTTCATCATTCTCCCTAAGAAGCTCTTAGCTTGCCGTATAATTGTTAACATTTGAGCGCGTTGAGGCTTTTCTGGCAGACCCTCTAGGCGCTCTACTCATGTTTAGTATTCTGCAGGATCCGTTATTACTATTGAATGTAATAGCTTACTAGATAGATGTTCTCAGCTACTTGACAGTCTGAGCGATTTGCGGCTGAGCAGAATAGTAAGCCTTCTTCTGAGGAGAACTCAAGTATTTATAGGCATAGTTGGATAATACAAATGTTCCTCAGAGTGGTCTAGAAGATTGGAAATACTATTCTGTTCAAACCATGATGACGTGTGGGAAAAGTCCTTTTAATGCTGTGTTGCTCCGAGGCCTCGCCATGACCCTCAACCCGACCCGCAGTCTTCAGATCACTCGCTCGCGTTCACATAATCTGTGTATGAGTCTATATAATATATCCAATTAAGGCTATAAAAAGTACGTAAAAATATATAATGTTCCTGGTTTTATAGTTGTTTTCAAAAGCGAAGGTCACCCGCGGGTCATGGCAAGGTCTAGATGCATGTACCGAAAAAAACTCTGACAAAGTCTTTCCATATTCTGTTATACTGGGTTCTGCATCTGGTGATACTTCTCCTATACAGTCACTTATGACAGCACCACCAAAATACTCACCACATTCGTTCCAGAATAAAACAGAGACTTAAAACGAAAAGATAGCCAAATTGGTGTATCATATATTGATACTGGCCACAGCAAACAGTATCTTTCTGTTATGATATAAATTATCGAACTTTACGAACATATGGGAAAGCTACTGTAGGAAACTCAGATAAATCCACCATAGGCCACTTCATGCTTGGTGCATATGTTAGGTCTGAGCCGTAGAGATTTCCATGCCGTAGCTGATCACCTCTCGATACCCGGTACCACCTGACGCCCGATTTTCTGGATAACTTAACCAAGCTTTCCTCAAACGGCTAAAAACCTAGTCTAATTTTCTCATATAAGGTACAGATCTCATGACTTTCATAAAGATATACCTAGTTCTCCAAAGCCGTGATTTATGCTTCATCAACGGCCGGTCATCAAGGCTCCGGAGCATTTGGAAGAATACGGTCAAAATAGAAAAACATGGAAGACTCACTGTCTATATGTCAGGAGAAAGGTACATTTTACTATTAGATTCGCTGTTATGACTACGGCTACTACCTGGAATTGAGTAATATATTGTAGCTTTTTATTGATAACATACATCCACTACTTGTAACTCATGATTGATTCAGCTGGAATCTACTGTCATGTCCAGTCATACCTTTTATAAAATGAAAGTTGCTATTATAGTAAACCATTCAATCCAACAGATTATTCATCGACTCCTTCTCGTGGAATATGACGCATAGGACATGAGGATACCGCAAGAAGCAGTTCACAAGAAGAAAGAAGAATACATTTGACTAGGAGATTTAAACCTGGGGATGGGCAATATAATACCAGTAAGCACCCAACAATTTGCTGCCGTCGATATAATTCTTCCTGCTCAGTTTCTCATTCGGGCCATGAGCACCATCATCAGACTGGCCCACCGGAAGCAACATGATACTCGTATTGGGCTTCAAGGCATTCTTTAGATCCAGCGTAACGCCGATACTATTGTAGTGTAGTTGTCAGTGTAACTATACTGAGCGCAGAAACATACTGAGATTGAAAAGAAAAGTCACAAAAAAAAAAAAAAAAAAAAAAAAAAAAAAAAAAAAGAAAAGAAAAAAAAAAAAAAAAAAAAAAAAAGGAAATACGCAGGGTACAAGAAAACTAACCTTCCACCCTCGCGAGTCAGATCTGGTTCTGTATTGTATACTCTTCTTGTCGCTGCAGTTCCTGCCGTGAAATTTGCGTCATTCGTATTTCCAAGCCACCATGGTGCAGATTCACCAAACGCTTTCACTTCACAAGTATTCTTAGTGCCCAATTTCTCAAACTCCTGCTCTAAATACTGCACCACCAGGTCCCCGACCTTCTTAATGTCCATGCTTGGCACCGTTCTGATAGAGAACTTCCCGGTCACCTTGGGGTAAATGGCTGTTGTCTGGTTCTCACTGGGATCCGCGCCGTTAATGCCATGAATGGTGAGGGAGGGGTATCTCATTCGGTGCATGAGAGTGTCCCTGGCTTCAGTGTAGATTGCTGCCTCGCTGCGAATAGTTTGCTTAAACTCATCCATTTTGAAATCAATCTTTTTGTAACGCTCCTCCTCCTCCTTTGTAACAGTATCCACCATTTCGTTGATTCCGGGGATCAGTATGTTTCCGTCGACGTCGGCAAGCTTAGACAGCATGATTATTAGTTCGGTCATGGGCTCGTGGACCGTTCCTCCGTATATGCCACTGTGAAGCGGCACAGGCGGCTGCAGTCCCTGCAGGGGTTTTTGGGCGATAGTAATGGTGAAATAGTTGATGCCTCGAAGACCATAAGTCAGACATGGCTTCCTGGTGGTAAGCCAGTAGTTGTCGGAGATGCACACTGCGTCAATATTTTCAAACAACGCTTTGTTTTTCTGCGCAAAGTCGGAAAACCCAATAGAGCCGGTCTCTTCCATTCCTTCAAAGCAGAACATGAGGTTGACTGGAATATCAACCCCCGCCTCCTTATAGGCCTCAAGGGCATTCAGCCAGGCGAGGACGGGTCCCTTGTCATCAGTTGAACCGCGCCCATATAACTTCCCGTTTTTCTCTGTGAGCTCCCAGGCTGATTGATCCCACCCCGGGCCTTCTGGTTGAACGTCGTAATGGCCGTATATAAGGATGGTTTTCTTGTTGGCGGCAGGCGTCGGTGGGTATTTGCCGATAATGACATCTGGTAGCTTGAGAACCGGTTTTGTATCCGGTTCATCTCCCAGCGAATACCGTTGCACTTTTGCTCCTAAGTTTTGAAGTTGAAGCTCAAGAAAATCTGTCATCTGTACTCGGTAATCAACGCGGGTTAACGAGGTAGACTAAAGCACACACGCATTCTCGAAGGATGGAACGAACGTACCTGATAAACTTTTTCGCGTCCTTTGGTGGTCTGATCAGAGGACACCGATTGAATCGCGATCGCGTTTGAAAGCCCTGGACCGGCTTGGTTAAGACTGACTTATGATTTTATACATGCGCAGAAGAACCCACTTTTTTTGAAGACTTCGGATAGGTCGTCGATCCTATAAAACGCGCGAGGCAGTAGTTAGCCCCTGGTAGACCGGACCGGCCCAATCTTTGAGCCCCCTTATACATACTTGTTGAAGACCTGATCCAATGTATCAGAAGACATGTCTGATTATTGTTCTGAATGAGTATGAGCCTTGCTTGTCGAGAAAGAGCTCCCATGTATGATCAGGAGTCAAGAAAAATTGAGTAGCCTTATGCTCCACGAAGAGACGCAGAAGGGCGGTTGAGGGAGGGATAAGCCAAACACAGTTTATGTGTTTCATGACTGAGTCGAATGTCGGTCATCCGTGGAAATTTCATCGATACGTGTGATTGAGGTGGGGAATGAATGATCCGTATACCTCGCAATGGTGGTACGTATATCGAGATCATGGCTTCAATAAGTCCAATCAAAGCTATGGCTCTCGAACGGTGGAGCATCGCGGTACGGTCTCCTAATTCGAAGACCTCTTTCACCCTGAACAGCCGTGGTAGAATCAAAAGAGATACCGACGGAACCACACGGATGTTCCAGACACTTGAGGTGGTATTATATGGGGTCGTAGATATCATGACTTGGCCGGCGAAGACACGAGCAGAAGTAACTGTTATGGTTTTTTTTTTTTTTTTTTTTTTGAAGTAAAAGCTAAATACTACACTTTGTTTCTTGAGTAACAGCAGTATAGTGGGAGGCATTCCATATGTTATATCAGAAGTGACGACGATGAAGAACTGATTCTGTGGCATCCTAGGGTTCAAAGGTATCGTTCTCCACATTTCAAACTTAGTAGCCCAATGAAAGCTTAAGAAAACTATCCTAGCACCTGTTATATGATATGATCAATATCACAAGATAAGAGGGCAATCATACTGAGCAAGGCATAGACTTTTATTCCTGTCTGTATTAAGATAATTTTGAAGTCTTTTGGAAGGCTTTGGATCAGCGTGTATCGGTTAAATTGCGCCAATGCAACGAAAGCCAGGTTAACATTGAGCAACACAGGTAGTGTAACCTGAAGAGCTGAAAATAGCTTCTGTCGAACTCATCAACCAAGGAATTCTGACATGAAATAACCGTGACTTGCCGTTGCTTAAGGAATGCAGGCCCATATTATATGTACCAAGTTACTGTTGTTAAAGAAATCATCGCCAATAAAACAGAGTCATATGAACATTCAGTAGAAACAGAGGCACAGTGTTGAGTTTACTATTACGAGATTAAAGGGAAGGCAATATCGCAACCAAATGGTGTTCTAAAGAAAAAAGAAAAGAAAGGCTTGAATATATTGACCTACTTTAAAGCATACTACACACCGACAATACTACTGGGTAAAAAGGAGATGAGCGATCTCAATGGCCAAGTTCTTAATGCAAAAACAAGCAATTCTGATGCTAACTCAATAGAAGATCCATAACCAAGAAAAATTCAAGATGAAAGGAAAACAGCTATAGGATAATCACGGATTTGCGTTCTATATGACATTGATATGATAGCCAATCCTAAACTATCATTCATGGTGCTATACAGCCCTATCAAACCTTGTTGGGGTACCCGGCGGCGCGCTGAACGAAGAGAAACGCAAGGGTGAACTCTAATAATCTAGTCAGATAACCGGAATACAAGGGCATATAAGCTCTATGGATACTAACCGGTGAAAGAAACCTTCTGGTCGAGGTTTGCATCGAAGAACTCCTCGAATGCCTTGGCGCCTTCCTTGCCGTAGGACTCTTTAAGGACGGTCAAGTCGACCAATCCTGCATCGTACAGTCAATGTCTGATTCTATATGAGTGTTTAAACCTATATCGGTCCTTACCATCGTTGTCCACGTCCTGGATACAATGTCAGTTTACAGTTCAGCACTGTGTTACGGGAATGCAATTGACATACCATGGTCTTGAATTCCTGCACCAGACCCTTAACTGTCTCCAGGGAGTAGGTAACGTCCTTGAAGTAATTAGCACAATGAATTATAAAGGTTGAGGTACTGGTTCCTTACGGCTGGGTCGCTCCCTTCCATGATCTCGTTGTAGAGCTTGTTGCTGGGCATCTTGGCGAACGGAGCGTTAGAAGAATTGGAAGGTGGATGTTTTTGTCTGAATGGAGTTGATCTCTGAGCTTGTATTATATTTTGATTTGAAAGGGCAGACTTTTCCTCTTTATAGAGATTTTCTACGGCAGAAATACACCATGTCTATGTTAACATGGTCGCTTGCTGACAGGTTGGGGCCAAACTGCAGCCGTTCACATCTCACCCTGCATATATGGGTATTCAGCTCACTATGCATTGAAGGCTACGGAAGCATAAGCTTATGGAGAAAGGATATCTCAAAATCTGACTCTTCGTCTCTGGCTATTTCGTTTGTAATCCTCACGACACATGATCAGTGCAGCTAGGGAAGATATGCGATGATTGAATGGACTTAAAGTCGCTCAGCCTTGTTTCCCAAGGGGATAAAAGTCAGCAAGGATTATAGTGTATGTGTTCGGTAATGATGCAGAGTTATTCTCGAATCTTTCCTCTCAGGGCTATACTATCATGGGTTGCTGGTAAGCAATAATCAATTTACAGAAAATCATGTCTCTTATAATAATATAATCTATGTGATCGCGATAGATAACGTACAATATGTGCTCGCCTTTTACTATTCTGAGTCTATTAAGTCAATAGGTAGGGAGTGTTAGAAGCTTATTGATGGATTAACATAGATTTCTCCTCTTCATCTAGGCTTAGTGGAGATATATTGTATTGGAGTAGCTGATGATGTATACATATGATAATATATTAGAAAGATGATATAGAAATATTAATTTATCTTATAGAGTTGTACATAAAGTTCACAAACCACTCCAAGTCCTGTCCATTCTACCAGAAGAACTGCGACAAACCCACCAGGAAACCTCATTTGTCCATAAAGCCACTCTCCGTCTCCAGCCAGGAGGTGAAATCCTTCAAGCCAGCTCGAACCTTCCGCAAAGCCGAAATATCAGCTCCATATCCCGAATCATAGAACCACCGGAACATATATCCCAAATCCTTCATAAACCACATGAGCAAACGGGCAAGGAACCCAAACGTCAGGGGAACGTCGCGCCCCGTCTTCGCCTTGAAGGTTCTGGCCATCTCTTCAAATGAAAGTTCATCACCTGCTAGAGACAAGCATTTACCTCGATATTCATCAGGGTTGACGAACGCCTGTATGACTCTGGACATGGTTCCCGTTAAGCTGGGAGAATGGGGGCAAGAGGCCGTAAGCAACATGCGTAAAGTATTAAATTACATGGCTGAAAAAGGAGGATATTCAATCCGATAAATACTTCGAAGAAATAGCATTTCTACATGAATTCTTGGATATCGTTTGGTTATACATTGGTAATCTTGCCACGATCGGGCTTGAGAGGAGTAGTTGGACCCATACTCCATTAACCTCTGCAATTAACAATCAACTTGAACTATATTGGCCTACATTGGCCATTGATATTACATTCGAGTATATCTGATATCACAAGAATTTATGTGCTATGCTTCATGAGATACCGATCTTATCACAGGAGACTCCTTCTTCCTCCAAACAGCCCGCGTTGAAGAAACGGAGCTGCTCTCGGTGCAATCAGAGGAAAGTGAAATGCGATAAGACGCACCCCTGTGGTGCCTGCATGAAGGCCGGTATCTCATGCCATTTTCCAGAACCGAAACGGGCGCCACGTAAACTGAACCGACCCCCGGTTAGGGAGCTGCTCAAGCGCTTGAGGCAGCTAGAGGAGGAAATCGAGCACCTACGGTCTGCGCGTCCAGCTATCGATGACTCCGTGACGCCTTCGGCGCACAGCGAGCTTGATAGGCACCATACATACCAAACGCCTCGCCCCATAGCCCAAGAAATTCCATTAGGAAAGCTAACGGTTAAGGAAGGAAAGAGCCGGTATGTTGATGGGGAAGCTTCTGTAGCGCTAGGAAACCAAGTATGATTTGCTCACACATTCATCCCACTATTGCCTAATGGACCGTCGCGCAGGTCGAAGAACTTCAAGATTTGGTAGAGAGCTCTTCGGATGAGGACTCCTACCCTTCTAATATCAACGCGGGCCCCTTTGGCTTGCCGCAGTCGGGTTTATTTGGAATTTACAGCCCCAACTGGTCCTTTGGCACTTTTCGTCGGCATTATCTCCAACCAACTCAAGTCGAGGCGCTTTGGCGCATATATCAGGACAATGTCGCGCCATTGGTCGCCATTCTCTACAAACCCACTCTGGCCCAGATAGTACAGAACGCAACTTCTGGTGTCACTTTGGACTACCCTCGTGAGGCTCCGTTGTTATCCGTTTGTTTTGCTGCCGTGGCCAGTGTGAAGCCGGAACAGTGTCCATCGTTGCTTGGTCAAGACTATAACACAGCTTTCCACGATTACAAGTTTGCCGTGGACCAGGCCTTAGGGCGGGCCAATCTTATTGGGTCTTAAAGTTTATTTGTTTCCTTCAAGCTGCGGTGCTGTTTCTCCTGTGCTTTCGCGTTGGCGGCGACACACGGCTTACCTGGGCCGCATCTGCTGTTGTCATCCGTGTTGCACAAGGGCAGGGTGTTCACCGTGATGGGCAAAAATTCGGATTATCACCTTTCGACACTGAGATCCGTCGTCGATTGTGGTGGCATATCTGTATCTTGGACATGCTATCCTCGGAAGATCAGGGGATAGATACCCAAATACAACTGGGAACGTTCGACACACAACTCCCAACCAATGTTGATGGTAATGATCTTACCCCTGATATAACAGAACTACCACCAGGTAAGCCTGGTTTTACGGATATCACTATCTGCATTATTATGGGCGAGACATTCACTAATCTATACTGGCCACGCCGCTCGTTGAGCAAAGTCTCAGAGATGTCCTCGAGTGACCGAGAAAACCACGTAAAGATAGTGGGAGAGCGCATCCATCAAAAGTACATCGATCATTTTGACTTGGATATCCCGATCCATTGGGTATCCGCAATGATTGCGCGACTTCATTTATCCAAAGAATGGCTGGCGGTGCATTTCCAAACCTCATCTGGCGGCCTCCGTGACCCGGAGCTTATACATGACTATATAGTTTTCTACACAGCAGTCGAGCTCGTCAAGTTTGCCTATCTTTTGCAAATTAATGAGGACATGACGCGGTGGAGCTGGCTATGAAAAAGCTACAAGCAGTGGCATGCCGGCGCGTTCATCCTTTTGGAAGTTAGCTTGAGTTTCATGTTTGCCTGCCCTCGTAAGCTATACTGAACATAGTCTAATTCGGCTTGCTGAGATTCTCGACGCTCATTCTACCAATATACCAGGGAAATAGCTTCGACTGTGAGTATACTCTTAATAGAACGAAAACTCACAACCTTGTTTGGACATTATTTTATCTCTCGAATACATGCCTATCTCCTTGCAACATAGGTCCGGAAGAATCGGGCGGGTTCCGCATTGAGTGCATCTGTTTATTGTCCGTCCTCGGACACCGAGATACAAGCAGGACTGTCTACAGGTCCTCTGATCAAACCTGGGCTCGTCAAGATTATCACTAAGACCTCTCTTCAAGGCTAGGAAAGCTCCAACCTTTCTCATCATTCCCTCTGTCAGGACTCGGGTGTCATGGGCTCTGTTCAAGTGTACATTCCTAGAGTTTGAATATGCGGCATCCAACTGAAACAGCGGACTTGTGTTCAAGAAAAAGACATGTGAATACGTAACATAAATCTATAATTTTGCTCTAACTGTCATTAGGTGGCCAACGAAGAGGCTTATTCACGAATTTCTTGCATGAAACCTGAATACAGTGGTATGAAATTACCTAGACCTGTACCTCGCAAGAGCCAGTGCAGAACAAAGAGAAGGAAGTAACAACTCAAGGTAGTTAGCTAGGCTTCACCCACTAGCCGCCTACCATCTGGGTGCAGTGAACATGAGAGGCTACCACAAACATCTGGTTATGTGTTGGATCCCTACGTGCAAGACCTTTTCTGATTTGATTTGTTCTATCTCCCGTCTTACCTTAACCGGGCATAACTTCATTTAACTTGACAAACATGCTGTTCCCCCCCAGGACCTAGTCTCAGCAGTCTTCGTATCGCTTCGCCGTCTGATATCCTACGGCTCGGCATAGTCGCAAGAGCTAGATTTCGATAATCTCCTCTCTTCCGATGGGAGAGGAGTCACCTTCAAGACTTCTCTGTAGACACCTTGCTCTCATATAGAATGCAATTCACTGATGCCATTTAGGACGACGATATGATAGTCCTCGTAGTTGAAGACGAGTTTAGCCCCAATGAAAGCGACTCTACAGAAGCAATTATGCCAACATACAACGGCTGGACACCCCCTCAGTAGGCGAGAAGGTGATTGTCAGTGTCATGGCGGTCAAACTTGAGGGAGGTTCAAAACATCATGGTCAATCTAAAATGAAGCATGGTACATGAATCACCGAACAGCCTTTATCTTGGGTTTATCTAACATCCCGAATAGGTACATACCCAGATCTCCCGCCAGATCTAGGCTGTGATATTAATCGAAAGCATTACAACTCGTGAGGAAGTAAGGTTGGTATGGCGAAATAAAGGTACTGTCCCGACCACTCCTCGGTGTGAACATGCCTGTTGTACACCCGCCTACAGGGGACGTGGCCACGAGACCAGAATAGTTCAACGGGCCGTTGACCCGTGTAACTTGGATAATTTTAGTCAGGGGGTCAGTGCCGCGGAGATGGGAGTGAACTTGTACAACAAGCTCGGGTATCGGTTTGTCTGTTTGATACAGGACTTGCGTCGGCTGGTGCTCATATTCTTTCTAGTAGCATTGAGCATTCTAGAGTACTGTCATTAGTGTTTATTCTTCTTAATCTTAATATTCCTTTTTAGAAAGAGCTTCGAGTAACTTTCTCATATCTTTTTATTGATGTACTAGCTTGCGGATATGTCAAACTCAACCACTAGAGAAATAGTGTTGAAGAACACTGGTATGGCTTCACAAAGCAGCACGTTTATAGGGACCAGCTCCTCAAGACTTTGACCCTTACTTCGCATCTAAAGATTGATAAGGTATATCTATACTCAATTTACGTACGTATGATACGCTGTAGTAGTGATTGCAGGAGACATGTCGTGTTAGTTTCTATAGGGGTTCCTTCGCACTTGCAGCTTTACCATTACGATGTTATCTGATACAACAGACGGATATCGTACTGACATATTAGGAGCTAGAGGAGAATTTGCCTGCCGTCAAACGGCCGTTGGTTATGTAGAACCAGTAGGAAACCTCCCGCTGCTTATATGAATGAAAAATGAAATGCAAGGTGATGAACCTCGGGGAAAGTACGATACTCCAAGTTCGGCATTTGAACAAGACCATTCCTAGATGCCAAGAGAGGAGCTAGTACAGATATGCTTAAGCAAAAGAGGCTTAATTTGGACTGGCGAACCATGATACGGAGGCTAATGCAATCCTTTGCCGGATTTGAATGGTTCAACTGTTGAGGAGCGGTGATTAGAGAGGAAGCGTGTTGAAGCGACAATCCACGCCAACGAAACAAAAGGCCAACTTTGGCCCAAGAATGGTCCTCATTACAATCTTAGGTATTGTTGTTAGTTGTATAGATGACCCTAGATGAAGGCCTTTCCAATATGGAATAGTCCTGTTATTTGAACTCGTTGCACGGAGTACTTACTCCGTATGTTGGTCACCTTTGCCCCAAGTTCGGACCCTTGCTTATACTGCCCTTCTTAAGTTTTTCCCTTGCCCCCTTGTGCTTGTCGTATGGATGATATGACGCTGTGATTGTGTCAATGTCTCATTTGAGGATTATTTTTGGATACCTCTGGGACGTCCTAATTGGGAAATACTGCACGTGTGCCTTGTTGCAAGTCAGACGATACTTACATTATGAGAGGGAGAGCAGCAGCAGCCGCTAGTACTTTGTCTTTCAGGCCCTTGCAGTCGAGGCGCATACAATTGATGGTGTGGGGCTTTTTCCCGCAGACCTTCAACCGGAGTGGATTCCAGATAGCTTTCCGTTGACAAGTACGTATCAGCTTGTTTGTTAGACTAGCCCTCAGGGTCATAATACGTATTACTTCATGAGTTTGTGGCTGGATTGTCTCGGTCAGTGAGCCGCTTTTGATCAGACTTTAATTTCTTTTTTTGGGGGGTTTCTTTTATTCTTTTCTTTTCTGTTGATTTCGGGGTATCCCCATGCAAGCTTTGCCGGAGAGGATAGTCGTCTCAGCGAGATTCTTCCGGGGTTTATCCATTCTGTCTCTAGTGGCATATGACGCCCGCTGATCAAAGTTTTGTAGGGAACATTTCTTGTATATATGATGTGACTGCACAAGCTGTCAGCCTATTAAACAGTTTTCACCATAGGGAGGGAAACTCATGGGTGCTACCTTGCTTCACCCGCTGCGCACAATTTAATTTAGGAACACAGTGTACATGTCAGTACAGTCCACGTATTCTTTACCCAGTACAATAGCTCCATAGTATCCATCTCGTATAGGCAAGGGAGGGGAGGTCTGGTTACCTACTTAGATTGGAGTTCGAGTCTGCGGAATCTTTATGGTCAATTTGACCAGATAATTAGCTTAGAAAACATTTAGGACTAAGACCACAACGCTCCACCACTAGTCACGCACATGTTTAGGTGAGTGGCTGTAATTGCAAGGACAAGCAATGAGGTGACAGAACGTGCTTCACTAAGTCGATCCCGGCTTAGTTCCGTTCAGTCGGTTATTAAGGTATCGTGGTGCCGGGAGTGTTTTGAGTGGTCAATGCATGGGGCGGGAAAGAAAAGTGGGCCTCGTTCTGGCAATACGTCAATACTGTACCGAGCTAGTCTGAATTGAGCTCCGCTCCAGGCCCGTGATGCTGAGGTACAAGCATCTTTCCATTCCCTGTATCGTAGCATCGTTCATCTTCGACTACTCCAGAAGTGGAAGGGCTGGCGTGAATTTTCCTTTTCTTTCTTTTTTCTCGTTTGCCACTGCAAAACTACATGCTAGTAGTTAGGGTCAATCTCCACTCGCAGCGGAATTGATCCCCATATCATTAGCTACCGACCTCCTTCTACCCTTTCTCGCGCACTTCATCATGCTCGTTTCCCACGTCTAACAATCCCTCCCCCACTTGACCACCTCAACTCATCTCTCCTCCGTCACATACATCGATCCTAACCCGAGTTCGCCCATTATGAGGTAAAATTGAAGCTTCGTTCCAAGCCTTTTATCGTTGCCTAGCTGACAGTCTCCACTTCCCAAGGTTCGGCGAGCATCTCCGGTCGTCGCTGATCAAGGAGTACTACTGGTACTATATCGCCTACGACGAATTGAAACGAGCCCTCAGGACCGACTTTGTCGCCGAACCGGTCCCCACGTTCTCCAAAAATAATCGCAAAGCGTGGACAGAAGATGACGAGAAACACTTCATATCGTTGCTAGAAGGGGAACTGGACAAGGTCTTTAACTTCCAGCGCATAAAGAGCGAGGAAATCGTACGTCGCATCCAGACGAGCGAACAGGACGTCAATGATGTTATCTCTCGACTGGAAACCACGTCGAACTCTCGCCGTCAAAGCGTCCGTTCCAATATTCGCGCGCCGTCCGATGAGGATTTCATGGTCCTCGAGCAGGTCTTGAGTGACATCATCGCCGACGTCCATGATTTGGCCAAGTTTACCCAACTCAACTACACGGGCTTTCAGAAGATCATTAAAAAACACGATGTACGTTCTTTGCGCCTTCAGTGAATTTTTTTCTCTCTTTTTTTTTTTTTTTTTCTGTTTGGTCTTGGCAACTTCTGCCGCAACAGCCCATGCTGATCTCCCGATAGAAAGAAACAGGCTGGCATCTTAGACCAGTGTTTGCGGCACGACTGAAAGCCAAGCCTTTTTTCAAAGATAACTATGACGCATTTGTGGTAAAGTTGTCCAAGCTCTATGATCTGGTTCGGACCAAAGGAAACCCAGTTAAGGGAGATTCTGCGGCTGGTGGCACGCAGCAGAATTTCGTTCGCCAAACAACCAAATACTGGGTTCATCCAGATAATATCACTGAGCTGAAGCTCGTCATTCTTAAGGTATGGTGCCGTACTCGCCTTTCCTCAATGCATAGCACTAACCCAAGAAGCACCTCCCGGTACTCGTCTTCAACCCGCAGAAGGAATTTGAGGAAGAGGACACTGCCATCTCCTCTATTTACTATGACAACACGGATACATGGGAGTTATACCAAGGTCGTTTGAAGAAAACGGAAGGAGCCGAAGCCATCAGATTACGTTGGTACGGTGGCATGAAGAGTGATCAGATCTTTGTCGAGCGAAAGACTCATCGCGAGGATTGGACCGGAGAGAAGTCGGTCAAAGCACGCTTCTCCCTTAAGGAAAAGAATGTCAATGCCTACCTGTCCGGTCAATTGACAGTGGAAAGTATTTTCGACAAGATGAGAAAGGAAGGTAAAAAGAGTGAGGAGGAAATTAACAACTTGGAGCAATTGGCCCGAGAGATCCAATACCGGGTCATCACACGCCAGCTAAAGCCTGTCACTCGAACCTTCTATCATCGGACTGCTTTCCAGCTGCCTGGCGACGCCAGGGTCCGTATATCTCTCGACACAGAATTGACTATGGTCCGTGAAGATAACATGGACGGTCGCCGGAGAGCCGGGGACAACTGGCGTCGAATGGATATAGGTGTCGATTTCCCCTTCGCGCAGCTTCCTGCAGAAGACGTGGAACGGTTTCCTTATGCTGTCCTAGAGGTGAAGCTCCAGACCCAAGCCGGCCAAGAGCCACCTCAGTGGATCAGGGACTTGACTGCTAGTCACCTAGTAGAAGCGGTTCCCAAATTCAGCAAGTTCATCCACGGGACAGCGACCCTTTTCCCCGAGCGCATCCATCTCCTTCCGTTCTGGATGCCACAAATGGACGTGGATATTCGAAAGCCCGCCACGCGTCGGTTTGGTATTGAACGGCCTCTGGCCAGTACTTCACTATCAGCCACTGAGACTCCAGAAGACGAGTATGACTCGGACGATGACGACCTGGATGAAGCTCAAACTGGCGACAGGAGAGCTCAACGCGCAGACAACGGGATTGTCCGGGACGATCTGTTCGCAGATACAGACGGTAATGCTTTAGATATAGAGGAACGTATCGCGGCCCAACCACTTCCTGGAGACGAAGACTACCCATTGTATGACTCGGACGAAGAGTCTATTGATTCGGACGAACTGGAAGAGGCTCGACGAGTTGGCGGATCGTACTATTACCGACAGTTGGCCAAATTCTACGCGCAGCAAGCTGGGAATGCTATAGTCACTGGGCTTCTGGCCCTCGTTCCCCGACCGAGACCAACCAATCTGCCAGCCCCAGAACAGAGAGGAATTGCCGTAATGGGAAATCGACGGACGGTTCAGCGATTTATCGCTCCTAAGGGAAAACGTAAGTTCACATGATAAATCATCATATCCACATATCTAACGTATCCAAGGTATCCATGTTCCAGTCCGTGTCGAACCCAAGGTCTACTTCGCCGCTGAACGAACTTTCCTATCATGGCTCGAATTCTCCATCCTCCTGGGTACCATTGCAGCCACCCTCCTAAACTTCGGCAACGACTACATCACCTTCGCATCCTCCTGGGCATTCACCATCCTAGCTGCCCTAGCCCTCGTCTACAGCCTCGTCCTCTACATCTGGCGCGTAGACAAGATACGCAAGCGCCGCGACGTCAAGCGAGTCTACTACGAGAAATGGGGCCCCACAGTCGTGGGCCTAGGTCTCGTAATCATCCTAATGGTAAACTTCGGTCTACGAGCCCGAGAGGCAGGATTTACCTCAGACGATCACGATCACCCAGGCAACGGTCGAGGTTCTGACTCTGGAGAATTGTGATCTCACCTGTTTCTTTCTTTCTTTTTTTAAACCTCTACTGGCTTGTTTTTATCGTTTAGTTGGCCCTTTGGATTATTCATACGAGCCAAATTGGCACCGAACTTGCTTGTTTATATTGCGGTTGAAATTCGAAGCTGATGAGCACTCATGGATACCTCAGTTTGTGGAAAGGACTGTACTGTATAAAAGCATGATTATGATCGTTTGGTCCGTGGATAGTGGCGTGATAGTGATCGGTGATAGTGACAATCCAGTGAATACGTTTCTCACACTTATAATTCATCTCTCGCGTTTTCTTGGTGTTTTATCTGGAATTCACCCTGGAACATGCTACCAGTCTTAGAATTAGTTCCAGTGGAGATTTTTACAGAATATACGTTTACAAGAAAAAGGACAATGCAGAATTAAACCGTAACATCATATTATGTCCGACATTCCAATCATAATAGACAATAAAGTGGAGTGGGTATTTATTATACTCACGGGTTGTAGTTCACAACGGGGATCACAGTATCTTTCAGGCTGACGGCACTCTTGCTGGAGGCTTCTATGCCGGAATACTTGTTCAGCCAGCCTAGGACCTGTTGGTGCCAGACGAGGCTGTTCTCTTTGTTGGTGACCCTGTTTTCTTCGTTAGTATGTTCTCCGGCCATGGTCTTGTGTGGTATTTAAAAGAACGAAAGGTCTTAGATAGTGCGTAGGTAAGACATACCAGTGGTTCTCATTGGGGAAGTTTAGGAATCGGCTGGGAACGCCGCGTTCCTGGAGGACATTGAATAGGGATAGACCCTCTGCGACGGGGAGACGGTAATCTAGGTCGTTGTGGATGATGAGCTGGGGCGTGCTGAATTTGAGGATACGCTCGGGAGCGGAGGGGTCCCAGCGACGGTAGTTATCGCGGTTGTCCCAGAAGGTACCGTTAAACTTCGGTTCTGTTAGTATGGACACATCTCTATGCTTGCTGAGGGGATGGTAGGGCAATGAGATAAGTTGGCTCACCTCGTGTTGCATGAACCACAACTCTTCGGTCGAGATTTTGGCATCCGCGACGAATGTACCGTCATGGCTGACCAGAGCCTTGAACTTGCGGCCCAAATCACTGCCCTGGATCCAGTTGATCATGAATCCGCCGTAACTGGCACCTGCCGCGACACCGTTATTGGTGTCGATGAAGTCAAAGTGCTCGTCGACGTATTCCCAGCCCTTGACGAGATCCTCATATGGTGAGCCTCCTATAGGATTTTGTTAGCACGAATTGGTTCCTGACGTCTGAAGGGCTTTGACTCAATCATACCCCAGTTGTTCTGGATGGCATCCTGGAGCTCGTCGCCGAAGCCACTGCTTCCAGTTGGGTTCGGTGCAACAACTACGTATCCCTGATCGGCGAACACCTTGGGGTTCCAGCGGGTGCTCCAGGAGTCGAGCCACGAGCTCTGAGGGCCACCGTGGATATAGTAAAGTAGGGGATAGGTCTTGCTCTTGTCAAAGTTCTCGGGATAGATGATCCAGGCTTGAATCTAGGATGGTCATTAGCGAGGCCTTAAAATGATTGGGTTCGGCACACGTACATCAGTCCATTCACCCTCGAAGTAGAATTCATCAACTATATGAGGACCAAGGCCTTTCAGCGCAGGGTCGATCTCGTTGGCAGTAGCCAAGGTCTTAATCACACCCTTCTCAGGGCTAGCGATGTAGACATTCCAGCTGGTCCAAATAGCGGCCGAAGTAACCAGGTAAGTTGAATCCGGCAACTGATAGTAAGCAGATACGACACCGCCATCTGTGAAGTTCTTAGGCGTGTAGTCATCACCGGCGTCTGCTGGGATGGAGAACAACCGAGAGCGTCCAGCGTCTTCAACCCCGATGACGAGGTTGTCATCATCTGCCCATTTGATGGCATCCAGGGACCGGTCCCAGTCTCCTGCAAGAGAAGGAATAGTATCCTTCGAGTCCAGAGTGTACACATACAAGGTACGATGGTCAGCCTCGTAGGACTCATCCTTCATTTGCCAGTACGCAATTCTCTTGCTGTCCGGGGAGAACACCGGGCTTCCAGCATCTCCCTTGACGCCCTCGGGGGTTCCGGGGCTGTGTGGTCCATTGATTGGGACAGCAGTCTTCGAACCATCATGGGGGACAAGGAAGATATACGCAGTAGTATAGTTGGCTCGGGGAACATCATGTGCCTTGCTCTTGAAAGCAACCCACTTGCCGTCAGGGGAGAGGTCATAGTCAGAGGAGCCACCGAAAGGTGGGTAAGGGCTCTCCGCATTTCTAACGGGAGAGACAAGGTTCTTGAGGCCTCCGTCGGCCTTGTAGGTAGCCTTTCCATTGCCCTCGGACTTCTTCAAAGTGCCAGAAAATACTGCATTGAATCGGGTCGTGAGGTAGTAGTCCCAGTGGCGAACGTAGAGGCTGTCATAGATGCGAGCAGAGCTTAGAGGCTTCTCTGCTAGCTCTTCATTGTAGGCCGTGCCATTTGCGTACGATTCAGCGTATGCAATGTATTGCACATCACCGGAATCTGTTGTGACCACCTTGAAGCCAGAAAACGACGCTGGCAGTGACGCTGCTTTGTACCTATGCTTTTGGTCAGCTATCTATTTAATCGAATTACGGAGAGAAGGTTCCACATACCCATTGGTGAAATCGGAGATATCTGACACCCACAACTCTACACCACCTGGAATGTCGGCATTGGTGCCGTTGACATAGAGAAGTGTTGAGTCATCAGAACCCAGCCAGACTATCTCAGAGACATTGCTATCGTTCGTCAGAAGCTTGATGTCACCGGATTTCAGGTCCAGGACATTCCATTGAGAGGTAGTCTTATGGGTCTTGAAAGAGTACTGCGATTGCGAGAACACCGCGACATCCTAAGCATATTATGTCAGTATTTGTCATCACGGTGCTCCCAAATCCAAGTCCATGCTTACCCCAGAAGGATTGGGGATTGCTTCCGACCTCCGTGGAGCGCTGATCATTCCTCTGTCAAGTTTTGTTAGCAAACAAAACTCCCATTGAGGGGTTTTGTGTGAAACGTTGGGTAAGTGAGACTTACTCTGGAGTGAGGGCCAGTGCCGTCGACGCAGTAGCGACAAGGGAGAGCCACCGAAGAGCCCCCATTTTGAGTACGAGTTCGATATCGTATCTACGATACGAATCTCCGCAACGGATTGAAGGGTGCTGGAGGGATAGAAATGAAGAAGCGAGGGGGTGACAACATAGTGAATTTATAGAGATAAATTACACGGAACGACTCCGCATTTCGCGAGTCGGAACCTGCCCAATCGGCATGGAGAGGCTCTATCATCAACATTTGTAACAAAGCCGCATAATCATTAGTAGTTTAGTACCGTGATAAACAGGCTGTCGGAGGAGCTAACGGAATGGGGTTCTCCACCCCGGTCACATGGTTGGTCCCTTCCCCATTTCTTGGGTTACATGCCAAGGCTCGTTCCGGACCTTTTAACTCAGTTCAAGCCTTCCGTCTTATCGGTTACTTCCGCCGTTGATAAGCGGGCCAGTGATTTGGTGATCATCGCGACAATTTGCGCTATCAGCATCTCACCGACTGGTTTATATTAAAATCCCCTCTTGGCGTAATATCAAAATGTCCAGCGGAAAATACCAATCATCCGATGCCAGCCAGGATGGCGTGACTTTCATTCATGACGCGATCAGGATCAAAACAAACATAACATGCCCCAAATAGTAGATCATAGAACACCTTAGTATAGTACAGGGCAATCATCTCCAGAAGAACAAGAATAATAACAAAAACTTTACCCCTCATGCATGAACTCCACACTAATGATTAGAGATGCAGGAACACGAGCTAATATTCAAAATCATCATCCACACCCTTCTTGCCCGCGTTTTCCTTGGCGACAGCCTCTTGTTTGCGGTACATTTCGGCCACTTGCCGGGTCGTTGTCGCCTGCTCCGGCTTCTTATCCTCGCGTGATTTGATAAAACGTGGGAATCGGAGAGAAACACCTTTTCCGCCTCCCGTCGTACCCACGAACTCATCGGCCGCGGCTTGATAGCGCGGACTAAGAGTCAAATCGGCGGTCTTCACTTCCCAGACCAACCGTGGCTCAAACCATACATCGGGTTGGTCCTTAGGGATCGTCGAGTGGGTGTAAAACGGCTTGGGTCGATCAATGACGAGGGGAGACAGTTCCTTGTGAAGGTCTTCCAGATTGGCTTCGGAAAACCCGGTACCAATGTTGCAGATTGACTCGTAAGTTTGGCTATTTGCGTTGTATGCAGCCAGAAGGAAAGCACCATAAACGGATGTACGCTTGCCTCGCCCGTAGTATGCACCGAGAACGACAAGGTCAAGCGAGTCGCCAACACCACTCAGGTAGTCTTTCTTGACCTAAATCCACAGTTAGGTACTAGACAAAAAAATTCTACAGAAGCACATAAACTCAGGCTACATACCTTAAGCCAGTTGCGACTCCGCTTGCTGGGCTCGTAGCCACTTTCCTCCGTGTCCAGCATCTTGACCATCAGACCTTCGCACGACGCTTTGACACTGTCGTCCAGCAATGTCTGGATTTCGTCCAACACATTGGTATTGCCGAACTGTGCAAACTGGAACTCACCTTCGTTAACCTGGAACGATTCATGTAAGAGTTCTCGGCGGTCGCGGAGTGACTTTTTCACCGTAGGCTATAGCTCCGAATAGCTTAAGTCAGCAGCAGCACATAGGAAGAGAAAAGAGATTTATCAGCATTACCTCTCCATTTAGAAACAAAAGGTCAAAAGCAAATACACAGACTTTGACCTTAACGTCTTCCGCCTTGACATCTTTCCGTTTACGAGTCATCAACTGTTGGAATGGTAAAACCTTCTTGTTAACCGTATCCCAGGCGACGGTCTCGCAGTCCAACACAAAGCTCTTCACACCATCTTTAATCCAACTATCAAGCTTAGCCAACACATCAGGGTACTTCTTCGAGAGGTCTTCCGAGTTACGAGAGAAAATCGCAGTAAGACCTTTAGCATCCTTTTGTAGTGTATGTTGTGCTTGCGGATAATTGTGGGCTGCATCCGGCGCAACATAGTGGATCTGTGCCCTCTCTCCGTCGTATTTATACTCGCACGTGAATTCCTTTCCTTCGAATCGGTCGAGCACTTCGGTGATAGATTTGGTCGGTTTAGCAAGCATAGGCTTGATAGGGATACCAGGCTGTAGCTTGCAGGCTTCATGTAACTTGAACAGACCATTCTCAAGCATAGCAGGAATGATTATCTCATAAGCGGGTAGTTCACTGTATACCGTCTTCAGGATAGCCTCACCCTCAGCCAACTTCTCAGGGGAAGGCGCTTTCTCTCCCTTGCAGGCGGATTCATGGGTCACCACTGCTTGAGCAAGAGCAACAAGAACGGTTCTTTCAGCCAATCCCAGTCTCAATTTTCCCTCCAAAAATCGAACAATATACTTGGCCTCGCTAGGGCCACCCTTGTCCTTGGTGATGTCCACGCCCTTGCTGCCCTTTCCTGCCGTTTCTGGGTCGGCCGCAGAAAGGAGCTTCTTAATACCGGAAATTTTCTTGTCTTGAGAACCATGGCCCTGCACTTTGGCAATGCCAAGAAGACCCTCGTGGACACCCCGAACTGTCAGTGCCTTTGGTTTGAACATAGTAGGCTGGTTCGACCGACTCTTAGCGGCCACCAAGCCCAGGTCTCCAATTTCATGTTGATCTGCCTTGATGACGGCCAGGCTGCGGCCGGTACATTCGCCAATAGCCTTCATGATCAGAGACTCGCCAATTCCTAATTCAATGCCGGCATAGTCGGCAGCTAACTTGTTTATCATAAGCTGGACTGTCGGAAGAAGATCTTCAGGCGTCAACCGAAGAACTTGGCGAAGAAACAGGGAGCAATGGGCAAGTATCACCAATCGTTTGGTGGTCATCTCAATAAGTGAAAAAGTCGTACACAATGCCGCATATGGAACAGGAGTACCAGGCTTCCAGTCTGGATACGGCTCATCTCCGCTCGCTTTCAATGTAGCCTGTACTTTTTCCATGGTTTTCTTCATCACTTCCGGTTTTTCCTCGTCTTCACTAGCAGACATCGCTTCGTCCTCGGACTTGTCTTCCTCGGGAGTTTCTTCTTCCGACGCGTTCTTCACAGCCGCCGGTTGTTCTGTCTTTTGGGGCTGAACTTCTTTGCTGGCCTTCGAGCGTTTAGGAGACGGTGTATTAGACTTCTTCTTCGGCGAAGGAGTCCCTTCCCCGTTTCGCGAGCTCCTCCGCCTCCTTTTCTGCGCAGGCTGAACATCACCATCACTATCTTCTTCCTCGCTCTCTTTTCTTTTCAGATCTTTAGAATCGCTGTGTCCATTCTTCTGCGTCGGCTCCGACTTCGTCTCGACGGCGTCCCCTTTGCTAGCGTCTCCGTTTTGAACCCCATTAGAACTATTCTCATCTACAGTTGACGATTCGTGCGTGGTATCTGGCTTCGCGGCAGCTTTCTGTGTCTTTTCTTTCTTGCCAGAGAAAGACAACGTAGTTTGCTTCTTGGGTGCCTCTTTCGGGTCCGCATTCGAGCCGAAGAAACGCCTATATACCAAAATTATATCAGTCAGCGATACAAATTACCCCCACATTGATAGCTTCACCCGGGCCAGTCACTCAAGACGCACCCGAGAGTCAACTGGGAATTACGAACATACCCCAGCGTGGCTTGTTTCCGGCCCTTAGGGTCTGCCATCCTGGAAAGCGCAAACGGATGAAGATGAGCTAGTGTAGAGAGATTTGTCCGTGGTCGATAAGTATTAGATTGGCTTCGAGAAAGAAATGTAAATATCGGGCCAATTCCGTATTGTGGGGTACGCGCGCGACAGGTGGTTAAATGGAGGCGTAGCAATGCGGGTGTGAGGGAATTGGGTCTCTGGAGGAGCGCAACAACCGTAGGTCTGCGACGAGCGAACATAGACGTCGTCTTCACGTAGGCATCAAGGAGACATTTGAGAATACGAGGAGAATGGGTTCTAAGGTCGAAAGTTGAACTGTTCTAGGCAATCAAGTAGGCTGCCTTGCGCGGAACGCGTGCAACTAAATTAGACGCGAAAACGACACGTGCCGATAAGATAAGATCACATGGCGTGATATTAGAGATTTGTATTTTAGCACAGAAGTATGGTTTCCCCGAAATGTTTAATAGTATATATAAGTGCTATTTGTAAGAACTGCTTATTGGATATATTATAAATCTCTGTTTCTACTAAGCAAATGTTTTATGGCCGTTATTTTGTATAATGGGAAGGGGATAGAAGAAGCTAAAGTATATATTTCAATAACATTATTCCCTTTGGGGTTTCCTATCCTCATTAAGACTGTCATATCAACTCCACTCCTGTACTTCCCAACGACGGACACCTCTCCCCTTCTCAGTTCTCCAACAGTCCAAGTATTCGCTCAAGAGCAGGGCTCCGCGGCCCACCTATCTTCGCCCACCCACCGACCCTGAATCGTCCAGAGACACGATCTCCAATCGTAGACCTACTTCTATGACTGCGCCAATGCCGTCCTTAAGACTGGTAAGAGTAAAGGCAATGGTGTCATTCGACTTAGGATTCAGCGATGAGGATTTTGTGCTGTTTGGGCCCACTGAGGAACTATCCATGATACGGGACCATGTGTAAAGTGACCTGATCTTCAGGTCATGGCTGTGGAAAGAATTCCGGATGGTAGCACGGGAAAGCCCCTCTGGGACTTCCTCAACTTTACGCCGTTGGAGGTCCTTGTAGAGGACCTTGGAGATGATGGAGCCTATAATTAGCCTTCGACCAAGCTTCTAATTGGATTAAGGAATCGAGAACATACAGAAAAACATCTGATCAGGTAGAGAATGTTGCTTAATATAGGATTCAGACAATTGATGTAGGTAATTCTTGAGGAAAGGCCTTCACTGTCCTTTTCTCCCTTAGAGCTCTAAGCTCCTCTAAAGGAAAACGAGTATAACAATCCCTTACTTGACGTAGAATCTCCGGAGTCAACCAATCGTTGCAAAGCGCGGCAAAGCTATACATAGCGATTTCACCAACGTGATCGAAAATCTCTGATATGATGTCGGAGAGAAGGTCTGACTACGTATACACCGAAATAGTGAAGTGGAGATGACCTGCACATGTAGGCTAAGTACCACTAGTGCTCGCTAGTGATACTTACACTTGATTACTGTCCAGGGTGATGGTATTCCGGACATCTGCAGCCCTATAGCTAGTGCCTCATTCATGAAGTATTTACCTTGATGGGTAGCAATGTCTTACTCTAGCACAAGCTCTGTGGGGCAGGACGAAGAAATAAAGCCAGGATAAATAGAAACTGCACATTTGTGAAAGTTCGCGGTTTATAATATACTTATATCTTGGTGAATGGTTAACAATCTGGTCCTTAACGGTAGGATATGACGGCTTTCTCCAGACGATATTAGGGGCAAGGGCTGAGTCAGCCCATAACCTAAATTCAGCGGAGTTGATGAATCAGGAGCACTGCTGAGAGTACTCAGTGACCCCAGAAAGCAGGGATCTGGGATCTGGGATCTGGGGGCGGAAATGATCCGAACATCTCGAACTATACGCAGATCTACTGGGCTCAGATCTTTGACTGAAGCAAGTGAGCAACCACCAGTTCCGGTTCCATTGTAGTTTTCAGGGACAGTGATATGCCAATGATATTAGTGTCATATCTGGATGCCTGAATGAAATGAAATTGACTGACACTTGGAAGTCTGTTTAGACGGGTTGAGACTATGCTATAAGATTCTGCGTTGTATACCAATAAAGTATTGAGATCCTTAGTCAAAGAATAGGGTCTAGAAATGAGATAGCCAACTAGGACTTGAAAATTCCGTATATTTTCCTCGTAACTTTCATATCTAATCGATTGAAGCTGAAGTTAAGTTGACGGTTGGCTTCATCTTCGCTGTTATTTTAGCATGGCTATAGCCTTGTCGCTATTGAAAAATTATCTGTACAACAAAGTTTGCTTGCAAAGCCAGGATCTCCTTCTCAATTGATTTAGCGGTGAACATGGTTGATGAATTCTCAAGTATTCTAACCTCATCGCCAAAAAGTACAACAATACAAACAATACAAACATGTATCACACCGCCCTATAAATAATATCGGCAGGAAAATGTGGGGCGGAGAACAATGGATGTGACGCTCCATCTTGCTGCTTTTATGTACTCATATTAAATATCTCGGCAGACTCCAAGTGTTAATGTACTATTAACAAGCCGGATGGAAAGTCCGTAGAGCCACATTTCTAGATCTCAACATTTCAGTGCGGGTATAGGTATAATGGAGTACTCACGGCAGGAAGCGTTTAAAAAGGTACAACATGCATCATACAAGTTCTATACACTAATTTAGCTAATGAATTCCAAAGCTTCGGGAGCCATGCGTTGAGCTCAGCTCAGTCGGTCTTAGCTACCGTGGCCACCAGTCGTCCTCGAACGATGTTTTCCGGGTTCTTCAGCCAGTGCATGATGTCCTGAATGAACTCTCAAGCAAAGGTGCACTAGACGAGAAGCTAGCAGAATATGCATTCTTTCCGCTGTCTCATATATTCAATGAGACTCAGAGAGTTCCGGCTAATTGCTTGGAATTGGCTGTCAATTGCTTGCGGATATTGATTGCTAACGGATGGCGAGAACGCTTATCACCGCAAATGGGCAAGCAGCTTATGATATTGCTCACGTTAATTGTCGGGGGTCCTCCAAGTAAGACCCTCGGCAATCAGCAAACACAGACCAAACCAGCGGAATTATCTATTGCTGGCTTCGACTGCCTTTCAGCAATCTTTGATGTAATGGAGGGGCCTGTGGCGCAAAGGACAATTTACAATGAGATCGGCACAGCGACTGTTGTCGACCAAACTGTGTATGTCTTGCTAGAAGGGATAGCAGATAGTACATCTGATGACCTCTGCGTTTCTGCGGCAAAGGCCCTCCAAGCTCTTTACTGTCGCATCACAGATCGGGTGGTACTGGCGAGCATAATGCCAAGGACTGTCTCGACGCTCACTAAAGTCATCAAGCCAACAATCCAAGTACGACGGTCTTACAAGCTGCTTTCTGCATGCGTCAAGGTCCTCACACACATGATTGAAATGGTCCTAAATGATCAGGTAGCAAGTATTGCAGAAGAAAAGCCCACTCAGACCCAGAAAAGCGATGATGGTCTTGCACTTGATGAATCTTGGTTAAAAGCCACGGCTACACAAATCAAGCTTGCGCTTGCAAATATTATCCAGGTCAGGCGGCATGATAGACCTGAAGTACAAGCGGCGCTGTTGGACTTATGTTCAATGGTCGTAGAAGATTGTCGAAGCACGTTACAAGAGTCACTTCCCCTCGTGGTTGAAACTATGGTCGTGTTATCTGATACTGGAGATGACCAATCACCTAACAATGCATACTCGACTCTTATGCACCTTGCCACCACTTATACTGAGGTGCTAGACTCTCTTAAAAATTCATTGCATGCATGGATCACTGCTTTCCCAAGAACCATGCAAAGCAATGACGAAACGTCAAAACAATGGGCACTCAAACAGATATCGACCGCGTTTCATATATTATCTCAGATACAATCGGGGTCTGATATACTCACTACTGGGCTTGCATCAGGACTATGTGACAGCGTTTTTGCCGCTATCAACCATTCAACTAATGCACTTCAGCCTTTGAACCCTGAAACGTCGAGTCAAACATTAGAAGTGCTTCACCATGGACACCAGTCAGAGTCCTTTCCTCCTGTTATTCTAGAACATCGGAGTCAACAGCAAACCCTCAAAGACCTTCGATCCATGATATTCAGGCTTAATAGCTCCGGATCTGGAAGTGACATTACGCGCTTGGTCATTAACCGAGTTCACCAAGAGACAGGCAATTCAATGATTGCACCCTTCTGGTTGGCATTGGAATGCCTTAAGAGCGGTGCCCAGCTTACCACTTTTGATGAATTCATTTCATCCGACCTGATCGACCCTGCATCGCTGTATTCCACTAGGGCCAATATGATTGAGGAGCTGTATTATATTTCATTGCCAATATTAAGCGAATCGCTTCCCGACGAGTCTAAAGACTGGAGGATCTCAGCTCTTGCTCTAGAAGTAGTCGCACTGCAAGCTCAACAGCTTAACAAATCATTCCGACCAGAACTGATGGAAGCGTTATACCCTGTTCTCCAGCTTCTATCATCACCAAACCAGAACCTTCAAAGGCATGCCATGATCTGTCTTAATCTACTGACAGAAGCCTGCGCTTATGAAAACACGAGCATTATGATTATTGAAAATGTTGACTACCTTGTGAACTCAGTGGCATTGAAATTAAATACTTTCGATGTCTCACCATATCCGCCACAGGTGTTGTTCATGATGGTCAAGCTGTGCGGTGTACGGTTGATTCCTTATCTCGACGACCTGGTGGACTCAATATTCGGAATATTAGACATGTACCATGGGTATCCGAAACTTGTTGAGATGATGTTCAAAACTTTGACCGCTATTGTCGAAGAAGGGACCAAAAGCCCGGCTTTCCTGGCAATAGACGATGGCAAGGATAGCGAAAGAGTTGGACATCGCAAGAAGCAATATAAAAGGCTGCAGATTTCTACTCTTGCCGAGGACCTGGCTAATCGAAGAGCGAAACGTGCCAAGCATATGGACGAGTTTCCTGAAGCTGACGAGCACGTCTCGCACCCAGAACGGCCGTGGACAACAAAGCCTGATAAGCCTACTGAACCTGAAGAGGATATTGATGCGCTCTTGAAAAAGGTAGAAGCAGAATCAGATGAGCCATTACCTCCTCCTGACGAACCAGATGACCAAGAAAAGCCTCTGAGCAAGCCACATAACCTCTTGTTACATATCATACAATCTATCCCTTCGCACCTCTCCTCTCCGTCACCTTACCTTCGTCGGTCATTGCTCTCTATCCTAATCCAGGTATCACCGATCCTCTCAGGGCATGAGAACAGCTTCTTGCCCATCATCAATGAAGTGTGGCCTTCAGTAGCCGCGAGAATCAGCTTTCCCTCACCTTTCAATAGCAGCTCCTCATCAACAGCTCTCATGACAGGGGAAACACCCCAATCCTCAATTAAGACACTCCAAAACAGACCAGACGACGAGTTCGCCTTTCAAGAAGAAATATACGTAACAACAACTGCCTGCCTAGCCGTGGAGAGCATGTGCAAGAGCACCGGCGATTTCATGGCCACTCGAATCGAAAAGGAATTCCCCCGATGGGAACGCCTATACCGCCGCGTATGGGAAACAGTCCGCCAAGATGCCGAAAAAGCCATTCAGAGACGAGCCAAGAGCCGGTCTACTGAGAAACACACAGATATACCCTTTTCCCTGTCCCTGGGGCTCTCGCAATCCCTATCGCTGATCACAACAGGGGGTTCCTCAGGTGCACGCGCATTCACGCCACACCATAGTCTCTGGCGAGCTCTGATTTCCCTGTTCATAACTCTCCTCACTCACGTCCGTCTTCCTTTGTTTATGGGTGATCAGATCTGTGAGTTCCTTGCTGCTTGGATAGCTCGTTTCGCAGGTCCAGATTATTACTTCCACTCGGCTTCCAATAAAGAAATCCCGGCTTCCCTCCGCTCGGAAATCGACTCGGTCAACAACGCAATCGAGGCAATGGAAACCTGGAATGCCGATTTGACCTGTTTTATCTTCCAACAGCAAAAGGTGCAGGTGCTTGATATCACACCTCGGGAGAAAGCACGTACTAGCCCCATGATAAGTGAAGTATACGAGAACCCCTTGGAAACATGGTCATCCCCAGGCAAGAAACTGAAGTTTGCGGCGTTGGCGTTTTGAATGTATCACTCAGCAAATGGGACACGGGGACTCCTGCATAGACAAATCTAGAGAATATATCCCTAAAAGAAATAACGATTGAATGATGTTTTATCACCCGTGGAATGTCTGCATAGTGATCTAGAAGTACTCATTACCCATGCCACAGAAGCCGATATGTCGTTCTTAGTATGCGACCAGAATAGAGGTTCAACAGTTAATGGTATCCCCATGTCTCCATAATATCAGGGCTCATTTCTCACGTCATAAAAACTTGGTTTAAAGCAATGTTCAAGATAGTAAAGTAGAGACGAAAGGAGTAATTGCCTAATATAGGTACATACAAAGAAGGCTTGCTGACAAAGGGGTCTCTTGGTTGTGTGGAGCGACACTGAGGTAGTATGAGGACTGTGAAACCAAGCCCTATGTTATAAAAGGTCTCGACTCATAGAGAGCTATAACAATAAGTGCCCTGCTGGTCTCTTTAGTCATGCCATTTTCACTCCTAACAAATTCGTGCTCTAGTGACAAGTGTAGACGGTGTAAATATGCCCTAGTAATTTATAAGAGGTACTTAGTAGTACAAGTATACTGCATGCATAGAACGGCGAATGGGGTAGAACGGCGCTACAATGCCTGTAGTAACGACTCAGGCAAATTTTACGACTAAGGATGGTGAAAAAAGGTTTGATTTGCAAGAACTAATCTCAACAATTTTTTTATGTTTTAATCTGACTATTCTCAAACCAGAAACATCATAACAAGCTATATCGCTGTCAACAATGAAATGAGTGTAAAGTAGTTGGAACTAGAGTTGAAAACTACACAAACAATCCCGAAATGAACTTCCGTAGGAAGAACCGAGGGCTTTGAATAGATCGGCTAACCTACTCATCATCGCTCTCTTCCTCACTCTCTGACTCGGCGTTCTCGAGCCATTGGAGGAAAGGCTCGGCGGCCTTGCGAACCTTCTTGCTAGTAGCGATATCAACGTATTTCTTGCTAGCCTTGGAACCCCACGCCTTGAGAGTCTCCTCGGAGATGATATCCTCCTCATAGAGGCGGAGAAGAACGGCGGGAATCTGGCTGATCAGCCCGGGGTGGTCCTTGCCAACAAAACGTTCAATACCACCCAAGAAGGCCTTCTCATGGCGCTCCGAGGTGATCATCTTCTTAAGCAGACCAGCACGGTTGGGGATCTGCTTAGCGATCTTCTCATCGAAGAGGGTTTGAGCAAGAACTGCCAAGGTCTTGTGCTTGGACTCAATGCCATACTCCTTGGCCTTCATGTAGACATCCACATCGTCGACTTCAGCGACGCCACCCTTTTCAGAGGCGGTCGCCAGAACCCAGCTTCCGAGCTCGTCATAGGCGGAAGGACCATCAACACCATCGTCGTCCGCATCCTCAATAACAAGGGAGCGCTTCAGGTCATCAGGAAGTTCCTTGGCCCGAGCACGGACGGCCTCTTCAGAGACGTCGACGGCCCATTCAACTTCGGCATCCTCGGCTTCAATGTTTTGGGCCTCCGACTTGATGCGGCGAGTAAGTTCATCATCGCTGCCAGCTTCTATGCCAACGTCACCATTCTCAGCGTCGCCATTATCAGAGTTACTCTCTCCTGGGCTGCCGTTCTCTCCATTCGCTGTTTCATTCTTCTTGTTCCGCTGCTCACGACGAGTCTTCTTGTCAGCCTTGTTCTTTTTTCCTCCCTTTCCGCTAGTTTCATTGCGGAGGATGAAAGTGCTCAGTTTCAGACGGGAATCAACATCGGAACGCTGTCCACAGGCTTTGCAATCCAGGATGATTTTCTCATCCTTGATGATGACATCAGTCTCAGGATTTTTGCACTTCTTGCACAGGACGAACTTGGAGATGAATCCGTCGAGGTAATCCTGGAGCTTGGCGGCATCATGAGCGCCATTAATGATCCAGCGGTCATCGGTCGGCTTGGCGTTGGCCTGAGCGCCAAGTTCGAAACCAAAGTACTTGATCACATATGCAGGAGGACGGCTAAGGGACTGAGCAACCGAGTTCAGGTTGACAACGACGGTCTTAATTCCATTGCCCTTACCCTCAATCTTGGACTGCAGGCGCTCCATCTTGTAACGATAGAAGGGATCGGAGATATCCCGACGAATGTTGACGGTAGCCATGGTGGATAGAGATGAGAATTCTTTAGGCAACTAACTGAAGTGGGTGTCTGAGAACGAGGCGGGAGGGATTCCGAACTAGGGATGTCTTGGAATTACAAGACATGCGTAGTGAGTTCCTAATGTTGGAGGAATGGTGGCGGTTAAGATCGTCTCAACGAAACGACTGGCACAGCGAATATGGCAGCCCCAAACTTTCAGCCACAGGACTTAGAGTGTATACTACAAGGTTTCGACGTGGGGCGAAACGATTGCAGCTTGAGCGGCAGGTGGTATTCGAGATCTCTGACACAGGACGAATACATGAACAAGTTCTCGAGCGACTCTTTTTGGTGGCTTTCTCCAACGAAAAGAGAGAGAAACCAGCTGGGTGGTTCTTCTGGAAAGCAGCAGGAAAAGACAAATGTTAGATTTTCGAGTTTTCTCGATGACTGGGGGCTGACGACGAGATGACTATAGAACTAACCAGTGGCGTTGATGAATCAAAACGTGAAGTAAATCCGTAAGCCGTGTTTAACAGCTTTCCGGGGAGATTTGAAAGGCGTGGTAATGTCAAGAACTGATGACTTGACGATGGAAAAGAATAGTGAGTTGGGATGGGGGGGGAAGAAAGAGAAGAGAGGAAGGAAGAAAATTGTTGCCAAATAGAAAGGACGTTCGAGTGGTCCACCGCCGAGCCTGGCAGAAAAAAATACATGAAAAAAAGAGAGAAAACGCATCCACACTGAGTCAGCACGGCCACTGATTTCCGGATCTGTCGGTTTCGCCGGCACGTGTATTGAACCCACTCGAACAGTGGGCTTCGGGAATATGTCGGATTTAACAAATCCTCGGTGGATTTCAATCTCCGGTGTTTTATCCAACATACGGAGTACTACGTTACAACCATTGTTATCCCCTTCAATCGTCCTTTATCTCACATAATTCTTACACTTCATCACACAATTACAGAGAGATGATCCACATGTCTGTTCGGAACCCAGCGACAGGATGTGCTGATCGGCCATATCAATGCACAATCCCCTGTGTCGGACGAAATGGTTGCTGTGGGATCTAAAGAATGTGCTCTAGCTGCACCTCTATGATCACCGGATAGCATCATTGAATACGTCCGATTCTTTATTCACACAAAATGTTGGCGAAGGATGAATGGCATCAACCCTGATTTCAAAGGAACCAGGACAGCCCTTGCCTATTCACATCTATGGTCATCGCTACCCAGTGGAATCTTACGCAGCCCTCACCTACTGTAAATGTGATTGGAGGGCTTGTCGCTAGGGGATTGATTTCGGTGCCATGCAGGGGCAGACTTTGCAAACCTTCTCTGAATTAGGCACCGTTCATGCAGCTGACCATGCAGAGGCTTCACTAGTAGCTTAGTAGATATATTTCTTTTTCGGATGCATGCATATACACGATGTGTGGGTTGGTTGTACTCCGGACTCGGTATATTTATGCAGGTACAGTGAGCAATCTACCCTCAAGTAGCGCTCGCGGCATGGTGAAAAGAGTTAAATCGGCTTAACTCTGCGGTTGGCAATGCAATGATTTGGTCGCACAGCTATGCTAAAAAGCACATCGTGGGTTCAGTCTCGGTGATTCAGAGCATAGAGCCCCCTTGAGCTTGTAAATCACTACGTATTCCATTGGGGTGTTGGAAATACATAATATTTACGTTAGAATATCTTCGGAATGAAGAGAAGTCAGCTAATTGAAAGGTGTGGTATACACAGGTGCCTGTAGAAAAATCGCCAGAGGAGTATGTCAGTATTAGCAATTTAGTATAGAAGCATGACTAACTAGTATTGTTGGAACCAACGCAAACATTCCCCAACGTTACTCCAACCTCATGACCCGATTATTCAATTATATCGTTGCTATCGTGAACAGGCCAAAGATAAGTTGGGTAGCAGTCTGCAAAAGGTCTTGTTTTGCGTTCTACTTCCAAATGGAAAATTTTCTATGATCATCTTTATCTTGGTCCCCACCTACCCCACGTGCCCCTCCCTCAGAGACCGCTCAACACTTCATGAAAGTCCCGTAAATGCACCCACAGATGCCAATTAGGCCAATCCAGAAAATAAAAAATAAAAATGCCGCTAAATCTCTCCTTGTACCTGGTCACCGACTCGACCCCAGCGATCCTCAAGGGCCGTGACTTGTGCACGGTGGTAGAGGAAGCTCTGAAAGGAGGTCAGTGTCCCTCTCTACTTCCCGGGAAATTCCCCACTAACGCTTGGCATGTAGGCGTCACGGTGGTCCAATATAGAGACAAGACCAGTGATACAGGAGCTCAGATAGAGATAGCTAAGAAGCTACATCAGATTACCCGGAAGTATGGGGTTCCCTTGTTGATCAACGACCGTGTGGATGTTGCTCTTGCCGTCGGAGCTGAGGGCGTCCATCTCGGTCAAGATGACATGGGTGAGACATTCGCCTTCTGCTTTCTACCTATCAAGATCTAATCTTTTATAGCTATTGAGCAAGCCAAGCAGCTTCTACCTAAGGATGCCATTATTGGTATCACCGCTTCCTCGTTAGAAGAGGCCCAGAAGGCAATTGATGCTGGCGCCGACTATCTCGGGGTAGGGACCATGTTTGCAACACCAACGTATGTTATCAGTTACAAAACATATCCGGTTTCCAAAGCCATTCTGACCTTTACTAGTAAGACTAATACCAAGCACATCATCGGAACGGCCGGTACACAGGCCATCCTTGATGCCATCTCGGACACAGGCCGCTCTGTCGGGATTGTCTCCATCGGTGGAATCAACCTTTCAAATGTTCAGCGAGTCCTGTACCAATCCAAAGCCCCCAGAAAAGCGCTTGACGGTGTTGCGGTCGTCAGTGCTATTATAGCCGCGGACGACCCGAGGGCCGCTGCAGCTGAATTTGCAAAACGCATTGCCACCCCACCGCCGTTCGTGCGAAGCACAGCAGCTGCCCAGATCCGCAAAGTCTCTGCGCTACAGGAGGAAGTGCCGAAAATTGTTCAAAAGGTTGTGCAGGCGCATCCCCTTGTACACAGCATGATCAACTATGTTGTTGCTAACTTCGTTGCCAATGTTGCCCTGTCAATGTAAGTTCCTTGACTGCCTTTTATGGCATGTGCATGCCCAGTTAAGTGTGTTATAGAGGTGCATCCCCTATTATGGCCCCGCACGGAGATGAAGCTGTGGACCTCGCTCAGTTAGACGGCGCTCTGGTCATCAACATGGGCACCTTGACCAGCGAAAGCGTTCCCAACTACCTGAAAGCCATCAAAGCATACAATGAACGCGGTAACCCCGTTGTTTATGACCCCGTTGGCGCTGCTGCCACTCACATCCGACGTGGAGCTGTCAAGCAGCTCATGGCGGGAGGCTATTTCGATCTCATCAAAGGCAACGAAGGGGAGATCCGACAAGTCTTTGGAAGTAGTGGCGTAACCCAGCGCGGTGTCGACAGTGGCCCAAGCAACCTGGACGGTCAGGCCAAGGCCACCCTGGCCCGGGACTTGGCTCGGAGAGAACGTAAGTAGTGACGGCTTTGTACTCTGCTCATCTCAGGGTCACTAACCTAACCGGATACAGAAAACCTTGTTCTCCTCACTGGCGCCGTCGATTATCTCAGCGATGGCGAACGAGTTATTGCTGTGGAGAACGGACACGAACTCCTTGGGCAAGTCACTGGTGTACGTATATTCTCTTGTCCACACGAACCAATCATAAGGCCACATGCTAATAAGGGATATAGACCGGCTGTGCTGTTGGAAGCGTATCTGGCTGCTTCATAGCCGCTCATCCATCTGACAGACTTCTAGCTGTCTTGTCCGGCATTCTGATGTACGAAATTGCCGCGGAGAACGCCGCTTCGAAGGAGTATGTACGGGGACCCGGAAGCTTCGTTCCTGCGTTCCTCGACGAACTCTACGCAATCCGCCAAGCAGCACTGAAGGGTGACCACAGCTGGTTCACGGGGCGGGCAAAGATCCAAGTTATCGACTTGTAGAATGCCCCGGTACATTTCGGTTTCACGTGAATATAAGAAAGTTCTTAGAAATACTGCCGCTATGTATAAAGAGTCCGCTGTGCCTCCGAATAGAACTTAGATGCGTCCCAGCAGCGTATTCGCAAAAATAAAGGAACATAAAATCGCCTCTCAGTCCACCATAGATCCCCTCATTTCTGCCTGACAAATAAGGTAGCAAACACATATGCGAAATCGGCACATAGGACTTCTCCGCATACTCACGGACTTCCCCACCCGATTTCCTCCGCACTCACTTTCTTCTCTCTTTGTCGATTTACCACAAATCATCTCTTCCCCCTATCCAAGTCTTCACTACCAATCTCTACTCGAAGTATACAATACCATCCATCCAAAATGGCCACCATCTCACGAGCGACCCGAATCCGTACGTCACCTAAACCCAAGAGCATAACCTAACAAACAACACCCAACTAACCAAAAAAACCCAGGCAACCCAGCCCTATTGTACGCAAACCTACCCAACCCAACAAGTTAAACCCTAACAAAAACCAGCATCTGCGACATTCAAGAAAAATTCCGACCCGTAATCTACGAATTCTCCAGATTGTCCGTCTACCCCAAACCCACACATCATACATCCCCACCCAACTAACAAGACACATCCCAAACAGAATTCCAACAACTACCAAACTCCTTAAAGCAGCCAACCACCTCCAAATCCCAACCTACATCACGACCCAAAACCGATCCAAACTTGGCGACACAATCTCGGAACTGCAACCCCACCTCTCGACGCCCAATATCAAAGCTAATATCGACAAGACCCTATTCTCGATGATCACACCCGAGATCGAGAGCCAATTACCGAAAGTAAGTGCCGAGGAGACAGGTATCGATGCGATTATTGTGGGGATCGAGACGCATGTCTGTGTGACGCAGACGACGCTGGATTTGTTGGAGCGGGGGCATCGGGTTTATGTTATTGTGGATGGGGTGAGTAGTGTTAATCCGGAGGAGAGGGGGATTGCGTTGGCGCGGTTGAGGGATGCAGGGGCGGTGGTGACGAGTAGTGAGAGTGTTTTGTTTGAGGTTTTGGGGGATGCAGGCCATGGGGGGTTTAGGGCTATTAGTGGGTTTGTTAAGGAGATGAAGGAGGAGACGAAGGGGGCGATGGAGGTTTTTTCGAAGATTTAGCTTATATTTGCTTAATATGAATGGGGGTTTGAATGGTTACTTTCAAACGCTGATATGTTATATTGTTTGTTAATATTTTACCGTAGGTGATGCTTTACGTATGGTTGAATAACTTCAATATGTTGGATGAATGTCAATTCGTATGACTGCAGTCGGTATGTTACCACTACTACGCTATAAACCGGCTACTGCATAGTACATGTCAAGTTATGAACACCGCCAAACCTTCAATTTCAAAGACCTCGTGCGAGTTTACATTACACTCAAACCGTCAATCAAAGCTGGGCCCCTAACTTATTTCACTTAGGATTCGTCACAGCTCGGGCCGGCTGTTGAGACGAATTGAGCCATCCAAACGCGGAGGCGCCGCCGATGGGATTGGAAACCCATGGCTTTCCTGTCCGAGCCTCGTCCGGGGATGCTTGGGATGATGCCGGCTGGGAAGACGCTGAAACTGCATCGGTACCGGAGCCAAGGGGCAAAGCTGTAGTGGATGATGTCCGAGAGGACTTGGTCGGGCGTAGGACTTTCATGGGACGAGACCTAGAAGCCTTACCCGCTGTAGAAGTATTGGAGTCCAGTTTGGTATCGCGTTTCCACGAGCCCCAAACCCCAGCTGGCTCCATCTTCGCCGGGCCCTCCGGAGGAGAACCCGCAACTACGGCTGACTTACTCAAGCTGGTGTTTTCGGCGCTTCTCGGGAGTTCCTGGGTATCCAAAGACGTCTTTCGACTCTCTTCGGGTTCCTCAGTCGAACCTCTGGCGTAAGCAGATGCTGACCTAGACTGTCGGGAGACACTCCTAGGTGGGCCAATAACACCGACCGAACACCCATTGGTATCAGGTTGACTGTTAGCTTCAAGTGGCTGTGCCATGCTCGCAGGACGTGAGGCATCGGATACCGTGCGAAGAAATTTGAAAGCCGAGTCATCTTCGGGGCGCACAAGAGGGATCGAGATCCTATTTCGCTCATCGTCCACCATGATGATCTTGTCTTGAGAGAAGAGTAGTTCTGCATTATGAGAGCGAAGGACATCACTGCCAATAACAATTTGAATGGACGGATCATTGGGATCGACGTCACGGACAAGGAACCGGACGGTCAGTGCCGGCAGCTGAGGGACTGGGCTACTGGGCCTGGAGGATGATTGATGAACACTAGCCTCAGGCAGATACATCGGGAGCTTGATAAATTGCAGGTCTTCCTCCTGCGTTACCAGGCCCTCGAGACCCAACTTTCGAATCATGGGGTAACCCAGAGATGACTTATAGGACCCTGAACAGACAGCGGCATACAGTAGTGAATCATTGGAAAAATTTGTCGTCAACCAACACCGCATAATGCAGGGAACAGGACCGAGGATGAAAAGTCCGGGTGAGGGGATGAGAGGGGACCCGGCGACAGAAGACCCCGTCATCCTGCTGGTGATGTCTAGTCCCAGACTGTTGGTACGAGCCGAGTGATGGGAGTGCCCTGATGAACTTAGTCGTCCATCGGATCGATGAGACAGAGACCGCTCGGTCAGAGGATGACTTCCCATACCGCTCCCAGTTCTCAGTGGCAGCTCACTGGTGGACCGACTGGTTTGCCCATAGTAACCATGAATAGCGCTTTCATCGAAACGAACACTGTTCGCCCTCGAAGTTCCTCGCCTGGGCTCCTCTTCGCCCTCCATGCCCATGTTACCCACGACTCCGTGATGCTGCCCCTGATCAAAACCCTTGAAGGCGTCGGCTGGAGAATGGAAGATTGGCTCTGCGAAATGAATGAGAGATTAGCCCCAAGCCGAAATCAATCCATAGACGATATGAACGCACCTGTGGGTATTGTGCCTCCGACGGAAGTAGGAAACAGTGATACAGGGCCCCAGACGCTTTTCAACTTCGCATCCTCCTCTCTTCGTCGCTCAAGTCTTGCAATTCGTTCCGCCTGCTCAAATTGCGTAGCATGGAGCTCCTTTAGCTCCTCGAAGACGCGCCAAATGTCGTCCCGTGAAGCAAAAGGATACTGGGCATCCATATCCGAACAAGCGGAAGGGAACGGGGTAACACAACGAAGGTGGCGAACAAAGCAACGACCAGGGCGAAGAGGATACGAATGTATACCGAAACCCAGGAACTAGAAAACAGTGTATTCCTCTTTCAGTGTATTTTAAGCCTTAACCAACCAAAGTTATGCAGCCCACTTTATCCTCAATACTCCTCTCCTCCCTCTGTGCGACGGCCGTACGGCCGTCCACCCGGTTTACTAAAGATGAATATCCGTAGCCTTTGCCAAAACCATATAAAACCTGATGGCACCTTGCCGTTGGAGTTTGTATAGTCAACAACGGTGACGAGTAATAAAGGTGAGTCAAAGACTGAAAGGGGGTGGTGACTTGGTTCAAGCGGAAAGAATGCCGACTTCACGATTGTCGAAGATATCCAATGGAGTGAAAGGCGACCACTTCAGCGCGGTTCAGAGGGCACAAAAGATTCCAGATAATCGTAACCAAGGAGTCGTAGTGATCGATCGAAAGACTTCTGGCCAGGAACACCTAGAGAGGGATGATCTGCTCTGCAGGAGACAATGCGAGGCGTATGCTAGAGTGGAGGACCCGGTGCTTTAAAGGGAGACTTGATACAGGAGTTAGAGAAGTTAAAGAAAATGGAAGAAATTTGGTATGATGAAAGAAAAGGTTCGTAAGATCGTCGAGGACAGAAATTATACGCTGTAAATAGAACAGATGAGGGATGGGAATCAAAGGGATGTTGTTGGACAGACTGAGGGGATGTTAATGAATTTCCAATCCAATGCTCTTCTGTCTCCGACCGGATTTAATTCAATCTAAATTCCAGACCGCTTTCACTCCACTCAAATAAGTACCTCAATTCGATTCCACACGATTCGACATCTACGATATGACATGTTTATTATGGGAAATTCTTCTTAGAAATTTTGAATAAAATTCTATATACAGTTCGTCCCTGAGTGACTGTCCACCTTACGAAGGTGGTGACCTACCAATCCGGACCTGAGATCGATCCACTCTGTAATGTCACCGCATAATTATCCCTCCTCTTTTACTTTGGCGCCTCTGGCCATGCAGGAAAGACCAATTCAAGTTGCTCTGCTTCATGCTCTGGCCAGTTCGTTCTAATCGCAGCTATAACCGCATCGTACACTATCCGATACCCGTCCGCTGTCAGATGTAGACCTTTGTTCATATGTCAGTCAATGCAAGACAAGAATGAAGAGTACGGCACAAGCACAGACCATCAGTGAATAAGCGTTGGAACTTGTCCAATTTAGGCGAATCCCTCGAGCCCGGAAGTGGCTCACCCTCCTTCCAGCCCGTTGTAGAGATAAAAGCACTCCATATATCTACAACAGGAACGCCGAGCGAGGCGCCGACCTCGCGAACTGCCTCTGCATACTGCTTCGTATGGATGGCAGTTCGACTGGGGTGAGGATTCCCCTTCGACTCATCAAAAACCTGGAGTCCATATTGGTCAACAGGGGGCGGGGTGAGGAGGAGAATACGTGGATTTTGAGCCACTATCGCAGGGTGTTGGATGATTCGCTTCAGATTTACTTTGTACTCATTCAATGGAACGTGCTGGGGGCTCCCGGGGAGACATGCGTCGTTTGCCCCGAAGAAAATGGTCTATTCTTGGAGTCAATATTTCGCAAGGTTTTCCATTAAGTCAACCAGCGTACCATAAACCGAACTGTGGCTCTTTCCGGTGTGGGGAAGAACTTGGGGAGAACCTTAATGGCATGTGCAGAGCTATAACCACTGCAGGGAAGTGTTTTATTAGTAGGAAAATAATCGGGAAATTAAAATATCCCAGTGTAACGCACTTGAACCCGCGATTGATCACGTCCAGGCGTCGGCTATAAGCTGTTTGGTTTTAGTAACTTTATGGGCCGAGGGAAGAAGAAGAACACCCACCATTCTGGAGAGCTCCATGAAGTCCAAACCCGAGATCCGGGTCACTGGACATCTGAGTGATCGAGTCCCCGAAGAGAATGAATTGATCATAGGGCTTGTACAAAGCCTCTTCCTCGACTCCGTTGGACATTGTGGGAAATGAGATAATGCGAGCGATATACTTCTGTACCTTTTCAAGATAGCTTACCGATGTAGAAAATTACTGAGACAAGGCCAGGGGGAGGAGACAAGAGATTAAATATACTACAGAACGATGGAGGGGCTTTAGCAGAGATCAACCACTAAAGAAATGGTTATCTACTATCAGCGGACCCTAAATTCCGATAAATTTAGTGGATCTCTAATTTATACCCAGAATTAGGACCGGCGTACGCTCTATGGCCTATACACTTATACAGAGTGCTCCTTTCACCATAGCGAGTATTCAGAAGATTGCCAGGGTGAACAAAATCCCGCACTTCCCATAGTTTCGTCTTTCATTGTCTCTGTCATCTTAGTAGTCTACACCCGATGGTTCTAGAGAATTTTCCACCAACAGGCTTGTCTCATGCGCTTAATCAAGTGGGGGCTTTCCAACAACTATCTCTAGGCTCAGTCTGTTGACCTAATCTGAAAAGGAACTAGGGTTGCACAGCTAGAATGTCCGTGTTCGAAAGGGATTACGGCTTGATTGTCGGCCGGTGGAAATGAGGAAGAAATCTACCAATATCCACGACGGCAAGCGGTGGCGTGTGGGGGCGCTTAACGGGCACAAGAATTGATTTCTACCTCTGGCCGACTGTCTATATCGCCATCCTGATTGCTTAAAAGGCATTAAGAATTGAAACAAGCAAGTACAAACACGTCATACTGGCGACTAGAGATACACTCCATCTCCATTTTCTCCCCACCAAATGAACTGTAATGGTGGGCAGCAAGCTACATGCCAAAATCAAAGCGCTCGAAAGACCTGAGCTGGCGGCAATACCAACGTTCTCGAACATATCAGGAAACCTGTTTGCTGTCAATTATGCGTTGAGGCGAGGTTTATTCCGATAAACTCCCCAGAAAGGGCCGATGGAGCCCCAAGCCTGTCGGACAGACGTTATAAAGACCCCTACGCTCCCAGCATCGTCGGGGTGGCCGTCAATTGCGTATGTTACCATGACAGTGGTTACCAGTTGATTGCCAAAGGCAGCCACGGCAGTGTCGACTATTGGTGACACAACCCAATGCCCATCTGGTGCCTTTTGGGTGCAAACTAGAAAGACAATAACGTCAGCGATAGTTAGGATAATGCCAGGGTAACTGAGCCAGAGACGAAATCCTGGTTCTGGCGCCTTCGTAACGTGCAGTGCTCGGCGATTTATCCGGTAATCGGACACGGGGCTACCTATTTGCTCGCCTAGAACGGTGCCAACCATGACTCCCAGAAACTGGAGACCAAGATGTTCAGCATTGAGACCGAACTTGCCCTGTAAGAGCTGAGGAACCTCCACGGTGATCAAAACACTTCCGAACAAGAATACCATAGCATACACGACTGCAGGTATCGTCACGCTCGGGTATTTGGCCATGGTCAAGGGGTGAATAAATTCGCTGAATGTCAGCGGAGTTGGGTCAATGCGTCGGAATGAGAGATACTGGTTTTTGAAGTCAGCAGAGGAATCCACTGTACTACCCCCGACATAACGGGCTTCAGGCCCAAAAATGATATATAGGATAAATTGCACGCCATTAGTGATGGCGAGAACCCAAAAGACCCAGCGATAACCCGTGTGGTTCACAGCAAAGCCAAAAGATAGTGGACCTGGTATATAACATTAATAAGGGTTATACACTAATGCCTTAACTTGCCCATGACTAACCAACTGGTACCCCCAATGTAACCATCAAGATCCAGATACCCATATACCGACCCCTTTCTCCCTTGAAGAAGATCACTGCCACAAGCGCACTCCTAATCGCTGCCGTGGAAGATATGGAAAAGGCCGTTAAAGCTCTACATGCGGCCATCGATGCATACGTCGGACTCTTCGCACACCCGACATTGAAAACCAGGCTGAGGATAGTGGATAACAGAAATATTGGCCTACGACCGTACGGTTGGGACAACGGTTTCCAGAAAGGGGAGAACCTCCAAGGACAGCAATTTGTAGAGAGATGAGGTAGCTAGCTTTCTACAGAGGTACTCCTAAACCCTAGGCAATATCCTTGTATGCAGGAATAATGGAGGCTGTAAAAGTTGCCATGCAGGCGTGAAAGACAACAGGAATGAGATTGATTAATTTCCAGTAGGATGGCTATCGGTCAGTTGAGGCTAGACCTCAGACCTATTCCCATGAGGGCTTCATACCTTCCATATTGGCCAGTTGTATGGATCAGTGCCGGGTGGGCTCGGGACGGGTTCAGGTTTAATGTACCATGGCGTTACAAATATATTCTCCGTGGGATGGAGACAATGAAGATGGGACATCTTCAATCTGTGGAGAATAGTCTTCTGCTTTCTCAATATACTCACTGCCATCTTTTTCTAGCTTGGAGAGGTCCTTGCTATCCGACGTTGAGATAGATTAGACAACCCCTTGATCTTGTATTCTTTTCACAAATGGCAAGATACCAACAACAACAATATTAGATATACTGAACAATCTTTTAGGCAAGAGGTGCGGTCATCTGGAACATATGAACCTAGGGGGAGATTAGGGGGTAAATCAAGAGGGAGGTAAGGCCTCATAAGAGAGGAGTACGTGGATCTTGAACACCACTCATCTTGGTCTTGATAAGTCTGGGGCAAAAGTGCGATTACTCCTAGTTAGTATTTCGTAAATACTGGGGAATCTGCGGGAGGAGCCCTTCAAAGTAATCTAGTGAAGAGTTGCGGGGATTGAAGCTAGTCTCCGCAGCGCGTTAATATCAAACATATACTCTTATCTCGAGGGTGTGATCGATCCATTACTTTGTGGAGATGGCTACTCGTTCTGATTCCCGTGTCAATTACGATGCATGTTCACTACATTGGGAGATAGTTGAAGTGTGGAAGTGAAGAGCGAGCCCTGATGATGAAATTATCAATGAGGTCCTTTGCAAACGAGAAGTATACAGCCCGGAGGGGTTATGAAGGCGGATCGATTACCAAGTTAGCAGTGCCACTATACATTATTACTAAGACTTCCAATCATATTACCACGAAAGCTTCGAAGCATAGAGCGGGAGCGGACGAGGTTTTCATTTCAAGGTAGTCAGGCCGACAACAGCGCGGATCTAACGGAACCCTAAGTACACGGCATTTGCTTCTCGCTTTCCACTTTCCCCTTCCTAAGACCTCCAGTATCCCAGGGATTGTGGGGATTGTGTGGTATCCAATCTCCGTGAAGGAAGTAATTATAGTGATGACCCCGATGCAAGAATGGGAGACGTGCTGGATTTTAGTATTAGAAGAAGCAACCTTGAACTTTTCAACCATTTTAAATCCATTTATCCAAGCAGCTATCACCCCCGAAATACACTTGATCAGCCCAGATTGCCAAAGGCATTTCCGAAAGGTTATGAATAATGCATATGAACCAGACGATTTGCCAGTTTTATTACTCGCGCTACTCAAATCTTTTGTCAAGACAAGGTAAGTTAATCAATGGTTATAACCAGATATCAAGCCTTTATCCACGATCCTCATTACACAGCTTACAGTATAGTGGGTCGGCTTTATGAACAATCGCCAGCCCGTTGCCCTGATCTCTGAGCAATAGTACATTCAATAGCAAATCCCAAACAGCGTAATAACCACGCCGTTCCTTGCAACTCATCTCCACGCAATGAGGTGCCATAGGGACCACTACACTCTGAACCCTGGGACTGCTGGTTCGGAACACATCGGTAAACTGCGCGATGCCTTCTTCCGATGAATCCCAGAAGCCGTCATGGTCACCTACCCCATACAGAAAAGGTACAGTAATCTGCTCGGCGTACGAGACCCAGTAGTTCTGCCACGTTGTGCGGATATCGTGTAGTTCACCCAGGGGAACCGGCTTGTTAAGGGCTTCTGTATATGATGGAACTTTTGGGTCGATAAGTAGCTCTCGGTTTGCTTTGGGGGGGGGGGGGGGGGAAATTAAGCATTAATGTGTCTTTTACACTAGGATTGAACCGCATATGCGTTTGCTGTTCATCAGTGTGCAGGCTCTCTCTGTTCCCATTGTTGTTCTCGCTACTCCTTTGATTAGAGTCCGGCGATTCATGCATATGACTCTTGCATCCAATACCAGATACTATCAGCCCTGTCAGGGGATATTGCTTCTTTCCATCATTATTGGCATACATTGCCGCCGCGATGATAGCCACCATGCCCCCGATGGAATGCGGAAATACAACCATGCTCGCTGCACCGGAGCTTGGTCCAAATTCCTTCCATAATGCTGGGAAAACAATCGAGTCGAGGTATTTACCTTGCTCATTGGAGAATGTGGTACCACGTTCTTCAATATCTTCATTCTTGAGGTCAGGGTAAGCCGTGCTCCCACCATAGCCTGGCCGGTCGATGGCAACAACAGGAATTCGGAGAGATCTGCCGAGCTCAAATATGGAATGTTTAGAGTCAATATCGAAATACTCCGAGTCATAGCTTCCTCCGTGGATGCAGACAAGGAGGGGTACCGGTCGAGATGTTCCTGACGTTTGGAGCGGATTGGGAATGGAGACGCGACCTGTGAGGGCTCTCGAACCGCCAAGGTCTAACGAGAACAGTCTTGTCATGGTGGTAGACGATGCAGTTTGACCTTAAGACCAGTCTAGGATTTAGAAGCTAGGAACCTCAACCCATGGTGTTTCTACATTAGTATTGCACTGAGAGGTGGTAGAGGTCCTTTAAATATACAGACCAAAGGATCTTACGGCCTATCTCTTTAGATTAAGAGAGCATCCTTCGCCATTTTCGCCCCAAGAAATCAGAGACCTGAATCCATTTCGATTGTTCGAATCAGCCGAAGACCGAGACCATGAGCTGGCCAAAATATTGCTTATCGATATACTAAAATCTCACACCCAACGGACCGTCATAGCGGAGTAAAAATAGGCTGAAAGGTATTAAGAATACCCAAGTAAAAGCCTCTAATTAAAACATGGAACTCTTTCCTAATTAACCTAGATATACCATGTCTCCTGTGATAGTCCTGAGAGACTTATAAATTTGATATTCTCAGAAACTAGGCCAGGTATGGTTTCCCTTACATAGTACAGTACGCACACACATACCTCTGTACCCACATGTACACACGCTAATGATGCACGATGACTTACTGTCAACTACTGCGCGACTTATGTATATGTACAATATATATGTCCGAGCGGTGTAGACCAACCAGCGGTATGTTGCCGCACACTATGATATATAATTGATTATTAGTGTTTAGAAATATAAGGGATCTCCCCCCAAGGAAAAGACGGTGATCACAGGGTAGTAGTGAGATATTTAAGAGAGTTCACTAGTAGCCATTGCTTCGTTCCAGTGACGCACAGAATGATTGGATTCTGAAATGCACTTTGCAGTATTTGACGTCAAGATGGGTTATCCTTAACTAAAAGGGAGTTCTTTGGCTTGGCGCATTCCTCAAGCTGTAGCGGTAAGTGGAGATTCGAGAGAGGTGTAGCTATCTGTCGCCTGAATGGCTGCTTTATTTTACCACTGCTTTGTGACGGTCACACAACGTGATTTGGGGAAGAATCTCTGCTGCAATTCCTACTTCTTACTCCACAATCCATACACCATCCCTGGCCCTGTCATTGTTTTTTTATGTGTATGGTTATTTTTATTACTGCGGAAGAGTTATCCGGGATATTCTCTTTAGCTTAGAAATTTGTGGCTGATATTCCTAGACCTACTACTATTCCCATTCCTCCGAAGAAGGAAACTCAAGGGTAATCTATCGTTATCAGATGATGTGTTTAGTCCCGTGTTTTGGGTACGTTTATCTGCGGGTCATCTGAACGCTTTCAACGGGGAGCACAACTATCTCAATAATCGGCTACTCTTTCGTACCTCTTTCGTTTCCAACACCACCATCGCCTCATCCAGGACGTGTATACTATGAATAGTACTTCCGTTCTTCGGACTTCTTGCGTTAAATCCTTTTCTAGTGGCCTGCTCCTTTAATCTGACGCCTTTGTCTCTCTTTATCTGAGACCTTTTCTTTAGCTCCGCAATTCACACCGCTGTTAATCCACTTCCTCGTTCTAACCTCGGCGGAAGCGGCCCACTTGAGTCAACAGAGATTTGTATATGGACTCACTTTCTCGCAATTCAATGGTTGATGATATGTTTTGGTATGTCCCGTTCACTTGGGTGCCTTGCGGGTGGCTTGCATTGACGAATGAATCAGATTAGTCCGGAAGTAACTACCGTTTCGAGATGCCTCGTTCTGTCCCCTCCTATTTCGCTTCCTTCTCGCAAGAGGGCGGTCAACCGCCGAGCGAAAACGATCACAATACAAGGTCCCTCACCCGAACAGCCCCTCCCTCTCCCGCTGCAGTCAGACGAAGCCACAGTCACCTCTCGGAAGCACACACCGGCTATCAATCGTTGGAAACACCTTTGGAAATTGGCGAAACAACCAGCTTGCTAGCGAAACCTGATGTACCAAAACGGTCGTACACGAATCTCTCTACCGGCTCGGGACCGGATCCCAACTTGCGACACACACTCTTGGCTGGAAGCATCCGCCGATCACGCCATCACAGCCGTGCAAATTCTCAAGCCCTGCGATTCAGTCGACGAGGAAGTTTAGATGTGGATCAAGCTGAGAGCATCGCTGGTTCAACCAAAGACGGTTTGACTGCTTCATATATGGATGATAGAACCTGGTATGATCAATTTACCTCAACCGACTGGGTACACGATAGCATTGCAGACGGTGCCCGCCTTCGGCAATTACGGGCACGGAAGGATCTCCGGGGCCGACTTTTGGCATGGTTAGACGGCTCCCAGGGCTGGGTTCTCGTTGCAGTAATTGGTTGTATTACGGCAGCGATCGCCTATTTTGTGGACATAACTGAAGATGTCGTTTTCGATATGAAGGAAGGTTTCTGTACCACTCGATGGTTTCATAGCCGTCAGGAATGCTGTGTGGACAACCCCGTGTGCTCTGCATGGTGGTCATGGTCCAAGATCCTATCCTTTTCGACTGCGGATAACCAGTGGACGGACTTTGGCATGTACGTGGCCTGGGTAGTTATACTATCCGTCATCTCTTGCTACCTCACGTTGCTCACCAAAACGGTCGTGCCTTCGTCAGTCTCACTAACAACGCTGGATGAAAACCTGGGTGCCGCATCGTCGCGAGGTACAAAACATACTGATAGGCCGGATGAATCCCCGGGCTCCGATGTTAGTCCGCGAGCGGTCTATCCGATACCCACTCGTCCTGATATGGTTTACTATTCCGCGGCGGGCAGCGGAGTCGCTGAAGTGAAAGTAATAAACAGCGGCTTTGTCCTGCATGGATATCTCGGATTCAAAACGCTGGTCATCAAGACCGTCGCCTTGATTTTCAGCGTGTCATCTGGCCTTAGTTTAGGGAAGGAGGGTCCTTATGTGCACATCGCTACTTGTGTGGGAAACATTTGTTGCCGCTTGTTCGCCAAATATAACCTCAACGATGGAAAAAGACGAGAAGTACTGAGCGCGAGTGCTGCGAGTGGCGTCGCAGTTGCTTTTGGTGCCCCCATCGGCGGGGTTCTCTTTAGCCTGGAAGAGGTCAGCTACTATTTCCCTCCAAAGACGCTCTTCAGAACCTTCTTCTGCTGTATTGCTGCAGCCCTGTCTCTGAAGTTCCTCAACCCCTATGGAACAGGCAAGATCGTCTTGTTTGAGGTCCGATACCTCAATGATTGGGAGATATTTGAGCTGGTGATTTTCGTTCTTTTAGGTGTGCTGGGAGGGGCCCTTGGTGCGCTTTTTATCAAGGCATCCAGTTTATGGGCTCGGTCATTCCGGAAAATTCCAGCCATCAAGCGTTGGCCAATGCTGGAGGTAGTCCTTGTTGCGGTCGTAACTGGGCTGGTCAGTTTTTGGAATCGTTATACTAAGCTGGCCGTATCTGAACTCTTATTTGAGTTAGCCAGCCCCTGCGAGCATGAATCGACGTCACCTACCGGGCTGTGTCCAAATGAAGACGGCATTGTCGACATAATCCGCTATCTGCTTGTAGCGTTTGTCATTAAAAGTCTCTTAACGATTGTTACATTCGGCATTAAAGTACCTGCGGGTATTTACGTCCCGTCCATGGTTGTTGGTGGTCTTTTGGGACGGATCGTTGGTCATGTGGCACAATACTTGGTGGTGAAATACCCAACGTTTCCCTTATTTGGATCCTCATGCCCTGCAGTGTCAGGAATGGAGAGTTGTGTGACTCCAGGGGTTTATGCTATGATCGCCGCAGGGGCTACCATGTGTGGTGTGACCCGCTTGTCAGTTACGTTGGCCGTCATTCTCTTTGAACTGACAGGCAGCCTTTCTCATGTCCTCCCATTCTCCTTGGCCATCCTATGTGCCAAGTGGACTGCCGATGCGATCGAGCCTCGCAGCATTTATGTAAGTATCCTGGGAAGTCAACGTATGTTGCCACAGGATTCCAAGCTGACTGGAATAGGATCTTCTCACTGATATGAACTCGTATCCGTTCCTTGATAACAAGATACAAGTTGTGTCAGATGCAGAGCTTGGGGACCTCGTGAGACCCTTACGTAGAAGTCGTATTATCGATATCTCAGATTCGCCCTTTGTGCCAGCGACAGAGTTGCGCTCGAAGCTCCAAACGCTTCTCATGGCAGGCGAATTAGATAGCGGTCTTCCTATTTTACGCGACGATATCTTGTCTGGATTGATTCCCGCACCGGACCTCGAATATGCTCTGGATAACCTTGACGATGAGGAAAACACATTATGTCTGATGGCGCTGGATACAGTGTCAATTGTATCTGACAGTGGTGATGGCGCGGCCAATCGGGTGGACTTCGGCCGCTATATTGACCCGGTATGTAGATACGAGTTCCCTGTATATTCCTACAAGCTGACGCGTCCATAGGCCCCTATTTCTCTTGATATCCATTCACCCGTGGACCTTGTTTACCAGTGTTTCGCTAAGCTAGGTCTACGATACCTTTGCGTTCTGCAAAATGGACAGTACGCAGGTCTAGTCCACAAAAAGGCCTTCGTAAAATTCATGAAAGATCATGAATGATTCTGCCTACGCAGAATGGTCCAGCAACATGGCTTGCTGCCGACAATCAATGAACCGTATGCATATTATCAGCATCTTCGAAGCATTGTCCGGCGTTACGTCTTGTCCCTGCACCTATCCCTGACTTTCTCGTCATAGCTAGCATGATTTCTTACCTTGCATATATATTTGCGTCTTGATTTTAACCATTGTGCACATATTGGTTATGGTTTATACTGTTTACCTGGGCGCTGTCTTTACTACTATCAGCTGTATACCAGCGGGTAGTGGAGGTTGTATATCTGTTTCTGTTTCGCGAAGTGCATGATTTTTCAATATTTTTGTATCTATTAGCAAGCGCATTTCTCCTTGCAGATTCCCAGCGTTGACTGCCAAACAGTGAAGAATGGTGGCTACTTGTAAATAGATCATCATTGCATATAGCAACTGCTATGCAGATTGTGTATGATATCAAACCTCCTGCAATGCCGCAAATTCAATTCATGCGTTCATATCCAACCATCTGAATCCTAACGTCACCCTCATCTTTCCATTCCGATGAGACAGGCTCACCCACCCACTTCGTCACTTCCTCCGCACTCACCTTTCTCCACCCCTTCTCCATCAGCAACTCCTCATCCACCGGGAAGAACGTATCACACTCAAACCCAGCCTTTCCCTCCTCAATCCCTTTCTTCTCAATATTCGTCATCACAATCCGAACAGGCCGATCCACACCCAACCGCAAAGCAGCCGCATAAATCTCCGCACCCCCGATAACAAAAACACCCCCCAAACCCCTTTTATACCTCCCCTCCACCTCCTCCAACGCCCCCTCCAATCCCGAACAAACAATCGCATCCGTAATCGGCCCCTCCCCAGGGGCAGTAGTATTATTAGCAGCAGCAGCAGCAGCCGCACTCTTCGCCCTCTTCCCCTCCAACTCCTCCATCACCCTCCTCCTCACATCCCCCGTCGTATCCCGCGTAACAACAACATTAATCCTCTTCCCCAGCGGCCGCAAACTCTTCGGTACGGAATCATACGTCTTCCGTCCCATTATCATTGCGTTCGTTGTCCCTGGTCGTGGCGGGCGGGATGTTACGCGCGCGAAGAAACTCATGTCAGCTTTTATGCGCGGCCAGGGGAGTGTGCCGTTTAGGCCGATTCCGAGGAGGTTTTTTTCGCGGGTCGAGATTGGCGTTGTTGCGACTATTAGGGTGAGGGGGTTTGTGGGAGGCATTTTTGCGGGGGCGGTTGTTAGGCTGGATTTGGGTGGTGGCTTGGTACGTTTGGATGTTGTGTAGATTGATTGTGAGGAGGTCGTGGGCTTGTGTAGTGTTGTTTGGGAATGTGCTGGAGATGAGCTTTGATGATGCGCTCTTGCCTTATCGGGACGTTTGTTGCAGATTGGTAGGGTTTGTATGACGAGACCGCCTGCCTATTGAATATGTCGAGGTCTATATAGGAAGGCGGTCTCGTGTGGATTATGAAGGACTGCTGACCGTGGAAAGGGGGTTTGCTGCTGGGTATTGGGATGCTGGTAGCTGGACTAGATAGGGACTTTCGGGTTTGAAAATTATTTCTAGTAATCTTTACATCTTGAAGTACTTCTCACAATTTTTCTATTAAAAGTACTGGCTTGTTGAGGCGTAAGAAAGTCGCGACTCTGGCCTTACTAAGGATACACTAGTCAAAAGGTTCACTTGGTGGAGTTCAAATCATTCTGCCCAACCGTAAACATTGTGATCGACAAGTTCCTTATCTTATCTATATCAGGATCTCTTGCAGTACATAGAAGTATACATACGTACATGCAAGTAGAGAAGTATAGCACTTCATCAATATAAATATATATATATATATATATTCCACCATACATTGACAATGGGCAAAAAGCAAGACCAGTGGATATCACCCACATAGCTAATCACAAACACAAGCGCACGATATAAACAAAACCATACTGCCCAACTCGCTCACCCAATTCATTTCAACTCGCCCATCTACCATCAACATCCCCCCTCTCCATCTATACCCTCAAACACCAACACCGCTCGGAAACAACTCAAAGATCCTTATTTCCTCCAGAAAAACCCATCTTCGGCCCCCTAAACCTAAATCACTCGCCCTAGATCAACAGTAGAAAGTATCATCCTAAGTCTTCTTCAACCCTGTACTCAGCGACCTCCGCCAAGTTTCCCCATGATTCAACCGAAAGCACGCCTGACAGTAAATCCAATATCTCCGCCCAGCCAGTACCTTATTTATGGCGTCCTGGATCGTCGCAACCTGCGCCGTGATATCACAGTTTTTGCCCTCGGTGCTCGATTCGAAACACCATTCGAAGTCGTTGGTCTCGCCGCAGGCCATATCGCATTTCTTCTGATTTGAGAGGTCTTTGATCTTTAGGGCTATGGGTTAGAGCCAGGATTTTATGGCTTCTTCGCTGTTGTAGGGGCATTGGAAAGGTATCGAGGTAGTATAGGGGGCAGTCTTCGATAGGGGCTCGTTGGTGAGGGGTCAGGACTCGATTGTGGGGTCTGGGTCAGGGATTGTGTCATTGGATTGTGGTGGTAGGGCCATGGCGAGGGCTGTTCCTTGCCAGCCTATTACACTTTGAGCGGAGAACATGACTGTGATGTTGCTGATGGCGATAGTTAAAATGATACGTTCGAGGAGGCTAGCAAGCAGACCTAGGCATTGTCTGGGTAATGGGTTTCAGTTTGGAGTAGATCAGCTGTTTCCTTGTCATCTAGTGGACAAATGCTTGGTTTTATACTACTTCGATAGCTCTGCCGTTACAGCTTAGGCTAGGGAGATAAGAGTCCCTGTGCGGAAGCATGGTGTCTACGCGTGAGGAGACAGACAAAGAACGACTGGAGCTGGTCCGGGAAAGGGTCTCTTACTACATTATAGTCGTAGTTTGTTTTATTTTATGTTTTGCCCCGTTGCTAAGTGTCCCGTGCTAGTATAACTTTGTCCTAGTGGTGAGGACTAGATTCGTTTAACAAGGAACTTTGCCATGAGCATACCTCATTTCCAAGTAATATTAGGAATCCTCTTACTTGTTTTCAGCGTGACCGTGTCAACTGGAGATAATCTGTGGTGTCATTATCCCCTTTCTCTACTTCCCTGGTATACTTTAGGTCCCATACCCCTTTCCTTGGTGACACGACCATTACTACCGGGGTATACTACAAGTCTCCGGCGGGATGGAAAGCCTTAGACGCCACTGTACTCCTGAGTGAACACGTTCTACCGTATCATTTACTAACGTGCATCGTCACGCTCAGAGTCAAAAACCCAACATTCTCCCCGGGCTACTGTGCTATCTGCCAAAAAGAGACTACTTTGTGCCCTGCATACAATAAGGGCAATACTAGCTTCGATGCAGCCGTCATCAGCGAATCAGAACCTTTTGAATCATATAGTAATTTAGGGTCTAGTAAAGTTCCAAATGTGTCAGGCTAGCGAAATACCTATCTTCTGACACTTGAGATGGAGCGGGAAGTGCAACATCCTTCCAAACCCTGAGAAATGATCTCGTGCCCAATTCATGGGGTTGACGACGCTGAAGAGGATTGCTTAGTACGTCAGAACCATGAGAAGATACTCTTCGCTTGATTGCTAAGGGCGAGGAAGGCAAGGGAGTTGTCCATTGGGTCTATCCCAGAGACCAGACTGTCAGTGAACAGTAGGGTTGAACTGGATTGTGTCGAACGCCCGGCCTTAGTCAGGTGTATCAGTCCCAGCAACTCGGAGGAAGCCAGGGATCAATGTACTCAAAAGCGCCTTCTTGGCATATTGCTGACACAGTTAGAATTGGTAAGCTAGAGTCGATGGCGATGTAGATATCGATACCAGGCTATCGGCGAGATGCCCGCCTTGCTGTGCTAGACCTGAAACATATAACTCCGGCGTTAAAATCTTCAAAAAAGATTATAAATCAAATTTGTAGCGATGGGTATCTACAAGACTCGCAATAATGTACAAGAAAGATAACAACACCCTCCCAGACGCCAATGCTGCAATATCATAAAACCGCCCTAGAATCAAACCTATGGAAAAACATCAGAACTCACACGTCACAAAAGAAATTTATTTAGCAGGCTTCAACAGGTCACCCTTTTCGATTGCATCTTGAATAGCAGTAACGTCCTTCTCCAGCTCCTCTCGACGCTTCACGTCCACTTCGTCTTCGCCAAGTGTATTGAGCTTTCCAAAGAGCCAAGTTTCTTTCATTGTACGAGTCAGGGAAAGTATATCTTCCGCGGCGCGAACCTATTTGTTTGGCCCAGTCAGCAGCAGGAATCAGCACGGTTGATGCCATGTGCAAAAGTGAACTTTTGGGCGTATGCATACCAGAGCAGTCGATTCCACATCAAGTTGATAGGTTTCCACTGCTGTTGCAGTGTGACTAGTACTTTCGACCTTTGAATTATTAGTGTTTGTGGACTTCACTTTAATTGTGGGAGAGAAAAGAATACGAACCGTTGCTGTTGCCATTATATTCTCAAATCGTTGAAGTAATTGGGAAATATTGGTGTTGATGCGATCTAGTTTAACGGATTAGAAATGCGTTTGGCGGGTGATGGTGTTGAGTGGCTATCATTGTGATGATTAGGGATACGCACAGTGTAAAGCCTTGGATGTTGGTTGGGCGTCCATTTTACTCCCTTTCTAAGGCAAACTAACTAGTACTGGTGGTTTTGGTCAACTTTAGAGTGATAACTGCTGATAGAGATAGTTGCTATCGGGGGTGAAAGCGGGTTACATGGCGGTGGCGAGTATTGCCGGTATTAAGATATCCGTTGATCATTGCTTATCTTGGAGGACTCACTATATGTCGATCATGCTTGGCTTTGTGATAGTGCTTCTTCAGACATGGGTTCATGCTACAGCCCGCAGATACCTCCTTGCTTGAAAATTTATGTGTAAGGGTAGTAGGATTCCAATGTACACTAGCTAGAAAGTAGACAAGCTATAGAATACGACCGGTAATCTGACAATAAACGAAATCTGCCAAACTGCGCAAACTAGTTGCAAGCGATGTTTAACCCCAGGGGACAGTGGTAGACCCATAAGAATGCATCCAAGAGAATATTAATCCCAGTAACCGATAACTGCTGTCCATGGCACTCCAGCTTCAGTGGCTGTCCATTGGCTTTCGATTTATGCTTGATGAGACTGAAGCAAAGATAATCACAGGGGTCTGCCTGATTCATAGAGCTGAGTTGCCCTAGCAATATCTGGCGTACGTATTTATTCGGCTGTGGGTAAATGCATCAGGAAAGGTCCGTAAATAGCCCAAGTGTGACCCAACAGCTTATTGCACTTGCATCAAACCACGATATTGAATCCGATACTCGGTTGGATTGTGTGAGCCGCGCTGGGCTTTGCGTACTAGGCCGTTGGTAAAGAGCTTATCTAACGTACTTGCCCTGTACACGAGTTAGACACAACATTCAAGCGGGCATGAACAGACAAAGCATACCATAAACCTCTTGTGGAAGTCCGATCGCAATAGATCCTACATGCAATTAGCGTCATATCAATAAGAGCAGACTGCATGAGCTCACGTTGACAAACTCCTTTCCTCTCTTGTCCTCGGTTCCTCTAGCTTGGTTCTTGAAGACCACATCATCGTCCCATCGGCGTTTGAGATTGAAGTCCTCGGGGTTGAGGAGCGGATTTCCTCTGGCGATATCATATTCCCGTTTTTCCTCTTCTTCAGCGGCGCGTTCACGCTCTTCCTTTTCTTTCTGTTCTTGTCTCTCCTTCTTAATTTTCTCTAACTCCCGCATCAACTCGGCAGCCTCATCCTCCTCGTCACTAAAAGAAATTATGAGCACGGTTAGCTTGCCTGTGAGTTGGAGCAACTGACCTTTCCTCTTCACTACTATCATCCTCTGAGCCGTCTGAATCCGCATCTATATCTCGCGTCTCCTCTAGTATTCGTCGTCGTTTGGCTTCTGGGTCTTCGTCTCCCGCTCCCGCTGAATCACTGCTCGATGGACCTCCTTCTATTTGGCGCTTGGGTGCTGCGCTTTCAGCAGCCGGTTCATCGACGGGAATGCCGTTCTTCTTCGCAAAATGTGCAGCCTCGGCTTGGAGCAATTCAGCGCGCAAGTCGCGTTGGCGAGCTTCGCCCTCAGTACCCTGACCGAGTTGACTTGGAACTGATTAGAGGTGACCAGACCGGCAATACAGGGACAGCTTACCGAGTCTTCAGGTGCGTATGTGCCGGAAGAAGTCGCTGGTGGTATGCCGGGCCGCGCAGAGCCTCTTTCCCTTGTGCCTGTTCTCAATGAGGCTGTGTTCAAGTACTACAAAGATAAACGGTTGGCACATACCGGATCGAATGTGGGTCTGTGTGCTATCGGAATATTAGTGCAATGCTTATCAGAAGTGAGATCGCAAGGATCTTCATACCTGTAGTCATGTTGGGCTACAGAATTCAAGGATTGCGAAACTTGCGATTATGGCTGTTTAAGATGAATGACCGCCGAAAGTGATTCCGCGGACGGCCACAGGCTTGCGGCTGAATCAGCAGCTACACACCGCCTTTAGAGAAGATTATTTGTGATTGGACTCTGATGATCTACATCTTCAGGAACAACTTTAGCCCGCTTTTCAATGACGCTGCGGAGTGCAGGAAATTTTTATAGAAAGTCTGTCTTCTGACCCCGCTGGGGCCGAGTCCGCCTCCGCAACCATGAACAAAGAAGCACCGCTCTCAATTGCCGAGCGCGACTTCATCCTCAATGCTCTGCGTGAGGATGTAAGACTCGATGGCCGCAAGGCCGACGAATTTCGCCCCTTAAATGTATCGTTTGGCGAAGAATACGGGCATGTGAAGGTGCAGCTTGGCAAGACCAGGTAAATGCATCTTGCTCAAGGCTTGAGTTTTGGATATATACGTTAACTTAAGCTTATAGCCTTGTTGTCCGCATCTCATCGGAAGTTACAAAACCCCATGATGACCGTCCATTCGATGGCGTCTTTACTATTGCCATGGAGCTGACCGCTATGGGCTCTCCGGCTTGGGAAAATGGCCGGTACGTTTACCTGCGACTGAACAGCTTGTGCTTATGTAGCTGATGTTGTTGGAATAATAGACAGGGAGACCTTGAATCGTATGTTTCCAACGTTCTAGATAGGGTTATCCGTCATTCGAACGCCCTTGATACGGAATCACTTTGCGTCTTGAAGGGTGTCAGCTGCTGGACTGTTCGGGCAGATGTGCATGTCACAGACTATGACGGCAATCTGATCGATGCGGCCTGTATTGGAATAATGGCAGGTCTTCAGCATTTTCGTCGGCCGGATGCCGTCGTCAAAGACGGTCAGGTGATCGTCTACAGTGTCGACGAACGGGTGCCAGTCGCATTGAATATTACACATAAGCCATTGTCGATTACCTTCCATACGTTTGACGAGGGCAAGCGGGTCATCCTCGATGCTACCCGGAAGGAAGAGCAAGCTTCGGAAGCGGACGTGGTAATAGGGTTGAACAATGCGGGCGATGTGTGTTACATCTCGAAGTTCTCTGGATCCCCGGTTGACGCCATGGTGTTCGTGAATAAATCATCCGTTGCACTTGAAAAAGTGAAGGAGATCAACGGCATCATCGACAAGGCGCTGCAAAGTGACCTCGCGAAACGATCTAAAGGCAGCCTCTTGGAGGAGTCCAGAGCAGCGAACGATCGGTAGACTTTGAACTGTTCATGAATTTACTCTATCTTTTGAAACCCAGCCAATATACTCAAGATTCGGTGTATTCTAGATAGCAAACAACGGAGTCTATTTTGTGACCTTGGTCACGAGACGAATGTGTCGAGGAGTACACTTGTTCTACGAACAGTTGGGTCCTTGTAGCCCACCGCTGAGTTAGGAAAAAGGGTGTCTCGCGACAATCCATGCACATCACAACTTAAGCATAATGCCCCTGAACAAATTAACAGCTACTTGAGGCTTTAGAGCGATAAATTGTAGCTCTTGCGAGCAGATCGGCTTCTTGAGAGAGCTTTCGAGTAGTGGAGCACTTATTGCTAAAGATGTTTAGATCTACGAATCCTTACAGTAGCTTATTTACACGTAAACTCATAAACGAAGACGATATCTATATAGTCCGTGTTCTATAGTTCTTCGGCTGGATATCGATGGTCTAGAAGATAACGGAATTGGGGCCAGGCAACAATCATCAGTGGGAAACGTTCTCCCCTCCCGTATCAGGCAAAATTAGACCCACGGTGGAAAGAACTTTACAGACTTAATTTAAAATGTAAAATTGACAGCCCACCAGGTTGTGTTTGTTTCGGATGTCCGCGGGCTGGTTCATCATTGCTATATCTTGGCTCGTAGTCCTCATACTAGGAGTGTAACGGTGTTTGGGGGTTGTCATGTCGGTATATCAAACACCCGCGAGACGGCAGTGCGGGTTTCAGCAAGAGCTCTACAAGCCGTTTCAGATGCATTGCGTTAGAGCATCGAGATTCTAGGTATTTATGATCGTACAGGTATGTATGAAGAACCCGGCTGTGTATTCCGGTTTTGATACTCCGTACTGTGCTACACGAACTAGGGAGAGAGTGACAGCTGGTAAGAATTAGAAAATTTTGTAGGAGCTCAGGCAGACGGTATCAAAGTCTCCTTAAACCGGGCCGTATCCCGTACAGGTCCAGAGATTCAACGTGTAGTATAAAGCATGACAAAGAGAGCTCCCCATTATACTTGGTCAAGTTTCAATTGTTTCAGGAAATACGAAGGATCTGTCTCACTTGACAGGCTGTCACCACGTTAGTTCAAAATTTCCGACTGGCGCATCCCAGAGATCTGTCTATCGCGTTAGTTCATGAAGAAAGCGTTTAGCTTGGGATGGCGGAGTGGGGAGGGAGACGCAGCACCGTCGAGGCGCAGGGACGCTTAATTTGGGATTTCCTTTATTTTTAAACAATTGGTGAACTAATTAATTTATCCCTTGACGATAAGTGTCCATGTCATGTCATGAGATTCTAATAAAGAAAAGAAATCGAAAGACTTTTTAAAGGGGAAGACAAAAAAGAAGAAGAAGCAATAGTCCAACGATACTAAGAATAATAATTGGGGACTAAAAAATACAGGCTTCCCAGCCACTGACGGAGATCCAAACAACACCGCCCAAGACTAGCGTAAAGCCGCATCCCAACGAATAACAAACCTTCCTCCAGGCAGTCGTCAGTTTTCCTTCTCCATCCCGACACCTTTTTGCTCTTCGCTCCCCAGTTTCATGATTATTGCCTTTTCTTGTACCTCCCTTGCGCAATCCAACTTTCGTGGGCTATAGTCGTTCCATACTTGCACCGTCTCGCTCCTTTTCCGTCCCTCCAATTACTGTCGATCAATGCTCCAGGGGCATAAAGTTGCTCTGACGGTCTTTGCCCGCTCTGAGCATCATGGCCAGCGGTAGGCCTCCAGGTCACCACCCAGCCGCTGGCCGCGATGACGACCTGCTGCAGCTGGAGGACGCGACCCCTATGTATAATACCGGACAGCGCCCACCCGTCAACGATGACCATTTGTTGCGACAGTACAACATTGACGACTCCGATTACCCCCAGGCGCGACCCTCGGTTTCCTACGACCAGTTTGTCGGCGGACAGGCGCCGCCGCATTCAGGTGCCCATGCGACAGTCTCCGCGCACCCCCCGCCCCAGGCCGGGGCGTACATAGGCGATCCTTACATGGGGGGCGCTAATGTATCTCGAACCTACTCTCAGACGTCAGGCTTGGACAACTATCGGCGCTACTCCGTGGATGAATATGATGATGGGTACTACCATGTGGATGATCATGATGATTATATGCACTCAGACCATCGTGTGCAGGAGGCGAATCAGCGGAATAGCATACTGGGTTTGGGAGGCGGGTTAATGGGAAGAGCGAAGCACATGCTGGGCATGAATCAGGAATACTCGGATATGAACCTTCCTCTCACGGAGTCTGGCGCCAGGGCATCCCGGGTTGACAGCACTGAGCACGGCGAAGGGGGTGTTCCCCCGAGCCAGAAGAAGTCGAAGAAGTCGGATTTCAAGTTTGGTTTTGGACGGAAGAAGGTCGACCCTTCAACTCTTGGACCTCGCATGATCGTGTTGAACAACCCCCCAGCCAATGCAGTGCATAAATTCGTCGACAACCATGTGTCAACAGCGAAGTATAACGTTATCACCTTCATCCCGAAATTCCTATACGAACAGTTCTCGAAATATGCCAACTTGTTTTTCTTGTTTACCGCGGTCCTCCAGCAAATTCCAAATGTTTCACCGACGAATCGTTACACCACAATTGGACCGTTGTTGATTGTATTACTGGTCTCCGCTATCAAGGAACTTGTAGAAGACTATAAGCGGCGGTCGTCAGACAAGTCTCTCAACTACTCAAAAACTCAGGTTTTGAAGGGATCGGCATTCCACGACACCAAATGGGTTGATGTTGCAGTGGGGGATATCGTTAGAGTTGAGTCGGAGCAGCCTTTTCCCGCCGATTTGGTTCTCCTGGCGTCTTCCGAACCCGAGGGCTTGTGTTATATCGAAACCGCCAACTTGGATGGAGAAACAAATCTAAAGATCAAACAAGCGATTCCGGAGACAGCACATTTGGTAAGCCCTGCCGACCTTAGCCGATTAAGTGGCCGGGTTCGATCGGAACAACCGAACAGTAGTCTCTACACATATGAAGCAACCTTGACCATGCATGCCGGTGGAGGGGAGAAGGAATTGCCTCTGGCACCGGACCAGCTTCTTCTTCGAGGAGCTACCCTGCGAAATACGCCGTGGGTTCACGGAATTGTCGTTTTCACTGGCCACGAGACGAAACTGATGCGAAATGCGACAGCCACTCCGATTAAGCGGACGGCTGTAGAACGGATGGTCAATGTTCAGATCTTGATGTTGGTCAGCATTCTTATAGCGCTCAGTGTCATTAGCTCCGTTGGCGATCTCATTGTTCGACAGACTGCATCCCACAAACTCGCTTATCTTGACTACGGCAATGTTAACGCAGTTAAGCAATTCGTCCTCGATATCTTCACCTACTGGGTCCTCTATTCGAACCTTGTCCCAATCTCGCTTTTTGTGACAATCGAAATCGTGAAATACGCCCAGGCATTCTTGATCAACTCCGATCTTGATATCTACTATGACAAAACGGACACCCCGGCAACTTGTAGAACGTCATCGTTGGTCGAGGAACTTGGGCAGATAGAGTACATCTTTTCGGATAAGACGGGAACCTTGACCTGCAACATGATGGAGTTCAAACAATGTACCATTGGCGGCATTCAATATGGCGAGGAGATCCCAGAAGACCGACGAGCTACCGTAGAGGATGGAGTGGAAGTTGGGGTACATGACTTCAAGCAGCTCAGGGAGAACCAAAAATCTCATCCAACGGCAGATGCGATCCATCATTTCCTCACGCTTCTCGCTACTTGCCATACTGTCATCCCTGAAAGGTCTGAGAAGGAGCCCGATAAGATCAAATACCAGGCAGCTTCGCCCGACGAGGGCGCTCTCGTTGAGGGTGCTGCAAGCTTGGGCTACCGGTTTACGAATCGAAGACCACGTTCCGTGCTGTTCACAGTAGGAGGTCATGAGTATGAATATGAACTGCTGGCGGTGTGTGAGTTCAACTCGACACGTAAACGAATGTCGACAATATTCAGGTGTCCAGATGGAAAGATCAGAATCTACACCAAAGGCGCAGACACCGTCATCCTTGAACGACTGAATTCTGACAATCCCATTGTCGAGGCAACATTGCAACATCTGGAAGAGTATGCTTCGGACGGTCTCCGGACTCTTTGCTTGGCAATGCGTGAAATTTCCGAGGAGGAATTCCAACAGTGGTACCAGATATATGACAAGGCTGCAACAACTGTAGGTGGAAACCGTGCGGACGAGCTCGACAAGGCTTCGGAGCTTATCGAGAAAGACTTCTACCTTCTCGGGGCCACAGCTATTGAGGATCGACTGCAGGATGGAGTTCCCGACACCATCCATACGCTACAGACAGCGGGAATCAAAATCTGGGTTCTGACTGGTGACCGGCAAGAAACTGCTATCAATATTGGAATGTCCTGCAAGTTGATATCGGAAGATATGTCGTTACTGATTATCAATGAAGAGTCTGCCCAAGCTACACGAGAAAATTTGTCGAAGAAGCTACAGGCTGTTCAGAGCCAGAATGCTTCTGGTGAAAGTGAAGCGTTGGCCTTGGTTATCGATGGGCGATCTTTAACTTTTGCGCTGGAAAAGGACATGGAGAAGATGTTTTTGGACCTTGCTATTCAGTGTAAAGCCGTGGTTTGCTGGTAAGTTATCTAGTTTTGTCCTACTACGTGGATTGAAACTGACAGTTCCCAGTCGTGTTTCCCCTCTACAAAAGGCCTTGGTTGTCAAACTTGTCAAGCGCCACCTGAAGTCTTTACTTCTCGCGATTGGTGATGGTGCGAACGACGTGTCTATGATCCAGGCCGCACATGTTGGCGTTGGTATCAGTGGTCTCGAGGGTCTTCAAGCCGCCCGATCTGCCGACGTGGCTATTGCTCAGTTCCGTTATCTCCGTAAACTCCTCCTTGTTCATGGTGCCTGGAGTTACCATAGAATAAGTCGTGTCATTTTGTATTCATTCTACAAGAATATTGCTCTCTATATGACACAATTTTGGGTGAGTGATACTTAAGTGCCCATCCGCTGATAGTTCTGGTTTTAACTAACAGTCGTATAGTACTCTTTCCAAAATGCTTTCTCTGGCGAAGTCATCTACGAGTCATGGACCCTATCCTTCTACAACGTCTTTTTCACTGTTCTTCCTCCTTTCGCGATGGGAATCTGTGATCAGTTCATATCTGCTCGGTTATTGGACCGGTATCCTCAGCTCTACCAGCTTGGACAGAAAGGAATGTTCTTCAAAAGACACAGCTTTTGGTCATGGATCGCAAATGGGTTTTACCATTCCTTGCTACTATACCTTGTTTCGCAGTTGATTTTCCTCTGGGACCTTCCCCAAGGAGATGGCCAGATTTCCGGCCACTGGGTATGGGGATCTGCCCTGTACACGGCAGTTCTCGCCACGGTCCTTGGGAAAGCGGCACTGATTACGAATATTTGGACCAAATACACGTTCATCGCGATCCCGGGATCAATGGTCATCTGGCTAGCATTTCTTCCCGCGTATGGCTATGCCGCACCAGCCATCGGCTTCTCCACGGAGTACTACGGTACCATCCCCCGCCTCTTCAAATCACCCATCTTCTACCTCATGGCCGTCATCCTCCCGTGTATCTGTCTCCTTCGAGACTACGCCTGGAAATATGCCAAGCGGATGTACTATCCACAACATTACCACCACGTCCAAGAGATCCAGAAGTACAATGTACAAGACTACCGCCCACGCATGGAACAGTTCCAGAAGGCCATCCGAAAAGTGCGTCAAGTCCAGCGCATGCGCAAACAACGCGGCTACGCTTTCAGCCAGGCCGATGATGGTGCCCAAATGAGAGTCGTCAATGCTTATGATACCACGAGAGGAAGAGGGCGATATGGTGAAATGACTAGTTCCAGAGCTTTAGTATAACGATCTGATTTTTGGTTTTGTTTCTTATCTTATTCTTTCTTCTTCACTTCCCCTGTCCTTTGCCTCCTTGTATTAGTTGCATCTGTGGCGGTCTGATGACCGACTGACCTCCATCACTCTCTGTCCACGTCACTCTTGCTAACCTTACCATTCGTCTTCCTTTCTCTCTTTTTGGACTATATTGCATGATGGTCCTCCGCTTCGCCTATATCTTCGTTCTTCCTATCTTCTCTATGAGTCAATGTGAAATCTTGAATTTTGTGATATCAACTTCTTCAACTACACCACTTTGTTGAATGTTTTCTTGAACATGGATGACTTGTAATGTCTAGATAGGTTAAACAGACAGAATGGGTAATGATATATTGCTCATCTTCTGTTGAGATTTTCTCTTAAGTAGCAATCCCTTTGTACTTGCCTCGTCCTTCATTTTTACATTTGTCTTCAAGGTAACCGGGGTCAGTCCATGATATTGATAGGCAGTTGTCTAGAAGGCCTGCGGAACTCAGGTAAGGCCCCGTGGCATAAATATTGCTCTGGCCTACATTGACAAGCTCGAATGTGTACGGCGCACCTAACTAAATGCACTTGTCTAAGAAGCATCAAATGATAATAGCCCCACTATCTCAATTAATATATGCTTTGAGGAATTCTTCGCTTTTCCCACTCGACTAAAATTAATGTTGGCTGAAGGTCTAACCTTGCATCTGAGTATACTCAACGTTATTTATCCAGAGTCTTCAACAATTTTCAATATAGCCCCATTCTTAAATATAGCCGCAATATCCAGGACTTCTTAACAATGTACAATGAGCACCGAACAGGCACTTACCGCTGGTGTTCGATGCTGATGATTTGCCTCGTAAGGGTCTAGTCAAATATTTATCAAATAGCGAAATCATCCTTCACAGCATTGTTGATATTTCTGGGTTGTACAGGGTACTTTTGCTACTAGATGTAGTATGTTTTCGGCAGCATTGTTTTCCCTAGATACGTTGGCTCCACGGTCCTGTAAGTGCAAGAGAACCGTCTGACTAGACTGATCAACTGTAAACCTATCATGCAAGTTGGCTTTAATGCAGGTAAAAACAGGTGTATCGCCATTTTCGTGCTGTGCGTTGACGTCAAGCCCGAGGTCGAGAAAATATCGAATATTGCTGTATCATTTGCATATCCTTCAGACATACAAGCGGCTATATGATGGAGAAATGTATTGCCGTCGGGATCAGGTTCAAAAGCATCAGGTTCGACACGGCACGATTTAGACAGCGCGGGAAGGTAATGCTTTTGCGCAGCCAGATGAAGAGGCGTGAGGTCTTGTTCATTTGCCTTATGAATGAGAGGGAGGCATCGGTTTGGCATAGACAACAGAAGATCAGCACTGCGCTCTTGATCGTTCTTGCCAATACATTTTATGTTCAGATGTAATGCATTGTTGCCATTGTTGTCAGCAGATATATCTGCGCCTATCTGGCATAGCTTTTCAATAAGTTGGGATTGATCCTCGCCCTCATTTCCTTCCCAGGCAGCCAAAAAAAAAGTGTTCTTCGCCGTTCATCTCTTTCCTCTAGATCCACTTGAGGAAGATCAAGAAGGGGCTCAAAAATTCCACGGCGCTGTAATACATTGTGAACGATAGTAGTATCGGCAGAAGGCAGAAATGGATTTACCCGTTGTTCAGTAAGTGCTTTACAATGTCAGTATGCTCTGGGCGCGAGTCAATGCGGTAGCATATAGGAAGACAGGCGACATGCATAGGTCACAATTGAAATGCACGATATCGTTCAGGGTCTTCCCACCAGCCTATTCTGTCTCTTATTGCAGGCTCGGGTAAGTGTGATTTCTCCCAGAATGGCTTGTTGCAGTCTATTCCCGTCTCAGTGATGACTTTTACTGTTTCGATATGATTGAATAGTTTGCTTTGAAGAAAGTCGGTTTATCTTCATAGTCGATATCAGCACCGTACTCTATCAATAAACGCACCATTCGAGAATTGTCGGTGGCCTCAGACATCGGAGAGAGAGCTCTAGTTTGGAGAGTGCTTGTTTGCTTAATACATTCCGGTTAGTACCATGCTTTAGTAATACTTTTACTATACTGAAGCATCGATATGCCCCTTTCATGGAAACTTGGAGTGGTGTGCGTTGTTGGCTATCAAGCAGTTCCGTATCTGCCCCCCGCTCAAGATACTCCATAGCTTCAGTATGCCACCAATGCTCTCACCTAGCCAGGATGTGTGCTGCACTTTGCTTTGCGTTAGCACTTCTGTCATCATTTTGCCAGTTCCTGACGATATTAACTCCTGCTTTGAATGTTTCCACGACGAGGAGCGGTAGACCCATACTAGGCAGAGTTCGATTGACTACTGTGAAAAGGGATGGAGGGACAATTCCTCCGAGATCTGAAGGTAGTGAAGATGCTCCATTGATCCAATCAATGTCTTCTCTCATCCTGCCGAATTTCTCAAACAAACCCGTAAAGCCCCATTGTGCTTAGTGTAAAAGAGAAAATCTTGGCTCGGACTGCTTGCCATATCACGGAAATCCTCTCGTATTGTGAGCTCTTCAAAAATCCCGTAGGCTCCCATCTTGAGAAGTCCCCCACTGTCCGTCAATATATCATGCTTTGCCTGAACACCTTTGATTAGCCCGTCGGCCAGACAACCGGCGTTCTCGTGATGAGCCATCGAAAAAATCTTGCCTGCATCAGCACTCTGAGTATCGGTAGATAGAGCAACAACCATTTCCCCAAGCTTGTTATTGACAGCAAATTCCAGAGGAGCCTTTCCATCTCTGCTTTGAGCGAGAGGAGATCCGTACGCTTGCAATAAATGGATAATTCCTGCTATTCGTCATGTCTCATCATCATGCCATAAGACATGATGGTTCTGTACCCTCTGGCGCAGAGAATCCCGTCTCAGTGAAGAAATATTACACTTTCTGCTAAAATTTGCACAAGCATGAAGAGGAATGTTGTGGTCCTTATCTCTTAGTGTGGCTTTCGATTCGGCTTTTAATAACGATTCTACACTCTCCAATCGACATGAGCGACAGGCGTCGAGGTGTTTGTTCTGATGTATTTCTCTAGTCAGCGGCTTCTTGCTTTTGGGCTTCTGTATAGTTTGCCAGTAGTAGCCCAATGATATTATCAGGTTTGGCAGAAGCAGCTATATCAGAAGATTTCGATGTTGTGTGAGGGCAGACAGGTTTGCTCGGCAAATCAACCATGAGACCGTCTCCTCTGCGATAGACGCAGCAATATGAATAGAATTTTAGCCTTTGTAGTCCTTAGTCTCTATCGTAGCATCAATATCGGAAGTAGGGAAGTGGTCGATGGCTTTTGGTTGTGAGGAGGAACGTGCATGGTGATACGGCTCCACGCCGCACATGGTATGCATAAATGTCCGGCCTCTGTGGTTGCGTACCTGAATAGGACCAGCAGCTGCTATCAGGATATCAATATACTGAATGAGAGGTAGACCTTTGGATCGATAGCCTCGTCTCATCAAGGAATGAAAGGGCATAACTCCATCATGATTGACATGGAATGGGTTCGCTCCAGCCTCGAGAACAAAAGGTAGACCGCTCACAGTACCATTTCGACTGAACATCAAATGGATTACTACATTGCCGTTATGATCTGTTGCGTTCACGTTCGCACCAAGATTGACAAGTTTGCGCGGCGCACCGCGGAATCGGTGGTAAGCTCTTCAACACTGATAAAGGAACCACCGTTTTACCGGCATTATCTTTAGCTTTGAGATCTGCTCCTGCTGCTAGGTGAAGCAGAAGCTCGCTATTAATGGTCCCTGAGTATAGACTATGCAAAGGGATTTCTCCGTTGCGATTTCCGAAGTTAACATCTGCCGCCAGATCGATCAACTGCTTGCTCACATATTCGTTTTGGCCGGTTGCAAGATGCAAAGGGGTGTCTCCGACCCCATTTGGGATACTCCAGTCCTTGAGGTATGGCTTCATGTATTCTAAGCTCAGGACTTTGCCTCGTGACATGGCCCATTCGTGAAGCGGTATTCTTTTACCTATCGAGCAGATTTCATCCCATCGCGCCCCGTGGCGAATTTTGCAAATACTTGAATAACGTAATTGATCTTTTGGACGGCTTAAGTAGATGAAATGGGGTGATGTCATTCTTCATCGTGACATTAGCATCCGCTCCATGTAGTATTAACTCTTTGACTCGCCGATTCCTTTCCACACAAAAATGTAATGCCGGCTTGCCATCCACGGTACTTGTATTGGTATTACATCCGGTTTCTAAAAGCAGTACAAAGTACTCTTCAATAGTCTTCCGCCCTTGAGGTGCATTGCCTAGTCGAGCTGCAAAGAGAGAAAGCAGTACAGAAGCATACTCGATTTCTCCATGAGCGCCTAGAATTTGGGCTTCTCGGTGTCACTTAGGATATTCAAAAAAGAACAAAGAACTATTTAGAGGAAGCTGGAAGTTAGGATCAGGCCCTCGGCTCAATAGCAGTTGCATCATATCAGAGCTGAGCAGTTCTGTTGCAGCAGTGACCAAGCATGCGGCACCAATATCAGTCCTTATTTCGATATCACTGACCCTTAATAGGTAATAAGAATTTTTCCCCATTTAACTGCCCAGAACAGTACAGAATCCACGTCTTTTCCCCCGAATATGGTAGCATTGCATGAACGGACTCTATGCTTCCTCCTTTCGAGGCATATTCCAGCGGTATTTGTCCACCAGCTTTTACAATATCAAACGGTCTTGAAAGAGAGCGCTTCGGCTTCATCAATCGTTATGAGGGTATCTGGGAGCGGGTGGCTGTTGCTAGTATTCATCCGCAGGCTTGAGGAAGTCTTTAACAACGGTGGGAGTATATCACACTGGGATAGGTAAACACCGGAATATATAACTTCTCAGATATATACGCTGGGGTACTGGGTTTATATTGTCAAGGTCTGGGATTCGTTACTCGATATATATTGTTGCATAAATAGCTTAACTTATTTCCATCAGTATATGATTCGCTAAATTTTACAGCCTGTCCCATAACCTTTCTAGCAATATAAGGCCGAATGACATATTACTTTTCATAATGAATGGCATACATACTGCAATTATTGAGGTCGGAGCTTGAATGACAAATTTGTGAGGGCTAGGCAACTAACGTGACGTGGACTGAAAAACGTGCAAACGCGCAATCAAAGACTTGCCTTAAGGCTTAGCGTTTCGATTTACCTTCTTGAAGTATGATATCCATAGCCATTCTCTTCCACCCCGTCACTCGCGAATTCAAACATTGCATCAATGGAGCAATTGACTGATAATTATTTCCTCCCAAGTGGAGCTGGACGCTGCACGGATAATGCCTTTGGTCCAACAAGCTGTTCGAGAGAGTTTGACTTCACTTTGACCCCGATCCAGTGGGTATAGCCACAGGCGACAAGATTAGAACTGCGCTCGAACGTTGGGATTGGTATATGAGATGTGCTGGAATGTCGCGGGGGATTCGATGCCGTGCTACTGGACCAGCCGCTCTCGCATGGTCAGAAGCAGCTGTTTTGTCTGGCTAGGGCTATGTTAAGGAATTGCGGGAGTGGGCTTTTGATCCTGCATGAGGCGACTGGTAATGCTGATGGGGTGACAGATGCTGTAATGCAGAAGGTTATGAAGAAAGCGTTTGGGCGGTATACTATTATTAGCGTTGCGCATCGGGTATGTGTATCCCTGCTTTGTCCTGTGTTTGTTTTCTTGCTGATGGATGCATTAGCTGGATACTATACTGGATTCAGACCAGGCTGCGGTTTTTGAGTGTGGGAGGTTGGCGGAGTTTGATGTGCCGGATAGGCTGCTTGGTCGGGGCAGTACTTTTCGGAGGATGTACGGAGATAGATGCCTAGTGTGCTTAGATGGGCTGTAGGAAGTGGCTGGTTCTGTGGTTTCCTCCTTGCTCTGGGCCCAAGAGATGGAAAGGTGGGTATATACAAAGCCGTATAATAGACAGTCTATAGTGAATATAGATATCCAATATGTGATATTCAACTCACCGTGTACATCTCTCCCCAGGAGGTCTCCAACCAACTCCCAACCCCTCCATTACAAGCCTCTCCCTCTCCTCCCACGTCCTCCCCTCCCGTTCAAGATCAATCACCTGTCCGCCGGACGTCCGCTCCCTCACCCCACTAGAATCAAACTTCCACCCCCGCTTCTTCGCATACCGTCGCAGATCCCGCTCAAACGTGGTATCCCCCGACCACCCGAGAACAGCACACCCAACCGTGCGCCAAGGGGAAATGATAATATCCACGCGGCGGTGGGGATTAGTATTCCGTTTCCGTTTCAAACGGACCTGTTCTTCATCATCTGCCTCTGGCAATAGAGTGCCGTCCTCGAAATGCGGATCCTGCCAGACAACGAGGGCCTTATCCAGACTATCGAAGTGTTTACCTGTATCGTCTCCCCTGTAGGGGAGGGTCTGCTGGTCACGATTGGACGTCGTCAAGTGCAGGGCGAGGGTATGCGTGATCCAACCTTCCGATTCGAGACTAGCGACGACATCGACGACCAGGTTACGGGTCACGGATTCGTCGCGATGAGAAAGGATGAGGTCCACGTCGCCGCTTGCTTCCTTCCCGCGACGGTACCCTCCTACTACGATACATTCGACGCCGCGGCCGTCGTAGCGCGCATCAGGACGGACGAGGTTGGCGTGTCGGTGGATGATCCTGGCGATCGACTCGACCTCGGGACGGGAGATTCCCGCTAGGAATTCGTCGTAGTATTTTACCCCGATTTGCTGTACGCGGGAGAGGGTGTTCCAGCCATGTTCGACTATGTCGTCTAGATCTCGCCATTGGCGGTGGTAGTAGAAGTCGCGGGCTGTTTTGGCGCCCACGCCCCAGATACTGTAGAATTGGTGTAGGGTGTGGAGGACCGGATCTGTGTCTAGGGCTGTGGCGGCTTCGAGGGTGCCGTCTTCACTTTGTTGGTATTCGGCGAAGAGGTTGGCGATTTTGGTGTCGCAGCCTGGGAGGGTGAGGACCTCGGATGGACGGCGGAATTCGTAGGGGTAGGCGGCTATTGAGGCGATGGAGGTGCTGTAGGCTCGCACGCCTATTTCGTCTAGGGTGAGTTCTCGCGTCTGCCGGATTTTGATGAGCTGGTTGATGAATCTTTCGTTGGGTGGGTGGAGGGGTGCGGAGCGCATGCAGGCGTATAAGGTGTTGTTCTTGACCCAATCCGGGGACGGTGGTAAGGGGGCAGTTTCCTCGTTTTCGGACGTGGATTGTCGGTATAGCTTGGGTGGGTGATGCTGGCTGGATGGTGCTTCGTGTCGGCGAGCGAATCTGTTGGGGAGTGCTGGTGGTGGTTTGAATACGGCGTCTTGCCTTGCTCTTTGTAGTATATCGCTTGCTTGTGAGCCTTTTGTGTATGTGCTGCTGGGTTGGGTAGCAGGCCGTTCGACCTTGCGAGCTTGATATACCATGAAGGGTTCAATGGGTACCAGCTCTTTTGTCTCGATGCATTTGTCCAGCCATTCCAAACGGACAACTCGGAGGATATCTGTTTGCTCATCGGAGATCGAAGTGTTTGCCTGAGTAAAAGCAACCAATGATCGATCTGATGATATGGATCTAGGCCTGGGTCTCTTTAAGTGTCTGCCAGTATCATGCTTGCTTTGCACGCCATCTTCTTCACTCTCGGACTCCGTACTAAGATCGACCACTTCGACTTCTGCGACAGCATCCTTGGATCGCGTATTGGACTCATGTACACGGCTCCGCTTGTCGGACACTTCCGTAGTCGCAAGATCAAGATCCTCCGTCCATACCCCGCGAGATCTGAGCTCCAGAGCAGCTCGTTTCTTCTGCCCAACTTTGCCTAGGATCAATCTCGCCTCAGAAGCATCGTATGTCAGACGTGCATCTCGACTGACAAGAGACTCTTCGATATGATGCAGTGCTTCCAGACTAAGGTGAGTAGGTAGCACGAATATAGGGGCATAAGATGAAAAGCTAGGTCCATGACCGTCGTGTAAAGATGAGGTTTCGGATATATCATCAGACATGGTAGAGGGTTACATCCATTTGTTTCGTATACATATCAAACATTGGGGTAGTTAATAGATAACTGTATGTATAATAATTGAAAATATCTTCAATGCAGGATAAATTGAATGTAAGTCTCCATCGCTCATGTCTGAAGATGCTGATACTTGGAAATCGAGCTTGTATAGGTTTAGTTTTTCCGACCCCGTATTTATACAACTGAAGCACACCCCGCAGCCGTTGAAGATCGTCAATTTCTCAGCTGTAGTACCCTATCAAAGATAAGAATGAAGTGATGAAGGACCTCATGGCGAGGATACAGTATTAAGATCAAGTGGAATGCGATCCTTGTGTCGAGAAATTTATTGGAGTAAGGATGGTGATGTCATGCGCCTACTGGTGCCTGAGGCACATATCCCATACCAAAAATGGAAGAGTATATAGATTATAGATCATTAACCTCGTGTAAAAATCGTGTAATTTTTGTTTCAGTCATATCGCGCGCCAAATCCTCATGTCGTTCATATCTATCCATTCGAACCCATATTAAGAACAATATTTTCAGCCAGACCGACTAGGCCCATCCACCGGCTTCACCGCCACCTGAGATGCACCTTTCTTGCTGATAGCACCGTAGCTGGCACCAGGCGCACCGCCCTGTTCTTCACTTAGGATAGGGGCCTCTTGACTTGCGGCGGCATTGTCGCGATATCCCTCCTCGTCCGTCACGAGGGTCTTTCCGTGTCTTCTTGCAACCCACCTTCTCCAGGGCTTGTACACAAGAACACTAATACCGCCGATGATAATAAAACACCCACAGATGCCACCACCAATGGCATCGTAGTAGTCTCCTGCTGTCTGCACGCCATCCCAGAATTTACCGGTCGGTTCAGCGACGTTGAGGACTAGGGTGAGGAGTTGGATGACACCGATCACGATGGCAACGACGACAGTCAAGCAGGTCAGCACGATTGAGTAGTACAGGAACGCAATAGGGTCGCGGTGGTTCTGGGATGGTTGAATCTCATGGTCCTCGCCGATCAGCGGCGTCTCGGCAGCAGAACTGTCATCCTTCGGTGGGAGGAAGTTAGCAGCGGGCTGGATATACAGTGAAAGCATGAGAGCTCCATCAGTGGTGTCGAGGAGGCACATTCCAGCTGAATGAATATTAGCCATTGTATATTTAAAACTATAAACTAGACGCACCTGTAAAGAGGATTGGGAAGATGAGGATGACCCAGAAATCCGTGCCTCGTGCGGCCTCAACAGATGAAATGCCAAGGAGAGCTATCTCCGAAGATGTATCGAAACCAAGACCGAACAGGATACCAAGCGGATACATCTTCCAAGGACTATAGATTGGTTAGCCAGTGCTTATTTTGGCCTTTGATGTGGTGCAACTTACCGGTCGATCAATTTGAACATCTTCTTGAGCACCGAGAACAGGATACCACCTCCCTCAATCTTCCAGGCCTCATCTTCTTGGCCCTCCGGGAGATCTAATACTTTCTGCATCTGCTTGTACAGCTTGTACAGGATGTAGAAGTTCATAAGTCCTAGCAAGATCAGGAAAGCAGCACTGACGGATGTACCAATAATTCCGCCGACAGTACTGAAGCTGTCAAAGCGTGATGACACGGCGGCCGCAGTGGCGGCCACAACGATAGAAGTGATGATAACAATGCTGTCATTATTTATTAGTCGTGTTAGTCAACTATAGGACGCGAGAACACTCACGTTGAGTGACCAAGCGAGAAGAAGGTTCCCACAGTGACAGGTTTCTGACCCGTTGCCAGCAACCTTCGGGTCATCAGATCGATAGCCTATTGTGACATGTAAGTTAAGCGACTAGTGCAGGATAAAAGGCACATACAGAGATATGATCGGCGTCGAAAGCATGTCTCAACCCGAGAGTATACGCAAGGACGGCATTAGAGACTAGAGATCTATAGCATCGTTAGTATCGACAAGGGACCGTTATTTAGCATACGCAAAATTCTTATCCAAGCAATGAGACATACGGGTAGTAACGCTGATAAACATGTTAGCCTATATCCAAACATGGAGTATCGAGCCCAGATGTCTTCGTCATGATCATGAACTATAACATCGGGGGATATCTTACCAGAACAATAGCAGCTGCAATCCATACGATAATATTGATCAAGGCAATGAACAATATGATAGCTAGAGCACGAAAAGGGATTTTCCGAACACCCGGTATCCGACTATGCGAGCGTTCGGCATGTCGCATAAGTGATTTGGGTGCCCATTTGCTCTTCGTATCGACACTTTGGGGATCTGACGTCTCCCCCGAGAAGCTGGGAGGGGAGGAGTCCCGCATGATTCGCAGGTAGAATATTGTGCAGCAGAAACCGAATTCACGAGATTCCTTTTTGTGTGGTTGAAATATCCTATCCCTCCGATCCGACAGTCTTGCTGGCCAGAATCGAGGGACCTTTATTCTATTCTTTCGTATGTGGGGTAAAACCCTGGAAGGATTGATAAGAGTAAAAGCTATTATCAATTGAAGGCAACCAAAAGGCGGAGCAAATTAAAGCTTGTTTCCTCCCTTGGGTCTGAGTTCCAATTGGATTTCTCCTTTCAAGTCCCTTGCGCTATTCCGGCGAGTCTCGATCTTGGATCAGCGGCGTGGAAGACCAAGTCTCTGAAAGCGGTACAGCGACCGGATGATATACTTCTTTCATAAGTATATTTGACTGATATTCTATTGCCTTGACTCCAATCTGGTACATCTGCGAAATGTCACGGCCGATGACTGCCGATGCCCCCACTATATTCGGCGGAGAGTGCCGATGTGACCCTACCCCACTACTGAGATAAAATGCTTCATAATGTGTCAATTTTATTTTTAACACTATGTACCTATTGTGTGATAGAGCTGGTGTAGCTCACATGTGTAGAATTGGTTCTCTTAAGGTCTAAATCTATTATACAGAGATTCCTTGGTGTTGTGGTCAGGTCACGTGGTCGCCGCCTTAGGCTCCCTATAGGCTCTGACATTGTGTCTTCTTGGACACGACCCTCTTCACGTTGAGAGGAATAGTGTAAGCGGAGTGGACATGGCCACAATCCGAGTTCCACATACCAATCTCATGATCACTTCACGCCTCCATGTCGGGTATACCCCTCTTTGAGAGAGCCTATTCTGTATACTTGATAGGCGGCTGTATGAGGTAGGCAGCCAAAGGCCGAGTTGGACGGTTCGCCGATGACGGACTGGGTCCACTTGGGATCGGCCAAAGTCATTCTTGGCGTGTGGCATCTGGTGGACGATTCAACTATCCCATCGGGATGTTGTCGCCATATCAAAGCAAAAACACCTGAAGTTGCAGGCTCATAGCTCTGTCAACTTCACGGTATAAATGGAGGTTTACAGTAAGGCAAGGGATGCCGGAAGACATCCAGCCGTTCAGTCCTCGAATCAAGCCGCGGCAAGAACGGTCGGCGACGGCGTCCACTTGGTGACGGTTGGCTTAGCCTTACGGAGATCGGAGTTCATGAGAATGTTCCATTCGTTTTTCGTGATAGGCGTCACATCGGAAGCCGACTGTGGAGTCTTAGGTCCCCGCTTAGTCGGGACAGCTCTATATCTCGGCGGATTGGGCTCCCTGCGCGCGCGAACGGTGCGCTTCGGGGAGTTCCGGCTGCTGTGCTCAGCTAGCGGCCGTGGCGGCAAGATGATTCCCTCCTGGCCGAATTGTTTCTTATAAGTTTGGGCGATGTGGGCCAGGAGTTCATCCCGCACATCTAGCTGCTCGTAAACGCGGTGGAAGAATGCTTTACTAAACGGGCGACCTTGGAAATCATCGATGGTACGATGTAGAAGCTGCACGCAGGACGTGACGCAGGACGCTTCGGGGTTTCTGCCTTGGTTGGACAGGATGCACAGTCTGCGCTTGAATGTGTAGATTCGGTCCACGTTGAGCAAAGTCAGGCCTTCTCGGCTGAAAATGACCTCGTTCTGCATGATCGATTGTTGGACCAGGTACTCGTTGGCCTGGCGCTCGTATTGACTGCGGTTTATGGCGTCGGTCCAGCTCTGGCCGAGTGAGAACTTGCTTGCGGCTTTAACCACGGCGCGGTAGACTGTCCGCCATGTTTGTTGGTCAAGCTCGTCGATAGGGATTACCATCAGATCAGATGGCTGGCCTGTTGGGTATGGCTTGCCACGGCCTACTAGCAACGTGACGTGCATCATTTTCTGCTCGAGCTTGGAGGAGATGTAGCCGAGGGCTGGGAGAACTGAGGGGGGAAGAGTCTCTGAATCAAAAGTGAAATCGGGGGAGAGGGGACTAGAGATCATTTCCGTAGTAAGACTGCGGATTGGAGAGCTGGGGACGTAAACGCCCGTTGGACGAGGTAGACGAATGACACCCATGCTGGGATATTGATAAGTAGAGCAGATTAAATACAAAATAAGACTTTAAGAGTCCGTAATGCGGTTGACCACCACGGGGAATCCCCAGATTATTCTCTGGTTATTCACTGGATGGGCCGGATGTTGAGAAGAGAGAAGGGAGGCCTGAGGAAATTCCAACCAGATAATATACCTTTCTGGCCCTGAAAAGAGGGGAAGGTGATGAACGACACGCAAACTCTGCATAATCATAATACCTGTTCTAATCATAGCAAATCCCCCTCACCAGTCATTTTGTATCCCAAGGGGATGGAACCCAATAAGTGGACTCCATCGCAATAACCTTAAGCGCCGGCCGTGACAATTTCACAGAAACCTGCAGCTTATCACCCGTCACGTCCATCTGATTGGTGGGGTGATGACCAAAATAGAATCAATTAGCCGTTTAATTTCCTAGTAAACTCAGGGCCATTTGGACTAAGAGTTCTAAAAATGGCCAATCCTAACTACCTCAATTCGGATACAACCATGATAGCAGCTTCGCCAACACTCAACCATCAACGCAAATCACTCACCTAATTAACCCTTACCAACACATTCTTTTCAGCCCCCGTTCCTCTCGATCGTATAGTCGAATCAATGTGACTTCCATCTCGCCCTAGGATTGGCGCCAAATTCATCACCCCGCCCAACACCGACTCTACTGTACTCTCACTCCAATGATGACCCGACGCGCTGATCCTGCGATATGCACCTGCAGCCATGGTCAGCCTTAGTGTAAGTACTTGCACAAACTATTGAAATCCTGCAGGTGCGGCGGTAGATGTCTGGTTCTGGAAGAAAGCTCTCCGCTAGCGTAGACCTTAGCTTACGCTTTTATCTCCGGCCCATGATCTTCCCTTGGGCAGTGGGTTATACCCCGCTTTGAGTGATTTTTGGGGGGTATTTGTGGCGTAATCGGCTGTACTGTTGGCATATTCCCTGGTTGCCCCTCTCCTTCAGTTCCAAAGGTGGTCTGCCGGAGTGGCGTGGGATTGGTGTTCAGTCTAGAGGAGCGGCTGAGGTTCTGTCAGCCTTGCCAACGTTGGAATCCGTTTCCGTCCAATCTGCCCTAATACTCTCGCAAGAAGAGTACAACATGTGCCGGCACCCGAGCCGTCCACGCTTCCATGTTAGGTAGTGGGTCACCAGAACCTTGGTGAAGAAGGACAGTCCAGATCGTCCGGAAGAAATTGCAAGCTATAGCTCTCTGTGATCTGGGCTCTAGTCCTATAGAGTTGTTCAGATGCTGGCACACTATCTAGCCAATGTGGGAGTCCTCACATAGGTTCCAGCGCTAACTAGCAAAACTCAGATTAAATACTCGGACTTTCTTTTCCAAGTGGCCCTACTACGAAATCCACGTGAACTGATTATATTAACCATGGGCCAGGCGCCGGTGTCAGCCGAAGCACTGGTTTTCAATATTGCCTCAACATGGAAGTGACAATCGCACCTTGCCAAGTCACATGGGTTGCCGACCTGGGTGACAGTATAGAACAGGCACCTTGACTTTTACCTGGATAGCACTTGAAGCATTCTGATTTGAACGGTGGTGATAATCTCTGAGAGTGATCTTTTCTCTGTTGCTCTGTTTGAGGCGCGCAGGAGGATGATAAATATCGTGGATGCCATCAAGCTGTACGGCCTAGGGCATTATTGAGGAAGACCCTTTCCACTTTTGCCATGCTAATTAGATTTAATTCATTAAATAAGATGAGCCTGTGCTTATAATGGCTGCGATGAGGAACAAAAAAAGCTTTGTCGGCCCTGAGTCTGGTAAATACGTTCGCAATCGTAGCGAAAGCCACATCGAAAGGTAGACTGTATAATGCATACAAGCGCGAGTTGGGGTTCGGCCTTTTCAATAAACTATATACATCGTCTGAAACCGTGTGGTCATGGGTGTATAGGTAAAGTTTCAAGGTATGCCGGATGCATTGAAAATCACACCAAAGTGCGCCGCTGTGCAGAACCAAACGCCGAGAGGTTCTCCCTCTTCTACTGCCCAAGCCAAACCCCTGAAGGTGGAGTTGGAAGAGTACCTAGGAGGAGTCTTGAGAAGAGCCAAGATAGATCCATGCGCATCATTAGCTATGTTCTCAAGCATTTCATAGGACGGCCATGGAAACGGGAGAAAGATATTGATAAAGAAAACAACTCTATTAAATGAACACTGGGGTTCGTGTGAAACCATTTGGCGCAGATAGTGGTATGATAATGGTCATATTATCCAGCTTTGAGTTGGTGAAAGGGGTTTGCCTCGAAATAAGCCCGGTGCATGCTGCATGTGACGAGCATGATACGCAGAAGGAGCGCGACTTTTACACATGGTACGATAAATCAAGGAGAGCAGTCTCGACTTGTCACCTGGATAAAATCACTGGGGCCTGGCTTAACAGAACCCAGTTATAAGTATACAGCAGAGATTCCATGGTATCTTTTCTGACTAGGGCTTGTGGACACTAGCGGGTATGCCTCAAAGTTGGTATTCTATACGCATTCTCTAGATTCATTCCATGCTCCCTCGTATTATGGCACGATGCCCGGTGATGTCAACTGTGATTGCTATTATTCTTATCAGGTAAAGGACTTGCCTTCTGTTGTACGTTTCCTTCATGCCTCGAGCTACGACTGGCTGGTGATTACATTGTGACAAATACATTCCGGTCGTATTAATAGTACAGTGATGGGGCAACATCGTAGTGCAAAGCGCTGTCGGATGCTCGGAGGTTGCAAGAATAGGGTTACTACAGTACTGGACATGCTGTGGAGCTTCCCTTAATTTGGTTCTAGATAGGTTTAGCTTTCGAACGTTTTAGAGACCCTACGCTTAGAAACCCTGTAAGTGTAAGCGAAAGCATAAGCATATATTTAAGCGAGATTTTTTAGCCCACTGGGGAAGGGTAAGGAACTCACCATACCCTCAACAATTCACCCTAGAGATGGCAGGAATGTCTCACTGAACCCGCCCAATTCTCGGGACAAATTGAACAAACTTATCTAGGATAAGGGCCCACAGAGGGAGATGGCTGGCTTATCTGGTTATCTCAGTATTGTATCCACCTTGGCCGAGCTTGGCTGGCTGTTTTTGGAATCCCTGGGATATCTAGATAAAAGAAGATGAGGCAATTCTAAGAAATCAGACTTTTCATGCGCCAGTGCCTCCGTCAGGCAATATCAAGTGCAACACAAGGAAGACAACCAGAGCTCTGGAACCAATAGCATAGGCAGCCAAGAGCTACAAAGAAACTTTGCTCTCCGACACTTGAAGGATTTTCTCAACGGTCATCTAAGGTTATCTGCGCCTCAGTTCATAGAATCCGGGTTGTTCATGTAACTCTACTATTCTACTTCGGCTGCACTACCGGGACACTTTCAGGTAGCTCACGCAATCTTAATCTCATCGAAGTTTAATTTAATAGCAGTGATTGGACTTGCTGGACTTCAAAGAAGGTTTGGGGAATTAATATTTCGACCAACTGCGCCACGATTGAGGGATATAAAGTGTGCTTTGGGTTCTACCAATCATTGCGTTGTCAAAGGATGGTCCAGGGCCGACTAAGGTACCCGAGAATTGTCTGATTCTGGTGGTCATCAGTGGACTATCAACTTATCATCCTTTGGGGTACCCCTCTCTCTCTCTCTGTCTCTCTTGGCATAATCTCCGGTTCCTCGTGGCTTGCCCGCTACCCTTCCGCTGCTGCGAGGCAATCCCATTTGGCGGAGACATATTGTTGATCTTGATTGCCGATAAGGATATTGTCAGCTCATCTGTAAATGCTCTCGCCTTCTAACTTAATGTGAATCCAGTCGAGGGAGAAAAAAGAATTACATCGAGGTACGTCCACGTCCAGTTCATGCAAGCGAAGGCCCCATATCCCAAGGCATGGGAAAAGTGGATAATCCGGGGAGAGATAAGCCGCCGGCTGATGGGGTTTTCGTTACCTAACATATTCGGTTATAAGGAGACACTAAGAAAGAAACTGCCAGCGATGGGGCGACTGTCAAGAAACCAACTAGCCCCACTCGGGGTGTAGGTTAGGGAATCCTTTCACAAGGTTCTGGCACCGATTGAGAGCTTCACGCGCGTTAAAACGACTTTGAGCTCAGGATGAGGCGTCGTTGATCGAGTGAAAGGTTGGTTTTAGGATTGTCTCCGGCCGGCAGCTATCACGTATTCAGCCTAAGGCACAGAGTTAAAGTTCCTTCAGTATTCTAGAAGCACTGCCTGGAGAGATAAGCGGTGCTCCGTGGTGATTGGTGGGTAAAGAGATGGGAGATAAACAGTGGCGATAGCAGTTCTTGGCGGGCTACATAGTATACTGTAGACTAACCTGATAGCGGCATTGCGGCCCAAGGCCCAACCTCTTCTCCTGTGAATGTTGCTCCGGGAATACATAGGAGGAGACTCAGAAAGTCTTGTGAGTGAATTAGCTTGTCCGCGGTAAAAGAATCTCTGACCATTGGCATCGCTACGATTCGCTCGGGTGGGCTTTCTCCTACCTAGTCAAGTATCTAGTTATAAGCCTACTATCCACAGACCAGAAAGCCAAGCCGTGCCAAGGGAGACGCCCCCCAATGGCTGAGGCCTCCGAAGGGCTGTGGCGCCCCCTCTTGCTTGTTTCTCCGACCCGCTCGCTTTCCTTCGGCCAAGGAACTGCTTATCCTTTGGTTAGCTCATGGCTGGACAAAGAGATATGGTGAGGGAGAAGCTAAGGTAGTATCGACGAGGCGAATCTGACATTCATTTCTTTTTTTTTTTTTTTTTTTGCTCTCCCTATCTCAATTCCCTTTTCCCCTTTTCCTTTGATCCATTTCTTTTTTCGCTTCTCAAACATAACAACATGATATAATACATTGTTGAGAATGGTTAAATTTGTAGTTAAGCCATGTGAGAAATAAAGATAAAATCCAAAATCAAAACAAGAATCGGGAGTGCATGCATGCACTTGGTCAATACCCCAGACGCGGAGAGAGATTCCATGACTAACAGAAAAGGCTAATCTCCAGATCTTTCGTTCCTAAGATGTGGGGCCCAAGAGCAAAATGGTGTGTGCAGCTCGTGTCTTTTTCTTGCCAAGGCTGTCCGTTTTCGACATCTTGGCGGGGAGCCAACCAATCAAGAGCTTACCTGATTTAGTCCTCCTCATGACCATAGTACTAAACTATATTGGATTCGGATGAGCCTCCAAAATAAGGGATTGTGTGAGATTAGCACCAATCAGTCCATGCAGATTCCAGAGGCATTCTTGGTTTGATTTTTATCATAGAAATCCACCGGGGAATTATTCATGGACAGGCATATCATCTCCGGTTTGGGAGATTGTCTCTGATGGGGCAACGGGTCATGCAAATGTAATAGGTATTTAGTATGGTTATAGTAAGATGAATTATACTTTTTTCTGTGCTATCCAGCAACATATTACCTATTAGCGTATCTTTTTAATTTTCATTTTAAACCTTTTTTTTTTTTCTTTTAATTCTTCTGTGCCTCAAAGCCTCGGCCACCCCATGTGTATTCCGTGGAAATCCTCCAGCTGTTACATGATTACTATTTTTATTTAACCCATTCCCCCGCCTGGTTTTGTTCCCTGTCCTTTTACTTTTCCTTCTGTCTGCTACTCTAACTGCTTCCTTCGCCCATCTCATCACATCTCTACTCCCAAAGGGTTTGAGTAACGTGAGAGAGGGATTTCAGTCTTCCGTTTAAGTAACGGTAGCACCTGCCACCCATTGACGTGGGCTTCGTTCCCTAGACCCCACGGACTGTTGCTCACAGCCCGAGCGCAATCGATACAATGGGGATGATAGGAGAGAAGAATGATGGCATCTCTACCGAGATGAATAGAGAGATGTCGGGCGACATTACTAAAGCCGAGGAAGGTGTTGTCGCCTCAGAGCACCACGTAGACCTCCATCGGGACCTCAAGGCTCGTCATATTACTATGATTGGTATGCTTCTCCCACGGGTGTGTATGGGCTCACCGGTTAAGAGCGAGTAACTAACCGTCTGCAGCTATCGGAGGTGCCATTGGTACAGGCCTCATTATTGGAACGGGAGAAGCTCTTGCGAAGTAAGTCCTCCCAAAATTTAATCCCGTCCCATCTTCTTTCTTGGGAATATTGCGATGCTAACGTGCGACTTTTCTCTTAGGGCTGGTGTAAGTGGATATCCTCTTGAGCTTTGATGGGAGACCTTTTCTCTAACCATTTTATCTAGCCTGCCGCGATCTTGATTTCCTATTCCGTCGTCGGTCTTGTCGTCTATACTGTTATGTGCGGCCTGGGAGAAATGGCTTCCTGGCTGCCCCTGTCTTCTGGTTTCACTGGTTATGCTGTTCGATTCTGTGACCCGTCTTTGGGATTTGCTCTGGGATGGACGTAAGTTACACCGCCATGCGTTACTGATCGTTGATCTGACTGGATATTAGGTATTGGTTCAAATATATTATTCTCACACCGAATCAACTGACAGCCGGCGCGATGGTCATAAAATATTGGATACCTCCAGAGAAAGTCAACGCAGGTGTTTGGATCACGGTATTTCTGGTGATCATTGTCAGCATTAACTACTTTGGTGTGAAGTTTTTCGGTGAATTTGAGTTCTGGCTATCATCGTTCAAGGTGATTGTGATCCTCGGCATCATCTTGCTCTCCTTCATTTTGATGCTGGGAGGTGGACCTGATCACGACCGGAAAGGGTTCCGCTACTGGAAGGAGCCCGGCGCGTTCAACACGTATATCACTGACGGGGATGCTGGACGGTTCTTCGCCTTCTGGTCTACTATGGTTTCTGCAACTTTCGCGTATCTGGGTACTGAGCTGATCGGTGTAACCGTCGGCGAGGCTCAGAATCCCAGGAGAACCATTCCTCGCGCAATCAAGCTTACCTTCTATCGAATTGTGGTCTTCTATATCACTAGTGTCCTGCTCGTGGGCACCCTTGTCCCATATAACTCAAAAGAGCTGATCTTTGCCACCTCACAGTCCAGCTCGGCTGCTGCGTCGCCATTCGTTGTGGCCGTTATGCTTGCCGGGATCCCGGTCCTTCCTCATATTCTCAATGCATGCATCTTGCTCTTCGTCTTTTCCGCGTCAAACTCGGATCTGTATATCGCTACCCGAACCATCTATGGTCTCTCTCGGGAAGGCAAGGCCCCAAAGTTCCTATCGCGGACCGACTCGCGTGGTGTCCCGGTTTACGCCCTCATTCTGTGTGCCCTTATCGCCTGCCTGGCTTACATGAATGTGTCCAGCGATTCGAAGGTCGTCTTCGGCTACTTCGTGGATCTCGTCACAATCTTCGGTCTCCTGGCCTGGATCTCCTTGTTGGTCACGCACATTTACTTCATCCGTGCTCGCAAGGCCCAGAATGTCCCCGAGGAAGACCTAGCCTACAAGGCCCCCTTCGGCGCCGTGGGCTCTTACATCGCTCTCGCATTCTGCATTCTCATCTGCTTCACCAAGAGTTACGACGTCTTCACCCACAACCCCAAGTGGGGCAACTTCAACTACAAGAAGTTCATCACCGCCTATCTGGGCATTCCCCTCTATTTGATTCTGATCTTTGGGTACAAGTTCGCTACCGGCGCCAAGGGCTATAAGCCCGAAGAGGTCGACCTTTGGACGGGCAAGGACATCATCGATCGTGAGGAGCAAGAGTTCTTGGCCCGCAAGGCTGTTCTGGATGAGCAGCGTGGCAGGGGAAGCTGGTTTTACAGAACCTTTGTGTCGTGGCTATTTTAGGAACTTTGTCAAATATAGTTATTTTATGAATTCATGCCCCTCAATAGCACTACCTTTACTCTGGTTCTGTCTCCTCTTATATTAAACCGTACATTTATCGATACTCTGCTCGACCTCCGGTGGAGCGTAGTCGCGCCGAACAATATCAAACCGATACTATTCTTAAGCCGACTGTTCATTTCAAGGCCAGAATGGGTTCCACGCGAAGGGCAACCCTCGAGCATATATACCTTCGCTTTGACCAGGTCATTGTGAGTGCATGCACTCTTCCATGTGATGACCTTTCTTGCGTTGCGCCCAAATGTGTTTAATGCCGGCGTAATCACTGTATGGGCCCCAGCATACCACTGAAGACCTCCTCTCCTCGACTATTTATTTTGGCATCCAACACGAGCTTGTTAGGCTTGTCTGCAGGTAGCCCAAACCCAACCCTGAAGAGACCATTTGTAAAGCGTAATAAAACACTAATTAAATTTCGGTGTTTTAAAAGATTGCTTTGGTATATTCAGCTTTTGACGCCTACGTTTACAGTAGCAAGTTTGCGAATTAATAGAATATCCGACGTTATAGGAACTTTGTGTCCTGGTTATTTTAACTTTTGTCGAAGACTAGAGGTTATTATGGACGTATAGTACAAGTATTCTGGGTATTTAGTACCGTGTTACGAAGGAAGTGCATTGGCCTGTTAGGAATTCGGGGTTCATGGGGGAGTGCTTAATATATAGATAGATATGCCGGAAAAGGGCCTAAGTATCAGAACTGTGGTAGAAAGTATATAGTCATATAGAGTCAGTATTTCTTTAGTTAGAGTAATTACTTAGCATGGGTGATAAAATCTATGGTGTCAATATAGCACTATAAACGGTAGGAGGGTTTATTGTATTAAATAGTTACTATCTAGTTCTGTATGCTAGACTTATTCTTTATTCTATTTGGGCCGATTTGACCGAAGAATAACGGTGTCCCACAAGCTTTGATACGAGGGATGGTTATGCCAGGACTAGCAAATTGCTTTTTGCTCCTAGGATTGACGTTCTTGCTAGGGTAGGAGATAGCGAAAAATTAGCATATATGTAACGAGTTTAGTCTATACTTTTAGTAGAATGATGGAGACTTGTATTCTAAATTCCCCATTGCAGTTTCTATCACAATATCAACATATAAAGCTATGCCAGAACTATCTTTTTTTTTTTTTTTTCATAAGCATAACTACAAAGACTAGGTACAGTTTCCCAAGATTTCCAACTCTAAAAAATCTGACTCATTAATCATTAATTCATCAAGTATTGATAATTAAAAAGAAAGAATAAAAGTAGAGCACAAAAAGCACCAAGAATAAACAATAGAACGGTGCAGAAGTGGACCCAATACTTCAATAACTATATGTAAAGCATGAACCATCCATCATCTCCGTCGTCGAAGTTCCCAGGAATGTCCTTCTTCGTCGTCGTCTAGATCGAATGGCTCCCAATCATTATCTTGTTCTTCTGAGGAGGGTATAGATGTAGTTTTTAAATTCGAGACTGGCTCGTTTTGATCGACTGATGTTGGCTCGGAACCTGATAGCGGAGCAACGGAGTCATTATCAATTAGGAGGTCGGATTCCCAGTTTATGTCTGCTTTGTCTGCTGGGGCGGCGGCTTCTTTGACAAGGAATTCGCCTAACTTTAGGACGACGTTGTAGATCTCTTTGCCCGTTGGGATGATGTGCTCTGATGGAACGAGGAAGCCGTAGCTTCCTCGGTCGCGCAGCTTGATTTGGTATGCGTAAAGGGCGTGGAGTGTGTGGTAGAACCAGTCTAGGGCGCTGCCGCCGGATGTACCGCCGATGGGGAAGAAAGTCTTGGTGGAGTCTTTGTTCATGGCTGTGACCGTTCCCTCGCAGGCGGAGGTGACGTCGTAGATCTCGTGGGTTGTCTGGCGGATGATTTTGGCGAAGCCCATGCCCAGCTCTTCGAGGGTTTCGAGGGTGGGTGGGACGGCGGAGCAGGAGAAGGAGAATGGGTAGAGGACTTGCTGGGAGTAGGAGTGGAGGTCGAGGAAGCCCACAATTTCGGCGTTATTGTTCTGTGTTTCGTTCAGGGCCCATTGCGCGAATTGCGCGGCTTCGAGTCCCTCGAATGGCTCATCACCTGCGTAGTTCTCCGAACAGGGGTTGGAGCGGGTTCGCTCGCCATCCCACTCGAAGTTCCAGGATCGATCTATATCGATTCCCGGGCAGAATCGGAGACTGGTGCGTTGTCTATTTTTGCGCCATAGGCGATCGACCTCCCACGTATAGACGTATCCGTCGGGGTTGATGGTTGGTACAAGAATGACGTCAAAGTCTTCCAGCAGGCGAGTGACGCCCTTGGATCTACCAAAGTTGGTAATTAGGTTCGAAGCGACGTAGGTTACTGTGGATGTGCTGATCCATTCTCGCGCATGGCTGCCCCCAACAATGACAATGGTTCGACGTGGCGCAGACTGGGCTTTGTTGCTTCCAACACCGAGTCGGAACGCAGGGATCTCTCGGCCCTCGTACGAAACCCCCACGTTAATCATGCGAACATGCGATGGGAACATAGAGGCCATCAGGCGCATCCACGGGACGATGACAGACAATGGCTGATAATCGTGGAAAAAGAGGTCCCCGATCTGGTCTGACTGCCGGACAGAGGGGCGGAATCCGGTCTGTCCCTCGAGCCCTATGGGTCGTCGAGTTGGATAAGTTGTATATATCAACTCGGCCAGGTTGTCAATGAGTGGAGTATAAGCTGTGCGAAGGGAGTCTGGTAAGAGGCCTAACAATGAGGGGATCTATGTGGAGAGCATTAGGAAGGGTTCAGCTTCAATTTAATGGATGGGAGAGCGGGGAAAGTAGGCTGACTTACGACTTCTTCAGCCAGCCGAACGTCAACAAAATCAGAGGCGGAAGCCCAAACATCGAGAAAGAGGATCTCCGTTGCCTGCTCTAATGCCTCGGCCTCTTTGTCATTGCGCACACGAAACCGCAAAACCACATCGCTGCCGTACCGCGCCTGAACCCGGGAAGGGGGAGACCGATCATGCGAAACATCCTTCAAAGGGAGCCGATGGGAGAGTGGCTTTGGGAGGTCCCAGATCATCTCAATTATCCAGTCTCTTACTCTGGTCCATGGTCGTCTAGTATCGAACGGCTGTGAGGACAGGAGTTGAACCGGCTCAATGGGCGGCGGCGGAGTGATACTGGAGCCAGCCGGAACGGCTACTGTTAGAGTAACAGCCGAAGCGACTAGAATAATGATAGATAAGAGAAAATTCATTTCGTTGAGGATCGGATTACTAAAAGGCTATATCATGAGCTTCATCGCGGGCTCTATAAGTATGATTTGGTCGAGTAGGACAGAGCGCCTTAAAAAGAATGATGAGGGTGAGGTTGGACCGCGGCTAATGCCTGAGGCAGAAACATGTTTATGCCTCAGGCATTAAATTCCCTCGGTTGGTGCCATATTCAAGCCGAAGCAACCATGAAGATCACTGCTTCTACGAGAAAACAAAAAGAAGTAGTCGTCATGGAGCGCTTGTTGGAGATTAGATTTATTGGAAGAAATTGCAAGGACCATCCCCGTATACCGATCACAGATTATCTTCGGCATCGCCAAATCGGCTCGGGTAATTGAGGAGTCATATTCCCGGCACAATATTATCCTAAGGGTGAATATTCTGGCTTTGTAGAGGGACGGAATACAAGGACAACATAGCGTGATATGTTGTTTAGATTCAGTTGGGCAAATCACCGGAGACACTGCCATAGTACTTGAAAATAACTCTAGCACCTGGTTTGAGTACGCAATCTAAGCAACACGCCTCATCTAGAAGAGGGTTGTTGAGGGACTAATTTTGGCTACTTCCTCTCCCTTCAGTATGGGTAGTAAATATTGAAATCCATGGAACCTGACGTCAAAAACCCCGCAAGGAGCGACTAGCCCTTACTGAGCTGGGGATGGAAGGGTATATTGAAAATATAGCGACGTGGGGAGAGATTACAGTTTCTCCTTAGAAACAAGGATCTAGTGATTTGTGTGTATGTCTGTTAAGATATTCAAAGCTGTCAGGTGTCTAATCATTTCTAAGTAGTAATGGCCCTTTAGGAGTCAAACTGATGGCATCTCCACTGGCTCCACTCCTGCATTCCGATAAAGTTTTTAGGCCATTCTAGACCGCAACGGGCGGTTTTGTTCAGCCCAAGCAGAATGGTTCAATCCCAGCATTCTGGTCATGGCAGACCTTGCCCTAGAAATTCTATGAAGAGGCTGAATTAGATCCATTCAATATACATAAAAGGAATAGACCCCGAATAGTTTCAGTGTTGAGGAATCGCCATTCGGAAGGGGGCTCTTAAATTAAAGTCTGGAACCTGGGATACCCTGAACCAAAGCTCCATTTTTTAATTCGTGGTTGGTGGTGACGCGTTCGTCGGTCTGATTCGTGAAGTCGCAGACCTTTCTAGTGCCTTATGATTCTAGAATCTTACGAAGATTGGCTGACTGGATCTCAACAAAGCGTTAAATTTACAGAGAGGGTTTTTCCAAGCCACTCTAGACAAACCCGGATGTAAAGGTGATCCCAAACCCGCTTTTGGATTTGTAAAAAATTCACTCTCGGATGGTTTCTAGGAACGAAAACAAGGGGAAAAGATCGGAATGAATGAAAAATAAAAAAAGAAAGAAAGAAAAGAAAGAAAAGAAAAAGAAAAAGAAGGAGAAGGGACAACAAAACTCTGAACATATTTGGCCAAGAATGGCCTTGAAACATACCAGGCCGCTCACGTGGTGCTAAAACTAGGGACCAGCAAGGGTTTCGAGATTATACCGAGTCTTGTCTCCAAGTCCTTACAGATAATCATAAATGGTTATCGACTAGGAAAATCCGACCAGTATTTGTATGACTGTAGTATGTATTGCATGTACTGTGTTAAGGGCTATCTGGCAAACAAAAAACACGTCAGGTGAGTAAAGAATGAGGTAAATTCTGATGTCACTCTCACCTAGAGGGGATTTTTTAAAGGTACATTGATTCGAGATCCTGGGTACATCAGTGCTGTATGTGGATGTCTAACAAATCTCTGTACCTTGGATTAGTTAATCCCGGCTAAACCAAGTACATCCAAGTTAAAGATAGAAACAAAACCCACAGGATAAAAAAATGACTGCCAGAGTATCTGATAGATTAGATAGTTACCACATTCAATTCGAATATAATATACAAAATATACATATATATACATAAAATAGGACTTTTAGGAAAAAGCAAACATACAAAATAAAAGTAAAATTTTCGAAACATGGAGAGGACTCGAAACGGTGCATATGTAGAACACGTGCCTGGGGTGCATTTGCTCGGCCCGTCATCAGAACTCCACAATCTTCATCATCGTCGTTATTCTTTTTATGCCTGTCCTTGCCAACCAGCCTTGCCCCAGCTTCCCATCCCTTCCCGCGTCATTCGGTTTTTATTCTTTATTCCCTCGCTTCCTACCGTCATACAGTCCTTTTCTTTTCTTCTCTCTGTTTTTTCTACCATCGAGGGCATTGATTGCTTCGCTCTATTTTATTTTCTCCAACATTGACAGCCTCCCCTCATTTCCTTGTTTTCCTTGTTCCTTCTGCCTAGTCTACACTATCGATCCGCACTTCCACGCTTCCGTCAAGCTTTAGCCGGGCAATGTGAGAGTCCCAATCATTGTTCTCCTACTTACTCCTTGGCCACCAAATACTCTTCTGGGTGATCGATTCGTGCCGTACCCCTACCCCCTTTTTTACGAAACCGTGCCTCCGCCTCCGTCAACAGCTCCTTCGTACTCAACTCGCTTTTCTTCCTCCTAACTCATTCGATTCGCAATGCTAATCGATGTTGATTAAGGGTGACGCTTCCAAGTAAAACCCTCAACCCATCTGTTGGGAAACACCGTTGTATAAGGCAGCAGTGCGAACAAGGTCTGGAACTGCAGTTGTGATACACCGTGGAGCAATCGCCTAGCGTCAGCACATATTCGAATGGGATTCTGGGGCTGGCTACGTTGCAGGGCCACGTAAGAACTCATTCTCGGTCTTTCTACCGCCATGTATTGGAAAGGTCTGCGAATTGGCACCTCTGATGGCAACGATCCCAAGAGACGGAGCTTGGTCGAACCTCAGTCGGTTTCCCGCCATAGTGAGCAAATACCTCGTCCTACTCTCTCCACAACCAACTTAGCACCGAGGCGCTCGGAGTCCGCTCCTCGTTCCCCTCCTCTGACCGGTCCGGATGATGCAGACCACGACACTGACAACGCCGGGGCGGAGCTTGCGGGAACTCACTCGCATACTCCATCAGGCGAGATACACAATACTGGCACAAATCTATCAGTAAATGATAGTTCAAATTGGCGCTTCAACAGATTTAGTTTTATGAGGCTACGCCATGCATCGGACCCTCAACTCTCAAAATCCTATGCCAAAGCGGAGGAAGATGTCCCTCCAGTGCCCAACTTACCTCCACGTAAGCATTGCCGTCCCGTAGCTTATTCCAATATCCTATTATGCCACGTTGCTAATCACTCTTACGCTGGCACAGCTACTATAATCACAACCGCACCCACGAGCCATGAACTAGATCAGCCTGTCAAACGCAAGGCCAAATTCAAACTCTTCCCGGACGCCAAAACATCATCCGTAGAGGGATTGCCCGCACAGACGCGCGCGCCGAAACATAATTGGAATGAAAAGGCTGGGCATGCTACACAGGAATCAACAGGACCACAGACTATGGATCCCATCCTGTCAGCTTCTCAAAGCAATGGCGAAGAGCCAGGGCGTCTGTCAATCACGTCGATCCGAAGCAATCGCGACCTGCCCAACGATTCTCAGCGCTCCTCAGTGACGGATGCGCGGTTTTCGGAGTCTTCTCGTTCCGACCGGAGTGTCGGAGATAGCAACCTCCGCTCGTCCTCCCCTCGTGAAGGGGCTCCCGGTAACAAACGCTTTCGCATGCCGCGCTTGAAACGGCATCGCAGCCCTCTGTTTCCTTTACCTCCGAAACCAACCAATGCCCACTCGGGAATTGGCCGTGCACAAAGTCCAGCGGTTTCTAAGTCTGCTGCGGCTGATTCCATCCCAAAGTCCGAGATCTCGGATGACCAAAATCAAGATCATGTCTCTCCGCTACCATCTCCAACACGGTCGCCGGCCGGTCTGGCCTCGTCGCGGCCTCCCATTTTTCGAAAAGACTCGGCGAACTCAGCCCATTCGGCCCGCTCGACCCCCTCAAACAGGAGTCGAACGATGCCTACGTCGCGTACGAGGTCGTCTACATTAGATTCACTGGCCCATGCACAAGACAGCGGACATCCATCCCCACATCCCCTCTCTGGACGGACGTCCACTTCCACCAGTGGGCGAAAGAGCTTTGGAGACATCTTCAGTATCCCGCAGCGGTTCAGGCAGAATTCCGATTCCCCAGTTGGGCGGAATGGGTCCCCAGGCGCTAAAGGCTTGGGAACACCCCCTTCGAAGCTTAGCTTGATATCGTACCCTGAGCGACAAGAGGATGATACTCCAGCAACATATCTTACTAGACTGGAAGAGAGTATCCCTAGGAGCGTGATTGCCGGCGTCCTGGCTCAATCAAACGATGACTTTTATAAAACCGCCTTGCGAAAGTATATGAGAGGGTTCTCGTTCTTTGGTGATCCTATTGACATGGCTATCCGGAAACTCCTGATGGAGGTGGAATTACCAAAAGAGACGCAACAAATTGACCGCTTCATCCAAAGCTTTGCAGATAGATACCATGAATGCAATCCGGGTATCTTCGCCTCGACGGGTGCGTTGGTCATCTGTAGTTTCATTTTTCCTTCTGCCAAGACTAACTTTTGCCTTCGTATAGATCAAGCTTATTTCATCGCCTTCTCAATCTTGATTTTACACACAGATGTCTTCAACAAGAACAATAAGCGGAAAATGCAAAAACCAGACTATGTCAAGAATACTCGGGGCGAAGGCATTTCAGAGGATATTCTGGAATGTTTCTATGAGAACATCTCCTACACCCCTTTCATCCATATCGAGGACGCAACATCCAGTGGCCGACATTTCGCAAAGTCTCGCCGGCCGCTGTTGAAAGCTACCAGCACAGACCATCTGGCCCGTTCCACCAAGGAACCAGTTGATCCCTATACGTTGATAATGGACGGAAAGCTCGACTCTCTACGCCCAAGCCTGAAGGATGTCATGAACTTGGAGGACACCTATCGTTGTGATGGAACTGATGGGCCGGCAGATATTGATAGTCTCCATACCGCATTTGCTAAAACTGGTGCTCTGCAGATTGTGTCTCCACGTTCTAGGCCGGACGCGTTTATGCCGTCTAGTATCGATAATCCAGCCGACTCTAATCCCGGGCTGGTAGATATCAAAATTGCTAAAGTTGGATTGCTCTGGCGAAAGGATCCGAAGAAGAAGCGAGCTAGATCTCCGTGGCAAGAATGGGGTGCTCTGCTCACACTCTCGCAGCTCTACTTTTTCAAGGATGTAGCATGGGTAAAGTCTCTGATGGCTCAACACGAAACCCATGTGAAGGAAGGCCGTCGTCGAGCGGTGGTTTTCAAGCCACCTCTCACCGAATTCAAACCGGACGGTATCATGTCGACTGATGACGCTGTGGCCTTGCTAGATTCAGGTTATAAAAAACATAAACATGCCTTTGTCTTTGTCCGCCACAGCGCTCTGGAGGAAGTGTTTTTGGCCAATACTGAGGCCGATATGAACGACTGGCTAGCAAAGCTCAATTACGCTGCGACTTTCCGTACAACTGGGGTCAGAACGAAGGGAATGATTGCTACCAATTATGACGCACAGCGGAACCGAATGAGCCGTCGGGGCTCGACTCAGTCGAGTCGCTCGCATCTCTCTATGGACAAAGAACCGCCGTCTCCAAACCCTGATACCGACGTGGCCGAGGAGCTGGTAATAGCCCGCCAGCAGCTTATACGCCAAAAGGTCCGAGAGGCTAACGAGAAACTTTTCGTTGGACAACGGCAGCTTGATGATCTCTTGCGAAACGCCAGGCACCTGCAAGTTCTGACACCTGTACACTCCAGGGCTAGAGAGCATGTTATCATGGCTGCAGGGCGCATGGCTGCGAAACTCAAGTGGGTCCGGCAGGATATTTGGCGCACTAAGTGCTACAGGGAGGTACTTGTTCGAGATTTGGGTGACGCATTAGATGAAGAAAAGCCTTTCGCAGAGCGCAAACTGCACTTGCAGATACCGACAACCTCTGTTACTTCGCAACCAGAGACCTTGGATGGAGTAGGAACTGAAAAAGTAACATCTCCGATAGAGGATGACCTGTCTCCACATCCAGAGCCTAGCAGACCTCAATCGGTTTATAAAACTCCACCGTCACAATCTACTTCTCCTGATGACCGGAGACCGAGTATACCGGCTTCCTTCGCTTCATTTGAAGTCGCTTCTCGTGCTGGTAGACAACTTTCTTCAGGTAATACAGAGGAACGCGCGAAGTCTTACTCGCCTCATCCAGCAAGTAGGCTGGAACGCGAAGCATCCGTGCTTAGCGCTGTCAGTAAGTTGGATGTTGCTAGTTTAGGGTCCCGAGCCTCCAAGGTCACTGCTCCCGGAAGTGTAGATGATACCGAAGAGCGCCTGCTCCGTGAAACTGGTTTGCTAGAAGTCGGTAGCTCTCCTCAAGCACGAAAGCAATCATCAGCTACCAATGGAAGTGAGACCGATCAGAAACCAGAAGACTCTCAAGGCGCGTTTCAAGGGGAGAGAGCTAGTCGTATCCGTCGCAGCCTTCATCGTACCCTTCGGGATTCTTCTGGTGGTCATCATCTACATTACCCTCGGAGCAAGAAGTCTCGAGACTCAGGGTTCAGTATGGCGACGCTCGATGATGGCCAGAAACCACAACAAGGCGAAGGGTTATCACGGAAATCAACCAGCTTTACTGTGCATGGCAAGAAGGCATCGATTGTGACTTTCGGATCTGAGTGGCAGAACATGCCACCGGAGGAACGCCTCAAACTACGAAAGCCAACCCCATCGGAAGAGCCAAGGACATCTAATCCAGAGCTAGCTAGTAGTGCAGGCTCTATCGCTTCAGAGTCATTTTACCCTGGAACCCCACGCCCTTTGCGAAACGGGAGTGTCGCTACTAGAGGAAGCGCACGCAGCCCTGATGAGCCCTGGAATCCAGCAGAAACAGCCGGAATCTTATATCGCGATGACAAAGCCAAGAGCGATGCTGCTATTGGTCTAACCTCGCTTCCAGAGCCAGGTGATATGTCAGTGTCGCCCGTCTCGTCCTTTAAAGAGCCAGGTGCCTCGTTCAATGAAGACACCTCACCTCGTTCGATAAATGACGACCACAATAGCGCCAAGGAGAACACTACGCCGGGGATGCAGCCTAGTCCACCGGAACAGGCTGTGAACGCTTGATTTTTGCAGTTATCCAAATTTCCTTTTACTTTCATGACTCTATACCCATTTCAATTTCCTTTCTTTCCACGTGCGTCTGGTCTCTTCATTGAAAACGACAATTTTTGGAAAAGCTTTACGAACCGTCTTCTATCGCGTCAGCGTTCTTGATATGCTTCTTCAGGCTTGGCAAAAAAGCTAATGAGATGTCTTTCATTTGGTCAGCACATGGAGGAGCACCTATTCTCCCATCTACGTCTCCTTTCCACGCCATATCCTCACTTTTTTCTTTCATTCTCTTCCAAATTTGTTTCATAGACTAGCGGAGGCCATCACATCCGCACCGACATGACTTCCCACTTTTTCTTAATTGTCTGGTTTTGTATAGGGCCCAGGGACATGTGCTTAGGGTGGGTGGCAGTCAGTCTTTTATTGTTTTCTTTTCTTTCCTTTTCTCTCTCTCTCTTTTTTTTTTCCTACTGAGATACCATATATCATCCGGATGTTTGGCGTGACGGGCATTGGAAGAGCGAGCATTAGCCAGCATGGGCAATAAGAACATGTAAAACCTTTGAAGAGACCATTGAAATAGAAATTCATAGCATGAATGCGTATCTTGCCTGAATATCCTGGCCGTTGCCTAATAACGTCTCTGCACGCACCACACCACACCCAATAGCGCCGAGAACATAACACGTCCTGTCCTTCACAGCAACAACCACATCACTTCTGTCCCCTTTCACCACATACCGTCATCCCATCCCAACATCTCTTTCCCAATGTTGCCTGTCGAGACACTCCCATCCTTTTCTCTCTCCATCCCCGAAAACAAAGATAAAGAGGAATACACAGAGCAAAGATTGTTTCCCCTCTTCCTCTTTGACTGGGCTCTTTTCGTTTTGGTCTTCCTGGCCGTCAGATACTTTCTCTTCAAGCTGAACTTGACAAGAGCCAAAAGAATACAGTGAGTTGTGCTTTCTCTTTGTCTTTGGTCTCATGTCTGTCCACTGTCGGGCCTCGCCAGACAAGGACAGTTTCCTTTGTTTACATGGTCCTTTCTTTCGTCACAATCTACTGTGTGAACACAACAGAGTTATTTTGCCTAAGAACACCATTTGTCTTTCTTTTTATTTATATTGTTGTTCGATGGAATGTTCACTGATTGGTATAGTCCTCACAAGTTGCATGTCATGGAACACAAGTTGTTAGGTTATGAGCCGTCACGTGAGGGTGAATCATGCGAGTGTGAGTATCAGTATATGGATAAGAAACAAGAGAACAGTGCTAATCGAGGGTGTAGATACATGTGATATTTGTCAGGAAAGACTCGGGATTCTAAACCCGCCACAAGACTCCGAAGGAGTGTACTTTGCACCGTTCGATACTATGGTTGAGTTTGCGGGTGTCTTCAGCTCCGACGAAACCAAGGCCAAGGAGTATACCTTTGTGGAGTCGCTGGAACAGCGGTTTATTAGTTGCGGCATTGGCGTAGGCCTCGTTACTAATAAAAACATCTCAACTGGGTGTATCGTCTTTGCGGAAGATGTGGCCGCGACTACCGAAGCTGAGTTTGCGGCTTGTCAAGGTCCGAAAGAGGTCAATGCGATGCTGGGCGTGAAAGCTCGTGCTATGGGGCCTGAGTGGCTGCGTAAGATTCTGACTCTTCCTCGAACCGGGAATCAGGATATGGGCGTGTTTGCGGGCATTTGGAATTGGCATCAGCTGCCAGTTATCCTGAATGGGAAGCGCGCTGGGATTCTCGGGTTTAATCTTGCATCTGTTAATCATGCCTGTCTTCCAAACTGCACGTTGACTATTGTCAACAAGCCTCCGAAGAGTGATGGTAGCCATGAAGCCAAAGGGCGTCCGGTGATTAGACATGCCGTCGTGCACGCACTCAGGCCTATTGCGAAGGGTGAAGAAATCACAGTTGCATACTTTTACGCCAGAGGACGTCATACGGCAAGGGAGTTGTTCTCCAAAGCCGAGTTCGGCTTTTTCTGCTTATGTAGGTTGTGTGCGCAGCCCAACGATGTGGTCGAAGATGCCTTAGATTGCTACTGGAAAGTTGAGCGCTTCTTGAACGAAACCCAGACTGGGGCTCTGTTGCCTGCGACGGCATTCCAGGCTGCGCAGGCAGTGATCGGTAAACTTGTGGATATCCAAGTTCGTGACGCTCGAATTGTGATGCTATGGACAAAATGCGCCATTGTCGCGGGCTTCCATTCAGATGTTGCACGAGCAATGTGTTTCCTTGCCAAGGCTTGCAAAATGCTTGGTATTCTAGAGGGGAGCACTGGTGTCTTGTATCGACAAATTCGTAGATGGCACGAAACACCCACGTTGCTGCCAGGTTTCGGGGCGACCACACGAGGATTATCCACGGCTACAGAAGGCCGACTGATGGTAAATGAACTCGTCGCAGAGGATGTCCTTTTCATGACGATAGCAGAGGCGCACGAGTATATCCGTATAGCGAGATATCACCAACTATCCACCCCTATGCTCAAGGCGGGAGACGCTAGGTATCTGAATATACCTAGACCAGCTACCGAGCAAGATAGGGCACAGGAAATGCCTGAAGCGCGCGCCCTATCGCAAGGTCAGGGGCCAATCGCGCCGAAGAGCGCTTCCAGACGCGGAGGTAGCTCTAACGCGAGAAAGGCCAAGAAGCGTCTCAACAGTGATGGCTCAACCCGAGGATCTCAAGTGTTCAAGGACAACAAGCAAGCATCCACTGAGGGATCGTCGTCGCCTGAGATGTGCACGGACCGCGATTGGGATATGTTGGATATGGCCAATGAGGTTATGGCCGACAATCCAGATATGTTCCCGGAATATCGTCCCCGTCCTCCTACCACCAAGCCTAAGAAGAAGTCAAAAGGGAAGGAGGATGGTGAGAATACCCCAATCGTAAAGGATGTCAGCGCAGAGAAAAAGGTGGCGGTCAAGAAGGGAGAGGCACTTTTTCCCGAATCAGTCACGGGCTCCGAGTGAACACACCACCGAGAAGATGGTACCTCATCTGTCTCGGTGGTGTGTTGGTGTGTTATGGAAGTATACTGAATATCCCGATTTGGAGATGTGAATGGATGCGGAGAAAACGTGACAGTGATTATGTCATGCCTCATGATTTCTCCAATTTTATTTTCATTTCATTTTCATTTCGTTCCCTACTATTCCTGGCTTCACTTTGTCGTCATCTGTTTTCCCTAATCCGTGTTGATACATTTTCTTCCTAGCTCAGGTTAGCTCAGAGCCCGATCAATCAACCGTCAAATCTTCCCTTAGGAATACCTCCTGCTTCGCCCGCCACAATTCATTCTCCGCAGATAACAATTGCCCACTCTATGTCCCAATAAAAACACGCGACAATGGCCCATTCCAAACGCAATACCTCCCTTCCACATTTCACTTCCTACGAACGCGGCCTCCTCCGCTCACAATGGGGCACCCAACGCGGCGTCATCGGCCGCGATTCTTTTCTCCCGTTCGCTTCCTGTCGCCTCTGTCTACACCCCGCCCGAGCACCCGTAGTCGCCTGCGCAACAAACGGTGATATATTTTGTCGCGAATGCGCCATTAACGACCTCCTTGCTCAGCGACAGGAGATTAAGCGACTCGACCGAGAACGAGAGGAGGCCAAAAAGCGGCTTGCAGAGGATGATGAGCGGACGTTGGAAGAAGCGCGCGAGCGGGAACTGCGAGAGTTTGAGCTGGTCAGTATGGGGCTGGAGGTAGCAAAGCACAAATCGTCTGGTCAAGCGCAAAACGATAATCACAAAAAGCGGAAGGCAGAGGAGGCTACGGAGGCATTGGCTGCTTTTAAGGCGAGAGAAATTGAAGTAGATGGCAAGCGGAAGAAGGTGTTTGAGCTGGATGAGAAGGAGATGGCACGAGTGGCTCGGGAGGAGCAGGAGCGGCTCAAACAGGAACTGAAGAAAGAAAAGGTATACTTCAAAAGAAATCACAAGTTGCTCTGGGAATGCTCTGCTGACAGATAATAATCACCAGTCGGAATCCAGCAAATCTGCTTTACCCTCGTTCTGGGTCCCTTCGCTCACTCCCAATACGGATCCGAATGAGATCGCGGCCAATAAGGCCGTCAAATCGGCTCCTGTTTGCCCCGGCTCGACAGATGAACATCGCCATAGCTATTCACTGAAGTCGCTGGTCGACGTGCATTTCACCGAGGATAAAACATCTGATGGCTCAATGGCGCGGATCTGTCCGAGTTGTAAGAAGACATTGACGAATGGTCTTAAGGCGATGTGTAAGAGCAATTATCAATTCCTGACGTTTCAATTAACGGTAACCAACTAACAACTCATATCTACAGTGACCAAACCCTGTGGTCATGTAATCTGTCTCCCTTGCGTAACCAAATTCATGACACCGCACGATGCGCCAGACCCGCACGCTACCAAAGAAGAACAGGAAAAGACAGCCGCACTTCATGGATTGGTTCTATGCTATGTCTGCGAGACTGATATCACACCACGCAGTTCAGCAGATAATGGCAAAGAATCAGGGAAGAAAAAGAAAAAGGATAAGGAAACCATTAAGCCCGGACTGGTGGAAATTAGTTCGGAAGGAACTGGGTTTGCAGGGCGTGGAGGAAATGTAGCCACTAAAACTGGTGTTGCTTTTCAATGTTGAACTGGCTAAAGCTACATAGGGTATGGAGTAATAGTTACGAGGGTATACTATATATAATATATTTGGCATGGATAGACCATGCGAAATAATGTTATAAAGAAAAGACATAAATACAAGGTTCGACGTACATGCAACCTGTGAACGCCTGGACTATAAACCAAGTATAAACCCGAAATGACGGCATCTAAATTTATGTAGATCGTTTCTTATGCAGAAGGATGATCCCCTTTTCTCCCTCAAGGAAAATCTAGTTCCGCTTGGCCGAGTTATTGAACTCGCGCACGATAACGTCACACTTGACCTCCTGGCAGAGACGCTTGCGACGGTTCGCCTCCAACTTGGAAACAAACTCCAGGCCGCTAGCGCGCTCGACCACCTCAACCGGCACCTCAAACTCGGTCAACTTCTTCTCGTTGGGGATACGGGCATTAGGCAAGACAAATGCGCCCAGGGCGACCTTTCCAGTAGGTGAGACAGGGCCCTCCTCCGCGTAGATCACCTTATAGAAGTGTGTCGGCACGGCAACATTAGGCGGGTTACCAATTACCTCGTAGGAAACACGCCATTTACCATCTGAGTCACGGTGGGGGAGATACAGAGGACCGGTAACGATCCGGACGGAGGGATACTTCTTAGCCAGGTTGCGGCCGAACTCCTCGAAATGCGCCCAGTAGTCCCGGTTGAATCCCTCGCCCACCTGGGGACACATGTTTGTCAAGGAAAATGTAGCATCCATCGCTTCCTGTGACCATTTTGCGTCGGCAGCGGGCACTTGATGGCCTCGATCGTAACCGGAACGGAAGTAGTCGGCCAGTTTGGCGCGGAAGGCGGCGGGGATGGTAGTGTCTTCGTAGAAGGTGCTGTGTTTGCGGTCTGCGTTTTTCGTCGCCAGTGAGGCAGGCGTGATGTGCTCAGCTACCCAAGCAGGGTTGCGCGTCCGACGGTCGTATGCACCAGCCAGGGGAGCTGAAAGCAAGGTGTCGGCGATAGGACCGGGGAAGCCATATTGGTAGATGCCGGAGGGGTCGACGGGCCCGGCGAGGGATTTGGCAGCGAGCGAGGGTGCGGCCGGTTGGGTTGGGACATGTGTAGTGGAGGTAAAAGATGTAGATGGGGGAAGCTTCTGTTGTTGTTGTTGTTCTTGCCGCTGTTGTTGCTGCTGTTGTTGCTGCTGTGGCCGGGAGGAGCTCGAATAAAGTAGTGCTGTAAGGCCCGCTCCGGTGGCCGCACTTGCCGCAGCAATTGCGGCGAAAGTCGCCTTGGACATAGCGTGAAGAGCTATGAGGAAGGAGGAAAGGGACAGGGGGCCCAGAGAAGAGGGTTTTAAAAAGGAAGACGAGGTCGGGGTTGGAGATGAAGAAAGTCTGGGGGAAAAAAAGAGTCAAATTGAAGCTAAAGTAGTTGGCCAATCAGGAGGCCACAGATCAGATGATGTCCAGGGACCAGCCTCAGGTACCAAACGGTCCACCTCGCGCCGAGGAGATTGCTATCATTGTCGTATATTTCCAACAATATGTCTTTGAGATGGCGGAGAACATGAGTGAATGATAAATATCGATGGAGGGGGCGTTCTTTTATGTCTGTGTGCTACCCGTGATAAATTTGTGATCGGATGACCACAGCAGGTGAGCACTCCAACTGATGGGAAAGGACTCAAGTACTACTACATACATACAAGGAATGTTACTCGTGATATAATACCTCACAGACATTCCAGGCGATACAAGTATATCCGGGGATCTCAGTAAAACATTGAAAGTTGGATACGTTGCGCTCTTTACTTGTTTGAATGTTCGGAAATAAATTCCTGAACCCGGACACCTCTTTTCCAGTCGGACTACATCTGACCGAACTTGGGGTAAGCCAATGGTTTCTTTTTATGACAACTAACCATTAACACTCCCGGTCCTGCCGTTAAGCGATAGACCGTATCGAGGTCTTTCTGATAGATCAGATTGGCTACTTGCCAATAGCAGAGATTAGTGCGAAACGCCATCACAGCCTCCCGGAGAATTTGCCAACGAGATCTGCATTTCACAAATTTATGAAATCAGTTCAGCATTCCTGCTCAGCCACAATCCACCTTTCCGTCGGATTATATGGAGAATGCAGATAGGCGATGGCTGCTCGCGCATTGTGACTTTGAAGAGTATAGTTATATAGCCTCTTCGTCGATATTCAGATCTGGACTGCCTCTTTGAACATCTTTCTGTGACCATATGCACCGTATTTAGGCCGAAAAAGAAAAGAAAGAAAATTGTGATACCACACTTCTATTTCCTCAAATGCGGGCGACCTGACACATTCTTGTTAACGTACAACGGTTCCCCAACCGCTGTCCACTGATTCAATTGACAACTTTCTCTGTCTATGTTTAAAACCTGCAGAAAGCCGTTAGACTTTGCCGGGAAACGGCGGCATTCTCGGTAGTCATATTGTGTACGGAGATAGGCCAGAACCAGAACATCTTTTCTCTAGGAGATATGATATACGCATCTATACTAAAGCTATCGGGACAGGCACAGATCAACCAGTATTGAGTCTTGTGCCTTCAATTGACAGTAAGACGTGGTGGTGTACAATAATTGGGGGCTATCCATGTACCTTCTCCAAGCGTAAGGATAGCCCTAAGTCATCCGATGGTCAATGTCACCTCAACTAGTTCAACATTGCTAGCAGCCTTTTACCGAGCATTAAATAGAGTATGATATCATGACTTGGACGGCGACCCCGAGGGAAGTGTAAAACCCTAGTAGAGCTAAAGGCAGCGTATTAAGGCCATGATTCCGAACAACAGAATTGATTTCTCATTTAAGAGGTCCACTCCTTCTAACAAGAAAGTCACTTGACTTTCCTTGAGTTGCATTCCAAACATGCAGGCAGCCATTAATTAAAATGTTCCTCGTCGATCGGCAGTTCGTGGAATCTCACAGATCCCAGAACTAAACTGCCCCCCACCTAGTTTAGTCTACCAAGGTAAAAGGGGCGGAAGGCGGTTTTGAGAAGAAAAAAAAAAGTTGCGCACAAACAAGGGGACCTTTGATAGTATGGGTTCAATTGCCGACTGCTTGGGGTTTGTCCTAAATTTTTGCCACTCAGCGGACCCGAACTCTACTGCAGGACTTTAGAGTACCAAACGAAACTCGCTGGATTTCTCCCTGGGCTTAGAATTTCCAACCCTGAGATGTAATGTAATGGGGAATGGTCATACTGGACGGGTACTAGTAGCACACAGACATTCCGTTACTGTATTTCTATAACTCAGTATATGTCGCAGTGTCCACTATGAAGCCTTGTTCCATAACTCCTTGCCTAACTTCTCTAGATCAGCAAATAGTTCGAGCAATCCTAACCCAGGGCACACTATAACTAGACTTCTTTATGACAAGGATCAGTCAATCTCCGGCCGACGCTCGGTTCCGAGGTTCAACTGTGGCGCAGGATCCAGGATACAGTTGTCTTGGCCGACACCAAGATAGACGAGATATTGGTTACGATCCTGCAGATCCCGGAGAAGTTACCCTGGCTTATGTACACCCTTTCCTAGCCCTAATGACATGGTGTCTTCAGGGTGGCAGATTTGGCGTATCGTACAGATCTGAATCTCCGCTTGGCCCGTCCCTCAAGTACTAAAATGTAGTACTGTAACCCGTCTCACCGAGAGAGACTTTTTAGATGCTTCTTAAGGTGGGATTACAAATACTAACTTTGTTTACCCAAAAACAACCTAAGCTTTCTTTCTGGAGACAGGAAATGATAGGCCAATCCTATACTACTAGTAATTATCTTTTATACCCCTTTCTACTTTGTTTTCCTATCCTCTTTTTATTCTTTTTCCTTTTCCTTTTTTCGAGCCATCGAAGCCCCCTTACCATTCCAATTACAGACTCCAAGTAGGATGGATACCATTCCAGAAGCTCCCCGGAGGAACAAAAAGCAACGAGCTGTACTATCATGTATACCCTGCCATTTTCAAAAAATCAAAGTACATACATACCCTATGTCCCTCTCGTGGATGCGTGGTACTGATATGGGATGAGACAGTGCAATCACGTCAGACCTTGCAGTGCTTGCTGTGTAAGAGGACGACAATCGAAATGCGAATACACGGTCACTCTAGAAGACAGATGGTTCATTGAACAGGCTCAGCTTTTGCGGCGTCTACAACAACGGCGTAACTTCCTAGAACAACGGATCCTCACCCTCCTGTCGGCATCCAATAAGAAGATCCCTGTTTACCTCACGTCTCAACAGCCGGCCCCTCCCAAACAACGAGGAAAACAAAGCCGGTCGCGGAACACATCTCGAAGGAGTCCAGATACATCTACATGCCGAGAGGCTGTGCAGCCGAAACGGGAATCCGATGGTATGTGGGGATTTAATTCCCTGCACTATCACCTGTTTCAGATGTGCTGACACGCTTTAAAAAGATAAGCAACTCTGTATAGGGCATTTACAACAATACGTGCAGCCCAACAGTAGTCCACATGCTCGGTCAACGCATACGGAGCGTTCCATACAATCCCTAGTAGAAGTTTTCGGTTCCGATGTCGACGGAAACCGTATTGTGCCTTTATGGCTCGATCAAGCCATCCAGATGCGCGCCACCTCCCCTCTCCTCTGTGCGGCCATCGAAGCAACATCCTTTGTTCTTATGGGCAAGATGGCGTCCGATCCGAAGTCCACCCACGCTGGTCTCGTTCGATACACTTGTGCTTTGCGATTGGCAGGGGCGTCGCTATGCGATCCCGCGAGACGTCAACGCGATGATGTCTTTGTGGCAATAACTCTCTTTGGAATGATTGAGGTGAGCTGATTTCGTAAGCTCAAATGCCTATACATCCCGCTGATGTAGCATATAGACGTATGAAAGCAGCTCCAAGGACGCTCTCGTGAAACACCAACAGGGGGCCCTAGATCTACTATTTCTGCGAACCCCGTCGAGCCATTGCAAGGGCATCGGCCACTCGATCTATGCAGATTTACGATTATCATGGGTATTTGCTACCACTGATCGCGAGGAATGAAAGTGGAGTGAACTATTCTAGGCTAATCTTGGAATAGATTCTCTCCGCAATATCGCATAGACGAACCTTCCTGGCTCATGACGACTGGAAAACCGTACCTTGGACCGAGATGAGCCCGCGAGGTAACCTACACAGCTTGCTAGATATCGCCGCAGATATCCCGGGACTTTGGAGACAAATGGAAGGCAACTCACAGGGTTCACACCCCGCATCCCCTTGTGGTTCACCACATGGGTTTGAACCCACCCTCGAGGAGCAAGCAATGAATGTAATTCAACATTTACAAGAGTGGAGGGAAGCGCAAACGGCTGACGCTCTACCCGATCCTGCCGAAGCCCTCTTTACCGTCATGGACGAGTTTCCGGTATTCCTTATACAGGATTCCGTATCGGGAACCCACCGACCACGAGACCTGGTTTACCCTAATGTTGACGCCTGTGCGACAACAGTTTCTTACTGGGCCTTTCACCTCGCGGTCCCAACAGGAGTATCGCCAACCTGGCGCTACCAGTATGCCTCTAATATCTGCCGCAGTATGCGGTTCTGCGTGCAGAATTTCCCATTTGCCTTAGTCTGTTTGATTCGGTTTGCACTGAAAGTTGTCTGTGATGCTTTCTCTGCTGACAGTATTGAACGTCAGTTTCTGAGAAAACTAGCCGATTACTTCTATCAAAAGTATCAGTTCACTATCCTAGACTGAAGAATCAAGATACAAGCCAAAGAGATATCCTTGCTACGAGCAATTATGTGAACATGAACCATTGTATAATACATCTATTAGCCCATAGCATTTGAGAGCGAAATTGAAGGAAAATGACCTATACTATACAAAAGAACCATATGGAATATGCTCCATTTTTCTCTTATTTTTTTTCTCTTTTGTTTCACCGGCCAAATAAACGTCCTATCAGTCTCCATTATTTTTCACATGTTTTAGTCCCACAGTTACATATCATCCAACGCTCAGTGATCCTGAAATAAGTAATTTCCAAAGTTCAGTTCCTGGATAATGAACCCATCGTTTACCGAGTAGGAAAAGGGTCGATATCCTTCCTACGGTCCGAGATGGGTCTATGAGACAATAACATGCTCAGTACGTGCGTCTCCAGACATTCCCCAGCCAGCCACCTTCCTCTTGAAACAGTCCTCGATGGGGAACTTGATCATCAGCACCGCCACAGTGGCCTCTTCACTCGGGCTGGATCCGTCGGATAAGTAACCAGAAATGGGCTGTAGATCCGGTGGCAAACTATCGCTTGGCCACAGAAACCGTTGGAAAGCCACAGTTTCGATCTCGTTGGGAATGCTATCCTTCCTTCTCATTTGCTACCATTGTTCCCCTTCAGTCTTCAGCCTCCAGGGCTGAAATTAAATGGATGTTACTAGTGGTAGACACAGATCCAGACCCTGCTTCCGATAGCCCTCAATTTCCACAATCCCTTAGTGTTCAACTGCTCACGAGCCACCTGAATGGGTTCATGCAAGATTCCAGGTAAAAAATAAATAAATAAATAAAAAGGAGGTAAAAAAAGATTTTTTAAGGAAAATAAAGAAAGAAAAATGCCACATGGTTAGGAGTTAATCGGAGCCAACTACTTGGCATACCATAGTATGCCAATTTATTATTTTTCTGTCTCATGCATCCGGCCTTATTCGACGGTGTCTGCATGATATACGGGCTTTGAACCCCACCCAAGCAAAAGCTACCAGGAAAGGAAATGGCATGATGATAGATGCCTATTCGAGCTGCTACCAACATATCTATCTTCCCATTCTTTGGTTCGAGGCTCGTGCGTTGCGTGGGGTTCGCTAGAGTTAGATAGTGATTACCGGGTCAAGGTTGTTTGCGTCTTGCCTGCTCTTTGCTTACTGATATACTGTCTTCTCATCATGAGCATAGTGTTCTCACCCTGGTTTCGTGTAGTATTATGATGCTACACTTGGACGTGCCGTTGCTTTTCCCAGTACAGTTCCTGTCGCTATGAATGCCAGTTTGGAGTCTCCGTCCTCCTCGTCTGGGGCCCCTCGGACGGAGAAGAAGAAAAGGCCGATCTATGCTTGCCTTCCATGTCATAAGCGGAGAGTCAAGGTAAGTAGGCCCTAATACCCCTTCCACACAGGTCCCAGAGAACCCTATGTCTCTTTACGCTGAAGAGTGAACGCTGACCGGTATGTCCCTGCCTATAGTGCGATCACCTCAAGCCGTGCACGCCCTGCTGCCTCAGAGGAACCCCTTCGCAGTGCGAATTCACAGAGGAAGGTAGCAGTGCACATATGCTGCAGTCAGATCTGATCAAGAGTCTTACGGAAGAATGCGCTTATTTGGAAAGCAGGCTCGCCGAGCTAGAGTCATTAGAGCAGAACTCGCAGCCCTCTGAGAAGAAGGGGTGTAAGTATTAGCATATACCGGTTCTGTGAAAGAGTATGGACTGACAATTCCGAGAACGAGATGCCCTACATCTCAAAACACTATCTACTTAATTTCTATGGATTAGGGTTCCTTTGGTGACTTCTGGTGACTGGTTTTCGGGACATGGGGTATACGGTTCCGCTGAGGGTGGATTTGGCAGGGCTTCGGTACGAGACAGGATTGGGTATAGGTATGGGTATGGGCAAGGGACTATATACATCTGGTTGCATTTGCTATGTAGTATTTGATGATTCTGTGAATGTACTCTGAGCGTATGGTGTTAATTGGATTATTTTCAATTGGGTAGATGTAGTAGGATCGACCTTTTCCTAAATCAGACTCGACTTTCACTATTTTCTTGATACCCGGATGCTGGCTATATGCACATCTACAAGAATTCAACTTCTTTAGCCCCCAGAAGACCTTCTCTCTCTCTCTCTCTCTCTTTCTTTCTTTCGCCTAGTTTCCCAAGATCAATTCCACCATCCCCCCCCCCCCAAACAATCCGCCAATACTGTTGAACTATACCGACCTTCAACTATGGTCTTTACATACAGCATACGGAGTTCAAAACTGACATATTCCCCTTTTTCCCAAGCCATATCCGAATACCACCCTAGTCATGTCTCTGACCGCCAATAATACATCCCTAATTCGAACCAAATAGAGGGTAATTAGTCTGATTCAAGTATCCCGCTGCAGCTAAGTCCTAAGTTCAAACTCTATCGGCCATCTGCTGACCTAGCGCATGAACTACAGTAAGGGGTACCAGTCCTTAGGGAAGACCAATACGAGGCTGATATTCTGTATACGGTGGACCACTGGGATGAGTGGGTTCTTTCGTTTGGGTTGGTTCCGGCAATATACTCTGTGTGTGTGTGTGTGTGTGTGGGTGGGTGGGTGGGTGGTTATGGTATATATTTGCATCTATGTTTAGTATGTGGTTTGGGTCTGTTGGGGTTAGTTAGCATTGGAATATGGTTTGTGCAGTGAAGGGTTGGTGGAGAGGGTGAGGGCGAGGGTTATTCTTCTGTTCTTTATCTACTAGGCCTTGACTCTGTGGATAGAATATGACGAATGTTGCTTTCACGGCCGGACATTTTGCCTTGATGACGCTTTCATGGGTATGTGAGGCAAGATGCGGATTTGATAGCTTGCCATCGGAGATTGAGCATCTGTCTATCACACAATGGTGATGAGGGAAATATCACACAGATATGAGGCAGCCAACCCAATATTCTAGGCATGAGAAGGAGCCCAGGAAGTTAGCTTGTGAGATTCTGTTTGAGCCTGATCATCTTGATGAAGCACCTTTTCCGAGTCTAAGGAGCACAAGCAGTTCAATCACGTTCCAGAGGACGAATCATGATTTCATATGAAATTCTTATGCTTTTACCAATGCTACACAAGAGTCAACGCTTCACTCCAGCCTCGGATCTTGGATATAAGGACCCCAGTGTGCTCCCATGGGAACAAGACGATAACTTCTTCCGTCGAGTCAGGTGCATCGATCATATATCATGGTTTTCAAAACAGCCCTAGGAATTTTCCACCAGTTCTGCGGCCGTATCCTTTACTAGATACCTCAGCTTCATACCCAACGGACTTATCGTGTGCGAGACTCGCGAGCGAATGAATTAGACAGCTCGCAGCCATCCAGAGACGGTACTTCACGACGAAGACGGCGGTTATTATCTGAAATACCTGGACGACACCCCGGTGGCTATTGCCAGAGACTCACTGTGTCCAGAGCTGAATAGGTCGTAAATTCGACGCCGGTACGAATGCCTACGCTCGTCGCTGTTGCTTTAGCACGGTCGTCTGTATTACGTACAGAGACTGTCATATATGTTCTTCTCGTCAGAATTGCCTTTGAGGCTTTGCTGTGGCTTGAGGATACTGGGCTGGGCCGCTTTGAGTGGCTTGGGAGAGTGGTCAGGATGCGAGTCATACTGATCGCCAGGTACTGTTGAAGTCTGTTTGGTCCCTCCCTGCATTGGGTTTTTAGTTTTCTTTTTCCGTTCTTTTATTATTAATCCTATTAATCTTATTCTCCGTGTTTGTTTTTCTATTTTATGGACTTTGATGATGAAGTACTCAGCGTCTGGGATAAGAATTGCTTAAAGTCTCTCTAGGATGGTCAAGAATAGTTATCCTAATGATAAGAACACCCTCTCCCTTGAGACAGGCGCAGCAAAAGGTTTGATCTAGATAACTGTTGACAGCTTGTTGAATTTTCTATTCATTTTGTACCATTTACAAATGGTCGAACTTTTCTAGAAATCGATACTCAAGACTTTGCGTAATTTCAACAGGATTGCTCCCCGCACGATGGTCGATGGATGTATGTACTTTGATCTAATAGTCAAGAGTGAGGCCACCAATGAGAGCACGGGGTTAACAAATTCATAGTATTAAGGCTTGGCCCCTTTATTTATTAATGTTTGCTTTAATCAGCGCCTCTAGTCAATCTACTCGCAATCGATCATACAATCAAGTAGCCATGCTAATGTGTACCTATGAGAGTGTCTCACTCGTTACACATTTATATACTGTTGAACCTTTGTCAAGGATGCTTACACTGTACAAACAAAAACACTATATGCGGAAACCTCCGCGGAATTTGTCAAGCTGGCATTATGGAAGCTGAAAAAGCGATCAATATCATCAAATACAATGATCATGGTCGTGGAACTGAATGTGAAGAAGATAGGGCATGATTCCCGATGAGGGATAGAAGGGGAAAGCGCGTGACATCACCCACCCGCAAGGTCCTCGGATCGTTGCCCTTTTTAATTTCCTCCGCTCCGCCCTTCTTCCTTTTCTCCACATTAGATTCATTAGATACCATACCATGGCCGCCAGCAATGATGTTCGCGGTTGGATTATGAGCGGCGTCTCTGGCGTGGGTAAGTCGATCTTTACTTCCTATATCGCTTCACTTGTTTGCTCCTTCTAGCTGACCAATTTCAGCCTGCATCCTAGGGTCCGCCTTCATTTGTGTTGACGTCCTATTCCGACACTTCTCCAAAGGAAAAGGCTTCCAAATCGTGAACAACAATGCCTTTCTGTCGGCTTCATTATGTCTTAGCGCAGGAGTGATGGTAATTTGGCTTCCTTCCTGTTTTCTAGATTTAAACCCGACCATTTCTGATAATACTAGCTCTTCACTTCTCTCTATAGCATGCTTCCTACCTCTCAAGAGTACCTCACCCGTGCCGGATGGTCCCCCGCCGTCGCTGCCTACTCGCTTATCGGTCTTTTTCTGGCCGGCGCCATTATTATTCGTCTTCTCTCTGCATTTATTCATCGTTATATCCCATCCCACGTCGTCGGATGTGCTCATACTCATGAGGGGGGCGCAAATTCTGCCGACCCAGAGCGTGGTGACGGTCACCACCACGCACATCACTCGGAAGGCCACCATGGCTGGTCCGAACGAACTCCACTATTAATGCGAGCAAGCAAATCTAGTCCTGCGGTCCCACACGCTGGATCTGAGGAAATACCCGAATCTGTCGTTTTTCCTGCCGGACCTTGGCGCGTACGCCTGGGCCGGCGCTTAAGTCGGCTGGTGGGCATTAAAACACAGTGTGACAAAAACGGTCCCTGCTATGGGTTTTCGCAGACATGTGGTCATGAATGCTCGAAGACCCTCGTCGCTCCCGAGATATCTGTCGCAGACGACGCCAATGTCCACACCATTCCCGTGCATGTGGACTTAGAACGAGCGGATGTGTCCAACCGCACCCTTCACCAACCGGGAGACTCATCATCCTCCACCCCTCGTAATGAACTTCCTGAATACCCGACCTCATCTGCACATGAGGCAGATGATGCGCAGAAAATACCAGGCCCTGGGAGCCGACATCATCACCATGTACCGCAAAATGCGTTTCTGTCTATCGGTCTGCAAACCTCGATAGCGATTGCCCTTCACAAATTGCCTGAGGGCTTCATTACCTATGCCACCAATCATGCAAGTCCCAAACTCGGGTTGACTGTCTTTCTTGCTCTTTTCATTCATAATATCAGCGAAGGCTTTGCCATGGCATTGCCTCTCTACCTTGCCCTTCATTCGCGAGGCAAGGCAATTTTCTGGTCCAGCCTTCTAGGGGGTGTCAGCCAGCCAGCCGGCGCAGGGCTAGCGGTCCTTTGGATCTGGGGTGCTGGGCGAAGCGGTAGTCCGGATGGCGAGACTGACCCATCCTGGGCCGTGTATGGAGGCATGTTTGCTGCTACGGCAGGCGTAATGACCTCTGTCGCCCTGCAGTTGTTCAGCGAAGGATTGGGACTAACCCACAATCGGGGCATGTCGATCGGTTTTGCCATCGCGGGAATGGGTATAATGGGCATCAGCTTTGCCCTGACTGCATGATTTTCCATTATTAGCCTGGCGTTCGTTTGGCATAACTTGGTATTTGATTTTGGATCATTATAAACACCGCGCATCTCCATAGATAAAAAGGGAGGCCAAAGCGAAGCATCTGGGAGTTTAATCCTTTTTCACGAATGTGCAACGAGTGATGATTATGGTTTCGGGTTTATGATACGTCTTGCCTATTCGCTGTAATTCAATTTATTACTTACCGAAGATATAACTTGCGCTTGCTTCACTCTGCGGTTGTTCTCCATTCAAGGTGTCATTGTAGAAAGCCAAAATATAACGAGATATCGGAACCCTTTGTTAGATCCCAGCTTTGTGAGGCTATTCGGATGTATTGTGCTTGAGCAGAGGTTGCTGCTTCGTGACTGAGCGAGTTGCATGCCTCGCATAGCGGTCGTAGGATTCCTATGCTTTGGAATGTCTCTCGGAGTTATCCTGATGGCAGAGACATCAGGCGGTCGCTCGGCATTGATTGATGAGATGGAATTCTCGGGGGAGTTTGAGTGATAAACATCCTCTGTCAATTGGTTAGTGGTGTGGGATGTATTTTCTCTTCGATGAGAATATGTTGCTGGAGATAGATAGGTGATGCATCGGATATAGGATGCGAAAGTGGTGGGGAATTTACTTGACGTGAAGTACAAGGGGTCATGTGCCTTAGGTAGATACGGCCCTACGGTCTAGCAGACACCTCATACAAACGAGAATAGTTAGATTAGGTTTTAGAGCTCTTAAAATGGAAAAATAAGCCATTTTCGCTATGTATCATTCATCTACTATACACATATACAATAACATGTCCAACGCCTCTGATGCAACCATGTACCCATAAGACTCCCAAATGATACGCGAATAGTAACCCCTTAAAACAGTATACAGTAGAAGGAGAAAGGAGAATTTAGGCACCCTTCCCTTTTGCAGCGGCTTCTCGTTCCCTTTTTCTCGCCAGATATCGCTCCCGTGCGCTCGAGACATCCCCCTCGGTCTTCTGGCTGCGAGTGCGCATTGCGATTTCTTTCTGCCGTGCTGCCTCGGCCGCTTCTTCCTGTCGTGCTTGTTCTTCCAGCTGTGCTGCGATCATCTCTGTTTGGCGAGCACGCTGGCCAGCACGAGCGTTCTGTTGTTCCGATTGGAACCGAGACCGGGGTGCCGAAGGGCGCGATGCTGTACCAGCTGTGGCCGCAGAGGGCTGTTGTTGCTTGGGCTTTGGCGCAACATTGAGACCAGCGGATAGCAATTGCCGCTTGTCGACAACATTTCCTTCGTCATTGACGGCAACATGGGCACCGTGCGCATTGAGCTCCTCCGCCATCTGCGCTTCTGTCTTCTCTTTGGGCTCCTCTGGTTCCCCTGGAGCTTCCCCAGCTTGCACCCGTCGAGCAGCCTCTTCCGTGGCCTTCATAACAGCTTCATGCTGCTGTTCACCCCGAGACAGCATATCCCGATAGAAATCAACCATACCAGTACCACCGTTCTGTTTCCGTCGCTCTTCCTCCTGCCTCTCCCGCTCGGCCTCCTCCTCTTCAATCTTGCGCAACTCCTCCTGCTGCTTCTTATACGCAGACGTCACAAACTTCTCCTTATCAGCGAACTCATCGCCCTCAGCCTCCCGCTCCTTGGCCAACAATCGATCCCGAGCACGCAGTTGATCGCGCTTGCGCACCTCCGCACTCCGCAACAAGGATGTCATATACCGCGGCCCCTCCCCCTTATTCTCCGCTGCCTTCTCCTTCCCTGGCTTCGCATGCAAACTCTCATACACCGCATCGTAGGAATAAATCGACGGGTCAAGCTCCTCCGCTTCCCGCGCGTGCTTCTTACTACTATGCATCGCAGCTAAATTCACATATTCCTTCTTCTCCCCATCGCCCTTCTTCGACGGCGCCGTATTCAACCCATACGAAACGCCTTTAAACCCTTCGTCCTCCTCCTCCTCATCCGCGAAAATAGATCCCTTACTCAACGGCTTCACATTCGGCTTCCCCACTGCTCCGCCGAACGGTACCTTGCGCTTTGTGGGTGGTTCGATCGTCGATGGTTTTGGCTTGGGTTTCTCTTCTAGGTCGCCAAGGGTGGAGATCTCAGTTTCTCCGGTTTTGTCTTCTTCGGTGTCCGAGTCCGAGTCGAAGATTGTTTTCTTGCGCTTTTGGCTGAGTGATACGGCGCTGGGTTTGTTTTTGGTTGGGATGTTGAGGCCGTAGGAGAGGGTTGGGGGTGGCATTGTTTTCTTGTTTTCTTTGGGAGGCTGTTCGGGGTTTGTGTTGGTGCTGGTTCGTGGTTTGGGTTTAATGAGGTTGGACCTTGTCTCCTGGTTCGGATTGTATATTGGTCACGTGGGGATTGGGGTTTATCTTATCGGCTATCGCGGGACAGTGTATATAGATACTACGGAGTATGTAGTAATGTATTTGAGGGGAGGATGGAGTATTTTAGGGTGTAATTGTGTATGGGTAGTGATGATTAGAGCGCTTGTGTCACCTCTTAATGGCTAATTAACAATTTGTTACCTGTGTTTAACCAGGGAAAAAGGCAATAGGTTCTTAGAGTATGATAGCATTTAAAAGGCAACTGAAACTGGTTATACAAAAACGTGTACGGTGTATATTAACATAAGTAACGAAATTTAATATTTTAGGTCAAAAAAGGGTATCTGTGGTCAAGTATAATTCCCCCTTGGAATTCCGTTTGAGCAAATGTGCTATTCTTCTCGGAAAATAAAAACGCCACTCGTGAACTTCTAGGTCTCATTCAGTCAGCATCGTCATCAGATATGGAGGGGCTAGAGGCCACGTACAATACACTTATCTACTAAGCCTGATGATTAATAGTGCCTAGCTGTATACAACAGTGCTACCTGTATTGATCCGGCATTACCTGCCCCGATCATGCCAGAGTGCTAGCCGACGTGTTATGCCCATGCATCGTGGACAAGTCTGCGTCGTGCGCATGATTATCTATCGCTGTGGCTTCAACACCCGCCGACTGTTGCTGCACAGATTTGGTAGCTTGCCATTTCCGCAGTGGAATAGCCAACAGGCTACTAAGGCTCGTTTGAATCCCCTGGTAGATGACCATGGGTAACATCATCCTAGTCTCAGTGGCTTCGGACAATCCCACAAACATAATCGTTGTCAATGCCACACCCATTGCCGGGGTTTTGGTGGGTACCAGATACGCCACGGCTATCGAATCTTCATGGGAGAGCCATAGCCGAGAGACAACGATAGACATGGCAAACCACACAAAATACAGCGCTATTAAGATAAGTACGACGAACACCATATTATCCGATGGAACGCCAGAGAAGGCTCCGGACTTGAAGGCACCGTCATAAGTACTCCAGATGACGGTTAGTAGTGCAAAAGAGCTCAGTTTGCTCATCTTCCATTCCCCGAATACCTTCTTCACAGGATGAGGGGACAAGCTGACTATAACTTGACCGGCCAGCTGATGATTGGAAGAGGACAAAGGAAAGTATCAGCATTAACATCCTATGCGTATGTTGAGGGCTAAGGTCTCATGAAGAGGGGTTAAGACATACTAATGGGACAAAAACCGAAAGCCCTAACTGTTTGAAGACAAATCGGTAAGTCTCAGTCACTCCTTCGGTTCCCGGTAGAATATCCAAGTACCAGGCCTTGGTTCCTGTGTATAGCTTTATCAAGGCGGTCGTCACAAATGGACCAAGGAGATTCCCAATAGTTGACTGCGCAACAGTCAAAGCTCCATTCCCGTTTGCTTTTCTTGTCATGATGGTGTTAAAAGAAATGCTTTTATATAATAGGTTGATTATCAGCGATGTTCTCCGATCAAGAGAGCTATATGGGTGGTCTTACGCCGTAGGAAGGCACCCTAAGATAATAATCCCAATCAATAGTGCCGGATCCATGAAATGCCGGTCAATTGCGCAGGCGCTGACAACACCATAGTTTATAGATGAGGTCAGGAGATAACATTGTACTTGAACGAATATATGCATCTTCCAGCGGCTCAGATTCTCTACCAAAACCTGCGTAGGAAGCGTACATCCATTGATGAAAAAAATGACGGAGACTGCCAGATAATTGACTACAGTCTGTTTTGTTCCCTGATGAGACTTTGGCACCTGCACTTGAGAGGCGAAGCTGATCAGGATGCCCATGACAATGAGAAACCATTGGTCAATCGCTAAATGCCAGATCCCAATTGCCCATCTCCATCGCTGTTTTCTGTCCCTGGAAATGGCTTCAGACCCTTTCCGCATCTCCAGGGGAGCGTACTGTTCTTCATATGATTTTCTGGAGGACTGGTTGTCTGCTACATGGTACATCACTCAGTGGGACCCCGACAGGCCAGCATTCAAGATGGGGAGCAAGGGGGAGGGAAAAGAGATCCGGATTCCAGCTGGTACTTACGATCATTCCGAGTCGTATCAGTTTGAGGCGTCATCTGGCGGTCGATCAAGACTCATAGTTATGTTTCCCCGCGGGCTGTCAGTAGGGTAGGAATATAATCTACGGAATAGACAGGAATACCCAGGTTGACTGAAATAAAATACAGGAAAGTTCTAGTTGGCAGCTAGAAGAAGGCGATCTGTGCCACTATTATACATACTCGGATATCTCTGATCTACACAATAACACTAAAGCTAGGGGGGAAACGGATCACTGGCTTGAATAGATTCCAGGGTGTTTATCATACACCACAGAGTGGAGTAGTCCCACAAAGCCGAGCCAGCGATAACATCTTACTGTTTCCCTGTATATCCGAATGCATGCAGTATGACGTTTCCATTGTTGACTCTACCAAATTTCTCCTGGGAATGGTGATCTCAAGCTTCAGATTAGGTCGCGCAACATCCTTGCGTAAGGCGAATGAGACTCCTCTTTGATACGACATGGATGGGATACAACGGATCATCGTAGACATCTTAGACCAGTTATCCCTTCTAGGAAATGAGGACGCGTTGCCAGCAATGCAGGGAGAATGCGTATCGTGTGGAGATAATAAGCCCCTAAAGTCATTAGCCACTCCAGTGACTCCACTACCGAAGCATAAAGCCAAAGAAGACATGAGTTCATGCAGCTTGCTTATAGAGACTACTGTAGGCATGTGTATATATCGTACGCGTGATGTGAATAAATTGTCAAGGGAGCCTTAGGAGAAAAGATTATGATAGCGCGAGGGGGAAAGAAAGGTTAGCCATCTATGTAATTATACATTATTTATTAAATAGGGTTCTTTATCTTATCAGTCACGTGTTTATATCCCCATTATCTACTCCCCGTCATCATCAATAGTTTCCCGCCAATACGCCGACGAAGTTGACACATACGACAAATGTCCTACTACTTCACCATCCTCTCCCCCACAGATGTTCCTTTGTTCAACATCGCCTTCGGCACCTCCAAAAGTGGTGGCGATGGAATTGCCCGCTTCCGTTTTCCGGATACCGCCCAATACATGAATCAATTCATCATTCATTCAAGTCTGGATGTTGTTGAGGAAGCTCAGTGGATGAATGGGAATATGTACGTCTTTCCTGTTCGCTTCCTGGTGGCTGGATATGATATGATCTGTCAACTAAAGCATAAGAAATGAAGGTATTTAAAGCACATCGACACCTATCCCCCGGCCTCAGCCTACATCTCCGCCTTCCTCGCTCCCTCCGGCGCCCGATTTCTCCTCCTACATCAACCGCCTCAACTTCCATCTGCGTCTACCGGAAGCGGCTCGTCCTCGCTCTTAGGATCGAGTTTCTCGGCTTCTGCCCTGGGAGGTGGAAGTTCCAGCAGAGCATCGTCCAGTTCAATCGGGGCGAACCCAACCTCGCCGCAGACCGAGGAGGCCGTCCGCCAATTCATGAACGAGGTTTACGAAAATTATGTTAAGACTGTGATGAGCCCATTCTATAGACAAGGATTAGAGATTAAGAGTCCAGTTTTTAGGTCCAGGGTTACAGCTGCGGGAAGAAAATGGCTGTAATCTCTCTATCTCCTTCCCAACTTAATACCATCTTTGCTACTTATGTCCTGTTGTTCTTTTGAGCATATTCTACTGTGTATCTTTTCTTGAGTCAATGATTAGGTTCTACTTCAAAGGCTTAATAAAACGGGGCGCACCACTGGTGACCTATTCTCCTGGGCTGTATGCGCAGGGACCGGGAGCGGCTATCTCGTACATTTTACATTCAGGAACGGAGTTTTGGCAGAAGTCGAACATTCATTGTATTACTGCTGCGAGCTTCGTATAGGGCTATTAGATGCTCGATAATCAGTTCCAGAGAAGAACACTGGGAATAAAATATAAAACTGCATCCAACGTTAAAACCAGATATGCATGCGGTGGGTGGTTGGTTCCGGCACTAATAGTATGACTCTACAGGCTCGGGTCTACCTATCCACACGTTCTAGGTGCTCTCCACCCCCAACATCTCGACTGCTCTTCCCTAATACTTGATTCTCAATAAAATAAATGATGTACCTATATAATTCGAATTCAATATCCAATCGCCAATCCCCCTTAGCAGGTCTCAGATATACATTTCTATAGTAAAATAGTGTACCAAACTACTTCACGGCTAGAAAATATATAAACAGATAGAACCCCAGCAACTAACTTTTCCCATTTTCGTACTCATGCTAATATAAGACATAAGACTATCTACACTTAGCCAACCAACCCCTCTCCCCCCAAAATTTGCGGTCGCCATAGGTAGTTGTACGTATACTCAACACTACAAGCATTCGTATTCGAGGGAATGGCTTCTACGAAATTAAAGAATGCTGAATCTGTATGAAGTATACATTCAATGCTATTTCCGGTTTTAGTTCAAAGTTTTAACTGTGAGGACTACTTTTCCTAGAAAAAGATTATACCAATTTATAGGATGATCGATTGGCTTGGCAAGGGCTGGAGTTGGCAGGAATACTGTTGCTAATTTGGGAGGTGGGACGGAGAACTACCCTAACTCCGGAGTGTATATGAGAGCAACATAACTTTCTCGAGTTGATCGAGGTAGATTTAAATGCGATCTATCTATGGATGAATAGGTAGAAGTAACCTCGATACCGAAAATGAGAACATCGAAAATGATTACACGCTATCTAGGGTAGGGTAGCGTAAGTACAAGCCCCGAGTCACATGTCACAGGTTCTAGACTGGGTTCGTACTAAGTAATCAATACTACCTAGTAATAGAGTGGAATCTTAGCAAGAATTTAGACACCACCATCAGTGTTAGCTGCATGCTAGTGTGCTACTATGCAGTGGGCTTAGTCTTACTGCAAGTATGAACCGCGTATCGAGTGTGTTCATTGGTCATTCGAAACCACAGCACCGATATCTAGTGTCTGTGTTTAGTAGTTGCATGGTTGCTAACATATGAAACAATTGCAAAAGTATTCGCAAGATAATCCCAAGGCTTGAAAACGGAGGAAAGAAAAACACGCTCAAAAAGACTTCATAACGCCCAACCAACTAATCGTCAAACTGTCATCTGAGGAGCCAGTTTCTTCACAGTGGCATTTTTAAAGTTCTCCACGGCATGGACTACATCGTCCACTTTGGCTACCGCCCCGAAGATTCCACCTTCCATCTTGATCGATTCAATCGTGCTCATATGAAGACCAGGCTCACTCGCCGCCGTGCCGTCTTCTAAGATTACGCAATCGAACCCTCGGTCATTTGCCTCGCGCATAGTGGTAGATACACACACATCGGTCGTTACTCCTGCAATAATGAGGTTCTTGATGCCTTTATTCCGGAGAAGAAGTTCGAAATCAGTGTGAGCAAAAGCCCCCCGGCCTGGTTTATCGATGACTGGTTCCCCAGGGATCGGATATAGCTCATCGATGGTGTCGTGGCCAACCTCGCCCCGGATCAGAAGACGGCCCAGTGGACCCTGGGACCCAATCCCAAGCCCAGAAGCGTTATTTCGTGAACGGTACGCCTCTCTGCTCGAAAGGGTCGATAGGTCTGGCCGATGACCTAGAACATGTTAGATACGAGAGTGGTCGGAGCTGAAGGCTATTCATGAATAGGCACATACCTTCACGTGTATGGTACACAGGAAATCCAGACGATCGGAATGTATTCAGAACATGCTGTAGCTTAGGGACAAGTGCTTGAGCAGCTGATATATCATAGCCTTGGTATTCCATGTATCCGCCTGGCGAGCAGACTATATTACATATCGTCAGCATGGAATGTCTGGGAAGGATTTTACGGGGGGAGGGAATGCATACAATCCTTTTGCATATCGATAATCACTAACGCAGTCGTATATGGTGTTAGAGTCGCGTCATGCGGCCAATCATATGGTATTGCTGCAACTTGGCCCTTTCGAACCTTGTGATGAGGAACTTGCCGAGGCTTCTCAATAACTGGGCCATGGTTATGTGTGGCATTCAGAACAGTCAGCGTCCAAATGCCAGGAGTTCCAGCTGCGACTAGCATGAAAGGACAATCCATCAACCGCGACGTTCGTCGCCGTTTCCTCGTCTCCTCGGTGAGGCCGTTGCGCGGACGATAGTGTCCGCCCCGATCGCATCGGAGCCATACCTTGGCAGTTCGCCCCGGTTTCTTTTCGGTGGGGGTACTGGAGGACTTGACTACAACATTGTACCCGTGCGCTTTTCCGTGGGCCTGCACTGCTGCTAGAAGAGACGCTCTTCATATATTGCATAGTATCAGTAGGTAACTCCACAATCAAGCCAATGCGAGGATTTGCGCCGCTGAGCTAATAGATGAAGAACGAGGATACTCACTTGTCAGGGAATGTTCCTTCTGGAGGTGGAAGGAGTTGCATTGACATCTCCGGGATATCTTGAAGATCACTCGGAGCATCGAGATTCAGGTCGGTGGGATCCGCCATGATAACAGATCGTGTGGATCTCCTCTACAAGAAAAGAGAAGGTCTGAAATGAAGTATCAGCATCATCAGCAAAGTCTCAAAGTGACAATGGAGCTTCCAGCCGGAGGGAAATAAAATCGGGACATCATAAAGCACATCAAAAGCCCGAACTAAACAAGTGCGTGGAAGCAATCCACAGTATAAGAAGTGAATCGTGCGTGGACATAGCGGACGCTCGCTGGAGACAGCCAGAAGGCGGATCTTAGTTGGCAGGGAGCGTTTGAAGCAACAGGGCCGAGCGAGCTAGCGCGAGAGAAGGGAAAACAGTGGAAGAGGAACGAACTCACCCGAGCACAACCAGAATTAGAATCGATCAGTGTTCAAACAGGCCCGAAACAAGCCAGAGGCATTGGATTGCCCCAGAGTCCGTCACTCACAGATCATCATCGGAAGACGCACAGCCGCAGGCGGTGGAATTGAAATGTCAGGGAGCTAGTCCTTATTTGGTATAGCGGTATTGATTGTTATGATTATCCGTATGGGCCGTACTGTTGTCCCGTGGACACGGCCCAGCAATCTGCTGCCCACTCAGCTGGGCTGGATAGCATCACCACATCATCTCTCCTCATAACATTGTCTACAACCCTCCTGCCCCTCTGTGAGGGACATTTAAAGGTAAGTCAAGTTGCTGAGGCTGCTTTAGTCTCAGTGGCATTTTCTTTTCTTGTTCTCTTTCTTTTGTTATCTTTTTACTGCAGTATCTCTATTTCCTTTCCCTCCCTTCGAGTTCCATTGTCGCAACCCGACTATCGCGACACCGCCTCGGCCCCTCCCACTACCACCACGAACGGACACCCAGTTGTTGACGCTGGCTCCTGTGGACGGTCTCGGACTGGATTTTGTGGAACATCCTGTATCTTTCAGCATCTCTGTTGGGTGTGTATTCCTTTAGTAGTGGCATCTTCTGACGTGGTCTGTTGGAACGTGCGCCTCCTTCTCCGGCATCACCTGCCGGCGCGGATATAATGCCATCTGCCGATGATTCCACCTCCTCTCGACTTAACGGGACTAGCTCGAGCCGGGATGAACTCACATACTATAAGAAACAGTATGAACAGCTCGAGGCAGAGTTGTCTGATTTTCAGGCCTCCAGCAGGGAATTGGAAGCGGAGCTGGAAAAGGACATTGAAGCATCCGAGAAGCGAGAGCGCCAGTTGAAGGAGAAAGTGGATAACTTGAGATACGAGGTCGATGAGTGGAAGGTGAGCTAATAGTGTACCTTCTTAAAATGCTCTCTAGAGTTGCGGGTAATGGGCTAACTTATCGCTCTACCATAGACCAAGTACAAGCAGTCCAAGGCAGAGGCCAACACCGCTCAGAACACGCTGCAGAAGGAAATAACAACACTACGAGATGCAAATAGGACCTTACAATTAAAACTTCGTGATATTGAGGTCGCGAATGATGACTATGAACGCCAGGCTCGTCATACGACTTCATCCCTGGAGGATTTGGAGTCGAAATACAATATGGCGATCGAGAGAGGTGTCTTACTAGAGGAGGAGATGAAGATCGGAGAACAGGAACGAGAGAGCCTACGAATTGAGAACCAGCGCCTTCGTTCTGAGGTTTCTGAGCTGAAGGTCGAAACCGAGATTGTACAGGAGAAACTCCGGAATGCGGAATCCCACGGAGGCCGACGCAGGAAGCCAGCTCCCTTGCACCGCACTCCGTCCACACCACAGACCCCAGAGATATTCAGTCGCTCTCCCGGGCCGTCGACTGTGTCGTCTCCAATTTTTGCTACACCCCCGATGAAAACGTCACTAATAGCCGCGACTGCCACTCCTCCCTCGCCACCGATATCCGAGTCGTCCATCAGTATGCGCAAGTCCATCACTGCTACCCCCGGTTTCCCTCGTCAAAAGGCTTCTGGTTCCGAGTCATTTGGTTCTCGATCTTTGCATGGATCCAGGACCCAAAAGCACCCTCACTCTCACTCTCGTCCAACCTCGTTCGCGTATAGTAATGGTCGCTCAGCTTCATCTGTTACTTCCCGCGCCAGCCTATCCAAGCCCAGTCCCAGTTTTTCGAAGCCCAGCCCGAGCCTTTCCCGATCCACCAGCAATAGCAATAGCACTCAGTCGACTGTGATACCCAAGTCTGGGTCCTTATATCAAATCCGTGGCCTGATTGGCAAAATGCAGAAACTCGAAGAAAGGGTTCAGTCGGCCAAATCCAAGCTCCCGGCTCCCTCCGATTCTCCGTCTCGGGTCTCTTCTCGCTCCGGTTCAATAGTTGGCGAGAGTCCTGTTGCTTCCACGATCACGGTTCGCAGAGAACCCCGAAAACGGTTAAGCGGCAGCAGCTTTGGCTCCTCGGCTCACGGCGACGGTATCTCATCTTATGTCTCAACTAGTCGACCGTCGTTCAGCGTTCGTACCCAGGGGGACAGTCGGCCGAGCAGCCGTACGAGCTACTCTAGTTCATTCAGTCACAGCACCCACCCCAGCATTACACCATCGACTCGGCCTGAAAGTCGCCAGAGTCGGACCAAAACACCGCTGGGACATTATTCCACGAACCCCATCACTGAAAGTCGGCGGCCACGGTCGTCACTCAGCAATTCAGCGGGACAAAATGTTCCAGTAAACGGCATGTCTCATATTGACGAAGATGAGGATCTCTCCATCCACATGTCCGTCCAGGCAAAGATCAATGAAGTCCGCGAAACTCGTCTCCCTTCGTTTTCCGCCGCCAATGGGCTCAAGAAGCGCACGCCTAGCGGAATTCCCTCCATCCCTGCTCCTCGAAGCCTCCGCACTAGCACGGGACTAGATCGACGGGAAGGCAATATGGGACCACCCAATTCGAAGGCTAGGGCCACCACCGATTTGGGTGAAACTTTCTAAATTCCATGTGAAGTGCCCCCACTTCCCCTTCTATTGCCTACACTTTAATGCACGTTCGGGCAATTTCGAAGGGCGTTATGAATTCACGGCTGGTACGCGCGTTTGATACATTTCAGTTTACCATTCAGACTGCAGTCTTTCTTCCTTTCTCCCTTTCTTTGTCCCCTTTTTCATCTTTTTTGTTTCCTAATCATCTATCCTTTCTGCGAGACATGTCATACACAAGGGGGTGGGATACAACGGAGGGACTTGTTTTGGGCCAATTGTTCATAGATACAAGTATTCCCCTGGACATTACTGTTGCGATTACATCACTTTTTTTGAACACCATAACCTGTATAGTCAGTCTCGGCGAAAGGCGGAGTTTGGCAGTGTATCCGGTTTGATGGCCTATCCATAACAGCCGGGAGCTCCCCTGCAGAGAGAGAGCCCCATCGGCGTCCAAGCTGTGACTCAGCATTCCGTTTTTCTTTTTCTTTTGGTTGTATATCTCTTCTGTGTTGTTGCTGTGTTGCCCTAGGCGTTAGACAATACCCAGTTATAGTTTGATGATATGGTCCTCTAAACATAGTAGTTGCCGCAAATATAACCTAACGTGACAATTTAATTCCATCCTCCGTCCCTTTAGATGCATCAATGTTTAAAAGTTTAGTAGCATCGATTTGGATTACCCTCCACGAAAGAAGCAAGAGACCTGCGTCTTTAACAATAATACTTGAATCGTGATGTGCGGGGCTGGCCTTCACTTAAACCAGGGAGAAGAACCAATACCACTTCAGGCACTGACCACATAGCAAGCAAGGACGTTCCGATCCGACAGCTGAGAAGACCTTATGCTATTGACGTACCTGGATATTATGTCATGGTCTCAACTCTAGTGAATTGACGACTAGCCCCTTTCCTTTTGGAGTAAGGAACAAGCCCACAGATCTGGTAGTGAAGAATAACCAAGGAAATCCGGCCGTACAAGCTGATGGGCTATGACGGATCATATAAAGCGTTGGCAATTACAACAAACACATCAATGGTCAGTACAAAAATTTTTTTTTTGACATTTGATGTGTTCTATGCTAGTTACCTAGCCCGGGAATAGGGAATATCGAAGGCTTTGTCTTGTATGAGTTCTATCACGTGGAACTCGGAATGGACCTGTCACTTAACGGAGAATAGCCCTAAGCACTGTACTAAGACTTGTACCCAAGGTTTATTCCTCGAACTCCACACGTCATCAAACTCAACGCTATCGGGTAGATGATTCCCGATCGTCAAATCACCAGAAAGCATTAAACGCTCCAGGAAAGGGGCCCGAAGACCGAATGGTCGGGCTCCATCGGTATTCGGAAGACAAGCGGATATTATAATTTATGTAGTATTGTGAAGAACTAGCGGTAGGGTTGATGAGGGCGATCACTTTCGGTCCCAACGGCACAAACCCCCGAGATTGGACGGTATTGGACTCGGACGTCAACACTGTCCGAATCAGGCTAGATTCTGATCTGGCTTGCGGTAGTTTGGAAAGTCTTGGCGGAACTAAATATGAGATCTAGAGTACTTTTTAAGTATATGGAGTTTATGTTGGAGACTTGGAGTACCTGTCTTTTTTATCTTCCCCTTCCACAACAAGTTCACCTACTAGTGAGCCACGTCAGCGACGATGGTCTTGTGCTGTATGCAGGTATGAAATATCTTATTTATGGCTCTGGCTTCCATCGCCTACAGAGTAGATACGTGTGAGATCCCCCGAATGGTTTTTTTTTTTCTTTTTTCTTTTTTCTTTTTTTGGTTTGTTTGGCTTCTTTGCTCTATCTTGATTTTGAATCTGTTATTGAAGGAAGTCGGAATATGCATCCGTCAAGGAAGAGGAACGCTTATAAGTTTGTAAGTATAACAAGGCTGTTATGAGAGGATTACCAGATATGACAGATCAACTTATTATTGTTACTATTATCGTTAGAATACGATATCCCCGACCGCAAGGGCCACTTTGCAACATCCCAAGGAACATGTAATATGGCACGTGCAATATCTAGAGCACAGATGCGGATAGCTACTGTATAAGGATTAGGGACGAATCAGCATAGTCCAATGTACTCCGTACTTGTAAATTAAACCAACTCGGGTTTGAGCTCAGATCAGATGACCAATACGATATACTTCGATACTACATACAGAGTTTCAAGTAGCATCGAAATAAATGCAAAATGCCGGGACCCGCGTACAGGATTGGAAACTCACATGTTCGTGTTGTTAATTGATTCATGATTGAGAGTTTTGACTACATTTGAATTGGAGTATTTGTTTTGCTGTCAGATATGAAGAAGTTTATGGAGTGGTCTTCCCAAACTATATAACATAGATTTATGGATTCACACTAAGATAAGGGCAAAGAGTAATCACGATGCGTTGATTGGCGCCGGGGGGCCTTAGGATGGAAGTCCCAAACCTGAAATGGTACCTAATCATTCTACTCTGTCCATCGGGTAGATGATTGGATCCCAGAGAATGTTGATGAAAGTGGTGGGAAGCGAACGTCATGGGGCCCAACAAGCGCATTGGGAATAAGTTGGGGTGTGCAGACCCACTGCTCTTTTTTTTTCTGGCCTCTTCTCTACCTTACCGCTTCTTGACTAGTGCTTCCCGACAACTAAACCTCAAGATAGTTTTGATGAACGAAGGGTCGACGTTCAATTTAATCCTTCTCCTTTCCTCCCTTCGTCCTGTTTTGTGATTCTCATTCTTCTTCTTCCCCTATATTCCCGTGGTTGAGCTGGTAATTAAAAGGTAAGGCTCCCCATACCCTATTCTACTGCTACCACCCTAAAGTTACTGTTCCGTACCTGTTCCTTCCCCTGCCCGGTTTCCAGAACTGCCCACCTGCCGTTTGCGACGTTTTCGCCCCCAGGCCACCAGCGCGCTATCCTCCAAACTATACCTATGCCTGTCTGTACTCGGTCCTTATTGCTGACATTGCTTTCTTACTACATTTAGGAGACCCCTCTCATCCTACCCTCTTGACCTCTTCTATCTTCTAACGACTTCTGACACACTCCGTGAAGGCTTACTTCTCCAAAAAGAGGGACTTCTTTTCTTTTTCACATCATCCTTATTCTAATTTCTTACCTAGCGCCTGTACCACTACGATCCAGGCAATCCTCCCATCTTCTCTCCGCCCTGCTTACATTCTGAGCTCTACTTTGATCTCGTAAAATTCTACCTGGATATATCGCATGGGAATTGCATAATTCATAATTAACTATCTTCATCATGGCCCTCGCCAACGGAACCTCGACAGCCAACGGCCATGACAGCGCATCGACTGCCAACTACAATCTTCCCTCACATTTCATCGGTGGGAATCACCTCGGAGCTGCCGCGCCGAGTACCGTGAAAGACTTTGTGGCCAAACACGGTGGCCACTCGGTCATCAGTTCGGTGAGCATATTCGACCAAGGCTTGGGAAGTGGAATCATTTGAATCTAATCCAGTCATCTTGCGCAGGTTCTGATTGCCAACAACGGTATTGCTGCCGTGAAAGAGATCCGCTCTGTCCGGAAATGGGCCTACGAAACATTTGGCAATGAGCGTGCCATTCAATTCACAGTGATGGCCACGCCGGAGGATTTACGCGCAAATGCGGATTATATCCGTATGGCGGACCAATACGTTGAGGTATGGAGCTGGCTACTCCTGAATTCCAAGGTTGGGCTTAAAGGGAACTATGCGCTAATGATGGGGTACATAGGTTCCGGGGGGTACGAATAACAATAATTATGCCAACGTTGAACTGATCGTTGATGTTGCCGAACGAATGGACGTCCACGCCGTGTGGGCTGGATGGGGTCATGCTTCTGAAAACCCCCGACTACCTGAGTCCCTCGCCGCGTCTCCCAAGAAGATTCTCTTCATTGGACCGCCGTCCTCGGCTATGCGCTCATTGGGTGACAAGATCTCGTCTACAATTGTCGCTCAACACGCCGGGGTGCCTTGCATCCCCTGGTCCGGAACCGGTGTCGACGACGTGAAGGTCGATGACAAGGGCATTGTTACTGTTGCCGACGAGGTGTACAACCGCGGTTGCACCTTCTCGCCAGAGGAAGGTCTCCAGAAGGCCAAGGAAATCGGTTTCCCTGTGATGATAAAAGCGTCTGAAGGTGGCGGAGGTAAAGGTATTCGTAAGGTTGAAAACGAAGCTGACTTCATCAACCTGTACAATGCTGCCGCAAACGAAATCCCTGGATCTCCAATCTTCATTATGAAGCTTGCTGGCAACGCCCGCCACTTGGAAGTCCAGCTGCTGGCCGACCAATACGGCAACAATATCTCATTGTTTGGCAGAGATTGCTCAGTCCAACGGCGACACCAGAAGATCATCGAAGAGGCTCCCGTGACGATCGCAAAGCCTACAACGTTCCAGGCCATGGAGCGTGCGGCTGTCAGCCTGGGAAAGCTGGTTGGCTACGTGTCGGCCGGTACGGTGGAATACCTGTATTCGCATTCAGACGACAAGTTCTACTTCTTGGAACTGAATCCTCGTCTCCAGGTCGAGCACCCTACGACTGAGATGGTTTCGGGTGTGAATCTGCCGGCTGCTCAACTCCAAATTGCTATGGGTATTCCTCTGCACCGGATACGTGATATCCGCTTGCTCTACGGAGTGGATCCGAACACGTCCTCCGAGATCGACTTTGACTTTTCCAGTGAAGAGAGCTACAAGACCCAGCGCCGCCCGCAGCCTAAGGGACACACAACTGCGTGCCGTATTACTTCTGAAGATCCAGGCGAGGGCTTTAAGCCTTCCAGTGGTACCATGCATGAACTGAACTTCCGCAGTTCGTCCAATGTCTGGGGTTACTTCTCCGTCGGTACGGCTGGGGGAATTCACAGCTTCTCGGACAGTCAATTCGGTCATATCTTCGCATATGGTGAGAATCGATCGGCATCACGGAAGCACATGGTTATCGCCTTAAAGGAATTGAGTATCCGTGGTGATTTCCGGACGACCGTCGAGTACTTGATTAAGCTGCTGGAGACTCCTGCATTCGAAGACAACACAATTACGACCGGATGGCTTGATCAGTTGATCACCAACAAATTGACTGCTGAACGTCCGGACCCCATTGTCGCCGTGCTGTGTGGTGCGGTTACTAAGGCGCATCAAGCTAGTGAAGCAGGTGTGGAAGAGTACCGGAAGGGGCTTGAGAAGGGTCAAGTGCCCTCGAAGGATGTTCTGAAGACCGTTTTCCCTGTCGATTTCATCTACGAGGGTTCGCGCTACAAGTTCACCGCCACAAGAGCGAGCTTGGACAGCTACCACCTTTTCATAAACGGATCCAAATGCTCTGTCGGTGTTCGCGCGCTGGCTGACGGTGGCTTGCTGGTCCTCCTGAACGGTCGCAGTCACAATGTTTACTGGAAGGAGGAAGCAGCCGCCACACGTCTCAGCGTGGATGGGAAGACTTGCCTGCTGGAGCAGGAGAACGACCCAACGCAGCTCCGCACACCTTCTCCCGGAAAGCTCGTTAAGTTCACCGTTGAGAATGGCGAACATGTTCGAGCAGGCCAGGCCTTTGCCGAAGTCGAGGTGATGAAGATGTACATGCCTTTGATTGCCCAGGAAGATGGGATTGTTCAATTGATCAAGCAGCCTGGTGCCACCTTGGAGGCTGGCGATATTCTCGGTATTCTCGCCTTGGATGATCCATCTCGCGTCAAGCATGCGCAGCCGTTCACCGGCCAGCTGCCAGATATTGGACCACCACAGGTTGTGGGTAACAAGCCTCCACAGAGGTTCTTTTTGCTCTATAGCATCCTGGAAAATATTTTGCGAGGATTTGATAACCAGGTCATCATGGGTACCACGCTCAAGGAGCTTGTGGAAGTCCTTCGTAATCCCGAACTTCCGTACGGAGAGTGGAATGCTCAATCTTCTGCATTGCACTCGCGTATGCCTCAGAGACTTGATGCGCAGCTTCAAAACGTTGTTGACCGTGCGCGCGCCAGGAAGGCTGAATTCCCTGCGAAGCAGCTGCAGAAGACTATCGCTCGATTCATTGAGGAAAATCTCAACCCCGCCGATGCGGAAATTCTCAAGACAACCCTCCTACCTCTAGAACAAGTCATTGACAAGTATATGGATGGATTGAAGACCCACGAGTTCAATGTCTTCATTGGCCTCTTGGAGCAGTATTACGAGGTGGAGAAGCTATTCTCAGGCCGCAATACCCGTGATGAAGATGCTATTCTCAAGCTCAGAGACGAGCACAAGGATGATATCCTCAGCGTTGTTCACATTGTGCTTTCCCATAGTCGTATCGGTGCTAAGAACAACCTGATTCTTGCCATTTTGGCGATGTACCGTCCAAACCAACCTGGCGTTGGTAATGTCGGCAAGCACTTCAAGCCGATCCTCAAGAAGCTTACAGAGCTGGAGTCCAGATCTGCCGCTAAGGTCACCCTCAAAGCACGTGAGGTCCTTATCCAGTGCGCTCTCCCCTCTCTGGAAGAACGTCTCTCCCAGATGGAATTAATTCTGCGTTCCTCGGTTGTTGAGTCGCGCTACGGTGAAACAGGCTGGGACCACCGTGAACCCGATTTTGGGGTCCTGAAGGAGGTGGTTGATTCCAAATATACTGTTTTCGATGTGCTACCGCGTTTCTTCGTCCACCAAGATGCCTGGGTCACACTCGCTGCTCTCGAGGTCTATGTGCGCCGTGCGTACCGTGCATATACCTTGAAGGGTATTCAATACCACGCTTCCGGCGAGCCGCCATTGCTTTCATGGGACTTCACTCTTGACAAGCTCGGACAGCCCGAATTTGGCGGTGTCACGTCGACTCATCCGTCGACTCCGAGCACCCCAACAGCGGAAGGTAACCCCTTCCGGAGGTTGAACTCTATAAGCGACATGTCTTACCTGGTCAATGATGGCAGTAACGAGCCTACCAGAAAGGGTGTCCTTCTTCCTGTCCAGTACTTGGAGGATGCTGAAGAGTACCTGCACAGAGCTTTGGAGGTCTTCCCGCGGGCTGGCTCAAAGGCCAAGAAGCCTAGTGATAATGGCCTTCTTGCCACCCTGGAGGGCAAGCGTCGACCAGCTCCGCGAATTGAAAGCGACAACGAGCTCACTGGTGTCTGCAATATCGCTGTTCGCGACGTTGAAGACCTGGACGACACGCAAATTGTTTCCCAGATCAACGGACTGCTCGCTGATGTTAAAGATGAATTGCTTGCCCGTCGTATTCGTCGTGTGACTTTCATCTGCGGAAAGAATGGCATCTACCCGGGTTATTACACGTTTAGGGGGCCTGCGTATGAAGAAGATGAGAGTATCCGTCACAGCGAGCCTGCCCTGGCGTTCCAACTGGAACTCGGCCGTTTGTCTAAGTTCAAGATCAAGCCAGTCTTCACGGAGAACCGTAACATTCACGTTTATGAAGCAATTGGCAAGGGCCCGGACGATAAGGCGCTGGACAAGCGGTACTTCGTCCGTGCTGTGGTGCGTCCGGGACGCCTTCGTGACGATATCCCTACAGCCGAGTACCTGATCTCCGAGGCTGACCGGTTGATGAACGATATTTTGGATGCTCTTGAGATTATTGGCAACAACAACTCTGATTTGAACCACATCTTCATCAACTTCTCTCCCGTGTTCAACCTGCAGCCAAAGGATGTGGAAGAGGCTCTGGCTGGTTTCTTGGATCGTTTCGGTCGTCGCCTCTGGCGACTTCGCGTTACTGGTGCTGAGATCCGTATCCTCTGTACCGATCCTGCCACCGGAGTTCCCTACCCACTGCGTGTGATCATCACCAACACCTATGGTTTCATCATCCAGGTGGAACTCTACATTGAGAAGAAGTCTGAAAAGGGTGAATGGGTCTTCCACAGCATTGGTGGTACTAACAAGCTCGGATCCATGCACTTGCGCCTTGTCTCCACACCCTACCCTACAAAGGAGTGGCTCCAGCCTAAGCGGTACAAGGCTCACATCATGGGTACTCAATATGTGTACGATTTCCCAGAGTTGTTCAGACAAGCTTTCCAGAACAGCTGGACCAAAGCTATCGCCAAGGTGCCATCCTTGGCAGAGCAGCGGCCCCCTGTTGGTGAATGTATCGACTACACTGAGCTTGTGCTGGATGATACCGATAATCTGGTAGAGATTTCGAGAGGCCCTGGTACGAACACGCATGGTATGGTAGGTTGGCTCGTGACTGCCCGCACTCCTGAGTATCCCCGTGGAAGGCGGTTCATTATTGTTGCGAACGACATCACGTTCCAAATCGGATCTTTTGGTCCACAGGAGGACAAGTTCTTCCACAAGTGTACTGAGCTGGCAAGAAAGCTTGGTATTCCTCGTATCTATCTTTCTGCTAACTCAGGTGCTCGTATTGGAATGGCTGATGAGCTCATCCCATACTTCTCAGTTGCTTGGAATGATCCTGAGAGACCCGAAGCCGGATTCAAATACCTTTACCTGACTCCTGAGGTCAAGAAGAAGTTTGACGCGAGCCAGAAGAAGGAAGTCATTACTGAGCTAATCAATGACGAAGGCGAAGAACGGCACAAGATCACCACTGTCATTGGTGCTAAGGATGGCCTTGGTGTTGAATGTCTCAAGGGCTCTGGTCTCATTGCAGGTGCCACCTCCAAGGCTTACGAGGACATCTTCACAATCACACTGGTCACCTGCCGCTCCGTCGGTATCGGCGCTTATCTCGTCCGTCTCGGACAAAGAGCTATCCAAGTTGAGGGACAGCCGATTATTCTTACCGGTGCCCCGGCCATTAACAAGCTGTTGGGCAGAGAGGTCTACACGTCCAACTTGCAACTTGGTGGAACTCAGATCATGTATAGGAACGGTGTTTCCCATATGACCGCCAACGATGACTTCGAAGGTGTGCAAAAGATTGTTGAATGGATGTCCTTTGTTCCTGACAGAAAGGGATCGCCGAACCCTATCCGTCCTTGGTCGGACAACTGGGACCGTGACATCGAGTACCATCCTCCTTCCAAGCAACCATATGACCCTCGTTGGCTCATTGCCGGTAAGGAGGATGAGGAGGGCTTCCTTCCTGGCTTGTTTGACGCGGGATCTTTCGAAGAAGCTCTGGGCGGATGGGCTCGTACTGTTGTTGTTGGTCGCGCAAGGCTAGGTGGAATCCCCATGGGTGTTATTGCTGTCGAGACACGCTCGGTGGAGAATGTCACTCCAGCTGACCCGGCGAACCCCGACTCGATGGAGATGATCAGCACCGAAGCTGGTGGAGTGTGGTACCCCAACTCTGCTTACAAGACAGCTCAAGCCCTTCGTGACTTTAACAACGGTGAGCAGCTACCAGTAATGATCTTAGCCAACTGGAGAGGCTTCTCCGGTGGACAGCGCGACATGTACAACGAGGTCCTGAAGTATGGGTCGTACATCGTCGATGCTTTGGTCAAGTATGAGCAGCCTATCTTTGTCTACATCCCGCCCTTCGGTGAACTTCGTGGTGGTTCCTGGGTCGTCATCGATCCAACGATCAATCCAGACCAGATGGAAATGTACGCTGATGAGGAAGCTCGTGGTGGTGTTCTTGAGCCTGAGGGTATTGTCAACATCAAATACCGCCGTGATAAGCAGCTGGACACTATGGCTCGTCTGGATGCTACTTACGGTGAGCTTCGTCGCTCTCTTGAGGACCCATCTCTCAGTAAGGAGCAGTTGTCAGAAATCAAGACCAAGATGGCTGCTCGTGAGGAGCAACTTCTCCCCGTCTACTTGCAGATTGCTCTGCAATTTGCTGATCTTCATGATCGTGCTGGCCGCATGGAGGCCAAGAACACTATTCGCCGGCCTCTCACTTGGAAGAACGCACGCCGATTCTTCTACTGGCGCGCGCGCCGTCGTCTCAGCGAGGAGCTAATCATTAAGCGCATGGTTGCTGCAGCACCGTCCCCTGCACCACGCGACGCTAGCAGCGGCGCCATCCCAACCATCCCTGCCGGCAACGTCTCTTCTACCGAATCTGCTCGCTCGATTCACCTTCATACTCTGCGTACCTGGACTGGAATGCTTCATGATGAACTGGAGAATGATGATCAACGTGTGGCTTTGTGGTACGAGGAAAACAAGAAGCTCATCCAGACAAAGATTGAGGCCCTCAAGACCGAATCTGTTGCTGGAGAGGTCGCGCAATTGCTTATCGGCAACAAGGAAGGTGGCTTGAAGGGTGTCCAACAGGTTCTGAGCATGCTCCCTGTTGAAGAAAAGGAGGCTGTTCTTAAGTACCTTTCTTCGCAATAAGCCCATATTTCAATCGTTGAAGTGTGTGGAATCATCTTAACGTCTTTTGTCATAAACAGTGATACAATTGAGCATTGGGTATGTATGGATGAGGCAGGTTTCTGGGTTTCGGATTTCAGGAGGTGCATGTTATGATTCTGTGATTTGTTATGCATATAATGCTGCTGATGTCTGTTATTTCTCGATGGTATTTATCTGTTCATTACATTGTTTAAAAATACAAATATAATTTCCCAAGACATCAGATTATCGATTCTAGCCTCATCCCTAGGTCTCCAGTTGCTTGGGAGCACCATTACCGTAAGCGGGAGGTCGAGAACAATAGTAAATCAGCAAAAAATCCATATCTGAAAGCACAAGCTAGGTAGATCCTTATTAACACTATCGACATTACTTGAGGATCACAAGAAACAGGCATAGGACGTAAGGAGGTTTGTTGAATGATTGTTCAGTTATGCTTCTCTATTGCCACCTATAGAGCACAAATGATCGTTGTTCTGCCAAGGAGGCAAACTCAGGAAAAGTTGTGACTGTCATAAAGAAAAATAAAGTATTTCGCCCATCATTCGGGGAGTAAGATTAAAAGCTATTTAACAAATGCGCAAAGGGGTATTTATTTCTTTCCCATCCACTCATGTAGAATCATAACCATAAAAAAAGAGGTGAAGAAGAGACATCAGAATGCCTGCCCAGAACCCAAGTGTCATGAATGACGACGTATAAGAAGCCCAAATAGGAAACGAAAACAATAAGGGAGAGAAATGGGTATAGATAATAGGAGGATATTGAAATGGTAGCAAAAAGAAGGAATAAAGCCTATGCTAGCTGCCTTTCCAAGCTGCGGGGGGGTGTCAAGATCGGAGGCATTCCTCGATAAGGGGTGGAGACTTGTCGAGCTCGGCTGGGGTGCACCGGGCCCATGCTAGGGTCATCCAGACGCAGGCGTCCGATGTCAACTGGAAGCTGCTCTGGTAGTGGGGGCGGAGCACGATATCTTGGGTTTTGAGGTTCAAAGTGCGAAGAACCGGGCGTCGGGTACGCCAGAGACTCATGTGGATAGCCTGGTAGACTGACGTATGTCGCGTCTAGGGTGCGGGCGATGTCCTCTAACATGACTTCCATTGGGGCGATGTATGCCGTGTGGCTTTTCGCGGACCACGCAAGGACGTGGCCGCATACTCGACCGGTTGACTTTTCGAAGACCCATGCTCCTGAATCGCCGGGGACTGGAGTATGTTAGAAAAAATTCAGCGCAGTAAGGACTTATGGGCATGCTTACTTACCACCGAAGTTCCCGTCTACACAGAAACTCGTCGAAAAAGTTTGCCGGCCGCGGAGTTTGACAATTGTCATCGCTCGAGATATCTGCCCGGTTTCCAAGCCACTGGTTCGACCGCGACAGTGCACTTTCAAGCCACCAAGATCTTCTAGACGTGCAATATCGTTCAAATATATAGTCTCAGTATGTTGTCTGGGACGTGGATTGAACACTATGTTACGTGGATCGGTTCGATCATCGTTGATCTTAATCAACGCCCAGTCAATTTCATGTTTGATCCCTTTCCTTGTCCAGCGCCTGACACCAGAAGACGCATGAATAAAGCCAAGAGAGTGAGAGGCTAGATGCTCATCATCACGATCTTCGGGACATGGGAAGAAATCCTCATGGACGTCATCGATCGCCGGCTGGGTTACGAACAATGGAGGCTCGTCTCCCGGATCAATGCCAGCCGTGTCACCTATTGATGCCGTATCTTCATCCTCATCAATGTCATATGCGTCTTCATCCGAAGAAAAGCCATCAGAGAGGTTGAAGTCATCGTATGTCCCTTCTAGGCTAAGAGAGATGGAATTATCATCGCCGTCCTCGTCTTCTGAGATCTCAAGTTCAAGGTCGGACGAATCTTCGTCACACCAGCTGTACATGTACTCTGCTTCTTGAGGTGTTGGATCCGGAGGCCAGTTGGCTGCTGACGACCGCAGAGGAGCACCGGGGTCTTCATCCTCTTCATCCTCCTGGTCACTGGGTGACTCCAGCATATGATGTACGGTCATACCATACGGCATACCATCCACTAGAATAGCTCCCCCGTAAGTTACAGGAGGCAAGTGTTCTTCATTCATGAAGGCGCCTATGGACGCACCGCAGAGCGGCCGGGGCTGATATAAGGGGTTTGGGTCCGGACGAGAAGATGCAGGTATATCGGTTCCGATTGGACCAGATTTCGCTGGCCTGCGACGCTTCTTGCGTGGGACTTTTGATCGTTGGATGTCGCCTCGGAGAACGATTAAATCCCAATCATCACTATCGAGAATGAAGTACTTTTTCAAAGCAGCTCTGACCTTTTTCGCGCTAGCACAAGTTACACAGATTGTCGTCCTAGCAATTTCAGGATTCTCGCCTGTCATCATAAGAGTGACACCGCATGACTCTGATGAATCTTTTAGAATTTTTTGCAGAAGTTTTCTCAGCCGAGGTAACATCTGAAAATTCCACTCGTTGAGATGCTCCTGAGGTATTTCGACGTTGGTGAGCTTTTTAAATGTTCTCTTCCGTGCTTTCCTTTCTTCCAAGCCCATTTTTTCCCTCAACAGTTTCATTTCGGTAGTGGGAAGCGTGGCGAACGGTTCGGTATATGGAACAAATGGCTCGGGAATGGGATTATAGTCCCTAATTGGCTCTTTTGCAGATGCATCTGAGCCGGGGACAAGGGCAAGTGGGAGGCAATCGTCTAGCTCCTCAGCCCCCGGTGCCGAAAAAAGGTCGATCCTGCAGCAGGACCAAGTAATTTTAGACATAGTGTAAATAAAGTTCATGGAGAACGAGAATATACTGTCAGGCTCCGAAAGGTCTAGCACAGGGTAGTGGAATGTCTGGGGAACCCTAAGACTGAAATCATCGAACGGTTGGGTTGAAAGATGAAAATTGGGTGCATCCAGACAAAGCTGTACCACATGAAGGTATGCGCTACCGCATTTAGGACCCAGCTTTTGCAGATAAACATTTTCGATCCGTTGCTTGAACATAGAATTGTTGTATTTCATCTTCCACAAACGGCTGATGGGCGTCCATAGACCGATTTCCATTAATACCAGCCCAAGTGAGTAAAGATCATATGCCCAGGCGGCATCATCACCTAACGACCTTTTATCATCAGGATGGCGATACATGCTGGATGAAAGAGGTTCAGGGGATGAACCGGTCCCAGAGAATTGAGCGAAAGAAGTTAAGTAAGGGCGTCGCAGGTTTTCCGTGAGCCCAACTTCATCAGAGTTTGAATTTGTCAACCCAGGGAATATAAGGACGTTGCTGCTGTTAATATTTCCGTGCACGAGATTTTGGCTCCTCAGTTGCAAAACCGCCATTATGAGATCATAGGCCAAGCGGAAACGGGTTTCTAGGTTAGGTAGTTGATACTCTTCACCCGACTGGAAGAGAGACACTAAAGGCTTGGGCTTGAGCCCGTTTAAGAGATCGGTAGGGTTGCGCAGGAAAGGAAAGTAGTCAATCGGCAGTTGGTAGATGAAGGCATATCGAGAGTTTGGCATGTCAACATAATAGCCGAGAAACTTCAACAAGCCCAGATGGGAGACCCTAGCATTTTGGATGAGCTGGTCGAGGGTGTCATGCACGCGTTCCAGCCGTTGAACCCCTGGTGCGGTAGAAGCCCCCGAGTTTTCAAGCATCATAGGAGTATATTCAACCAAGATGGTCACAGTGGAGTCCTTTGTACCTCGCAGGAAAGGAGATGCCGAGGTCTTCATCCGGCCAATGGCTCGAGAATTGGTGGAAGCGGCTACCATTTCGTAGGGTGGGGGGCTGTTGTCGTGGGATCCACCAGAAAGCTGTAAAGCCGAACGATCAATGACATATTGGTTTGAGGTGAGGGATATCTTGCTGAATGACTTATCAAGCTGTGGCTTTTCGAGGGTTGCAGCGCCGTGATTGGAAAAAGGCGAATAATCGAGTGTATCTTGATGTGGTTTGGGATGTTTAGTGTCAAGCGAAGTGCCATGGTATGACTTTGAATCCGGAAAAACCTTATAGATGGAACCCTCCGTTGTAGAGCCAGGGTATTGCCGTGACCGACTCTTGGTAGTCGACTGCCCACTAGATGTCATGTTGCGTCGTGAACGGGAGAGGTCATAAAGGGTATCGATGCAAGCAGTCAAGTCGGCGAGGAGATGTTTAGAACGGTTGATATCTTCGTTGGTCCAGTGAGTCTTGACCGGCAGACTTCTAAGACCATCTTTCGAGGGCGGGTCTGACCGGGCACCTTTGGGGGGTAGGTCGGAAGTACCAGCGTGTTGGAGACGCTCTGCTTCATTGAGAAGCTCTTGAATAGATGACATGACACTGGCAACAACATCGCTGAAGCCAGCTTGTGTTAGCGACTCGTCGATATCATTCGGTTGTGCAGCGCTAGCATCACTCCAATCGAGACCCCATGCCAGAAGCCTGTCCCTCTGTGTTCCAAAACTCCGATGAAGAGCAACGAGCTCTGGGTCATCAACCGCCTTTGAAGCAGTCGTCACACTTTCGCAAGAGGTCTTGGTATCTGTGTACATCTTGGTAAGGCGTCGCTGGAGGTAGGAGCCTCCATGACGGAGAACGGACATCTTGGCGCGCAGGCTGTCCGGGGTGAATTGTTAAGGCTTAACAGGGATTCAGAGCATTGCAGATAACCAACCGCCGTTACCAGTGGCAATGCATGGCCCGAAAGTTTGGAATGAAGAGTGCTTGATCTTAACAATTGTTTCGTTGATTGATATCAAAAGTCGAGGGGCAAAAGAGCAACAGGAGGAATAAGAATAGATTCAAGGTGGGCAGGAATTCTGTTGCCTAACCAATAGGGAGTGGCGAGTGCAGTAAAGCCTCCATCGCCAAGCCACAAGTCCGCGCAAGCTTGGCGCATCACGTGGCAGGCAGCCGTGATTCTCTGTCTCAAGCTCATGCTTCATGATTGGCTTAGTCCCCTAGGGGTGGCGCATGCATGGCATCCGTGCATGGCCTGAATTAGCCACATCCAAGCCTATTTCAGATGATTAAGCTCATGATACAGATTAGATCGTAGATCTTTCAAGGGACCATATGACTATTCACTATTCCCGGGGTTCCAGTCGAGCTGTACTGTTAGTTGACGGGTCATCTCTGCTAGACATCTGTAGAGGCACTAGTAGTTCAGATATTTCATTATTATTAGAAGAAGGTAGTACTCGATCACGTTACACCAGACCTAAATCGCCCCAGATCGTATTTAAAACATGTACTCTGTACGGAATCTTACCTTGTCAAGGGTATGTACATGCATACATACAATACAATAAAATGTGACCCGGATGCCATCGCATGATACAGAAAAAAGGCTTGTTGAGACCCACTTGGCTTGATACCGCAGAAGAAAAGTATCAGGCAGCCACCGAACATACAACCTTACACGCAAGGTGAACGGTATTCTAGACAAGAATGAAAGAGGAAAAATGTGTCTATTCATTTAATCATAGCATATACACAATTCAAAAGAACTATGATCGTTTCCTATCTAAAGATTCTGAAACTGGAGCGAATATACATCAACCCGTGATCACTCGTCGGGGCACACCGACATCTTTGGCGCGCTTCTCGCGAAAGTTATGCAGTCGTTCTCCAATCAAATACACATCATCACGAATGTTGACTCTCCACCTTTCCACTTGTCGATGTACGAGAAAAGCAAGCCAAAGCAGCAGACTCAAAGACATCGTGAGAGGATATGCGTAACGGTAGACCTTGAAGTGGACCTCGGGAGTGGAATAAAATACAGTTGAGTTTACCAGGAATCCACCGGATAACGGCAAGGCAACTGCAATTATTGTAAGGACTATGACGGGAAGCAATAAAGCTCGCGTGGCAAGTTTGACATTCGGCTTCAGCCAACCATCGCGGAACACGCCATCAAGGGCTGCTGCTGGGCGAGACGTGGAGTTCCACAGGACAAACTTGATTGCCATTTGAACATAGAGTACTCCAATGGTCCAATCTTGCACAAAATGAATGACGTGTGTCTGTGCGCCGTCCAGGTACGTATGCACTGGAACCAACACGTAAAGCTCCATCACCAGAGCAAAAATTGAGGGGAGAAATACCGAGAAGGCTAAAGCAATGTATATGAGGCGAAGGCTATTGGATACAACGCTGATCAATCCGAGACAAGCCTGATAAGGGGACTGGAGGTATGGCCTCAAACAGTTTTTCACCACTGAAAAGCTGCTGTGACAATACAGCGCCAGATAGGCAGCACCTCCAACTATGCAGATGCCTGATGAGAAAGCATAGATGTCATTCACCGGTCGGTTGGGGAAGTGCAACGACATCATCTTCCGGCCGGCGACCAATGGAATAACTGTGACGCCTACGCCAGTAGCGGCTGCGAACACCCAAATTAAGAAAATGAACGCGGCAATCCTCGTGCGAAAGAAGGGAGGGATGTAAACTTTCGTAAACATGGGATTCGTGCGGCCATGTAATCCGTCATTCGTGTCGGGAGCTCCATCAACCCTCTCATTTGATTCGGACACTTGCAAGAACACAGTATTACCCTTAGGAATACGAACCTGATCAGATGCAGGAGCACGGACAAATTTGCCATCCCGAATGAAGTAAGCGTCAGCACGCTTGTCATTAGTGGCATGTCGCTGTTCTTTATCAGTCACAGGGTTATCAATGTCTCCCTTTGCCTGTGATAGCGTAGCCCACCAAGTCCGCCGTATATGGTGACCTTCCTCATCTAACTGCCTCTCGCCGAAAAAGAAGTTGGTCAGGCGCAAAAAGCGTGCGCACTTATGGAACCACCAATCGTAGAGACCGTGCAATCCGTCTGAAGGCTTAATAGATCGTATCACGAGCGGCAGAAGGAAGTTGTAGAACAAGAGGTCAACGGGGAATTCAAGAACTGGCATTGTGGCGGACCAATGAATAGGGAGAACATCATCAAAGGCGTAGTACAGACCCCAGACGACACCACCGAGACAGACGATGACGAGAGCGCCATATACAAGAGCACTAAATGCGATTTTGCGTAGCTGCGTAGTAACATTGCGCTCCAGAACATCGCGCACGGGATGGAAGGTCGGATCATCGGGATCGCGGATGAAATCTATGGCATGTCATAAGTATGCGTTATTGAGAGAATAGGAGAGAAGAGAAGAAAAGAAAACTCACAAAGAACACCGTTTCTCATGATTTTCCTGCACATAGAGACAAAAAGAGCAAAGTGGAACATATAACAAGTGCCAATGAACCAGTGCACGAATAAAGAGGTGAGCGGAGATGATGCTGTGAATTCGACGCGCGACGCAATAGTAGCATTCTCGAATAGAGGCAACAAGGCAACATCAAGTAGCGTACCACAGTATAAAGGAAAAATGATCATTTCAATCCCGATGATCAGGATGACCTTCATAACTCCACCAGCTTGATGCAGTACGTCGGCAACTATGCCTTCGACCCTCTGCCCCCGGTCAGCACCAGACACCAGGCCAGTGATACGGAGGTACAGGAGACCCAAAGTCGACGCTAAGAGATAGCCCATTATGATCGCAATTACACGATCCTTTGTGTCCCACACAACCAATTCGTAATCGACAGTCATGGCACCTGAATTCAATTCTGTCGCGCTTGCATTAAACCATTTCGCATTGCTTGAGAAGAGTACCTGGGTTCCAAATTCATGAAGATAGCCACGTGCTTGGGTCAGCCAGCTAATAAGACCGACGATGCTATGCTTAAGCGACTGGATATCAGGTACTCCAATTGCAAGCAAGCGGAGAGGGAAGTCGTACAACACAAATTTGCTTATCCCAATGCACAACCGAAGCAGAGTATTGATACGTTCCTGGTGGATCTTCAATGCTTGATGGGAAAGGACCGAGAACACGGGAACATCCGATTCGTGGAACACAAAAAAGGAACTAATCACGTTTCCTAGCCGATGGCTGCTGGCGTCGATGAGTGAAAGTGAAGCGCTGGTGATAGATTTCGTATGCGGGACCCAGTCACCCAGAGGAAGCAGAGCACTAAGAGGACTCAACAGTTTGAATATAAGACTGACCCCATACATGGTATATCCTAAGATGCCAATAAGAGTGTCAAGTGTAACGTCCGCAAAGACTGATATCGCCGTCATCGGGACGCCAAATACCAGCTGTATAGGGTTGGCCAGAAGGACAAGAGCGATTTTACCCCAAAGATAAGGCAGCCAGATTCCGATGGAAACCGTGAAAGATATGAGAAGCGCACTGAACACGCCATTCTGCAAAAGGCCGAAAATTGGGCCTTGCATACCAATAAGTTCTAGAATCCCCTCTAGATCATCACCATCCTCGACAGCATCAACATCGTTCCCGTCAAGTCCGGCATCCGCAAATATTCCTTGATTTTCCTGCGCACCAGCGTTGGCGGGGCGTCGATTATTCTGTAAGGGCACAAATGGCTCTTCCATTGCAGGGTCTTCGACTATGCGTTCCTCGTCCGGCGGCGGAGGCTCCTGGGCCTGATCAACAGGAGTGACATCGGCCCAAAACCAGTCAAAGAGTCTAGTAGCCAGGTTTTTGCGAGGTACAACCGTATCGTGGTCCGTCTGTGGCGAGGTAGGTATGTTCTCGACTGGTTCGGCATCCTGATTGGCAGTATTGTTTGTGTTTGATTGATCTTGAGAGATGATACCCTGAGGAACTTCAACACCATCATTGGCAGAGTCATGAGCATCTGCCTGCCGCTCTCGATTGTCTTCAGTTCTAAGTCCTGAGTGAGAAAAATTGAAAGCAAAGGCATTTTGGGATTGATCCAGGGGAACATCGTTTCCAAAGTGCGGGCTTGCAATATCCCAAGGCTGACCGACAGGTGTTGGCGATTCGGTATTCAAATGAGAACTTGACAGTGACGGTCCGGCATAAGGATCTATGTTATGACCTGCGGGCTCGTTTTCATGTGCACGCGGAACGGAACTCGAGGGATCTGGAGAGCTTTGGTTACGTGTCCAGGATGCTGTAGGACTATCGCTTCGCTGAAGCTTCATCATCGCCGTGACAACCCAGCTGAGCTCGTCCTGACGGCCTTCTTCACGTATAATCCTTAAAACTTGTTCAGGGTCACCGTGGCCACGTGACCAGAGGTCTCTGAATGTCTCCACGCCAGGCCAAACCTGATTGATCTGAGATGCTGATTCCGTTGTAAAATCGTTGTTTGATTCATTATCACTCTCAGGGTTGCGATGCAAAAAGGCCGACCTACCAGGACCATCAACGTGCATAACATCCAGGAGGGACAAATTGTGGTCCTCAACTGAGATGTGCCTGGTAGGCGAGTCCATCTCCGCTAAAGAATCAGAAAAGCCATCGTCATCATGATCGAAATGGTCATCATGTTCACCAGCCACCGAACCTTGTTGTTCTTCCCCTGGATGTAGAGGTGCATGTTCCCCAATATCGAGGTTGTCGTTGACTTGATTTGGACGATTATTGGCTATTAGCTGAACAGCTGCTTCTCGTTCTCCGTCCGCAATATTGGCCATCGGTTGTTGCTGCACAACCCATTCCCGAATAAGGAATATTAGGATGAACGAGATGACGACGAGTAACGTAATCAATTGGCCTTCTAGTGTGTCGATGACAATGTTATTTATTGTGGGAGACGGTGTCAATGTATTCAAAAATTTAACATCGGAAAGCCATGAGGGACGTCGCTGCTTGTAAAACCCTACAGTTATGTTTGAAGCCTTTCCAGTTGTCGAGCTAGAGCTTGAAGATATCGTAGGAAAGAAAAGGGTGGAAAACGCCTTCTTTACAAGCGTGAGGAGTAGCGGTTCACCTGCCGAGAAGCTGAACATTGATGATGCTGGCGACGGGATGGGCTGCATATCAGCCGTACTCGCGTGAAGCATAGAAGCCATAGCAGAATTTGTGGCAGCACCTGCAGCACTAAGCGAAGCAGTGCCATTTGCATTTACTTGAGAAAGACGTTGCTGAACTGGTCCTTGTGGAGCATTATCCGCGCCCGACCATCGGCCATCCGCAAGCCAGAATAGTGCTCTCCAGATTGCCCTCATAGACCAAGGTAACCATCCAAGCCAGACGAACGCAACGAGAACAAACCGCAGCCATGTCACAACAGTACGAAAGCTATGAACCAACAGTTGCTTTAGGAATAGGGGCGTTGGCAAATCTCGTGGCATGTTCGGGTCATATAGCTTCGTAAAGCGAAACGGCGTTTTGCACAGCTCACAGTGCTTCTTCTGCGAGTGCGATAGCCACTCTACCAAACAAGCCTGGTGCACAAATTTGATACTGCCACTACACTTGCAAGGGTAGAACAACTGTTCTTCTTCTGTACCCTCGCCTCGACATATCCGACAAGTATCAGGGTCCTCCATGTCCCTCTCCTTTCCTTTGTAATTTGTAGCGTAAGATGGGTCGTTCATCAGGTCTGGAAAAGACCTTCCAGCATAGTTAGAAGGTTGGTCGGGCTCCATGATTTTGACGAGCTTCGGTCGACGATCCGATCGTCCTTAATAGCGATAACCAGATACCATGTTCGTAGAATGCCCAAGTCCCAAGGTGGCTAGGAACGTGGCGTATAGATGGCGAAACCAAGGATATCTATGGAGATCCTCTCACCATCAAAATCAAATAATACTCAAGATGATGACAAGCGTCAATGTAAGTTTAGTTTGTTTCAGACCAAAGGACCCAAGGAGACGATGACTCAGCATTGACGCCACATGTGATCTCACGTGTGGATACAGTACTTTACACAAGTGGGAGGGAAAGACAACTGCCGGTAAAGCTCCTTAGTGTAACATCTTGTAAAGCGCTGAGCACAGATGACCTCACAAGCTGAATCCAAGGCTTCTTCCCTTCGTGTCTTCTCTTGTTAGCCCCTCTTAATTCGGTACTGTTGGGATTGAAATAAAGAAAGCCTTCGAAAGTTTCCCGATCGTAAACACAAGTCTCCTTTCGTTCATTTTTTGGTACTTTTCTGCTGCGCCGCCAATTTGAGACCTTTGCGCCAAGACCTGAGCGATCTTCGCGCGTACCCCTTTGGAGTCTTGGTTGGAATTGTTTAGCGAAGGCTGGAGTATCCTAGCCTAGCCTCCCCCGGTTTCACTTGTTGCTGAGCTTCCGAGTCCGCGTGGCTCCGTGGTGCAATTGCCATGATCTAGAAAGCAACGGCAAGTTACTTAGGACGTATAATTCAGTTGAATTGTCCGCGCGACGGCACGCGAGCGCTAGGATCTTGTGGTCTCAAAAACGAAGACCCCAGTTACCGAGGCGAAATTAGTGATGTCCACCCTAGATAACGGCCATGCCTCAGAAGGCATTGGGAAGATTGTGGGAATTAAGGAAGTTCCATCGAACGCTAGAAAGACAAATCTTTTCCGATGGACACTCGGATTGGTAGTGCGGTACGCGTGATTCGTACCTGGGAATAAGTCTTAAAATTCAATCTGACAAACAACCATTATAGGCTTTGTATCTGGTTTATCTTGCTCACCCCGTTCTTCCGATGCCCATCGCAACTATCCAACTTGAACGACTCTTCTCCGCGAGTCTGCAAACCTTATCTTGTTGCTCGCTCTTATATTGAACCGCACGTTCTTCCCTACTACAGCAACTATGGTGCACCTTACGTCGAGAAAGCACGTCCGTATGTGCTAGTGATTAACGAAAAGGTCTATACGCCTGCGGCAAATGTCGCCAAACTCGGCTACGATAAGTACGGCGCACCTGCTTTGGACAAAGCTCAAACCTACGGATCCCAGCAGTGGGAAAAGCAAGTTGTCCCTCTCTTACAAACCGCAAGGGATGCTACAAGCGAATTGTATAGCGCCAAAGTTGCGCCTCATGTCCAACGAGCGACAGCAATCGTGTCGCCTTACTATCAAAAAGCGAACTCCGCATTTCATTCAGCATGCGTTAATCATGTTCAGCCTTTTCTTGCTCGCTCGAGGCCCTTTATTGGGAAAACATACACCTCTGGTCAGAATATTTTGACGACTACTGTTGTACCCTATGCGCAAAACACATGGTCATCGGTGGTTTATTTCATGCACAGCTGGTTATGGCCCAGAGTTACCGGTCTTTACTCTGCAAATGTTGAACCTCAACTAGTCAAAATCGGACAGAGACTAGCAAGCTATCGCGAAGGGAAACAACTGCGAAATGTTGTGGATGAAGTTGACAGGTAAGTTTTTTAACCCTAAAAGAAACCTTCGGTTGGCTAACTTGAAGGTTTATAAGCTCTTCGACTAAACAAGAAAGTGTTACTTCCGTAGTACTGGAAGCGACAAAAAGGGAATCCCTCACCTCAACCTCCACGGTAGTAGCCTCATCTACGCCTCACACATTGTCCCCTACCGAGATAACAGCGCAAACTCGCGAAAAGATCGAGTCCGACCTACGGACATGGCAGGAAAAGTTTGCTGTGGCTGCTGACAAAGGTTTCGAAGATCTTGAAGAGCGTCTGTACGAACTCGTTGACGATTATGTAAATGGCGGGGCGAAGAAGCATGGCGAGCGCCTTGTAATGGCTCTGGAAACCGTCGTGCAACAGGAACTTCAAGCTGTCAAGTTTCGTATGGGCGAATTGACTGAGGCTTTGCCTAGTGAACAATCCCCTGCGGAGGAGGCGGCTCAAACTGCCCTCTCCAAGGACATTAGACAAGCTGCAGTCGCCATCCGGGATTGCGCTCATGCTATTCGGGAATGGCACAGTTCATTCGATCAAGAGCTAGTGCGTCATGTCTCTGCAGCAGTAAATTCTACCATTGATGTCCTTGACAGTGTTCGTGACTTGGGCCTTCAGGAAATAGGCATACGGTGGGCTTTGATGGACGGTGTTACCTACAAAGATTGGGCCAAATATCACGCATTAAAAGCGCAGTTCGAAGATTGGAAAAACAAATTCCGGGAGGTCGGTTTGCGGCATGCGAAGTTGGAGGATGCTAGAGCACTCTCTGACTACGTCCTATCACGTGGAATGGATGCTGCCGAAGGTGCGGCGAAAGAACTTGCCAGGCTAAGGGATGTCGGCAGATGGAAGATTGCTGCGCGGGAAGTAAGTGACAACTTCGATACAAGGTCAGGCTCTCCACCCTCACTGCCAAAGCTTAGTGATCAGTCTGGAGTCGACGCGTCGAGTTCAATGGTACGGGGTACTACAGAGTTCGAAGGGCAGACTTTAGGCCTTGACGATGCACCTCTAGAAAATGAATATTCCTCATTGGAGGATGAGGGATCACCGAACAAGGAACCTGAGTCATCTAATTTTCCTGCGGAATCCGCCGATAACATACAGCGATCTCCACTCACTGCGCAGCAAACTGACGGAGAAGAGGAGGTAGATCCCACGACATCAAGCTGGGGTGTAGCTGCGGCTCAGATTTTGCCAGAGCACGATGTGTCTGACGACGGCAAGGCTCCTGAAAAGCTGTACAGTGCTCTGAATCAGGCTCGCGAGCAGTATGTGGAAGCTACAAGGTCTGCAGAAGCGAACTCGTTCCAATCTCTTCATCCCGAGGTTGGTGACCAGGCCACTCGTGATCAACTCACCGACACTACGCGGCAAGCGCCAAACTTTCCAAGCCCGCATTATGAGGCTGTTGAGAATCTTGTCTCTGATCTACTCTCTGGGAAAGATCCTTTATACGTCCAAAATTTCATGGAAAAACTACACGCCATTTATGGATCTTCAGTACCGGCGCCGCCCGAGCTACAAAGAGAGATCGTTGCAGATTATAGGAGAACTTCTACTTCTTCATCACCGGCCACACATGAGCCCCTAAGTCAAGATGACGTGGAGAATAGACTTGGACAATCCCAATCTGCAATCCGGCCTGGGTATGAGCAAGCCACACCGGTAGAGTCTGCAGCAGGCAGTGATGCCTACAGTGAAAGTCCTCCGACTGAGCCTGTGATTCCTTTAGAGAGCACACAGGAGCAGGATATAAATACGGGATTCGATGCAAACACCTTCGCATCGGAAGCTAGTGAGGCTACCACATCACATTTGCAAAACTCGGACGACTACCTTGAAGATACGCCAACTAGGGACGACCTATGACCTCAAATAATACGCAAACGCTCCCTTGTTGTGGGCCTAAGTCCCGTATAGATTGGTCAATTACATGGTTCGATTCAAACGATACACCTATGAATGATATCCCTTTTACCCTGCTTGACTAGTATGATTATCATATCAGATTGATTACGACCTTAGTTATTCCCCACATAGTTTTTGCTAGTATGTTATGCTGCGTTACATTACTGTATTTCCGTGTTTGCTTGTACTATGGGAGAATAGTGATCGTTGGATGTACTGGAACCGGTGACTTCAAGGATATAAAACGATATATATGTGTGTAGGTGTGTTTGTACTAAATTTATCCACATTCATGCTGACACATAATCAAACAACTTTTGGTGAACTGCAGTGTATATTTGTCATCTCTCAACAATATGCTCACTCTGCTCATGGCAAAACCCAAAAACAAAATAAAACTTAAAAAGTACATTTAATAGCTACTACATTCAACAATTCATCGATATTGTACTCGGCCTCCTCTTTTCTCCATCTTCTTCTGCCTCCTGCTTTCTGCAACAGCTGGCTCTGTCTCACCCGTCCCACCCATTCCGGCTAATCCGCTCTTCATCCCCGTGAAAGTGGTATATGCCAACCAGATAGAGTACAATGGCACCACAATCCACAACCACCAGGCTCGATCGCCAAACACACAGACCGCGCCGATACAGCCCCAGGTCCAATACAAGATATCCCACATATACTCGGTAAGGCCGGCAGCTCCCAGGTCCTCTCCCGGGGCGCGGAGGGAGCCATCGGCGGGGTTATAACGTGGACGGCCTAGGCGGTCCAGATAGAACTCAATTGCTAGAGTTGGGCACGCAAGGACAATATAGGGCGTTAAAGAGCGGGGACGGTTGAAAATCCAGTGGAGGAGGAGGAAGGCTGAATGAAGACAAAGAGTGATTATATGAGTGCGAAGCAGAAGAGAGGCATTTCGCGTTGCGAGAGTTTTTGCTGCTTTCTTAGAGCCGGTCAGCCTTTTATCTCGCATTGATCTGCGCTATCAAAGGAGGATGAGAGGAACTAATAAAAGACAAACCTGTGCCATATTGATCTGTGTTGAAGGACGGGTGTGGAGAGTTGTAGGTGGTGGGTCTTGAGATTGCCTCGTAAAAAAGGAAAGAAGAAGAAAAGAAAAGATAATGTATATACACTATATGAACAAAGCCATGTTCCTAGTCAAGAGAAGCTTGACGTGGTAATTAGACCTTGTGTACTAGAAATCAAGACCCTAGGGAATGGTGTTGCCCACCACAACCGGACAAGCGCCCGCGCCTCCACCAGCCACTCAGAGTGGTTCATTGAGCTGCCGCCCCAAAACATCTGATGGCTGAAAGACATCGTGACGACAATCACGACCGCCTCTATCACATCCCACCGCATCTCTCTTGGCGAGACGTTGCTGACCCCGCGTGGCACTTCTTTTAAAATCGCCCGATGATCAGTCGCGACATGCAATTTACTCTTCTATAAGTTCCAACCTGGCCCAAAGGGCGTCACGAGTCGCCCGGACGTCATTCACTTTGCGAGACACGATCTTGTACAAAATCGCAGGAAAGCAAAGTGAGGGACTTTGTGAAGGAATTATTAGTGGGACATTACCCATAGCCACTTTGGCATTCATTACTCTCCGGGGGCGGCTCTCTGGTTATTAACACAATTTTACATACACGCATCATACAAGGAATCTTGTCGCTGTTTCCTCGGCTTCTCGTCTTGCAGACGTCGCGGAAAGGTTATCAAAGAGCGCGAGGTCTCATATACTGCCTACCGAATGCCTTCTTGGTCCTGAGCGAACTTCTCCCTAGTTATCTCCCGCCTGTGTCCTCGATCCTCTGCCATTATCACGATTGACACCGCGTCCTGGTGTTAAACCACCAAACTTTTTGGTACCCTCAGGCCTATACATTCACACCTCAATATGTCGCCGTCGACGTCTCATATATCGGGCCAGCTGAGGCAGTTAATATACTACCATCTCGATAATAATCTGATTCGAAATGCACTGTTCCTTGCTGGCCGTTTGCATGCCTATGAACCTCGAGCTGCGGAAGCTTCCTATCTACTCGCCCTCTGTCATATCCTCAACGGCCAGATTAAGGCAGCCTATGATTACAGTAAAAATTTTGGGTCGAGGGGTACTCATGTTGGCTGCTCTTACGTTTATGCTCAGACATGCCTGGACTTGGGAAAGTATCTTGACGGCATTACAGCGCTAGAGCGGAGCAAAAGTCTTTGGGCTTCGAAAAACCATTGGAGTAAGCAATTTCCATTGATCTCCTTTTCTTGCGACTATAGATTGGTTACATCGTCCTTGTGGTTGAGGCTGATTGTCTTTTTTCGAAAACATAGACAAACACAGCGAAACGCGCAGGCAGCATCTACCAGACGCAGCAGCAGTACTTTGCTTACAAGGTAAACTGTGGCACGCACATAAAGATCTCAATAAAGCCGTGGAATACTACGTTGAAGCTCTGAAGCTGAATCCTTTTATGTGGGATGCCTTTCTGGGTCTGTGTGAAACGGGTGAGTTTGGAGCCTCGCCTTATGATTGCGCTGTCAACGACTGATCGCGCTATAAAGGTGTCAATGTTCGAGTCCCTAATATTTACAAAATGAGCTCCGAATTGCTCAACGTACTATCCTCGTCGCAAGAGGATACCGATCTTCCCCCTGACAAAGTTGCCTCTGCAGGTGGGCCATTGCAAGCTACAGCTAATGTAAACCCAACCTTAGACCCCTTTATGTCTGCCACGTCCCGTAGTGATTCGGGTACTACTCATGGAAGCTCGGCCTTATGGGAGAAATTGAACGGGAGCACTGTCAGCGTGGCATCTACGGGAACATCGGCAGCAGTAATTCGAGAAGGGACGGAAACCCCAGGCGGCCAGAGCAGTGAGTCTGATGAATTTCGTGTGGCTAATGGAGTCGGCGACACAACGTGGGAACCTCCCTTGGCTCCAGCAAGAAAAAATCGAACGATACAATCGATAGGACCCGATCATGGAATGGATCCTCCACCGAAAATGAAGCCCACCGGTATTAGACAAAGGACAAGAATGAGAGTTGAACAAGATGAGGAAACCGCGGCCCAGTTAGAGAAGGAAGCTGTAATGGGATCCCGAGTGGGCGACCGCAAACGAACAGTTTCCGGCCAAGTGGCTCATTCAGCAGCACCAACAGAACCAGGAGCCCCGCAACGCCGCAGCGTACGTCTTTTTAACCAGATAAAACCTACAACCACCAAGCTTTCGGCTACGACAATAGGCATGAAAGATGGCAGGGAACTTAAAAAGGTGAAAGCTACCGGTGCTAAGGGGCGTACTACGGCATCCACGAACGTAGGACGCGTTGTAAGTGGCAATAGGAAGCATGTCGGCGAGATACACGACAGCGACGGGAAAGAGCACAGGCCCATATCAATCGCCCATAGTGGAGCTTCTAATGTTACTTCGAAGACCGCCGCGATTGAAAAGTCTAAGTCCATCGAAGCCCTAACATGGCTATTGGAGCTTTTCTCTAAACTTGCTTCGGGATACTTTGCTTTGAGTCGTTATAGGTGTGCTGATTCTATCCAAATATTCAATGCACTTTCTCAGGGCCAGCGAGAGACACCTTGGGTCCTTTCGCAAATCGGACGGGCGTGCTACGAGCAAGCAATGTATTCGGATGCTGAGAAGTATTTCGTACGGGTGAGGACTATGGCTCCATCCAGGTTAGATGACATGGAGATTTATTCCACTGTCCTCTGGCATCTCAAGAATGATATCGAATTAGCGTATCTCGCGCATGAGCTAATGGAGGTCGATCGCTTATCTCCTCAGGCTTGGTGTGCTATTGGTAATTCTTTCTCCCACCAGCGCGATCACGATCAGGCTCTTAAGTGTTTCAAGCGAGCAACACAATTGGATTCTCATTTTGCCTATGGATTTACCCTGCAGGGACACGAATATGTGGCAAACGAAGAATACGATAAAGCATTGGACTCCTACCGGCATGGCATCAGTGCCGACAGCCGGCACTATAACGCCTGGTACGGATTGGGCACCGTATATGATAAGATGGGCAAACTCGATTTTGCTGAACAGCATTTCCGCAACGCTGCAAGTATTAACCCTACAAATGCGGTGCTGATCTGTTGCATCGGCCTGGTTTTGGAAAAGATGAATAATCCAAAGGCGGCTCTAATTCAATATGGACGAGCTTGTTCACTGGCACCACATTCCGTCCTTGCTAGGTTCCGCAAAGCTCGTGCATTGATGAAACTGCAGGAGCTCAAATTGGCTCTATCAGAACTGAAGATTCTCAAGGACATGGCCCCAGATGAAGCCAACGTGCATTATCTGCTGGGTAAGCTTTACAAATCGTTGCATGACAAGGGCAACGCTATCAAGCATTTCACAACGGCGTTGAATTTGGATCCCAAGGTAAGGGCAATACCCAGATCTGCTACTCGTTCTATAGCATCACTAACGCTGCTAAATTTAGGCTGCACAATATATCAAGGACGCTATGGAATCACTAGATGACGAAGAGGAAGACGATGAAGATATGGCATGACATCCATCCCTCTCCTTTTCCTCTTTCCCCAAGTATTTTTAAACATCCGCGTACCTGTCTCTTCCTTTACCTTCCCCTTCCTATCCGCATCAGTTTTCATGATTTGGTCTTGGTCATATTCCTACTTAGGGCAACTAGTTTTATGATAGTTGGCGTTTCTTTCTCTTTTTCTCCTTTCTGGGTCAGATGTGCGGGAGCATCAGCATTACAGGGGCGTTAGCAGGCCGGTTGGGTAGAGAGTCCATTTCCCAGCATCAGGCTCTCGAAGAGGTGTCGAGGCTCTTTGGTTCTGTATATTAGCGTGGGTTGGCTTTCTCGCATTTAGCTGCGAATGAGACACAAGGACGCCGGGCGACAGATTCATGAACATATACTGTCTGTCGTGTGAGGCGCTATAAGCAATTCATTTTTATGCATATTCTTAGAAGGCTGGTCAATTGAAGAGCTTCAACCGAGGTAAAGCGTCAAAGATCTCATCAACCTCACCGCACCCAGCCAATGGAAGGCGGTGAACGGCCCAACAAAATTCGCCAGAAAAAAAGGCGGAAATAGAAAGACGACTCTAGTTTGGCGGTTTTGCATTCTCCCCTTCCTTCCTGTTGGGGTTGTTATTTTCCTAATGTCCTTCTAAGTATTTTTCTAGAACCCCCTTATTTTATTCTTATTCAGATCGGCCATTGCCATGCCCCAGCCGCTTTTGTGATCCTCTCGTTCACCTGTTCTGTTCCCGAGACTCTCTCGCCTGACCTCATTGCCGCTGAACAGTAAAGGTATGCCGTTCTATCTTCGGTAGTATTTATATCGCTCTGACATGACTTGTAGACTAGAACCCTTCTTATAACTTTGCTGTCATTTACGCCATGTCACTACTGTCCTACGTTACCACGGGCATCAGCTCGTTTGTCGTCGTCACGCTTTCACTCTTCACTCTTGGCCAAAAGGTTCCCCGCGCGGCGTTTGTTGCTCGCTGCTTAGCTTCATACGGGTCCCTTCTTTTCTGTGCCATTTACGGTGTAATCGCTTCGATCATATTGCGCCTAGTAGGCTACGGACGAGTCTCGCAATGGGCCACCGCGCGCAGCTTCAAGTGGATCATGCGGCTTACAACCGGCGTACATTTCGACATTGTCGAAGGCAAGGAGCATCTTTCTACCAGGCCGGCGGTATTCATCGGAAACCACCAGTCAGAGCTGGACGTGCTCATGTTGGGTGCTATCTTCCCCCCGTATTGCAGTGTCACGGCCAAGAAATCCCTACGCCATGTGCCCTTCCTCGGTTGGTTCATGTCTCTCTCTCGCACAGTTTTTATTGACAGGGCAAATCGTGAGACGGCTGTAAAGGCGTTCGACAGCGCTGCAGACGAGATGCGCAACCATCGCCAGAGCGTCTTCATCTTCCCGGAGGGCACAAGAAGCTACTCGGACAAGCCGGAGCTGTTACCCTTCAAGAAGGGCGCTTTCCATCTTGCTGTGAAAGCGGGTGTGCCTATTGTTCCAGTTGTTTCTGAGAATTACTCGCATGTTCTATCTCCCCGGTACTGGAGGTTTAACGCTGGCTCAATCCAGGTCAAGGGTACGATTTTCCCATCTTCCTCTCATGTTGAGCGAAATTACTAGGAAATGAGGCTGACACAACCTAGTTCTCCCTCCCATCAGTACTGAGGGCCTGACTGTGGCCGATGTCGATAACCTGACTAAGTCAGCTCGGGAATCTATGCTCAAGACTCTGTTGGAGATGTCCGGGAAGAACGAAATCGAAGTTGACAGTTCAGTTGTCAACGGTACCTCTACAGCTGTTGAGATCTGACGTATTGCAAAGCTGAACCACGACTATGACCCTTTTGTACCCGACATTCCCCTCGTCAACGTCGGAAGCCCGCATCTTAGCATTGATAAACTGAAACGCGACATGAGACATGAACATCAGGCGTTGTTATCTCTCACATTTCTCCTGCTAATACTTATTGTCTTCTGTTTTCAGTATAGCCCCGCGACATGCGGGCTTCGATAAATACTGTCTACAGACGAGGGCCAAAGGATTGCGTTACACACGTAGACACGAGGAGTGATGACATGAAAACCTAGCGGTTGGCCCCTATGAAACGTTCATTTTAATCTGTCCCTAGGCCTTTTGGATAGGACTGTTTCTACCACAATGTATATATGTCATACGTCCAGTGACACCGGGATCCTCTCCCCCACTGTATCCTGGACCAATACTGTATGTAGCTTACCGATTGACAGAGCATATCTGCTTACTGTTCGAACCTCCTATGCATATGTATATGAACGTAGTATTTTATTCGGCGGGGAGAGAACAAAGACTATTGCAGACATTTGCAAACACCTGTCGCGCAAGGTCTAACGTCTTTCTCGATGTCAATCCTCTGCAACAGCTGCCACGGATCTGCACCATTACTCCCACTTCCACGCCCGATGCCACCTCCTCTTGCCGCAGTAGCAATAAGATAATCTTCCTCAAACGCAACAACCTCGACTCTCACATCCTCCACCTCCTTCTCATACAGCCACGTCTTGACCCCAGTGTAAGGCTCACTCCAAGGCTCCAAGTCCGGACCCGCGGGTTCTGGCGCGAGAACATTCGTAAACACTAATTCCCTCAACCATGGTGCCAACAACGCCTCCCCCGTCATCTTAATATACGCCTCCTTCAAAGCCCAGTAGGCGTAAAACAGACGAAATCCATATTCCACGCGGCTATTCTCGTCCTCGCCTATATGTGGCGGTACCGCATCTAGGCTTTTGATCGTCTCCAACTCGCGGTCGGAGAAAACCTCCGAGAATATACTGACGAACTCGTCTAATGCTTGTCTGGTATTCGGCGTGTTCCGGCGTTCGTTTACGCAGGTGATGTCTATTCCTACCTGCGGTACGGATGGGAGGGGTGTAGAGGATGGGTTGGGGTTTATGAAGATATCCGATGATGTTGCATCCTTGGTGTTTGATGGTGGAAGAATGGTTCCAGCCAGGGCTACCAAGGATGCTTGATGGCTGACGTTGAATTCAATGCTTGGGATTGGTCCGTTGGAGGTTGCATCTTGGAGTTCCTTAGCGGGGATAAAGCACGGCCGGTGATGTGGTGCTGGTGTGCGGCTGATGGTGATTTGGTTCCATGGGATACGGCATGTTCGGTGTACGAAGAGGTATTTCAGAAGATTTGATGCGAGGGACATATGTCTGTCTTTCAGATGGTAATATCGTTTAGCTGACTCCTGATCTGGTGGTTGGAGTGTTTCCAGTAATGGGAGTGCAGAGTTGGTTGATGTTAGGTCTCGAGTGTCAATGTACCACCGTACCAGGGCATTGCTGGATCCATCCTGTTGTGGTTGCATTTTGAAGAGGCTAGGTATAATTCTCGAGACAGAGATGATGAGTAGCTACGTTGTATTGTTGATAAGGCTGACTCCGGTGCGGGGATCGATTTTATGCATGTACTCTACCTGGATAGAGAATATTGTGTATATGGTCCCACCGACGTCATAGTTTCATGTTGAGCTGGTAATATTGATATATCTTCTCGATCTATAGAAGACCGTGAGCATCAATCCATAGATAGAAGCAGACACCCAAGGATTCCTCAAACATCCAGACCAATTAGTGCTGGAGTCATGTTTACCCTACCGATCACTGCGCTTATCATGCGGAGCAGCACGTGGAGATAGTGCGGAATTTTAATGATCCGGCCACGTATACTTGCGGCAAGTGGTCAACGTTTTGACTCATTTTCTATGAAATGTACAGCATTGAAATGAGCATCACTGTCGGGGTTCTCGCCTTACAGGGCGCATTCTACGAGCATATACAGCTGCTGAAACAGGCAGCAGCTAACCCAGCGACAGAGAGCGACACCCCGCCGCAATGGGAATTCATTGAAGTTCGAACCACGCAAGAGTTAGAGAGATGCGATGCGCTTATCTTGCCCGGTGGCGAGAGCACCACTATCTCTCTTGTCGCGGCTAGGTCAAATCTTTTGGAGCCACTGAGAGATTTTGTCAAGTATATTCTTTGAAGGAAAAATGTTCTCCTTATTGAGGGCTGACCATCCATCCTTAACAGGGTTCATCGCAGACCAACTTGGGGAACCTGTGCCGGACTGATCTTGCTCGCGGAATCTGCCAACCGAACGAAGAAGGGCGGCCAAGAGCTTATCGGTGGTTTAGATGTGCGCGTAAATAGAAACCACTTTGGCCGCCAAACCGAGAGTTTCCAAGCGCCATTGAACCTACCGTTTTTGAGCTCTCCTGATCAAGACCCACCTTCTTTCCCAGCTGTCTTCATTCGGGCACCTGTTGTGGAGAGAATATTGCCGCACGAAGAGGGTATCCAAACAAGTGAGCTTCAGAGGGACGAGACCGTCGTAGCACCTTCGAAGCACGCAAAGGACCAAGCGGCCCGTGATGCGATGGCAACAGAGGTCGAAGTGCTAGCAACCCTTCCAGGCAGAGCCGCTAAGTTGGCCAGCGACGGGAGGAACATAGACGCGGACAAAGAAGCTGGTGACATTATTGCCGTCAGACAGGGAAATGTCTTTGGCACAAGCTTCCATCCGGAGCTGACAGGCGATGCCAGGATACACTCATGGTGGTTGCGCCAGGTGGAGCAGTCCGTGAAGAGGAGACAAAAGATAGAGCAACGCTAATCAATGCTTTCCATTATAGAAGTTTGTATAGAAAGTTTTGTCGATATATTGGGTATCGGATGTAAATATTCTTTTGTTGATGCCGTTGCTTTTACAAAAGGAAAGAGATATAATGCATGCAAACGCCGTGCATGCGCCAACCAGACAAGTTCCATAAAAATTACCTACCTTTACCATATTCCTCTTCTTCCCGCTGTCTCTGATCATCGGCATAAGCCCGTCCATAACCACCGCGTCCCGGGTCGTACTCTTCTCGGTATTCATCGCGAACCTGACCACCGGATTTACCGCGACTGCCAGTACATTAGAAACCATTATTTTCGCTTATAAACAAGCGCAACTCCACGTACCCATACTGCCTTCCCTCTTCAAATCCAGGGTCGAGATCAGTCCGGATTATTCTCTCATCGAGCTTGGTACCGCCAATAAATTTCAGGCAATCCAACGCATCTTGGTGTGTGTAGTACTCGACAAAGCAGAAGCCACAGGGCGTCTTCGTGTATCGGTCGAGTCCCATTACAAGCCGTTTAATCTCTCCGCATCTGGGGTTCATCCATCAGTATACGACCTAAAATACGATTGTCGCGTAGTATCTGACTTTGAGAAGAGCTCATGAATCTGTTCCTCTGTTGTATAGAAAGAGCTATGATAGTTAGTTGTTTGAAAAGGCCAACGCTGAAGCATCTGCGAGTGATAGGACATACAGATTGCCAACATAAATCGTTGTAGCATCCTTTAAAGGATCCATTGGATCCTGTGTAGGCTTCTCCGCTTCATCTTGACTGTGCTTGCGCTTCTTGTTCTAACAATGTAAAAGATGCATTAGCGTTTTCTGCGATGCGGCAAATTGCTAACCAAAGACACTGGGGATCTATACCTTTCCCAGGTAGTAGGCGCTTGGCCGATCGAGCCTTTCCACGGTGTTGCGTGGCGCTACGGTCATTGCGGTGAGAAAGGTAGGGATACAATGATAGGGATATAAAAGTAACGGCGATAATGGGCGAAGATGATAAAAAGTTGAAGGTAAGAGAAGGAGTAGCTTGAATGTAGGGAGTTAAAAAGGAAAGCTCACCAATGGATGGAGCTAGGTCCAGGAAACTTATGCCGTTCTTGGCGCTCGTTGTCTAGTGAGTGCTCTGCTTCCGCCAAAATTTCCCCAAACACTGTTTGGTTCTCGGCGCATTGTCCCATCTCATCCCTAGCGCCGAGGTTCTTTCCTTTTGCAATCCCGTCACAGTCGGCGAATGGAAGTTTACTATTAAAGTGAACGAATAGATGCTCCAACAATGCCCAAAGTGATCAGTTACACGCCTCCGTGGCTCTCACGCCCTTCTCCCGGAGCCTCATTGTTTTCAAGCTCAGCACCGAAAATTCCTGAAAATCTCTCAGACAAAATTCGCCAAGATGTTGGTTACACTGGGCCTACTCGCATACTGGCAAAGAGGGGTAATGAAGCATTTACCGTGGTAGACAACCAGATCCGCTGGTCAAGCTTAACGCGGCTGAAGGACGAATGGCAACAACAGACAAGGTCGAGGAAAGGCTCTCTAGACAAAGAAGAAAATCCAGAAGGACAGACGAATGTTAGCCGCAATGTTCAATACAGGGTATGGAAGTTCACAGTATGAGAAACTAAACTTACAACTGACAATTAATAGGTTTTGGTGGTTCCAGTTTACGAACAAATTCGCCAGCTGATCCCCTCTCCTAATGGCGCTTTTCTGGCTGTCGTCGCAGATCATACGGTATATATTGCCGTGCTACCAGACCCTTCTCACCTTTCTGGGACAGACAGCACGCCGATTCGGGTCAAGACCTACCAGCTTGGCCCTACAACGCATGTGATACCTGAGTCGCCGGTGGTATCAGCTCTATGGCATCCACTCGGCGTTCACAGCAATCTTGGAGGTTGTATCGTTACTGTCACGGCAGATGCTGCGGTGCGTGTTTGGGAACTGGACCGGAATAGCCAATGGTCGTTCGACCGTCCCACCCTGGCAGTTGACTTGAGGAAATTGGTGGATGGCACCTCTTCGGACCAGGACTTCTCACCTTCTGGTTTTGGAAAGAATAAGGGATTTTCTGCTGATTATGTTGATATGGAGGTTGCATCCGCTTGTTTCGGAGGCATTGGCAATGAAAGAGAGGACGCCTGGGCACCAATGACCTTATGGATCGCAATGAAGCCGGGTGACCTCTACGCCCTTTGCCCGTTACTGCCTTCGAAGTGGAGAGCACCAGCCACTACCATTCCTTCGTTGTCTGCGGCTATTATTCCGAAGTTGGCAGCTCTGGAGGAGCATCCAGTTGATTCTGGTGATGAGCTGACTGCCTGTCGGCAACAGTACGACTGGTTGACGGAAATTGATAATCAAGAGCCCTTGCATATAGTCCATGATTCAGACGCAGGTCCGGAGTTAGAAATTCTTACTCGTCCTGCCAACCCCAGTGCGATCCCCAGGTTACAAGGGCCTTTTCGTATAGACACCGGCGATGAAGTTGATGATTTGGATCTCTGCGACCTTCATGTCATTGCTGCCAAAGTTGATGTCGATGTTCTCATGATGGGCGAAGAAGATGAACTCGCACTCGAGGACAATGGAGAGGACCAACTATCGGCTACTATCGTCTGCCTCTCAACAGGAAGTGGAAGAATTCATGTTTGTCTCGAGCTCGACGGTGTAGAGGGGCAGTGGCTTCCCAGAGCTAGAAGGAATGCTTTCAGCACCCCCCTCTCAGAGCCCTCTGATCTAATTCTGGTAGAATCTTTGGACACTATGAGGGAGGAACAGCAGTCATTGGAGAACTGGCCTACATTTACGAAAGATGTTCATTCACGATACGGCTTGTTTGTGACCACTGAGACTAATGTAACCTTTATCTCCCTGTCTTCGTGGGTGCAGAGACTTGAAGCGGAACTTCAATCCGAGGACACCAGTGGTTCGGGCTTCCGCCTACAAGTTCTCTGTGAGGGTACTATGTCTCTAAGAGAACGCATCATTCAGGCAGATGAGAGCCATAAGAGTATGACAGAACAGTCAGGCCATCTGTCATCCTCGGTAGTTTACTACGATTACGATCTAGGCTACTTACTGCTGACCTACCATGCTTCTCATCCCTATGCTGCTATCATGGATACCCCTGAAGTTTCGTTTCCGCCACTGACCGAGCTGAAGAATTTTGATACAGATGCTCGCGTTCCTGGTTCTCCCGTATTGCCTCCTCGACGACCCCCTTACCAGGTCCCGGCTATCTTCTACTCAGACTCCCCTCTTGAATTCTTTGTTGACAAACATATTCCACACCGTCAACGCCACACTCTCAAAGAACAAGTCCGTCTGTCTCCAGCGACATTGGACTTGGTAGCCGCTGCACATAGGATCCTGTCTACTCACACTAACGCTCTAGAAAGGGCGGCATCAGACTTGTTCCGCCGGTGTGAACGGTTGCAGGGAGAAATGCAGGAGCAATTGAAACAGCTTTCTGACGTGTCTGAACGGATCAAGGGTGTATCGAGCGAGGTTGGTGAAGACGGAGAGCGGAAGGAGGGCTCTAGGAGCGGTGAGGCCTTGGATAAGAGACTTCAAGCAGCGAAAGACAGACAAGACCAGCTTGTGCAGAGATATGAGGCAATCCGTACTAAGGTCCTAAAATCCGGTGGAAGGCCCCTCAGCGAGAAGGAGAAGTCCTGGGTGGCGGAAGTGGAAGCACTATCGGGATCATTTGGAGAGTCGAAACAAGAAGACCGAGAGGATGGCCAGCAGCTGTCTGAACGACTTGAGACCGTGAGTTTTCCGTCACATGGGCTTTATGCGACGACACTGACGAATACTATAGGTGAAAGAAATCGCAGTCGATCTCCTGGCTGACGCCAAATCCGTAGCGGCCAGGGCACCTACAGCACCCGAACCTGGCAGTCCAGCGTCTCCTGGAGGAGCTCAGCCCAGAGTTCCCCAGAGACTGCAGAGGGCCAAGATTGCAGATGCAATGAAAATGGTGGAACGAGAGTAGGTTTCCCTGTCAACCGCTCCCTTTGACTTGTGCTAATTTTTCTTCCCATTTAGGTCTGCTGTGATTGAAGCAATTTCGTCCCGGCTGGAACGATTGAACGCTAGTATATGAATAAGTATGATTATGTATACTTGTTAGTCTTGGGGGTCAAGCAAAGAGAAATGAATGGACGCTCTACAGTTATGCCAGCTTAGCTCATAGTTGGAAATAGTAATACCTGCACCCAGGAAGCGAGAGTGATTGTGTGTTATCATAAAGGATGGCGTGTTCCTTCGAGTAGCGTAGCGCCTTAAGATATGCCCATCGATCCTTTTCTATTCGTAGAATGATACTTCTTACCAACCCTTGCGCCTCTTCATCCCCTTACGAGAGACGGCTGGGTCGCACGCTCTGGGCACTTCGCACTCATGCTGAGTAGATGATACCGATTTTGCTCTCGAGTCCTCCGAGATCTTTTGGTTGTCTGTTGACTTTTCGATTCATCTCCCTCTGGCTAGCTTCGCAGCTTCCCTAAAAGCATCGAGCTCCAGCATCTCTACCAGCGCAGCCCATTTAAGCACCGTTCCTTCTTTCCTCGAAGAGTCCTTGCACATACTGTTTTCCTCAGTTTGTGTTACTCTTCGACCCGTATATCAGGGAATTTTCTTGCAGAGTGTAGATTTCATGTCAAAGATGCATCCCACAAAGTGTGAACTTGCAGGCTAAGTATTCACACATATTGCTCAGATAAATTTGCTTGATAGGGTGATAATGTCATTCAGGTGCCTGAATATGATGGGAGGCAGTGCAATTGAGGGTTTGTTAATAAGGGTAGTATTATGGATGTGGCTGCTAATAGGCATTGCGCATGTACAACAGAATCAGGATAATAAAGAGAGGAATGATTATTTATAAGGATTGCAGGTTGATGAAATAATGCAGTCAGGTGGTGGCTTCGAAGACCAACAAAAATATAACATTATTGGGTAACCCTGGGAAGTGCCATGGTGATAATGCATGAAACCATGGCACCAATATAGTCGCTTTCTTCCCCAGTGAATGCTCTCTACATCTCATTCTCCCCAACTTTGTTCCTCTCAGTCTCTACTTGCATACCATCCAAATGTACCTTCTTTGAATGGCTACATAGCAAGTCTTCCTTGTTCCCTTTCTGCAAGTCACCCTGAAAGCATCAATATTCTTTGTGCACTCCCGTGCCCTAACCAACATGGTAGCCGTCCGCATCTTCAAGTTCCAGAAAGAGAACCTCGATATCCCCTCTCACCTCAAAACAGTCATACCAACAGAACTCCGCGACGCATTTTATCGCGCGAGATTCGCAGCCGGAGTAGCCTTTCGATACGTAGAGTATATGGCACTCCGCCACGCAAACCGCTATCAGGCGATGTGCCCGGCCAAAAGCGTCCACTATCGTAACCACCAACTATCCATCTTACGTCTGTTCAGCTGGCACCATGATTACCACTGGAGGAACCCGACGCTCGCCCCAACCGAGAAGCTCGACCGAGCCCTTCTTGATTTCCACATAGATCAGACCGCCTACCGGAGCTACGAGGCTTCCTTCATCAAGTATCGAGAGTCACTCATGGTCGGTCCGTTTCGGGCATGGCAGCACGCGAAGCGCGGGGTGGAGGTCATGGCCGCAAAGTCGAAGCTTAGTGAGGTGAATCGCCGCATGTGGAATCAATTCTGGTACATCAATTTTCAGGGAGAGATGCTGAAATGGGAGTCTCGGTTTAAGGCGCTCGTTATCCCGCCTTGGGAGGAGATTGTTGACGAGCTCTACGAGGCGATCTTGGAATGCGTCGAGGGTGCTGAGGATTTTCTGGCCAATTCTGGTTATGATACTGGGAGCAGGGATGGTGTCTGATCTGAAGTGTCTGGATTCGATTCACGATACACTTGGTCATACTCGATTGTCAAGAGTCTGTACGTATTTGTTGGTCTAGGTCTCCGCGCATCCTTTTGGGAAATGCACGTTTGGGGCTTTGGATGGACTATGTGTCTGCAGTTGGCACTTTTTGAGACAGGAGGCATGTTCGACTTTCTTCTAGTAATGTATTTGTGACTAGTCTGAGTAGTGAAATCTGCTTTGTTACTATTTCATATTCAGCAGGATTGCGCTAGGTAAAATATGTACTTGAACCGCCAGTATGATGCTAAATGCTTACACTCATGAGTTGTTAATCAAAATATTAATTTACATTAGTGCGTCAAAGCTCCGTAACGGGTCAAGAGATGTAGAGACTCATATTTGCATCCTTATTTTGTGGCCTTTGTTAATATGTATATCCTTGTTATCTATATAAATAGCAACGTAGCACATGACTGAAACATGCCCTAGCTTGGCAACATAAGAAGGTAATACGCAACTAGACGAAGGATTAACTGCAAACATATTCACTATCATTGTTATGAAATCAGCTAGGCAGTTAATTAAGTTACCTAAAATTAAATTGCATAAATTGACCATGATATGTGCCTTTTTGTACTACGTATGTCCTCACAACTATATAGCACAAGACACAGCCAACGACGAGAGAATCAAATTAATGTAAGTTACTGGGATTGATGCTGGTACTAAACACGTTCAATGTAGTAAACGGATCGATCCCAATTGCAATTTCTTAAATTTGGATTTACTAGGACTTATGTGTCGATGGCTGCCATGGAACATGAAGTTATGCTCACAAATACGCATTGCCATTCAGTATACATGATTATGACCAGATTTTTTTAAGACTAGATATATGGTATCCACATGAAAGGGGAAAGAAGCGTATCACATACACATCACTCTTCTCTGTAAAGACATTTATATTTGTGTATCAAAGCAACAAATTATAGCATTTATTGGATGCTGCAGAAGATAAAAGTCAGAACGTTCGCAATTTGTGCCGATCAATCATCTCAACTTACCGCTCAATGAGATGGACACCTGATGCTGTGTCAACGATACTACTGACCTGGCCAGGCTGCAGAGCAAAGGCGGCGTCCTCGAATTCTTTCTGCATTTCTCCGTGCCCGAAGAACCCACTAGAAGTGTGTTAACGCCACGCGGGAACAAATCCACAGATACTTTGTGCTTGCACATACAGATCACCCCTCTTCCTGGCACTGCTACAGTCTGATTCAGACATAGCAAGATCACCCAAGCTGATCTCACCAGAGTTGATCCGCGCTTCGTGGCCACGGAGGATTTCAATTGCCTCCTCCTTAGATCGTGTAATTTCCGACTCTCTCCAGCTGCTGGGACGCCGACTGTCCCTATGTTTGACAAGAAGGTGGCTGCAGCGGATCTTCCCTTCGCCCTGACTTGTACCATCAGGCCGACCTGTGGGGCCGCTATGGTAGTTGGCCATGTAAACCTTGAGCGTCTCTGTATCAGTGCCTGATGGAGGCTCCCACCGAGACTCTTTGGTCATAGGGTTGAAATAGTAGGGGAGGTTTTTTGAGTTAGAATGGCGGACCTCCCATCCTACCGGAAGACCTGTTTCAACCTAGAAAAAGCCGGTTGAAGTGAGTACAAAGCTATATAAATAATTGATGATTGAGTATATGTGATATGGAGCATACCATGGTGATTTTGGACAAGAGAACTATGGGGTTGAAAGCTTCACTGAAACGGATTTTTTCAGGGTAAGCAAGGATTACAGGAAATCCGACAGACAAAATGCAAGTAAATGACTGCAGTAGAAGCTCCTGCGGGACAGACTGCGGGGGAGATGAGGGACAGCCACAAACTATGCAAACAGGCCCGACAATGCAAACATTCCGCATAAAGGTGTGTCCGTGCGCTCCGATTGTGTTTTAGTGCATTTCGATGTAGGCCTTCTTCGGACTTCCATCGCAGGCATTGTTCTTAGTTGCAAGCACTATCTTCGGCACTAATCTTATTAAATCCAAACACGCGAACGCCTTTTACATCTTGCACCAAGCTTCGAACTCCTTTTCAGCCTTCTGCTGACCTAGCCACTCCAGCTTTTCTCGAATTTTTAACTTTCACCAAATGTCTGCCAGCCCATCTCCCTCTGCCGGTGGCGATAGCAAGCCGAATGAACAGGTTCATTTCCGTTTTTGTCGCGAGTGGTAGGCGCTACTCTCCCCTACCCATTCTGCTGATACCAACACTAATCGTTTTTGTTTTAGTTCGAATTTGCTTTATCCGAAAGAAGATCGTGTCAACAACCGTTTGATGTTTACCTGCCGAACCTGCCACGTCGGAGAGCCTGCGATGTCCTATTGCGTGTATCAAAACAAGCTCAACAGCCAAGTCGGAGACACAGCTGGTGTGACTCAGGATGTGGGATCTGATCCTACGGTTTGTCTCCCAGGCTTCTGTGCTCATTGCGGGAGGAGATCACTTGCTTTTCATGCGGCCAGCTCTCTGAGTTGTCTGGATATGATTATGAGTGGCTTCCAGCGCTTTGAAAAAGGGCTCAAATTTGGGTCATGGAGAGATATCAAGTGGACTTGTATTTCCGTGGCTAACATGCTCTGTCTCGTTCTAGCTTCCCCGGTCCAACAAGGTCTGCCCGAGCTGCGGTGAAGCTGAAGCGGTTTTTTTCCAGTCACAACAGCGATCTGCGGAAACTGGAATGGTGAGACTTCTACCCGATTTAAAGCTATCAACGAGTGACTGACACCTACTGTTCAGAAACTTTACTATGTCTGTTGCACATGTGGTAACGTCTTCGTATGATTTGAAAATGTTTTTCGTGTTTCCGATACCCATTATTGGTCCTTTTACAGCATGGTTATGGAGTTACGGCGACGTCAAAATAAAAAAGAGTTTTCAAGGGATATTTCTATTGATACAGAGTAGATACGTAAATGGACGCTTCGCTTTCATAAGGATATTATACATGCATCGGTGCCAACGACAAAATTTTCGACCATTGCTTTCCTCGTAGTTCTGTAGCCACGACTCCTGTAATCCCCGTCAGATACTAGTAATGGAGCTAGTGATGAAAGAATACTGACCGTTCATTCTTGTTCCGATAGGGTCCCCAGACTTGTTCACCAACACACAGGCATTATCGTCGAACTTGACAATGGAACCATCTGGTCTCTGCATTTCTTTCTTCGCCCGGACGACGACTGCATGTCTGATATCTCCACGACGGACTTTGTTTGCAATACCGCTGTTGTTCGTGCTCTCCGGGCCAAAATTCCGTTGTTTCTGAACAACCACAACGATTCGGTCACCTAATACCCATCACATTGATCACCGTTAGAACCGTACCAGTGAAAAATAGGAGAGAGGAAATGAAGCTTACCGACGGTAGCCGGGCGCTTCTTCTTCAAGACATTCACGCACTCGACAACCGCAGCACCAGAGTTGTCGATGCAATTCAGCATCGTCTGACGGATATTTATTAGTTAAAAAAAAGAAAAAAGAAAAGTCCACAGATTTCGCTTTTGGAAACGAACAGAATCGCAAACTCACCTTTAATTGAATCATCTTGATTACACGCCCTAACTGAAGGGGGGGGAACAATCAACGTATTTAAGTAAAGGGTAGACTTATCCGTCCGAAAGGTTTCCAGCACGGCCGGACCGGAAAGGTTTTACCGACCACCGACCCCGGACGGCGGACGGGGCGTTGCAGCAGCGTCCACTCATTTCAGAGTTGCATTTATTTAATTAACTGGGCAACACAGCCGTGTGTGTTGTGCTTGGAGCCTCTTGGATAGTCGCCCACTTTCCCATTCGTGCGCGCTAACTTCCCCTGGGGGCCTTTTTTCCTTTTCATTATGCCTGTTGAACTGGGTCTTTCTTGTCCTATCCAATAATTGTCTCACCCTCTCACACTCTTTTTGAAATTCTACCCCCTCCCTTGTGTCGATAGTATTCCCGCTTTTCTCCTGTTTCTCCTTTGCCATATAGACACATCATTTAGCACCAGCCAATTAAGACCAAATCCTTCACCACACCCCCAACTCTCTTTGTATGGGATTTTTGTGATCTCGCAGATTGACATGCCATCTTCAAAAGCCAGAGACAGTCCCTCTGTCGAGCGGCGCGACCGTCTTACGCTTGCGAAATTGGCCAGCTATGACGATGTCGCGACGGATGCGCTGGTCGACCGGGTACGCCGTCTCACTCAGATAGAGGCTTTTTGGATTGTTTCTAACGTAGTTTACCTCGCAGGCCTATTTCTGGACGAATACCCGCAAAAACCGAACTAAATATATTCCTGTGCGAGGGATACATGACGACGATGTCGCTCGTATTCTCCTTCAAGATGTCATCGTTGCCAAGGACACAGTGAAAGCGGAAACACAGTTGCTATCCATGTCAGGGATGAAAAAGTACCTGGCTAAGCTCCCGAATGACCGTGAGAAGGAATGGTTCCGCCGGCATCTGCGCAAATACATCCAGATGTATCTTCCGGACTCGCCGTTCGAAGTCACTACGACCAATCGCTACACGATAACCGAGCATGAGGCGGCGATCTGTGCCCGGAAATTTATCAAACAGGGCGAAGAGATCAAGTATCTAAGCGGCACACTTGTTCCCATGACCCGTGAAGAAGAGCAGGAATTGGATCTGAAGAGGAAGGATTTTAGCATAGTCATGTCCAGCCGAAGGAAAACACCATCTTTCTTTCTTGGCCCCGCTCGCTTCGCCAATCATGACTGTAACGCCAACGGGCGATTGGTAACACGGGGGTCGGAGGGCATGCAAGTCGTGGCCACTCGAGACATTTACACAGGAGAAGAGATTACCGTTTCATATGGCGATGATTACTTCGGCATCGACAATTGCGAGTGCCTTTGCTTAACATGTGAACGTGTAGTTCGCAATGGGTGGGCGCCTCACGTGGACTCTGAGGGAGAGTCAAGCAAGGCATCCACTCCAGCTTTGAATGATGAAGTGATGTCTAACGACAATTCACTTTCTCCCAGAAATCGCAAGCATCCCTCTGACAGTGATTCTGAGATTTCGCCCTCCAGTACACCCCGGAAGAGGACCAAATTTACACGTCAGAACTCTAAATTACGGTCAGCCGTGTCGCTTGCAGACTTTGCTCCAATGTCAGACAATCCACCGCTATCGACAGAGACTCTAGTTGTGCAACAGGCTACGGAAGCCGCTAGTGTAGCCGAGGATGCCATTGAACCTGCAAAAGGTTCTGCTGTGGAGGTTGCTGTGGTGGTCACCCAAACATCAGCTACTGACTGTGACTCGCCTCCTTCGCTCGAGGCCGACGACTCGCAACTCTTGTCAACGTCAACCACACCTACATCTCTCGGTGATGTTAAGATTAAGGTGGAGGATTTGTTGGAGGCCCCCCTCCCCGAAACGGGGTCTACAACAACGGCTCACCTCGCACTTTCAGCCACAGACCAGCCTCGCGGCGACCGACGTTTACTAGGAAATGATAGCGACGCATTGTCCGAACTGTCGGATTTAGTTGACATGGATGACAAGCTGGCTACTGTCCAAAAGCCGAAGAGATCGAGGGGTTCTTGCTGGAGAAATAGCGTGGTCCCGTCGGTGGAGGAAGAGTCGCACCGTGTTCGGGTTCCTGGAGACTACACCAAAACTTCCAAATTGCTTGCACAAGCCTACGATCGGTGGGTAGACTGTCATACTTGCCATGCCTGGTTTGTACAACAAAATTCATATCTCACTCGGCGAGAGTGTCCCCGTTGTGAGCGCCACTCCATGCTATATGGATTTAGATGGCCGAAGACCGACAAGGAGGGCCCAATGGATGACGAGGAGCGAGTAATGGATCATAGGACTGTCCACAGGTTCTTGTACCCAGAGGAAGAAGCTCGTGTCTCTCGCAAAGACCGTGGAGTCAGTTTCGGCGTCACGCCCACTCCTGAGCTATCTGAGCCTCGAACGGAGACAGAGGACAGTGAGGCGTGCGAAGACCGGCGCAACACCAGAGCGAGCAGAAGACGGACTCGTTCGCTTCGGATGACCATGTAACGACGACGATGGGTAATCAATTCATATGCAGCATTGGATGCTGAACTGGAGTTTCGGGTAACCCTTTCCATCTACTTTCAGTGCAGTTGGCGTTTCATCTATATTGGGTACGGTGCCGTTGATAAGGCTTATTAGGACTTGTTAGACGATTCCATGTAATTTTTTCTTTTCATTTTCGTTTTTATTTTTCCTCTATTATTATCCTTTTACTTTTTGGTTACGATGTACAGATTTGGGTATCTTCTATCAAGTTCTTTCTTTTTATTAATCTTTTTCTTTGTGTTGGTGGTGGTTGGGATTACTGTTAGGACGGAGGGAAAGGAGGGCATGTCACTTATTGGGCATTCTATCGGAATCCCTTGGGTGTATAACAGATATTGAATATTACGAACATTAGACCTACTCGATCAGGTGATACATCCTTCGGCTTCCCCCCCGCAATGGAGAAGCTGGGGAATATTCCTGCACCAATGGCATTCCGCTGCATCTCCGTTTCTCTAGATTTAGTTCCTTCGTATCTTGCAGTTCTGGCGAAAGACCCGAGTATGATTCAATCTCGGTATATCTAACACCGACTCAGATGGGTTGGCAAAAAGATGCCGTGATTGCATATAACAGACCTCGCGAGCATACCTGACGTTCCATATGGGTCAGTTCTGTGAGAAGGCCCGTCTCAATCATGGCACTCATCTATTACCTGCTTACCTTGTGTTTCTCTCTAACACTCTCCATTGCTAGAGCATATGATAATCCTCTCGTCAATCTCGACTATGGTGTGCTCCAAGGCAGATATGATTCGACCTATAATCTCTCCTACTTTCGTAAGATCCCATTTGCAGCTCCGCCAACGGGAGAGAATCGCTTCCGTGCTCCCCAACCTCCTCTAAGAATAAACGATGCTGTGTATGACACCGACCAAGATTTCGACATGTGTCCGCAGCGTACTGTTAACGGTTCTGAGGACTGCCTCTACCTCGGTCTGTTCTCACGGCCATGGGATGTACGCTCTGCAGTTTCCGTCAGAAGACCAGTCCTAGTGGTATTTTATGGCGGTGGCTTCATTCAAGGAAGTGCATCCTTTACCTTGCCACCGCCGTCCTATCCCGTCCTCAATGTGAGCAATGTGAATGACTACGTGGTCATCTATCCTAACTACCGTGTGAACGCATTCGGCTTTCTATCGGGCAAAGCAATTAAGGAATCCCCAACGTCAGATCTAAACCCGGGGCTTCTTGACCAGCAATTTGTGCTAAAGTGGGTTCAAAAGTATATCCATCACTTCGCCGGTGATCCTCACAATGTCACTATTTGGGGACAATCTGCCGGAGGAGGTTCAGTACTAGCTCAAGTGCTGGCGAACGGTCGAGGGAAACAGCCAAAGCTTTTCTCAAAAGCGCTAGCAAGCTCACCCTTCTGGTCGAAAACCTATGCCTATGACTCCCCGGAAGCAGAAGCTGTCTACGACCACTTAACCAACCTGACCGGCTGTGCAAACTCCTCAGACACCCTCGCCTGTCTCAAAACGATCGATGTCCAGACCATACGGGATGCGAGCCTGGTCATCAGTAAAAGCCACCAATGGACAACAAGCACCTTTACCTGGGGCCCGGTTATCGATGGCGACTTCCTCTTCGACACACTCACCGAAGCGGTTACCAGCCACTCGCTCCAGACAGAGTTTATCTTTGGGATGTACAACACTCACGAAGGGGAGAATTTCGTGCCAACTGACTTGCGCTCGCTAAATATTACAGATGGCTTCAATTTTTCTACGGCCAACTTCCACCAATGGCTCGTTGGGTTTTTGCCCGGTCTGTCTCCCGAGCAAATACAGCTTGTCGAGTCGAAGTATTACCCGCCTACAGGGGAGATAGAGACTATTGATCTAGACAATTCAATGTATGTACGCGCAGGACTTGTCTATAGAGATGCTGTACTCGCCTGTCCGTCGTATTGGATAGCGTCCGCGGCTGCGAGTGCTGGGTATGTGGGTGAATATACTATCTCGCCTGCGCAGCATGCGAGTGATACCATTTATGTATGCCGTCTCTTCATTATTGGGAATTTCTATTTGGGTCTGGGTCTTGCTGACAGTGGTTTTAGTGGAACCGTGTCAACTCTGTTCAGCAGACCAACGAATTGGTGTATAAAGGCTACGCTGGGGCCTTCGCTAGTTTCTTTCAAACGGGGGATCCTAATGCGCATAAGGTAACGAATGCTTCGCAGCCAGGGGTGCCGATGCTTCGGAGTAGTGAAGATGAATTTGTTGTTACTGAGACTGGGTTCGAAAGGGCAGGGGTAGAGTTGCTGCGGGAGAGGTGCGACTTCTGGAAGTCGGTGGGAGAAAAGGTTCCCGTTTAAGATAGCTTCTGTATGTCCATGTAGGGTGTATGGTACAGTACATTGAGATAAAGTCTCAGTGGCTAACGAGCGTGATTGCGTGAGTCGAATTTCGTGTCTATACTTTTGAAATATATTGTACAATATTATACATTTCTTGCTTGAAACCGTCCTGTATATAGTATTTACTGTGTGTATTTCCGAATGTCCCCATGTCCTAACGCCGGTCCTTGTACGTAAAAATTTCGATTGTGTCCGTGCGGCACATCCCTTAGATCAATGCTTGTCCTCTGAACATACCATCACGGACCTCCTTGACAACGTCCTTTCGGTCCTTCTTTCCGACTAGTACGATACCGCGACCACGCTTATTCATCCGACCGAGACGTCCTAGACGGTGAATAAAATCGATAGTCGTGTGCGGGACATGATATAGGATGACTGTCTTGACGGGTAGGGTGTCGATGCCTCGCGATGCCAAATCGGTAGTAACGAGAACCTTGGTATTAGGTAGCCGGCGGGTATTTGCAGCTTTGTTGGATCTCTCGGGCAGTTCAAAGGGAATAGCGTCTTCCTGACGCCTCTTCTTTTGAGCTAACATGATTTGCTCTGGGCTTGGTGGAGGTGCTGTCTCGGTGAATTCCGCAAGGATCTCTTCTTGTTTCCGGGCACTGGAGTCCCGAGAAAGAGACTGAGCGTCAATCCCCTTTGACTGTAAGAATTGGGCCACCTCGTCGGCTTCCTCGCGCTCATTGACGAACACGAGAATCTTCTTGATGTTCGGTCCAACGTAAGATTCAAATGGGTCTGCGGGCTCTGAATCACCGGCCTTTCCAATCGACCAGATCACATCGGCGCAAGCCAAGCTTCGGTTTCCTCGGTAGGGTTCCTTCTGGATGTCCACCACTCCCAGCTGTACTCGACGTGGAATGGCATGCAGATTGGGCGTAGTCAATCTTTTGATGTCCGGATAACGCTTGCGTAGCAGATTGTCGAGACTGCGAGGAATCGTAGCCGAGCACAGAATGAGTTTGCGGAGTGACGGTGCTACCTTATCGATGACTTCGGTGGTTGTCGGCAAGAAGGATCGGTCCAGAAGCGAGTCAGCCTCATCAAGAACCAAGTGGCTGACCCGACTCAGCACATATGGTTCCGTCTTTGCGATGGACGCAAGCAAGTGAGGAGTAGACACAAGGATGTCAATACCATCTGGGTTAAAGAGGGTGCTCTTAATCCGGCGAGGAGTCAGGTTAGATGATATCATGCCTGACCGATATTTGATCGTGTGAGAAAGAGCCTTCACTTTAGCACCGACTTGCGCTACCAACTCGGAGGTTGGCACCAGAATGATGACTCTAGGTCTGCCGGCATTGGACAGCGGAGGCTCCTCAGGTTCAATATCGAAAGCCTTGTTTTTCAATTTCTCCTCCTTTTCCTTCGCTTTTTGTTCCGCCTCCCTCTTCTCATTCTCTTTATCCTCTGCCTCTAAGCGCTTAACAGCATCAACTAAAGGAACCAAGTACGCCAGTGTCTTTCCCGAGCCCGTCTCTGCAGCCAGAAGGTACTGATCGTATTGAGGCTGATCATCAGCTCCGAACTTTCGTTTTGGATCCGTTGATTCTTCCATGAGCTTAGGAATTGCAAGACGCTGTATTGGGGTGGGCGTGACATCGACCAAACCGGGAAGAGCTTGAGAGAAGATCGAGTGGCGAACAACTGGTAGGATTGGGAACTGATCAAAACTCGTAATGTCGGCAAGCTTATGCTTGATCGCAGTCCTGCGACCATAAGTGATAGGAGCCAGTGTAGTCTGCATCTTGAGCGCTTTGTATAGTGGGCTCTCGCTTTTCCGCAGCTTATCTGCCGACGGCTCTCCCGAGCGTCTCAATGCGGCTTGAGACCGTTGTCGAGGTTCACCACGAACGCGAGCTTCAGTCTGATTCATTCCCGCCCATGGTCCAGACCTTTCCTTACCTGAGCGCTTCTGGTTGATTGACGGCTTGGCGACATCAGGAGACAAGGCCATCCGGGCAGCTCTCCGACGAAGACGAGCTGTGGCCATGGAGCGCGCGACCTGCGATACGCTCGAAGGAAGGAGATTGGGGGTCCGGCTTCGGCAGAGAAGACATACCGGGGGAGGAACCACCAGGGACATCCTACCTAGCTGATTCATGATGGGTGAGGAGAAGGTGAGAGAAAGGTGAGAGAAAAGATGATGAAATCTCCGCTTCCCAAGAAATTCCTTGGATAAGAAAATCAAGGAAAGAAGCTCAGGGCACCTGCTGATCCCGCGCTAGGCCCAGGTGGGCTTAGAGCGATCGGAGCCGCACCCAGGGCCCCAGGCGTCAAGGCCACCAATACGCTCAGGCGGCGAGACCGAAACAAGTGTTGCTATGGAGACTCCCGCCAGCGAATGTCAACATGGAACATACCCTCCACCATCGCCATCCAGGTCTCCATGTCTATCTTCTCTTAGTACTTAACAAAGTCTATTTACCTTTTCATCCTTCGATCCCTCGACTTTATTTCTCTTCTACGGTCCGGTGGTGGATGGTGTATTTTTTTTTCATTCTCTCCCTCGCCCTTGTAGTTCCATTTTCATTTGTTGCGCTTTCTATTCCCATCGGACTTCGTTCTATATCCCTTCGTTATCGCATACTATCCCTCCATTACACAGGAATAAAGGGTGCCAAACCTAACGAATCGGCAATTTTTTTTGAAAGGTCTCCCTGTTTTTTTGTCACGCATAGTCCAACCTTGTTATGATTCTTACGAACAGATCAAGTCCTCCACTACTAAACTTCGTTATTTGATTTCAAGCGATTTTTCTTATCAGCTTCCGTTGTTGTTGTTTATCAGAATCAGGTAAGGCGCGTCATTCCAGCAAGGGACATCGGAGATTCTTATGTTTTCTCCTTGCTATGCGATGAGGAAACGGGCCTCGCTGACATCTTAACGTCAAGCGTTCCTCTCTCCCAGGCTAGTCTTTGGCAGTATCACAACAGAAAAAGAAAAATTACCCTGCAAGATGGGAAGTGGTGCTGGTCAACGGCCACTTTCGGAAGTGAGCCCAATGGCTCAAAGACGAAACTCTCCTATCTGGAACCAAACCACTAAAGTATGTGTTTACCACGTCGCGTAACCTGGCAACAGAGCTGACGATAGTCGCGTAGACGATGAGGAATAGCAATGACGCCTATGAGGCCAAGTCCTCACCGCGTCTGTTTTGGCAAGGACGTGAATCTGGATCTCCATTTGCGAAAAGCCAGGAAAATCAGGCTCCTTATGATCCAGCCTCACCTTTTACCAAATCGAAGCGACCATCTATCGAAAATTTGAAGCGGCAATCGCGAGTCAAGAACAGCAACATGCTTCGTGACTATAACCAGGAGTACGACCCAGCAAATATCTATGTCCCGCACAGGCCCTTAGCAACAGTTCGGTCACCACAGAAGGAAACGCACACCGTGCAAGCATCGCAACAGCCCAGCAGGCAGGAGACTGGCCCTGTAGGCCCACGACCGCCATCACCCAGCAAGGAACAGGTACCTCCAGCAAAGTCCTCGCTGTCCCGCGCAAGCCGTTTTGGCATTAAGGACATGGGATTTGATCCAGAGAGTGAGATCTGGTCTGATCCGGACAACCGACACGCAAAAAGTGTCACATTCGATGCCGCTCCCCCACAAGTTAACGAGTACGAAATGACAACGCCAGACCCATCCTCAGTGGCCTCCGGTTCTCGCGAAGGGAGCTATGAAACGGATGAGGATGAGTTCCCCGATATTAGTTTCGACCGCGAGTCGTCAACAGATCGTGAGGATAGCTTTGATGCTTCGCTTGAGGACCTCGAGAAGACACCTGTTGTCCTACCGGAGGACTGGCGTTACATGAGTCCAGCCAATGCGAATGACGATTTGGTAAAAGAAGACGAGGACCCCTTCACCGAAGATGAGGAAAGCCACAATGACGATCAACGGCCTTCATCATCTCGACAAGAGCCCTCCGAGAAACACTCCCGCGTTGAATCCCTAGATTCAAATGGGGAGCCTCGCCCCCTTCCTCCTCTCCCAGGTCGCACCTCATTTTCTCCACATGCTCCATCCCCCGGTAAGCTGGCTGCTGCATTTGAGCTAGGAAGTGGTGGCCAGCGGGTTCTGCCATCCCCTCCTGGACCGGCTTCCTACAGCAAGTCAGAGATTACCGATTTTGGTCATTCCACAATGCCACTGGAGGACCGGTTGCGTTTGATGATGATTCAAGGAAATGGACAGGAGAGTGCTGAAGCCGAACATGGAGGCACAGAAAAACTGTCGACGCATGATGATGACGATCAAGGGGAAACAGCGAATCACCCGAAGCAACCAGAGCAGCATGACACTCAAACTGTAGCAGAGACCCTGGGAGATACGTCGGAGGCTTTTTCCCCTCCTCATATCTCCAGGGACTCAATCCTGCGTGACCTGAGGAGGAGCGAAAGCTTCTTAGATGACTCGTTTGACGAGGCTTCTGAGATCCCTTCTAGCCCTCATTCTTACATGAATTATGACCCCGATATTCCAATTCCGTCCCTTGAAAATGATGATATAATGCTTGACGACGGTGATGACTATTACGATGATACCACTAGCGTGGTAATCAAAGAAGAAGAGCACGACAACGACCTCTACGAAATACCCGACTATTACGGAACAATCCAGTCGAAGGATTCGTCAATGAAGAGCTTGAAGGATAAGCAGACTGTCGATGAAGATGGGCTATCTTCCAGCAACAATATGGAAGACGATTTGACGGAGAAGGGCAGCCCTCGAATCTCTGAAGGCCAGGCGACCCCAATCCCCGCGGATCGCAACGAAGAGGCTTTGAGCGATCAGGGACCCAACGAGACCCAGGAAGAACAGGGACATGCCCCTGCTCCTAAAATGACAAGTATCAAAGAGGCCTTGCAGCGTCCAACAACCCCTGAGCGTCACGAGCAAATTTCGGAGCCCTCAACCCCAGACTCTGTAATTCGCCATCCTGTTGACGAAGCCAGTGACAGAGGGAGCCCGGTGGCCGAAAGTGTCCCTGACCCTATTGCAACAGTCAAAGCCCCAGGTGGTCTCAAGACACGACCCTCGTTGACTCCAGCTGATTTAGAGTCTATGGCTGCCACTCGCCGCAGAATTAGCGGACAACACCCTCCGCATATGCCCATCCTCACCAAGCAGCATTCTCATGAATCTGACAAATCTGAGAAATCCACCCCTGCTGATTCCACTCCGCCCCAACCCAAAAAGGAAGTTTCCCAACGACAAAGCAGTCTCATGCAACTAGATATCCCGTTTAGCATCCAGGAAGAAAGCCTCGGCTTCGGTCTAGACAAGGAGTTTGACCGAGTCATTGAAAACCAAAAGGTTGCGTTTCAGTTATCCCTTTCCCAATTGTACTCTCGTACCGGGCCCATCACACATATGCAGGAGTCCCTTGTTAATCAGATAGAGCCAATTGCTAACAACCCAATCCCTAAACAGAGAGGTTACCTCATGAGACACAATACGAAAGTCATTATTGCAAGCAGTCGCAATGAAGATGAGCCCACCACTGCTTTTGAAGGCGCCCCTACAGACTCCCGTGGACCCAAATCCGTTGCGCCGACACCCCGCAAGGCAAGCCAGCAAACTTGGACCACCGTGCCTTGGAACGGGCAGACTCGCCGCGCAAGCATTAGACAAGCGAGCGGTATCCGCAAAAAGCCCGTTCCTGGACCCGTGCCGCCTCTTCCAGGCCAGCAGAGCAACGTTCAAGAAACCCCAGCAACAATCGAAGAAGCTGAGCCAGCTTTGAATGGGGCCCTTGAGGAAGGCGAGGAGCGAGGTCGTCTATTCGTGAAGGTTGTTGGAATGAAGTACCTGGACTTGCCGCTTCCACGAGGTAAGTTGTTATTCTTGTAATGTGCAGAAGCGACAATAGCCAACGCAGACTTTAGGCGAGAGATCATACTTCTCACTCACTCTTGACAACGGTCTCCACTGTGTTACTACGGCTTGGCTGGAACTCGGAAAGACGGCCCCAATCGGGCAGGAATTCGAACTTATCGTGCAGAACGACCTAGAATTCCAGTTGACTTTGCAGATGAAGGTGGATGACGACAAGTTCAGGGTTCAAGAACCTCCTCCTACGGCATCTCCCACACGGCAGAAAGCGTCTACCTTCAGCAGGGTGTTTGCTTCCCCTCGCAAGCGAAAAGAATTGGATATGAAACAGCAATTGGCCTCCCAACAACAGAAGAGTAAAGATGTCAACGCAGGTGTCTGGGACCGCCTCAGGACTCTCATTGCTCACGACGGTAGTTTTGCTCGTGCATATGTGGCACTCAGTGATCATGAAAAATATGCCTTTGGCCGTCCTTACACGGTTGATATAGCCTGCTTCAATGAATGGGCCGTGGAGGACCAGCCAAGCAGTGTCAAGAGCAAGAAGAGCACCTCCAGTGCCACGTCACAACGGCGACCTCCTTACAAGATCGGCAAGTTGGAGTTGCAGCTGCTATTTGTACCAAAGCCAAAGGGTGCGAATGATGAAGATATGCCAAAGAGCATGAACGCATGCCTTCGTGAAATGCGTGAAGCCGAAAGTGTTTCATTCCGTAGCTGGGAAGGCTTCCTGTCTCAGCAAGGTGGTGACTGCCCCGTAAGTGCTCGACACCCCAGTTTTTTCTCCGCATTAATTCACTAACTTATCTGCATTAGTACTGGCGGCGCCGCTTCTTCAAGCTTCAAGGTTCCAAATTGACCGCGTACCATGAGACAACACGTCAGCCTCGTGCGACCATTAACCTATCAAAGGCTGTCAAGCTCATCGATGATCGGTCATCCCTAACTCAAAAGGAGACGACAACAAGGGGAGGGAAACGGCGCAAATCTGCCTTTGCCGAGGAGGAAGAGGGTTACATGTTTGTGGAAGAAGGATTCCGGATCCGCTTTGGCAACGGTGAATTGATCGACTTCTATGCGGATAGTGCCGCGGACAAGGATGGCTGGATGAAAGTCCTGGCCGACGCTGTTGGCAAGGGATCTTCCGGAAGCAGTCAAGTTAAGCAGTGGACCGAGCTCGTACTCAAGCGTGAGCGTAGCATGAAGACGAGGCGGGAAACCACTGATCGGCGCTTGGATGGGCCTCTTCCTCCTCCACCTGTCAAGAAAGATGTTCCGCCTCCACCGACATCCACGCCGGCGCCGGCAGCCGCACCGCCACGGGCTAAACATCGCTACACTCAGTCTCAGCCCGAAGTTCGCAGTGCGGATACTCGGCGTCAGAAAGCGCGCTCTTTGATCTTCTAGAAACAGAAAACATCCCCAACAGGTTGGATTGCTTTGGTTTGCGTGACAGACCCCTTTGTTTCTCTTCTTTTCTTTCTTTTTCTTTTTTGTCTCTTGTGCGCTTGACTTTTGTCATATAGGCCCTGTCTTCTCAGTTTATTCATTTGTTTTGTTTACATTTCTCGCGGTGTTGGTGTACAACTGGTGTATTGACTTCCCTCTGTGTTTCCTCTTGTCCAAAGTCCTTTCCACCAGCACCGAGCGTTGTGTTCCATTCTGTCGTACATTAATGATACATAGCGTCTTTCTTTTCTCCGTCAATAATTTAGTTTGTTCTTTTTTTTTTGTTCATCGTGTCTTGTACCAGAGGTTATATGTAGTCGCCCTTTTATCTGGTTAAAACTATAGCCGTAACCACCTAGACCCGTGTCGCATGAATAAAAGTTATTCTCATAGTTGTTCTATATCACATTTAAATTTCAAGACTACGGCTCTACGACCTTTGTGACACTTGTAAAGAGACTTGCATATATGGCTCATCCAGTTGAAAGTTCATGTCATGGTTTTGCGGGGGATAACTATTCCAATGTTCCGGAATAATATATAATAATCACTTAGAGCTGTAAAAGCTGTTGTACATATATCGACTAAAAAGATTATGCCAAAGCAGAATACTTATAATATATTGTTTAACGACATAATGGTCAAGTCTAAGCTAGATATCGTTAAAGTAATTAAACAGGAGAGAAATCCTGAATATAGTTCTACAAATATCAATATCCAGTCTGATGTTTTATGTTCAAGGGGAGGGGAGCAGATTTAAATGCCTTGACACTCAGGCACACTCACTAAAGAAATCTGTAAACTATCTATGCTATGTTATCACATCAATCTTCAAAACTCGTTGGAAGGTAGAGAGTTGGCGAAATATCCGATGAACATATGTAAGAGATCCATTCTTTTATTATTTACATGTATGGCTGATATTTCAACCACCCTCTTCTCCACCGTTAGGAAGGTTGACTTCATCTTCCGATTCAGCCTCAATCTCAGCCAGAGCCTCTCTTTGGGATTTTCGGCTATTCTGAGCGCCTTGGGCCAAAGGCTGCGGCACAGGCTTCGCAGCTGGTATACCGCCGGAGGTGATATACAGGAATTCCTCCTGGGGGAAGTGATCGATATGATTGAAAAATGAAGCGAACCTATTTATCTAGGAGTCAGTGAAACAGTAAAGGTTTGGTTGGAGTTAGCCAAAGGCTTACGCGTTGATTTCCTCTTCCGCACGGAAAATGCGGTCATAGATCTCTCGTTGTTTGAACTCATTCATTTCCGTGGCATACTCATCAAACACAATGGGCTTCTTTCCGGTCTCCTGCGCCTTTCTATTGTAGCTGTTGAACACGGGGCGTTCCAATAAAAGCCCCAGTCCGGGCGCCTTAGGGATGGGAATCTTAGTCGGTCCATATGAGTCGATGATGCGCTTAGGGTCACAGCCACAGCGCACGATGAGTGTGGCCATGGCCACCATTTTACGAATTTGGTGCATCATGAAGCTTTGACCGTGGACCTTGAGACTAAGCCACTCGGTGCCATTGATGATAATCGGCGTAGTGTCGACTTTGAAGGATTTGATATGGCGTTTGGCAGAGGGGTCTTTGAACAACTTCTGGATGGTGTAATTGTAGAAGTTCTTGGTTCCAAGGTATTTATCCAAAGTCTCTTGTAGGCGAGCAACGCGTGCGGGAGGAATACGGTAAGATCGCTTTGCGGTACTGTATGCAGCTTTCACAGCCTTGACTGCATCGATGATTTTCCGTCTGCGAGCCTCCTCGGCTTCAGTGAGTTTAGGCTTTGCCGTGCCATCACCAGAAGGCTTCTCTGCACCCGAGGCGTTCGCGTCCTCTGTGGCTTCTGGTTGTTCCTTACCCTCCGTAGGCTCTGACGATTCATATTCCTCAGGTCTCTCGTGGTAGATCGCATTCTTGACAACCTCGCGGATATCTTCATCTATGCGATCGAGAACGGGCCGAATATACTTTTCATCGGCTTCTTCCCAGTAGTTAGCTACTTCCTCTTGTCTAGCTTTGAACGCCTCCAAATCTCCTTCCTTTTCAGCGATCTCCACAATCTTCTTGCCAAGGAAAGAGCTGGGGTGCGGTGGCAAAAAGCAGTAACTGGGCATCAGATACTCGTAAATACGAGAGTCGCACATCTGATAACTGCTGAAGGACTTATTCGCGATCACAATACCCCAGACACGGATCTGTTCACTGAGGTGGCTGTTGATCTTCTGAACAATATCTTCATCCTCAACAATCAATTTCAAGGACACGATATTACCGGCTGCATGGACACCCTTGTCGGTACGGGCGCATCGTACCAATGACGATTTCTTCGGGTCAGCTGCGTTAGCCTTGGAGATAGCTCCGGCAGCTACAAATGCAGTGAAGAGCTCGCCCTCTATTGTCTTTTCGCTTTCGCTTCTGTAGATAATTAGTAACTGTCTGAAACTGAAGATCCCAGCAGCTATCATACAATTGCATTCCCTTGTAGCCTGTTCCAGAATATCCTAGCAGGACAGCCACCTTCTTCTTTGGCCGTCTCTGTTCGTTCTCGATGTCTTCCTGGGAGAACTGTGTGGCGTAGATCGGAGTCTTAACTTCCTCTCCATTCTCAATCTTCCGTCGTTTGACCTCATTCTCTTTATCTAGTCGCCCTCTTTTGTCTAGCGCTTGCCGACTTGCTTGGTTAGCCGATGACCGTCAGACTAGGACTCTAGAAACCACGAGACATACCTCCACTCTGCTCTTCCCATATCCCCCTTCTTACGCTTGCGATCAGCTTCTTCGGATCCGCTAGGTCTTCCTTCGTTATTGTCCATGGCTCAACTGGTCTTCGCCAATAGGCTAGAGGTATACAAGAAGCGAAATATCTTTGCGAGCGGACAAACGAAAAGAGTTCGGTTCGAGTAGAACGACAAAAAAAGTCTATATTCTTGCGGGATGCACGAGACCCAGCCAAGTATTGACGAGCGGAAACGTAGATACGCATGAAGAAGCGGGTCCCGAGGGGAAAAACTTCCTGCGAGCGTCGACTCTTGATATCGTGCCTTTTTTTCCTGGCGGCGATTGAATCCAGTTTACCCTAGCCGTATCAGGACTAGTACATATACCCGGGGCCGCTACTTCCGATTCGGGTAGCTCCGATTAACGCCTCAGGCATGAAGGATGCTGTTCCCATCCTTCCTTTCCTTTACTTTCACTTGAGCCTGAGTCTTACTTTCCATCGTTCTTGGTTATTTCCTCTGCCATAGCATCGCGGGCCATTTATTTGGTCGGTGGGAGCTTCTACTTGTAGTTTTCTATTTGAAATCCCGTGCTCAATCTTCGGTCCTCAGAGAAAGCCATGCTCTTCGTTTTGCGCTGACCTTTGTTCGGGATATCGAGAACCTTTGCGCTCCGCGCCGACTTCAATCGCCTCAACGCCGTCTCATCAGCCACAGCCTCACCCATTTCTTCTTCCCTGGAAACACCTTTCGGGCTTCAACATGGATCTTGCGAATACCCTCATTCGGAGTGTGGTCCGTGCATTCTACGAGACCCGCCACATTCTCGTGGTTGATGCGCTTTTCATTCATTCGGTGTATGTCTATGCGTAACTATCTTAAAAAAAGCCCTAATAAAGAGGCACCATTCGCAACACCAGCTCTAACCACCGACTATATAGTCTCCATGCCGAGGACCTCGCCTTTCTCCTAGGAATGCAACAGAAAGATCTCCGGAAACTATGCGCCAAATTGCGTGAGGACCGCCTAATCTCAGTGTATGGAATGCCTGTGGCGCTACTTTAAGTTGTGGGGTGCCAGCTAAACTGACCTGGTTTCATCAGTAATACACGAGCAGAGATCCGAGATGGTTCGACTCGCCCCGTTAACCGGGAGTACTACTACATCCCGCTACACCCCGTCGTTGACGCGATAAAGTACAAGGTCTCGAAGTTAACCTCGACGATTAAAGCACAGTATACGCCCAGCGAAGACCGGAAGGAGTATATCTGCATGAGGTGTGGATCGGAGTGGACGGAACTTGATGTGCTGAGTTTGTACTCCGAGGAAGGATTCGAATGCCAGAATTGCGGGGCTATCCTTGAGCGGACGGAAGATGTCAAGGGGGCCGAAGGGATTGACCGTACAGGTCACGAAAAGAACAGCAAGCTCATGCATCAACTTGACAAGATGCTTAAGTTGCTGAAGCAAATTGATTCCGTTGAAATCCCGCCGAACGATTTCGATACCGCCTGGGATCATAAAATCGATGTTGTGCGAAACCAGTCCACTCATCCGACAAGAGCTGCGGTTGTGGTGCCTTCAAAGAAGCAGGAGGCCGTTCGCGGTAATACCAAGACTGATGCCGCTGCTCTTGAGATCTCCCTTACATCTAGCGCTGAAAAGAGCGCCGCCGAACAAGCGGAGGAGGCCGCACGCAAGGCTGCTGTGGAGAAGCAAAATGCGCTCCCGGTTTGGCATACGCATTCGACGGTATCTACAGGCGCTGGAAATCTTTCCACTGTGAAGTCGGAAACGGATGGGGACGTGAAGCCGGAGATCAAGGAAGAAGATCGCAAGCCGGATCTCGACGCCCTCGATGACAAAGTCGCAGCTTACTATGCCGAAATGGAAAGGGAGAAGGCCCTTCAGGCGCAGGAGGATTCCAGCAGTGCAGAAGACGACTCCGACGAATTCGACGAAGAATTCGAAGACGTTGGCGGTGTCTCTGCGAGCGATACTGCATCACCGGCCGTTGGCGGTGTTGGTCCTGGTCCTACCAGTGCACCTACGATCACCCCATCCACGGGCATAAAGCGCGAGCTCGACACATATTCCGGTACAAGTCCTCACACAACTTCAGCAACACCATCCACTGGTGTCGATGAGGGTCCGGCAGCGAAGAAGGTCAAAGTCGAACCAGAAGTGAAGAAAGAGGAGTCTGATGAAGACGATGATGAGGAATTCGAAGATGTTTGAATGGATCCAATTAAGGGCTAGCTACTCTATGGTCTACTTCAACCCGTATTGGCGCAGGCGCCCGGGGGAGACGTACTCTGCTAAAGAACTAACATCGTCAATAATAACAAAAGGAGCATGTGGTATTTCATAGGACAAACTTTACAAGGGGCACATGAATAGACGGAGGGTTTCGTTTATATTTCTTTATGACTATCCATTTAACTTACTGGGTTTCAGAAAGCTCCATTACCAGTCAATGCATCGATTTGTATAATGTGAAGCCTTAAAAGTGAAAAGAGAATGACTGAAATTTTGAATTTTCAGAGTATCATTATTTGAAGAGACCAACATAGTCAATTGAAAGTCCTGCTTTCTTTCTAAGGTAGTCCTTCTATTTGTTCCATGAATTTGTGGACCATCCAGGAACCAATGCCATGGGAAGTCTCATTTTGCAGCCGTCACTCATTCAATCAAGCAATATCGTTCCCTGGCTCATCATAGGGACAACGCAGAAACAAATCGTGCAGGCTCTCCAGCAAAAGCAATGCAAGTTCTTGCAGAACAACAACACCATTACCCTTTCTTTATTTCGCAGATAGCCGAAGAAATAGAAAATGGAGAGACAAGGAGTAAAAAAAGACCTAAAAGCGAGCAAAAACAAAAAAGAGAAACAGTCCTTTCCTTTTTACAGAGTTCCAGATCAGAGACTCATTTCTAGTGTAGATGGGCAAAAGAAAACGCCGATTAATGCAGTCCCAAGCAGAGCAAAGGTAAAAGGTAAGAGCAAAGAGAGGTGATCTTGCTTTCTTCCCTTTGTTCCAGTTCATCTCTCATGATACAATGGCAGGGTTTCAGGTATGGTTCCCAGTAGCGCAGCTCATGGTGAACCTGCAACCCCTACATCTGAGTCGCTTGCTATCATTGAGTGTTCCTCCCATTCCTCTGGAGAAGGTTGATCAGATTCTGACGCCCCCGGTGTTAGATGTTGATGAGGTGGTAATAAAATGGGGTTCTTACCAGAAGCCAGCTCCTCGGGCATATCAACAGATAGTTCCTCTATAGCCCCAATGACGGCTGTGTTCTTTATTAGTGATATTTATAGTCTGCGGTGCGGTTTAGGCTTTTCAACATACCCTGCGCCTGACTGACATATTCCTGATCCTGTTCACTATCGTCGAAGTAAGTGACCAAGCAGTGATTAACAACTGCCTTAATCGTCTCTACAACTTTTGTTTCGACATTGCCTCCAGGAGTTGATAGGTATGTCTTTCTCAACCTGCTAATGCTTGCATGCACAAGCTCCTTGGCTGCCTGAGTATGGCGCGATTGCCAGTCGTCGCCGATATCGCCGGCCTCACCCGTGAACAGTATTCGGCGTAAGAATTCCATGGTCATAGTTCTGACCGTTCTGTCTGGAAACATGAGCAACGTGGGAGCCCAGTCCGGTATTTTATCTATAAGCTGGGATGAGAACCATGCCTCATTGAGATCAAGATGCTCGTTACGGCACGACATAATGCTTGTGAAGAACGCAAGGTGCTCTTTACCCCCGCTATCGTTGATAGACTCCACTCCTTTTGCAACGTAGTCGATCAAGGAAACGATTCTTTCTTCATCAGTACTCCGTCGACAGAAAATCAATGTCGCTTCCAAGAACGGGGCACAAAGTTCGGCAGGGGCAACTCGTAAGCCGTCTTCGAGCGCCTTGCAAATCGGGTCCGTGAGGCCAGCCTCGGGCTCAGCATCAACAAGCAAGCCAACAATGTTCCTACATGCTTGTGGGTTACTGTACTGCTGAAGGAGTTTCTTCAGAAGCAGTAATTCATTGCTTCTCCCAACAGGTCGAATGAGTTCGTTCTCCATAACTGTGAGAGAATACCTATTGTCGGGTAGGGTCTCTCTCTCTTCCTCCGGTGTAGGCAAGGCAGAGAAGTCGATGTGCGTTAGCAGCGTGGACAAGAGATCCGTGAGTTTCCTATGTGAATATCTTCTTCCCTTCTCAAGGAGCTTGCAATAAGCAAGGTAGTGACGCCTCAGCCTCTTTGTGTCGTCACGATCGAGCCACACGATTTCCAAGCATTTGGAAAGGAACCCAAAACTGAGCACCATCCCGGCTTCTTGAGGGCCAAAGCTTGCAAGTAGTAACAAAAACTCAAAGTAATCATCCCATGACCGGCTTACTGTATGAAGTGTCGCCCAGAGGCCATCCAATGATGCGACCACGTTTTCGAAGCCGTCCAGGTATCGTGTACGCCATCTGTCCTTCTCAAAGCTCTCCTGCTCAGCGTTGTTACACAGCTCTTGGAGTCTTGAAAGAGCGCATATAAATATCCTGATCGAACTATTTCGAACAGCAGCATGGGGACTCTTTAGAACCAGATTGCGTATACCAGCTGGTCTTTCTGCTACCCACTGCAGGACTCTGTAGGCTGCCTTAGGCAGCTCATTGATGACTCTGAGCAGCTCAGACACAATCACATCCAGCCCCAATGGCTCTCTGTTTCTTGAAATTAGCTGTTCAAGTGTATCCAAAGCGATGAAAATAACAGATTTATCCAACTTAAATTCCCCCATACGCTTAAAATCCCTCATATCGTGAAGCTGACAAAGGATGTATCGCACGAAGAGTGTGTGATATGGGTCCAACAAACAATAAGTCCGTATGAAGATTTCGTTTTCCATCACAATATGGTTCGCAAGAGGCACTGGTAACTGTACCCGAACTGGACAGAAGCTCGAGGTTGGCTCATAAATCGACTTAGATAATTCCATACTCGAGACGCGTTGATAGAATAGCATGTAAGCATTCCACACTTTGTTGAACCGGACCTGGCCCATGGAAGCGTTGTTCAGAGAGTCATTGTAACCGCCAAAGCATTGGTCCGCAATCTTGGATGGGTCAAACCGACTCACGTCCGAGTCATTGAACTCAACCCATGAGCCTCTGCTATCAGCAGTAGGCCTTTCACGGATGTACGAATAGTAGTGACCAGATTCAGCTGTACCGCTATGGACCAAAACACCAACCAATTCGAAAAGGTCTTCTTGAACCTCTGCGTTTGGATCCGAGAGATACTCAACTTTAAATGGGCTCATATCAATGTGCTCAGGGAATTGAAACTCGTCATTAATCTTGCTGCGCATCATCGTGACCATATCAAAATCAAAGCGTTTGAGATGGAATATGAGATTATCGGGAACATCTTTCAAACAAGCCCTCTTTACAGCATCGACATGTCGCCCACAAGAAGTGCAGGAGTATTTGTTGTCTCCCTGCATGATCTCTCCTTCGACGTACGCCTGAAGACTCTCCTCAAGACTCGCTTTACCCTTTATATCGCATTGTATCGCAGAAAAGGGCTCAAGGCGCTCAGAGATATGGGAACACTCTTTAGACTTGATTTGTTGCACGAGCTGGCCGCCATAAAAGGAACGAAACTTCTTCTTTTCATCAGCGTCCGTAATCTGAGCCTCCCATCTATCAAACAGCAGGTTGTAGAACTCGTCAACATCCATTTGTATCGTGACATCGACAGGTTCATTGTCGTACGTCCTTATCGAGTCCACTAATCCCTGTGGGTCGACACTTTTGAGCCACGTTTCTTGCATATAACCAAAAACCTTCTTTGTCTCCTCAAGTAACTTCTGGGAGACAAGTGGGTCCACGAGTCGGAGCTGCATCATAAAGTCGCGGAAGCTGACATTCATGAAAAGCTGTGTCAACAGCGAGTTTAGGTAGCAAGTGTTGGACAGATTCTTCAATCCAGCATAGCCTTCAGGCGCTCGGATCATTTTGTGACGATCGAAACACCAAGAGGATGAGTATGTATAGTCTTCTGGGATGATATCTTCTAGGCGCTCCACGATCTTAGAATAGTTCTCATCATATTTGCATAGTAGGCTTAGTATGCTGTATAGTTCCTGCCGAGATGGAGTATGCATCACTGGGGTCTGAGGGGCGATAGCATGGGTTGTAGACTCAGAAAGATCCGGAAAAAGATATTTGTCAAACAGGCTCTCGGTGAGATTAAACGTTTCCACTGTGATATTGGTTGAGCCTGCGAGCTCTAGACACGACCTTAGGAGCCGACAAAAACCTAAGAGTAAATGGTCGACAGGCTCTCGTCCAACAAACTCTTCAGTCTGATGATTCAGCATGATAGTACTCCATTGCTTGAGATAGTCGCTCAACATGAGATCGCGCGGCGACTTTTCCGCAACCGAATGGAACACCAAGTGGGCAATGTCAAAGAACTCCTGAGACTGCTGGACGCATTCTAGTGTACGCGGGAAGTTCTCTACAAATGCCTCCCAAATTGTTGCGAGAATATCAATTCTGGCCGGATTCTCAGAAGCTGTTGCCGCTCGTAGTTCTGGAGTTTCTGATTTTCCTGGTTTCTTGAGTAACTTCGATGGGCTGCAGGCAACAGCTATGTTCTCCGAGATACCTTTTCGAATAGGCTGGCGGCCCTCCTCTAACAGAAGCGAAAACAGAAGGTGGTCGAATTGTGTTTGCTGTTTAATCACAGTCCAAAACTCGGGATCGCGAACAGCGCCTTCAGTCATGATAGCAAAGGAGTTGCAAATTAACTTATGTATACCAAGTTCCGAAAGATAACCCGGTGACAGATGCCGCCCAACTTCCATTAAGTGCAGTAACTGGCGGACCAAAGCCGTCGAATCCGGGACCAAGGATGCATCGCTGGCCAAAGGTGGTCTCACAAGAAGAGCATAGAGGAGACATTCAACAAGACTGGTGGCAAAAAGGAGCTTCGTAGAACAGTTACTCATGGAGTCACACATTTCGGGACGTGTCAAAGCAGCAACCAGGACTCGGACACTGTGACACACAAATGCTTGATTCGGTGACGATTCCAGTGCTTCCTCTCTCAGGCAAATAGAAAGTGCATTTACTGAGTAGAGAAAATTATACGGTTTATCCATAGGGAACATGTCTTCCTCAGGCGTGTCGACGGACCTGACTAACTGTAGGACTCTTTCTTGGGGAGGGAAGACAACAAGGAAGTCGTAAATCTCCCGGGCTAAATGATCCTCGAGAGCTAGAAGGTCATAAAGATCATCAAAGTGCTTAAGTACTTCGGAGTCGACTGATGTTAGAGACTGACGTCGTCCTGTCAGTGCCACCTCACGGCTGTCAGGATCTCGACGAACAATTAGCAGCCCAGAGCTTAAATTGAGATCTCGAACGGTCAGGCTAGGCTTTTCAAGGAGATCGATCCTATGCCCACTATAGATAGTGTTGAGTTTCAAGAAACCAGTGGTTTGTACAAGCCTCTCAACCAGCTCAGGTGCAGTCGAGAGATCACCAATCTGCAGGGAGCGGACCTTTGACTGTGTACTGCCATCAAAAGCTTGATAGCGAATATTAACCAGCTCGCCTTTCACCGGTCTACCAGGTATGCCAGGTGGCGAATTTTGGGGCGGGCTGTACTGGGGCCGACTACGCAGGCCTTGCAGAAACCGGCGCAAGAAGAATAGGGAACGACCGAACCTCAATTCTTCCATCTGGCGTTCATCCTCAGACCCCTCCACTGCCATTGATACGTCAATATCATTGTCACGTTGATCACGAGAAGATTTCAACTTAGATGCGGCAGACTTGAGCTGGTCAACACAGCGATCAACCAAAGCAACATGGGTGGCTTCAACTGCAGACCGCGGCGATCGGTGAATGATGTTATGATCAAGGTAGACCTCTATGGCAAAATTAGTGGCATCAGTTTCGATTGAGCCAGGTGGGGCCGTCAGGATAATATCCCATATGCGGTCTATTCCTGGGATTGAGATAACCTCATTGTCACCCGCAATCGGTGGGGGATTGAAGCGAACTTCGTAATTGATGGCCTGTTTGGCAAAAGAGAGAACTTCAAGGAAATAGCCTTCAGCGGGAGACAGGTCGGACAGATACCCGTGGATACAACGTTCAATGAATGGGTTGCTCTTCGTACTATGTCTGGTAAGACCACATAGGGTGTCCCAGAGTGCCCGTCTGCCTTGTTGAGCAAGTTTTTGCGACATAAGGACTTTTTGCCACAACAGATCACCTAAATCGACAGTGATGGATTCCGGAACCTTGTCAATGATGCGGGTTAGTAAGTGTACACGGGAAAGGAAGCCATTCCTCGAGAACGATTCCGTGAAGTCTGTTTGGTTCATGTCCACGGTATGAGCGATTTCGTTTATCAATAAGCGCGTCAAGTCAAAATCCATGGCGAGCTTTCGTATCTCTTGTGTGTCATAGGTCGGAATCAAGGCATTCAGTGCTTGTATACTACCAACGGTGAACTGATTCATCTCAGCAAGGTCTTGGACACAGCGCTCGTACGTTTCCATTTTGTCCAGTTCGCTGAGTCCAACATCCATGAACAAGGTAAGCTGTGAACTTGAGAACTTCTGTAGAAGAGTCTTATGCTCGACAGAGAGATCGTTTGTCGCAGCACTTTCCCGGATCAGACGTACACACAACCGTAGTGGCACAGCGTCCACATGCGGCTCATCCAACAGCTGGTGTCTTTCGCTGTGTTTTTCACGTATTTGATGGAGAAGCTGCTCACAGAAATCCACCATCCGTGCGTCAAAACGAGCCAGCGGCAAATCAAGAAGCTTAGAACACAAATATAACAACGCCGGAGATGTAGATAGATGCATGTGAAAGGTCCTTGTAAGCATTCTAAGAACCTCGGACACCGTTCTCGGGTCGGGGCTCTCCGTCACGGCCTTCCAGATTGTGTCCGTGTCCGTGTCAGCGTATGTGGACGTGACAATCAAGAAGCCTACAATGTTGCCACTTCTGCTGATAAGCTGAGGGTGGGAATCGATGCTAACGATATATTCGACAACTTCATGCTCCCGTAGAAACCTGACAAGATATTGGACGACGGGATGCTCAATACCTGCAGGATCACTCTGAATATACTGCCGCCAAACGTTGACCAAGTCCATTTGCATTGTCTCCATGCCGTGGACCCTTAGCTCCATACGCCCATCCAGTATATGCTTCTTCAGAGCAGCAAATTTCCAGCCATAGTATACGATAGAAGCATAATCCTCTGGGGGTATACCTTCGGGGATCTTTATGGAGAGATCTTTGGCAATCTGCAAGGTAGGATCTCGGTCACGAAGAGAGACTGTGAAGTAGATCCAGGAAATGAAGCGGAGCATTGGATCACTTATATCGCTAGTGACCCACGAGGACTTCTTGCTTACGTGTGTCTGATAATTTTCATCTATGAGACGTATCAGGTTATAAACCGTCTTCATGGTACGTAGATAGGCGGGAGAGTTGGTCAGAGCATCATCTGCCTGGTACTTCCTCCGCTCATTCCCAGAATCCACCAAGTTGTGCAAGATTGTCACTATTGAAACTAGGGGAGCCGAAAGTTGAGGCCAACGGGGAATCAAGGTCATGATATAGGAAGCATACTCGGATAACCACTGGAGCATGTTGAATGGAGGAGCCACAATCTGGTCATTGAGACGAGCAGCCAAGTTGATAACTTCGGCGCCATGTATTCTTTCCGCAGTACGAAAGAACGGAATCCCATTTACTTGGAGCATCCAGCCAAGTGATGGGAAATAGGTTCTCGATATTAAATCCGATGCCTGCAAGTCCGTGTCTTCTATCAATTGACCCAATATTAAGGTGTCCAGGCGGATTATGTGGAGCGCAAGCCGGGTATAGTTAATAAAGAACTCTTCCAGGCATATCCAGGGCCCTCGGCCTTCATCTGGCTGAAGATCTTGTCTATAGTAGCTGATCAGTACGGACAGAAGGTCTACTGTATGATAAGTGGAGGTTCAGATAGGTACTTACGAACTCCGCAGCAAACTCTCCGCTATAACAGGAAGTTGTTCCCAAAAGTCCCGCTCATCTAATAGGCCCTCGAAGGTCAACTGCTCTAGGTTGTTCGCGACATCATCAAGCCAGCTTTTCACGGCAAGAAAGAACGCCGTTGCGTCATGCGGTGACCCTGCGGGTTCAATTAGTTGACTCCATTAAAACTCCGCCGAACCCGATTGTATTGACTTACCTTTCTCAATGATTGCCCCGATCTCCTCCAGATTCTCACGCAGATCAAGATCGCCGCGGAACTTGGGGAAGGTCTCTGTCAGAGGCGGTTGTTCGTGAAGCTGCACCACACCGGGATTTCCCAACGTTTCGCCCAGCGGCTTCCAACTCGATGTACTTGGGTCTTGGTCCATGTCCTCCAGCTCCGCCACTTCAATCTCCGGGCTCTGGGCAGGGGAGGATGATAATGATATTGCGTTCGATGCACGAGCGCCGACGTCATCCACGGAAGGCGTCGGGGAATGGGCGTTCGACTGATTAGCGGAGGTATCTTTAGGCATGTTATCGGCGACTGGGGATTTCATGTTGATAGTTATTCGGCTGGCCGGGCGGGTCGATGCAAGAGCTTCTTGCTCACTCGTGGCAGGAGCATCCGGAGCCCGCTCGGCTATTAGAGAAGCAGGAACCTCGTTATTTGACCAAGGCTCCCGGATGCCGCTTCCACTGTCGAGACGGGGACGTTTCCGGGTGGATTGAGGATCGCTTTCTTCCATGGGATCGCCAGGAGAACACGTCGGGTCGATCGATATGGGATCAGGCGGGGTGCTAGAGCTCTCTAGCGGGGCAGCTGCCATGACATTTTCCTGAATTTCTCTTGGAGGTCACAGGAAAGGAGGGGAAGTAGAGGTGAATAAAATTCTTTCGAGGTAGGGTAAGACCAGCACCCACTGAGTGAGAATGGAAAGAGACGTGATTCAAAAAGAAAAGAGAGTCGTAAGAGTGACGGGAAGGAAGGGCGAATGATGCGGGAGGGAAAAAATAGAATTATGATTGGTTTGCGGAGGCGTAGCCGCTCAGCTGTCTGCCTGGGATGTGGATGAGGACAAATAAGGGGGAAAGGGAAAAAGATAGGCTGAAAGATGAAGCCTTGAGGGGGGGGTGGGTTGACTTAACCGGGGTAAAAACGAAAAAAAGAAAAAGTAGAGGGTGAGAGACAGCTCTCTGCTTGAGTTGGTGGAAATATCTAAAGCAAAAGAACCTTAGAAGAGCAACAGCTCTGACGTTGCAGTGGAGAAGCTCAACAGTAGTTGGCTGCTCTTTTTTTTAACATAGGCGGCTGCCGCACAGCAAACCACAAAAGGGCCTTTCTGGACACAACCCTTTTCTCTCTTAACTACGGAGAGATTGCATATTGTTCATTAGAATGAAATTAACTACTGTCTACTTTTTATTCTCTCTTGCTTGCTTTCTTTCTTTTCCTTCTAAAACATCAGTTACAATAGGCTAAAGCATGCGACATGCTTCGCTAAATACTATGAACTTTTATACTACTAGTAAGTAGTACATTAAATGTGTTACTCTATCTGAGAAATTAGACAAAGACAAAAACCTAGAATATCCCATCCTCGTCACCCATAAAACTCTCGTTATGTAAAACATGCATGACATCATTCCCAATCCGAACTGGTGCCTTAAAAAGCGCCTGTCCACGGTGCCTTAAACAAATACTTAGTATCCTTGGATTTCGGTTAGTGTTATAATTTTATTTCCTCGTTATTTTTTATTTTGTCCTCCCTCCCCTTTGTTCATTTCCCCCCTTACCTTAACCCATTCTCCGACCTACATACGAGTAGTAGTGTTCATCAGCCAGCCTTGTTTGGAAAGCTGGATATTCCGTGCCTTACATCAGTACAATAATTGATTCCGCATTTGACAATGTGACATCGTTCCACTAGTAGTAATCAATGCCCTTTGTAATATATTTAAATCTAATATTGATCCCCATCCCAACCTTAATTAAAGCCCCCGAATGAACTCCACAGGAACATTCTACGCTTTCTAGCGTCCGCAACTCATATTAATCGCCGATGAGATAAAACAAATTATTTCAACACCGCATTGATCGTTGTCAAGATGCGGGGCCTGGTGAGTCTAGATTTTTAAATTGATCTCCTTTATTTTGTTGCTATGTCGACCTTAAAAAAACATCTACGTAGAATCCCATTCCATTGACAAGCCAATGAAAACTCGTATTACATCTCTTGGTCCTCAGTAATAATGTGAAGCTTCCCGGAATGTCAGACATAGACTTTGTCTCTTAGATACAATGCAGAAGAGCGTCTAAAAAGAGGACACCACACCATGAGGACTGTGTGACCACTTAGAGATTATCCCCGACAAGACAGGCATCTATCTATATATAAGAAGGCGGTTATAAATCTGCCATCGGTGTCTCAATCTTTCGAATAACCCTTGCTGGATTGCCGACGGCTAAGTGGAAAGCAGGGACATCCTAAACCATTCCATGCATACATCAGCTCAATAAGGTTTTAAGATAAAAGGAAATAGGGCAAGATATTCGTACCTTGGTGACTACACTTGCCGCTCCAATGGTTGCACCTTTCCCTATCGTCACCCCCGGGAGAACGGTGACATTCCCGGCTAACCAACAATCCTCCCCGATGTGGATTTCCTTTCCTGACTCAGGGCCTTTGGTTCCATTGCGTAGAGAAGGATCTAAAGGGTGGACTCCGCTATATAGGTGCACATTAGGACCGAATAGCGTCCGTGCTCCAATAGTCACTAGACAAGTGTCGATAATGTGGCAGTTGGCATTGATAAAGACGCCTTCCCCCACTTTCACATTGTAGCCGTAATCCATTCGGATAGGTGCCTCTATCCAAGGTTCATCCTCGAAGAGAGCTTCATCTTCCATGGGATCCTCTTTTGGGGGTGGGAGAGGGGTTTTATCCTGAACAATACTAGGTCATCGTTAGTTACTATCTACATAGGTGTAATAGCGCAACGTTGGCTGCATGAGAGTATTTCCCTCATCAGGATTACGTATGGGGAGAGATCCGAATCGCCAAGACTCACTCTCTCCAAAGCTCTACAAGACGTCGACGGGGGACGTCTTCAGCGTGATTGAATCGGCGACAAGCTCTAGCGCAACGGGATCGAGCAGCAATTAAATCTGGAGTAAAGGCGTGATACAGCTCCCCTCGTTGCATTCTCTCCTGGTTAGCTAACCGAGCTTCTTCGGAGTCCATTTCGCGATTTGACTTTCAATATTCTTTTGCCAATAAATATAATATCTTGGTGATGTGTCTCTTTTCTACAGCCGGAGGATCTCTTTTGTTTAGCGTGGTCTATAAATAAGTAGTGCTTTTGATCACTAAGCGCAGGAAGGAAATCTATTGGCGAGCAATCGGACTCATATTGTTCTCCAGGTGGAGCACATTGTTTTTATAACAATATTCACAGTGTCCACAGAGCTCGACCATTGTTAAATCCCTATTCACTTGGTTTGTACAAGATCATGATGCATTAGTACCAATCATCCACCGCCTCCTTTCAGTCACCTCCCCGCCGAAGTCAATCTCAGGCACGGGCAAGCAGACAAACAACAAAAAGATGGCCCAGAATACTACAACACCCCCATCCTCGACTATCCCCCCCGAGTTAATAACTCCCAACTCCTCCTTCTCCGTCAACCACACCTCCCCCTGCCCAGCAGCAAAAATGCCGACGAAATCATCCCAACTAACCCTTGACCCCTCCAACTACCCCGGCGGCAAGAAGTCTCTCTCCGGGGTCTCCCTCCGCGCGTTCTTAATCGGCACCACTCTCGGACTCTCCACCTCCCTAACCATTGTCCTCCACGTCTTCAACGCCCCCCTCTGGCGTGTCCCGTTCTTCCTCGCCTCCCTGGCCCTCTTCCACTTCCTCGAATACTATGTAACAGCCGAATACAACACCCGTCACGCCAACATCTCCGCCTTCCTCCTCTCCTCGAACGGCTGGGCATACAATGTCGCACACATCTCCGCCGCAGTGGAATGTCTCCTCGCCCAGCTCTTCTGGCCAAATGCCGCCTACCTGAACTGGGGATCGCCCGTCCCAGGCCTAAAGGTTCAAGTTATGCTCGGACTCGTCCTCATGGTTATCGGCCAGGTTGTTCGCACGGTGGCCATGGCACAGGCGGGAATTAGCTTCAATCATACAGTGCAGGTCGAGCGGAAGGAGGACCATACTCTGGTTACGCATGGGATCTATGCGGTTCTGCGTCATCCGAGTTATTTTGGGTTCTTCTGGTGGGGATTGGGGACGCAGCTGGTGCTGGGGAATGTGGTCTGTTTTGTGGGTTATGCGGTAGTGCTGTGGAGGTTCTTTTATAGTCGGATTTTCCGTGAGTTTTGCTTTTCTCTCAGACTGTTCATGTCTCTATTGGATACTAATGGATTTGTGTTCAGGGGAGGAGAAATTCCTGATTGCGTTTTTTGGGGATGACTACGTTGAATATAAGAAGAGGTCCTGGGTGGGGATTCCAGGCATCCATTGAGCATTGCCCCGTGCTTGAAATGTTGAGTAGATTGTTGCGACGGGGCCATGGATTTTGTATAGAAAAGACGCAGCTGTGAAAATTATTTGCTGTTGTATCAAATGCCACGCCGAACGCCATGCGCTTTAACGTCAAAATTCAAGCAAATCCCAATATGTACAAATAATCAAGTTATCTAAAGTTTACTCTCCCGTTCTGGAGCAACTGCCCCCACGGCACCGCTCATATAAGGACCCTGGTTGTCCGACTCGGTAGCACCGGCGTCGTTTCCAAATAGAACAAGCTCACGCCCACCTTTAGTGCTCCACCAGGCCACGCAGTAGCATGCACGCTCGACGTCCATCTCGCCACTGCTCAGGGCTTCCCAGAACCGTTCGACGCAGACGGTGCGCATCTCAGAATCACGAATGGCATTGATCAATTGAGCTGTCAACGGTAGCCATTCTTCTAGGTCTTCAACCCGAAGGAAGCTGAGACCATCAATCAAGGAAAGGGTGAGAGCAGCTTGCTCCGAAAGTGGCGGTGTCTTGCTGGTTTCCAAGTTAGCCCCAGTATCAGCCGGTTGCGGCAAGACCTTGTCCGAGGCGTGTAGTGCTCGGTCATAGAGGACTTCAAGTAGGATAGAGGGCAGGTGGCGTTGTGTGTTTGCAATAGGCGATGGAGGGGCGGTGACTTGGAGAACGGTCCTAAAAGCGAGGCGGAATTGGCGGATAGACAGGTTTTCAGGGAATACCTATAGATTTGATTAGCGCACGACCTTCGCCAAAAGATGGACATAACTTACAGCAAATAGATTGTCAATATAAAACGGAAGATGCTTGGCTGCGACGTGTGCGTTCCCCGGTATCGCGAACACCGCGAGAACCACGCTATGTGCAGCCTCAAAAATCTCAAGTAGATTATTATCTCCTCCAGCTGGAAGATAAGGAACCGCGGCACAGATGAGAAGGTCTTCGCTGAGTTTCGAAGACAAGACGGGAGTAAAGAGTTCCGACGTGTTCAAGAAGTATAGGTCAAGGCATCTCTCAAGAGGATGAGCTGGTATTTGCCCGAGTTCATTTGGCTTGATGCTTTTCAAGAAGTTCTCACTTAAATCCGGATATTGCGCGAGAATATCCACTGCTGTTAAGGTAACAAACATATGTTGAGAGGAGGTGTTTTGGCCAACACGCGACGTGATAAAATACAGGTTGCGAAGTATGTGAAGCGCTTGCATCGATAAGAAAGGCGCACCTAGAACATGGTTAGCTGATGCAGATAATGACTGCTATAGCTTGCATAATGACACTGACTTCTGTTCGCAGCCAAAATAGGATCGTTAATGACTCTTCCTAGGATAGCTCTAAGAACAATGACGATCGAATATAAGCAGTTGCGAAGTAGTTTCCATAAGCTTGGGATAGTTGTCTTCAATGATTCTGCGTCCAGGAACTCCGCTTCCTCAGCTCTGTCGATCTCCGATAACTTGTTCTGGCGCCATTGTACCATCAAGGTGCGGACAAAATCCGCAATGTGATCAACCGACCGCGCAACGAGCCCTGGGTCCTGCGTATTTTCAACCGCATGTGCAATAAGCCGGGACAGTGGCCCTAGCGCCGAGATGAGGGGGCTAGAGGAAATCGCCGTCACGCGGACGAAAGTATCAGATTCTAATGACCATTGGAAGCGCTTCCCCGGTGCTTCAACAATATCTTTATCAATTGTCCCTAGGAAGTACCCTGCCTCGAGACCCTCCGGCGAAGAATATGTGGCATCTATCATTACCGGCAATAGTCGATCGTAGTTGATCTTGCTTCTCTCAAAGTCGGACAGCAACTGAAATGTATAATTCAAGACCATGGTGATACAAAGGCCATCGATCTTGTTGTGAGGATCTAGCTCTTCAATAGCCAGCTGCGCGGCAGTCACCAAAGCGGATTCAAGCTTTTTACGAACACTCAGAGGCAATCCTTGCCTATCTTGTCCTTCAAACCCCAGCAAGATCCCCCCAATTAAGAGCAGATGCCTCCAACGCGGAGACTTCTCGTCCGCTCCATTGACGACTGCTTTAACCCATGCTTCTCGTTCTATTTTAACTGGTTTGGTGTATGGTATCCTAGGGTCGTCCGACTCTTCATTCCGGATGATTGCCATGGCTGCTGTGTGGAATACACTGAGTATTTTCCGGCAAGCGTGGAGGTCGACTGCATGATCCCATATAGCGGGGGCGACAAGCAATTGCGACGCAAGTAAACTGATATTTAGAGGGTTTGCGAGTACGGATAAGAGGCCGGTTGCCGTGGGGAGCAAGCTGGGAGACGAGTGTCAGGTCAGTCGAAGCCAAATAAAATAATCGCCCAGACAATCAGAGCGGGTGTTATCATACGCAAAAGCATCATGGAGTTCAGATGGGGATTGGAGCGATCGTAATAGAGCGCCTAAAGAGCGTGCCGTTGCCATCTTGGAATATATGGACACCTGACTTAAGGATCAGGGAACATGAGAAAATCAAAATGCAACAACTCCTGGCGAAGACTGTCGTTTTCGGTAGTTGCAGGCAACGACAAGGTTCCCAGCGCTATCAGTTACCGCGGAGGACCCCGGATCACCTGCCGAGGTTGGGAGGGGGTGGGCAAACAATGCAAACAGGCCATAGCTCCGAGCTACGGCCTGCATTAGAACTTTCCGTGGTCACATTGGCTACATGCTCATTTTACACCTAGTACCACTAAGCCTTAGCTCGTACCCACTGCGCTACCTAGGGACCATGGTAGTTAGATTCCTCTCATACAGCGGCCCCTGTTGACAAGGCGATAGCCTTTGTAAGGACAAATGACGGACAACCGAGTCCCAATCAACTATCAGACGCCGGCGTTCCCATCGCTCTATGATCCCTTCCCGCGACCAAATGCCGCCGTCTACTATCTCTACTTTACTCGCGACATATGGCGGTTTACGCTCTTCTGGACCCTGATATTCTACCTGGCAAGCCATTTGGCGGTGGCGGCTTGGGCTTTGTCAATGCAAGGCCGAAGCTGGAGGATCTGTATAGCTATTCCACTGGTATACGGTATTATAGCAGGACTAGAGGCACTTTTAGCAGGAAGTATCATTGGTTTAGTGTAAGTATGAATCAAGCTCTACAAGAGTGGTACATGAACTATGAACGCTAAGACTGGAAGCAGCCTGGGTTCTGTCTATGAGGCTGGCAATTTTAGGATGTCGACGTGGATCCCCATGATATGGGGCGGCATCAACGTGTTGGTCCTTATCTTATCCAGTTTTCCCATGCAAGGCGGACTGTGAATGGTATGGAGTGAAGGAATATACTTTCGAGCTATGCTACCTTTAGGGATCTGATGATTGAAACACGCCTCAAGTTCTGGAATTGGTACACGCAAACCGCGATACACTGTGCATGCAATTTTTGCTCGCTATCGAACGAATCGAAAATCCTTCAAATACCGATTTATGATACAGCCGAGGGAAATATTTGATCATCTTCAAACGTATGCAAATGCTATCAGAAACCCAAACCAGCTATCTGCCATTACGCCAGTTGTCCCTAGCCAAACTCTCAAAGTATGAACGTCATCTACCATAGGAATTGTCAGGTGTACCGCTACCCTGCAAACCAGGGAGACCTCCGGTGCCCGGCAATTGGGAAAAGTGTTGAGGGGCGAAATTTTGTGGTAGTGGAATACCCTGTGACATGAGCTGCTTTTGTAGCTCCGCAAGGTCAACATTTGCGGGTGGCGTTCCTGAAAGGGCAGGAAGCATGGGAAATCCAGGCAATCCGGTGTTGGGAATAATATTTGGTTGGGGGGGTGCTTGGGTTGACAAAAGCGCGGCCAAGCGGCTGGGGTCCATCTGGGGCATGGACGAAGGCATACCAGCCGGTGGGCCTGGTGGTGGTTGAGGAGCGCCGATGCCTGGTAGTAGTTGTGAACCCAACCCGTCTTGGTGAGGCGCACTGCCAGGAGGTGCAATTTGTATTCCGGGAAGACCGGAGCCGGCAGGCTGTCTCTGATCAATAAGACTCTCGGCTTCATCCTGCAATTCTTGTTCTTCCTCCTCACGCATTTGTCTCCTTCCAAAGCCCCTACTCCATGTTCCCTGGGCCTCTGCGGCTTCCTCCCCAATGTGGAACCTGTCTTTCATGTAGCTAGTCTCTCCCGGTCTTGCTCGAGACCAGAATCGAGTAAAGTTATCTTTAGAGCCCGACGCAAGTATATGGCCCAGTGGATGCCAATCCAATGACCAAATAGTAGCGCCATGTGCGTACTGGATCCGATGCGCAGGATAGATGACTTGTGCCGGCGTATTCGCAGGATCTGGGCTGTCGTAAGGTGCTATGGTAGGAATCTGTCCGGAGGGCACGTTGGGCTCATCCAAAAGGTAATGGTACAGCGAGCCGTCTTCGCTCCCTGTCGATATAAGCGAACTGTGGATAGGGTGCCACGTGAGGGACGAAACGGGCTTCTCATGTCCTCGAAGAATACATATGTCCCGCATCATACGTAGATCGAAAACCCTTGCTGTCTGGTCACGAGATGATGTCGCGAGAAGGTTTTGATTCACACGTGAAAACCTTGTCGCAGTTACTGTGTTCTTGTGGCTATGAAGCGTCGTTAAACATCTCGCCGTGCGAGGATCCCAGAACTTGACCTGGTGGTCTTTTGAGCCAGAGACTAAGAGTCCCTTCGTGGGGTGCCAATCGCATGATTTGACATCCCAATTATGACCGGTAAGGACAGTATCGGCGGTTCTCGAGGTGAAATCGAATATCTTCAAAGTCGTATCGTCCGAAGCAGATAGGAACTTCGTATCGCTAGGAGACCACGCAAGATCTCGAACCGCATCGTGGTGTGCGTCATCAATAGTCTCAACATTATTAAAATTAGGCCGCCAATATTTCACATCACCCCTTTGTCCTCCTGAAATTAACCAATCATGGCTGTGGGACCATGCCAAAGAAGTTACTCCTGCTTGTAGTTGATCATAATGTGCCTATTGAAATGGTTAGGACGATTCTAACCAAGCCACCGACAGGGGCAAATGAAAGAAAATAGGGAGGAAAAACATACATCCATCACGGTCTCAAAATTGAATGCTGTCCCGTTCCATAACATGAACTCTCCAGTGTGTCCACCCGTCAACAAGCGCCTCCCTTCCGGGGTCCATCGTATGACTGTGATCGGCTTTTTCGACTTTCCAATGGATTGGTGCAGGTGTCGCACGGGTATGGTATCTGCAGGACAATGGACTCGTGCTAATGGAGGCAACATCTGCGTAGAGAAAAAGGAGTTAGCCGACGGCTTTGTCTCCGCGAGGTTTTCACACAGGGTGTAGCTGTTTACATCAACTACGTAGCTTGCACTCGGTCTCTCTATCTCCATTCGATGACCACCTTTATATCTTGGGCGCCGTGTGCGCATCCACTGTATGAGCGACGATCCATAATCGGTAACAAGTCCTGTTGAATTGAAGCTGTTAGTCTTCCACAATGGTCGGCCGGGGTACAGAGCAACAAAAAAGGGAGAAAAGGAGGAGAGAAAGAGTGTGAAACCTACGTGGTCGTCGTGGTCCTACGATTCCACCTTCATAGGGCTTTTGAGGTCTTCCAAATGGCTGGGAGTCACCCCCAGGTTCGTCATAAAAGGCCATCACAAGCAAGCGACTCGGGTTGTCAGGTGAAAGAAGCTCACGGTGGGTGATGCGGCGAAGTTTGCGACCATTGACGGGACGACAGACAAGCGGGGGCGAATGACAAACAAGAACCCTTCAATAAGGTGACAAGGATTTCAGCTAGAACGGCCCTTCCATACTAGTAATGTGCATGCGGCTGGCGGAGTGGATAGAGTCTTTCGTGGTTGATAAAATGCAAGTTGACTTTGGGCCGAGCGCGCGGCGGGTGATTATCATTGGCCGCGGAACACTAGCAAGTAATGATTAGCACCAAACGGCTCTCTCAACCCCCGGTCGCCTCAGAGGCCTTTGCTTCAAACACCGTTGCAATGCATTTCTTGTCAGCCCCGCTGTGTTGTTCCTGGGTTGTCTCATTGTTTTCTTGCTATAAATATCCTGAATTGTCCTGACATGATTGACCGTTCTCTGATCCGGCCGCTGGGATTGTTATCCTGTCACTCTTCTAAGCTATCCCCCCGCAATTGACTTCAATCCAACCCGTCACTTTCACGCCACGTTCCCAACCCTTGCGTAGTTCTATCTCCTTATTTTAGGTCATTGTGTGATCATTGTGGACTACTACCGAGATTCTCCGCGATTATATGAAGATGAGTGTTACCGCTCAGGCATCTGCGTCAAGCAGCGATGTTAGATTCCACGGCGTGGTATCGTCCTCATCGTCTAAGGCCATGAATGGTTCACCTCGCACTGAGACTTCGCTTCCTCCCGGCGAGGCTAGCGGAGCGACCAAAGGAAAGAGGAGGAGCAAGTATCGACATGTAGCTGCCTACCACTCGAAGTTGCAACATTCGAGTTTAAGCCGAGAATCCAACGTTCCGACTAGTTTCCTCGGGTTCCGAAATCTCATGGTGATCGTACTAGGTAAGCACATTTGTGTGGGATAAATTAGTGATCGACGGAATTAATATCTCTCTACTGGACTAGTGGCAATGAATCTCCGACTGATTATTGAGAATTTCATGAAAGTAAGTGTTATTGTCGAACTGACCACCATTTGGTTGAAGCAGCTAACATTTCTTCGCATAGTACGGTGTCCTCATTTGCATTAGATGCCATGACTACCGAAAACAAGATGTTGTACTTGGCTCAATGCTTTTTGCCCTTGTTCCTTGTCAGCTTTTTATCGCGTATATCCTTGAATTGGCCGCAGCAAGTCGGGCTAAAGAAACTGTTGGCCGAAACAAAAAGGATAAATCAGCTGAGCAGGGCGAGCGTGAACAGCGTGAATTCCGAACTATTTGGCGATTCGCCTTATCTTTCCATATCCTCAATACCCTGCTCAATCTAGCAGTAACCAGCTATGTTGTATATTATTATGTCCACCACCCGGGGATCGGGACGCTCTGCGAAGTCCATGCGATCATTGTGGCGCTCAAAAATTGGTCCTATGCATTCACCAATCGTGATCTACGCGAGGCGATGCTAAATCCACCTGTGGAGTCTGCCCTTCCTGAGATTTATTCTTCGTGCCCTTATCCAAGGAACGTCACACTGGGGAACTTGGTGTACTTTTGGCTAGCACCTACACTAGTTTACCAGCCTGTTTATCCCAGGTCACCAGAGATCAGATGGTCGTTTGTCGGCAAGCGCATGTTCGAATTCTTAAGTTTGTCTGTCTTTATCTGGCTTCTCTCGGCCCAGTACGCTGCTCCAGTTTTGCGAAACTCGATTGACAAAATCGCTGTTCTGGACATTGCATCTATTCTGGAGCGGGTGATGAAGCTATCCACCATCTCCCTCATTATCTGGCTTGCTGGCTTTTTTGCCATATTCCAGTCATTCTTGAATGCCCTTGCTGAAGTGATGCGGTTCGGAGACCGTGAATTCTATCTCGACTGGTGGAACAGTTCCAGTCTTGGCGTATACTGGCGATCCTGGAATAGGCCTGTCTATCTCTTCATGAAGAGGCATGTGTATTCGCCTTTGATCGGACGAGGATATAGTCCACTCACAGCAAGCACTGTTGTCTTTGTTGTTTCGGCTCTTCTGCATGAACTGCTCGTGGGGATCCCCACCCATAATCTGATAGGTAACAAGAATCGCGCATCCCTATGCATGGTTGTTCTAAGCTAATCGATATCAAGGCGTCGCACTCTTTGGGATGTTGTTCCAACTGCCACTGATCATGGCCACCACCCCACTGGAGAAGATGAAAGACCCCTCCGGAAAAGTCATTGGGAATTCAATATTTTGGGTCAGCTTTTGTCTGGTTGGACAGCCTTTGGGCGCCTTGCTGTATTTTTTTGCCTGGCAGGCGAAGTATGGGAGCGTTAGCAGAATGACCTAAGGATAGATATTGTGTTTTAGTATATAGAATGATTGTAGATAGAATGCTCAATTGACCACGTTCGTTTTCTTGAATCAGACATAGTTGCTGACAGAAGACCACACGTATTTCATATGGATGCCTTCACTCACGATGCACCTTTGATTGGTTGTTGATCTATGTCAGATTGCTTCGTGTTGTAGAACCCACTAGATTTATAACGGCTCTCGGTTCGTCGGTGCTCCGGATGGAAAGCCGCTTTTCCGGCTTCCTGACGTCAAGAAATCAACGCTATTTATACCTCTCTAGATCTCACTGCTCCTCCATGAACAACCAAAAAGAACAATCGATAGTCCACGCTGAATACAAAATTTTACAATGGTCGCGATTGCTATCCCCGAGAACTATGGGTAATTGTTATCCCCATCCCGGTTGCGACAAGATCGCGTTTGATTGACTATGAATTTCTAGTGCCGTCATTGGCGTTGCGCTTGGAGCTATCCCTGTGCTCAGCTTTGTCCATGGGATGATTGTCTCAGGTCTTCGTAAGGAAGCCAAGGTTCCCTATCCTCACACATATGCGACTGTGGAACAGTGCAAGTCGAACGTGAGGCCCCCACTTCCACCCCTTTTGTAATCGACGCTACTTTCGGGATAAACAGTCGCACAGATGTAAGATAAGTAACCTTGCTTCTAACTAACGGGATCTTTCTCCACAGCCCAAAGCTGAACAATTCAACTGCGCTCAACGCGCACATGCCAACTTCCTCGAAAATGCTTCCCAGACCATGCTTTTCACCCTGGTTGCGGGTCTGAAGTACCCCCAGCTGGCTACTGGTCTCGGTGCCTTTTGGTTCGTGACTCGCTCGCTCTACCTGTACGGCTATGTGTACTCGGGTAAGCCGCAGGGTAAGGGAAGGTACCAAGGAATGCTCTTCTGGTTTGTACAGGGTGCTTTGTGGGGGTTGAGTGTATTCGGCGTGGGCAAGGACTTGATCTCTTTCTAGGATGTTGTATCTGAAAAACTGGATCGTGGCAGAGCGCTACTTTTAATGCTTGTGAACCAGTGGGTTGACGCCTTCTTGCGTGTTTCATCTAAATGTATAACAGTCTGTATACAATAATTTCAATGTGAAATGCTAAATATTAGCCCTTTTCTCAGCTGAAGAATATATAGAGGCGCTGTCTCTGCGTTAGCTCTTAAGAGTCATCTGAGGGTTGAGTGAGGGAAGTATCTCACCGATTCTCATCGTGAGGCGCCTGATTACGGACATTGAAAGTTGAGCGACCTGTCTTCAGGCGCTACCAATACAGTCTCAGTTAAGGCGTCTGCTACAGGGCGCCTGCTACAGGGCGCCTAAAGCGGCACTTATCGGAAACGTCGAGTGTGTTAGATCGATGCCAGAGGGGTATGTTTGAAAATTCTATAATAATCACACATAATTTGGAATTCTAGATGGGCGCCTTCGTATATATTGTCGGAAAAGATAGAGATTGCAGGTAGACGCTGGCAATTATGGAGCTTCTGTGGGATATGAAAAAGACAATTTTATATGAGCAGTACGTAGAAATCTAGTAGTAATAGTATATACTAATAGTCACAAGTAGGTTGACGAATAGCCCCGATACAAGCACGGCCACGGGCCACCTGAGCAGAATCAAACTGAAGGATGCCAATAGATGATCTTCCCGGGCAACTGAGTCTGCTTTCCTATTAGTCCAGGGCTAGCTTACTGGTTTTTCTTAGGGCATTTACTACAAAGCTCTAGTCCAAACCCGATAAGACCCCTTATTCAAAAGAAAGGCATTTTATACAGTAAACCAAAAACTTTGTTCGCGTCTTATCAACACTTGACAATTAGACCAGTGAGGCGCGTCGACTTGAAGAAGCGGCAGCGAAGGCTTTAGGCTATTGGTAGAGCCGCCGATGGAATAAGAGAGCAGGATGTTACGAAAGCCGCTGAAACTGTGAAGGGGCAAGTCACAAGGCCCTCGTCTAAAAAATATTAAATACTCTTGTACGCCTAGAATATCAATTCCCTCCGCTAACCTGGAGTACGTAAAGAAAACTAGACCTGCAAACTTCCGGGTCGTGATGGGCGACATGTATAGGTGGAACAATGGCAGACACCTATAGAGGGGAAAGAAAGCAAGTATGCTGCGGGTCTGTCGGCGGCTAATACTGCTAGTAATAAGTGACTGAATGCGATACTCCAAGCCTCTTCCCCGAGGATAAGACCAGTCGAGTACCTAGGAACCCTCAAAGCTCGCTTTGCCAAAGTTGATCGGGTCGGCTTCATGCGGTGAATAACGAGGTCGCTGATCTCAATTTCATCCTCCTCCAGGTTCACTAATTATAGAGGACCGAGCTTGCCTTCCTGAAAGCAGCTTGCCAATTATTCCGCTCCCGTTAGAGCGAGCAGAAGGAAAACTGCACGAAATTAAAGATATTGTCACTCAGCTGACCGCCGCTTGCCAGGCTTCTCGGAGCCCCATCTTCAAAGCACACGCATGGCGAAAAGAACAAGGCAGGCTTCAGATGTCCAGGAAGGTATCGGAACAGTCGAATCTAAACATAATGCTTGGTGCTTCTAACTAGTTCATGACGTAGCATTGTGATTTTGCATAACAGAAACTCATATGAAACTTGGGATAACATGTTTTGTGACTAACTGGATATAGACAAGACGAAAATCCGCCTTGACGTGGAGGCTATCTCTGCAGCCACATTGCAGTCATCGCACGAGCAGACCATCTTCAAGGAAAGCTTTACGACTGGAATGGCTGCCGTTAATGAGCGCATAGCCGGGGTCGAGGAGATGTTACAGGTCCAAGCGGACCAAGTCCCAAGCTAGCCAGTTCAAGCAGATAGGGTCATTGTACAACGCCCCTCCTACTCGTAGGTGACGATCTCCGGCGACTAAGCAAGGGACTCACGCGAATATGACACGCTCTGAAGGGATGGGCGTTCGTGGCACACCATTCGTCGTAGCTTGTCGGTCGGGTTGCCCATACGCATGTCATTTACAGCAGAAATCAACCAGCTCTGCGCTCCTAAGCCGTGTCCTTGGGCGTCTCTTTGTTGGATACTCAGGGCTGCCATTCTTCAGCCCCAAATGCGACTTCCAGGCATGGAAAAAGTCGCGCGCGAGTCAAGTCTGTATAGAATATTGGTTTCCTTTGGGATTCTTGTCATCATCGATCGTGAGGGTGCAAGTGGGATGTCAGCCCAACATAGGAACCCTGCTACAGCTTAATACACTTAGGAGGGTGCCAGACACAGCACAATGTGTCAGCTATGCCTTGCACGGTGACATCGAGGGGCTGAAGTATCTTTTCGAGAATGGCTTGGCTTCTCCCCGTGATGTAAGCGCTACTCGAGGCTATTCGGTTCTTCGATGGGCCCTTTATGGAAAACAGTATGAGACATGCAAGTTTTTAATACAAGTAAGAGCAGATTCAGACTACAAACCCAATCGCTGCTAGCGGCAACAACCCTAGGAACAAAGCATGCTATTTCCTTCTCGAAGGTGGATTTTCCGATACTGCAGTAGATGCTCTTCGCGCAATAACGAAGAATGGTTATCTGGAAGATTTCATAGATGAGGCAGGATTCACAAAGACACACAAAATCGTTCTGGGTCTATCTTTATCGAGCCTGGAAGATGAGATCATTCTAAATTCTGATGATATAAAAGCGAGAGATGCAATGGGACATACACCTCTGGCTTGGGCAGCTGCACAAGGAGATCACCGAGCCGTTGTCACATTGCTAGGCCACAGTGCTTATCCAAATATTATGGATGTTCAATTGTCCGGTCCCTTATCGAATGCTGCATCTCAAGGCCGCACTGTTGTCGTTCGTTTGCTATTGGAAGCCGGAGCGCACACCTACTTCCCCTATCCAAATGAGGAGAGGAAGGGTAGTCCTTTGAATTGCGCAGCTCGCAATGCCACAGATGTTTTGCTATTGAAAACTCTCCTTGACTTCGGAGCGGACGTGGATGCTAGTGTAACAGATGGAAGAGCCTCGCTTATCCACGCAGCTCGGACTGATAACGCTAGTTTTGCTATGTTATTAATGGAATACGGAGCGGATATCAATGCTATTTCGGCTGACGGGTCAACCTCCTTGACTACTGCAATCGCCTATAATAATCACAATGTGTTACGACTAATCCTTGATCGGTGGCATGAATACTCTACTTGTCCGCGCCTTAAGGGACCCCATCTTCTCCAGATAGCAGCACTATATGCTGGTATCGAGACGATTCTTATTTTAGAGGCGACAGATCATTTCAGAAAGAATGCCCGGCAATATACACTTGGGAGCTCTGGGAATAATCTACGGCAGCGCCTTGATTTGACCGATGATCTCGCTATGGCCTTTGACGATCTATTGGGTGTAATAAACTACGTGCCAAGCCAAGAGCAGAGGTCAGATGGCCCTCTTAAGCCTGGGATCCTCTCTTGCTTCCCTTCGCATAATGTCGACTTCGGAGGGGTAGACCATGATCCCAACAGCGCTTGCAGTTCCAACGAAAGTTTTTGCGATGTATTTGAGCGCCTTCCCCTTTCCGCAGAGGATGATGCAATCTTGGAGAAGCATCATCTTGTTCGTTAACGCCTCAAGCTAGCGGCCTCTTGCAGGAAGCTACAATACAGCACTGCCTATTCGGCCACCTAAGAATACCTCTTATGTCTTTCATGAAACCTTGCTTAGTTTATTTGGTACAGTTAATCGCCCAGGAGTCAGGAGTTACTTATAGCGCGCCCCGCAATGCCAGTGTATTTACATGGATATTCGAATTACTGTGCAAAGGATCGTATAGCTGCTACTGTAATATGACAAATAATAAATTACTCTCAGGTGGCCCCTATCCTACTATTTGTCGATCGTGTGTATTTACATAGTAGTCTGTATGTATTACTCAAACCCACAAGCTGTTACTTGGTGGACTTCAATTCGCACTTCAACTGTTGTCTCGCACTCATGGGAATTACAATCGGTACATGCTAGCATGCCTAATGGCAGTGCGGATTTGCCTATTTCGACATTTTAGCGCCATGAAACTAGCTTGCGACTTAATAGGAAGTTGGCGCGGGGACGTGGTTGGGCTAGTAATATAGGTACTAATGCAGCCGTAAATAGTCCCTGTTATAGTATAAAGCACTCTTCGCCCCACGGAGCCGTAAAAGCACATGTAATTTTATCAGTTTGCCGAGATGCCGACATTTCATGTGTAAACTGGCTTCAATAATGGTCTTTTGTTACTAGGCAACCCTCAAATATTACGTCTTACTCAGTACTCCACTTGGAGAAGCTGACCATGCGATTCGGCCTGAATTACCACTGGCACCAAGTGCCGGAATGGGCGCCATTCTATGTGCCTTAACCCTCACTGAAAAGGCTACTAAGCAATGCTATCAAAACTGTGGGCGCTACAGAAAGCCGACCAGACTTCACAGGCCCGCTACTGGTCTCCTTAATCCTGAAAACCGTCATTGACATTGTTTGTTGAAGTATATACCAACCTTGAATGTAATGTTGATTCCTTTAGTCGCTTCCACCATGAGACCTATGATCTCCTGAGACGAAAGGAAGAGTTGATTTGCGGCGAATTGGCACCTGAAGCGAACATCTTGTCAGCAGAAAAGGATAGCAATTGTCATGAACTGGAGAGCCTCCTCAAAGCCGTGCTAGAACTCCGCGATGACTCAGAAAAGCTGCAACGGTATTACCGAGTGAACAAAGAAGCAATCCAGAGAATATATGTCACGATTGAGAAATTTTTGCCACTTAAACGGAGAGACTCTTGAGGATCCTAAAGCTAAATGGGTTAAGTCGAAGGCTGACCGCGATGTATTATGGCTAAAGTATATCGGAAGTCTGAGCGACATCATGCTAGTATTATCCAAATCCGCTCCGATAAGAAGCTTTACTTGGCAGCTAAGTCTTTCTGTCTGGAAATGTTCTTCAGTCAACCACCCTCTTCCTGTGACCCTTTCAAAGATTTGTGTTGTGCGGTCAAAAACGATGATTCAGAATTGAAAACGCTCTTGGATGAGACGTACTCAAATGACACTATAACAAAATCGCGGTTCCAGCAAATTTTCCGGGATCTAGCAGAGCGATCAGTGGTATATCGTTCTAGTAATTCTGCTAATCTTTTACTTTCACGAATGTTTCCTAAATATGACATTGCACCGGACCACAGACACTTAAATCGAATGATTATTACCTCCGGTCGGGATACAATATCAGCAGAGCGCACTAGGACAGAACTACGCTCTCATTGCTTTTCTAAAGAAGCCTGTGGTGAGCCTGGGAACAAACTGATCCTTTCCGCTGTTGAGCAACTTGGGCTCAGTGGAAAAGATACCTTACTAGCAAAGGATGCATTGGGGCGTCTTCCACACCATTTACACTGCAATTTACGGCCTATCGATTATCTGTGAATCAATCTTGGACCTGTCTTGGAACTGGGGCAAGGAGTGTCCTGCATTTCTAATCGTATCGCCGGACTCTGAACGATGTACGCCATTGCATTATGCAGTAATTTAAAATCATGCAGCGGGCATGGAAATTTTCTTGACTGCTCTTATATCGGGGATCGCACTTTAAGGAACATTCTGAACGATCCTCTTGTCATTGCGATAAAATATCAGTACGACGACATCGTTCACCTGCTGGTCAAGTATCCTCTAGATTTTCATGGCGAAACTAGTCACGGAGAAACGGCTCTTTATGTGGCGGCTCGCAGTGGACATGAAAAATACGCGTAACTCCTTCTTAAAAATGGAAAATTTCCGCTGCTTAGTATCCCAGAGCCTGTACATGGCTGGACTCCTCTATTCATTGCATGCGTAGAGGGCCATCAGGCTGTGGTAAAGCTTCTCTTGAAGGCGGGAGCCAAACAAAGCATTAATGACTATGATGGATGGATTGCAAAGGAGCATGCGGCATTAAGAGGGCATATAGCTTTGGCTGAGATGCTTGAATCATTGGGCACAGAAGATACACTTGGAGGGCCGGCTAGCCTATCTACGAAGTCCAATATTCGAGTTGATATGCATTTTCGAACGGATTGTCACTATGTAGTTGTCAATCCGGGCGCCCTAGGAGCAGGAAAGCAGGTCAGTGCTGTTGAACTGTTAAATCACTCTCTGGAGCCGATGTACATGTATGCTGGCTTGTCAATTGAGATCTCAGTCTCAGAGGGGGCCTGTGCAAGCCAATCTATAGAACTCCCGTTCTTGACTGAAATGGTTAACGAGCCTTTCGGTTTCCCAGTTACAAATCCCGACAGTGCCTGGATATCTTTCAAGTTATTCGATACTACGTCTATGAAATCAAAGGGATGTGATCCTTTGGGAGGTGGTACTGCTCTGATAGGAAGCCTCAGCGACTGTTTTGGAGAGAACCGTGAAAGTCTTATTAGAGAGCGCACCATTCCTATTCTTAGGAAGGATACACTGAGTGTTATGGGCAAAGTCACTTTTACTTTCGTTATCGCTAAGCCAATATTCCATCAAGCTGGGTCCTTGGTAAAACCCCTTAACGCTGAAGGAGGCATTCAACTAGTTGGCCACAGAGGTATGTGATGCACTGCCATCCATACTTCTGTATTATGGTCGTATTACGTGTGTCCAGGCCTTGAACAAAACACAGCCAGCCGCAACTATCTCCAACTAGGAGAAAACAATGTAGAGGTACGCAGACTTCTGGATCTACTATAGTCGAGCTTTGCCTACCTAACATGGGGCCTAGTCATTCCTTTCGGCTGCGAAACAAGGTGCCACAATTGTTGAGGTAAGATCTGTCTGGTTTCTACAGCAAACATTTCTAACAACTGGAGTAGTTTGGTAACAAAATTGTCTCCCGAATGGCTTGACACGTTCACTAAACCCTGCTAGATGTGTAGTTAACAAGAGACCTGGTTCCTATCATATACCATGACTTTTCTCTGAGTGAGTCGGGTACTGATATTTCTATTCATGACCTGAATATTGAGCAGGTTAGTATTCCAGGTTAGTATTCCAGGTGACTTTTCTTCCTGATTCTGACTGGACAAAGTTCATGCACGCAAGCAATATCCAGATATCACGAGGTGACCCTGTATCAGTACTTGGAGAAGCAAACATGCAGGCTATGCCCACTCAGGATAGTCGAGACAAGCCCCGCTCACGGTCATTAACAAGAGGCTACAAGAGAGGAGTAAGGAGATCCGTCACAGAATGAAATATACCGTTGACTTCATTAACAAAGAATTTAAACCTAATACCAGAGGCGACTTTATCCAAAACTCCTTCACGACGGTAGAGGAGCTACTTGGGAATTTGCCTGAGTCAATCAGTTTCAACATTGGGATAAGTACGCTAGCTGCATCTATGGAGATTTCCAAATTTTGATAATCAGGACTGATAAGGTACCGATAAAAAGTACCCCAGACTTCATGAAGCAACAGATGCAGGTGTAGCGCCCGTGGCTATTGGAATAAACACTTTCATCGATAAAGTATTGGAGAATCTGTTCTGTTCTGTTCTGGTAGCAGAAAGCGGAATATCATTCTGTCCTCATTCACTCCTGAAATTTGCATACTCTCGGCGATCCATGCCCCGTCGTGTTCATCACAAACGTTGGCAAACCTCCAATTACGGACCTAGAGATGAGGGCCAGAAGCATACAATCCGCTGTTCAGTTTTCAAAACGGTGGAATCTGTCTGGTATTGTGTTTGCATCCGAAGCGCTAGTAATGTGTCCCAGGCTGGTCAGGTACGTTCAGCGATCGGGGTTGATTTGTGGATCCTATGGGTTTCAGAACAACATACCAGAGAATGCAAAGGTAGGTTTCATAAATCTGATACTTAGAAATGGTTCTATCTCGAGACATAGAAGTTGTTCAACAGCTAACACGGCCACTTCACAGGTTCAAGCTGCTGTTGGCATTGACATTATTATGGTTGATAGTGTTGAACTTGTTGCTATGGCTTTGAGAGGAGATGAGTCGCAATTGAAAAACTAGGTGCCCATCGCCTGGCTTGTGAATGGGTGTCTTCTAACCTGCTAGGGACACTATACTGATCTAAATCTCGCAGTGAATACCTAATGTTTCCATATGAAATTCTAGTGTCTCAGGAAGCTTTAGTGTAGTAGCCCCCAGTTGAAATATTAGTCCTCGTTGGCTATTTGGGAATCTATAAAGATTTATAAAATCCTCTACCTCGCTCCGATAAAGATTTTCAAAGCGATTAGAATCCATCCTATTTATCTTCTATCTCCCCGCATGAGCAGTACCCTAACGATAGGCCCTAATCTTATCAACATGTGACGGTGCTGATCTGTGTTTAGTGTTAAGATGACGCTTGTGGCTAACCCCACAAGCTCTTCCGCCTGTGGCTAGTATGACTGTTCCCTTCCATAGATCCATCTCAAATTTTTGCGGCGATCATTCTACGCTTTATTTCCTTCCTCCATCCCACAAAATTGATATAATCATTTTGATCTTTGATCATTTTATCTAATCATTAAAGGTCTGGAAACCTGGCCCACTGAATAGGCATATTTCAACCGCTCCTCATTCGTTGCTTACAATCTTCGCAGAACCCCGCGGTACCCCTCCATCGCCAACATGTCTTCCAAGTCGCAATTGACCTACAGCGCACGTGCCAATAAACACCCCAATGCTTTAGTACAGAAACTATTCGAGATCGCTGAGGCCAAAAAGTCTAACGTCACCGTGTCGGCCGACGTGACAACCACCAAAGAGTTGCTGGATTTGGCTGACCGTACGCGCACCGGGGATGCCACTTACATATGATCTAGTGATGATTAATGGTGGAATGTATGACAGGACTCGGCCCGTACATTGCTGTGATCAAGACTCACATCGATATCCTTTCCGACTTCAGCGAAGAAACTATCACCGGCTTGAAGGCCCTCGCCGAGAAACACAATTTCCTCATCTTCGAAGACCGCAAGTTCATCGATATCGGAAATACAGTCCAGAAGCAGTACCATGGTGGTGCCTTGCGTATCTCTGAGTGGGCTCACATTATCAACTGCAGTGTCCTGCCTGGTGAGGGCATCGTTGAAGCGCTTGCCCAGACTGCCGCGGCTGAAGACTTCCCCTACGGCTCCGAGAGGGGTCTTTTGATCCTAGCTGAGATGACGTCTAAGGGATCTTTAGCTACCGGTCAATATACTACCTCCTCGGTTGATTATGCTCGGAAGTATAAGAACTTTGTGATGGGATTTGTCTCGACCCGTCACCTGGGCGAGGTTAAGTCTGAGGTTAGTTCGCCGTCGGATGAAGAGGACTTCGTTGTCTTCACGACAGGTGTCAATCTTTCATCGAAGGGTGATAAGCTGGGACAGCAATACCAGACTCCTGAGTCGGCCATCGGACGCGGTGCGGACTTCATCATCGCCGGCCGAGGAATCTACGCTGCCCCTGATCCGGTAGAGGCGGCGCAACGGTACCAGAAGGAGGGATGGGATGCATACCTGAAGCGTGTTGGTGCACAATAAGTATGGAGTGAGCTCTATATATAGCTTCATGTCTCAAGTATGATGTAAATAATAAACCTGAAAACCCGTGGAAAGTCAACTGTCTTTCTACGGTAGACGTTCTAAATACTCTACAAAAGTCTATGGAACCACCTTTCCATTCAGGTAAGGATTACCCAACCTAGCAAGATTCAGCCTCGCACCTGCCTACTTAATGACACTACTACACCTTCAACAAGATCACATGAGCCTGTGTTGTCGAAACCACTTCGCGCAGTTCAATCAATACTCAAGTCCTCCGCAGATAGACCGGAGGCTGTTCAGGGAGAGACCAAAGATCTAAAGAGAGTGTCTCTCAAATCGTCTGACATTTCTACAAACCTCATGTGAGGGGCGAGGTTCGGGCTATCTGCCCTTTTCCGAAATGGGCCTAGTTTCTGCTCTGATCGGGATGGCAGTGTGTCCACCGGGTATATTTTGTACGTTTGAACCCCCTTCGAACCTTGGGCCCAACTTCTATATTTAGTAGATCAACAAGGCGGGCCCGGAGTTATACTGGAGTTGCGCAAGGCCCACAAGAGCTGCCGGGCTCACACAATAAGCGGCATCAGAACAATAAATATCCAAATGGCTAGAGCTGTCACCAATACTGCCACGGCGAATACCCAAGCTACTGCTGTGACGTGCGAAGCATTCTGACTGACGAACACGTAGTCAGCAACTGGGATTGAGACCAGGACCTGCATTGAGGAGAGTACAGCCGACAGACTGGCAAAGAGAATGAGCGAACGAGCAGTGGCTTGCTCCACATATGAGGTGACCGTCCAGTATGGCACCTCATAGAACCAATTTGTACTCTCAGCCCTTAGCCGAAAGATTCGAACGAGCCATTGTAATCGTGACATGCGATGTTGACCATAGTGTTATCTCTTAGCAACGTCATGGTCATCAATGTTCCGCAAATGGACGAGGAACTGTAACCACCGAATCCAGTCTATCTCAGCGGGGATGAGGTGAGCTTCTTTCGGAAGGATGAAATCTATACCGCGTTTGACAAGATGTGCGTATGAATCGTAGAAACCCGAGTGCTCTCGAGTGATTCTCACCTTCTTCCCACGCGCTCTCTTGAGGTCTTGAGATATGTTTGCCAGATAGCGTGGTTTAGCAGGGAAAGCGGTATCGGTTTGACATATATTTTACCGCTTTACCACGTGAAATTTGATATCTTCTGCAACAGTGATTGTTCTCCCTTTAATCCGTTGCTGGCGAAGGGGATAGATGTGGCCACCATCTCTCTTCGCTCCCAACCAAATACGGGGGTAGAGCGTATCTAACAACGGGGTCGAGAGTTCGTCGGAGAAGAATTCAACCTCGCGAGGCTCAAGAGACACAAGAGGTTCTCCGGGGATGTAGCCTTGGCGGTTTTCGAGGTCGCTATCTCTTTCAGCTGAAAGATCTAATTTGTCTGGTACTTCCACTGTTATTACATGATCCGCGTTAAGGGCGCAGGATACTGGGGAATGGCTGGGTTAGCCATATAGGAAGACTAATGAAATGTACATCTTGTTGAAACGAAATTAGAACTGAGTCGGATTTTCTTGCCTGTACTTTTGTCGGAAAAAGCAAACAGTGAGACTCAGCCTTGCATTTAAATCCCCGCCTGCGGAGGAGAATAGAGCCCGATGTCCGGTGATGCACCTTGTCTGTTTTATGGTAATAGCGCTTTTTGTCGCCCTATGGATCTGGAAGCCAGACCTGGAATATTGGGCGGTCTTATTTTCTAGCGTGCTTTGCACGGCGACTTGCTGGTGTTTGCTTCATTGACATTCGAATATGTCTCCACGAGACAATACCTCCTATGGGCTATTCTCTGCCTTTCGGTTACCTGGGGGATACTCCTCAGCCTTCTAGCCTCGCTCATCCTCCTTTAGTGTATATGCCATTCATGGGTTAGGATCGAACGCGTCTAATGCATGGATGTACAAAGCAGGCCCAAATCCAAATACAGTGGCTGAAAGACATCCTGCCGCCAGTTAGGGGCATCGAAAATAACAGGGTCATCCAGGTGAATCATGCGTCACGATGGGATACGCATGCCGCACTCATGGAGTTTGATGATCGTGCTGAAATGATACTTGAAGATGTTGAAGGTCTTCATAAGGTCAGGATCAAATATGTCCATGGTTATGGGGGTCCCTCATCGTGGTGGCCCTGCCTCAATCTTTGCCTCCGTCTTATCGTTGACAGCTTATTGGCGTGGCTCCTCTGCCCACCTACTACGATACATGGAACCAGATTCTCTCTATATCAGGACGCTAAACGCAGAATTCGTCAAAAATTTTCAAAATCCACAATCCACTCTCCGACCACTACCATTTGTATGCAACGTTTTGGAGATGGGCGCCGAAAGGCTCTTAAACGCTCTGTTAGGACCAGTAAGTTCTTGACTAAAGGTTTCTTTTTTCCCCTTGGAAGTCGCTAAAGGGAGTAGAAAGACTGTTGATAGACGCTCTGGAAATCTCCACCAGGCCAAATCTGTTTTCCTAGAGACCGATCGTCAAGGGCTGAATAAATTTTAATCGGAGGAGGACCCCAACTTTCGTCGCTTTCTTAATCCTTTCACGGATGCAGTTCATTTCGCTACTAATTTAGGTATGCACAGCATGTCGCCCATTAGTGTTTAGTGTTGCGCTTCTACTAAAGCTTTAGCATGTTGCTGATTACGGTAAACCAAGTGCATCGTGTCACAATACCATCAATCGGCAGTGCCACCGATAAGAAGGACCGGATTTTCGTCCCATTCCAGCTTCCATATTCGTGGAATGAAATGTTTACAGGTCGCGGTCCTCCTTTGAATCACGCACACCATCACATAAACAGTGGTTCGTTCCGGCAAAAGCAATACATTGTTGCTCTCTATACTCCCGAGTAGAGGGGGAATTGAAAAGACACTGATAGCGGTTGAATATGCGCATCAATATCACAAAGCGTGCACCGCAGTATTCTGGATTGATGCCTCCAGGAAGCCAGACTACAACAAAGCTTTTCAGATGTTGCTAGAGAGGTTTTGCCATATTGAACGGACATGGTGAGCCAGGTAACTTCACACACAAGTGACAAGAGACAGGAATTTGGCAGTCTCAGAAAGAAATGCATACCAAATACCGAGCAGGCGAGCACAGTGGCGGCTCATTTGTTAGTAAAGTGGCTCATGATCCCAGGAAATGATGATTGGCTTTTGATCTTCGATAACTTCGATGATATGTGGGTTGCTTGACATCAGGCCTTATATACCAAAGATATCAACCGGGAGCATTCTTATCACAAACAGGCGAAGAGACGTGGCTAGTTACTGGAAAAGCTTGGAAATCCCAGGTATGACCTCTGAAGAGGGTAGCCTCTTATTGGCAAGTAGCTCTGGAATCAAAGAGGGAGATATTGATGGTTTGTACATAATACTAAAGCCTGTTTTCAATACGCTGACTGTTATTCTAGGGAAGGTTGTACATGATCTTCTTCAACTCCTTGGCGATTACCCACTCGCGCTCGAGCAAGCAGGAGCGTACATTGCAGTCCGGAAAACTAAGGCTGTGACAGGCTCACAGGCACACTCGGATAGGTTACGGAACTATATCCAAGAGTTTCATATAAACGCTGCTAGGCTTTTGCAATACAGGAGGCCTGTAGCCATATGGGATTATCGAAATGAGACTGTGCTCACCACTTGGGAAGTATCGTATCAAAAAATTGAGCGAGAAAGTCCGGAGGCCAGCGAACTGCTTTCTTCTATGTGGATTTCATTCTGATCATGGTATAATTGAGGGAATCTTCCCATTTCTGAAAGATTCCGATAAATAAATAAGCACAAGATCCACCTGTAGGGAATATGTTCTTACTGTCTACTCTTTTAGGGAAATCTACTCGTAGCCTGATGAATATACTATCATCCTATTCTTTGGTCGACTTTTCCGTGTCACCTGATTCCATTCACATTCATCCACTTTTCCATTACTGGGCCCCAACAGCGCCTATTCATTGATGGGAAGAAAACGATTTCTAAGGAAGCCCTGTACCTTGTCCAACACGCGCTAAGTCAGAAAAAAGAGGGCCCATATCTGAGTTACTCTACATTTAAGTTTCGGCTTTATCCTCACCTACGAGCTGTCCTTAAGAAATGTGAAGGTCGCCCACTCACAACAAACGCGGCATGGAATGTTGCGGACAACTTTTTCCTTCAAGATGGAATAGCCGGAGCTCTCGAGTGGTCCCAGAAAACGGTGAGCAGCATGATCAGATCAGTTGGCGAAGACAATGAACAAGCCTTGTGGACTATCTTTAAGATTGGGGCCGCTTTGTCTGACACAAGAGATATGGCGAGGCAGCCCAATAGTACACCCGAGCTAGTGAAGGGTATGAGAGGGTACTTGAAAAGGACCATGGAGATACTTTGTAGAGCATCCATGATATTACGATGGCTTTAGGCAGTGCAGGGAAATATGATGCAGCCTTCCAGTGGAATCAGCGAGCACTTGAAGGAAGTGAGAAGGCTCTGAGAGAAAACCATGAAGATAAATTATGGACTACTTCCAACATTGCCTACAACATGGGGGAAGCAGGAAAGTATGACGAGTCCATCAAGTGACACCAACGGGCTTCAGAAGGCCGTGAGAGGACCCTTGGCGATAATCATGAAGATACACTATTGAGCGTTTATGAAATTGAGCGTAATTTCTATCTCATGGGGAGATGCAAAGATGCCTATTAGTGGTATCGTCGAGCCCTTGAAGAAAGTGAGAGGAGCATTAGCAGAGATCATTATATTACTCAGGATGCTGCCCATCAAATTGAGGTTCTCGTACAGGGATTTCAACTTAGAGCGTGCCAGCATGCCTTTTTAAATCGATGTCTTAACATTTCCTGGCCCTCAGCAGGTATGCTGAGCTACAACTAAGCCATAGGGCAAGGGAGACAACCAGAGAGAGGGTTTCTAAGACTTGGTTATAATATTCACGTTTTGCATGTTATGGATGTAACTATGCACACAGAGAGGTGTCCATGGCATTAAACAGAGGCAATCGTCTACAATATGAACCTGCAAATCTCGTCAAAGTGGTTAAGCCTGCCGTGACTCGGGTCTGTGACAGCTTGTTTGGCTACCTCCCCCTTTTCCTTCTCTGGGTTGATATTGCAAGATACTAGCTTAATTTACAGGAGATAAAAAGGTAACGGGAAATCGGACGGGGCTTGGAGAGGAGAGTTTACTTATAATTTATTATACATACAAAATTATCCGGTACTTGCTACTCTAACATCAAATGATTTTCCATCGAGTCAGAATTTAGCCAATACTTAGTGCCCTCGTAGAGACCAAAGTAGAGTCCGGATCCCGCAGCCAGCATGAAACTGTGGATAGCACACCCTCGGAACAAGCCCCTCAGGCCATCTGTCCGTATAATCTCCCGTGCAGCATTAGCTATCCTTTTCTTCTGAGGCGCGTTTGTGTCGGCAGCATCGATCATGATCCGCGTGCAGACCACGTCCATCGGCGCTGTGAGGACACTAGCTATCCCGCCTGCTACCGCAGCACTTAGTGCGGCTGTCGTACTAGCCTCCCCAATGGTCATATGGGTTTTTTTCGTTCCGTAATCTCTTGGTGTCTCCAACGCCCTTTCCCGAGCCCCGAATCTATAATCAGTAATGTGATGTTTAAAAACCTCATACAGAGGCATTTGAATCGCCGATAATGGGAGGCTATGCGCCACCAGAGCCGGATATCCGCTCCAGAGCTGTCTCGGACTATTGATAAACTTTTGAAGAGCTAGCGTTGTCGCCTTCTGGGCTATGCCACCCGGCCTTGCCCTGGCTACACGTCCTGACGCGTCCGGTTGAGCCGACTGGATCATCTGCGCGTTGTGCTTCAATGCATCGGCCGGTGCGAAGACCACACAAGCGGCGAGGTCCGCAGCGGAAGCTGCGCACAGGTCGGAGATAAATTGAGCTGAACTCGATTCATCAGTTCCGAGCTTTTGATGTAATACTTTGAGTCTGGATTGTGCGTATTCGTATGTGATGAAGAAGGCACCCGCTTTGACTTGTTAATATTCTCTGTTCATTGCTCAGGGGTTGTATGAGGTAGTACAAACCTGCGGGGAATGAAGCAGCTATTACGCTCCCGATGCCTTGGTAAAGACCGCGGAATATCGCTGGATGTCGCCATACGCTGGTTCCTACGTTGGCTCTCTGAAAATTCGCATATTCGCGAGACTGGATGCGAGTCTTGATCGTATCTAAGGGGTGGACGAACAGATCCAATGCAAGTGAAGCCCCCGTGCTTGACTAATTTCACGAAATTAAGATTTGTTGTCTGCTCAAGGAGGTTTGTATCTACCAGTAGGATGCTGAGTGCGTCAGCGGGCATGTTGCTCCGTTCAACAGTTGATTTGACGCGTGTCTTGGCACTCATCACTTTACAAAATTTCGAGGTTTCGGGATTTTCGTTTCTTCTGCGATTTGAGATGGATCACGTTAGAGTGGTAATGTAGATGCTGAGAACCCATGTTAGTCATTGAAGCTTCTTAGGTGAGTTAGTTGGATGCCTTGATCGGGAGCCGCGGGAACCGTTCCCATACAACTCGGACGATGAATTTTGGTCGGATCATGTTGGAAGTCACCTCATTGCCTCTTTTTCCCTACCTATTGGTAAACTCATATGTTGAATTTTATCACAGCGGGCGATCGGATGTAACTACTCAAACATGGGAGCTCATCCCAGTTGTCAAGGAAGAAAGTACTCTGGAGCGTTTATACTAGTCTTGTGCTATCGATTAAAGTTTATGGGGGTGAACTGGAAGAGCTCCACCACACCAATGCATTTAGTAAGGGAATGGCAGGCTGATAAGGGAGAGATAATATAAATCTATAATATAGCCCAACAGATAAGCTTAAGCCCATTGGAAGGAAAAGATAACCATCATTCCCAGTTCCATGTTTCCATTCTTGGTCAGAGATGCATCTCTTCACGTAATTTTAGATTGATTCCTGAACCCTCTCGGCGCTATATCTGGACGCCGGAAGGAAGCTACGGATAAAAGTACCGCGATATATACAGGGCCCTACTGTCCTAGTCTATCTCACTCGCTTTGAAAACTGATCTCCTCTTCTTGGCAGATCGACAAATCAGCGAGACTGGAGCAAAGTGACTCTTTATCTGGAGAGTAAGCTCCCTTGGCAGCGGAATCGTCTGCCAAAGGAATGAAGAGGGCGAGGGGTGAGGGGGGGCCGCGGGGAAGAGAAGGTATTGTTTGTAGTCTTATCATCGCATTCGACTAGTGGAATTGCTCGTGACAGGGATACTCGGCTCCCTTGTCCAATATCTTCTTTCCTTTCTTCTCTCAACACCATTGATTTGTTTTTCCTTCTCCTCTTTCCCCTCATCCCTGACGGAACTCGTGCGGAACCGAACCCGCCATGCTTCCCTCGGATTGGCCATGAGACGATAAGCTTGCCGTCATGACCAACGCTTCCCCAGATATCAGCGGCTTATCGGTGGATGACCGATGAAGTTTAATTGACCAGTTACGATAAGAAGGAGCGGTCCGGTTTTCCCTAATAGAGGAGGGGTGCGCGCATATGTAAGGCATTGGCATCCCCCTGGTCGTTTCCACCGACCCCTTTACGATTGTCCCTGCCTACACCAGCGTACCAGAAAAATGACAGACGAGAAGACCTCCCCACTTGCTACCCTCGATGTGGAGAAAGATGTGAAGGCACACATCGATCCAAAGCTTCAAAAACATGCCCTGGATGCAGACGAGGCTCTGAAAGCCATTCAGGAACTTCAGGGCGAAGCGATCGAGCTCGATGCGGCAACAAATAAGCGACTGTTGAAGATCATTGATTGGCATATGATGCCGCTTATGTGTTTTGTATATGGGATGAATTATCTGGACAGTATGTTTTTGTTCTTTGTCCCTAGACCCAAAATCCATAATCTTAGCCTTAGATAGAAACGACCTTGTCCTATGCAAGTGTCATGGGTTTGAAACCGGACTTGAACCTGAAAGGCGACGAATATCAATGGCTGGGCAGTTTATTCTACTTCGGTTAGTCAAACAATGTCCCTAGAGAGGAGAGGTCCCTCAATTAGACTGACTAGATTCGAAACAAAGGATACATAGCATGGGAGTACCCAACTAACCGATTACTTCAACGCCTTCCATTGGGTAAATACTCCGCGGCTTGTATCATCATTTGGGGGGCCATTCTGTGTTGTTTCGCTGCCGTCAGTAACTATCCTGGGGCCATCGCAATTCGGTGAGAAAGCACACCGCCACGGCCAGCAACAACCACTGACAACTTTCGCTAGCTTCTTCCTTGGTGTCTTCGAAGCGTCTGTGACACCAGGATTTGCGCTTTTGACTTCACAGGTATGTGCCAAGCCTATTCGAATCACGACAGCCTCTGAGGACTTTCGCATAGTGGTATACCAAAGGTGAACAAGGCAGCCGTGTCAATATCTGGTTCAGCTTCAATGGCTGGGGTCAGATGCTAGGTGGCTTTGTAGCGTACGGCATCGCAGTTGGCGCAGAAAGACATGGATCCGCCATCGAGCCATGGAAGATAGTTTTCCTCGTCACAGGTCTACTGACCGTTGTACTCGGAGTGTTATTCCTCTGGGTAGTACCCGACAACCAGTTGAACGCCCGCTGGCTAAAAAAAGAAGATCGCATCCTCGCCGTCGCTCGAGTCCGGGAAAATCAGCAGGGTATTGGAAACAAGCATTTCAAGCTCTATCAGGTCAAGGAAGCGCTCTTGGACCCCATGACCTGGGCCTTTTTTTCCTACGCACTCATCGCCGATATCCCCAATGGTGGTATCTCAAACTTCTTCAATCAGCTAGTCAGAATTCCCCCTTCCATACCTCAAACCGTGTCTCAATGACTAACTGTGCCCAGATTACCAGTTTCGGTTACACACCTCAACAGAGTCTCCTGTATGGCACCCCCGGCGGTGCTGTCGAGGTCGTCGCTCTGATTCTCAATGGCTACGCGGGCCAGTACACCAACCAGCGACTCCTCTGCAGCGCCGGCGGCTTAATAACGGCCATAGTGGGCATGGTTCTTATTGTCGCGCTTCCATTATCTAATAACATCGGACGTCTGATCGGCTACTACATGACCCAAGCGAGCCCGACTCCCTTCGTCGCTTTGCTCTCGATGGTCTCTTCCAACGTCGCCGGTTATACGAAGAAGACCACGGTCGCCGCGCTGTACTTGATCGGCTACTGTGCAGGAAATATTATCGGTATGCTGATGTCCTTGTGGTCTTGACTCGGTCCCAAATCTAACAATAATATCTGCGTAGGTCCTCAGGTTTTCCGTCCCAAAGATGCCCCTCGCTATGTCCCTGCCGAGATTACGATCATTGTCTGCTGGGGTGTTTGCCTACTTCTTATGGCATTTATTTGGTGGTGGTATAAGAGGCAGAATGCTAAGAAGGCACAGATCAGGGTGAGCGCGGAGTACGTGCGATTGGAGAACCAAGAGTGAGTGCCGTCCCTATCTTTCTTTTGTACTGCTAACTAACGGGGTTTAGATGGTTGGATCTAACTGATTGGGAGAACCACGAGCTTGTTTACTCTTTGTAGATTATATAGATTAGGTCTTTATGACTTCGTTACGCATACCTTATGATCTTTATCAACGACGAGCGATATAATGATTGTATACAGTGTTATTATCTCCGAATCATTGTTCTGTACGGGTTGTTTATCTACTTCAAGGATGCCGACATCTAAGACAAGTCATACATTGTCCGAAGGAAGCTTCATGAAGGCAGGTACTGAACCCCACCGTACTTTTTCCACGAAGACCCCACCCCATATATATGGACATGGATGTATATCCTCATCAACATGACGCGTTTTCTAAGGAAAACAAGAATAGTAAGAAAAAGACTCAACCACACACCCTCGTTCCCAAATCCTGCGTCAGTCTTTGTCAAAGAAAGCGGATCCTACAGGAAGTACAGCCTCAAACCATCACACCAAAACATTAGCATAACAAGCAGACCAGGTCAACCAAAGGTGGCACTTGTTCTCGAAGACAGAAGGAAACGCGGTATCAGACAGTGCACAACGGTCTGATAACCCAGGCCCCGTCCCAACCACCCAACCAAGGGCCTGTGTATGGATATGACGGCATACCAGATTGGAGTGCGCCCCGAGAATTTGTGTTTTTGTTATAATTTGTTTTTTATTTTAGCTTTTTTTTCTATTTATTCCGTCTTTCCTCAAAGGAGGACTTTTTTTTCTGTTTTGGTTTTTTTTTTTTTTTTTTTGTTTTTTTTTTTTTTTTTTTTTGCTCTTTCCCCACCACTGTCCTGCCCGGTACTCCAGAAGAACGAATGGTAGATGAAAAGAAAGACGAGGAAGAAGGCAAGATATTAGAGTAAGGTAAGCTGGGGTAAGCTAGAGTAGAGAAAGGACAGGAAAGGAGGCACTGCGCAGGCGGTCTAAGTCTAGTGTGGTGAAGGGAAGAGAAAGGAAGAGAAAGCTGAGCGGACGGTAGAGGAAGAGAAGGAAACATTTATACACAAGGCTCCAGGCGCTGCTTCCCAAGTGAGACAGGGAGTAGCATTATCATCATAGCGTGATTGGAAGTACAACTACATTCACTGCGCCTGTTACCTCGTCATATGGACGGAACGTGCCTTCCTCTCCGGCCGCTGGGTGGACTTTGTCGTTTGATTTGTTCCTGCTTCCTAGATATACAAATTCACTCAATACAGATGCGTCACGTTCGGGCATATACGGCTGGAGAGGTTGATTCACTTTTGAAGGGCTGAGCGTTGATTGGGAAGGTGCGTCAAGTGCAATGAATGGAATTCTAGGGTTACTTTGTACGAAGTATACAAAATCTTGCCTTGACATTTGATCATTGGACTCTTTACTCGGTTGATGCCAACCAATACGATGTCATGCTCATGTATAGCAGTTCGGTAAATCAAAAAGGCTAGGATTGAAACCTCTACATATCATATAATTATTTCTTCTCTAGCCTTGGCACACAAATGTCCAAGCTATAGCTACTTCCGGACATATTCTTAAAGAAATATACGCATTTCCGGTACGCACGGACATAATGCATATCGACACTAGGTAGCGTATTCGAGTCATATTCTGCCATCAATACATGTACAGTTCTTCATCTCTAGATTCCTACTTACACATTGCCGAGAGTCTGCAATTTACAACGGCACACTGGAGTGCTGTTTTAGTACTAGAGTCGCCTATAGCGTTACAGACAGCTTAACATAATAGAATGTTCAATTTTTCTATCCATCACATGAAACTTGACCAAACAAAAAAGAATGAACTGTTGGTATTCTTTTAATAATCAGCAAGAGTATGACTATGTCCTGGCAACATTTAATGGACGGGGTCTAAAAAACATTTTCTTAGGGTTGAGAATGAATGGGTCAACCAAATCTAGTGTTTGCCAAGTGTCCCTTCTCCCTCTTCATCTTCGTCTCTCTTTTGCTCTGCTTCTCTGCAATATGCCACCATCAGGGATGCTCTTCAGCAACCTCCTAAGTCTCCTTGTTTATTATGCAGTCATACCGAAAGGATATAGATCAAAGATTACTCTCCCGGAATTCTGGTCTCCCTCAACTTGACACGCCGAGCGTGGTATGATTCAGTGGTCTCTAGAATATCATAGATCTTTAGACAGTGGGCACCCTACTCAACTAGCGGTGTTCATTGGATCTACAGCGAGACAGTGTACGTGAATGCAACATATCCAAGGCACTAGGTCAATTTGACACAATTTCATACCTTAATTTTACATCTAGATTGCGATCCTCGTCAAGCCCCTTTTTGGCATAGGGGCAGCCAGCGCTACTTGTCTCCTTCGAGACGTTCATTAATTCTGCGATGGACGAGAGCCTCGTTAAAATGAAACTGGAAATTTATTGCCTCCAGTCAATCGACCTAGAGTCTGAGAAACCTACGTGTCCAACCGTTTGGTGCCGATATCTCTTCCAGGGAGGCGGGAGATGTTATTCGGCAAGTAAGACAAGTATCTGTCGACTTATGCTCCAATACCTGTAACGTACAACTATTAGAGGTTAGGGAAATAAGCACAATGACCTAGCAGGCGTGGAGGGAGAACGACATCAGGCTAATGGGGCTGAGCCATACCCCCAGAGGCCTCGGGAGACTATGGATGAGCTGTGACCTCTAGGAGGAGACAGAAACCGGAGTACTAGTCGGGGGGCTTTGGACCACCCTACCTCTCGCGCAATCGGAGCTAACTACAGTTCTCGATCTGCGAAAGAATCATGCATGCATGTTCCACCGAGCTCCTGGCTTAACACTATGCCTCACCCTGAATACCAGGAAAAAGGAGAGTGTTTCTCTGCGTTGCTTTATAGTTGGATACTCTCCGAAAATTTTGATCAAGCTGGAAATCTGTGGGGGTATACTGGCCAGTGTTATGAAGAGCGGGAAAAGGGGCTGGTGGGGTTTCGTAATATGCAGTATCCTAAGTAGCAGATGCCTCACTAATCCTAACAGTCCGATAGTCAAGTCCTCGTGGTATGTACCTTGTGCATAGTACCCTTCACATGGTATGATATGTATCGCTATCCTGGGCTAATCCGCGTAAGGGAGGTTGTCGTACGTTAGTCTTGGGTTGTGCCGAGGAACACGTGAAACAAGCCAGAGAAGAGGATGAGATTCCATATCCTCAACGGCGGGCGATACATCATACGGAAGAGTGAAGCATGTTCAAATAATCAGGAATGGTGTGTACTAATACCTAATGTATGTATGTAGACTCCCGTTGCTCGGGTTGTTCCTGAGTAGTAAATACTAGTGTGTGGGTTCAATTATAGAACAAGCTTCTTTCGTGAGACATGCATGGGAGAGGGTGTCACTCGCTGTGTATGCCAAAAAAGCATATGAGGAAGAGGTGCGACCATGACATCACCTGATCTTGATTGAACCTGATGAGTGCGACATAAGCCTTGTTTCCTGTCCTTGTTTCTGAAAAGGCATGTCCAGCAGATCAGATTGCGGCACTTACCGCCTTCCCAGGTGAAGACTGGCGGTGAAGAGGGTGCACCAATCAGGGGGAGGCAGAATAGCGGGTGTTCGACCAAGCGGGGCGCGGAAGCGGACATTGGTTCATCTGGTGGGGAGATCATCAGCGGCATGACCCATGTTCTTTCTCTTATAGTCTAATTACTTTTTTTTTGCTCATTGGGTCTCGAACCCCCCGATTTTCCACATTTGAGAAGGTTTTTCCTTTCTACTCTCTCCCTCTTGAGTCCTTTGTTCGGGGTAATTAATCTATCGGGATAGAGTACCCTCTCTAATAATTAATGACTAGAATTAATGGTTCATATAAATTGCAATCAATATAATCCACTTAGTGCGGAATGTTTACTACCTCAATCACCAGTATAGTACCCATCATTGTAGCCTGCCCGCAAGGGATAAAGACCGTCTAATACCTGCAGGTCCAGACTCGACCTGCAGGGGAATCTGCTTGGATGCCTGAAGGGGGCAGCCCCGCAGTGTTATTCTTTCTTAATTTTATCGGAATGACTTGACGGAACTAGCGAGCTCACTAACTATTGCAGTGCTCTCTCTATCCTTGCGAACTCGCACCAGGCTATTTTTTCCCTCTTTCTTTTCTTTCTTTCGTTAACCTTTCGTGTCGTTCGTGTTCAACTCCGCCGATCATCTGCGGTGTACTCCGTCATTTTCTTTATGGTTTGTCGTGTTTGTCGCCAAAAGGGCGATTGCCGTCGGTGAAGAATCGATTGATCGGGATTAGTATTAAATAAATGTTCGGACTATTTCTACCTATGGATGACCGGTTATAAGTGGTTCTAGTATCCTACGAACAACTATCGATAGTGTCTCTCAATCCCCTTCACCTCGACCCCTCTTCTTCCTTCCATTCCCTATGTCTTTCCTTTAAATCTAATGAACTAAATTCACCGTCAGCATGTTTCATTGTATTGGTATGTACTCGATCATCCCCTTTGCTAAGTTTATATATCCTTCTTAGAATTGAAACAAAAAAAAAGTGTATACTTACTACGTTCAGCAGAATCATTGCTCCGATTGTTACGTGCTGATGCTCAGAGACTAAGTCTCATGGTCGGTTGATCATCCCAGCATCTTACCTCCGGCTGGTGCCATTTGGGATCCCTTTTTTCTTTTTCTTATTCCTTCTCGTCCAACCGGCAGGTGATTTAACACAAACCATGACCTCCATCACATGTCATCGCCAGTCGCATCCCCACGGCGGCTATACTTACAGCGTGCCGCACGGGGATCACCATAACAATAGCAACAATAGCCGCCCTCTCCACATGGTTCAAACTACTCTTACGCCAACTGCTCTGGGTCCAGGCACCGGAAATCCTCCGTCCTGTCTGGCTGGTTCCCAGTTACCTCCATCCCTCGATATCTCTTCTCCTAACCTAAACGCCCTGTCGGATACCGAGACCACCCTGGAACTCACCAAAATCACCGTGGATACGTCCAAAACTGCCTCCATCTCCTACGATCTTGCTGACGATATGGGACTGAGCATGGCAGAATCTCCAACTAACCATACAAACATCTCCCCGGGGCTATCTCCTACCCCCGACAAACCTCGGATTTCAAAACGGAAACGAACTTCCTCACCACCATCACCCTCTTCGACGAGTCCCGGGGACCATCGTCGTTCAACATCTCGAAGTACTCGACGCTCGGCACAAACTAATCGCCAGAGCTCGTTGCATTCCCATCGTCGCGCAGCTACCCTTACGGCCCCCCTAACTCCATCAGTTTCCACCAAAGATCAGGAGTCCAAGCGTGAAGATCTTCTGGCCTTGCACCGAGAATCTTGTCGGCTGTTTCAAGACAGCGGCCGGCATGAAAGAGCATCGCTTTCCCCAACTACCTACTCTAGTCCTCCACGCACAGTTCGCACATCATCAGAAGCGGGTTCGCCCCCGGTTTCCCCAGTTTTACCGACTCAATTCTCGATGGTCAGTGAAGACCTAACCGGCCAAGATCCTCAAAAGGACCCCGTTCTCCATACTGTGCCCATCACCAGCACCATCCTCGATGATGGTTATATTTCTCCAATCCAGACCTCGGCCACCGTAATTGACTGGACGTCTCCGTCAACGCGGAGACGCGAATATAAGAAGATCGACCGTGCCAGCAGCGGGGTACGGGGCTTCTGGCGACGGGTCGCCCCAAAATGGTGCCAGTTCGGCCATGATCGCACGCCTTTCTTTGAAGAAAAGGGTGGCAAAAGAAACTACGAGGGTAGTGTGCGACGGTTCCGCATGGATCTCCCTGAGGAACCCATCCCGGAGCGTAAGACGAGCGCCATTCAAGCGCTGAAGCTAAAGCAAAAATTAGGGACGGTAAAGATGGGCAGTCGCCGGAGGAGCGAGTAGTCGAGTCGTTACATTCCCCTTTTAAACATTGGCAGCCCCCAGCTGTGCAACATTCGTTAGCAAAACAAAGCCTGGAGCTTTCCAAAGTTCCGAGTCATGACCCTCAGTCAGAGTGAGGTGTGTTGAACACATGTCACAGATGCCTTGTGAGACTTGAGACTGTCGTTGATTTATTAACCCTTGCATGGGCGGGAGATTTGAAATTGTGATACCCCAACAAGCCATAGACTGGACCGAATTCATATCTATTTGCATCAAAATTAATCGGACCCTCTTGAGATAAGAAAATGAACAGGCCACCGTATAACGCCATGCAAGATCAATCATATAGATAATGTAAACCATAGTGAAGGGTATCGACCACAAGCACACACTCTTCCACCCACCGATCACAGCATATCAAAATCGTCCAATTTATCCCGATACTGCATGATGTTCCTCTTAATCTTACTGCTATCCACCCAGGTGACGAAATCCTCCATATTCCTCGTCACCAAATAAGCAGGATCAGTCACAACCTCACTCCCAACCCGCACATGACCCTGCTCGATAAACGTAACAGCCTGCAAAAATTAGCCTCATACTCCCCAACCAACCCCTTAAAATAAAACAAACCGGAAAAAAGAAAGGAAAACCGGGGGGAACAAACCGTCTTAACATTCTCCACCATCCCACTCCGCGCCATAAAAACTGCCAACCGCCGTCTACAAAACGCCGAAACCGTCACCTCACGCTCAACCCTTGACAACCCCGCTCCCTGCTCCCGACTCTGTTTCAGGATCCCCATGCGCCACAGTTTATCGAGAACATCGCTTTCGGTCTTCTTTCGGAGAGCGTCGCTGTCCGGGTCCAGTTGGGAGAGTTTATGGGCCAGTTGTCGAAGGGAGCCGCAGAGGGCGTTGTATCTTTATTTTGTTTAAGAAAAATGGGTCAGATTTTGTACATTGGATTATGGAATGGGGATGTACTTTTTGTAGTCGACGTCGTTTTGGAGGTAGTAGCGTTGGCGGACCTCATGTTCGCGGTGGCCGCCGTCGGATTTGTAGTTGTAGAAGTCGACCTTGCGGAGGAGCCTTTTGGTTGAGGGGGTTGTTAGGAATTTGTTGATTGGAGGTTTGGTTTAAGAGTGATATCCCAGTTGAAGATATGAAGGGTTCTGGTATATCTTCCAGATGGATGATATACGTGCGATTGGGCGTCGGGGCCGCGAGATCTGGGATCGAGTCACTTACTTCTTTTCGTGATACTTCAGCTGACGGACCATTTTGACGGTGGGGTTTAATCACTTTGTATATGGACTTTTTTGTTATCGGTTTGCGATGGATGTCGATAATGGGAGGAAAAAAAATGGAGGGCGGTGGGATTTTGCCGGGTTGGGTGGTACCGCTTTATATTTTAATGCCTGAGGCATTAATTATACAGATGTAACTGAGGTAATTGTACTGTGTGGTCTATATAATTTTCCTCCCACAACATGAACATAATTTATAATATAAACTAATTTTCTGGCTTCGGCCATCTAAATTATTCTATTTGGTTTTTTGGGCGGCCCATTTCCCTGCTTACTACCGCTCGTTTTCGAGTTTTCTGACATGGTAAGAGATATGCTAGTTGCTTTCTTATTGAGAGCCAGTCACAACGTACTACTCTGTTGTAAAAGAGTATCAAACCCGAGCCTCAAGATTTTTATTTGACCCTTGCTCAACTGTTTCGCATTTAATGCGGATGCGACATTATATAAATCGAAGCCTTCCAGCTCACTGTTATCGCTATTTAATTCCTCTTGACGATTGTCTCCACCGCCATCAGACACATTTGACTGAGGCAGCATTCCCCCACGGGCAAGGCTGACAATCGCATTGAAGATCTTCTCAACAATATTCACCATATAGGGCGGATCATTCGCGGCGATGAGCAAGTTCCTGTGAATGAGTGACCTCGTAGTCAAATTAACGCACGCTGGATCGTCTTGTCGCCGATGACGTCTGATGAACCCTACATAAAGAGACCTGTAGAATCTCAATGCATCAGGTGAATCCTCCCAAACACACATGTCTCCAGTCCAGCCATATCTCAACGGGTTCCAATCCCGCATCAACCAGCTCGGATATGCTTCGTTTCCCAAAGTCCGAGGAACAGCACTCACTCCATCCCAGTCGATAATAGATTGCAGCTGACCGTCCTCCGAAACCAGAACATTCTGCATCTCAAAATCTGGATGAGCCAGAATGAATGCCTCCTGGCCGTCACTCGGCTCAGTAATCCAGTCGATGAACAGTCGGAGGAGTATGACTAGACCTGTTTCTATAGTCGAGTTTGGCTCTCTTCGGCTGTCTAAAATGGCTGTATAATATGCCTTTGGTTTGGCGAAGGGCCCCGTCTCTAGGTAGATTGTTGACCCATCAAGATAACCGTCTCTTGACCGTTCCAGCATGGCGGCGTTGTTCACTAAGCGAAAGGGATCCATACCCAATGGAAGACCATCATCATCAAAGTCCAACAACCCTCCTTGACTGAAGGAGAATTTCCCAAGCTGGACCATAGCAGCGGCAAGGCCTTGCAAGCATCGAGTCCGTCGTGCCTGAACAACATCTTTTGGTGAAGTTCTATCGAACCAAACTTTGTACAGTGACTGTCCTTCCATATGGTTCATCAGAATAAACGGACAGTCGAGTTCATTATCACACGTAGCACTAAATGCAAAAACGTCCGGAAGTGGGATGGTCGTCTCACGGCGCAGCAGGCGCATCGTCAGAGCCTCTGAGCGTAAGGTCCTAGAATCGATGCCTTTGAAGTTCTCCCTGGTCCCATTCGCAGGGACCTTGAGGAGCCAGAGAGCTTCGTCATTGAACTTTACTGGGTAAAGCACATGGTAGGAGCCGAATATCGGGGTCTTGATTTCGACTACGTGAATGTTTTGGTCGCTGGGATGAATCCTTTTTCGAGTTGTAGCGACATACTTGGCGAGACGGTCTAGTCGTATCCTTTCCATGACTGGGGAGAATAGTGCATATTCGTCGCATTCCGATGAGTCAGAGGAAGTAAATTCCGCCACATCTTGTTCTTCGAGTTGCTCGTTAGGGAAAGTCGATGCCATAGACTGTGAGTGGTTTAGGAAACATGAGAAGGCGAAGCAAGAAACTTGTATCCTTGGATTAAATGTTAATAAAGAACAGATTGAAGATCCAGCGGATATTGAGGATTTCAAAAACGAATTGATTTCCAAGTTATTACATAATATTATTTGTATAAACTCCCTCCTGTACCTCCTAGGGGGAGGTAGGTCGAATCACTAGTTTATAGATAGACTTGGTAGTTTCAGATGCTTTGGAGACTAGAAGAATAGGCAAATCGATCGACAACTCACGTGGACTCCAATCCATGGTTCCACGCCCGCTCCTAAAAGACATCAAATAACTTATGCTAGGTTTCTCATTCCGCAAGAACCAAGATTCAAAGGGTGACGTGAAGACTGCTTGTAGACCGATATCTAACCTAAAGTAGTACAGTAAATATACAAAGCCACGGACTCATTAAGATCCCAGACAGCTTGAGATGCAATGTATTTAGGTATTATATCATAGTTCGTCCTTTACTGATGGTGCAGGCCGACCGCTGTCCGTATCCAAGCTAACTCCGTTCTTCTTGCGCCATTTCTCCCATAGCGCGAAGAACTCCTTCTCCATTCCACTTTCCATCTGGTCAGGGAGGATCACTCTGTACTCCACATACAGATTTCCCGGCTCTTCATCTTCGCCATGACTTTCGTGGAGATGACCGTCCGAGTAGAATGGCATGCCCTCGTGCTTGACTGTTTCTACAGACAAGGGTTGCACGACCTCACCACGTTTGCGTCCAAGACGGACGATATGGCCGTCCAGATGAGTGATATTGCGCGTCCACTCGCCCATCCAAGCCTCCCTTAGCGATAGTGCTTCCCTCCAGAATAGATCTTTGCCCTTCCTTCGGAAGAAGGTGCCGTCCGACTGAAACTGATAATCAACCTGCTCGGGCTCCCGCTCGTCCAAAATCAACACTAAATCACCAGCAATATAGTCGGGGCTCTCATCGGCCTCGTTCTCGTATACAATGCGCGTCCCCTTGCCCATTCCAGGTTCCACAGTAAACGACGTCTCCACCTCCTTGCGAACAACCCGATGTCCATGACACACCGAACAAGGCTTCTTGATCATCTTGCCTTGCCCACCACACTTATCACAAGGCATCTGGACCTGCTGAAACATCCCAGGCGCCAGCATATGCTTCTGAATAATCCTGCCATGTCCCGAACACCGGTCACAAGTAATAACCTCGCGATCCGCCGACCCCGTACCCTCACACGCATCGCAGATCTGCTGCTTCTCCAAGTTAAACGTCACCTCCCGACCATTGTAGAAATCGCGGAGCGGCAACCCAATCTTATATTCCATATCCGGACCCCTCCGATGTCCCGGGGCATGTCCGAAATGACCGCCGCCGCCGAAAAACCGCGAAAACAAGTCGAACGGATCGTGTCCTGCTTTCCCCCCCTTTCGGTGCTGCTCGAGTCCCTCGTGTCCATATTGATCGTAGATCTTGCGCGTGGATGATGTAGAAAGAACATCGTATGCCTCGGCGATTTCGACGAATTTCTCACGTGCAGTCTCGTCACCTCTTTTAACGCCCTTTATCAGATCTTTGCTTATTGCATGGTAAGATGAGAAACGAAAAAGAAGAAAAAGCTCACGGGTTCTTATCGGGGTGATATTTCTTGCTCAGTGTTCGATATGCCCTTTTAATATCCCTGTCTGAAGCCGATTTGTCCAGCCCCAAGATCTTGTAATAGTCTTCCGCTGCCAGCACTAACTGCACCAGGCACAGTGCAATGGCGATAATAAGACAAATTGAGCGCATCGAGGATAGCATCTTTACGAGCTGCGTTCGCAGCTCGTGTGCTTCTGGGAATAATCAGTTGGCGGCGTTGTCGCTGCTGTAATCGTGGTGCGTCTTCACGAGTCGCAGGTATCTCGAAGTAGATAAGAAATGAGACCGGCAAGGCTGAGTTTTTTGCTTATTTATCGCTATTAAAGTTGAGAAAGCAGATTCAGGCAGACCATAAAATACACGTGATCGAAACCTCGAGATCAGCAAAGATCTCAAGAAGTGTGGTGGTGGAATTGGGGTTCACTGTTGCTGTCAGGAACTAAATAGATCAGCCAAACCAAGTAAACCATAGCTTGTCGATTAGGTGGCCGCAACACGGCGAATGGTTCCACCGGGCCGGGTCACGTGTTAGTATGCATTTTCCTTTCTTTGTTTTATTTTATTCTTATTCCTTATTTTATGTTATTATGATTTTATTCCAAGGTAGACGGCCTTGTTCGACCCACTAATTATTCATAGGAGACATCTGATAGTACTGATATTGACTACTTCATTATGGGCCCGTAATATGTGGACATCTGAGATAACAATAAAAGATAGACTGGAGTCAGTAGCAATCATTAGACATATATGTTGCGTATAGTAAGAGACGAATAAGGTCATTCAGCGTGTACATGAACATGGCAACAGAGGACGGCTCGCTAAAGAATGTGCAAAGTAGGAGGAGATATGCCGGTAGAGGAGAGAGGAGAAATAACCCCGAAACAAATCAAAAAGCATACTATCCATCGAATCATTATCTACGTCTTGGGACGTCGAATATGTCGTTTCGCCATGTTCTTCTCAGACCACGACTCTCATCGCCTTCTTCAATAGCCTCTTGGGCTCTAGTTGCTTCCTCGTGCCAAACTTTTGTGAGACTGCCAGGGGCATAGACGTCCTTGAAGACACCTTTGCCAGGTGCATCAAGGCCGATACGAGTTTCAACATCTGAGGCAGGCTTCAAACGTGACAGCACCGCGCGTACAAAACTCGCCAGGTCTTGAGGATTGGCAATGCGCGCAGCTCGCAAGCGCTCCCTGGCAAACACCAACTCTCGGTTCAGTGCATAAGCAGCGTCGACGATTTGTTCGGCGATCTTCTTCTCTAGAACTCGACGAAGCATGTGTTTCAGGAATGGCTTCGTCAACCACAGAAGATACTTCCACTTGCTTCGATACACCTTGTAATCAAGCTTGTGAATTACCACACGCACACCGCGAAGCGTAAAGATTTGCTCCAAGCGATCGCGGCCCACTTCTATGTCCAAGGAGATATCAACCCCCCGTTTATCCAGATAGAAGCTGGCAATACCCTCATCGTGGAAACGGAACAAACCTGAATGGGTGCGAAGCCAATATCCAAATTCAGAGGCACTAACATTAAGCCCCATGACCGTGGCAGTGAAGGTGGTCTTGAGATCCGCCGTGGTTCTCTTTGAATGCCTCTTTAAGACGTCGATGTCGTTCCGCGTGGTGATATGTAGACGGTATGGAAGAAAGGATGAATAATTGACAGTGTGTCCTGGCTCTAGAATGAAGTTTTCCAACAAAAGGTCCAGTTCAGGCGCCAAGATCTCCAGACGTGGGATTGGAACGTATTGAATAGTTCGAAGAATGACAGGGAAGAAGACTTCTAGGATGTCCGAAGGCAGTTCACTCTTCCTTTCATAGTAACCATCCCAGGCATCTTTGTATAGCTTGTTGGTGGCGTCTATTAGTTTCGTTATCGCAGCATCTTCAGGGACTGTACGCAAGGCCCGTTTGGCCTGTGCCAGGAAGGCATCCACATCATGGCGCAGGTTGGACTTGATGCTCACTTGCTTGGTTTTTTCTTCGAGCTCGCTGAATCTTTCCGAGGCAGAATCGAAGAAACCGGGGTCGGTTAGCATGTCCTGTACTGAAGAGCCCAATTCTCCCATCAATTTCTCGAATTCTGGGTCTTTATTTGCATGCTGCAACAGACGTTGGAATCTTTGTTCCAGAGCCTTCCATTGCTCGGCGTCACCTAGTGACTGAAGCAAAGTCCAGAATTGTTGCGTCGCCTGCTTCAGATCTTCATTGACCTCAACCTCCTCCTCTGCCGTTGTGATTATATCCGAAGCCGCACTGGCGTAGGTCTTTGCGTATCGCTGGACCAATGTAGCGAGGGTGGCGACCGAGTCCGAATAGTCCGATCGTTCTCTCAGTTTCAGGACGGCTTGCTTCAAACGATAGATCAAGGTATCCTTTTCCTCTCCCTTCAGATGTTCTTTGGCACTTTTAATTGCCTCCTGTCCAGTGCGAACGGCTCCATTGCCGGCAGCCTCCGCCACCTCGCCCACCTCCTGGCGTAGCTCCTCAGCTGATGGGGCCGGGCCCTCATCTGCATTTGCACCCTGTACCGCATTGACCTCTTCTTGTGATGGCTCGAGCTGTTTCCCAACCTGCTTCGAAGTATCAGATAGAAAATATGCAGTATCAGAGAATATCTGACGGCCGACAGTGGTTAGGTCGTCGACAAAGAGACGAAAGTCGGCATTGGTGAGAAGAAGGCTTCCCACGGTGCGAAGGCTATCATACGCTATGCCAACATCAGCCTACTGTATTTACTTCGATCATTGTAGTTTACCAGCTTTGGTATCTTGCCTAGCCCTCACATGAGAGGCATGCTCTGAAATTTGACCGGGGTCAAGCGACGCCCTAGATCGGGAAAGATGCCACAAGAATTCCTGGAGTTTATCATCACCATTTTTGTCGCGTAGGAGTTCAATAAAGACCTGTATCCAGATACGACAATCTCGGATGAGTTGGCGACCGACGGAGCCAATATCCTGGGTACGATGGTTCAGGATATCGGAGGCCAACAAGGTACGAAGATTAATGATGACCTGGTCGGTAGATGGCATGTAACCCTCCGAAAGGGCACGTAGCATCTGAAACGAGTGCAACTTTTGATGCAATCGCCGTTGGAGGGCCGTGTCCTCCTCATAGCGAGGAAGGAGGGGCTCGGTCTCTTGCGACATGGTCGACCACGGGAGTACTACTTCTCTGGTCGATAGACCGAAGGACTATCAAGTCCTAGTCTGTACACCGTAGACTACCCGAATTATCCCGCAAGAGATTTAAGGAATTAATTTAATCACTGAAGGAGCTGATGCCAAAGAAGGGGTGATATTGTTGCATGATGGGGGTGAGATGAGCTCTCCCTTTCACTCTTGCGTCACTCATTCCCCGCTGCTTTAGCCAATCAGGTGATCCGCCGTTGGGTATGTTATTGACACTTCCCTTATCAATCAACAATGATCTCATAGTTCGAGTAGTACAGTAGAATAATGAACAAGAATATCGATGGATGACTGGTAGCCTAGTAGAAACTGGTAGCCTAGTAGAATTGAGTTGCATTCATAATTTATTTGGTTCATGATACAACCAACTGTCACTCTATTTGCCAACCCTAATGGGCAACATCACGGACTGTTTCCTGCCACAATATATTAGCTACGTACTCCCTAACTCAATCATAATGTACGGAGAATATCCTTAACAATTGTGGAATTAGATGATATGGAACAGGGCTGAAAGCTACGCAGCTAGAAAAGGGGTCTCTATTTCGAACTCTGAACAAGACCTTCCAGTCTCCTATCATCAACTTACTCCTGAGTGTATGATCATAAGTCTCTAATAATAACCATGACGTCTCCTGGTTGCTGTCAAGAGTTTCTACTAAAAAAGCTTGAAAATCTAGGAGTATGGAAGGACCCATTCTGCCACACCGGAACCACTAGACCGACATAGTCGCCTTGAGCCTCACCTGATGTTTCTAGACCCTAGTAGAGGTAGAGCAACGGCACCTACTGTTCCATGACCAATATTATTTTGGTTCTAGAAAAGTTGCGTGATTTGCAGCCCAACCAGACACACCGGGATATACTTCAGTTGAGCCCTATCCTAAATCCATAACCGGTGAACGTCGCCCTGTGAAATGGAGGTCAACATTCTGTCTGTTGTCTAAGTTGGCCGTCAGACCGTATGATCATACATCACTCAGGAGTTGAGACAGATAACAACGAAAAATAAAATGATAATCGTAAAATAGGGTATCTCAAAATAGAGATAGATACAGGATCAGCTAATAGTTCCGGGTAATTTTCAATTTCCATTTGTATCTTTGAGAAGAAGTCTGGATGTCGGGATATGAATGTTAGCATCTACTCAAGACAACGTCGGACTCTAGCCTTAGAATGATGATGGAATGTAACCTGGATGTTGTCACACCCAACACGTCATTGAAGACGACAATTCCAATAATATACCAAGATATCTCCAATACCGGTAACAGGCCTAAATATAAACTTTGTTTTTTACAGTACAAGCACGGAAAGCAAGTTCCGCTAGATCAAACAGGAACTCCGAACCCCTGTCTCATCTTAACAACATTGATACCGCTGAGGGTGTAAACAAAGAACTCGGTCGTCGGAAACGTACAAGAATCGAAGCATTCGCCTCACCAATTCTCACGACTCTTCCGGGAGAACAAGGATCCTGCAGAACACAAAGCTGCATAAGTCCCAACGGTATACTGTGTACTGTGTACAAAGCATACTGTTTGGCCCTGTGACCCTATGTATATGGATCAAAGAAGGAAGGATCGGCACCGTCCAAGCTTTAGATCAATGCGACATGAATCCGGGGAAGCTGCCAGGGTGGGTAATGTGATGTATTCATTTTCCGACTGCAAATGTGGCCAATATTCTCTCTTAAGAGGTTCAAAAGCAAGGGATTTGGGTTTTAGAGAAATTGTTCTACATTGGTATGGAGTTCAGGTTGGAGAAAAGAGAGGATAAACGACTCGGTAGATCTAGACTAAGCCGATTGCCGTCTCTAGTGGCAACATGACCGGTCGGCCGTTGGTAATATACTATCTAGTGATTATTAATCGGAACCGCCTCGACTGCGACTGTTTACAATTCCAGATAATATGTATTATCTATGCAACTCTTAAAGTCGGCCTTGGCGCTTAATGGGTAACCATTAACACTACGTTACAGTTCTCAAGCACGCAAGTCTAGAGCCACTGCCATACAAGCTAGGAAATGGGCTCCATCCGATGTCTCCATCGGCCGGACCCGATCGGCGGAGCCTTAGTTGTTTCAAAATCTTACTATTGGGCAGCGGAACAAGGATTTGGGGGGTTGACAATTTTGAAGTTGGAGAGGTCAACAGTGAAAAAAAGGGTGAAACGAAGGAAAGGGTCATGCCCACATTAAGAGTGAAAGGGGGAAATAAAATCACGCATTTCTGATCGATCTCCCAGGTAAACTTGTATACATGGATGTAGAACGTATGTACTGTACACAGTGTATACGCCGTATATTCACGAAAATCTATGCGTCATCCATGATGTAGACAGCCACCAGAGTATAATCTCCAATTTTTTCCCTTTTTTTTCATACTTTGAAGATTCAAAGATCATCGTACTTCCCGAAATCAGCAAGAGTAATGACAACGGTTGTTATGAGTAAGGCAAACCCTTAACCCCTAGAGGTTAGGTGCGAGGTGAGGTAATCCATAATCTACCACTGACTAAAAAGAACCCGAACTCGGCCAGTGTCCGGGCCGCGTTTGCACTGCGGGGAGGCTAAAAAAAGACACTAAAATGTACTGATGAGTGTCGAGAACCATCAGTAGCTTCCGTCCAGAATCCTTCCTCTCGCAGTTAGACTTGCTGGGATTGGAACCTAGTTTGGAGCTCCACTAGTCTAGTTAACCTGCCTGTACATTAGGCTAATTTCTGCCACATGAGACTTACCCCACTTCGTTGTCCACTGAAAGGGTCGTGTGCCGTTGTTTGGTTCTGCTCCATAGGATGAAAAATATCGGGATGCCATATCGGATTCTGGCCGTTGCTTACGGGATCCGACGCTTGATGCTCAAAAAGGGTTATATGGGTACGTATATATATTCGCGAGGAGAGAAAAGTAGCAAGTGCCAATGTGAGCACAAGAGATAAATTACTAGATTACACGCAATGGGGAGATTGATCATTAGATGTACTACATACGCATACACACAACATAAAACCGGAGTCCGGAGTTGAAACATGTATATGTATGCGCTGTACTTCTGTATAGGTATTTTACGATGTATGCCTTAATGGGGGCACTTCGGAGTTAGGTTAGGGACAATTGAAATTAACAAAAAAGAAAGAAAAAAAAAAACCACAAAACAAGGGGTTCGGGCGTAAATCTCAACAGAAAAAAGGAAATTACTACTTGCTTACTGCTGAGGAAGGAAAATACCCACTATGCGTCTCCGCACTAGGCTGTGACTAAAAGTCGATATATCGGGATGTGTATTTTTTTTTTATAAGACGATCAAGTTCTGATACTTCCGACCTGTACTCCGTACTACACGGTAGTTATCGTCCTGGTCCTAAAATTGCCGCAATACATCATCAACTCCTTTGACAATTTGCCTCCTCTCATTCGCCTTCAGGCCCATTTCAACGCTCGCTTCAACCATTCTGAATTCTGTTTCTCCGCATTTGTCGGGTTCGGAGACACTTCCCGTTGCTCCACAGCCCTCCCAATTCGTCCCCAAATCTCCCAAAAAGCTTCGTATCCTATTTCCCACCGGTGTGACTCGAACTAAAAAAGCATGCAACCATTAAACGTCCTCCCGGATATCCACCGTCGCGATCCCGACCTCCCTGACTGGTCCTTTAGATCCCGAGTCTTCCCGATTGCTGAGTCTCAGCCTCTGTCAAATCACTCCACGGCCCTTGCTCTTAGACCTCGCGACGACCTCGTTGGAGATCACAACGGTGCTTTGTGTTCTGACTACCGGAATGTTGTGGATTTCTCCTCAGAGGGGTTCAATGCTAGCGCGGATACATAAAAACAGACTACCACCTGTGGTTTTGTCGTCTTGTACAATCCTTTCTTCTGCATCTTTCTCATCTTCCTCGTCATCATCTTCGACCGTTGGTGTTCGTCCCTGTAGTAGTGTGACTCAACTTGCCCCAATGGCTCGTCTTCCTTCACAGCAAGGCCGTCAGGTCCATGCGACTTCGACGTCGTATGTGAACCATGCCGCTTCAACGTAAGTACATCTACCCTCGTGGAACAAGGCGGTATACAGAGAAGAGAGGGTAAAAGCTCATTGCTGATGACGACCTTTTCTACGCCCTTACAGAGATGCCAATTTCGATACAGCGAATCCTCCGTACATTCGCAAATACCTCCGTACCTACGGTCTGACTCCCCCGCGCGCGGAGTCCTACGAAGTTCAGAAGACACGATGTACGTATACTAGGGTCTAAACCCCACACCAGTGCAGAAAAGCTAATTGCGCTACAGGCCTGGCACAATTGGCCTTGAAGCAAACGGCCATTGACAAATTCCTTTACCTGAGCACTGTTCGCAAGAACAATGTGCATCTATTCTACCGCCTTGTGACCGATCATCTGAGGGTATGTGAAGCAGTGGGGACGACAACAAGCTGTCTTTCGGAACACATGCCTGCAACCTGTACCTTCGTTGATCGACAGACAATCTAACACCCGCTTAGGAACTGACTCCTCTGATCTATACCCCAGTCGTGGGTGAAGCTTGCCAGAGATGGTCCGAGATCTACCAGCAACCGGAAGGTGAGTTTCAGAACCCTGTCTAGTCCGTCTGCAACGAATCAAACCCGGCCGCTAACGATCCCCTGTCAGGTATGTACCTAAGCTGGGAAGATCGCGGCAATCTTGCTGCTGTCATTGCCAATTGGCCCCAGCCAAATGTGGAGATCACATGCATCACCGACGGCTCCCGAATTCTCGGCTTGGGCGACCTTGGCATCAACGGAATGGGCATTCCCATTGGTAAGTTAGCGCTCTACACTGCATGTGCAGGTATTCGCCCCGAGGCCACTCTGCCCTTGACTTTGGATCTGGGCACAAGCAATAAGACTCTCCGGGAAGATCCGCTGTACATGGGTAGCCGCCGTGACAAGATTAGCCCGGAAGAAGAGCGGGAGTTTATGGATGAGCTGATGGCTGCTCTTACCGAGCGCTGGCCTGGGTAAGTAGTGACTCACTATTGATCGACCCATTTTCTTCCGATCGTACGGGCGCTAACGGAGTGCATCACGCCCTGCAGCATTGTCATTCAGTTTGAAGACTTCAAGAACCCCTTCCCTGCTTTGGAGCGTTACCGTGATGTTTACACGTGCTTCAACGATGATATCCAGGGTACAGGAGCTGTCATTTTGGGTGGAGTCATCAACGCGGTGAAACGCTCGGGCCTTCCTTGCAAGGATCAGCGTGCTGTCTTCTTTGGCGCGGGCAGTGCCGGTGTTGGCGTTGCCAAACAGATTGTCGCTTTCTTCATGCGCGAGGGCATGACGGAGGATGAGGCCCGCTCTTGTTTCTACTTAGTTGACACCAAGGGTCTCGTCACCAATGACCGTGGCGACAAGCTCGCCGACCACAAGGTCTACTTCGCTCGGTCAGACAATGATGGTCAGCAGTTCAAGACCTTGGAGGACGTTGTCGACTACGTGAAGCCCACTATCCTCATGGGTTTGTCGACCATGGGTGGGGTCTTCACCCCCGAAATCCTCCGCAAAATGGCTGATTGGAACACCGCTCCTATCATTTTCCCTCTCTCCAACCCCTCCTCCAAGTCCGAGTGTGACTACGAGAGTGCCATCACTCACACCGATGGTCGGGCTCTCTTCGCCTCTGGCTCTCCCTTCCAGCCCGTCTCATTCACCAACTCCGCTGGAGAGACCCGCACCCACTACCCAGGCCAGGGCAACAACATGTATGTCTTCCCTGGTATTGGCTTGGGTACCATCCTGTCCAAGTCGGTGAAGATCACCGACAGCATGATCTATGCCTCTGGCGCGGCCCTGTCACAGGCCTTGACCGCAGAGGAGATCGAGCGTGGTCTCCTCTATCCTGACTTGACCCGAATCCGCCAGGTCAGCGTTGTGGTGACTCGCAAGGTTATCCGCGCCGCACAGGAAGACAAGGTTGATCGTGAGACTACCCTACGCACCATGAACGATGAGGCACTTGATGCCTGGATCAAGTCCCATATGTACGACCCTCACAGTGAAGTTCTGGCTTTGGAGAGAGAAGTTGGTGCTCTCCTGTCTAACCTGGGTCCCTCGCTGGCTGTGAACGGCCTGTCGAGCGAAGAGAATGCCAAGCTGTAAATGCCAGCATTCTTTTCAACTCACTTTCCTTATTACATTTTTCAATCTCTTCTTGTTTTACTCCTGCTCGACTTCATCGCACCTTTCGAGCTAAGTTTATTCTCGTTTCTAAAATCCTGGAGTGTCCAGGCTGGTTTGATTTGCTTTGATTTGGAGCGCTTTTTGTTCTTGCCTTGCGGCCGTTGGCTAGAAGGATGCACTTGTTCCTGTATACCCCGTTCATCCTAATTGCGATTGTCATACATTTTTGGACTTGGGGATGGGTTAGGTTAAATAGAATGGTTCACGACGTGGTATTCTGGGCAAATTGACTGAATAACAATGTTCGAATTGGACGTTCTTCATCTTTCTTCCAAAGTAAAGGAAAGTAAAGCCTTCCAGTTGAAAACATGGACCCTCACAAGCTTTCCCTTTGCGGGTGCAGTTTAAGCACGTGGAGTGGGGAATAATAAAATTACATCGAAGGTTGAGGTTTCTCGGATCTAATCAGGATGTCGCTTTTGGCTCTCTTTCTTGGAAGGGAACCTACATCTCTTTTCATATCTCCCTAGCTGACAAGAGCTTTTGCGTTGAACATGAAGATAGCACCAGAGACGCATGGTATGAGATACTATTCTTGGCAAGGGGAAATGCCATCCTGCTGAGTGTCCAGACCATGATTCTTATCTCATTCAATTTTACCTATTTATTCCTATTTTTCTTTGATTTATTTCTCCACCGATTGCGAATCGCTTTGCTCATCAGGAACCGCATTATTAAGGATCGCCGATCAGAATAGTAAGTCAGATCGTACAACTTAGTCTAACTATGTACAACAATCTTTGGTGGTGCCCCTGGCTTCAAGATTCTGCACTCGCTCCGCATTACCATGAATAGCGCAGATCCGATGGAAGCGAAGGTACTTATCAACCCTAGATGTCCTCTTGTACTTGGCCACAATAACGAAATAAATTCTACTCTTTCTGTATACTAACACAATGTCGTCTCTGGGCGATGCTGTCAAACTGCCCTGCGGCTTGGTTTTGCCTTACCTCTTTGTCAAGGTAAACACCCACAGTAACGCACAAAGATATCAATCCTTAATAGTGCTCCCAGGCTGCAATGGCGGAGAGGATAGCCGAGTCAGGGCACAATCCAACACCCTTAATTCTTGATCTCTACAATCAATGGGGTCAAGATGGGTGGGGTGCTCTTCTCACAGGTTAGCTAGCCTTTTGCAGACAGCTATAGAAACTATCCAATCGACGATGTGCCAAATATCGATGCATCAGGAAATGTCCAAGTGGATGTGAACCACCTTGGAACTCCAGGTGACCCTGCTCTGCATGACGAATATACTGGCAAAGAGAATAACGAAGGTTTGGTTGCGACCTGGGCCAAATATGCCCAAGCATGCCAACAACATGGGACTCCTGGTATCGTGCAGATCTGCCATCCTGGTCGGCAGTTGTTACGCGGGGCAGGTACCTGTGGTCTCTTTGCGTCGACCATAGTGCCGAGCGCGCTTCCTTTACTGATAGGAGATGGCCTATTGGACCGAATCTTTAGCACGATCACGTTTCTGGGACCGCGAGAGATGAGAGGACGATATTGACACTGTGGTGAGGCAGTTTATTGATACGGCTCGATTGATGGCGGATAGTGGATTCTCAGGCATTGAATTACACGGTGCTGATGAACATCTAATTGGTATATCTGTTCTACAAGCCTATAGTATTGATTTAGGGCTTGGATGCTAATAGCGAGATTAATTTTCGAGTCCGAAGGTAATGTCGCTGTCCCAACATCCACTACAGAACAAGTCAATACCTCGACAACAGACAAATCTTCGAACAGACGCCTACGGTGGTTCTCCAGAAAAGCGAGCAAAGTTCACACCGGATATTGTAGCCCAAATTCGAAGACATGTTCCATAAAACTTTTGTGTGGGCATCAAATTCAACTCTACATCACAGCTCCTCTACCTTTGAAGAAACTATGACTCAAGTTGGACTACTAGTAGAGGCTGGGGTCGACTTTCTCGTAGTCAGTGGTGGAAGCTACGAAGATCCCAAGGCAAGTACCCTCACTCAATAAGCTACCCATCATCCGTGCTCATCGTATGCAGATAACCGAGCAGAAGAGCGCCAGCACAGCAGTCTGTGAAGCTTTCTTCATCGAATTCGCAACTGTAAACCGCAAGCGATATCCTAATATTTTCCTCATGCTGACAGGCGGCTTCCGGAGCCGCGCTGGTGCCGAATACGCCATCAAGGATGCGTGCGATCTAATCAGCATCAGCCGCCCAGCAGCTATTGACGCCAAATTCCCCCAATTGCGTCCTTGATGAGACTGTTCCGGATGGAAAGGCACAGTTGCTCTTCAAAAAGATTCCGGCTCCTTTCTATGCTCGCTTCCTCCCGACGAAGGTCATAAGTGCTGGGCTAGAACTGGTATGTCTGCCAACTTGAAGTCAGGAGACCCTAACAATCTGCTGATTGAAACAGACATATTACTGTGAGCAAATGCGCCGGATAGCTAAGGGCTTGAAGACTACGGTCCCTTCTGTTTGATTTATGCTGTACAGCGTTCCCTATAATGATTATGAGTACAATTAATACCATAGACCCGCCTTTCGTCGATGTTCGTCCCAAGTCTACTGCCCCCATATGATATACATCTCTTTTCTCTTTGTGCATTCTAGCAGTGCAGACTCTGTAGTAGCTCTAGCCAAATCTCTTGTCCAACAACTTTGGCAGACTGCCCACGCTCGTCTTTCCCTCGAGGATACCTATCAAAGATTAGCAACAGCACTAACTACAGCTCACTAGTATCATAGACTTTAGGTAAACTCACCATTTACAGCATCAAATAAAGGGTAGTCTGCCACTTTCCCATGTTTTTCAAGAAATTTATGAATAGATTTCGCCGTCGACGTGCCCTGCAGCTTCTGCCCGTTCATCTCCGACTTCTCAATCTCGTCCACGCTCACACCTTTCTCAACAGCATGCTTCGCTGACTGGAAGTTCCTCCCCGCCGAGCAAGACGCAACCAAATCGGCAATACCCGCGCTCTCCTCCGTGAAAGTCCTTTCTTCCACCGACTGCGGGAACCAGGTGCGTCCAAACTTCACCATCTCCAATACGCCAACTCGAATGACTGCCGCCTTACCATTCTCCCCCCATTTCTTCCCTGCGACAAACCCCGCGGCCAACGCCACGATATTCTTCAACGCACCGCTCAGCGCAACGCCCGCAACATCCCTAACCACATTCACATGGAAATACGGACGTCCAAAGAGCGTCCGCAACAACTCCCCATCAACCGTCACAAGCTCCCGCGGCACCCGCGTCAACTTCGTATGGGTCGGCCTCGTCTTCGTCTGCCTTTGCTCATCGACCTTGATCCGATTTTCCGCCGGGCTCCCATCCTCCGCGTCGACATCCATCGGCGGCGTATCATACCCGATAGTCGTCTCGCTAAACTTCTCCGCCGCAACCTCCGGCGCAATATTCGCCCCGGACAACGACCCGCAATAAACCCCCAGCTTCTCCATAATCAACTCCGAAAACAACGTCACCTCCCCATCCGTAACGTCTACCCCTTTTACGCACGATATCGCCCGCGCATACGGTAGATGTCTTCCCCGGATCTGATCCAGTATCCCCTCGATAAACTGGTGCGGTAGATTGAAGACTAGGATCGTGGCATCTTTCACCACGTCTTCGATATCTGGGTTCGCGATCAGGTTTTCCGGGAGCGCGATGCCAGGTAGGTACTTCACATTCTCGTGGACAGAGTTGATGACTTCTGTTAGGTTCTGGGGCTTGTCGCCGAATTTAGAGTGGTGTGATGAGTCGGACGGGATCTGGATTTGTTCTTCGAATACCCACATTTGTACGTTGGGAGTGAAGAGGTCCGGATGCGAGGATGTGTTTTCGGCGAGGATTTTGGCGATTGTTGAGCCCCTGTTGTTTTTATCTCTGTTAGTTTTGGGTTCGTTCGGTTGCTGTTGGGAGTGTGCATGTACCAGTTTCCGGAGCCGATGACGGCTACCGTGTGTTGTTTCTTTTGGGACATTTTGGGGGTTGTTTCTGTTCTTTGGTGGAGGTATGTTTTGGTTAATCTAATTGATTGATTGATTGATTGTGGATGGAGGAGTGCATTTGTATTTGTAGTTGTGTGTATGTAGATATATCTGGGTGGAGGATTGATGTATTTTTTGATTTATGCCTGTCTCGGCGACGTCATCTGGACGTTATCTTTAGCCAACATTAGTCACACGTCTCACCCACAAAACTTTCATGCTTGCCTTGTTTATTTATCGGTTCGTGGGTCTATTCAAGAACATAGAATGATGTAACTCCGATCTTGGTTGCCTTCGCCTTCATCCCGTCGTTTAAATGAAAAAGTACGTGTACGTAGCAAAGCTGCCGTAGTATAGATCACAGCAGGTCAGAAGGCTCAAAATCACCCCCACTCCACAGATTCCCTGACAAACTCTCCAGAGTCTCAAAATCAGGCATCCAGAACGGGCAATCTTCCTCCAAGTCAATCCAGGGTGCAAGCTGGAACGCCATGCGAACTCCATGATCCTGGGTTGCCGGGTCCATCGGCATTGAATTGACAACCGGCACGCCCAAACCGGTGGGTGGGTATTCCTTGGACATGCTGGCAATGTTGTGAGGATTGGTACCGCCATATTGGGCTGTCATTAACTCGGCCATTCCCACCTTCTTGGCTGCATCGCTTCCCTCCAGTTTCTCCATTGCTGCGTTGACGAGGAGCTCAAACGAGTCCCGGTACTTCTTGACCCATGCTGCTCGTTCGCCCATGACGAATAGTACCGTGGAACAAGCCCGGATGTCGTTGCTCATTTGCACGGACCATACATCGCTGGTGTGCGTCCATAGGGAGTACAGTAAGGTAATGCCCGCCATGAATACGGTTTGGACCGCTAGGAATGAGTGGCCGTATTCGAGCGTCTGGTGTAATCTTTTGTGAGTCTGGCAGATATCACCGGCTGCGCGGAGACAGATATGGTAATAGGGGTCAGAGAGAGGAAGCGATGGTAGAAATGGCTGGATCAGAAGCCGCAGTGCCCGGTTGTAATGCAACATTGGATAGTCAAGATCTGGGCCACTAAATCGCAGCAAGGCTGACTGTTTCCACTCCTCGAGCTCGAGGAATAGACGGTCCATCTTGGACCGGAGAGAATGGAGTGGTCGGTCTGCCCGATAGATCTTATGTTGTACTTTGGAGTCAATGCGGCGTATATGGATTAGGTATAGGGCGAAAGTCATGGTCGTTGTCCTATCTGGTTGTGGAGGCGCAGTTAATAAAGCCGGATCTCGTACGTCGTCGTCCACATCTAAAGGTAAAGGAAGGTCGATATTTCTATCTGCAATACTGAATGGCCGGCCAAGGGACATAGAGACGACTCTCTCTAGGTAGTACACAGTCCAGAACAGCCTACGTCGTAGTTGAGCTGTGAATGGGTCAAGGTTAGCTTCATTGGCTTTCCGATGGAGCCCCAGATCAATAGCGGTACGCATAGCTAGTCCTATCATATACCACATTCCCTGACTAGATGCAGAGCGAAGATGGTACACAACTAGAAGCGTCATAGCTTTAATATTCTCAATGGACCGCGCTTCACACATAGCTGATACTTGTTGGAGGGCGGTCATATAGAATCGCTTTAAGGTATTAGTAAATACTCGCGAAGCCCGTAACATGCAACTGACCTCGGGTGGAGTGTATGAGTATCGCTCACTCAGCTGAAGAAAGGTCGCTCCAATCGCATACACTATGTATAGCTGGAAAATTCCGAATTTTTCCGCCTTAGAAAGTTCCTCGCGTTTCGTTTTCGTTAGTCGCCAGCGAGCCTCATGCAACCGCAGCAGCTCTCTCCTGTCAAGGAATGGATAGCGTGTATGCACCCGTGCCAGATAAGTAGTCAAGATTCGCGACCCCATCTCGTCATTTGGTGGCTCGGCACCTTTTGCGAGTAGTTCCTCCATTCTCGACGGTCGAGGTCGGTCACTGGCATTTCTAGTACTATATGGTTGGATGGAAAGTCCCAAGGATCCGGAATCCATGTTAGGTCCGCTCCCAGTAGTCTGAGAGTTCTCTCGTGATGGCGCCAAAACTTGGTCCCAGACCGTTGTCTGAACCATCTCACCCAGATTTGCCGCCAGAGAGACACCTGAGCTCGAGCCCACATACGCAGGAGCCTCTAGGGAGTTCAATGCAAGGAAACCCACCAGGTCTCCGATAGCGTTGTGATCGATCCCTGTCGTAGAACTACCCTGAACCGTCTCTTGGTTCTGAGGGGGCAAGAACGCAGCAACTGAATTTGTGCGGTTGCCACTCGCATTGTTGCCCGCTCGTCCCGACTTCAGTTGTGTCTCGAGATATTTAATACGCTCTTCCAGAGCGCGGGTGTAGCTACTAATATTAGAGGGCTGCAGGGGATGGAATGTTGAGGCAAGCAGGCTTACTCGTTTTGCTGTCCACTCTCCTGTCGCACTGTGGCCTTGTCACATGCAGACCCGGCCTTTTGGCAATTGGAGCAAACTGGGTACTCGTTGTCACACTGCGCAGCTGTTAGATAATCTGCTGTATTCGCTAAGTACGGAGACTGACTTTCTGTTTCCTTGTTTTACAGCGCGTACATGCTGTTCTCGCACGTTTCCGAGGATTGTTTTCGTGAGACGGAGTCGAGTCTCTAGACGGTCCCGTTAATTCATTTAAATCCATAGCTCAATAATTCAGGTGAAGTCATGGTTAACGTCTCTTGAGAAATCGTCACTGGATTCCATGTAATGTGGAGAGATGATTATTAGAGATTAGAGCAGAATAGAATGGGGACTGGTGATGCCAAGCCACGTGGAGAATCCTTATCGATAAGCCAAGTTTACTCCATCTAGTTTTTTATCTACACATACCATTAAGAAATGAACAACCTATTCAGATAAGCTTCCTGCCTATTTTACATTAACCCTTTCAAGAAATCAATTCTTAAAATCACTTTTGTATGCTGATTATCTATTATCGCGCCTAAACGCCATGAATGCAAACCAGAACATTTCTCGACCAATGCCTTCTATCCTCGTTTTGTGTTTTCAGTCGAGGCAGACTGCTTCTCAAGATCCAACGACCTACACCCTTCCTGGATAGCCTGCTCCTAGACTCCTTTGCAACCATCGTCATTCTGCCCCTTCTTCTTCTCGTCCCCTTCTTCTCCGGGTTCCTTGGGTCTTTCCAACCCTCTATCTTTGATAAAGAAACACAAAAGAAAGCAAGTCCCCATCAACGGAACTTGTAGAATGAAAACGCCCCTCGAAGCCTTAGCATAAGCAGCGACAATCTGCAACCAATCTGCGTCCGAAATGCCAGATCTAGCCGGTGGCGAATATGTTGAATGAGCGAGATGTCGATAGCCGTGAGGGAGGTTGGACTTTAGAGTTGCCTGCAGTATAGCAGCCGACACTGCCAGTCCACAAGCGCCACCCAGGCAACGGAAGAAGTTGCGATTTGATATTATAACTGCCCGATGTGCTTTGGTGCAGTGGGCTTGGAAGGCCACCAGTGTAGGCTGGAAGGTGAAGCCGATGCCTATGCCTGCTATGACGACGACTACGACGATTACTCCAATATGGGTACTATCGTCGAAAAGAACCATTAAGCCCGCGCCACTGTTGTTATATGTTATTAGATTGTCTCTTGAAGCAGATAAGTCTCCACGAAAGCTTGCGGTGGAAGTACTTACATGGTCCAAAGACCGAAACCTACCCAGATCACCTTGCCATATCGTTTGCATCGTGAGATGTATTGCCCAGAGCAGATAGACGCTAGTGATTGACAAGCCACCATCGGCGTCGTTAGCGCTGCAGAGATGATTGGAGACCATCCTCTAGCATTTTGGTAGTACAGTGGCAGATAATAGAGGTTAGACTGGTAGGCAGCACCGAGGAGAAAGCTCTGCAGGAAAAGGGTACATATCACTTTATTTTTGAACATAACTACTAATAAAACATTAGACTTTGCTGTGAAAAATAATTATGAGCTACTTACTGGGGAGCATGGGAAGTGTGGCCACCTTCCACTCTATGAAAATGAAAACAATCAGAGAGCAGCCACCGATGACGAGCATACTTATCACCATTAGAGAATCCCACTGAAAATAGGAGTCACCACCAGATATAGGGATGAGCAGAAAGATGATCCCGATGGACGACGTAATGATCCCGTAAAAGTCAATCTGTTTCAAGTTCTTTTTGAAGCTAGACTTTGGAACATTGTTTGGTATAAGAAAATACCCCACCACCATTGAACACACTGATAATGGAGAGAGGAGCCAGAAGAATGCCCGCCATGTCGAATTCATGACGAATGCGGCTGCAATGAAGGGACCGATTACATTGCCAAGCCCAAGGGAGGCACCCAGAATTCCCTGATATTTGCCTCGTTGTTCAAGAGTCACGATATCAGATACAATAATCATGGTTAGAGAGGTGACACCGCCTCCTGCAATGCCTGCCAATCCTCGGAAAACATAGAACATAGAAGCATTCTGGGATAAGCCACACAATAAATCGGCAATACAGAGCAGGGCCAATGCGAAAAGGTAGACTATCTTTCGGCCAAAGATGTCGGAAAGACGGCCATACAGCACCGTGAACATTGTGTTCGCGATGAGGGATGCCGTCCCCGCCCAAGAGATGGTGTTTTTAGCATCGAGATCTTTGGCGATTGTAGGGAGAGTAACGCTGATGCCATTCTGGTCCACAAAGGTGATAAGCAAGGAGACAGCCAGGCCTGCAAAAACAATCAGCAGTTGACCAATTGGCAGGATATTGGTCTGGTCATGCAAGGCCTTCTCAGCGGCCTGTTGCCGATTCATCCTCGCGTTCTATTCGAGTGCGAGTAGTCACGACCATCTGATTGATCGTGGCATGGAAGGGTGATTGTCTTCGCACGAGAGAAAATAGGATCTCACACAGCAACTATTTAATGATCCGCGGTGGCTGGATGAAGAACCCTTGCTCGCATTAGAAATCTTTGAGATGGAGAGTATGATTGAGTACAGACGTTTTCCCCTTCCTCTTTTAGGGCAGGCAATTGATATATATAGCGAGGATGCACGGAAAATTATAACAGGAAAAAGAAATCTCCTAAGTGCCTATCAAACCTTGTGTGTGAGTGAGACGCATTTACTATGGTCTTTGCCATCGCCGTAACCGTTCTGAGCTTGAGCGAAGCATCGGAGTGCACGCCGACAGATTTTAATTTGACACTGAAGCACGCCGGTGCCTGCCCACAAAAACACTCCACAGACACTGACCAGAAAAAGGCTATTCGATACCCACTGCCCAAGCATCGGTGCTATTGGTAAATCCGAGATAACTGCACGGGACCTATTCCGCCCTGGCTTTCATTCCTCGATGAGAATGTGGATCGTCGCTGTCGGCAATCGACGATCCCCTGTCGGAGGTCCGAAAAGCGTGGTCGGAAGCGTGCCGAATTCCGGTCAGGTCCCCTTTATCGCCGAGCCAACTCTCGGAGAACTCTGTCTTGAAACATTTGTAATGTAGTTTTATCCCTTTTCCTCTCTTTCGTCTGATCTGCAACTGGATGCTTGGTTTTAAGATAGTATTCATTGCTATCGTATCTTTGCCAGGAGATGCCGCTTGCTTGAACCAACAATATGGGTAGGGCATTCTTCGGAGAAGTGCAGGATAGGTTCCAGATGATTCAAAGACGCTTAGTTCGACCTACTGATGCTGATCCCAATCGAGGGTGTCACTTCAGCAAGCGAGATACATTTCCAGTGGCGTCTGGGCAAATCGCCTTGGTTTTATGTCTTTGATTAAATGACCAGTCCTGAGAGAGTGGAACGAAAGTTTCTGCTCTGGTAAAAAGTTACAAGTCACCTCTTCTGAGTAACAAATAGCCCTGACACCCTATCGATCTACGTGGATTAGGTGTGTGCAGGAGCAATTGGAACATCTAGAGCACCTGGTCCCCAGGGAGGTTGTACACCGTGGGCACCAGCCGCAGTGTCTGCTCCATACCCATGGCCTTCCGCCACGCGACTAGAACCGCTGCTACCTTGCATAGGCTGTGTTGAGCGCCCCGAGCCTTCTGCTGCAGTGCTCTGACTGGGTAAGGGAGGCTGAGGCAGATAATTTCCACCAGTAACATTCCCATGGTTTGGGAAAAAGCTTTGGTTTAAAGCACCGCATGTAGTACAAGTGAACTCGATCTTGAAATTTGTGAGAACCAGTTGTGGGGCTGCAGGGTGGCCCTCGGCTTGAAGCCGTCCTTGGGGCTTGGGTTGCCCAGTCTGCGACGCTGACGGAGGGTTGGGTGCAGACACTGCATAACGATGCTGATGAGGTGTGACTGGCTGATTTAGAGGATTTCCTAGAGATGCCTGCTCTGGCGACTGAATGTTGGATGGGTGATGCACGGTAGGTGTTGGCTGTATCTGATGTGAACTCTGGAGTTGAGGGTGCGACTGCAAAGCTTCGCCGTGCATTTGTGGGGCTTGAAGCGTAGGATTACGCGAAATGCCACCTTGCTGAATACCCTCGGTATCCATGAGGCCATGCTGCATAGTTTCTGGGATCCATCTCTGTCCAGAAAGGCTGCTGTAAGTCGAGCCCTCTGCCGGTTCTTCAGACTCAGGTAGTTGGCTGTCCTCTTGTTGGTCGTCACCGCTGGAGTCGAGGGTGTCAGCCCGTTCTTCCTGGTTCTGTGTATGTTGTTGTTGGAGTCTGATAAGAGCTCGTTGCGCTTGTCGTATCGATATCTCATATCCATGGTAGCGCTTCACGGCATCCACGACTTCTTGCGCCTTGATGCTGTTCCTCATATCGAAGAGTTTCGGTATTTCGTTGAGAAGAAACCGCACATGCGACACTTCTGATCGGACAGGTGTCTTACTCGTGGAAGTCGCGCTACTGCGACAGCTATGGCTGTCCTGGAGGCTGCTGATGTATGTCGTATGTTTATTGGCGCGACAGACGACACGGAAAAAGCAATTGTTCGATGACCGACAGCCTATAACCACACTCTTTTTGTTGCTTCTTGTCACTCGAAGCTCCCAGTGTTGCCTAACCGATATACCTCGCACCAATGCTTTGAACTCCTCCAGCGAGGCGAACCGTTGGCCCACATGGAGCCCTGAGTATATCTCCGTCATGACGGTAAGGAAAGGTGCCGTAAGTGGGACGGGCGCGCGTTAATTTTTAACGTAGTTTCCATCAGTAAAACATCGTTGGTTAGTCAGAATGGATAACTTTTCGTAAGCGTTATAATCATAGACCGTTTGAGCGTTGCTTGCGTATAAGCGCCAAAGCATGTTCAAAAGGCTGGTCCAGCCCGACACGAAGTCTAGAGAGTAAGAGAGCAATTGGCATTGCTAATTATAGAAAACTCCAGCAAATCCCGCATAAATAGGTAGCAATCGACCCCATAGGGGCGTGGTTGGTCGACTCACTCAGCGTTGGTTAACAGCGATAGCAGTCAATAGTTTGGGAGGAGGGGGGAAGTACCATAAAAGGCGCTCCGAGCAGTATGGCGGAGCGAAGAAAGAAAGTGACGGCCTTTAGCGCGGATCCCCAGACCGCTCGCACCAGCCTTTTTCAAAAGCACTCAACCTCCTCGGCGACCGAAGCAACCACCGATTTGTTCCACCATCTGTTATTGGAGTCAATTGCCAGAATCATACTTTGATTCGCTCACACAATGGCGTCTTACGGCTTATTAGATCAGTCGGATGAAGGTCGGCGTTGCTCTTGAACAAGCTTCTTCCGCTTCACCACGCTAACTCCTTCCAGATGCCCTTCACAAGTCGCGCCTTTTGAATGTCGAAGAGAAACCTTTCAAACGTATATCAAAACGATTATTAAGCCCCGATTCGCTAGTTGTCTCCAATGCGACCCTCCCTCCTACCCCTCCGCCTGACGGAACCGACGACGATGCCACCGCGGCGGAAGCAGAGAAACAGAAACGGCTCGAACAATGGCGCCATTTCCGCGAAGATGTAACACTAGACTTTGCTGCGTTTGAGAGTAGCATCGCGCGCATTCAGTTTCTTCTTACGAGCAATGAGAAGGAACGCGAACGATATGCAACTGAGAAGCTTCGGATTCTTTCCACTATGCAGGCTGTCCGCGAGAACACAGCAGAGCTGCGGGGTCAGTTAGAGGAGGCACAGCGGCTATTAGCGCTACGGAAAAGCTACGATGATCTAGCTGATAAGATTACAAGCAACCGACTTTTGAAGCCACGGGAAGATCAACAAGCGAATCTACAGAAGCTACAGGCAGAGATTACTGAACTGGAGAAGGAGAGCAAGGATTATGCGATGACCTGGGCTGAACGGCGAGAACAATTTGGTCGCATTGTGGAAGAGGGAATGCAGCTCCGGCGTCTTATTAGAGACGAGAAGGAAGAGGTTGAGCGCAGGGAAGGTATGCAGGAAGGAGAGGATGGGGACGACGGTGATATTCCCTCCAAGGGAAAATCTAGTGGGGCGAATACACCTCGACACGAGTCTGATAGTGCTACTCCATCTCAACAAGGGCACGACGAAACTATTCGTTCATCTGCTGGCTTACACGCAGAGAGGTTGACAGCAGCAGGGGCAGCATCACCCTTACGGCAAGTCACTATGGCTGAAGATGACAAGAAGCAAGCGCCAGACCAAGATGCCACTATGGTAGATGAAGGTGAAGTGACTGGAGATGAGGATGCAGAGAACCCCGACGATTTAGAAGAGGGAGAAGAGGTGTCCGATGACCGTGTAGGTGACAGAATGGATATCACGTAAGCCAGCTTCGCATCTCTTTTCATGCTATTGATACATCATGAGTTATGCTTGCGCGGCGTTGGGTCATAGTGATAATCATAATTTACAATTCTTTTTTCTTTCCATTTGTGATACTAAATGGGTTTATCGCATAGCACAGTAGCATATGCATTTTATTGATGTCCCATTGACACTCCATATGATGGACCTCAAGCGATCTCGCGCTCAGCCTTCCTGGCCTTGGCAATAGCGTCCTTGGCAGCATTGATGTGCTCGACGTTGCTCTCTGGTCCTTTATTACCCTCCTCGGTCTGCCGGGGGGTGTTAGCCAGAGATACTTAGAATCATGTGAAGCGCAGTTAACGAAACTAACCAGTAGGCTCTGAAGCTTTACTATCGACTCTTCGATCTTCTGCTTCAAGCTTGGAAGAACCTTCTTAGTTTCTTCAAGAGCAAGACGCTTTTAATTGGATTAGCAGACCTTCCCATAGTAGGTATATCCTTGGGATGTAATTACCTCCTGCTTCAACATGTACTCTTTGTTCTCGTCATCACCACCTTGTTGGCTTTCCAGCTTCTTGACTCGTTCTTTCTGCTCTTGCAGCTCGCGGTGGTAAGACGCCTCTTCCTTAACCAAGCGCAGGACAGAGGCTGTGGTGATCTCCAGTTGCGAGCGTGGTGCCATGTTGCTTTTTAGGAAGATCTAGTTAGCAATTGAATCACTTGCAGATATATATCAGTTAATGAGCATGGATGTATGATTGTTTCTAGAGCTAAGAAGTTGAAGGGAGTTTATATTTGAAATCAGGAAGTAGGGATGCAATCGTAGTAGAAAACAGAGCGCGAGCGTCATATACTCCTCGTTGCAGTTGACTTTGAAATGGACTGGTTGCTGTGGTTGCATGGAATAGAAATTGTACAGAGCGCAAATACCTTGTGATATGAGCTAAGTTATATGTTGTAATCAGTTAAGAGTCCCTTTTCAGAAAATGTGTTATCATAGTAAGAAGTTCTTACCCCTCCGCCATGACGATGCTATCCAGTACTCATTTTGCATTGTTTGTTTAGTGGGGGCAGCGGCTGTGGCACGTGACAATATCCACCCTTCCAGTCTGCCAGTTGACAACATATTGCAACAAGCCGAATTTGGTAAATCCCTCTAATGTCGGCTACTATCTCCCCAAAGCAAAAAGACAAAAAATCGAACTAATAGTCCAATAAGTATAGCTTCCCCTGCACTGGATAATTTTGATTTTTCTGCAAATTCTTAGGTTACAACCTTCCGGGCATATCCCTGACAAGAACAAGGCTATCTCTCAACCTCACTGGCCTCGGAATGCTAGCATCCTAGGTAAGATGCAGCTTTCCCCGGAAGCCGATGTCTCAGCCTTGTCGTCAATACGGGTCCCATGGGATTTACCAATGGCTCAGGGGGCTAATTTCTTGGCTCTGTTCACAAGGCTGTGCCTGACCCTGTACTCCCCCGTGCGCCCCGTCGGGCGTTCGTGTTGCATGGCACCAAGAACATCGCCCGAGGGCTTGTCCCAAAATTCCCCGTGTATAACAAGGCTTTCTCCGGAACTCGTGCCGAAAATCTATGGCTCCCACGGTGAATCCCTGGGCCCTGGGCAGGGCAAATCATATGGCGCCATCATGGGACCTGCCTGTAATTAATATATACTTGGAGGCTCCTGAAGCTCTTAAATCTGTAGTATATGAGTAGCGTTGATGGTTCCAAAGGCCATATACCATAACTAGGTACCGTCACCAAATCGCAAGAATTTTGATGCTTCGGAACTTTCAAAATGTGGTGAACTACTGCTGTCCACGAAAACATGCTCCAAGGGCCTCCTGCTAACTAAGTATCAAACAGGTATGCGATTGCGAGACCAAGCGAGTATCTCGTGCTCACTGGAGTCGGGATAGAAGATATCCGCATTTGTAAGAAGGCTATAGTATTCCCATTTCAGCGAGTATGTGTTCCCTTTAAATAATCAATCATGAAGTTGTCTGGAGTTTGCAGCTAATAACTCCTCTTTTTATTTTCCTTCCTTTTAATAGTGTGCAAGAATCTCTGTGGCGCCCTTTGATTTGCCACTCAATCTTCAGGCCATGACAATGGAGAAACTCCAATTTTCGTTGCCGGCAGTATTCACTATCGGTCCCGATAATGAGTTACAATCACTTAAGGATTATGCGCGACTTCTTGCAGAGAATTCCGAGGACAAAACCAATGTCCAGAAGATCGTGAAGGGTATTATCGAGGGCGAAACCCGAGTGATAGTCTCTAGCATGACCATGGAGGAGGTTTTCAAGGAAAGGCAGGTTTTTAAAAGCAAAGGTCTGTGGCTGTTGCCCATCCCTGTTAGCCTAACCTAGCTAACGCAGTTGGACAGTAATTGAGAACGTGCAGAAGGAACTTCAGCAATTCGGTCTGCGAATGTAAGTCACTAAAGATCAATATAAGTTTTTTTTTTTTTTTTTTGCTAACAGATTTAAGTTACAATGCCAATGTCAAGGAGCTCCAGGATACTCCTGGCAGCGAGTACTTCGCCATTCTAAGCCAGAAAGCACACGAGGGAGCCCTCAACCAAGCAAAGGTTGATGTTGCCGAGGCACGGATGAAGGGTGAGATTGGAGAGGCAGAGAAGAAAGGACGGATGAAGCAGGAGATCTCTAAGATCGACGCCGATACTGCTGTACTGGAGACGAAACGGAAAGCCGAGAAAGCCAAGGCGGATTCTGAGCTCATGAACCGCCAAACTGAGCTCGATGCCAGTGTTCAAATCAGCAAGATCACTACCAAACGCCAGACAGAAATGAAAGACGCAGAGCTGCTGAAGCAAGTGGAGTCTAAGCGTGCTGAAACAGAATTGGAACGTCTTAGGGCTAGTGAAGTCACTAAGAGCAAAGTGGCGCGCGAGTCTGCCCAAGAAAATGCAGATGCTGCTTATTACACAGAGCAGAAAGCAGCCGATGCTCAGTTGTATAAGCAAAAGGTGGAGGCAGATGCAGCATGTAAGCTTACAGCCTGTCAGAAACACTGGGTTCTCTCGCTAACTATTCTTAGATTATCGTCAAAGCAAAGCAGCCGATGCTACCCTTTATCAACAGAAGCGTGAGGCTGAAGGAATCCTCGAGATGTCTAAGGCATACGCAGCCCTTATTGACGTCCTCGAAGGCCCTCAGGCCTTCCTGCAGTTCAGAATGATGGAGAACGGTACATATGAGAAATTAGCTAAAGCAAACGGCGAAGCTATCCGAGGACTTAATCCGAAGATCTCATCATGGAGTACAGGTGAGTATCACTCTTAATCTCTATTTTCATATATGATCAATGAGAGGCTGACGTTAGACAAAGGGGACGGCTCCGGAGATGCAATGGCCCCTGTCCGAAACATCATGCAAGGCCTTCCGCCTCTTCTTAGTACCATCCACGACCAGACTGGAATCAGTCCCCCATCTTGGTTGGCCCAGTTGCCTGTGGATGGTGAGAACAAGGGGCGTAAGTAGGAGAACACTCCGAACCGAACCAATTGAGGTCATCAGAAATTTGACACGATTTTCGAGACACAACCAAGTAGCATGAGATCGGATCATTCTCTTGGCCTTTTTTTGTCTCTTGTCTTTTTCCTTTTTCCTATTGTTGTCTTGTTGTTGTGAAATACCCACCGTCTCAATTTCGTTGTATGCCACTATCGGAGGCTTCTATATTGTTAGTGTAATAAATAGTCTGGAACAAGATAATCATTGCTAATTCAATCGAATTTATTTTGTTCAAAGTCAACAGATAGCAATTGGTAACAAGGAGAGATACATAAGTGAGGTCGGGTTCATACGCAGAGACCCGAAAAGGTGTTAGCCAATCAAATCATGTGATAGTCGTCATCCGCCGGCATTGTATCTTGAAGATGGAACAATACTAACACATCATCCCCTACTATGATAGTCATTAAATTGAATCAATGCAACATTTGAACTGCCGCTGTGAATTTTACTTCTCTTCCTAGATCTCCCTTTCGCATACACCTACTCGCTTGATATATCACCATTTATCCATGCTACCTTGGTCGTTCCTTGGTTTCCGTGATTCTTAACAATGCCGCCGCCTTCGCTCCTGCAGCTATGTACAGCGACTGCTGTGAAAAATGTGAAATGTGCGCATATCTCACCAAGGTCATATTAGGAGCTATCAAATTGACCCTGTGATTATCTCAGTTTTGAATGATATTGGAAACGTTCCATATGCGCTTGCTCGCCCTTTTCTTACGAAAATCGAAAGTCCTGAGAAACTAGTGAGTCGTTCAAAGACCCGTTCGCCAGCTCCTTGGCTAACCCCTGTCGGCTATATAGAGAACATTAGAATTGCAGTCCCCTCATATCATAGACGAAGATAAAGAACTCTGGCTTGAATTCATCAAACGAGATATACCTAGATGGGAAGAGTATGATATACCGGAACAATCCGACTGCTGGTATGACTTATATTGCGATCTCCGAGAACGTGTGCAGAGGGAAGTGGATGAAGATGCAGAGAGGCTAAAGCTGGCCTTGGACGGGATCAGTTCGGAACGCGCCAAAAATAGTGCTAGATTTGTCCCTGACCGACGCGATATTCGCCTACCCCGAGAAAGACCGACAGCGAAGCAACGGTATGCTTCGTATGACCGGAAAATGGGCGGTATAAAACCTATGTATACTTCTACAAGAAATTCTTTCGGCTCGTCAGATTCACAGGGATCTCTCTGGTCCTTTGACCGGCCACCACTCCCACGACCGGAAGCCAAGAAGAAAAGCAGTATATTTACTGCTACGAGACGGAACAATGCTCTGACCGTGCCAACACAACACTTGAATAACAGAGCTTCACAGGTCAAGCAAGCCCCTCGTTCCTTAATCGAGGAGCATAGACGGCCGACAGAACCTGTGACCCCCCGGCGGACTGATCCTCCTTCATTGAGAGCACCCGGGCGGTCAAGGCTCCAGAGTATACCAGATCGGAGGAACCAGAGCCCTATGGTATTTACGTCATTACGAGAAAGAGAAGCAAGACTACGGGCTATCACTTCAGGGCAAGGACCTGTCTCTAGTGCCCATACTTCCTCTGCTTCCTCGCAGGTACCTAATGCTGCAAGCTCGCGGTCGAGAAATACTCAAATGTCCCCTACTTCAAATAGGTATACTGGGCTTTCATCCGCAGAAGCTAGTACCCAGGCACGTTCACAGGCAATGGAAAGTCATCGATCTGCTAGAACAGGCCTCAATACTGCTACCGACGAGTCCAGAGGATCACCGGCACAGGTTCCTCGTCCTGCGATCGTACGAAAGAGACCTGCCAGTGTTTTCATGCAACCTAAGAGGAGAAAGGTCAATTAACATCGTACCCGATTCTCTGGCGCTGGTTAACTCCGTTCCTATGGTGACGATAGCTCGGTTACTAAAGCATAGCTCTATAGATTTAGCATTTGTCTATAGGCTTTCCTTTTGCTCTCTTACCCCCCACGTTTTAGCAATATTAGCGAGTGGCGTTCTCGTGTCGGGTTAATATACCATCTCTTTCTTTTCATGTGGATCTGTGATACTCAACACTCACATTTTGCATTATGGAATGTATATTTTGCGTCAAAAGGACATCTTGAAAGGTGTTTATATTGTGAACTGAATGATCTTTATGATGGTTTTGATTGCGATTCTGGTATCGACTTTACATTTATATGCTTGACAAATTTTTGTTTTCTGGAAACATTCACACTACAGCCCTTCTCCAAAACCATGACAAATACTCGCGTTATTACGGCTATATCGTCTGTTCTATTCTCTTCCGCGAGTTTATGCTTCTGAGATCCTTCAGGAGACTTGTCATTACTGCGTTGGTGTAGCACATTAAACATCGTTTTGGGTTTGATAGCATGTGACACAAACATGCTATTAAGGTGGTTCAGGAAGCATCCTGATGTTAAACACCATACGCTTAGACTAATGCCGCCAGCACTGAACAGCCCGCTTCCATCTTCGGGGTATAATGAATGAAAACATGCATGAGCTGAGTTAGTGCCACAATATTCGATGTAGCTCCGAGCTTCGGCTCCAGAGATCCACCCAGCTAATTCAAACATTCCATACCATTTGCAAACCTAGTAGAATATGACATTTAGAACTCAGAGTAGGCGTTTAGAAGGTCAGAGAGCCACCACGGAGAGCAAGGACGAGATGCAGCGTCGCACCACCTTCGAGGTTGTATTCTGATGCAGTTTTGTCATCGGCCCTATCAGCAGTAGTAAGCCCTATTAGCACAACTTCACGTCTCCGGGATGTCGTTCTGGGGCCCACGTACATTTGCTTTCCACCAAAGATCAATCGTTGCTGAACGGGCGGGATACCCTCCTTTTCCTCAACGCGCTCCTTTATCCGAGACACCTGCGTTTTGGTTTTAGTGAGATTATGTTTTAGTCTGGAATGGTTGTCGAATGGAAAGTAGGCCTTGCGTAGGTCGGCGGATATGACGCGATCAAAATGAAACAGTGATCAGAGGTAAGGCAATACCTTGTAATCAGGCTCAATGTCCAGTTCAATCTCCTTGCCAGTGAGGGTGCGCACTCTGTATCATTAGATAACAGTCAGTCTATGGCACCACTTTCGCCGGTACAGCTGCTTTGTTGAACCCAGAACGCAAGACGGAGAAATAAGCACTGCACGACTCACTTGATCAACATTTTTGGAAGATACACGTAATAATAAGTAGGTGGTAGAAAGTCTAAATGGTCAAATCAGTGTTAAAGACAGGTAGATCACCAAATCCCAGGGACGAACGAGGGAGGAGAGAATAGCAGGCAGGCAGTGGTGCTCAACTTCGGTGGTTGACTGGAGATGGTGACAGAAAGCTTCGCTGTGGCGCGGGGCTTTTGGTGGGGCGGACAATCAAATACATAGAGCTGAACAGTATCTCTTTGTCAACACAACATTACTCAGTCTATATTGTGTTCCGTTTTGTAATAAATATACTCTACAGCTCCTTACTTGATTGATGTCAATACTTTAGGTTATATGGATGAGCTCTTACTGTATATATGTAACCCTACTTGGAGCGCCGGGTATTACAATATATATTGAACCAGGTCTATTATTAGTAGTTTTCACTCCACACATTGTCTTTCCAAAGCACATCCTCTCGACTAGTATTCCTAACAGCTAGTATAATGTCCACTGCAGTGATTAATATTCGAAGATGTCGGAAATTACCCCGGACAAGCTAGAGATTACCAACCCATTTGACCAGATTCTCACCGACTGTCAACACGACCCGGTACTTTGGTTTACTTCATCCCAACCCCAGATTATATCCCCACAAGCCTAATCAAATATTCCCGCAACAGAATAAGATACAAGACCGCTATGAAAGCCATCGTACCAACAGGAATGTGCAATCCAAAGCCAAACTTCTCAGCCCTGACTTCCCCGGCTGGCAGACTGATGAAATCCTCCACAAGTTGCACACACAGGAGAAAGAAGACGACGAAACCCTCTTTGTTGATCCTCGAAATAACTTCACGCTCTACGCCAGACCGCCACCACATATCCGAGAACTGGTGGCTGAGATCCAGGCAGATATTCGAGATGTTGCGCCATGTTCGTAGTGTTCCTCCGTTTACTCCGACGATGTAACTGATCACTTGATGCCTAGCTGTTTGGTTCACACCGCCGGGTTCCCTGCACATAACTGTGTTGGAAATGGCTAGCGGCAGGACAGAGACAGATATCGAGAGATTTCTATCCCATCTACAAGCGAGTGGGGCTATACCAGACCTGGTGGATTACACATTCCATCATCGGACGCGCTTGCTTAAGCCAACTGTCAGCTTTGATGCGACTGCCATGGCCTTGAGCTTCGTCCCTGCGGCTGGGGAGGGAGCTACCGAAGAAAATTACATGCACGGTGATGACGGGGACAGATATACCTATCACCACTTGCGACGAGACCTTTTCGATCGCTTGGCTGCAACAGGCCTGCTGATGAAACCGAGATATATTGTTCCCTCGGTGCATGTTACCATTGCGCGGTTTATTACACATGATGGATTTGTCTTAGAGAATTCAAGGCTAGATAAAACCAAGGTTGTAGATCAGGAGCGAGTCGCAGCACTGGTTGAGAGGGTTGAGCAGATTAATGAAAGACTGCGGCAGAAATATTGGCCGCAGGTGAATGGGGCCATTCCTATCAAGGGAGAATGGATTGTTGGGCAGGGCAAAGGATTAGAGCTATGTAAGGGGAGATCATGGTATGGTGGAGGAGAGAATGTTGTCACTGGGAAAGGATTCCCATAATTATCTATAGAAATGAGATTAGAATGAATTCAAGAGAAAAATGCAAGTGGATGACACTGATTGGTTGTGGGAATGAAATATGCCTGAGGCATTAAGGAGCCCATGACCAGGTGTTCTTGGCGCCACCCGATTCGGTTAGGCCGCACTTCCGTAATAGGTGCAATAGGGCCTAAGCGAAACGAAATCCCACAACCCAACAGACGGGCAAGCCGACTCGATCCCTCCCCGACAAGAGACATTCAACGACCACCGAATTCGCCCCGGCCAAGTCAGTCAAAATGGTAAGAGATTATTTTTCTTGGTTTATATGATTCTTACTATGACCTGGAAATTCTGGACATTGGAGATATGTGATCGACATTTGGGTGGCGCTTGTGAAGGACAACTCTTCTCGACGACGGACGGGTTGAAATACACCGATTTGGACGGATCGCCTACGACCGAGAGGAACGACAATATCGCCCAAACAAACAGGGGAGAAAATGGCGTGGGTTGACCGAAGAGTGAAGCGACGGCATGTCCTGATGTGAAGCGCGCATGGCGTCTATGCAAAATGGATTTCGTGCGGTCGGATGGAGAAAATCAGTCTTGTCGATGGCTCTCAAGATCACGACAACCGCGACTAAAATCTTGACGTTATTTCATTCAAATATACATCAATATCCACTATAGCGACCTAATGTCGAACTACATCTCTCCAATAACCGGAATCCAGAAATCATGCAGCTTTCTCAAAGTCATTCGAACAACAGGCGCTGATATATTTTCCTCAACCAGGTCAACGTTCCCAAAACCCGCCGGACCTACTGCAAGGGCAAGGAGTGCAAGAAGCACACCCAGCACAAGGTCACCCAGTACAAGGCTGGCAAGGTGAATACACCCGAACGCCCCAGTTCCTTCCAACTCGACAGATGCTGATGCGGATGGACATCTTTAGGCCTCCCTGTACGCCCAGGGTAAGCGTCGTTACGACCGGAAGCAGAGCGGTTATGGTGGTCAGACCAAGCCCGTTTTCCACAAGAAGGCCAAGACTACCAAGAAGATCGTCTTGCGTCTTGAGTGCACTGCTTGCAAGCAGAAGAAGCAGCTCTCTCTGAAGCGTTGCAAGCACTTCGAGCTTGGGTACGTGATGACTCACTGGTCTTTTCAGTGCCAGCAACTTGTACTAATAACTTCTACAGTGGCGACAAGAAGACCAAGGGTGCTGCTCTCGTTTTCTAAATTTGCGATTTCCTTGTTCGGCTCTGGGTTTCCTGCATTGCACAGGCCGCTACTCCCGCGGCGGGGGAATATGACATTGGGCAATGGGAAAATGGATAGGGCTTCATATTCAGAAAAAAAGAATATATGACTCCTAGTTGATGAGTCTCTTCATGAATTAATCCCCGTTATGACGAGTAGAATGTCGCAAGCGGCCTCCTTCATCTGTGCCAGTGTAAGCCACCGAGATTCACGCCATACCCTACTCGATTTTCACAGGAGGAGAATCTTAGATATTCTATATCTAAAGGGAATGATGTCTCGCGGGGATCGCATTTGTTCAATTAGTCTGTGAACGGCATTGTCTTTCGGTACCTGTAGCTCCACCTTGCTTATCAAGCCAAGCCACAGACCCGTTATCAATAGTATCGAGATCCTCAAGCGAAGCCGAGTCATATCTGCTATATTGCATCGGCCCACAGAAGGTCAAAAGGAAACAATACAAAGAAATGTTCTTATCATAAACATCAGGCTGATCTTTTCCCATGGGAAAATCCAAACAGAGTATCCAACTTCGTTTATACGCAACTTTTCATATGGTGTCTCGCTCTACATGGGACAAATGGTCACCCGAAGAACCTAAGAAATTCGAACTGGTTGGTGTTGTATAATTGTTTAAACCTAGGGAGTCTATCTAGCTTTACTAAACTCCGAGCTTAGATCCAACACATAATTAGACTTGCACCTGGAGAACGTACTGTGGTATGGCAAACAGCAAGACATTTTAAGTACCCTTGGGACTTACAGAGAGGTAGTAACAGGCGCTTTCCCCCCATTGCATACGAGTAGTTACTCACCTGCTGATCAGGTGTGTTGAATCCTGATTAAGAACTATATCATTAGGTAGAGTTGAATCGCCGAAGTGAGTACCCAGTACGGCGTTGTGCTGAATGGCACGAGTATCGTAATCATCTAGTTGTTAAATAGCTCTATGCATTTATAGGGCTTTTCAATTAAAGATATTTTTGTTGATTATATGCCAGGATAGATCTAAAAGGGCAGGTGAATGGGGCTTCTCTGGGAGTAAAGAAGAAACCGATACAAATATATTTCTTTCCACCTTCGAGAAATAGATTTAGTCTACTCTGATATCAAGGACAGTTAAATTATGCAGTTTTGGATGATTTTGATCCTAGATGAACATAAATTGAAAGACCAGTATTTTCTACTATCCCCTACATCATGTGCAGGAATAGCTACAGAAATGGAGATAAAAACACGGAATTGCCTCCTTGGGTCTCCCCCGCCCTTCTTTCCCCTTGCGGGTCCTTTCCCCCCGGATCGTCGTTTATTCTCCCCAATTTCTCTGGGTATATTCCATTACCCCCACGACATGACTCCTTGATCGGCTATACTCCGAGTTACTGGTCTATGGACGTGCACCTCGGTCGTTCGGATGCCTGCATGTTGCACATCGGGCTACGGCGTATATCTACCCGAGTATGGACTTCTAGTATTTGTGAAGCACTGCAGCCTTTACTCAATCTATCCATTCATACCTCGCATAAAATACAATGGCTATTTGGTATTCCCTTGGAGTTGCATTTTTTGCCGCAATCGGCACATTTCTTTTCGTAAGCATGTATCCTTTCATGAAGTATAATAATATCCTGATGTGCTATAGGGCTTTGATACGGGCATTGCAACTACAAGTGAGTGCAAGAAAGGACCTATTAGTCGTGAGCAACAAACTCATACTACTATCAGCAATCGCCCATCAAAGTTGGATTGACTACATGAAGCACCCTTCTAAGGGACTCACTGGGGCTGTATGTTGACCTTGCGACGTTGTCTGACAAACGGCAAGTCTAATATAGACAGGTGGTCGCTGTCTACATTGCTGGCGAAGCAGTCGGCGCTCTTACGCAGACAGCAATCGCCGATAAACTTGGTCGCCTGCGTTTCATGGAGATGATGTGTGTCATTGTCACAATCGGAGTAGTTATTCAGACTGCTTCTGTCAACATTGGAATGTTCCTTGCAGGCCGCGCATTGGCTGGGTATGCTGTTGGGTAAGTATGCTAGTATTATCCACAAAGACCAGCTTTCATTGATCGGTTATGTAGGGGAATGGTGTCTACCGTACCCATCTACCTTAGTGAGATTTCTGACCCTCGTTATCGCGGCCTCATCGGTGGTATCTCGGGCTGCGGGATCTCTCTTGGGACTATGGCTTCCAACTGGGTTGGATATGCTTGTAGCTTCGCACCGTACGGGCCAATTCAATGGCGACTTCCTCTAGGCGTCCAGATCCCGTGGGGTATAATTATGTTCTTCGGTTTGATCACCTTCATGCCTGACTCACCACGTCACTTGATTCGAAATGGAAAGGTTGAGCAAGCGCGTGACGAGTACAAACGTATCCGGAGGGATTTACGTCCAGGTGAAATGCACAGAGATTTGGAGACCATGGCTGCGCAAATTGAATACGAGATGGAGCGGGAAATCACATCTTATAGAGAGATATTCAGACTGTTTAGGCATCGCGTGTTAGTGTGAGTTCTTAAGACTAAACATCTTTGACACGTTTAACAGAGCATATCTAGGTCAATCACCGTACAGACTATGACTAGTCTCACTGGTGTGAATGTGATCCAGGTATGCTTTTTAACCAAGCTTTGTATTCCTCGATGCTAAGCTATAGCTGATTTCAGTACTATCAAAGTAGGTTTCCTTTTCCCTTTCAAGCTTTCAAAACGCAATATTGCTAACGGCAAACCAGCAATTCTATACAAGTCCCTGGGTATAGACTCTCATACGATCCTCGCTCTAGCTGCAGTATACGGCACAATAGCCTTCCTCGTCAACTGTCTGACGACGAAGTACCTCACTGACCAATGGGGCCGTCGGAAGTAAGATCTACCCCTTAACCCAATAAACGAAATATTCAGCTAATGTAAGCAACACAACCCAGGATGCTCCTCTCAGGTTTGTTAGGAATAATAGTCATTGAAATCTATGCCGCGGTCATGCAGCGAGAATTCCAGAATACAGACAACCGAGTCGGTAAGGGATTCGCCGTTCTAGGCATTTACCTCTTTGTCGTCGCCTACTGTAAGCGGAATCACAATCCAAGGGAAAAAAAAGTATAACAGACACAGGAAGCAAAATCAATCTAATGGGTACTATCATAGATGGCATGCTCAACAGCACAACCTGGCTCTACGGAGCCGAAGTCCTCCCCATATCCCTCCGAAGCAAAATAATGGGCCTTGCATCAGCCTCGCACTTTATCGTCAACGTTGCAAGTTCGTTCTCTCCAAACTGTTCATGAGCATTGAGATTAAGATACTGATACTGGTTCTGCTCAACTTTTGCAGTCACCGAAGCCGGCCCAAGTGCGTTTGCCAATATTGGGGAGAACTATTATTATGTTTTCGTGGCTTGTTCGACTTTCTTCCTCATTGTGGCTTATTTCTACTTTCCGTACGTTTTCGGTATCCTTTCCACTAATATGCTGGGAGCAGCAGGTCTTTATTGACGGAAGACCTATAGCGAGACGAAGCGAAAGACTCTCGAGGAAATTGCTGCCTCATTCGGCGACAAGGTCATTGCACCTGGGGAGACTGGTAAGGATGGTGATGATGGAGATGATACCGGGAAGCCTACGTCTGAACGAGAGGAGGTAGCTTGATTTCGGAAACCACTATGAATGCAATGGGTTGTTCGATATCTAACGTATTGGGATCTGATGATAGTCTATAATAAAGTCTCAATTTGCTTCTTTGTGATAAATGGAAATAGTGGCCATGTCCTGGCGACTCTTCGAAAGTAGTAAATGGTGTTGGATGATATGAATAAAGACGAAGGTCTAGATCACCTTTCGTAAAATCATCCCCCGGTAAATATACCCCCACATAAAGCGTGGAATGAGTCCAGATTCGTAATTAGATGCGGGGTAAGAAGAACCACCTGGGCGGCTCTTGCAAGCGATCCCCGCAATCATTCATGACATCAAGCTCGTATACGTAGTCTTACCATCGGATCAACTCCGATATGCCGCCAGTGACCTCGCTCTAGCTTTTCTCTGCAGAGTATAGCTAGACTGCCAAACTGGACACTCCCAATCGCTATCGCACGACCAAAGACCCATCCCTCTAACCGGGAATAGCATAGTCTATACGACATCCATGATGTCTGCAGTTAAGACAAAAGACAGATGAAAAGCGGGCCTAGCCATAAAATTCACCCCAGTCCAGACTGGCGCGGGTGATGCCTTTGCTCCTGGGCGAGGAAGTTCCATCCGTCCCATTGGACAGAAGACGGACTCACCCAGTTCTGGGGTCGAAGTTGCGAGAATAATGGTTCTGGCATGTATTCTATCGAAGGGGAGAGGTAGGGTTGGATGAATGGGGTTGGGGATGAGGTTGGGATGGCCATGCCTATGGGTGCTCCTAATGACTGCTGTTGTGGCTGTTGCTGTTGGGTCCGGGTAATGGCTAGATCTCTTTTTTCTTTTTCGTTAGTTGGGGTTGGATGAGGGAATGAAAAGGGTGGGTTACATACAGAAGCTGGCGGAGAACGGGCACGGCTTTACTGCAGAAGTTGCTGCGGTTTGAGAGAGCCGCGAGGGTTTCGAGGGATCGCCAGAGGAGGTCGTGGATCTCGGTTGATTCAAACTGGCTATCTGGGTGCATGAGAATGGCGCAGAGGACGACGGCAGCGTGGAATGCGTGGAAGCTTCCCAGTCCGCTGTTGTACCATTTGTATGTGGAGTATTGGGGCAGGTCGTGGAGGGACTGGTAGATTGCTAGGGTTGCCTTGGCCGATGCTGCGCATTTGGCTCTTGCGGCGCACGTCTCGGCTGTGACTTCGCCTTGGAGGTAGCGGCATAGATTAGGTCGGAGGACGAGGAGGAATAGCTGGTGGAGGTGACCGTATAAGATGTTTAGGTTGGCTAGGTGGTGGGTTGGGGGGGTTTCGCTGCTGGCGTCGAGCTGGTATCGTTTATCGCAGGTTTCGTGGATAGTCAATATCTCAGTCTCGATCTGGGGGACGCTGAATTTTGGCATGAATGTGAAGAGGGTTTCGCAGATCATTGAAGAGATTTTGGCTAACTGGTAGTCGAGCAAGAGGTAGGTCATCTGGGTGGGATGGGTTGTGGGCTCCGAGAGTTCCCCTGTGAGTAGGTCCACGTCGTTTATCTCCAATGGAAACTGTACATCTTGAGAGTGTATCCTCTGATCAGGACCGCCGAAGGTGTTGTTCTGGCCAATGTACAGTATCATGAATCCGGTCCAGGCACGCCTGCGTTCCTCGCGCTCGATAGGCCCCAAGGCAAATCGTCCCGGGTCGACATGACAACCCATCGAGATTGCGACATGATGGGTAAAGCCCAACAAAGTCCACGTAGGCAGTCCACGGCTGATTCGCGCGTAGTTGACGAGGACGAGACACTGGAGAGAATTGATGGAGTGGCGAGAAAACACACCATCAGCTGCCAAGCATCGCAGCGCTGCTGAGCGATACCGCGACGACAAAGCTTTAATGTTACGGCTAACCGTCTTCTCACGGCCCAGGTCGGTTAGCAATGGATCATCGTCATCAAGGGCAGTGACTGCGATACCCAATATGATAAATAAAAGGGCAATCCATGCTGTGGTCACACTGCCTGGGTCGTGACAGAACCGCTGATATTCAGCTGCAAACGTTAAGTCATGTAGAATATGGAACATCTGACGTTAAGTTAGCTGAAGCCTCGTTAACAGACAGTACGTAAAGGCAAAAATAGATCAGTTACGACATACAGGAGAAAATACTCGGAAGTAGACATCCTTTAACGCATCGCAATATCGGCCAGGAGGAAGCATGGTTAGTAACTCTTCTTTGGAAATGCTGTTTTTGGCAAAGGGAATTTGCAAATCATCGTCATCCTCTGGGATGTCGGAATCGACTTCTTGCATTGGACCTCCGGTCCCTGAGCCCCACTGAGACGCCAGTGGGACATAACGTACATAGCCTGAAGGAAAGGTCTGGAGAGTACCAAAGTTGCCCAACAAAGGGCTCCTGATCTCAGATTGGCCGAGGCCGAGGGAACTTTCAGGTTCAGAGAAGCTCCCAGCTATACTAGGAGACATTTGTGGTGAAAGGGAATCGCTTATGTGTGACCCAGTCTGTTTGTGCAAGGTGTCTTCGAGGTTGCGGATGCGCACCAGCAACTCTTTGTGCAAAGTAGCGTCTGCCTTCAATGTATTCTCTGACGATAAACGAGGCTGGCCTAAGTAGACGCAGTCTTCAGCTCCTAACCCTCGCCGGACACATGTTTGGCATGGGCGTCCGTCCCGGGCGCAGCGTATCTTCCTCGTACGGCATGCTTGACAGCTAATGGGTAACCTCTTACCGGTGGAACGGCTCGATGAAGTCATCGTACCAGTGGGGAACTACTGGTATAACCAACTCCACACGAAAGACTTTCACTTATGGCCAAGTGGAGGTTCTCACAGACTGGGGCTTGTCAATAGATGTTCACTTCACAAACAAAGCTGATGGCGGTCTGGGTTTTGAAAGAGATAGAGGGAGGGATAAATAATTCAGACAATTAGAGAAAGTTCAGTTGCCTTTGAATTGGAGAAGAAAGTCTTATTTAGAGATCTGAGAGCTGAGTCGGTAGACAAGCTACACCGAATCAGGAGGAGACCTCCATTTTCATGCATTACAAGGGATCGAACAATGTTCATCAAAATTACCCCATGCAAGCAAACTGGAACCTTGGACTGTCTTCCTAGTTGGTTGGCGGTTAACTACATGTCTACTCAGGAATGTAATCCTTGCCCTTATGGGGACCTGAACGAAGACTTCTAGAAACCATGTGGCCAGCGCCTTCATCAGTTAAAGTTTTCACAGTGCAGGTGTGGTAACCAGTGGGACGGTCTGCCACGCGAAAAGGAGTAAGGAACATGGTCAACGTGCAAACTATTTGACGGTGGCTGAATCGAAAAATTTATGATGTGCTGGGGCTGATCGCCTAGTGGAGAATCATCTCTCGGGATGTGTGGATTGCTGTAGCGCTAGTGGATTTGATCTAGGTCCGTAGACAAATGACGCTAGAAAGAAAAATGGAAAAAGAAGACTAAAGAAGAAGAGAAGAGAGGGAGCAGGGGAGGGTGGGGGGGAAGAGAAAAAAAAAGGAAAAGAAAAGAACAGAGAAAGGGAGAGGGGAGAAAAGGCATATTTTTCAGGGTTGGGCTTACTGCCTATATAACCCCTTTTGCGCAATATGTGCTAGCAAGTTTGTTTTGTTTTATTTATTTATTTTATTTTTTTGTTCTATGATTAACTATATACTCTCTACTGAAAAAAGGTGATGAATTGTAGGCAAAGAAAAAAACTTAACTCGGGCATGTTCAGATTGAAATTCTGTATGTTCCACCTGCTGGGAGTGATATATCTCATCTCTGACTTGGCACAGGATAGTAGTTTTATTCAGAAAAGAATGAAACCTCCCTTGTTTTGCATCTCCCGTGACTATTATCGCACGGCAAACACTTCGGCAAGCACATGGAAGCTGTGAAGTATCCTGATTGGCAGGCAACCTTTTACACTATCATATAATATCAGGACTACATAATATGTTATGTTACTATGCACATATGTAGGCCTATAATTATATAATATGTTAACAAAAAGGGAGGCGGAATGATGAAGGACTTGATCTCGGTTGAAGGAAAAGAGAGAGCTAGTTAGTAGTAACCTTGCCGGACTGGGAAAATACCTTAGGGAATCATTATAATATTTTTTTTTTTTGGCTTCGCGATGATTTTCTATAGAGAGCAAATCGCCACCAAAGTGTGGATACACCGATTATGATATGGATTGATGTGAGATCCAACTTGAAGTGGTATGTACTTACTGTAGTGTGGGTATTGGGTTTTCTAGAAGCAAAAAAGGAAGAACCAGCGTCACTTAGAGAGAATATTTCGATGTAAAATTTTATGACGATGCATGCTTACTAAGACCGAAAGAAGGGCAGAAGGAGGCGAATTGTTTCATCCTGCATGTTTTTAGTTGCCTCATAGCGCATTGTGTTGCATCGCGCTACTGTTTGTGTGGCAAATGAAGTGTAAGAGAGGCCCTATAGAAAGACTCTATTGTATATATGAACAATATGTAGAATATCATGACCCACAAGAAATTGTCAACCATCTCAAAATGTTAGTTTTAACGATGAGAACATTGAAAAAAGATGATTTATCAGAAAAGAAAAGACAGAATGGAAGGTTTCTAGGACACTTCCCCGTGCTAGTTAACAGTTAGCGATCGTTTCCCCATGAAGGAATTATTTAATGTATTTCACATGCGAGCGTTCCACCTCTATATCCCATATAAAATAGCCCTTTTTATAGCCCAAATATCCCAACAACAATAAAGATTCAATTCTTAATTTGTTAATATATCTAATATATGTTATACCCATAAGGTATTATAAATTTAGTAGATTTTTTTAATGCCTTTTAAGCTCTTGTATTTTAAGACTTAATAAAATACACAAAAATATAACTGTATTTACTCTATTAAGAGCATTATAGAAAATAACAGTTTCTGTATCTAATATATTATTAGAGTACCATACAACACCAATATCATAGCACAGCTACAGCTTCTCTAGGCTTGTTGTTGCTGAGATATCCGACTTGTAAAAGTGATCGTTTTATATGGGATACGGGGCTGGAACGCTCGCCTGTGTGGAACGCTGGCTTGTGAAATATGTTACCTCACTCTTGTTGACTAATTACGGTAAGGGTACCTAGATATTAAGGAGGTATTGGAACCATGGGCGGTGAGGGAATAAGGACTCGTGATCCATGGAACCCTAATGGCTTAAACAATATACAGGATGTGACTGTATATAAATTATACAGTACCTGTACTGATGTCCCTCAGCTCAGCCGAAATCGGGCAAATCGGGCACCGCGTTCAGCCTTACATCTTATGTCATATTCTACCATGAGGTCATCATTATGTTGAACAACTCGGGTGGGAAAAAAAGCAAAAATAGATTTAGAAAGAAAGAAAAAGAAAAGTTGGGGGAATATAAGCGATCAGACACGATCTGTACCATGGGTTTCATCAGATAATGATCCACATCTCTCTTCAATCCGATATCAACTTGGAATGAATGATATGTAAGTAACTGAATAGAACTAATATCAACTCGTGACTCAACCCTTTATCACGAGTTTTATAGCACGTGGGCGATCTTCCCTTTGTTCGTGGATTCTCTTTTCTACCTCACTTTCCCTCTTCATCCGCTGCCATCCATTTTTCATCTAATATTATTTCTCGATCACTCCTCTGCTGTTGACTATACGATGTGTTGCTGACCCTAAAAATAAAATACTCTTTTTTTTCTCTTTCTTTTCTGGTTTGAACCAATCGTCCAAGCTACTGCATCCTACTAGTGATCTAGTAGTCTGTGGGTGTGTGCGCGATCTGATTTGCCCCTCTTTGTCGCTAACCTTCCCCTCTACACCACTGGACTGTCTCTGGACACCCTCGAATCTTCCACTGCTTCGATCGGCGTTTTTGTCATCATTCTCGTCCGTCAGGGTTTCATTCATTTGCCGTTTTCTTCCCTTAGTCTACGGCTCCAGCCTCCTCCCTGGACCCTTCCCCACCTTCACAGCCCCTTGCTCAACATTCCCGTATCCGAATTTCCGATTCTAAGCTCTGCCTGCTTCTGTTTCTTCACATATCTTCCTTTCGAAATCAATCCCTAATTCCTTGTCTATATATCTATCTTGACCGACCCTCATGTCATACATATACAGAGAGCGTGAGCGAGAACGCGACTGGGATGAACCTCGTTCTCCCGTCACAATCAAACGTTACGTCATCTCCCCCGAAGAAGAGCGAGAGCGAGAGAGAGACGTTTTCTACCGACGCGAAGATCCCGTTGCTGACCGGGAGCTGGTAATTCGGCGCCCTTCCGACCGAGAGGATCCCGTCATGCTCCAACGCTATGAGCGCGATGTCGACTACGACTCCCGTAGCTATGACTATCGTTCCGAGAGGGACTACTACGAACGTGAGTACAAAGAGCTTGAGCCCTTCCATCGCCACTATTCTGCCCCAGTTATCATTCGTGAGAGACAACCAATACTTATAGTCGAAGCTCGAGGTCCTGTCTACGTGAGCCCGCGGGAGTCCGACTATGATGTTGTCCACCGTTCAGAAGTGGACCGGGAGCCTGGGTACTATTACCACCGGCGTGTTCGCGAATATGATAACGACCGTCGTTTCCACCGTGAACTGAGTCCCAGCGACTCGGTGTCCCAGGCTACCCGTCGTCGGGATGATCGGGATGACCGCGATTATAGCAGTGATGATAGTATGGTCTACATTCGCAAAGAGACGCGTGAGTATGAAGACCACCCACACCATCGACGTCATCTGGCCGAGGGTGCTTTGGCCGGTATCGGTGCTGCAGAGTTACTCCGCAATCATCGAAAGAAAGAGGGGGAGGACGTCTCGAATGGAGTGGGTCGTCTCGGACGGGATATTGGTGCTGGCGCCCTAGGCGCTGTAGCTGTGAATGCAGCATCCCGAGCTAGAGATTATTACCGTAGCAAGAGCCGACATCGTTCGCACTCATTCGATGATGACCGCAGCTCTCGTTCTCATCACCGGCATCACCACCATAGTTACAGCCACTCCCGGCGCAGTCGCAGTCGCAGTCGCTCTCATTCTCACTCTCGGGTGAAAACGCTGGCAGAACTTGGCCTCGGTGCTGCTGCTATTGCTGGTGCTGTGGCCCTCGCTCGAAATAAATCCAAAGATGAGCGACGAAGCCGCTCTCGCCATCGAAGTCGATCACGCCACCGCCGTTCGTCTTCTGTCAGATCTGGAAGGTCTGCTGGTGGCGAAAAGCGTAGCGAGTCGGAGCGCAGAAGGCACATGGCAGGCGCTGGCTTGGCTGGTGCTGCGGTAGCCGGTCTGGTGGAGAAGGCCCGCAGTCGCTCCCGCTCTCACAAACGTGCGTCTCGATCTCATAGTAGGCTCAGGAAGGCTCTCCCTATCGTAGCAGCTGGCTTGGGCACTGCTGCTGCCACAGGGCTTTACGAAAAGCATAAAGAGAAGAAAGAAGAGGAAGAAGCTTCGGGCCGCAGGGCGCGATCCAGATCTCGAAGCAGGGCGCCTCCCGAAATCTACCCTGACCCGACACGGGACTCGGCTGGTTTGATTGAGTATGGCCAGGACCCGGTTCACGGAAGGATTCCCACCGCGGATTACTACGGCCGGCCCCCGAGTCAACAGGCTTTTTACTCTGATGGTTCTGACCCAGCGGGATTTGGCTCGTCACGCCACCGCGGCCGCAGCATTAGCCGCAGCCGCAGCAGGAGCCGGAGCCGTGGTCCGCGATACAGCAATAGTCCTTCTGGGTCTGATAGCGGCGACCGTAGAAGGCCGCGAAAGAAAGAGGATAGACATCATAGCCGGACTCGTGGCATTGCTGAGGCTGCTCTGGCTGCAACTGGGGTAGGGTATGCGGCACATAAGTATTCTCAGCGGAGGGAGCGCAAGGAGGCGGAGAAAGATAGGGAACGGCCTAGTGAGTGGCCATCGAGGGGGTTACAGCATCATTAGACTAACACCAGTCGGTTAGGATTCGATGATGACACACGCCAGGGCTCGTATGGTGAACGTTATAGTCCTGAGCTGTACTCCCACTCCCCTCTGCCTCCACCAGCGAATGAACACCAGTACTACCCTAACACCAACCATTTCCCACCCCCTCCAGGGTCGGCTCCTCGACCGGCTGGCAGTACAGCCCCGTATAACCTGGCTGATTACCCTCCACCAGGCGCGGTTCCACCTTCGCCGCCGTATGGTTATCCCCCTCCTCCTGGACCAGAGTCATACGTCTCTCGGCCCCGGAGGGCAGACGAGAATGTGAGTGCTGCATGGAACTCTTCCCCTCCCACTTCCCAGGCTCATATGGATGATGGTGGGTTCAGGGACGAATACCAATGCACCAAGGGGGATTCTAACTGGAAGCTTCTAGGTCTAAACACTCAATCTCCATCGATGACCCCCCGTGCGAGAAGGCGGATATCGCGTGCTGTGAGCCAGCCCCCTCATTCTAAGTCAGTCGCTTTCGATCTCAGCCCAGAAGATGGTCGACCGATGGATCCGGGCTATGAAACTGATGATAGTGATTCTACGGTTGGGTCGCCGAGTGGAGGTCGTCGCCGCAGCCGTTACCGACGCCGTTCTTCCTCTGAATCTTTTAATCCTAGACTGAGACCTGACACCCAGCAATCGTCCTCCGAAAAGAGTCAGAGATCAAAGGATCCAGGAAAAGATTTGGAGTCGGACTCGGACTCGACGATTGATCTCCCTGATCGTTTCGACCCACAAGGCCGACTTCTTCCCCAGCGCGAGGACGATATGTTCGCTGGTGGGCTCGATACTTTGCTCAGGGGGATAAATAGAGTATTTGTTTAGCTTTTCTGTTATTCTACTTGTTTATGGACTTTATGATTGTCTATCGGGTGGCTTGTTATATTTTTGGCTTTCGTGTAACGTGATGATGACCTTATGATTCATGGAAAATTTTGACGTGCAATGTGATATTTGAGAATTTATTACCACGTGATGTGACAATACTTATCCTGAGTTTAACGATTGCACTTTGAAATTAAATGTTCTGGTCTAACTGAACTGAAATATTGTGATATCTATGGTAACAACTAAGCAAGGCTCTAGAAATTGATGCCATTAACCAACCCTCTCCCAAAACTCCAAAGGTCAGAAAATATTCAGATGACTGAAAAAAGTACAATAATAGCACATTCCGTGCGCTGAGATGGTAGATTATGTACATACATACCCACAATGAAGCATGGATTCAATCCAACCGCGACATGACTGGAGAGGAATGAAATAGGTCGCCTGTCCCTATTCCCAAATCACAATTCTAATTGAATAACGTCCAGAACAAGACAAAACAAAAATCCCCAGAAGTGTTGGATAATGCGCGCCGTGCTGATGCATACATAATCAAAGTCTTTTTTCGAATGTGCCGCTTCCATATCTTGCTGTTGTTTCGTGATAATATATCAGATCATCGTTACGCATTGACGGAGAATGTAGGAAAGGGCCAAGATACCAAAGAAGGGATGAAGGCAATTGACAAAGGAAAAAAAACCATTATTTCAAACGAGCAATCATGTGGGTATTAAGCTTCCATTAACTGCCCCTTTTCGCAAGATGAAGTAACTCCCGGATTAAGAAGGATCCTTGTTCATGTGGTGAACAAAAACATTAGGAAGCTTAAGCAACATCAAGAGCCACCACTCCTGCAACAGATGTGAGGGAGAAGACGAAATGTTTAGCATGCAGACAGAGGCTCTAGTCAAAGCAATAGGAATATACAAAAATGGTGTGAGGCGAAAACAGATGGTGCCATCTTCAGTTGTTCGTCACTAATGGAGAATTGTCCGAAGATCGAAAGTAATCAAGCTGTGAATAATTGTCCGGTCATCCTAAGTGCTTCTCGTATGGATTCGAGGGTTGAGCGTGAAGGCGCTACTTGACGGGATTCGAGTAAACTCCGGCGATGTGACCTTGTCTTCGATATGGTGACAGTGTCATTGGCCCCAGGCATAGGTTTGTCGCCATCATCGCCATCATCATTATCCCCAGCGCCATTGTCACCTCCATCCGGTACCACTTTAACACTGGAGCTGACAGAGGCTGAAAGGAACCGAGAGCTCAGCGGTAACTGGTATTTCACAACACCGCGAACAATGAGCTCAAACGGGTGCTGAAGTACACGTTCCCATCGCTCTGTGCCGCCTTCCTCTGTTTTATTTCCTGGTCGAGCGAGACGAATCTGCCCCTTGGAGGTGGACGGCATGTAGTTCCATGGCGACGCCTCAAAGGTCAGGGGCGAGTCAAAACGGAAAACACGGCCTAATAGCATTGTCTGGGGATCACCCGCTGGGTCAGTGGGGATAGGATCGGTGCCTTTGTCAACACCCCCATCAGTGCGCAGAACATGCTCTGATATAGTTGTTGCATTTGTTAGACAACCGCTGCTTCCGGCGCAGCGTGCCAGGCTAGCCAAACGGGCTCGTTTTCTGCTGTCTTCAACTCGAGGGAAGTTACTCAAATCGGATCCATGATCACGCCATAGTTTGTCTGTACCAACAAATCGACTCCTCGCAAAGATATTCATATCCATGTCGTCAATTGCGACAGGGAAGAGGTTGGGGTTGATAGCGCTTACGTTGAGGTCCAACATGATTTCTTGCTCAGAAGCGAGGACGTTCTGGATAGCAAGGATCTGGACATTCACAAGCGACTTGGTAATGCCGACAATAAACGACGTGGCGCCTCCAATGACGACTAGGAGTAAAAGGCTAATAACAACGCAAGCACCGTACTGTGTAAAACAGCTACGTTGCCGCTGTTGCATGTATTCCATCTGACGTAAACTAGCACTCCCAGGTCGCCGATTGCCGTGACGGCTTCGAGTTAAACGTGGTGAGCCTACTAGAGGGGTCCGTTCATCATCTGCGCCTTCCGCATCGAAGTCGTAGCCATATATTTCTCCCGCTTTCCTGGTATTATTGATCGTGCGGTAGTTCGGGCCTCCACGAGCGCCGGAGTGTCGAGATTGCCGGAACCCCCCGATGAAGTGCCGGGGAGATTTGGGATACGCCTGGGACTGGGGAAATGGCGAGTCGCTATCGAACAAGGACGGATACGCATTGTTGCGCCCATACCGCCCAATATGATGGTGACGTGGAGTATGAGCCCCGCCACCATCAACCCTTGAATGACTTCGAGCACTATCTTCTGCTGCATCCCCGTCGACACTGCCGGCGTACGTGTTATTGGTAAACTTCATGCTGCGCTTTCCTGTGACGCTATGGTTCCCATCCCGCATCCCAGGGCGCCCGCGAGTGCCCAGTTGGTCGACCTGGCTCGCCATGGATGTCGCGCTAGGCGTACGGGAATGATATCGATTCTGTCTCACAGGGTATGGATCAGGTGGGTTAGACTCATAAACGAATGTCTCGTCAGAATCAGATACATCAGCCTCATCTACAGCGCTGGCTACTTTGGCTTCGAAGATGTCCGCCTTAGAAGATGCTGCTCCGCTAGACAGGGTTGTCGGCTTGCGCGTCCTTTTCTTCTCCTTCTTCGGGCGAATAGTTTCAGTGCTGGGTTTCATTCGGAGAGTGCTCGGGTCTACACGACCAGAATTGCTCCGGTCCCCTGTCACCACACCTAGGGAGACCTGAGGTATGGAAGTGACCGTCTCAGTTTCGACGATCATGTTTCTTACTGATCCATCTGTCGGCTTACCACGGGCTCCCCCAAGCGACGTAGAGGACCGTTTTGGAATCAGAGTATCGGGGCCCTTGGCTCCGGAGCCACGACGTCGGTTGTTCTCTTCCATGAGTTCCAAGCTTTTGTTCCCTCCGCTATCACTGCCACTCTCAGCATTTTGCCTAGAAGCCTTTGGCGTGCTATCCTCCTCTATATTCTGCAACCGTGACTGCTCGAGTGCAGGTTGGTTTAGTATTGTCTCGGTTGACGGCGTTGATTGGTCACTGGCCATCTCTTGGACAGTTTCGAGAGCGGAAACAGGAGCGTTGATGCTTCTGTTTACGGAGCGGGGCGCACTGCGATCGGATTTGGAATCGTCGGATAGCAGAGATCGTTTGCTAGAGATATTGGGCAGGGTCGGCTCTTGCTCCGCCCGACCAGACGTGGCCCATAGCGGCATGTTAGGCTTCTCCGGACTCGAAGCATCGGTCGACGGTTCGGCATTGGAGGGAGGATTAATAATGAGAGGCTTGTTGGTTTGGGACAGTATCCGCTGCACGGCAGTTGCGGATGGAAGTGTATCCGACCCTGACCTCTTAACAAAACTCGACCTACTCGGGCTGCGACCTGCACTGGCTCTATGTGAACGAGAAGAAAGGCGGGAATTCGAGGCGGAATTGCGCGGGCGATGGGCCGAGCGAACGGGGGAGGATTCACGAGAGGATATAGCAGAGTTCGTTGACGAAGCTGGTGCTGATAGCCCAGGAACTGCAGGGGTGAGTTTAGGCATCTGGGATGCGAGGGAGGCCTGGACCTGGGAATTAAACGTTGAACGTGGCACCTCTATCATGTCACCTTCACTAGTAGATCGCCGAGACGTAGACGTTGCAGCCTCATCTTTTTGGGCCCTCCTGGATCCACCGGAGGTACCATTGCGGTAAGGCGACCTCTCGGACTCCGCTGCCATGATCAATGTCGAGTCGAACCTTGACGACAAGACCTTGAAAAGTCAGGAGATCCGAGAGGGAACCGGAACGGCTGATCTGGAAAGGTTGCAAAAAAAAAGAAAAAAAGAAAAAGAAAGGGGTCAGGGAAGGGGAAAAAAGGTGAAAAAAGACGTCAAAAATGTGACAACTTCGAAGGAAGACCTCCCCCACAGTAGGCGAAAGAAGGGGGGACAAAGCAGAAAAAGTAATTGAAATCAAAAGAGGTCAGGAGATTCTTGACAGGCAAAGAATAGATCTCAGAGGCCAACGCGTTCGACAACGATGATCTTCTGTCGCACAGAAACACGTTACACGGAGGAGGAAGTTGGAGGACGAATAGACGACGGCCACATGCTGACGAGGATAATACCGCGGGAAAAGTGAGATTCCGTAAGCTGTTTGTATGCGACAAGTAGGGTGGATTGTTCGCGACGTTCAAGAAACCAAATAAAAACCCAGACAGACCGAAGTCAAAGATGCGGACGCAGGCGAGGACATAACTTGATCAGAAGACGGTGAGATGGAACGTCTAGAACATAAGCTCCGCGCCCGTTAACCAACGGGAAACCACTGTCGATCGAAACCCACGTCGAAGGTGGATGAAATTTGGATATCGGGTATTATCTATTCGGAGCTCACGGAGGATTCAGAAATAACGAGCGTCGCCCCAATAGGTAAGACGCAAGGAAGTTCAATGTAAATCCAAACCACTGCAATGGTTCTTGTAGCGCCAAAGCGAATGTAGTTCGAGGACTAAACGACTAAACGGGGTTTGCAGGGAGAAGGGTAATGGATGGAAAGAATACACTATCGACCACCCATTCAGGGGAGGGGAAACCCGAGGCCAATGACAGCGGCCCACGTCAAGGAACGAAAGGTCTAGTGTGGGAAGGCCGAGGACACGATCTGGAGCGCACAGGCAGGAAGGCACCCACAAGGATGGGTTAGCAGTGGGTACCAATAAGTACTAATGGGGGTTTTATAATAAGCAATGATAATGATAAATCCAGTGAAGGAAGAGCTTTGGTTGGAAGAAGAAGGGAAGAAGGAACAAAAAAGCGAGCGATGATGCTTGATGATGAAGATGACGATGACGATGGAAAAAGAGAAAAGAAAAAGAAGAAAGAAAAGGTTAATTCCTTCCCTCCAAAAGCCCAAAAAACCATTCCTGACACAGCTGGAGTGGAAAATTACCGACAATCCCGCTCTCCGCCCGTCACGACAACTACCGCAAATACCACATACAGTACACTCAGTCATGATGACCTCACTTCACCAATTCTCATTTTTCATTCCGTTTACGGAAGAACCCTAGATTGTGTTACGTGTATTATGGTATATACATATACAAGCCTAAAACAGATCTACACCAGTAGTAAGGTAGTAAATACAGTACATAGCCAAAAGGACATCCATACAAGAACCAATGGTTATAAAATCCAGAAGGAAAAAGAAAAAAAAAAAAAAAAAAAAAAAAAAAAGAAAATAGAAGCAAAGACCCTGTTACAAAGCGTAGAGTTTGAATTCGCGGACAAGAGAGGGTGTCTAATCTGGCTCAAAGACACAATGCAATCTCGAATTGCAAATTATACAATCTTATACACCCGTTTGGCAATAAGAAATGACGCAAAGGCGAACATGATCAGTCCGGCCGTTACTATTCAAGTGTCAGTGAATCAAAATCCGATCAGGAAAGCAGAGGAAGTCCTACTCGACCAGAACCACGTCAAGCTATCTATGTCCTGACCGGGTACCTTGACATTCATCCCCCACATACCACAGATGATATTTAGGGGAAGGACAATGGTTCCTAGTACGGTCAGCTTTCCCAATACATCCGCCGTCTGTTCTTGCCGCTCATTCATGAGAATGTTGATCTGCGCGAGGTAGTTGGAATGGGCGCGGGACAAGAGCCTGGAGGGGGAAAAAGAGGGGTTGTTAGCCATAGGTTCATGGGAAGTATGGGTCGGACATACGTTTCGTAGTAGGTCAAGCTACTTGTCATCGTCATGATATGGTCCTGAATATCCCCCAAGTATAGGCCAATCTCCGATTTCGGTGCCACTTCCCACTGCTCGTTGCAGCGTTTGGCAAAGCCTTTGACAACGTCTGCCTTGTTGCTCAGCAGCCGATACATGCCCATGACTTTCTTCCGACAAACTCCCACCCTTCGAAGTACTTCACCCGGGGCTAATGTAGTTGAAGCTTCACCTCCATCATCTTCTAGCCTATTGTTCTGGCCTGATACCGGCTCTGGAGAGTGCATCTTCATGATCACCCCATCAATCTCATCGACCTCATCCTCGATGGACTGGATCAGCGGACCAAAGACATCCGTGATATCATCAATTATGGCATATGATATCCAATCAGAGCTCAGAATCAAGTAGTCCATTAGTTGACGGATTCGCCGGCGTACATTCGCTGGGTGCGGAGTCTGAGAGAAATGGAAGGACAGGACTCCTTCCCGAAACACAACAACGTACATATTCACTGGCTGCAAATAGTTCTCGCTATTTGGGTCCTGATCAAAGGTTCTGTAGTTGACGAAGTAATAGTTTCGAAACAGCTCAACCTTCTCCCGCGCCTCTTGCATCATGATGTCTTCTGCGGTGAGGGCGTGCACCCCGAAGGCTTTGGCAACCACTCGCATCTCTGCATCTGTAGGGCAAAGCATGTCAAGCCAGAAGGTTGGCCGGGGCCCATACCGCTTTGGTTTCGTCGGCTGCTGCGGCCGTCGAGACGGGGACGCGTTTGCTGACGTGCGCGCTTCGGACACAGCCTCGCTGATGATGGACATACGGGGTTGCTGTTTGAGGCCACTTACAGAATCAGGGCTAATGTGACTGAAGGGTGAAGCCCTGTTCCCATTACCAGTAGTATGGTTGTTGTGGTTTTTATTGTCGAAAACCTCTTCTTCAGGACCATGATCAGAGTCCGTCTCTTCATCAGAAGAGACCTCCAATTCGGGAGGGTTGGGGATGAAAAGCTCGCGAAAACTGCCCCCGGGTTGTACTAGTTCAGAAATTGTTTGAGCGTGTATCGTACTCTGGAACTCTTCGTTGAAGTATGTGAATCGGTAAGGTGCCTCATCTTCCTCGCGTCGCCAAAGTCGATACTGTGGGCGCAGGCGACCCTCGATAAGCACAGGCTCGCTGATCTTTTTTGCCCGAAAGTCACCCGTGCGCTCCTCTTTTTCCTCACGGCTCCATTCCTCCAAAACCGACAAGTCGGGCCATTCTCTCCGCCGCCGCCGCCGCCGCTCACTTTCCCGGGGCGCCCTTGCTGCGTCTTCATCGGCCAGCTCAGACACCTCCTCAGTGGGAAAACAAACATCCTCTTCAACAGGTAGGGTCCGACGCCGAAGAAGGCCTTCTTGCGGAGGACGGTGGCGGGGCGATACGGAAGATGGAGGTGAACTTCGGATCCGGTTGGCGTCGCCTTCAACATCGATTACCATGTCGTGTGATCGGGACATCGATTCCATCCGATTGTCAATGGACTTAGCCAATGAGAAGTCAAAATCGGCCCCCGTCACAACTGCATCGTCATAGCCCATATCAGCCCCAAGTTTCGGTGAAGTTGGCATCGATGGAGGGTTATTGATGTCATAATCGCGGTCCTGTTCAGGAAACCCGGGGCTTGGGATACGACGAGGTGAGCATCGAGACGAACCCGACTGGAAAGATGAGCGCCGTTGGCGAAATGTGAACGGGATTGACTTCGAATCAGTTCCATATCGAGAGGTATTGTGTCTATGAGTAGAGGACGGAGGACGCATCAACGGTGTCCGATCATCCACGGGTGCGGGGTCATCGCTGTCATCATCCATAGCAAAAGCTCTTGTTCCAGACGGTAGATTACGAGCGCCTGCATCATTAGTGCGAGATGTAGTAGACAACGATCCAGGTCGGAAGGATTGCGCGAGTCGGCTGTCTCTGCGCGGCCGCATCATGGGTTGATTCCTGGGCAGTTCCGAATTTAAGTCAGTGACGAGAATAGCGTAGACAAGAGTATCCAAAATAAAATATACCGATGATCCAGCAAAGCTTCACTTTCCAGGCTAGTGTCACTTAAGTCTCTTCCCAGCTTATAGAATGGAAGCGCGCCTCGAGACTTGGTCTCGTCTGCCATCAAAGCCATGTTTTCCACTTCTGGCCGCGGAGTAGTAGGAGGCCCGGCATGAGGATCTTCGGTACTGATGAAAGACTGCCGACGATGACGATGCCTGCGATGCCGATTTTTCTTCCGTTTTGCAGGCTTTCCCGTGGTCGATTTGTTATCGATCTGAGGGTCTTGCGTTGTTTTGGGGGCGAAGGTATCATAGGTAGTGGAACGACAAGTGCCTGGACGTGAGTCGACGGAGCGACCAGCTTGTGGAGAAGATAAACCAGGATTGGATCCCGTTTGAAACACAGCAGACGGAGTGTCAGTCATGCTGATCGAAGGGTGCAATACTCGAGGTATCCACGATGATTGGTAGGCCTATAAGAGCCGGGTATGCTTATCTCCTTAATGGAGCACAGGTCAACCCTAAATTGGGTAATATAGTATCGGAACCAAATACCAGTTCAACGTTTATGCAGCTGTGATAGGACCAGTGTAGCGGGTTCCAGCATTGTCGAGACCAATTCACCGCGACCTGGGCTGAGAAGCAACGATTGGCGAGAATGGCACTAGTGGTGAGATGTGGTGGGACATGGGGAAGTGGATAAGAGCAAGGGCGGACTCCATCAAAGAAACGCCCGTTGGAAGGAAATAGTCGCCTGAGCTGCAGGAGAAAAGACGGTGTCGAAGTGTGTGCGAGTGCGTGGAAAGGGAAGTCAAGGCACAGCCCAGTTTAGTCCGGGAGTCACGTCCAAGGCAGCCTCAGGCCCACGACATGATTCTTCGGTGGGGGTGTAAATATGATGTATGAGGTCAGCACTCCACCTTTTGCCATGATTTATCCCTCTTTTTTTTTTCTTTTTAATTACTCCCGGTATCTAAAACCCAGTTTGAAAACACAGCCGGGTGGAATTATTCATATAAGGTACATAAATACATCAAGATGCTCTCTACCGAGAGTCCTTAAAATAAATGAACAGAGTCGAGGTCATCTCTCATATACATCGAAAGCAGTCATTGTATCCAAAGAGGAAAGAGAAAAAACAGGCCGTAACATCATAAGCTCTAAAAGTAGATGGAGATTTCGACATCGCCATAGTCATCATAGAAACAGAAAGAAAGAAAAGTATAAAAGAATAAAACAAAAATCCCTCACCACAACCTCCAAATTATTTATTACCTGTTCATTTGCGAACCGTATTTGACCCAATAACCCAGCCAATCCATCTTTCGCCCTTGGACGCCTCGAGTGCCATGCCATTGCCATCCCGGAATAAATCAAAAGGAAAAAGAAAGAAAAAAGAAGCATTTTGTTGCACTAATGACCAGTGTTCATCAACAGTGGACGATGTTGATCCATAGTGAGATATGATTGAGTGTGACGCCTCAAATCATATTGCTCATATCCATGGTCGACGACGGAGCAACACTGTGAATCGATCTGGTACCATCCAAGGACATTCGGTCACCACTGAGCATCCTGGCAACCTTTTTATGTGGACGCGCAACGAGTACCTGCGCCGGGCAAACGACAACTTCATCCTCACCCTCGCCTGCATCATTGCCCTTCTTCACCACCAGAGGGAACAGAACAACCCGGACCACCGCATGTTGAGATTCCAATTCCTCATTTGAGGTGGTTTCACCACTGCGCTCATTCATGAGGGATGCATTGAAATAAACTTGTCGTGCAAGATCACCGTTGGTATCGTACTCAGGTTGTAGTGGGGGAAGCATAATGTACTCTGCTAGCTGCGTACGCATTTCGATAGACAAGTTGACAGCGACCCGTAGCACCTTACGCAGGGACTCTAGAAGCTGGGGCTCCACATTATTCGGCGGCGGGAGGAGACGGGATAGCGTCTCAAAGATCTCCAAGGCCACAGCTTCTGTGTCGTTCTCACGCTGCCGGGAGAATGTAGGCCGCTTTGCGAGCAGATTTAGGGTAGTGGCCCGCCAACGATGAACTGCAGCGCGCGGGCCTACCTCAACAAGCTGTTTCTCAAGGGTCTTGAGTTTTTGTCGTTGTTCGCGGTCCATGCCAAAGAGGTAACGAGTGAAGATAAACTCCCAGACCATTGTCATCACCACCGACATAAACACATCGCGCCGACGAACTCGGTCGGAAAGATAAGTATCAGCATCGGAGCCGTCAAGTATGGCATTTTCAAACCTATCTGCAATCTTTTCGTCTTGAATATCGCCAAGCTTGCGGCATCGGCGAAGGTCGGAATGTTTAGAGAAACGCAGCACCCACTGTTGTACATGGCCACAGAGCTTTTGACACGCGGCGTCAAAGTAGTCCTCATCCCGAAAAACCAATACATTATCCTGCATGGACGCTGCGATCTGATGTTGTAGCTCCTTGACTTTGTCCCGGGCGCTCTCTAGATCCTCTCGCAGCCTGCGCAATTCTGCATTTTTCTGGGTCAATGCTGCATCAATCTCTTGCCGTACTCTTTCTTGTATTTCGTTCGACAACTGCTGGTTTTGTAGGCGCAAATCGACTAGTTCACGATTTGACGACGCCCGTATAGTTTGAATCTCGGCAGCATGAGCGAGCGTGATATTATGATTCGTGGCAGCCAGCCCTTCGTTTTCCTCTGTCAATCGGGATACTTCTTTCTGAAGCCATTCTACTGAATTCTTAAGTTGTTCCACTTCAGCTTCCTTGTCTCGTAAGTCGGCACCTCGTTCGTTGAGAGCATGGTCGCTCTTGCGACGAGCAACACTAGCACTGCGGAGCTTGTCCTCCGCAGTCTCCCGAGCAGCAACAAGTAGACGGTTTTCAGAAATGAGTTGGTCTAGGCGAGCCTCAAGTTCTTGTAAATGTTGCATGCTTCGACGGTGCCGGATGCTGGGCGGTCGGCTAGGCGACCGAGGCGAGCTCGGCGTTTCCCCCCAACCCTCCTAAGTGAACGACTATTAGTACATTAAACAACAAGAAAGTCGCCCTTTCCACCAAGATATTTTATATCACTTACGTAAACGTCTGTCATGGCTCGCAGGGGCCGTTTGCCCTTATCGGTGACGGGGTCGTAAGAAGATGAGGAAGCGATTTGCTCAATATCGAGGTCGGAAGGAGGGGGCTGGACAGGTGGCTGGGGGCTGCACGATGATTGGCGGCTGCCCTTCTGTGCTTGGCTCGCTGCCCGCAAATCGCCGCTCGTGCTGCGATCCATCCGCCGAAGTGACCGCTGGGAGTGTGTGCTGTGCACACTTCTGATGCTATCCACACTACTTGGCCTTAGGATGGGCATGCTTTTCTCGGGGGTTCGAATGGGTTCCGTAGGCCATTCGCGATCAATAGAGCGGGTTGAACCACGCTTCCTTATTCTCAGGTCCTGGTCTTCATCTTTGTCAAGTGTAGGCCATGCCTGGCGTGCCAGCGCATTGTCCGTGAATTTTCTGACCGGTGTCTCGGGCCGGGGAAGCACATGTTCTGGCTTCATCTCCAGGCGGGGCGTTCCGCGTCCCTGAACCATGGCTCCACTGAGGTTGCGATCCAATGATTCATGCTCTGCAATGGGTTGTAAAGGAGTACGAGGAGACATTGCGCCTTTTTCTGCCACCGATGGCATCCCAAAGTTCGAAGTTGGTGCTGTGCTACTTGCTTGTGCAATTAGTGTATCTTCTTCTAGGAACTTGGGTCTCAGCGACGGGTTGCATGAATTATGGAGTGACGGACTGCGGCGAAGCTTGGGGAGGGACTCGGCGCTTGCTTGTCGACCTAAACGCATTGAGGCAGATGGTTGCTCATGTATGGGGACTGGCACATAGGAGGGCTCTCGCACAGGGGGGTCTGTCTGCGTGGTTTCAGCTTGTGTATCTTGAGCATCCTCAGGGTCCTTGTGGGTTCCTTCCACTTGTTGAAATGTAATTGGCGCTCGGAGGTCATGAATGGTAGCGCCTTCTGATAGACCTTCTGCCGTAGCAGTAGTTGATTGCCTTTGAGCTGAGAAAGAACTCGCATTATGGCCGTTGTCCTTACCGTCACTGGTAGCGATGGGCGCTTCCGAGACTTGCATCGCATCGCGATTCGCTCCTTGGTCAAGGGTCTCATCCTCAGCCCCATCTTTTACTGACTGTGACGGCTTGGTGGTAATAGGTCGCCGAAATGCCCCTCGCTCCAAGTCAGGAAATATACTAGAGACTTTGTTATGTTTCTGGAGAATCGAGTTAACTTCTTCTAGTACCAGTTTGTCATTAACCAAGCTTCCCATATCATCTAAGGCATGCTCATGGGTCGCTTCTGACTCTGGCTCCCTAACGAGCTCTGTGGATACAGTAGATATATCAACAACAGACTCCGCAGTCTTGGCATTTGCTTCTGGCGTCGCATATATCGCCTCAGAATCTTCTCGCGGCCCCAAATTTGATTTTGCCTTTTTGGCTTCAGCCGGCTCGTCTGGTGCTCTGGTTAGCCCTTCTGGAATAGCAGACTCATCGAAATCGGCAATACCTGGCTCAAACGGGGCCGCGAAAACTTCAGGTGAAGATTGGGGAGTCTCTTCTATAGCATCGACACGTTCTTTCTCCCAATCTATCAATGGCCATTCGTCATCCTTTGCAGACCGCTCGGTTGTCAAGGTTTCGAACTGGCCCTGGGCTTTGGGAGCTTCCACATTTCCCTCTTCACTGACGCTTTCAATTTCTCCTACACCCAGGTCCTCTTTGCTTTCCTTCTTGTTCCTTCCGCATGGCGTTCCGGGAGGAAGGTCTTCCGCTTTAAGCTCTTCAGTCATTGAGCCCCCTGGCTCCTCTGGCCTTGCTCCTAGATCGAACTGAGCCTCCTCGATAGAATCAGTTTGTCCATCTGACGTCGGCTTTTCTGTTTGCTCAGCGATCTGTGACTCAGCATTTTGCCTAAGTCTCCCTTTCTCCTCTGATAAACTCCCAGGTAAGAGCACAGAAGAACCCTGTTGCATATAATATCCCTTAGACTCTTCTGCTGCTCCAAGTTCATCTTCCCCAGGAGCCTGGCTTATTAGTTTTTCCTGGGCGTCAGCGCCTTTACCCTCTTTTCCCAGTAGATCATGCAGTTGTCTCTCTACAATAATTTCTTGCTCGGTCAGGCCCTCGTCAGGAAGCTCTGTCAATATAAGCGCACCTTCATCTTTCGTCGCAGAAGTGACCTCAAATGCCTCCTTCGGTACGTTCGGTTCGCTTTGTGGAGCTGGCATTGCCATAGGCTTTTCTTCAGGCACAAATATGGACTCATCGGCGGGGGCCATTGTTATTGGACCAGCTGTTACCTCAGGGTTGCTTTCAGCATCTGGCTCTCTTGCAGAACTAGGCGGGGCAGCGGCTGAGGTTTCAATCGAGGCTTCCGTTGCTTGTTTTTTCGCCTTCGTTTTTTGGTTTTTCGAATCTTTGCGGCTCAAAGGCTGTGCTGTCTTCTCCCCTTCGGCTGTGCCAGCCACCTCTTTTAATAATTCGTGGCCTAGCTCTTCGCGTACAGTCTCGATGCCAGTTTGCAATGGTTCCCTGTCTTCAGCAAATGACTCGGGCTCGAGGCCGGAGGATTCCACATGCATCAAGTCTACTCTTTCGTTGGTCTCAAAACGTTCAGCGACAGTCTCAACCAGAGCCGGTGTTTTCTCAATTTCAGCTGGTTTTTCGACTGCCCTTCCAACTTCAGCGAAAGCTGTCGTGCTTTCTTTGTCCCCTTCATTGGAGATAATCGGCAACAAGTTTCCGAGTTGGGCCTGCGTCTCGCTTAAGGATTCCGTAGTAGTATCTGGAGCGATGGTCTCTTCTGTAGCACTCTTGCGGATCTCTTCCGGTATTATCGGGGGTTGTGAGACGAGATCTGTCGCAATCTCTTTTTCCATTCCATCACTTTCGGTAGCCGGTTCAACGTTGATCTCTTGCAGCTCCGAGTCTTTCGCTCGGAGCATAACATCTTCGGGTGCTTTGATGGAGTCTAGGTTTGACTCAGCGTTTTCTAGTCGATCACTTGAGGACGCGAAGGCCTGCACTTCCTCGTTGTGCTCGCCAGTTGATTGTTCTCGCTGAAAGTTTTCTGCCTGATGTACTTGGCGTAATTTGTCCTTTTTGTTCTTAGCCTTCTTTGTTGAGCCCATCGCTGCATCAAGCTCCTCAATTTCAGATGTTGAATCGTTACTCAATTTTCTTAGGTCTTGGGGAGATCCAACTTCAGCCGGGGGCAGAACAACCATATCTTCGTTCGGCGCTTGCAGACCACTCGTAGAGTCGTCTACTATCTCAACAGCCGTGAACGGAACTTCAGTGGCCGCATCTTCGTCTCTCTTATTCAGCCCCTCAGTTTCTTGGGCCAGCCTCACACCCCCGGTAGTATCTTGGCCCCTTGTTTCCGAAGTTATGCCCCGCTGGCTCACTAGCTCGTCCTCGTCTGGTGTTGGTACCTCTCCTCTTTCGTTTGCTTTCGCTGCAAAACCTTCAGCGGGTAGCTGCTCCAGAGAAATCCTGACTACCCCGCTAGTTGCCTCCTGCTCGTCCATTAAAGGAAGATCTCTGGTCCCTACCTCGATTTCCTCAGCGAATTTGACTATTCCGGAGACAGTTCCCGTTTCGGCTTCGATATTCTCAGGTGCGGGTTGGGGAGGAGAATCGAAGGGAGTCGCTTGTTGTTGATCTACCTGCGAAGATACCATGTGATCAGTCCAAAACAGATTCTTATCGTTCTCGCCGTGGGACTCGGTGCCGTGGGACTGATTTTCTTTACCGTCATCTTCAGCAGGCGGGGTTGCATCGACCGATGGGTCTGAGGGTTTTATTTCAGCAGACACTTGGGTTTCGTTTGTATCATGAGTGGCATCTTCAGCAGAAGTGGCATCCGCATTTGTCAAGTGGTCTTGAGCCTTTTCTTCTTGTGCGGCGGTGAAGGTAGCGTTATCAGTGTCGAGGCTTTTTGACTGGCGCTTTTTCTCCCTCTTTTTTGCCTTTCTCCTTTCTTTTGCCGACATGCCAAGGAGGCTGTTATCTTGCGGCTTTTGAGGCTGCTCCCTTACCTCCTCTGCAGTTCCTTCTGGCTCCTTTGCCAAGTTAGCTTCTGCTTGTTCAGCTTCAGCTTGCGTATCTTCGGCGTTTGGCTCCGGTGAAACATCTGGCATTTCGCTCGAGGCTTCGGGAGACTTTGTGACATTGTCCAACTCGGAAACACGTTCGATTACCTCCGGAGCTGCAGGTTGGTTAACCTCCCCAATCTGCACTAATGTCTGTGCAGCGCTTGGTTCAGGTGTAACAGAAGACTCGCTTTCATTCAATTCTTGGGTTTTGCGTTTCTTCTTCTTCTTTTTGTCCTTTTTTGACGTGGAAGGGGCAATCTCTTGTTCAACCTCTTCAAGTACCTCAGTAGGCTCCTGCGTAGAGGGTGTCTCTGGAATCGAGACTTTTAGATTAGACATGACTTCACTTTGATCGCTAGTTCCTATGGCAGCCGGAGCACCTGTATCCGGCTCTTCTTCCTTATCCTTAGGGGTCTCAGACACTTGGGTGTCAACTTTGGTATTATCTTCTGGTTGGGGAGCCGTGGCATTATCTGCTAGCTCTTCCGCCGCTGAGAACGCTTGAGTCATGGGGTCAGGGGCAATGGCCCCTCTTCCAGGAAGGGGGCTCATATACAGCTGAGTGGCTTGTTCGTCTTGTAGTGCGACCTCCTCTGTTGACTTTGAATCACTCGACCCGAGTGTGGTAGTGGAAACGTCCTCAGGTAAAACCACAGATATTTCTGTCTCCTGTGATCTTTCGTTAGTAGTACTACCAACATCTTCCTGGCTTGTCTGAGTAAGGGTGCATTCTTCAGTTATTTGCTCATCTCTTGGTTCTAGAGATTTGCTAGCTTCACCAACTTGCTCAGTAGATTCCGTTACTTCGGTATTTTTGGATGACTGTACAGAAGCATCCTCTTCATTAGTTGCGAAAGAAACTAATTTGCGCTTCTTTTTATCCTTCTTCGCCTTTTTCTTCGAGGTTGACGTTCGGGAATCCACTGTAGGTTCAGGTTCTACAGGCCTTGTAGGCTCCGCCTCTTCTGCAACCGTAGTGGGCTCATCCTCTTTTGCTTCCGAATGTTGCACAGGCTGTTCTGAAGGAACGTTTCGTGGTTGTTCTGCATCATCATCATCACCAAATAGAGAACATTGATGTTGTCCAGAGATATCAACCGAATCCGAACGCGCACCAGCAGGCTCTTCGGTAGTCTCTTCCTGTATGGCGGCAGGTCGATCCTCTTCCAAGGAGAATGACTGCTGTTTCTTTTTCTTTTTGTTCTTCTTCGACTTCTTAGGGGTGAAAGGTTCAGCAGGGTCGCCATCTGCATTTTGTGAAGTAACTTTAGTAGTAGAGACCTCATCACTTTTGCCCTGCTCAGACGAGGCTTTCTCGCCAAATGCCTCGCCTTGAGGTTGCCTCCGGGTTGCCTCCACATTCGTGGTTGGTACAACATTCGCAATGTCATCTACAGGCTCTATCTCATCTTGACTTTCGCTCACGGCCTCTTCCTTGACGCTTGCTGTTTCCACTGTATACTGTTCCTCAGCAGGCTCAGCGGCGACATTTAGTTTTTCTTCGTTCGCACGGGTAGCTTCCAAGATTGATGGTGCAGCCTCGGTATGTTGTGCTTGGCTCAGATCTACATCTGCTACTTCAGTTGCTGCAATATCGGAAATGTCACCGGGTACATCCTTAGGCTCTTGCTGCGCAGGCTCTTGGCCTTTCTCATTAAACCCGTTGTTTGACACAATGTTGGGTTCCGTATCCGCCATTGTTTCAAGTCCAGATTGTTCATTCACCAGTTTATCCGTATCGGTTGGCTCCTTGATTGAAGCAGGGTGATCCTCAGGTTCTTGAGCGGGCGCTGATTTACCCAGATTTGAATCACGTTCCAGAGAATCATCTGCTGGGCTCAAGACAACTCCTGGCTCAAGAGTTGATGGCTCATTTAGGGGCACAGATTTGCGCTGTTTTTTCTTTTCTTTCTTGGCCTTCTTCTTTTGAGCAGCAGTCAGTGCGGATGCTGGTTTTGGCGAAACTGTGTCTCCCGCAGCTTCAGGGATGTCCACGGGCTTTTTGTTCCCAATATTCTCCCTTTGATCTACTGCTTGACCGTGGATGAGAGAAGGCTCTTCAGCAAGAAAGCTTGTGTTCGTAGTTGCAACTTCAACGCCCGACGGAAGTTCGGCAGCTAATAGATCTGTGTCAGGTGTAGACTGCAAGCTTGGTTCATCGTTCTTGTTCTTGCCTGCCGGTATTGTCTCCCCCGCTTCATGTTCGGGATCATATACAAGATCGCTTAGCACATGCTCAGGCATATGTGGTGGATTAACATTGGTTTCAGCCGGATTCTCCACAAGTGCAATTGGCTCCTTTTCGGCTGTTGGGATAGCGTCTTCTTCAATCGCTGTGGTTTCCTGTAGCGTCGTATCATCCGTTGGTTGCACCACACCGCTTGTGTCTGACAGTAGAATCTCAGCAATAAGTCCCTCGGCGGAGAGTGGAGGCTGGGGCTGGGTCTCAGCAGGGGAATCCGACAAAGATATTGATTTTCGATTCTTCTTGTTCTTTTTGCCCTTCTTTTTTGGCTGCTCCTCCGGAGTCTCCTCTAAATTGGGTGTCAGGACCATTTCCGCCGAGCTAGCAACTTCAGACTTGATCTGCGTATCTGCAGCGACCTCCCGCGTGCTCTCGGACGGAATGTTCACGGTAACTTCATTTTTACCGTCCTGGGCTTTCCCAGGCTGCCTGGCTTCTGGCCCTTCGTTGGGAGGCACAGTAGGCTGGGCTTCTGTCAGGGGCGTGACTCCTTCAGAAGCCACGGCCGGGGGAGCATCCTCTGATTCCTTCTCCAGTCCCGGGTCCGTAGCACTATTCCGCAAGTTTTTCTTCTTTTTCTTCTTGCTGTTTTTCCGCGGCAAGAAAATCTCAGTTTCTACGTTGGCAGCGTCAGTTCTTTGTGCTTGTTCGCTAGCTTCTGCAATCATAGGTGCTAGGCTAGGAGTTGTTGAATCGACAGGCGCAGGAGCACCCTGCAACTGCTGTTGTTCTAGTGATACCTTTCCAGAACCTAGTTCCGTTGGAGCTTCTGCTTCTTCTGGGACATGTCGCTCGTCCTCCAGTTGTGCTACCTCGGGTTTAGAATCAACCGAGGCAGGCAGAATTGTACTCGTCTCGGTGCTCAGTCCCTCATGTAAATTTGCCGCAAGACCAATTTCACTCCTATGAATATCCGGAGACCCAGCCCCCATATTCTGCTCTGGTACTGCAGCGCTAGATTCGTTGGACCCATATACAGCTCCAGGCGGTTTTTCTTGCGTGGGAACATGTTCTCCTGGCGAGCCTTGTAATTCTGGCTGTAGGTGCTCTTTGTCTTGTTCCTCAAGCTCGGCTAAGTGTTCAACAGGCTTTTCGGGCTGCACAACGTCCTGCTGGCTAGACTCGACTAACCTCTCCACGCTTTCAACTCCTTTCGTTGTAGGATGCCCCGAATCTTCAGCAATATAGGAAATCTCTTCCTTGGGAGTCGGTAAATCCTCTTTGAAAGATGTGGAGTCTTCGATGGTATCTTTCTGAGGCTTTTTAGTTGTTTGCGTAGTAGAAACCTCTGGAGCAACTTCACTGGATGTCACAACTCCTAGTCTACTCGGCCTTTCAACGCTCTCATCTCCAGCTGAGCCCCTGCTTTCCCTTCTGTTCTTTTCATACTTTAAGTTCCTAGAGATGTCTGTGTCGTCGGGCGCTTCTCCTGCAGAAGATGCTGGTTTTGCGTCGGAATCTGGCATCTTGCCAGACGCTACGTCGTCCTCGTGAGCTTCTTCCGTCCTGGGCATATGCATAGGAGCCACCTGCTCCGGCGTGTTAGCATCGATAACAATAGGAGCATCTTCAGTTTTGAAGGTCCCCACAACAGGCCCCTGTCCAGGAATCATGGTAGCCTCGGGCATCTGCGCCTCACGTGTCACCCCTGTTTCTAAGGCTTCCGAACCGGGAATTTGTCCAGTAGTAGAAGTGTGTGCGGTTAGGAGAGAGTTGTCTGACTGTGTTGGGTCCAAAACAGGGTTCTCTTTAGACGGATCTGTGGGTGAATCTGGGTCGAGGACGTTCTGCAAATCTCCAACCTGCATAACAGGATCCTGCTCATTGGTCAGACTCCTCTCAAATGTATGCACATCCACTTTTTCTTTGCTTTTGAAGGTCTCCGCAACAGGCTCTTGTGTGTTAGCTGCCTCGTCTGTGTTTGAGAGGTCTACAACAGGTTCTTCCTCGACTGCTGAGATTTCATTGCCCCTTGGTGCGGCATCCTGCTCAGTTGAAAGTTCTCTTTCAGCTATTGTCTCATGCATTGTCTCAACATATCCCGGGGTCAAAGGTGATACTGTAGCTGTAGCTGGAGAATCCTGGGCCGGCGGTGTACTGTCTTCATTCAGATTCACGCTCTTGTGTTGTCTCCTCCGGTCTTTCTTATTCTTTTTGGATAAGCCTGGAGAACTAACATCTCCTGCTAATTCTTCAAAGGGCGGTTGAACTGCTTCTTCGGCAACCCTGCCCACGTTCCCGGTTATTGGCTCGGGTGATTCTTCGGTCGCTGATTGATCGACAGGGAAATTTTGTTTTCCTTCATCGAGAAAAACATCGCTGGCACCAGAGAAGTTTGGATCAGATTTCGGGCTGATCTTAGCGTCCTCAAATGGCTCGTTGTCGTTCTTAGTTGCAAGGTTATTTACGTCCGGTATAGACTTTTGTGCAGGTTGCGCCTCTTGTAGCGGCCTCCATCCATCTGCTATAGGATCTACTCCTGCCTTTGCCTCTTCGGAAATTCCAGCGTGTAACGATTCGTCAGAGAATTCATGTTTCTCATCTGCGGGTCCCATAGCAGCTGCAGTTGCAACATTTACAATGTCAGAAAACCCAGATTTTGCATCTCGAGCAGAAATGTCCTTTCTAACATTCTCTGGCTCGGTTGTTGAGAGCTGGACATCCGGAAGTACCGGGATAGCCTCATCCGCTAAGCTCCGGGAAGCTGGTTCATGAGACGTTGGAGCTTCATCTGATTCGTTATCAGCTCCTGTGGACTTTGTGGAGTTCCCCTTGTCATATTGCTGAAGATCCAGGGGACCCGCTCCCACTACCTTAGCAATAGGTGTACCGACAGATCCGGAGAGGGTCGGGGCTTCAATGTCTGGCACCGCCTGAGATTGAGTCGGGCGTGGTTCTGCGGCGTCTGAGGCATGAAATTGTAAGATTTCAGGAGTAGAAGGTCGAGATACAGGTAGAGGTGGAAGGCTATCAAGGTTGCGCTCTAGCCTGCCGTCGTTTCTCACGTCGACCGCAGAGCCCTCGACAGAAGGAAGAGCATCCATTGTTGGAGAAGAGGGCAGCTCTGCATATGTACTTGGATCCTGGAGAAGCTCAGAAGGTGAATGGAACTCGTATTTTGGCTTTTCCTTCCGAATTGTGGGATGAGCGTTTCCTTGCCCGAAACTTGCGGCAGTAGGTGTCGCTTCTTCAGAACCAACCCCGTCATGCTGAGACTTGTCCTCATGGTACGGAGTAGACAAAACATCAACATCAACAGACTGCTGGTTTTCACGCATGTCTTGGCGGAAGTCTAGTTTTTCCCAACTTTTCTCACCTTGCAGACATGCAAGATCCTCGGCGGAAGCATTTGCTGATGATGTCTTACTTGATGGTAAAGAAGGTAACGGCTCGTCAGGCTGAGGTTCCACCTTGTTACCATGGCGTTCTACAAGCCACAGGGGCCGCATCTCTCTAGACTTGATGAATTCTCCAGAAGCTGGACGGCGAGCGCGCCCTGTTGGGGAGCCAGGAGATGACATTGCAGGAGAGCTGGCTGACAGCGAACGATGGGCCCGTGGTGACGTGGATGGGGGTCGACGAAAGTGCAAAGGAACGGCGGTAGGGGACTCTGCCGGTCGTACTCCGGATGGCCGCCGTGATTCTTGACCCTGGTTTTCTTTCTCTGACCCAGCCAGCTCAGGTGATGTTGGTCTACTCTGGGACTTAGGGCTTAGGTCAATAGTTCTTCCCGATGCAGGAGGGGATGCCGAACGACTCCGTGGTCGCTGTTCGAAAACATTTATTCCCAATCCTCTAAGTCCTGCATCCACCGAGGAAAAACGCCCCGAAGCACCTTCATAATCATTGTTGCCTACCTGAGTGGGCATTTCGGGGCGTTCAGCTAAAAAAGACGCCTGGGCGTCTCTGTCTTGCGATAAAGTCCGGTCCTGTGTACAAAGAAAATAAAAGAAGACGGCCATTTAGTACATGTGTCATATACCTTGCTTAAAATCAAATATAGGAATAGACAGGGTAAATCACGGTTTACGAGTAACGAAAACAACTAAGACCATACCTTCTCGCGCTCCATCGTACCAGAGTCCATTGATCCTCCGTGCTTTTGTCGCCGCCTTTCATCCCTTCGCTGCCGTCTAGACTCTTCAGAAAGCCTGGGCCCAACCTCGGATTGGGCCTCCCGAGATCGAGGGTTATCGGAAGATGATGACCTCTTGCTTGTTACCGACTCGGGGGCTCTGGGTCCAAACAAGTTACTCAGAAGCCCACCCATCGTCTTCTCTTTTGCCTTTTCTTCCGTACTCCTGCGTCCATCATTGGCCTCTTCAACTCTAGCTGGGGAGGATGTGACAGAGATGGAGTCATCAAAAGCATCACTATCTCGTTTAGAGCGTCTCTTCCTTCGCTTCTTCTTTCCTTCCGTAGAGCCTTCTTGGACAGTAGGCGATGTGGCCGTATCAGTCACGTTGAATTCGTTACTATCTTTCCTATGCCCTTCCACTCTCGTTGGAGACTGACGGCCATGGGGTATAGAAGCGGAGACGCTTGACCTTGAATCATCCTGGACTAATTCTTGTGCGTTCTCATGTAGATTCTGTGGTCTAAATAAGTCTTCCGGCTCAAAACTACCAGGCATATCGAAAGCTTTGCCTGGAGTTAACTTGGACCCAGCACGTCGATCAGGAAAGCCCAAGGTTTGTTGGTCATCTTTCAGTTCTTCGACGGCCGTTCCAGAAGATTCCCCTGGATCGGATTTTTTATTTCCGGTGAGCTGCCGTATCACTTCTTGAGCAATCGATGATGGATACTGAACCTCGTAAGCTGCTCTATTACTCTCGCCAACAGACTCAGGTTCAGAGTAAAGCGGTCCGTTCTCAATGTATTTCTCTAGCAGCGGTTGTCTCGCTCCATCATCGGATGCTACTGCCTCACCTTCGACATATCCATGAGGTGTCTCTGATGGAGAGACCAGCTTCTCTCTAATGTCCGATACAAGCGATGGACCAAATCCTGCGGCTGCGGTTGCTGCAGCCACAGTTGCTGCGAAGTCAATATCAGCACCATGATCACTTGTGACACCCTTGGACGAATCAACTGGAATAGCCGGTATATCTCGAGTAAATTCGCTATCAATATGTTTGACTTGCGCTTGGTGTGTCACAACATCTTGGTCAGTAGGATCAAACTCCGAGGATGTAGACGGGACTTCGTATTCGTGCGTTTCATGCTCACCCCAAGACACGCGGGAGCTGGTTGTTGGCCTTTTTGATGATGTTCTAGCATCTTCATACACCCTTGGCGCCGAGGGAGTCGGGGAGGTAGTATCTCTGACAGAGCCACTCTGGCTTTGAGGTGGCGTGGGCTCGATAAGCTTAAGTTCTGGAACTGGCCATGGTAGGCCGCGATACTCTGGATACGTCGCCTCGGTCGCCTTGCCCCTTTCACTCGCAAATTCCTCTTCTATAATTGTTGGTACTGAAGTAGGCTCGTGTCGCGCATGCGCGTCAGAGCTATGCCGCAACTCCTCGGGAGCAAAAAATTGTGCATAGTCATCGTAAACTGGCTTCTTGCGCGAAACATCACGAAATACAGAGGTCTTAATATGCTCCTCCTGATGAGTCGAGCTCGGGTACTGGTCTATATCTTCATAGGCACGCTCGGACATAGGAAGACGGGACGATATAGAATCAGAGCCAGAAATACGACGTCGTTCTGCACGACGCTTCTCCGAGCGCTCGTAATGGCGTCTCTGACTTGATTCGGAGGAGCCACTATTAGAAAGCACCGTAGCTGCAGCTGTAGCACCCATCGCGCCGGTTGCGGCTGCGCCAACCCACGATTTTGAGTCTTTGTCCCTTCGAAGATCTCGACCATATTGTTCCCGGTCACCATATTCAGGATCTCGATACTCCCCGTAATAGCGTCTTGACCTGCGTTCATCCTCATGGGGCGCCATTTCACCCTCCCTGTCAATTAGTTGAACTCCCTCTTGGAGCTCGGTATCACGCTTGAGGCGCTCAAGCCGATCTGCACGTCGCTCTTTCTCTACTTGTTCCCTCGTGAGATCAAATTGTACGGATGCCTGGTCTTTCACGGTAGAGCGGCGCTTCACGCTGGTCATCAATGCACTCTCTAATGATTCCATGTGGAATACAGGTGAGGAGTCACTTCGATGAGGGGGTCGGCTCACTTTCGGTTGAACTTCCGAGTCGGGGTAAGCCGGAATTTGATGTGTCCTCGGACTAACTCGTGAAGACTGAGGCTGGTATCCATAGCGTGCAAAAGTACTGTCAAATGACGGGGGCCCGGATGGTGCTGTGTAGGAATGAATTGTCTCCCCTTGAGAAGTATAAACAGCCTGAGAGACCGGTGTCACCGGCTGGGGCTGTTGAAGAGGGATGGGTCCTGGGCGAATTAGAGCTGGCTGGGAGGGGAAAGATGATATATTGATAGCGTCAAAGCGCGAAGGGTCGCTTGTAGGCACAGGAGCCACATGTCGAAGGCTTCCTTTACCACTTCCGGTGTCCTCGTTGATGATTTTCCCTTCCCGGTTATAACCTGCAGCTAATGCAGCTGTTCCTAAAGCCCCTGTCGCTACAGCAGCGCCAGTAGGAAAACGACCCTCCGGTGCATTCGATTTATCTCCCTTCTGCTTTTTGCCTTTTCTGTTGCCCCATCTCCAGCCCCACAACGATGTACCAGACTCAGAAGATTGCGAGCTATGGCTGCCAAACAGACCACTGCCTCCGAAGGCAAGGGCTGAACTAACACTGGATGAGGACTGGTCGCCTGAGTCAACGTCCTCCCAAGCATCGTCACTGTTTGCAGGTGACGTATAGTCTCGGTGAGCGGGTTTTGGTTCTTTCCTAGCGAACATCTCGCCCGTTCGTCGACTCCGGTGGTGAGCCGAAGCAGCTATGGCTGTTGCTGCCGCTCCTAGTCCTAGCAGCGCCGCATCCACATCCCGACGATCCTTTCTTTTGCTCAGTTTTTTAGATTTGTCTGATGATCTCTTTGTATAACCACTTCCAAATGCTAGGTCGGCATCTAGGGAGGATGAGGATGAGTTGTTGAAAGAAAAGATACTTCTTCGCTTCTTTGCCGGCCGTTTTTTGCGATTCTCAGAAGAGATTGTGAAAAACGAGCTCAAGCCACCACCCACAAATTTCCGAGCTGGTCTAGGGGTATCAAGAAAAGATGAATCGGACGATGAGGATTTCCGGCTTTTGGTCTTCCGAGGCGACCGGCTGCGACTGCGGCTGCTGCTTCGGTGGCGTGATTGATTTCCTGTCGCAGCTGCTGAGCCAATTGCAGCTCCCAAAGCTGCATCTCGAAGTGCAGCATGTTTCTTAGATCTCGACGAAGATCGGGACGTCGAACGCGACCGCTGTCGAGTTTCTTCGTGATTTCCCGTGGTAAAATTTTCATAGGAGCGGCGGTGAGAGTGCCTGTAGACTCCACGGGATGTCCGACTTCGCTGCTCGAGCGCTGATAAGCTCTCACTATCATGTGACGAGCCTGGAACTCGACCAGATCGGACGTTATAGGTATCCTCAAAGTCTTTATTGCTAAAGAGCGACTTGACTGTATATCCAGCAAGCATCCCAGGCAGCCATGACTTTGTAGAGGTCTTCTTGCGATATCGACTTTCGTCATCTGAGGATGAGTAACGACTAGCCTTATCCACTCGGGAGCCAGTGCTATAGCGGTCATTGGACAGACGTTGGGGTTTATAGACATGTTTCCTAGGTGCGTCGCGAGAGGAGGTGCCAGGTTCGAAACAGTACTTGCAAACCCCAATGGTTTCAGTATAATCTTCAAACATACCGACACCTTCTGGATCACGCCAGAAATCAATGAATCTGTCCAGGGGGCCGCGTTGGCGTTGCTGGAAAGCCAACCCTCCGGACTGAAAAGGGGCCCCGTGGTAGAGAGCTGCATGATGAGGATGCGATGGATGGGCAGCATACGCTCCTGCTTCCTCGGCATCGGCGGGATAGAGGGGTGTGTTGGGCTGATGAGGGTACATAGATGGACCAACGTATCCAACACCATTCGCGGAAGCCTCCTCGTAATTCTGGTTGTTGTATTGAGAGGTATGTTCTACACCCAGAGAGGACTGGTGGTGGTGGTTCAGCATGTAACCTGCAGCTGCACCCATTGCTGCCGCACCAACAGTTGCGCCTGTAACATGACTATTAGGGGGTTTTTGTGTGTCAGTACCGGCAGTCGGGTCAACCGTCGGTTCAACTGGCAAGGGATGGGCCCCAGAGCCCACATCCTCTTGAGGGCTTCCTCCCCCGTTATGCGTAGTGGCGTTTGTGGCAGGCCCTGGAACCCCTGTAGTTTGTATGGCGGGTCTGGGAGGCTTAGATGTTGGCTCCGAAGGGGGTTTATTTGGTTGCTCGGGCGCTTGGCCCTCTAAGTTGGCGTCATCGGTATAGTAGTCAGCCGCAGCGCCGAGTTGTCCCATACTACTAGGTTCTGGCGGCGGGTTAGCACTTGGTGATGCTGGCATCAAGTGCGCTTGACTGTTGGGGATAACCGCTGGGGGTTTAGGCCGAACTCCAGGCTGTTGCGCGACCGATTGCCCTTGGTCGCCATAGTAATCGGCTGCTTCGCCTGCAGGGTTTGGTGGTCGGTAGGGTTCAGCAACGAAGGCCGGAAACTGTCCCGGGAATTGCTGCTGTACGTGAGGGTCGTAGACACCTGGTGCATTGGGCGAGCCTGGTATAGATGTGACTGGGGGTGTATTATGGATTGGCGGGGGAAATTGGGGATGGTCCGAAGATTCCATCTCTGGGGCATCAGCACCAGAAACGATCACACCTTGCGATGTGTGCCATTCGCCCGATTGGGTACGTCGTCTCTCTCGACAAATATTTTCACGATCTCCTTCGCTTACTTCATCCGTGTTGTTGTCGCGTTCACGGGTTCGTTCAAGACTCGGCGATCGGGCTCGATTCCGTCTACGTCGGGGCTTGTCTTCGCTACCATCGCTATCTGGGTAGCGATCGCGACGTCCACTATCGTCGGTATCTCTGCGCTTTGGTGCTCGTTCAATAACATTCCGATCGAATTCACCCAGTTCTGCCGTCGTATAGCTCGAGGCAACGGAATCGCCTGCCGCACTGGGCGCATAACGCTTGCTGCGGTTGCCAGATGATGAATAGGCGGACAGATCACCCAAGCCACGATCCCGGTCGTCACCCCGAGAGGGCTTGCGGCTCACTGTTGAGGGAGCTTTGGGATCTGTTCTGCGACGGCTGTTGCTTTTAGAACTAGAGCTGCTGCGGGCATCGGACGAACGGCCCCCGGCCAGAAAGGCCTTAAACATGGTGGGCAAAGAGCGATCAAGGCGACGCCCTAGAAAGTCAGGCAACCATGTGGAATATGGGTTGTTGCCGCTACCGAATTTCAAAAGAGGTGAGTGGTTTCCGGAGAGAATACGAAAACCAAGTCGAGTTCAGAGATTGTGATGATAATAGGGAGTGAAGAGGTATTAGCGGGAAAAGCGAAAACGGATTAGAAGAGTTCAAATAAGAGAGATAACCGTATGGGTAAGAAGGACAGGTATTGATAACTCGGGAAGTTCAGCCGAGTTGTTTTTGCGACGGAAGAATAGTAAACATTGGCGCAGGTGAACCGTGGTTCTTTTTTTTTTTCTTCCTTCCCGGAGGTTGGAGGAGGGCCCCAGCTCAGCTTTAGCGGAGGCGAGGACCTTGGTCAGCAATCTAGGTTTGGTTGCTCCAGACAATCGTGCCGCTAGGGCGATCGAGAGGACTTAGCGCGAGGATGGGGCGATTGTTCGGACCTGATGAGATAGAGGGAAAGAAGTATGATGCAGATGAAAGGAATGCGGGGGTGCTTATGATGTAGGAGATCAAACTGAGTTTAAACTTAGGATGACTGGAGAATGCTTTCCCTCGACTATCGGGGGATAAAAAGCTGAGGAATGCAGAGAAGGTTTAGTTGGAAATGGAATCGCGGTGAGGTGTGGGTGCAGGTGCACGTGCGGGATAGGTCGATGCACAAAAAAGAAAACAGAGATGGCTGGGACCACAATGCGGACAATATATTATAATTATGGGACACTCTCGGGGTGCCATAATTAGAAACTAAGATAAAGTACGGAGTAGTACCTGCATGTCTTAGCATCCAAAATCCCCAGCCTCTTCCAAGGCACCACCTAGCAAGTAGATACTAATATAGTAGTACTACGTATAGTATATTTTGCTGGTTCAACCCCGCCGGTTAACGTGGTACGAGACGATTACGGGACCTTGGTTGAATGGGTGCCCGAGGCACCATTTGCTTATAAAATCGGGTCGGATCGAATAAGCTTAGTGCCAATTTCCATGGAACAAGCCCATTCTTATCACAACTTAGACTTCCTATTCTTTTTCTCCCATGTGAGAGACAGACCACACCTCCTAGCACAATTTCATTCATTTGAATCATCCATAACATACAATTCTACATCAAGCACATCGTGGACTCTGGATAACCGCTCGCTAGAAAGTATCTTTCTTGGGTTAAGGTGTCGAGGGCACGAATAGCTGATATCAGTCAAGATTCGCATATATCCACTCATCATATACTAGAGCTGAGACCGTGCCATGAATGCAACATCCCAAGTAGAAAAGGGCAACCATGCCAGGCCCTCTTCCCATCGATTCAACCAGCATGCGCCATTGACCTAGAAAACTCCCATCATCCCAACAAGCAATGTTAACAGAAGTAACCAACATTTTAATACCATAGGCAACTGCCTCCTGACCTGTAAGATGCACTATGCAGTACTCCATTTGAACTTCCAGAATGTATTGTATGCGGAGGCCATCCTCCGAGATCCGCTAGAAATGCAATGAAAGATCCCTCCCGTGCCCAATTCCTGCTTCGATTCGCAGGTGCAGTCGACGCCGACCGAAACCTCAAGAACCTAAAGAGAGCCAAAAAAAAAAAAAAAAAAAAAAAAAAAAAAAAAGAGATGAAAACAGTGAAGGCCAATAGACAATAACAGCATGATATCCACCCTTCCTCTCCGCATGCACGGGACAAGACCAGAGACACAAACCACAGATGCAGGTGGTATCTAAAAGCAAGACGAAACAGAAGGAAACCAAAAAGCCACCATGCAATACACCTATTTATCATGAAGTGTGTATGAGATTAGCCGCTGTAGGGGGAACTAGATAGCCAGTTGGAGTCAATGAAGAAAAAAAAATCAGTATGCGGGCGAACGCCGTAGCCACCTGGTGGTGTCGCTCAATCCGCACGTACTCATCCATGAGGTGAGTAAGAGCAATGTAGCCGACCAAGTAGTTGGAATAGATCAAGCCGCCCAACTTAATCATTTGCGTCCCTCCACTCTGAGGGACTTCCAAATAATTTCTCGTATATTTCGGTAAGAATTCGTGCATCAGCTCGCAAACTAGGAGAGATATAACGACTCTGCAAAAGGAAGTTGATCGTCCGCCTAAGGAGCCTCTCGAGTTCATTTCGGTCCACTAGTTCAGAGAGGCTAGACATGTATGTGGCGGACAATACTAACATGTTACCAAATTGTCTATGGAAAGAGAGAAACAATGTCAGCCAATTCACTCCAAGATACACAGATATAACTTGCAGGGGGCGTTCACGTACGCATGGGCGGTACCGAAGATATTGGTCACAACCGGACGACCCTTGATACCATCAAAGGCCACCGTGCTCAACATAGCCGAATCAATGCAAACTTTACAAGCTCTTCGTAGCTTTGTGGGTAGGTCGCGATGCGCAATTCCAGTGAACCCAGATGAAGAGCCTATGTCGCTTGACAGCCGTGCCATGTTTGTAGCACTCTGCCCATGGTTTAGTGAAGGAGATACCTGCTGGGATTTAGAAGTAGTCATAATAGTAGCCTCAGTAGGGGGGCCATCCGACGAAGCGCGAAGATCTATTTGTCCATAGTAGTGAAGGGCATGGTAGAGTAAAGGACGATGAATGATGTAACGTGCACCATAGTACTTGGCTCGCATCCGAGCGACATTGATTTCCTCTGATGGTGGATCGGTGTCTTTCCACTTCATCACTTGAGGAAGACTGTTTCGCCACAACTCAAGGTTCATGCTCAAAATCTCTTGGACGTGCGATGACCAATGGGTTGAACCTTGCTCTGTGGACAATTATCTTAGCATTCTTTAATTTGGAAACAATTCCCGAGGCCTATTTCTTACTCTCAACTTTGTATAGATCCGTGTGGACACGGTTTAGGACCTTCCTGAGATGGATTTGAGCTGAGTAAAAGAACATCATCATAGTACTTGGGGCAGAAATTTCATTGGGGAGGTTTAGAGTGAACCGTCCCTTCGGTAGAGAAATACGAGCTTCTGATCGTGATATGCCGCTGGCAGGAAGATCAAGTTCTGCTAGTATATCGCTGGCATAAGGTCAGTATTTGAGGGAAATCATAGCAGGGAACGAAAGGGATGGGAAGACCGCAGGAGCTATATATACCTCTCCAGTTGCAGACATGTCCAATACGCAAAATCATAAAGGTCTTTGACAGGGCCATCAGGCATTTGCGTGTAACGCTTTCTGGAGAATCCAGTTAGTACCATATAGCATTAATTGAACAGGAAAGGGTAAGCCGTACGACCGAACCAGGACTTGGCAAGCTCTGGCGGCTTGGTAAATCCACCCGTGGCTTTGGAAGGGATGCGCCAATTGGCCTGCATAAAGTCCTGCTAACAAGGCTGCCTGGACGTGTGGCAGGCCATTTGCTCCTTGCAGGCTTCCGAGAATCTGAGTAGCGTACGCATAAAAGGCCAGGCCAGGGATAACATCAAGGTTTTTGAGGTTTTGGTTGTCTTGAGATCTTAGATGTCCTTCGCCACTCCGTCGGTTAGCCGTTAATGAAGGGGATGTAAAGCTGTGATTATTAGTGGCATAACCACTACCTTGCGTGTGAGGAACAGAATCCGACCCCGCGGGCGATAGCACACTGCCCGTAGAGGGGCCGGGTATTCTCTCTTTTCGAAAGTCAACAAGGTAGTCTGTCACCGGCCCCGGAACAGGATTGGCTTCGCAGATACTTCCAAGGGCGAGGACCATGAGAATAATCGCATTGTGAATGGATTTCTCAATACGCTGGCCGCCGCCTTGTTCCGCAGGGGATTGCACGTCGCATCCCGCGCCTTGAAGATTTTCGCAGGAACGCTTTCGTTTTGCGCCTCGAGGTAAATCATTCGCGTAGTTATTAGGTGCTCCAGAGGGTGGTGCCGAGCTCTTTTGTGGGCAGTACATCCTGATAAACTTGTCGATCTTATTCTCCAAGTCACCCTGATCGAGGAACGGGTGAAGCTGGTGCATATGCTTCATATAACTTTTATGATAACGGCGAACGGCGTCTGCATCTGCAGTGAGCATGCCATTTTCGTCAAGCCCTTTATTTGCAAGTTTAACCTGGGGCTGGTTTGCGCCCACACCCCAAGGCCCACTAGGGGAGGCTGCCGCGTAGTATGACTGGTGTTCATCAAAGCTCGTACTTAAGTTCGTTGGCGCTGCTGACAAGCTATTATCTTCACTGGTCTCATCCCCCTCCCCACGGCCATAAACACGGATAAGACCCCTTTGTTCTTCGAGTTTCATTACATAGTCCTCATCATATTCTCTTGGGCGAAGTAGATTCCGGATAGAAGGCCACAACAGCAACTTGTGAGCTGCTGTCGTATGCTCTACAGGGATTGAGAGCTCACCATCTTCGCCAGACGGTACAACTTGCTCAGTGGTTGCTTCAGTCGATTCCGGTATCTGCTCCTGAGTTGTAGCATTATTCTCATCTTTGGCCTTAGGTTCCTGCAGCATATCCAGCGAGTCCTTCTTTGCTAATTGCGGGACTGTCGACTTCCGTGGTTCCTTGGGTGCGGACTTAGCTTCGATCTTTGCCAGGAGGGCGCTAAAATTATTCCCATGCTCTGTGTTAAGTTGGTCTAAGCGATCAAATCTGTCTAATATAGCGTCTTGAAATGACTGCAGCCGGTCCAAGAGGAGTTGTGTTGCCTTTTCTTGTCTGTGTAGGTTGTCAGTGGTCTCCCGCTGATACTACAGAGTATTGGAATGGAAGGGCTGTAAACAGACTTGTGAGGAGGGACTTCTTTGTAAACGCAGTTTAGGTTGTTTTCCTTGCAATGGCTACATGACGGCCGGCCTTCGTCGCACTTTGCTTTCCTCGCTCGGCATTGGTCGCAAGCCTTCAACCGAGGGACAAACAAAATGTCAGTAACATTTTCTTTTCCATATACACATACAACGCGAAGCGCCGCGATATGGGCAATGAAAGCTATTTTACCTGCTGTGCTCGTGCAGCCTTGCGCTGGCGCATACCATAGGCCGGGCTTTGGTAATAGCCAGAATCATACGGGGCTGGGGTATGGGAAATAGGCGGAACAGGAGTCGAATATGGAGCTGGAGGGATCGAGTGCGGAGGAAGCGGAGGCGGAGCGTCGCCATTACTATGTGGTTCTTGGGGTGGGAACGACACCCGGTGTCGATATTCAGGCGGCGCAGAGTGCGGGGCTGGATCATGGGGCGTCCCATTCATTGGACCTCGAAAAGGTGGATGCGCCTCTGTAGGATTGTGCTTTGGGCCTGGTAAGCTTCCTTGCCGACCATATGGACCATCAGGGGGGAGCTGCGGCAACTCGCGATTCGGCATAACAGGATACCCATGTGAAGATAGTGGTGGAGGAGCAGTGGAGGTTCGACGTTGTTCCGCAACGTGACCTTCATACGGTGGATAATGGCGCCATGGCTGCTCATACATCCCCGGCACACTCGGCGGACCATGCGATCCGTCGGGAGGAGGAATGCGATGCATTGGGGGCGCAGGCCCAGAGAAGGCAGGAAGTGTTTTCGGCTTATCGTCAGTTGAGATAATTTCCATGATCGTGGGTCCGCAGCTACGGCCAGGATCACCAGATCGCCGCAGATCTGCTGTGGACGGTCGATTCAGTGCGAGAGACATACGGTCATTAGGACATGATGTCCCAGAGAAGCGCAATCAGGGAGAAGTTCAAGCTTCGATACACGGGTGAGTTGCGAAAGATTAGAGAGGCGAAGGAGTCATACCACAACAAGAGCTTCGCCAGAATAAGTCAAGAGCTATTGTTCTGCAGTCTAGGAAAATGACCTCAAAAGTTGACGGTGGGTCTGCTGCTTTCTCTCTTTCTGGGGCCTGTATTAATTGCCGTGTATTCGTTGAAGCAATGAGGCAAGAACAGCTGGATCGACGCCTAAATGTCACGCGAATGAACGCGTGAGATCGTCCAGTTTGTTTGATTGCTGGATGGAGGCAACTATGCGTGACTTGATAGCTTTAAGAGTTAGCTATAATAGAATTAGAAGATAACGAGCGCAAAGCCAACATTATCAACGGTCAACCATGAGGGACATTGGCTAAAAAGAACAGGACGCGAGAAAGAGAGAGAGAGAGAGAAAGTAGGGAAATTAGGTAAGAAATGATAGTAAAGGCAAGGTAAAGCTAATGCAAAATGTAACCCAGGACGATGGTAACAGTAATAATAGGTCGGGCATCAAGGACAGAGCTCAAAACACTAAGCAGTACCTGTCATAAGTAGTATAAGCTGGGGGGTGGGAAAGAACGAGATCCGCGCTGGAGCTAACGACTGGAGTGGGCACACCGACCCTGTCAGTGAGAGAGAAATAAGGTATGTAGGTGATCCCTTCTCCAGTACGGAGTACTCCGTATAGGTACTTTTTCTAAACACAGGAGAGATGCGCAGACAAGGGACCAAATCAGGTAAGAGAAGCGCAAAGGGTAAAAGGAAACGAGGGAAAGGGAAAAAAAAATCCAACTAAAAAAATCCAACGGAGCTAGAACAGGGGTAAACTGGTTATAGAATAGTGCTGATAATGTTCTTATAACGGCAGAAAATCCTAAATCGCAACAATAATAATAGTAGTAATAAGATAGTAGTACGTACACCGTGGTGGCCCAAAGGGTGGAATTAAATACGGCGGTCGTTTGGCACTGCCTCTACTCTTCCGATCAGTTAGGAGATAGCTAAGCCAAGCCGTCGGGTCGTGTGGTGCGCAACAGCAGGAACGGTGGGAAAGCCAACAGAAAGGTCGGGTTTGCCCTGGGTTTATTAAGAAACCAAAAAGTGTTGACAGAAAGCGGGAAGGTGCTGCCAGAGATGAGCGGGCGGATGATGATGGAGACACTGCAGGGAGAGGAATTAAACTTGAATAGGCAAAGGACTTGCCGTCAGGCGCGAGAAGGAGGAAAAGAGAGATAGAGTGGTGATTAGTGAGTAGTTAGTAGTAGTGGTCAGTAGTTAGTGGATAAGGAATGAGGAAGAGGGGCGGTTGAGGACCCAGTAAAATCAGTAGGTACCTAAGGGGACCCGATGGTGGTGGCCAAGTAAGTGGGAATGAATGATCTGCTGGGGAAACAAATAAGGTAAAATGTAGGAGCAATTAAGAGTCGCAGGTATGGTGGGTGGAGAGAGAGGCGAGAGTCATGAGAAAAAATAATAACCACAATAACAATAATAATGAGGATGGGTGAGGTCAATCCACACAGGCAAACAGAGCTGTGATAGCGATTCCTGATTGATTAATGGACGGGGTTAAACATGAGGAAAAGTGAAGAGTGACTTGCCCCTCCCTCTTTTTTTCCCTCCCTCTCTTTTCGCTGGTGGAGGGATTGCCCGTAGGGAGAAGTATCTAGTGGTTAGGAGTAGTAAGTATGAATAGATCAAAACTTCGGTTTTAAATTTTTACGCATAATAACAATACCAACAACAATAACAATCTCAACCGTACCAATGGTGAATAGAGTAAAATATTTAAAAAAAAAATAAAAAATAAAAATAAAATAAAATAAAAATAAAAATTACAGTTCTTCTCTTTTCTCTGCCTCTTCTTGAATTTTCTTTAAAGGTTTTTTTTTTTCTACCCTAAGCAAAATTTCCCTGAGTATTCTCGTTTTTTCATTTCTTTTGACGCGCGCCTCCTTCTGACAGATTGATTGATTGACTGGCTGCTTGGCTGGGTCTTGTAACTTGGACCGAAATCCTGGTTTGCAGGGTATTACCACAAGCCACCGAAAGTTGACAGATCGCTTTTTTTCGCTTTTTTTTTGGGTCTATATCTCTGTTTCGGTTATTGACTCTGCCGTAAGAAAACAAAAGTGGGATGGGACCAGCAACAAGAAACGAAAAAAAGACTTAATAAGAGTGGAGCTGCAAACTGGAGCTGTTGCTAACTTGCTAACACGGGACGGGTTGGAAAGCGAATCCGTGAAGTGTTTAAGCTACCTTTCAATTTCCTATCCTGTCAAAGGGCCGATAATCAGCTCCATTCTATAATTTTTCGCAGTGCCACATGGAAATTTCTTGGGGAAAATAGTGTCACCCGAACCGAGTCGGTCTGCCCAATAACATTCACGTACCGTAGGCAGGCAGATTTGAGGAAATATATAAGGAGGATGATGTCTCTTATAATTGTTGCTAGTTCAAGCTTAGACCCTTCGCTTTTCTATCTTCTGCTTGGGACAGATATCCCGTGAGACGATCAAAGAGTGGTCGGTGCCCAAAATCCGGAGGGGCAATTTCAGCGGTGGACTGTGTTGGCCACTCGTTAGACCAAAAGATATGGCAGATAAAGAGGTTGGAAATACGGATACTTGGGATGAAAGTCTTAATTACCAAATAAAAGACAAAGAAATGTGCAAAGGTGTGAAAGGAAAGGGGGAGGGGGGGGTCTTCTCTTTTCTACATTAAAATCTTCTGGTTTTATCTCTTTGTATGTCTACCCCAGATCATTTTGTTGGGTAGAAGAAAGTGAAACGAGGCATGGAACAAATATATGGAGACACCTGATTGATGATGAAAAGGACTCCAAGTAGTTTATCCCTCTCCAAGGGCTGGTAGATGGATAACCTAACTGGGCAGTAGAACAGAACTTTACATGCTGTTGTCAACACATAAGCCTCTCAGACGCATTCCTTGGTTCTGTTGGTGCCTATCTAAAGCCGTGATCCAGCTTAATTCGGCTTATTATTGGCAAGGTCCCCTATCTTCATCATCGGCTGTTTGGTCAATTCAGATCTAAAGTTAAATCCCCAACATTATCTAGGTCAGAAAGAACTTACAGGTCGCAATCTACATTCCGAGATTACGACTGTAAATGTCAAAGTTGAAGGGGAGGAAGTATCCTGGTTTGGGAAGAAAGCTGAGAAAAAGACAGCCACGGTCTCGCGTAGTGAAGGAAACGAGAGTGCGAGCAAGGTATGCATGATGTGACCCAAGAAGTGTCCCGAGCCACAACCCCACGCAAAAACAGAAGACGGTGAGAATCAATCAATGGGTTGGGGCTATCACTTGGTCATTGGAATCAAGGGTCAGCACACCTGCATATGTAGTAGTACGTACTCTACCCAGTAAACTAGCTTTCTGCATGGATTAAGGAGTCAGGAGGACCGCCTGTTCCGAAAAGGCGGAGAACTACCATGCCACATTCAATATAAAATGAAACTCCAAAGTAGAAAGATCATGACTATATATGCTTTGAAGCTATTATGCCGTTCTTTAATTTATCTCTTATTATCTTTTTCTTTTTCTTTCTCTCTCTCTGTCTTGTTAACGGATAAATATATATATATACATTACGAAAAGAGAGGCCACATAGACCTCTAGCTCCACTATTGGAACACATGAGATTATTCAGGGTGTCCCTGTCAATTAGGTCCTGTTGACTTACATATGTACGCACATACCCCATGAGGTACTGCAGATGTAACTATAAGAACATACATGAATAGTTCAGCTTACTACTGTTTACATTGCCCAAATCGACGGTCTAAATCAAAATATACCACCTGAATGGCACCTGTTCCTTGGTTCCAATCAACAGGAACAAACTGCTTGCCGTCATGGATCCATGGTGCTACTACTAGTAGTACCCGGTCGGGAAGCAGTAAAGTTACAGGACATCTTTCCGGAATCGTTTGGATTTAGTACCGAGCAATACCTCAGTTTCTATTGTTACAGTACTGTACTGTACATACAAAATTAGGT